TATCTAAGGCGTGGGAGACCCAACTCTGAGGGCATCCTGCGCACGGCCATGGTTGATAAAACCGCGGTGAACCAACGAGAAGGCAGCAATACCCACCGAGGCCTAGATCTCACGCCCACGAAAGGGGAGGGAATACGAGGAAGAGCAGGACAAACGAAATGTTGTGTACGATCATGTACTTCACGTTGGTATCCGAGTTGATCATATGGCCGATGGAGGTCGCCTTCATTGCGACGAGCTTGTGCTTCTCTCGGTAGAAGTGGTAGGCAAAATAGAGAAGCTCCACGCTGACGCAGCAGGTGACGGGGGAGAGGATGGAGAGGAGGTCGGTGGAGATCACGATTCTACTTGCGACGCACAAAGTCAATCTACCCGACGAGAATTCCGGCCAGGTGGCCAAAGAAAGAGGAAATGGGAACGATCAGCTTCATCACGACGAGAAGCACGAACGGATACAAATTGATGCGAATCCTACGCATCAACAACCCTGTGCAAGTCGACGGGAAAGGGAGAAGCTTGAATTCGTAAGTGGGAAAGCACATTCCGTAGAGATTCACGGGACACTGGGTATCTCCTTTCAAGATAATCGTCGTCATTAGAGCGAACAGCACGCAAGAATAACCCAGTCCCCAGACGGATTTTCCATGTTCGAGGTTCATCTTGTCTGCCAGCCAGACAAGAAAGAGATGCACGGCTTGGGTCATAACCACCAGCCAGAGATTGATGCTAAAAATGATCGCGATGTGGCAAGCAGCTACAAGAAAAAGCGAGACGATCCCCAGATGATTTCGAGAGGAACCAGACCGATCAAACTACTCAAATTCAGTCCAACATGCAATAAATCCAAGTGGCTAAAAGATGCTGTGATGACACGCCACACCTCGCCTTTCTCCATCACTGAACTGTAGCTCACTGCCACTTCCGTGGCATCCACGTTCTTATCCCACAGCCAGAAAAAGATAAGTGCAATTACCACAGTGAACAAGGAAATCATCGGAGCGTTCGTGACGTGGTAGACGATTTGATTTTTCGAGTAAACTAAATAGTAAAAACAAAAACAACAACAAAAAGCACTTACAAACGGGAGCTGCTGTATATCGGCTCGGAAACAGCACTGTGTATTTCGAAAATGTTACATTACACGTAACAGATTCAGAATTAGAATTAGAAGACAGAGCAGCTAGATTATACAACTCTTCCCAAGCATACCGTTATCATCATTCAACAAACTATCCACTAAGCCATTTCCTGCTATCCAAATTTGATTTGTCTTTCTATCTCTTTTCAAAGAGTAGGCAGAGTCCGAAAATTGCAACGGCCTTCGACTGAACATTCTATAGTTGTCATAAACAACGCGCTTGCTCGTCGTGATAACAGGCTGTAACACACTCACACTCCTTTTCGACATTTCTCCATTTATACTGCATCGAATGAAATAACAATATCAATACGAGTAATAAATACCGTTCAAATCGTTCCTACTACAGCCATCAAGACGAATGCGTTCCACGTTCGACAAATTCCCATAAACAATGAAAGGCAACACAACACAAGCAAAGAGACACAAAAATACAAGGGGACGCACGACTTTCATCGCAAAAATATACCCCACCTGGGACTCGAACTCAGAATCTTCTGCTTAGGAGGCAGATGCCTTATCCATTAGGCCAGTGGAGTCATCATAAAATGTTGATAGTATTTACACATATCCCCAACTATTCGTTCTCTTTTCCATAAACCTTTTCACATCAGATTGAATTTGATTTGTACCAACTCTGTAGATAGTACTCTTCTTTTTTGGCACAACAAGGAGTACGGAATGGATGGTTCTTACGATCTTCATAGTGCTTGGATTCCTGTGTTTTTATCCATACAGGTGATCAAATAATGAGAGGGCTAGAAAGAGTTGTAAATCATTTGCCTAGAAATAGGTATACGAGTTAGTTTATCGAAATAACAATACATACTCCCTACAGATTGTAGAATCTACTTATAGAGTGTATCAGCATTGTAATACGGGTTGTTCCTGAAGTGAGAACAACTACCTCTTTACAATATGTGCTATTTTGCATTTGCAACTCAATATCCTCGGGGTAGACAATTGTGTGATTATACTACCAAACATTACCAAGTGTGTGAAGCAAATTCAGATAATACATCCTCGTTATTTATTTGATAATGTTTTTTCAGTCTTCCAAAGAAAATGAAATCCACTACAGACTTTCCAAAGTCTGCAAATAGATGCTATTAAAGCTACAATGAGGTCGCATCGATTTCACACTTTACCACCACTAACAACAACAACAACATGCGCTTCTTCACCAATAGAAGCACATCACTGAGTCAAGGAGGAAAATGTATTCATCAAACAGAACAAAATGCTACGTATCGCTGGACCCATTCATCCATATTTCGGTTGCTCTCCAAATACTGCAATGTAGCTGTGGCCAAATCAAGATTCATCATATCGCAAATAGTCACCAGGTTGTCCTGGTCCTGCTTACTCAGCAGCACCATCTGATAATTGGGACTACAGGTGATTAATCCACCCCTAAAAGCTCTATACTCTTTTGGATGTGGCAAGTCAGGTGATCGCTCGAGATAACTCTCAAACAAATCGGTGTTTTCCCTGAATATCTACTCTCACACGGAATATAAAAACGAACTCTGTACAATTTGTTGTCCATGCTCTGCAGTTTACTGAAGAAAAGGGAGTGGAGAGAGCGGTTGCCTCTCAAATCGCATAGAGCAGACGTATAAAGGCCTCCCTGGATACAGCGCTCAGCATATTCCCTATCGGTTTCTTGTCTGGTTTCAAACACCGGAGTCGCCTTGGGGATGATCGGGGTTGAGGATCTCTTAAAAGAATGGGCCAATGAAGGGTTAAAAGATCCATTGCACATTCCATTATAAATATTAGGCTGGGCTATCTCGACGGACTTTGTCTTAACGTAGCACATGAGAGAGCTCGATTCATCAGCCTCATATTTGCTTGGGGTCTCATTTTCCCCAATCAAGATTCCTTCGTAAAACTATGTTATATTTAGGAATGGTTACTACTAGATAAACGTCTGCGCTCCCTAATCCAGTGTAGTCACAAATAACCTGAGTCAGATATTCACCCTATATAACAGCATCCAAATAGCGCCTACAGACTTCTCGTGCCCCTCAGGAATCGTTAAACTTTGAAAAGGAGGATAGAAAGAGACTTCCATAATAAAATAATCTAACTTCGCATAACGGAAAAGTCTGTAACAAACAATTCCCTTATTACACATCACATCCATCTACTAATTCACGGGTGCCTCCAGCTTGAACGCGGGCAGCTTCTTATAGCAGGCCTTGCAATAGGGCTTGTCATCTCTCTCGAACTGCTCTCCCTGCGCGATGGAGTGTCCGCACTGCACGCACACGAAGCACAGTTTATGGTAGGACTGTCCGTGGAAGGTGACCATCTCGGCAGGGTACACCGTCTTTCCGCAGGTGGCGCACTTCACCACCGTGGGTTTGAACAGATCGCGCATCGCCTCCGCGTTCTTGCTCAGCACCGGCGTGTGGCGCTCGTTCTCCTCCACGCGGTACGAGCCCTTCGCGCTGTACTCCGCCTTGTTCGGACGGGTGCCGTACAGCTGCTCGTAGCACTTCGGGCACAGCGGCTTGTTATTGTGGTCGCAGTAGTCGCCGCCGCCGATGATGTTGCCGCAGTTCAGGCACTTGAAGCAAAGTTTGTGGTACACTTCGCCCAGAGCGGTGAAGCGCTCAGTGAACATGACTGGCTTGTGGCAGGTGGGACAGATAGGATTTTCGCTTGTGGTGTCCAGAACCACACGCTCCACCTCGCCCTGGCGGTTGTAGGTCATCTTACCACCAATGAAATAGGGACCCTCAAACTCTTCCACCGATGCAGAGTATCTTCCCACACTGAGGATACACATGCACACCTTCTTGAAGTTCTTCAGCTCGTACAGATCGTTCACACAGAACAAATCCATCTCGGGGCAGCCGATGCTTCGGGCAAAGGAAATGAAAGCGCTAACGTTCTCGCGCTCCAAAAATACAGCACCGTGATTGATCTGAGATTCAAAAAAGAAGCGTAAACTTACCTTACGAACACTTCCAGGACGAATAATGTTGGCAAGTCTGCAAATAACCTCTCCGTTGCGGAGAGCGTTCTGGAATTCTTCCTCGTCGTCAGGGAACTGCTCTCCCATAACCTCCTGCATCCAATCACGAGTGACCTACGCCTCAGGAATGCTCAAAAGAGACTACAATCCAATGGTCAGACATTGATCCACAAAAAATACAAAAACGATAGAGAATAATGTACTTTTCACGTTGATTACTTAACGTATCAAATCATGTCGGCGCACCTATGTATGACGTACATGTTTGTTTTATCATCCGCAACTAACAGGCTGCGGATACTGCCGTTGGAAAGAAAGGGGTCTGAACGTGTTTCACACAAACAGCGAGCTAAACTAACAGATCATCTTCTTTATACTTGAATACATTGACCCCTCCGAGAGATAGCGGGGATGCATCGCATCTCTCAAATACTCTCTGGTTTTCCCTGTGTTTCCGTGTCTTTTGCCTGCCTTGTAGCGCTTCAGCTACGAGATCAACTTCACCTCCCAAACCGAAACCTTTCCAGTTCCCGTAAACTCAAAGCGCTTCACTACACTTCGTTTCGATTTTAATCCAGTTCCAAAATCACGAGCAAACTACCTGTTACGTTCCTTCTCGCTTCTAGTACCATCGAGTTGCCAAGTACAGACGATATGGAAGGAAGCAAGGGTGAGAAGCTACGAGCCGAAGCAACCGTAGATCTCAGCAAGCTAAATCTTAACACATATTTCCATGCTATACAAACCGAGAGAATTCATTGATGAACAAGAATACGCCTATTCGAGGCAAAAGGAAACAAAATTCTGACTAATCACTTGAACAAAACAGCAGGTTGTACTAAGATGGGTATTGTCTGTGGGAAATACAAAGAGGGGGTTAATTGTGCCAATTGTCTATGACCAGGAATCAACAATTGAAAAGTGGAATGAAACACGGGAATCAGATGTGTGTACTTCTTTCTGTTATGCTAACAAGCAATGATTGTGCAAGCTGAGCACAAAAGCGAGCATTGAATGGTTGTTTAGTGATTTGGGATTATCGATTCATGAATAGGAGGATATCAATCAGCAGGAAATACCACTTTTCGCTATCTCTGCTACCTGCCTACCAGTCTGTCTGCCTGCCTGCCTGCCTGCCTGCCTGCCTGCCTGCCTGCCTGCCTGCCTGCCTGCCTGCCTGCCTGCCTGCCTGCCTGCCTGCCTGCCTGCCTGCCTGCCTGCCTGCCTGCCTGCCTGCCCACCCTTCATCGTTCTGTCAGGAGTAAAACAAACAATCCACTGGGTCAGAGCATTCACATACGGCGCGATTTCCTCTTCGCTCAATTCGCGGAACGGCAAATCCACTCCCACCACGGCTACCGAGCAGTTTTCCTTTGTCATTTTCTGCATCACACTCCCTTTCTTCGCTTCCCTACCGAATCGCCCTGCACGCAGCCCTTCAACGCATCCAGCACGATGCTAATCAGCTCGTCGAGCGTCACTGCTCTTCACTCCATTCCATTCCATTCATACAATCATCGCTCACCGTCACCACGTTCGTTTCTTCGTTCAAAAAACGTCGAGACAGAGCTGTCTTCGCGCTCTGACTGCGAGAACCGATCGCACACGCACTGTATTCGAGGTACTCGCCAGAGGGAGATGTATGGAAGAGATGAGGACCTTTGGACTAGAAAGAAATCAACGAAAGAATAAAAGAAAAACGTCCACACCGCCGATCAACAAACCAACACCGTAAGGACGACGTTCGTATGTGAGAGTACAGAAATGCTCTTCTAGACATCAGAAAAAAAGTATTTTTAAAAAATCACTCTCTGCTACTTGACGAACCAGCATCTCCATAGGCATCTTTCGGCCGTAAACGTACTCGTGGTCCATGCATTCTGTTCTCATATATCTAATGGTGGTTGTAATCTAGGGTGAAATACTTTGATAGTGCTCTAGCATCTGCAGTTAAACCGGACATTGCGATTCCCATGTGTGTATCGATTTCTACAATCTTTCGTTGGTATGAAGCAAGCTCGTTTGGTCGTCTACATGCTTATCTCACTCCAGAAGAGCGTACCTGCGGAAAGCACCAAGAACGACATATTTATTCGTACGAATGCCGCAGCATGCACTCCCTTGCTTCTCGGCTTCCATCGCATATTTTACCTACACTCTTAGATAGAAGTAGAGTCTTTGACTTGATGTAGTTTTCCTTCGGGAGACCAAACCGTGACATCCGTATCGTATTTATTCCCGTGCATTGAGAACAAGTGATCGAAATTATGAGAAGAAATATGGGACAAACTCTCTGTTTTAGGTTTTTCAAGGATTGATGATGGAATATGAAAGCAAGAAGTATGTATCTGCTCACAATTGGAAGGAAGATCCGTTTCAGAATAGGTTGCCAACTTTGCGAAGAGTTGGAGTTGAAATTATCCCAAATCCATGTTGAAAACAATCGTTATCTATAAATTAGTATTATTATTATTATTATTATTAGTAGTAGTAGTAGTAGAGTAGTAGTAGCAGTAATATCACTGCTATCATTAGTCTACTTCCTATTCACTCCATCTCCTAACAAACAACACAACACAACGCAACACAAGTTTCATGTACACCTTATACGCCTTTCTCCCTCCTCACTTCACCATCTCCAGGATTCCCTTTTCATACTACACACCTCACTCTCTCTCCTTATCCTCACATTCTCATAACTGCTCGTCTTCATGTACTCCGCAGCCAACCCCAGCAGCTTCATCCGCTTGTCTCCCTGCAGCATCGCCACCAATCGATCGTACTCCTCCGCCGTAATCTACTCTCCACACTCTCTCCCTCTCCCACCTTGCCGACGATCATCAGTTGCTCGAAGCTGGACATCAGCAGCGACGTGTACACCTTCATCAGCGGCGAGTTCTCCGCCACCTTCACTCCCTGCTTCGACTCCTCGCTCAGACTCTCGTACACTCCCGGCAGAATCTCCTTCAGCTCCTCCGGGGTCGGTCGCTGCAGCAGTCTGCGTCAAATCCCGCGGGAATCCCTACTTCTGCTCCACCGAGGACTTCTTGAACTGCATGTCCAGCTTCTTCTCGGTGGGCTGCAAACTCGCAGCCATCTGGTCTATCGCTGAGTCCGTTTCCACGTTTCTACGTCCCATCATCTTGCCCTGCTCCATCAGAACGCTCTCATCGGGACGGTCGGACAGCGATCGATTCAGCTGCAGTGAAGGAAGAGCGGAACTAAAAACCTGGTCTTTCTTCATGTTGCGCTCTAACGAAGCGACGTTCGCGCGAATCGACGGGGCGATCGAGGGATTCACTGCGCGTCACACTCCGAGCCAGGAGATACTCTGAATACCCGCCTCGACGAGCGTGTTCATGTCCGAGCGCTCTTTCAGACCGCGGTTCACGGCGTCTTTTTTCATGTTATGCTCCAGTTCCACCATTCGGCTGGCCAGAACGCTCGAGTCGGAGTTGCGGAGGATTCCACGCTCCTCAAGGGCGGATGGATCGCTGCGGTGATCCAGCTCGCGATGAAGCTGAGCGATAAAAAACAGGAATAAGGGAAAGATACGGAATCCTTCTTCATCTCCTTTTCAACAGACTTCACACGAGACGCCAAGGAAGGAGCAACCGAGGTACCTATGGATTGTGGGTCGAAAGGCACGGATTACTGATAAAGCCCTTTGACTCCATCTCTTCCACAGAGTGGCGCTTCTCCAATTCTGCGTGTACCTACAAAATTAAATCAGATTTCGCAAGATCCATACAGAATCCTTCTTCATCTCTCTTTCAAGGTCATGTGCCTTGGCTTGCAACGCGGGAGCAATCACGGGTGCTGGAACATGAAACAAGAATATCGCGCTCACCAGGACGCTCCTCAGGTTTCAGAGAAGATTCAAGTTTAGCAACACGCTGTTCCACTGTCTACAATAGATTCCAACAGAAAAACAGCACTTCTGACATACAAAAGATAGAAAATAAACAATAATGAGGAGGATATGAACGTTAAATTAGTGCGCACCAATTTGGGAGAAATCAAATCCATGAAGTAATGTGTAACGAAACAGGCCGCCCCGGGAATAGGTTGATGTGCTCTACGTAAATGATTCTTTTATATAGTTTTTTGAAGAATAAAACGAATACCAGTGGGTGCAAAGTCTAATTTTAGGAATACACTAATTATTTCTTGATATCTTGTTGTCTGTGAACTAAATTCTTTGATATTGCCACTATCTGCATAATGTTCAATTGGTTTAAGCCAAAGGTTGATCTTTCTCTGAAACGAATGAAGTGCTTGTTTGACAAAAGTTCTATTTTGTAGGGAGTTGCACAAGGAGATTATTCGTCTTCATGATGTTCCCGGAATTGCTGCAGACAACGAACTTACTGAGGTCTTACGAGAACTTGCTGAAATTATGATCCACGGAGAAAAGAAGAGCGATTCGTATTTTGAGTAGGTTCCTAGGGAATATTGGGCAAGCACTCATCTTGAATGTAGATTTTTCTTAGAGGAAAACATAATGCAAGATATCATTAGCATTATCAAGCAAAACCGAAGTAACAAAATCAAGATCCAGATCATACAAACAATTTCCATCCTCATTCAGAACATCAAAAACCGAACCTCTTTATGTAAACTTCGTAGTCCTACGATATTGTCTAGTTTTCATCTTGTCAAACAACCACATCAACGATTTGATCACTACACCCTTGGATTTCTTGGATGAAGATGTCGTGTCTCAGTATATTTCGTTTTTGAAACTTCTCTCCATGAATCTCACTCCAGATACTGTACAATTCTTCTATAATTATGTTTGTTCTTTGTGTATTTGTCTCTCCATTTAGACAAAATCGGCTGATTCTTTCCCCCTATTCTCTATCTGTAGCAAGTTCTATGACCATCCCGAGCCCATGGTTCGAATTGCTGTTCGAACCATCACATTGAATTGTTTGAAAGGTAAAAAAAAACAACGTGATGTTCACTGTAGTGAACGACAAGAACATCGTGAAGTACATGAGCCAGCCCAGCACATTGAAGTACTTCAAGAAGCTGGTCTACTACGTGATTTCGTTAGTGGTAACCATGAACAGCATGGTGGAATCGAAGTAACTCATTGGCAATGGGGTTGATTTGTAGCAGCTTTGCTCGTGTTGGAGAAATTAGCAACAACATCATCGACCAACTCTTATTCCTGCAGGATGTGCTCAATATTCAGGTGCCTTGCGTGAACGACTATTTGAAGGACGTTCTAGTGAAGGAGTTTTTCACTCGCTACTGCTACGAAGTGATTCAGCCTGACTGCAATATGGTAAAAATGAAAAAGAGAAAACTGAGCCGTAGCCGTTGATTCAGCTCCGAACGTCGTTGTTTCTGCTCAGCAGCGTGTTGAACGCCATGAAAGAAATATCCTTTGCATTGGAGTGGAGTCAACACATATTCGTTCCTTCACTTCACCCTGATCTCCAGAAAGATCTTCTCTCCATGCTCTTCCCTGAAACGGACCATGAGAATGAGATTTATCATCCTGGAAGGCAGGATAGTACCCATACAATCTCCCGTCGCATGTCAATGTAGTTTTTTACTTGGTTCGTGTAATCAATCGTAGAATCAATCTTTCTCCCGCTCCACGTGGTGTGCATTCGGAAAGCATTGCGTTGATTACCGTTATTGTAAGGTTATCAGAGACGAATCAGTGGTAGTCAACTCCCTCGCCCAGTCCTTCAACTTCCCCAAGATCACCCCAAGAAGAGAATGAAAAGATTGCAGGTGAGGACTTCAAAGCGTCGGAGGAGACAAAAGAAGAAGCTGAAAAAGAATCGAAACCAGAAGAAGCTGAAAAAGAATCGAAACCAGAAGAAGCTGAAAAAGAATCGAAACCAGAAGAAGCTGAAAAAGAATCGAAACCAGAAGAAGCTGAAAAAGAATCGAAACCAGAAGAAGCTGAAAAAGAATCGAAACCAGAAGCAGTTCGGATAGAAGGGCAATCAAAATCCATACAAGGTGAAGCCCAAAGAATTGTAGCCGAGAGAAAATCGGACACTGCAATTTCCCCTATAATGAATGAAATTGTTTGGGTATCTTCCGAATCAGAGGATGAAGACCATGTTTTGGTGGTGGAATCCGACAAGGATGACAAGGATTCCGCTTCTCATCTTGTCCACCATAAGCACAATCTTAGTTACGATGTTTCTTCAGCTACGCCTACTATCCACCATCAATCCTCTCTCTCTGAAGACCTTTCATCTCATACTCTTGTAGAGCCTTCAAGGTCTTCTGAACCTTCCAATACCGCCACTTTTTCATTCAGTTGTCAGCTCCTTCATTGTCTCGATGTACCCGATGTATCGATGATTCTCATCTCTCCTATTGTAGGACGTGCAGCGTCTTCAAGTGGTGCTTGCTCTCATGTCGGCCTTCCATCAGAGCGTTTATAACGGACTCACCGCTTTAGCTCAGCGCGAAGTACTGCAAGTCCAAGCTGCACACAACCCAGATGACGAACTACACGAGATCGATTCGCCCTCTGTGAGCGGTTATTTCCTTTGTAACGAGTCTTACGCTCCACTTGTGTACTCGGCACTCTGCAAAGTGCTTCAAGGAGAACAGCTGCGAGTTGTCACAGCTCAAACCTGCGTCTATGTGCTTCGCTACATTCTTACGAACCGAATCTACGGCGAAACGCTTCCTTACTCCTTCATTGAAGAGTTCGCTGTGATGTTTCGCTTCATTCTATCTTCCATCTAGTCTGAAAGAACGCGCAGCTCGTTCCCTCGAATGCCTCCGATCGATCAAAGCGTATCTCGCCAACACAGAAGACCTGGTGTATTCCTTCCTGATCGCCTGCTCTCAGACCGATCAAACGACTGGAACCGGCGCAGCTTTCATGGCCAACTTCGATTTCCGCGGCATTCTAGAAAACGTATCAAACACAAGCCACGGTTATTGCTAGACTGTGGGGCTTCTACCGATGGAGAGCGTTACAAACACCAAGTCCGTGTCGGTTCCTCCCATTTATCGTTACGAAGAGCCAAAGAACTCGGATATTTCGCAGTTCTTTGCCACTTTCTCGCTTCAACTTCGCATCTATCTGCTTCTCCGTGCGTTTTTCTTCTATGTAATTCGCAAACAACTCGTGGTTCTCCCTCCATCGGCGTTCCATCCGGTCGTATTCTCTCCAGCCGATGAGAATACGCTCTCTCCCGTTCCGATCGGCGAGACGGCCGAAGTGAGCTCGGTGATTCCTGCACAATACGCAGCAGCGGCATCTGCCGTTTCTGGCATCGCGGTTGACGAATCGGGAATCGATCTGGAACTGCAGAAAGCAGTGAACGCACCGTCGATTCACGTCTCACAGCAAGTAGAGATCACGCGAGTGAATCGGTACCATTTCCAGAAATCGCTTCATTCATTTTTAGGTATTTGTCCTGCAACATCCTCGGATTGGATGGATCACAGCCCAAAAACAATGGAACCATGTATCTGGCGATCGGTCGTTCACACTTTTCGTTGCTAGAAATGGTGCGAGGGAGCATGAAGGACGCCGTGGTTCGTTTGGTGTTCAGTTTGCACGAATTGGTGGACATCTGCATCGAGAACAACACGCGGAAAGTGCTCAGTGTGATCGTGCAAACCGATAAAAAGCTGGAGAACTGCGAAGTCATGGTGGGCTATTTACTGCAAAACCGTCCTGGAAGAACTGTCTATAAGCTTTTGTTGCAGTTTACGACGGCGCAGACGTGTCTCGAGGCCGAAAGATGCATTATGGTGGCACGGAGTAAAGATTTGGAGAAGCGAGATCGCGATGTAAACAAAGCGGAATCGATTGATTGATTGTAGATCGAAGCCCTACTCACACATAACGCGAATCTCCAGGTTGCTCAGTCCAATACTACGAAACCTTCAGCCAACGAGTAGCCTGTGTCTTCCCCTCGTTTTTTCTCTGAGCCATCATCACTCGAAGATGTCTTTGTCGCTGTGTGAAGCTGTTTGTTTTCAAGGAAACAATCGAATGAAAAAGGAAAATGACTAATCTCTCTTCAAATGCTGCATCTTCGCTCTGATTTGCCTCATTCGCTCATCCAGATCTCGTTGCTCGATTCCCTCCGTCTTTCGCTCCTTGATTCGATTGTCGAGAATCTCACGAATCGATTCAGGAATCACGATCGACGGGCTTCTCTCCTCGCTACGTATTGAAACAGATCGCTGCGTGTTCAGCATCACTCTGGGCGAAACAAGGCATAAGCACAGAGTGATTTGCGACTGTAATGAGCTTGGGAACTTGGTCTGCAACTCTTTCATTTCATTGTACACTTTTTCGGATAAACGGGGAGTTCGGGACTGTTCGCCTATTCGGGATTTGATCCGTTTAATCATATTTTCGAGAAGCAGCGTAAATTGCGGGACCCGAAAGTTCTCTCGCATGGAGTACGAGTAGAGAATCAGGGCATACAACACAAAGAGCGGATTGCAATTCTTCACGATCCTACTCATCAAAAGAAACCAAAACAACCACAGAACCAAGATTCGCTGATAGCTCAGCACTCGGTTTTTCGATACTTCGTCCATCTTTGACCCGTCGCTAAAAATCCCTTCGCAGCACATCGATAGCACACACACAATACAATCCACACTCATTCCTGCTGGAATCTATCCTCAACAAGCCGTATAAGAGCATTACTTCCTGAATCACACAGTTCGGGGAAAAAATCGCCAGCATTAAATTGCAACACGACTGCAGAAAATCGCTGTAATACTCGCTAATGTCCAGCTTTGCTATACCTCGCACGATCTTTGTTATCAGAACAACCCAGAAATTCGTTTTCCCCGCAACAGCGTTCAGATCTTCCTTCGATATTTCGATTTTGGAAGGACTTCGAAATCCGGAATCCTACATCACATCAAATAGCAAAGAGAAACGGGGCAAAACAGCTCTGTTAACGCATCAATCATTCCATGCAAATCGCTAATTTGCTCTCGATACGTAACTGCAAGTTCTGTCGTTCCATTATGGAAAAACAAAGACGAATGACGCAATGAAGAAATGAATTCGTTGGTGAACTGCGACGATTTGAGGGAAAACGAGGACAGCACACGCGATTGCATGTTCAGCGGTTCTTCATTTTCATGAAGCAATAAATCGTCGCTTTTTATCGGGATGGAGAACGACAATCGCAAATCATTCACGTTCTCCATGGCAGGAAGCGGCTGCCGCTTTGGAGATTCAAACGCACCCTCGGAAGAATTGAGGGACACTCCGCTGTCATCGGGCACCACGTTTTCTGTAGGAAATTGATCAACTTCGGTCATCGTGTCGATGTCCATAGGGGCTTCGTCGTGCATTTCACCCAGATAATCGTCGTTCATTCCTTCTGGGACATCGTTCGCTCTGCGGAAGACCACTTGAGAGTTTCGGCTCTTCATGTTATCGAGTGTCCTCCGCGGAATGGGCTTCGGAATGGACGAAACCACATTGAATTTGGGCAGTGGCTTCCCATCCGGTCCAAGTTTTGGTTTGGTTAACAAGCGAACTCCCGGTCTGCGGGCCATCGATTCGATTCGAGCGGCTCGCTCGTCGCTTTTCTCGACCAAGGAGTTGTTCTCTGCGTTTCCGAACGAACTCTCGGTCATCCTCGCGTCGATCGGAGGCTCGTCTTGTATTGGATGCAGATCGAACGTGTCAATGAACGATCGCAGTTGCGCCTCGTCTGTGGGCTTTCGGCTTCCGATATGAGCGCGAACAACATCCGCGCCACAGCGATGAATTAATGTCTCCAGCACGGCGGACGCGTTCGATCGGGTTTCTTTGGATTTGTCGAGAAGCGCGTCGAGCACCGAGGAAAGAATCGGCTGGAACTGCCGAGGCTCGCCGAGAGAGAGATACGGACGGATCCACGCGAGGATTTCTTGCCGACCTCGTGGTGATTTAAACGCGATGGGGAGGTGAGGAAGCAGGGCGTTGAAGATGGCGGGCTGCGGAACGGCGTCGTGGACGAGCCAGGCAGTTAGCGTGGCGAATCTACTCGAAACAAGGCGAAGGAAGGTACACTGCATCGACCACGCTGCTCTTCGAATCGCCCGATAAACGCAGCAAATCAGGAATCAGCACAGCGGTATATCGCTGCACTTCTGTGCCCAGACACTTCGCCAATTGCCCAATGCATTGGACCACTTTGGTGCGCAGATTCAGATTCGATTCGCCCAGTCGGACTTTCAACACGCCCGACAGTTCTGCGATCACAGGAGTGTTCAGAATGCGCTCCTTCTGTGTCAGCAGAGCAGTTAGCGACAGCACAGCGGCCTGTCGGACCTTCCAGCTGTCCTTCTCTTTGGTGTTGCGAAGATCGCGGAGAATGGAAGTCAGCTAGCTTCAACGAAAGGCAGAAATCCAAACCTCGTTGGTGATGTCCGCTGGCTCCAGCAAATCGGATAAAGTCACGGGAGTGGCGGGAGTAGCGGGGGGCTCCGCAGGGGTTTCACCGGGGGTTTCCAGCGGAAGGTTGCGAGACATGACAGAAGGCGCGGCTTTGTAGCGACTAGCGAGCGTGGGATCGAATCTGCGTGGAAAAGAGCTTCGAAAGGCTACACGACCTCCTGTAGATCTTCTCGAATTTTCTTCAGCTGAATGCTCGGAAGGTCGAAATGATCCACCAAAGAGAGAATCGGGTTCCCGAGCTACGATGCAGACTCGAATCGTCGACTACCTGATGGAACATCTCGCTTAACACAGCGATGGAGGCCTTCTTTACGTCCGGAGATGAACTTTGAAGCGCAGTCGGCTTCTGCAAGTAGGAAACGATCGCCTTCATGTTGAGATTGGGAACTCCGAAATCCTCCACCACCGACAAAATCCACTGGAGAACAGCCTTCTGCTGCATGGGTTTCTTATTGCCCTCCATTCCAGACATGACCTTGTCCAGAATCACATCGGGTCCTATTTTCTCGCAAAGAAGGGAAAGGATTTCAAATACATCCTTGCTCACAGCCTTTTCTTGGATCTATGCGTCATTCCTTCGCAATGCAACGACTTTGTTCATTAGACAGGGAATTAAGGAGCTCCCACAACGTGGACCGACTCCAATATTCGATATTACCCAGATGAGACACTCCAATCCAGCGCGAAGAATGTTTACATTGGAGGCAGAGCAATTATTCGTAAAGATAAGAGCGTAGCATACAACAGCTTCAGAGTAATTTGATGCGATGGAATGGTCTCTTTTAACAACATCGAGAAACGACTGAAACGCAGAGACCTTATCCTGCCACTTGGTCGCTGAGTTGATCGTGTCGAGTGTAGTGTCAAATCCGGAAATCGCATTTGTCAACTATTACTGACAACCATCACAGATTCTTACAGCATCTATCGTATTTTCTTTTGTATAAGATATAGCTCCATCTCTACACGGAATTCTCGGGATCCTCCTCTTTGGTATCGAACTCACTAGTTGTAATGAATAGACGCGTATCAAATTACCATCTGAATTTGGCTGCGTAGGAGTCGCGTTTTCACTTGGTTTTGGTGTTGAACTACGAGATTCTTGTGCTCCTGATAGTTTAGACATTCGCTCAGCAAATCGAGCAGGAGGTCCTCGTCTTGGACGATTTGGGGTATCTGATGAAAAATCAAACTCCATCCAGATTTGAAAGTGACAAAAGGAGGGGATTCAACATCTCAAATTCAGCAAAGCAGGAGAGTATCTCTCTGTCAACGGTTGACTACATCAACAAACACAACTATTGAAAGCACCTCTTAGAATACTTAACAAGGTTTTTGAAGTATCCCCTCCACTCTGCTCTTTTATAGAACGATTTATTTGACAAAGACTTCCAGTAGGGCTTGCAGAATACGCACGAATCCGTTCCAAACACCATCCTCTTGGTATACGGAATTAACCCACCCACAAAAGGCATCGAGAAATTCAAATCCTCCAATATCTCCTTGAATCTACGCTCATCACGTCCGCTTAGCCCTACGCTAATGCTACTCCCGCCGTACACATCGCGAAGATGAACGCGGTGACGACAGACGATTTGTTCGACGTCCAGAAAATCAACCCATAAACCGAGAAAAAGAAGAGGAAGATCGAAAGCGTGACAGACAGTCCCTCCAACATGTACATGTCCATGTTTCTAGAAGAGAAAAAGCGGTAGATCACTCTGCCTCCCCTGCTCGCTCCCTAGAGAATCAACGGGCAACAAGATAAAAAAAACTTCCTCGTAGATCCGGGGCTTCGTGATGATGATGTAGGGAATGCAGGACAGACATAAAAAGACGATGATCTGCAGTGGAAACGGGGAAAAAGGAGTACCATGCAGATGCGAAGGTAGCTGCCCTTCCAATTGAGAAAGTGGAAAAAGCCATGGCCGGGAAGAAAGAGCAGAGAAAAGAGGAAAATACAGATCGAGATGACGATCAGGGTACTGTTGATATAGGAAGATGGAATTGGAACTGGAATCTAGCTGGTAATCATCACTCTCTTCAAGGTTACTTCCACAGGGAATTTGTCTGTCAGCCAGTACGCCAAATCCCCAGCAGTAATCTCAGAAGTATGAGGAGTTCCAATTATCGTGCTCTGTTTATTTTCTGAAGTAGGTAACAGCACGGCTCTGACGTGAGGAATATAGTTAATATTGTTCTGTACATTAGATGAACACAAAAAAGCAACTGTAACGAAAACGTCGCGTGCGTCCTCAATTCGTGCTATTGCAAACAAGATTTTTGTGTTATTTGATAATGGAGAGGAATAGTATGCCTTATGCACTTCCGCAAAGTATTCTTCTACTGATTCACAAGCCTGGCAACTGTATCTACGAATAACCTAGAGCAAACAATAATACCGTTTTAATGCCGTTGAGAAAAGGGTCAGAACCACATAATCCTTGCTTTTGGCAAATAGAAGACCGTCATTCGATTCTGATACCATCAAAACATTCTTTCGCATATCAAATTCATTGTTCTAGTACTTTTACTACACTCAAATAACACAACTACCTTCCGTGATACAATCCTCTTTCCATACACATTGCTTATTAACAAAATTAATACGATTACCTTTAGAAATCTCATTTTGATCGATTTCAATTCATTTCATACATTTTCGGAATTCCAATTTTACTTCACATTTCAAAATATGATCAACTTAACACTCATTCGAAATATCATATCGAGTTTATTTACATTAATCTATATAAACACATATTGTTTTTTGTAAGTATGAGTTTGAAGTATAACAAATAGATATGGTTTGTTTTGTATGTTACGTGGAGAAGGGAGTCCATTTCGCATATCCAAAGAGGTAAATCGTAAAACTGGAGTGTGAACTAGGTAACTCACATATTTCATCCCCGTTTCTATGTAACAGAAGACTCAAAACCTGTACGAACTGGTCATACAATGTATTTTGTAAATCATCGTTCGTTTGCTGACTACTTTGTTGATTGTTTCTTAACCGGCGGTTCGAGCTATTTATCGCGATTGGCAATAATATTATTTGCTCCTGGTCCTAGTTATTGTGGATATCTATTGAATTTCGTATGGTTTTTCTTTAAACGTCGTGGAATGGATCGTAAATGGTTCACTCGCTTTACAGCTTCGAAATGGCATGTTCGGTAACTGATTTTGAACGTTTCTTTAACTTTAGATACAACAACGGATGTATTGCTTATCCTGAAGGTCGAATATTGAAAGAAAGTAGAAAGTCCCAACTTCGTACAGGAGTGATGGAAGTTGCATACAATTTGAACTGTCCTTGTCAGATAATAATAAAACGTGGAACAGAAAACATAATAAATCAAGACAACTTCGAATTACTGGAAAATGTGCCTGTAACGGTGTGTGTATCGGAGGTTTTGATTCCTCACGACTATAAATCGAAAGAAGAATGGTTTAATAAAGTAGGTGATGTATGGGATAAAACGAATGAAAGTTTGGAGAGGTGTAAAATTGGTAAAGAGATAATCGCTCCACTTCCTGGAGTGAATACTGATTTATGTATTGATGAGAAGATATCTGAGAATGCAATCGTGTATTCTGTTTCGGTGATAATTGGTTTAGTTGCTTTATGTTATGCATTGTATCATATGTAAACATATATGTTTGTTGATATGTTTGTTATAGATATATGAATGTTATATGTAATAATGTGAATATCGTTTATAAAGGTATATTTGATTCCTGTTAACAATAACAATCGAAATGAAATTGAAATTGAAATTGAAAATGATTCGATTGTATACAGACTTTGAATTGGAATGAGTGAAAATAAACAATGATGGAGTTAAACGATGTTAACTTATTCTTTGTTGGGTGTTTGATCGTTCTCGGAAGGTTTGGTTTCAGCAGGAACAGAACTTGCAGCTCCACTTTGTTCTTCTGATGAAGCAACAACTTTCGGCGCTTCTTCCGTTGTTTGAGGAGCAACAACTCCTTCCTCAACCGACTTTTCGACCTTCATTTCAGGCAGCTCAATCGACTTCGATTCGTCTTTATAAATTGACTTTTTACCAATGATTTTAGCATTTGGCCAAGTACTCACATATCCCATGATGCACAGACCAATGAACGCAAAAATAGACGAGAAATAATAGATAGCTTCTTTGTTGTATGGATAGATCGCAGATAGCACTAAAGGAGAAATGATGAGGGAAGACGAATAACACAGGTTATTCCAAGAAAGAACGGTTCCTTGATACTCTGGATTAACGGTGGTCTATATGTTATACCTACCTCTATAATATCTATTTACTGTGAGAATTGACGCAGAAGTAGGACTAGCAAAGCAGAAACCAAGCCATAAAATAAAAGAGGCTGTGATATTTCCATACACATTGTTGATTGCTCCCATTAAAATATACGATACAAACTGGATCGTCATTCCGATAGATGCCATGTTTGGAATACTCAAGCGCTTTGCAATCGAAGGATACGCAAAGGCCTGAAGCATGAACGTAAATACACTCTGAAGAACGACGATGGTACTATATTTCACTCATCGAAAGCACAATTTACGAATAAGCAATCGAGCTCACACCCCACTTATCGGTAACATAAATTCCGTATCGAGAATCAAAAGCATTAAGTGTCCACCTAATGCAAAATTCGAAAGTGAAGCACAGAGCCATCGTGGAAGTGAATTTCACTCTAGATTTTGGTCTCGGTTGCTCTTCCTTTCTCTCCTGCTCTTGCTGTTCATCGGCTTTGACTTCAACTACGGCTGCAGTTTCTGCGTCTCCTTTATTTACTTTACTACCTTCCATCTCATTCTGCTTTGCTTTCTTTGCCTTCAGTTCTTTCTCTTTCAGAATTTTAGGATTTGACTCTTTCAAAAAGATCAGCGCTACGATCATAGCAATTCCCGATACAACTCCAGCAACATACATCGGGAAGTGGTTGTTTATTTGAGCCAATATACCACCAATTGCAGGTCCGATAATAAAAGCGAAGGAAATACAAGCATCTAAACGAGATAAATATTTGTTTCGGTCTTCTGCTACTGTTACATCAGCAACAACTCTAAATTTCATAATATTGTCATTCGTTTACGCTTGAACCAAAATTTGAGATCCTGCAAATAATCCGGTGAATGCTCGCCAGAATATGAGAGGCCACATTGTATTCGACATTCCTTGAAACAGAGAACCTATATCCTTATATTGTCCTACTATTTCTACCAAAGCACGACCCAAACAATGACAACAACAAAAATGGTCTTCTTCCAAAAGAATCGCTACCAGGACCCATGATCAATAAACCTAAACTATATATATCTATGATTGTAATATACTAATGAGTTGCATGACAGAATACGCACTAAATAGCAAACCTTCTTGCATTGAAGTGGAATTGAGCTCCTTGACAAGATAAGGAAGAATAGGCACGATGATTGCATAGTTCATCATATCAAGAAAGACGGTGATGAATGCTAATACTAAAATAGTCTTTTCTCTATTGGTAATTGCCATAGTATTGATTCAATTCTAATAGTAGACTCCTAATATTAGGTATATGAAATCAAATTTCGTAGAATTAGAAGAAATCGTCTTTCTATAAAAACAATTATGTATATGACAATAATGGGTGACCATAATTTTTATATCCCCTATTTATAATATCATAGACCCTTATCTGTTTAGTGGTTTACTTTAAGGTAAACGTACAACACAAGATGTCTGCAAACGTTTCTGCCATTTGTTTTGTTTTTAGACATTTCGACAATATTGAACAGGAGATTTGGATATCTTTTGTCTTTACCAAAACAACGAGCCCTAAGGAATATATTTCCAACAAATTCAATTCTTCTTAATATTGGTATTCCACTTATTTCAAACCGTTTATGAATGTATATATGAATTAGATAAGTGATATCTTTGATAAGTGTATTTTTGATTGTTTACTGTACGCAGACCACCTATATGTTTCAATTATTAGTTAAATTCTAATGTTTGCGATGAGTGATTATCTCACTAGTGTCAGAATTGGAAGGAAGTATTCATATTCATTTCTATGTCACGTCATAAATACAGTATTATACATGAGATATGAAATTTCATTTGCGTGGTTAATTGTGTTTCTTTGAGTGCATATATTGTGTATTTATATGAAATTATATTAATCAAACGGTAGTTAAGGAACTTGCTTATAACTTGTGCTAGTTTGACGGAGAATACAAACCAACTTCAGAAAATACAAGAATATGTATAATAATGTTGATTACTACTACTAATAAGCATATATTACCACAACGTTCGTGTCTTTTTACTAGGACTCAGGCCATGTCACATTTTTAATGTCATATTTTCTATTTCGACGGCATATACTTATAGTTGATTCTGTTTCTAATTGTTTTGGTGAATTGTATAGCGGTTTTTGGAACTTTTGCCAAATAGAAATAGGATAATAATATTAATATAGTAGTGTTTGATATGATTACAATTATATGTAGTTAGTTTATGGATACGTATCTTGACAGTTAAAGATAGTTCCTTTCTCTCTGAAAATGGAGCATTTATTATTCAGTTGGACTGATAATAATAATAATAGAGCAAATCTCGTGGAAAGACTCTATAGAGGCGAAAGTTACGAAGAGTTCCTTGAAGCGAATATCAATATCATCTATTCTTATACAGACGAATATGGACCTTATGGAAACTGTGTAATGATTGATAAGAATGAAAATGTGTACAATTGTGAGTTTTCCAAAGGAGTTATGAATGGATGCATGATTATTACTAAATATGATGAACTGATTGGAGTTTATTATATGGAGAATGGTAGAATCATAAGTGAAACCGATGTTTCTCTTTTGAAGCATAATCAACTAATTGATCTAACAAACGAAGAAGAGTATTGTTGGGAAGGTGATATTTTGAATGATATTCCATATGGTTGGGGAGAAGTGTTTGATATTTCGAATCGTTTGGTTTATGTAGGATTTAGAATATACAATGAAAAGGTATGCTTTGGCAGATCTTATTATCCATTAACTGGAATACTGGAGTATGAAGGAAACTATTGTAAGGGGAAAAGATGGGGATTTGGGCGCTTATATGATGAGAGTGGGATATTGGAATATGAGGGCTTATGGCTAAACAACGAAAAGATGAACCATTATTGCTGTTTGTCCTGTAGAGAATGCGTTCAACTCTCAGGAATTCATTCACTCATTAATGAAATAAAAATTGGTGAAAACTGTTGTAGGACCTCTACAATGTTTTCATTTCATCATTACTGTAACCTACAGAGTTTAGTCATAGGAGATCAGAGTTTTGTTGATGTTCGCCGAGTTCGTATCCAGTCAAATCCCAAGTTAGAGCAGATCTCTCTTGGATCTCATGTTTTTGAACATGCTGAAGATCTCATTATAGATGGTAGGAATCATTTGTACAGTTGAGTCTAGATTTGGCTAGTCTTTTGTCACTGACATTAGGCCAGTGGTGTCTGTACGGTGAATCAAAGCTCTCAACAGCAAATATCGCTACAGAACCATTTGAATACTCAAATCGCCTAATGTTTCGCCGTTTACAAAATCTAGTTCAGATTGAAGCGAAAGGATTTAATTTTCATTTCTTTGGAATAGCCATTATCGATGGTTTGATGATTGCTTGGTTATTCAATAGATTGTCCTTCTCTTAAGGTTTTGCATTTGCCCTCCGATGCATTTCGGTATATCTATTCCTTGGCTGCGCAGGGTAAACTCTATCCCAATCTTATATACTAGGATCTCCTCTATTGGAGGCAATAATCCGTCAGAATGCTTCTTTTTTATATCTTTATCAGCCTCTTAAACAGTTGTTAATGCCAATATCAAATAGCCTGGAATCACTGGAAATTGATGCCTATACTGGAAATAGCAAGACGTTTTCTTCACTTGAAATCCAGAATCTTCCTCATCTTTGTACAATATCGATTTCATCTTGGAGCTTTGTGTATGTTACTGTTGTGATATGTAAAAACAATCCTCATCTGAAACACATATCTATAAGAGACCACTGTTTCTGCCAATTTCACAAGTCGACAGAGAAGACTACTGTTCATATTCATCATTGTACCGAGCTGCAATCGATTCATATTGAGAAAGAGAGTTTTCGATATTTTCGATCAATTCGAATCGAGGGTAGTTTTGAATCATTAAGTTAACCAATAGATTTGGCAAGTCTGCATAACATAGAATTAGGTGATTCTGTGTTTCAGTTTTGCAGTTCTCTCTCTTTGAAGCGACTGCCTTCTTTGGAAGTGCTTTCTTGTGGGATTACCTCTTTTGCTGGAGATGAAAGATGCACAAAACAGAAAAGCAAACTAAGCTGGGTGGATCTTCCCTTGTTTCGAGAAGTTCGCTGTAGTGAAAAAGCAGAATGCTTTTCCTGTGTGGAATCTGCAATCATTCAAAGTCTACTTTCGAGCATTAATTCATGATATAGACGTTCCAAAACTGGCAAATCTTCCTTCGCACCTCGCGTTTTGCAACATTCGATCACTAAAGGTGGCAAATGCTGCAAATCTCACAGCATGGATAAGCGAGCGTACTAATCTCGATTGGTTATAAACAAACAAACAAGTACCACCTGCTATTTCGTAAATTGCATTAATCTACAAGGAATACTTGGAATTGTTTCTACTTTCTATATATGCGTATCTTGGTTTTCATAATCGGATCATTTGTCATTCCTTCCATCACTTCAAACAAGGGTGCTTTCATCAGTCGTTTGTATATCTGCTGAAATTCTTCTATGCATCAAGAAGCACACATAATATTACCATTTTCTGGATGGCAATCTGTACTGAGCACAAAAAGAATAAGTGAATCGAGAATATTCATTCCCAATTCTCTGAGAGTGAAATGAAATGAACATTCTTACTCATATTGATTTGGTTCGTGTGTGAGATATGAATAGCAAATCTCTAATAACAACTGAATGGTGTTTGTTTCAAATTGAGAAAGCATTTGAGGAGTGATTTCGTTCAAAATCGACTGAAAGTCTTTTGAAAATATGTCAACATCGTTTTCTCTAAAAGATTAAAAAACATAAACTCATTATCATTACTTACATTGCATTCCATAACTTGTTTTTCACCTTCATTGTATCTTCATCGATGATTAATTCTTCTTCAGAAGCAGAAGCAGAAGCAGAAGCAGAAGCAGAAGCAGAGATAGACGGAGAATCCTCATAGGTTGGCTTTTCAGGAAGGGGTGGAAGATGGACTTCTAATCCATATTGGCGATAGACTTCCTCCGTTTTATCAACCCCATCATGAATGAATCTTACTACATAAAACACATTATGACATCTTTACTTATATGATTTACTTCGGTTTTCGGAACTTGTTTCTCTGCTGGAGAGTGAGGGGGTGTAATATGGATCGAAAATGAAGGAGAGGCTGGATGTGGATCTTGTTTTGGTTCAATACTCTTTTTATCTTCTTGGAAAGACAAGCTCACCAAATCCTAAATATCACGGATCATCCATTTATCAACAAATGAAGTATCTGCCACTTTTCTTTTCTTCGCTATGGGAAATGACTTGGTAGAAACTATTTCCGAATCGTTAACCGTGGTAGAACGTTTCGTTATTGAACCAGTAACGTTCAGATGTTGGTTTTTCTTCCTGTCTTGTAGATACTTTTTCATGCGAGCTCTACGAAATATTCTTTTTCCATACCATACTTCGCTCCTCCCATCCAATTCATTGCAGTATTTGAACGTTTTTCATTTGGAGGGAATTCAACAAACAAAATAATTCATATTTTTGGAATTGCAGTTATTTCAATTGGCTATGCCTTACTTTAATTGGAGAATAAATCTCCATCAGACACAGAATTTTACACTTGTGGATTGTCCTTCTCCTGGGATTGAACTTGAGTTATTTTTTCTTCTGTTTGAGGAGCGTTAACACTGTTTCCCTCGGTTTGAGGAACACTAACGGTACTTTCCTCTGTTTGGGGAACATGAACACTGTTTTCCTTCGTTTGGGGAACATCTACGGTGTTTCCCACTGTTTGAGGCGCATTGACGCTGTTTCTTTCTGTTTCGGGAATAGTAAGTGTTATTTCAGCTATTTGAGGAATAACAACGGTTTCTTCCGATGTTTTCTCTCCATTCAACTCACTTAGCTCAATTGACTTCGAATCGCCGTTATACAGAGATTTCTTGCCAATTATCTTAGCATTCGTCCAAGTACTCACATAGAGCATAATGCAAAAACCAATGAACCCAAAGACAGATGAGAAATAGTAGATAGATTCACTATCACGCGTATATATGGCAGATAATACCAATGGACCGACAATTAAGGAAAAAGAGCAAAACAAGTTATTCCAAGAAAGAACAGTTCCCTGATAATCAGGATTGGTTGTGGTCTATTCGTTATATTCATATCCACCATATTGTACAGAAATAATCGATGCGGAAGTGGGGCTACTACAACAGTAGCCAATCCAAAGCAAATAGCTTGCCATGATATTTCCATAAACATTGCTGATTGCTCCCATTAAAATGTAGGATATGAGTTGCGTAAATAGACCGATAGCGGCCAAGTTTGGAATGCAAATGTACTTCGTTACCCAAGGATACGCAAATGCCTGAAGCACAAAACATAAAAAGCTTTGTATTATTACAATAATACTATGAATGACAAGCAGTATAAATGATTACGAATAAGTAAGAGAATTAATTTGCCATTTATCTTTCACATAGATTCCATAGCGAGAGTCAAAAGCGCTAATTACCCATTTATTGCAGAACTCGACGATAAAGCAAAGAACCATCGTTGAGGTCACTTTCACTTTCACTTTTAATTCTGATTTTGATTTTGATTTTGATTTTGATTTTAATTTTATTTCTAATTTTAGTTTTTTATGTTTTTCTTTTGCTTCCGCATGTATGTCACATTTATTCACTTCACTCTGCTTTGCTTTCTTTGCCTTCAGTTCTTTCTCTTTCAGAATTTTAGGATTTGACTCTTTCAAAAAGATCAGTGCTACGATCATAGCAATTCCCGATACAACTCCAGCAACATACATCGGGAAGTGGTTGCTTATTTGAGCCAATATACCACCAATTGCAGGTCCGACAATATAGGCAAAGGAAATACAAGCATCTAAACGAGATAAATATTTGTTTCGGTCTTCTGCTACTGTTACATCAGCAACAACTCTAAATTTCATAATATTGTCATTCGTTTACGCTTGAACCAAAATTTGAGATCCTGCAAATAATCCGGTGAATGCTCGCCAGAATATGAGAGGCCACATTGTATTCGACATTCCTTGAAACAGAGAACCTATATCCTTATATTGTCCTACTATTTCTACCAAAGCACGACCCAAACAATGACAACAACAAAAATGGTCTTCTTCCAAAAGAATCGCTACCAGGACCCATGATCAATAAACCTAAACTATATATATCTATGATTGTAATATACTAATGAGTTGCATGACAGAATACGCACTAAATAGCAAACCTTCTTGCATTGAAGTGGAATCAAGCTCGTCAGCCAGATAAGGAAGAATAGGCACAATAAGCGCATGGTTTAAGGTATCAAGAAAAACTGTGATGAATGCTAATACTAAAATAGTCCTTTCTCTCTTGTTAATTGCCATAGTATTGATATGTGGATTGCTACCGTGTGTGTACTATACATAATAAGTCTGTTTTAAAAATACCTCCACTTAACAAATGTTAAATAGAATTATTGCAGATAGATAACATAAGATCTTTGTTTTCTATAAACAGAAACACCCTAGATTTCAATAATATGCCATTCGATTCTGATACCATCAAAACATTCTTTCGCATGTCAAATTCATTGTTCTAGTACTTTTACTACACTCAAATAACACAACTACCTTCCGTGATACAATCCTCTTTCCATACACATTGCTTATTAACAAAATTAATACGATTACCTTTAGAAATCTCATTTTGATCGATTTCAATTCATTTCATACATTTTCGGAATTCCAATTTTACTTCACATTTCAAAATATGATCAACTTAACACTCATTCGAAATATCATATCGAGTTTATTTACATTAATCTATATAAACACATATTGTTTTTTGTAAGTATGAGTTTGAAGTATAACAAATAGATATGGTTTGTTTTGTATGTTACGTGGAGAAGGGAGTCCATTTCGCATATCCAAAGAGGTAAATCGTAAAACTGGAGTGTGAACTAGGTAACTCACATATTTCATCCCCGTTTCTATGTAACAGAAGACTCAAAACCTGTACGAACTGGTCATACAATGTATTTTGTAAATCATCGTTCGTTTGCTGACTACTTTGTTGATTGTTTCTTAACCGGCGGTTCGAGCTATTTATCGCGATTGGCAATAATATTATTTGCTCCTGGTCCTAGTTATTGTGGATATCTATTGAATTTCGTATGGTTTTTCTTTAAACGTCGTGGAATGGATCGTAAATGGTTCACTCGCTTTACAGCTTCGAAATGGCATGTTCGGTAACTGATTTTGAACGTTTCTTTAACTTTAGATACAACAACGGATGTATTGCTTATCCTGAAGGTCGAATATTGAAAGAAAGTAGAAAGTCCCAACTTCGTACAGGAGTGATGGAAGTTGCATACAATTTGAACTGTCCTTGTCAGATAATAATAAAACGTGGAACAGAAAACATAATAAATCAAGACAACTTCGAATTACTGGAAAATGTGCCTGTAACGGTGTGTGTATCGGAGGTTTTGATTCCTCACGACTATAAATCGAAAGAAGAATGGTTTAATAAAGTAGGTGATGTATGGGATAAAACGAATGAAAGTTTGGAGAGGTGTAAAATTGGTAAAGAGATAATCGCTCCACTTCCTGGAGTGAATACTGATTTATGTATTGATGAGAAGATATCTGAGAATGCAATCGTGTATTCTGTTTCGGTGATAATTGGTTTAGTTGCTTTATGTTATGCATTGTATCATATGTAAACATATATGTTTGTTGATATGTTTGTTATAGATATATGAATGTTATATGTAATAATGTGAATATCGTTTATAAAGGTATATTTGATTCCTGTTAACAATAACAATCGAAATGAAATTGAAATTGAAATTGAAATTGAAATTGAAATTGAAAATGATTCGATTGTATACAGACTTTGAATTGGAATGAGTGAAAATAAACAATGATGGAGTTAAACGATGTTAACTTATTCTTTGTTGGGTGTTTGATCATTCTCGGAAGGTTTTTGTTTCAGATTTCAATCAATAGACACATCTTTTGTCTACAAACAAACAGAGATTTGCGAAAACCTTCTCTATCAATTTCAAACACTTCAGGCTTCTAGTCTTATATCAGGTTGATGTGCTTGTCGGAGCAGCGTTCTATACTCCTGAATCAATGCCCATCCATTTGTAATGAACGCCGTTACCGTCCCCTTTCTATCTGCCCTTCCCGTTCTTCCGGCTCGATGCAAAAACTTCTCGATCGTGTCGGGCATCTCATAGATAATCACATTATCGACACAAAGATCGATTCCTCGCTCCAAAAGCGACGAAGTAACGAGAATATCGAGTCCTCCTATTCTCTTCATTTCTCTCCAATCCTCACCTTCTGTAAACGCACGCATAATCGCGTCTCGAATCCTCTGCGGGTACTGACTGTGGATTCCACAGCAATGAAACTGTTCTTGGCGGAGTTTCGCCACCAGATCTTCAATCGCTCCGATGCTATTCACGAAAATCAGGACAGGAGGCTGTTGAATCATCCGCAGCACATCCAGCAGCTTGCTCTAGCAATAACCATGCTATTCAAAGCGAACGAATCGATTCTGGAAGGAGATGAGGAAGCTGTTGACTTGGATATTCGGGCTGAGTTGTCCCTGCAGACTGCGCAGCCCATTCGTGCTGACAGTGATTGCGTCGATCACGCAGCTGTTGATTAGACGCTGCACGGAGATCGGGAACGTGGCCGAGCACAGCTAGACTATGAAAGCAAAGCAAAAAAGCAAACAATCGTCTGTACGGTTTCATCAGGAAGCATGTTTGCGATCTAAAGGAGAGCTGAATACAGATGATGATGCTACGTATCGGATTTGGTTCTCCATTTCCACATCGACGGCTTTGTCCGCCTCGTCAAGTACAAACACTTTCACTTCGTTTAATGAGACCAGCTTTTTGTGAAGCAGATCGATTAATCGTCCTGGAGTGCAAACGATCACATCAATTCCGCCTTGAAGGGCTGATTGCTGATCTTCGATCGATTCGCCACCCCACGCCCCCAGAACGCGGTGTTGGTATTTTCCATCAGGGGTATAACGACGCTGAACGTAACGGAAAGAATTGAGACATTACTGAATCCAAATTGGTATCGTAAAAGAGATGAGGAGATCTTTCTTTTACGAGAGGAGCGCAAATAAAATAGGAGAATTCTCGCATTACTTGGGCTGCTAGTTCACGGGTTGGCTCAATGACGACCACGGAAGGATTAGCAGAGGGCGGATTGATCTGGAAAAGCTTTAGAATAGGAAGAATAAACGCAAGAGTCTTGCCTGATCCCGTTCCAGAGTGGATGATTACATCACGTCCAGTCAGAACCATGGGAATGGCCTGCATCTGAATGGGAGTCGGAACCTAAAGCTAAAGTAGAGTTTGATACACATACACTGATTTCGCGAAAAAAGAGACGTTTTGCAACAGGATCCTCTAGCTTCAGGTCTTGAAAGTGCATAATGGGCCCGCTCAGATCATCTCCAGTTACCTGAATATGGTTTTGCATTCTAACGAGCACAGATTCGTCGTGTGTTAACCTTGATTGGAAGCATCCATGATATATATTCTTTCGGGTTTCAGTATAGTCGATTCTTTGTATCTTCCGGATTGGTATGAAAACTCGCTCTCCCGAAGCAGTTATTGATCCCTCATTAAATGCTTCATAAAGATCGTTTGATCCTGAGCGTTTAGATGACCCACTTTTGTCCATTTAATAAATTATAGTTAGTTATATTTTTTGGGAAGAATGCAAGTGAATGGTTTTATATTCTAAACTGATATGTAGACTCCTGAAGAATATATTAAGCAACAGCTGCGTTCAGCTCCCGATGATTTTGGAGCTTTCTATGATCCTTCAAGAAAGACGAAGCAAGTGTGGAAGTGGGAAAAATTCGAAAGGTTGGCGGAAAATCAGAACGGTTCGAACTCTGCCTCTTTTTTCCTTGCACGCAGAGCAAAGTTTTTGGACCACGACAGACTAGACAGACTGAGGAGAGAAGATGAACAAAGAAAATTAGATTTGGAAGCGAAGGAAATCGCTGCTGCAAACAAAGCCGAAGTAGATCGAAAACTAGCAAAGAACCGACTAAAGCGTCAAAAGAAGAAGGAAAGAAAGGAAAAGTATGAGCTTCGTCAAAAGGGCGAATTACCACCCGTAGCTGTAAAGAAGATTGTCCGCGATGAATCCGCTGTAAAATCGGTTGCTGATTCCATCCGAGTTCAAAATGAACAAGAATCTTGATTGAATTGTTAACAAACAGCATTTACGCACTTAATAGCTTAAGCGATCTTCTCATCTGATCTTCATACGCTGTAGGGAGGAGAGGCAGATCCATCTCATCAGATCCATCCTCCCCTACAAAAGGAGCAAATTTCTCAGGAGGCAACATAGCGCAAGTAAAGTGATCCGCATTTCGATCCAGTCCGATATTCCAACAATTCCTTCCCTCCAAGCCTGCCTCTTGGAGTCGTGTAAGCAGTTGGGTTCGCGGAACGTTGTACGGAGCCACCACGCATTCTGCCGAGTCTGTCTGAACGAAGAGAGGGTTTGTAGGAGTGTAGAGGTAGAGCAGGAGGCCGCTGCTCGCTCTAGATGTCAGCGAGGAAGCGAAGCGAGACGAGACGAGAAGGCGGCCGCAGCAGACAGAGAGCGTCACGTTGCTGCAGTTGTGAAGCACAACGATGTGCGAGACCACGGCGAGCTGAACGGTGCAGCCGACGCAGTCCTTCATAACAACGAACGTGAATCAAAGAAACAAAAGAGGAGAGCAAAGCAGAGCAAAGCAGAGCAAAGCAGAGCAAAGCAGAGCAAAGCAGAGCAAAGCAGAGCAAAGCAGAGCAAAGCAGAGCAAAGCAGAGCAAAGCAGATCAAAGCAACACAAAACAACACAACACAAAACAAAACAACACAACACAAAAAGGATATGAATAGCGGTTGCTGTCTTCGATGAGACAGTTTTCACATCGAAGCAGATACAGCGTTTGGCTCGCTGTACTCTCCGATTTCTCAGCCACGCGGTCTTGCAGCATGTGAAACAAAGCGGGCTCGCGTTGGAGCAGTCGGCGATTGAGCCACTCGGGGAAGGGAACCAGCGAAATGTTATTTTCGATCAAAAGAATCAGATCGAAAACGCTGTAAAAACCCGATTCATCCAGCAGAGAGCTCGGAAGCACGCGCTGCAGCGGTTCCGATTCGCTCTCCGTCTCGCCTCCGCGGAGTAAGAGAGAGAGTGAGTCCAGCGTGTCCTTCGTAATACGCAGACAGGGGATAAAAAAGTTGTAATCGCCATCGATCGCAAGCCGAACGATTTCCTCGACATCATCGTCTGGCTGCTGCTCGTAATAGAGGCAGACCAAGAGGATGAGGAGATTGTCGAACACAAATGTCGAGCGTGTGATGAACTCAGCGTTGTAGGCCGTCTCGTATTGCTTTGATTAACAACAGCAGTCAATATTTTACCAATTGGGATGTGTAGACATCGTTTCTCCCGTAGATCTCGTTCGACATGGACAGAAAAGACTGCATGTCGAACGAAGTGTCAACCACATGTTTAGAGTATAGCTGAATAAAGAAAAACAGGATCAATAGGTCACAATTTAAAAATGAAGCTAGGTATAAGTCAAGAAAAAGTCGAATTACAGGTAGATCTGGTAAATGACTGCATCACTTCAAATGATCTAGACAATCACCCCTCTGCTTTTTAATATACAAAATAGCTTCATTTTCACGAACTAGACTGGATTCAGCCGTAAAGGTACGCCAATCACACATACTAAAACGGTATAAAATAGCAACGTTCTGTACTCAATCTGACTTATTCCAAGGCGCTTTAGACCCAGAGAAAGACGAATCAAATCTTCGAGTGTAAACGCCGTATCCTCTTGGCTCCTCCTCAACTCTAGCGACAAAATGTCAAAGGTATGATGGTTTACCGCAAAATAAACCATCTGGTCCAAGTTCTAATCTTCTATGAAACTCCCTGAAGAACCACAAATGTTTTTGTGCTATGGTGTGCCACTATCAGAGTAGACTGAATTGGCCTATAGTTCTTGGTCTATTCGTTGTATTTTTCGCCGTATTGATTTCTGCACTGTTTTTCCGTTAGGTCAGGAATATGATTTGGTATTCTGCTAACTACAGTCTAGAAGTTAGTGATGTAATGTCGTCCTTTAGTAAGGTGATCTTTGCTGTTGTTATCTCAAGACGGTGTTTTTTTCGTTTCCAATAAGGAGTTAAATGATAGAGAATTTTTTTGTTGGAATTCTTCTCTCATCCATTTCCATTCAGACTATAATCGATACCAAAGTTACTTTCTTGTCATGGTCACGACGATTAACAATATCTCTGTACGTTTTTGATGGTTACTCACAACACAGGAAATTAACAAAGATGTTTCTAATACTCTCTACACATTATCTTACTTTCAAAAGCATTATTCATTTAAAGCAGTTATCTTTTCTAAATCGAGAGTCGTGGATGAGTTCTGCAAACATTATGGACTGACAGTAATAACCGAATTCTCGTATTTTCATTATTGCCATCGTTCTGTACTTACGCTTAGCACAAACCCCTATTCTCTCCCATATTTTAACTTCATGCTCAACCAAGCGCGCTTTCTCTTTTCGTCCGCCCACTACGGCTATCTGAATAGCGACATTTTGGTCTCCACCGAACTATTCCGCACTCTCCACGAATGCCAGCATTTAGTGAGTCGAGGTGTCGTGAAGCCAAACGTATTTCCCTTTCTCCCTTTCTCCCTTCTAGTATCTACTAGCCGGCCGTGTTCACGAAATCGACATTTCTCTAATCCCATCGATCCCCACATCCTCAGAGCCCTTCGACTCGATCGTTTTTCGTCTTGCGAACTCTTCGCGTGCCGCGTTGCGACATATCCACAGCGCGGTTGGGATTGTTTCGCCGTAATGATCGTAGGATTACTTCGTGTTTTCGAGCGCGATGGACCTGTCGAAGCTGCACAACGTGGTGGTGGGGCGAAGCCGGATTGACAACTATTTGATGGATGTGCCGCGAAGACAAGGCGGCTCGTTGATTGATGCGACATTGCAGAGTGAGGAAGGAGCGCGGGGTTAAGCGTAGTTCCAGCCGTACATCAAGGGCTTTGCGGGTTTATGTGTCGTGCGAAGCCAATGCGCCTTTCGTTCATGAACCACAATTGGAACCGTTTTTATCTTCTGTCGCCTTGGGTTGGGTTTGGATCGTTAAATAGGGCTGATTACACCTTTCGTTCGTTAGAGGGGGGTTCTTGATTGATAGATGAGGAATTGCGTAAAAAGTATAAGGGTTTGGTAATCCATTTGTGGTAATTTTTTCAATTCTCAGTATTTGTATGTGTTTGTTGGATCTGTTGAACATTTATGAGATGTCCTATTTGCTATGAACGGATTACGTCTACCAATGTAGATTTCAGTGAGTTTGTCTACTGTTAGAGATGCGTCGTTTTACCCTGCTTTCACGAATATTGCTATCACTGCATTGTTCACTGGTTCAAATGCAAGCCTGTTTGTCCTTCCTGCTTTGATAAGTGCGCTTTTCATATTAAATCCATTCTTATTGTTTAGAAGTTGGTATATAGTGTACAGTATCCGTTCTGAAGATAATTTCAAGTTAATCGAAGTACGAAAGAACACTCTTGAAATTGACTGTCCTCCGATTTATCATCCCCATCTTTTTGTCAACAGTCGAGGAGAATATGAATGCTCTGTGATAGAAACGAATCGAATCCGACAACTTCTCGGTCTCTCTCCCCTTGAAGAATATAGTTCTTTGTTAATGAAACACAAGAGTATAAATGAATTACTGAATAAACATATCGATAACTATTCCAAACGCAGCAAAACCTAAACAACTCATACACGCACTCTAGCACTAAGCAAGCAAACGAGTTACTTACCTGAAGACCTCGCTTGCTTCCAGTAACCAAGCCAACTCCACAACCAGCAATAGCGTTTGTTAAAATGTTCTTTCTCCCCACAACACGCTCAATGACACATTCCAGTCCTCCATATACAGCTATCTCTCAACTCATTTACGAACAAATACCGCCGAAAGATGCCATCATTCGTGCTGAACCTTTTCCCCTCAGGTACATGAAACGGAATGGCTTTTTGAACTACAAAACTGGAATGAATAATATAATAACTACTTCTTGTAACAGTGTAGTTGCTGTTGTCTTTTCTGGAACATTACCAACATACGGCATTCCTGATGTAAACAGGCTGAAAGCTCCCATAAACAAACCAAAACCAGCTCCAAGGGGTACAGCTAATTGATTACCATCATTCGCAATTTCATACCAAGCACTAAATTTTGCAGCCCTCTAATAAAGCAACTGTTAGAAATCTCGCCAATATTAGAAGGCATATAGTTAAAGGTTTTATCTCTACTATCAATGAAAAAAGAACAATAGTACTTCGGAGGAGTGTCGTACAACCACAGCAATGACTCCCTTTTTGGAATTGTGGTAGCTACAGGAAACTTGCTGTATTTTGGCTTTGTTTTCAGCAAAATCTCTTCCAGTTTCTTAGGATCAATCGATTCCATATCGAAAAAAGAACAAATAATAAGTATTGATTGACGATAAAGGTAGTTTGTACACAGAGCCGCAGTTCGAATCCTGACCCAGATTTTTTCCCCATCATGGATAACGGAGAAAAACAGTACTATTCTCTTCATGGACATGCAAGGAACAATAATGTCGAAGAAATGATCAAGTTACTAAATAGTCGAGAAAATGTAAACGCCAAAGATAAATTGCACAGGTATGGTTTTATTCGTTGAAGTCCGAAGTAGAACACCGCTCCATCTTGCTTGTTATGCTGGAAGTCTGGATGCTGCGCGCTTGTTGATCGAATCTGGAGCGGATGTGAACGCAATTGGTATGGATAGCGTGACACCTCTCGCATTTGCAGTAATGAAAAATCACATTGAGATTGTACTTCTTTTTTTATTTGGCATTCATATTGAGGTACGCTTGCTGCTGACAAATGGAGCTGTTTCTGGAATAAATGCAAAGTTCAACAAGGATTCAACGACTTGTCTCCTCGTTGCTGCAAAGAATAATAACAAAGATATGGTGAAGCTGCTATTAGACATGGGGAGCAATCCGAATTTGAGTAATAAACAAGGTCAGCGACCTATCGACGTGTGTAATGATGAAGATGTTTTTCCTTTTCTCCGTATTTACAACTAGATAAAAAAGATGATAAGTGAGTATACGAAAAAGTGGAACGATGAAAAGAAGAAACAAGTTGCAGAGCGAAGGAAAAATGTAGGAGAAGTGATCACTTATAATAGTAGAAACGCCTTCATCGCGAACAGAGAGAAATAGAAAAGAAGAAGAAGGAGGAGGAGGAGGAGGAAGAAGAAGAAGAAGATAACGATAAAGATAAAGATAAAGATAAAGATAAAGACAAAGAGCAGCAGGATAGGGAACACAGAAAATCAAGCGAACCCACTGAATCTGCTCCCAAAAAGTTAGACTTGAAGAGGTTGGCAATTGCGTTAAATGATGATAGTGATTAATGCTCATAGTTTTTTGTACACATGAGTCGACACCATAACTACTTGATTTTCTCTTCGATTGGGAGTAGTTCCGATCACAGTACCATTTTATAATGCTAATACCTTCACAATACTTCGTTTTCGATTCCCTTTGTACAGTCGTTTATTGACAAAACTTTGTCGATGGCGCTCTTATATTGTCAGCGCCTGCTGAATCCAGCAACACAATTTTCAAGCTTGGTAGCTAGGCATGGGCGTTGTTTTTCTAGTTTTGAGAATAAACTCTCTCTCTTTGATATTTTTGTAAATGAGGAGGATCTTGATCGTAATGGATTAATACTTCCAAGTGTAAATTCGATTGTGAGCTACACTGCTCAGCGGCAATATCGAGTGGGAAAATATGTTGGTATAAAACTCATTGATGGTATTCAAAAGCTCCAAATTCTAAATGAGCATGATTGTATTCGTGATGTAGTTATTTTTGCTGAATCTAACTGGTAGATCGGTTTGGGCTGTCTCGGAGGGTTGTTGGCGCCATCAGATACGCCATTGATTGATTACACAGCAAGCGATCTCGAACGAATTCAAAACGAGATTGACTCTCTTTACAAAAACGTCCGTCTTCCATTGGACCGTATATATAACAAATTCCGCACTTACAACCGCTTCAACGTGCAACAGGTGCTTCCATATATCCCTATGAAATTACGATCAAAGTACAGCGACATCGTTCTCATCGGATACATTGACCGTGTGCTTCGAAACAGCGGTTATCTGATGGAGAAGCAGAGCAACAACTGGAATACTTACAATGAATACAAGTGTCATCCAAAGGAGTTTCTCTCTCTTCTCAAGTTCAACTACTCCAACATCGAGCGAATCAACGATATCTTTCGGAATCGCTCAGGTTTCAATGCCCATGAGTAAAAAAGCACACTTCAAGAGAGTGACTTCTAGATGCGACCAGTTTGTGCTAGCCTATCAAATGCTGAACAAAGATGACAAAAGTGCGGTCGAGAACTTCATTTCGTCTCACAGAACCCTGATCAACTCGCTGATTGTCCTTTCTACGGTGTATATGCCATCCGAAGATTCCTATGATGATTATGCTTTGATTCGTGACCACATTTTGATTCCACTATTCGGGAAAGAAGACATTCCGCATGTTCATTTTCATGTATGGATCCTTTTCGTTTTGTTGATCCAAGACCGCTGACATTCTTCGCGAATTGAAGCTTCTAGAGCCCAATTTCCCGCCTCAATTTCTCATCGATAGCAAATGTGGCTACAACGGATTCACGTCTTCTCTAAAGAAAGAAGCGCAGCACATTCTCCAGTCCTTTATGCAGAGCGAGAAAGAGCCCTCCATTCCCGACGATTACGCGCGCGATCGCTCTTTGTTCCACCCCGTGGCTATCGCAATCGACAGCATCACCGTTCTATCAATTCGTTGCTTTCACTCTTCAGACGTCGGAGGTTGACGACAGTATCAGCATTCTTTCTCCCTCCAAAGTGGCGGTTCACATCGCTGACCCCACCTCCTTCATCTCTCTGGGATCCAATTTGGATTTCAACGCTTCTCTTCGTTCCGTAACTTATTACTATCCGAACAAAGGTCGGTTCAAACCCTTTCTGTTCTGTAGTCTATCCTCTATTCCCGTGGGAAATCGCCACTGCCTGCTCGCTAAGCACAACCCAGTTTTTGGACTCCAGGCCGGACAATCGATACAATCCTGTGGCGTTAGAGTCGGTCGTTTCGACGCAGAAAACGCCACTGCCTCGAGCCTTGACGATCACCATGGAATTCGGAGAGAATGGCAACATTGTGGATTATTCGATTTCGTGTACGACGCTGAAACGTCCGATTCGACTGACTTACGAAGAAGTGGAAGCGATTTTGAACGAATCCACGACGGAGCAAACGGCAAAGAACAGCAGCAGCAACAACAACAACAACAGCAAGAAGAAGAAGGTTTTCGTTTCGAGTTCATCTGCGCAATCTGATTATTCCTTCCCTCTCCATTCCATCGGCAACATAAAGCTTTCCACCCCTTCATCCATCAAACCGAATGCTTCTCTTTTAGGTTTTCAAGGCTCCAATGCATCGCTTCCTTCCACTGACAGCATTTTCAAACGCGTCACTTCGCCCCAATTGACGCGCGAAGAAGTCACGTCCACGCTTCAAGCGCTCTATCGCTTAGCCAAGAAGAGACGCGCCTATCGCGAGCGCAAAGGCAGCATTGATTTTAGTTTTTCGGAAGCTCGCTTCCATGTGCAGAACGGCATTGTGGACGGATCGATCGCGATGGACGATGTTTCGTTGAAGGTAAGCGAGACTCCATAAAGAGATAACGCGCAGTCTGAAGAACTTGTCATGGAAATGATGGTAGCAGCCGGCGAAACGATCGGATTGTTAGGAAAAGAGGAAGTAGGCGATGCAATCTCGCGGTGATTTTGAACAGAACATTCCTCTTCCATATCGGTCTCACCCTTTTAACATGATTCTCCCAGCGGATCAAATGCAAATGCGACATATCCCATAATTCTTCTTCCGCTTTTTCGTTTCCTTCACTTCACTTCTCTCTTCTCCCATTCGCTATCCGTCCATCGTTCACAACTGGGAGCAGCTGATTCGCTGTCTTCCAGCGCGGATTTCGCGCGATGCGCAGCCTCATTCAGGCTTGGGAATCGACGCGTACGTTCAAGTCACATCGCCTCTTCGTCGCTATAACGATTGTTTGGTGCACCGCCAGCTCAAGGCAGTGATGGCGAAGCAGCCCGTTCCTTATTCAGAGGAAGACATGTTCCGAATTAGCACGCGCTGCTTCCAAATGGAGAAGATGAGCACGCGATTTGAAGATGGATGGAATCGATATATCATCATGCAGCGAATGAAAGACGTGCTCAACACAAACAAATCGTTGCAGCTCAACGCCACGGTGCTGGATGTATCGCTGCGAGGGTCGAAATGGAGTGAATGTGTGTTATTTGTAGGATGAATTCGGTTGTTTGCAGCGTTGTGCTGAACGATTTGGGACTTCGGTTCAACGTGCCTTGCGCGACGGTGCCTCAGAAGGGACAGGCGGTCAAGGTGGATGTGTTGGAGGTGGTTCCAGATTGCTTGCGAATCAAGGCTGTGATGTTTGGAGAGTGGAAAGCGGAAGGCGATGTGGAGTTTGCCAAAGTATTATAATAGATTTCTGTTTGTTTGCGATACTTTATGGATACATATGGCCAGTGCACCTTCCCGTTGCGTTATAAGGTGAGCGAAATCGTCATTATGGAAGAGACAAACGAAATGAAACGCCTTTCTATACACTTCCATCCTCCGTACGACAGAGAGTGCTTGGAATGCACAGAAGTTCAAAATGAGATTACGGGAGAGGCAAAGTTAATTGTGAATGGAAACGAGGCATTACATCTTCAATTTGCAAATGGAAAGCTGCTGGATGTTTTGGCGGAAGATTCCCGGTATGAAAACGTTCGATCACGTTGGAAGCAAGAAACCGTCCTGTTTGCCCATCTAAATGAATCCTTCGCTCTGGATAATTATGGAATTGCGTATGATTTTGATGCCTCAACTATACAACAATACTTTAACGATTCTCAACGGAGAGCCGACTGCAGATGTCATGCCTGATTGCAATCGTGTTGTGACAATCATTGACTATGACTCTGGATCTCGTTGGGAGGGAGAAACCAATGAAGGAGTGGAAGAGGGCTATGGAGAGTTCTACAATGATTTTGGTATTCTGGTGTATCGAGGAGAGATGCATAAAGGGAAAAGGCATGGATATGGAACTTCCTTCTTTCCGGATATTGGATTGGAGTACTATTCGGGAACCTTTTACAATGGAGATCGCTATGGTTATGGAATTGAACGTAATCGGTTCGGCGATGTCTATCGAGAAGGATGGTATGTGCTCGATGAGTTTATTTCCAATGTGCTAACCATTCAAAAAGATAAAGACTTGAATTTCCTCCATACACAACTTACAGAACTGCACATTGGAGACAATACGCTGAATTCCATTCCCTCCCTGCCCCTCGAACAGCTGAAGTACCTGAAGATTCTGTCCGTTGGAGATTATTGTCTTCAAAAGATCGACTCTTTTATCATAGCGTCCCTCTCCGAACTGGAACAAATCACGATTGGATCGTTTTGTTGTATTGGTAAACTGCCAAATCGAGGGAATTTTTCTCTTTCATTGCTTCCCAGTTTGATCTCTGTTCGAATTGGAGTTGGTTCCTTTCGTTATTATCGCTATCTAATGGTCAAAAGTCGTTCCTGATTGATGAATTTAGAGTAGATTTGCCCTCACTCGAAAGCTTTGAAATTGGAATTAGCAATCGCGAATTCTCTTCGTCTGAACTTGAGGAATTGAAACGCTATTCATCATTCAAAGATGCAGATTCGATTGTATTGAAAGGTAATCGATTGGAATTGGTAAGAGAACAGATTGCCGTGTATTGAATCGCATTAAAATCGGAGATTATTGTTTCCATCTCTTTCATGCATTAGGCATTTTTGGTAAATGAATTCCTTTTTTAAAATTTTTCAATAGAAATGCCCAAACTAATCAGTATAACAATTGGGAATCAATCTCTGTGGGGAGGATATGATCCGATTGAGTATACAGCCGAAGGAGGAATCAGTATCATCAGTTTATTTGTGTGGAGTTTGTTGATCGTAGAATGCCCAGTATTGAGTTCGGTGCATGTTGGCAACTATTCTCTTCACGATGTTTCTTTTCTGAAATTGGAAGGTGATGAATGGAGGAGTTTTCAATGATAGAGACACCAAATATGACGAGTTGGACGAGGGGAGAAGCTTCGTTCCGTTACTTGTCGATTTATGACCATGGATATCGTTTGATAGCGTGTGGATTGTGATGTAGATGTTCCAAACTCCTTCAAAGGATGGATTCAAAACCAGTTTGAAAAGGTGAGCGTTCTTGACTCCAATGAAAGCATTCAATCGCCCGAATTGACCTATTCATTTTGTACTATCTATTTGATTGTTTTCAGCAAAATCACTTCCTTATTCATTCATTCAATCATTCAATCATTCATTCAATCAATCAATCATTCATTCATTCATTCATTCAATCAATCATTCATTCATTCATTCAATCATTCATTCATTCATTCATTCATTCATTCATTCAATCATTCATTCATTCAATCATTCATTCATTCATTCATTCATTCATTCATTCAATCATTCATTCATTCATTCAACAAACAAACCAAAAACGGCGATACATCTTTTTACTCGGCATCGACATAAAGGATCGTTTCTTCGAAATGCGTGGCTGAGGCGCTGTCGTCGTCTTCTCAGGCTCCCGATACACCATTTTCCCATAATCCTTCTCAAACACTCTCTGCAAACTCTCCTTATCCAGCTTCTTCGTCGCTTCCAAATGTCGATGAATCAATTCCTGCCTTCGCTTCTCCATATCTGGCAGCGCCTCGCTCGACTCCAGCAGCGTTTTCATCATCTCCGACGATTCAATCTCCGGCTATTCATCATTTTTTCCTTCCAATCCGACCGGATACCGAGGCGCCGCACGCACCAACCCCTTCAATAAAAACCCGTTCAGCTGGTTATTCAGCAAATCCGCATGCGACAGATTATAATTCACAAAGAAGAATCCGTGCGAGCAGAAAGCGCGGAATTGCTTCATTGCATCGCTCCACTCAGGCCTACTTTGATGTGGTACGACGCCTTCCCCACGTCCAGCGAGGGATCGATCGGGTTTTCCACGCTCAGATGCCACGGCGTCGACGAATCGAACCAGCCTTTCTCCGTCTTCGAGAGGAAGCAGCCGTCGTTCTTCACGCGCAGCGTGAGTTTGTCGAAGTTGTAGAGCAGTCCGTAGAAGTAGAGGAATTGGATCAAATGGCTGCCCAATCCGCCGCGTTCCGTGCCTTCTCTACAATGAAAAAACCCGATCAGTTCGAACCGAATGCTCCACTGCTCGCAGGCTAGGCAGAGCAAGGTGGTCATGAAGGAGCCAACGCCTCCGGTGTAAGTGTCGTTCATTCCACGTTGCGAAAGAAGATATTTCAAAATCCGAACCATGCTTTGGAGGTAGGGATAGCGATCGATCTGACGTAACACATAGGCGGATGTAAGGAGAGAAGACTCTTGGTTAAAGCTGATATCCACATCGATGCCCGTTTTCTAGGAGGTTTGACAGAGAGAAAGGAACATGTACGATGTGACGGAATTTTACGAGGGGGACGCGTGTGTGCTGCAAAACGGAAATGTTTGTAGCGATTCCGCTCTCTCTGAGCGCTAGTTCAACGCGATGAAGGTAGTTTATGTCTTCGTTACAATGAACCATTAAGTCTAAATCACTATCAGGAATGCATCTGTAAATGAGCGTCCTATTTGAAAATATACAGATTCGTAAGAAATGAACCAAACGGGTACACGGTTGCACTATCTATAGCACTCAAAATAACCTTTTCAGTTTCTTCATAGACACAGCAACGCATATACTTGTCTATTTGGGTGGGTTCTAACCACTTGTCCAAATAGTAGAGTTCTTCGTGGAGCTCGCATATAGGATAGTCTCTCAACTTTTTCTCATTGAATAAGTTGTCACGCGTTAGCCATTCAGGGAGTGAGTCATCCACGTCCAGAAGTGGGTTTACTAACACATCTTCCTTCACTTTCTGAGCTTTATCCAATAACAATACGTCGTCATCCTAGAAAAAGGAAGGAGAACGTCCAATTGCCTACAGAAACATCTACAGCTTGTCGAGTCTTCTTCTCCAGCTTTTCCTTCCCGTTTTTGATAATCGACCAAATATCGCTCATGTTCGAAAAAACTCTGTCTTGCTTTCCGAACCCAAATGTATGAAATTGAAGGCTGGTGATTTGTATAACACATTTATGGATGCAGATTGTGGACCGAATGGAACTCTATCAATCAGCATTTCCAGAGCATCTATTATGTTTTTTCACGTACCTTCCATTTAACCAACCGGTACTCCTTATTTTTCCTCCCACAAACACGCACATTTCCAACAAACATCGCACACCCTCATTCATTCCATTTTTCACTTTCCGTTCTGCATTCCCGACACAATATCATCAATCCGCAGCAGCATGCACGCCGATTCGATGGCGGTTTTGATGGTCTGGGTCTTGACCTGGAACGTGTCCCACACTCCCAACTCGCGCATATCCGCGATGGTTCCCTTCACTCCGTCCACTCCCAGGAACGTTCCTTCTCCCTCCGCCTTGCAATGCTCCGCCTACGCGTCGTCCGCTCTCCTCTCTCCTACTCGCAGCTTCGTGATCACTCGGATCGTATCCGCTCCGCAGTTCTGGCACAGCGTGCGCGGGATGATTTCCATCGCCTGGCCCACCGCGCTCAGCGGCAGCGCGTCCACGCCGCCCTCGCGCTTCGCCTCCGCCTGCAGTCTGCACGCGATCTCCATCTCCGTCGCGCCGCCGCCGGGCAATAACCGCGGGTCCTGCGCCACATTGCGCGCCACCTGCATCGCGTCCTGCAGATTCCGCTCGATTTCGTTGAGCGCGTCGCGCGAGCCGCCGCGCAGCAGCACGGAGCAGGCCTTCGGCGCCTCGCAGTCCTCGATGAACGCGAAGTACTCATCGCCGATCTGACGCACCTCGAAGAGCCCGCAGCGCGTTCCCACGTCGCTCTCCGTCAGTTCGTCGGGGCGATGCACGATCGTCGCGCCCGTCGCGCGCGCCAGACGGTTGTTGTCGCTCTTCCGCACGCGCCGCAGCGCCGAGACGTTCGCCTTCTGCAGGTAGTGCTGCGCCAGGTCGGAAATGCCCTTCTCCGTGATCACCAAATCGGGCTTGAGCGACAGAATCGCGTCGCACATCTCCTTCACGGCTTCTTCTTCTTGTTTCAGAGCGCGGTCCCACGCATCCGCTTCGTGGATCTCCAGACTCGCCACCGATTCCGCCTTCACGTATTCCAGCGAGCAGTCCAGCAGAACGATGCGCGGATGCTCGATTTTGCGACGCATCGACGCGTGCGTCACGTCCTTGTTCAGCATCACGCCGCGAATCACGCGGCTCTCGCTCAGCTCCCCGCCGGGAATCTTCTCCACGCGCACGTACCGCTTCAGATCGATCTCGTTCGTCTTCTCGTCCAGAACCGTCAGCACGCTGTCCAGCGCCAGTCCGCTCTAACGCAATCACCGCCTTCCACCACAAGCTACGATCAAATCGCCGAACCGACTGCTGAACTTCGTCCCGATCGCGCTGTCCAGAAGCTTCATCATCATCGAACGGTCCTGGATGTCGATGGGGGTCGCGATCTCTTCGCAGATGTGGAGGGCGGATTCCAACGCCTTGTAGTATGCACGAACAATCACGGTGGGATGAATGTTCCCAGAAATAAACGGTTCCGCAGAAACCAGCATCTCACCCGCTACACCCATCGCATACTACCGCCAATCATACCTAATATGATCACAGAAGTCGTTCCATCGCCGACTTCCTCGTCCTGGGTTCGACTTAACTCAATCATACTCTTTGCAGCAGGATGAGACACATCGACTTCCCGTAGAATGCTGTTGCCATCGTTTGTTAAAAGAATGCCTCCCATGGGGTCCAGAAGCATCTTGAGCATGGAACGAGGTCCAAGTGTGGTTCGGATAATATCAGCAACTGCCTAAGGATGAGTCCACATCAGTGAAACACCGCCCACCTTGGCAGCCTGAATGTTTCCCAACTGTACCTTTCGTCCACTCTCACGCTTTGTGTTCTGATCTAGGGAGTAAGCCCCGCACTTGGAAGTGAAATACTTAAGACAAGGACTGGAACTTGCATATTTTTATAGAAATCGTCCAACAAACAAATTCACTAAAAGTACAGCCCATCTACTGAGTTCTTCGTCTCTTATAGCAAGCATCCCACATTTCTTCCGTTGAAACGAAACTACATCAAATCAACGTATTTATTGTACCGTTTGGTTTTTGGCTCTTTCCTTGCTGGTGGAATCTTCTTCCGCTCTACAAAGGTTGACAACGAATCCACTACATCGAACACCCGCTGAAAAAGGTACACAACTGCTGGGAACGCCTCATAATCGCGTTTACATCTGTATGCGTATTGGAGACAGGCACATTGGGAGCAACTGCCGGTTTCAGATCATTTTTTAACTTGTTAAACAACGTGATACTTTCTTGGACCGATTTGCGAATAGAATTGTAATCCTTCACGGTTTCTCCTACAAGACATCACAAATCAATCAATTCCTACCTTCTCCGACGATTTCAGGGAAGATATCCATCACATTATCCAGCGTTACTCTACTCGTTTCTGTGTATGACGGTACATTCTCCTGAGACGCTAGGAATATTTGACGTTGCAAGGACTCCATCTCCCTGGCAGGCAGAATAGAATTGACGTTTTGAGTCAGCATTTGAGATAGACCTTGGGAGATACTCGTTAAAACGGTGGATCGCAGAGATTCTGCTCTATTCGTCAATGAAAAATCGAGGAAAGCACGCTTCAATCTGTTGTAGATCAATCGGTTGTAAGATACACTCTATAATCTGGTTACACAACGATCTCTGCTCGTCGTAATCAGAGCTGATCTGTTGCATCCATACAATTCTGCTTGGAAGTGATTTTGAACAGACAAAAATCGGGCTTTAAATTTGATGGTTTGATTGTACAAACACCAAAACAGCGCTCGAAAACACGATACAGTCGATCTGTACTTGCTAGAAGCTGAATTGCACCCGAGCTCCAAAGTCTATCCGAGATAATCATCTGCTTCTTTGCCTGAGGATACAACACAGATTGGATCAAGCTCTCCCACTCCTCCTTCTCTTCTCTTTCTTTGCAAACAGGAATAAAACTATAAAAACGCGCGAGTTCTCTTGCAATCTCGTCCAGGCATTGCTTTTCGTTCGTATAGTGCACCTGCGTGCATAGATTAAACAAAAACAGCGGTAAATACCCGTAGAACGGCTCATAGTCCGAGATGAGCAGAGGCAGTGCGCGAAGGACCCATTTTCCATTCTCATCCTGTTCAATTCCTATCGAAAAGTAATCCTTCAGCATCGGAGCGAACTCCTTCAACTTGCTCATCGAGCATGTTTCTCCCTTCTTGGCCTCCACGGCCGAAATGAGTGTTTGGATATCGAGTGCGCGATCCATGTATTGAATCTCGTAGAAGCACCCGAAGTTGAAGAGAATGAGCTGATAGAAGAACTCCTCTCTACGCGTGATTCGTTCTCCTCCTCTCCCACAAAATCAGCGACAAGCGGAAGAGATAGAGGCAGTTCTCGAACTGCACGACGGCGCTCGATGTGTCGTCGAGGCAGGCGATGAACACGCTTTTCTGCAGGATTTCGCGCGTGTTGGAGCAGTTGGAGCCGGCGATGCGGACGTCCTCGCAGAGCGCGAAGACGCTGGAGAGCTGGAGGTCGTCGCGCGTGGGTTTGTAGGGCGTGTCGATGACGTTGTCGGAGAGAATGGCCAAGGAGCGACGGCCCTGCGTGTGGGGAAGGCAGGGCGAGGCGTCGAGGGAGGAAGAAAGAGCGTCGAGGGAGGAGGGCTGCGATGGAATGAACGAAAGCGACGCGGCGAAGGATTGTGAAGCAGACGGGGAGTTTGGGTTTGGGTTTGGGTTTGGGTTTGGGTTTGGTGAGTGAAGGGAGGTTGGATTGAGAGAAGGATTTGGAGTGGAGGATGAATTGGAATTGGAATTGGAATTTAAATTCGTTTTGGTTTTCGTTTGTGTCGGTGATTCAAAAAAACTCTCCTGATTCGATGATCTCGCCAATCGATGAATCGGAGAAACCGCGGAAACCGTGGAAACCGCGGAGTCCCTCGCGGGGTCCGCGCTCTCCTCACCCATCCACGAATCATCCAAACAAATCGAGTTTTCCTGCGTGGCGAATTGAATCGTCCGCTGCGAGTAATCCACGCGCACCTTCTTCGACGCGCTCTGCGCGCACACGCCATCCCCGCGGGACACTCCCTTCGTCGGCGTGACCTTCCCCACCGCCTGCAGACTCAACGCCCGATCGATCTCCGTTTCCACCGTTTCCACGATCCGTTTCACGACGTAGTCCTCGTCCAGAAAGCAGACCTCGCGCTTGTTCGGATGCACATTGACGTCCACCATACGTGTGTCGATCTCCAGCGACACATAACAAAATTGGCTCTGATTGCGGGACCGGCTGTTCGAGTCGCTGCAGTAGTAATACTGTTCCAGAACGCGCCGAATCCCCTGGCGAAGCCGCGAGTTCTGGATCGCGCGGCCGTTCACGAACAAAACGAAGCTCACCGCGGGGGAAATCGGGATTGGCGACTTCGGAGAGAGCACGATTTCCGCGGAAAATGGACATTCCACGCCGGACTCCCGCTCGACTCGGATTCGGCGGAGCGTGGGGCGGATGGCGGAGCCCAAAACGCCTGCGATGCTGTCTTCTAAGGAGGCGCAGCGCGGAGATTTGAACAAAACGCGGTTCGGTATTTCCTTGAGGAGGAAGGAAATGCCCTGCGGAGCGTAGTGGATGCTGAAGAGCTGCAGTAAGGAGACGATTTGTTTGGTTTCTTCGGATTCTTTGCCCAAATACATGGTTTGGCGGGAAGGAATCGTGTAGAAGAGATCGTCCACCGTGATGCTGGTGCCTTTTGTGGACGCCACTGCTTCCAATTTGCCATCGATTAGCTCGTTTCCGCGATAGCGAGCTCTATTGTGACACATGGACAAGAATTGTACTTCCACCCACAAATATCGGACTCTCGCTTTGTTACGACCATGACTCTGCTCACAGTACTAATGGACGCTAAGGCTTCGCCGCGAAATCCAAAGGTTTGAATTGTACTGAGGTCATCGAGTATTCGCAACTTGCTCGTGGTGTAGCGCTCACACAGAATGGGAAGATCTTCTTTCTGCTCGTAAATAGCGAAACACAATACAAACAAGAATTCCATCTCCATTATCCTGAATTTGCATCTGCTTCAAACCTCCATGCGATATGGAAATGATAATGTTCGTGGCATGTGCGTCAATACTGTTTTCGATCATCTCTTTCAATGCAGAGCTCGGCCTCTGAACCACCTCACCCGCCGCGATCTTGCTTACCACATCCTCACTTAATCGTTTGATGTGTCTCCTTGGGTCATTAGGTTATTCTATATGAATACTCTGAGTCCATAACAATGGGTCAGAAGAACAAGTCGTATCAATATGAAACACAAAAAAAATAATGCGTTAATGGCCTAAAACCTTTGCAAAATACGAAAAATGAATAGGCAACGCAAAAAAATGCATAAAATACACTGTCATGAGTGGCGCCATGAAAATGCTGTGTTTCAGGTAATGATTCGTTTGAGCTTATTACTTCAAAATAAGGGGTTCCATAATCTTTTCTGTAAATGCATTTGTGTTGTTACGTTATATAGGAAAAGGAGCTTGTTTTTATAGTTAATGCCAATAACTGTACTTGTGCAATGAACAACCAATGAAACGACACATTATCAAATTCACCTTGTCTCAAAATTAACTAAGTTTGTTTCATGATATATGAGTGCGGTTACCCCTTTGAGTCGCCCATATTATAACCTATACCCTATATGTAAGTTATGCTGTTTTCTGTGAACTAGTTTGTTGGCCGCCTCAAGTGTATAATAGAAGTCTAGGATGCCAATCTTTGGTTTATTCTCACGTAGTTTCTTGTGTACCTTATTCCGCCCCGAAAGTTGCTATTTCCAGACTGGAAAAGCGTTCTTGTAGTTGTGTCCCCACTGCAAAATGGGTTCCTCGAAACGAGGGTGAAAAGTTGAAGTGTCGAGGGAGGATTAAAATTGGGAAGTACATTTTCCACGCCGTTTTGTCTCCCAAAACCAAGTAATCTGGTCATTGCATTCTCTTTATACATTGTGTGTTTTTTTTAATCAACAAACACACCATCACATTACCCTCGGATTCATACCCGTAGAATACTTCTGCTGTCGATTCGCAGGCCGTAAGATCTACCGCTCACCCTCCTTTCCATTCCTCACCTGGAAGGAACACATCAAGTCTTCGTCCACACTCATCATCCCTCCCGCGTTATCGAACTCTCCGCAATAGTTCGGCGCCGAAAACACCGTCACCAGATTTCGATCCGCGAAGAATTCGTACCCGTCCTCCACGACTTGATGCGCGCGACACACAAGGTCCAGATCATGTTGACGTAGGAAGTTGTGAACGACGTCCTCCGCGAACGTGTAGCTCACGCCGCGGTCATTCATGCCCCAACCGCTCAGCAATTCGCGCTCCGGATCCGACCAAAGCAGATCGCACAGGAGACCCTTGTCCGGGACGTCGCAAGGACGCTGGATGCTTTTAATCAGGTCGATCGAGCTCAATTCGGGGGAGAGACCGCCGTGCATGCAGATGATGCGGCCTTCGATTATGGCGCAGACAGGAAGGCACTTGAAGCAGTCAGAAAACAGCTTCCACAACCGGATGTTGTAGCGGCGCTTGCATTCGTCATAAAAACCGTAGATGCGGTTGATGTAGTCGGTTTCATGGTTGCCTCGTAAAATGAAAAAGTTCTTCGGGTATTTGATTTTATATGCGAGCAATAAGCAGATGGTTTCTATACTTTGTTTCCCTCGATCTACGTAATCACTACGCCTCGAGACCTCGCCCTTCTCTTACCCTAAAAACAAGTAGTTGGCTTCCGGAGGAAAACCACCATATTCAAATAAACGGAGCAAATCATAGTATTGACCGTGAATATCGCCTGATTTTCAAATAGTGAGCACAGCGCATACCACAAACCTTGATCGGAGCCTGGAGGTTCAACAATACAGGTTGACTCATGAAAATATCAGTCGCCTTTGTTATCAGCTGCTTTATCTGCTCTTCGGGAAGATTAACCTCTTTTCCGGGCCGCGCTCCACGGACTTCCAACAGTTTGTCGATTATAGAATCCACATCGAATTCCGTAGTTAATGCCATTGAGTTTTGCTTGGATGCACAGTCTACAGCCAGATAAGGTGTGCTCACAAATTGAAAAGTGGACCGCTTGAACAAGTCCAATGCGCTCCAGTTTTCGTAGATTTCCCCAACCGACACCTACCGTTCTAAAAAGTGCACGAAACCTCTTTCTAGTCTCTTCAAAGAAGAACGAATAAAAGAACTCATTTCTTCCGAAATGAAACGCCCTTCTCGAAATGTCTTTCCAACAAACACGCAACAACTTTACAATTCAAAGAGATCCACAGGTCCACAGTCGCAGTAGCACTTCGAACCTTCCGAATAGCACTTGCACCCATCTTCCATGAAGCCGGACAGATAGCTGCTTCCACACCGCTGCGCCGCGGCCGTAAACCGCAGAGTCATCGCCTCGTTGCTGTTTCCAGCCTCGTCGCGGAACGCGTCCTCGCCCACCTCCAGCTGCACCTCCACGAACGGCAGGTTCTCGTTTCCGCGGTTAAACCCGCGCACCGGCAGGATCCGCACCTCCCTTCCCTCCACGGCCACGCTCAGCGCGTCCAGCGGCACTCTCTGGCCATTGGTCCGCAGCACGAGGTTGTCCACGGCGAAGAGCCGCACGGGCTCGTCGAAGCGCAGCACCAGCGGGAGGTCGCTCGGCACGTTGCTCTGGCCCTCACGCGGCTCCGTCTCCAGCACCAGCGGCCGCGTGGCGTCCGCCGTCGTCGTCAGCGTCACGCGCAGCTCGGGCAGGCAGTGGCCCGCGGCGTCCATGAGCAGGCAGGCGGGCAGCGTCAGCGTCAGCTCCGCGCTGGCGGGCAGGCCGAAGGGCTCCAGCTCCACCGTCGCGCCGTCCGTGCGGATCTGCGAGGCGGGCAGCGAGGCCGTCCAGGCGTCCGAGGCGGAGGCCAGCGAGGCGGAGAGCGCGGAGAGGACGAAGACGGGCTGGTCGAAGACGAGGGAGAGCGGGGCGGCGGGGTCGAGGTCAAGGAGGTCGGCGGGCGTGGTGAGCAGTGTGGGCAGCTGCGTGGAGGCCGTGGTCGTGAAGGTGAAGGCGCCGTACACGAAGCGCGCAGCCACGGCGGCGGCGTCCAGCGAGCTCACGGGGCGGTCGGTCGAGTAGAGCGTGTACTTGGAGGCCTGCTCCAGCGCGGCGGCGGCGGGGAGCGCGAGGAGCAGCCGGGCGGACTCCGTCGAGGCGGTGAGGTTGAAGAACGCGCCGGTGGTCATGTCCTCCAGCACGAACGCCGCGTCAGGGTTCAGCTTCACCGCGCGGTCGAACGTGAACTCCAGCGAGGGGCGCAGCGACACGTCCACAGCGCCGTTCGCCACGCTCGACTGCGTGTAGGTCAGCTCCGCGACGCGGTTCGGCACCACCACCGCGGGGGACACGAACAGCTCGCCCAGGCGGCGGCCCAGCGTGTCCTGCGCCGTGCAGAACAGACGCACCGAGGCCTCCGCGGGGATCTGCGTGAAGGAGAGCGTCTTCGCGCCGTCCAGACGCAGCTCGGCCTTCAGCCCGCTCGCCAGCACGTCGCCGTGCAGCAGCTGCTCGGACGCGCCGGCCAGCGCGCAGAACACGTCGGCAGGGACGTCCACATCCACGCTGACGCTGGCGGCGCCCAGCGACGTGACGACGAAGTCGCTCACGGTGAGGGAGGCGGAGTCGGCGATGGACTGGGTGGTGAAGGAGAGCGGCACGGACTGGCTGACCGCGGGCGAGGACAGCGAGTACGCCCAGCAGAGTCCGGAGTAGTGGAAGGACGAGATCAGTCCGGTGAACACCACGACGGCGCGGCGCTCCGCGTCCGCCACGGCGTAGCCGTGCACCAGGCGGCCCGCGTTGATCGCGCACTCCACGGCGGAGTCCACGAAGCTCACCGAGAACGTGGCCACCGCGTAGGAGGCGCCGGGGACCACGGACTCCACGGAGGCGGAGATGCTCGAGGAGAAGTCGAAGGTGATGGCAGTGGGCTCGCTCTTCCCCACCGTGTTCATGGCGGTGATGTTCACCAGCACGGGGCCGTCCTCCAGGCCGCGCAGCACCGCCGAGGGCTCCGTCACGGTCAGGAGAGTGGATCCCGTCGCCACCTCATACCCGGTGATCGCTTCGCGCGACGCGGCGGGCTCCCAGGTCAGCTGCATGGCGTCGGCCGCCAGCTGCAGGAACTGCACGCTCTCCGCGCTCACGGGCTGCGGAACGGTGGAAGGAACGTCCGTCTGCGTCACCAGCAGGGGCTGCGAAAACGCGGAGGAGCCCATCGCCGTGGTGGCCTTGACGCGGATCTGAATGGCGCTGGATCGCATGCGGAGACGACGCGCGGCATCCGTGGCATCCGTGGCGTCCGAAGCGTCCGAAGCGTCCGAAACAGTGGGGAGGGCAATGCGGTACGAAGAAGTCATCGGCGACGCCTCCATATCCACCAGCACGAGCTCCTGATCGTCCATCTCGGCAAGGAACGTGTAGCTCAGCAGGGAGTACGAGTAGGTCAGCGGTGTGGTCACCTCCACTTGCACGGCGTCCTCTTCCACAGCCAGCAGCACCGGGGCGGCGGGCGCCTCGGGAGCGGGAGCGGGATCCGCTGCGGTGGAGTACTGCGTGGTGGAGAAGTCGTTGACCACGTCGTTGTACACGGTGATCTTGATCACCGAGGACAGCTCCGGGTCGATGGGGCTGATCACAGAGGCGAGACGCGTCACCTCCGTGGCGGCGCGGCCCATGCACACATCATCGAAGGTGATCTGCTGGTTCAGCGGCAGCACGGTCACCGTGTAGTGGCAAGCGCCGGGCAGCGACATCGCCGCCTCCAGCGAGGTATCCAGCGCGGCGTCGAACGACAGCAGACCCACACCGGTCTGGAGATAGGTGAGCTCCACGTTCTCCACGGGCATGGGAGGCACCGACGGCGTGCGGACGCGGCAAGTGATTGTCATGCTCTGCATCGGATTGCCCGACAGATCGTTCGCCATGGTGTCCAGACGTAGCGAGTAGGTCGCAGGCGTCGCCAGGCGGAGCTGGCGCCAGGGAATCTCCACGCGAGCGGGGTCCTCGGCGTCCACCGCCAGCTGCGCGCTGGGGATCTGCACCACCGAGGCGTCCTCCGTGTTCATCAGATAGACGAAGCTGTTCTCCACCAGCTGCACGGGCTCGTTGAACACCACGAACAGACGCGAGGTGGCGCCCAGCTCCAGCGTCTCCGACACAGCCTCGCCCGAGGACACGCCCACGACCACCGGACCCACCGTATCGGGACCCACCGTGGCGTAGAGCATCGAGCTCACGCCCGTGGCAGGCGAGTTGGTGTTCTCGATCATGAAGCAGCCGTTGTCCACCATGAACGAGTACGACTCTCCCGACTTCAGCAAGGCGGTGTCCGCGGGAGTCCAGCGGAAAACGGTCGACGAAACGGTCACGATCTCCTGCAGAGCCACCGTGCGCGTGGCGAGGGAGTCGTGGATGATCAGAGCCACGCAGGAGGCGTCCGACGAGCGAACAACGTTCTGGTTGAAGGTGATTTCCAGCGTGGGCTGCACCGAGATCAGCTCGCTCTCGCCCATGACCGCGATCGAAGAGAGCATCTGCGGCATCGCGAAGCGGCGGCTCAGCACCACATCGCCCACCGCGACGTCCTCGCCTTCCACGGTGCTGGTCACGCCCTCGCCAGGCAGCACCGGCAGGAAGCGCACCGCGCACACCTGCGTCGCCTGCTGCGAGACCACGTCCACGACAATCTTGAGCACTTCGCCCTTCACTTCGCCGTGGATGCGCTCAGCGAACGGCACCACATCGCCCTGGCAGGACAGGAAGCGCACGTAGCTCAGCTCGCTGGGCGCCTGGATCGGCTTGTTGAACGTCACATCGATGCGGGATCCCACCATCACTTGCAGACTCTGCATGTACACCGCGTTCGCGGACAGAGCCACAGGACCGGCAGGGAGGAAGGAGAACGCGTACAGCTGCTGCGCGGCGTTCGAGGCGGGGCTCTGCGCTCCCGTGGTCAAGGACACGAACGCGCCCTCCTCCGCAACGAGCATCACGTGGCCGGCAAAGCAGGCAGTGTTGTTCGAGAGCAGGAAGGAGGCTTCGGAGCCGCTCACCATGATCGAGGAAGCGTCCGCCAGCACGCAGCCTTCCGTGTTCTCCAGCGACACGGCCTTGCCTGTCATATACTGCACCGGCGTATCGAACTGGATCACTACCATGCCGCCCATCATGAGGCCGATCGACACCACCGCGTCCTTCTCGGGGAAGCAGCCAGTACTGTTCACCGCCAGCGAGGCGAGCGCGGGCGTTTGGACCTGGAAGCTGTCCACCACCACCGAGGTCACGTTGCGACGATCCACGAAGCATCCGGCAGGAACAGCGAGCGTGTACAGGGTCTGGTCCTTCCAAGCCACGGCAGGGAACAGATGGAAGGTCTGGCTGTCCACCTCCACCAGCGAGAAGCTGGAAATGGTCTCGGCGTTCTGCTCCTCGTCGATCAGCTGCATCTCGCATGGAAGCACCTCCACGGGCTCGTTCATCGAGAACACGAACGGACCCAGGATGGAGCTGGGCGCCGCGATGCTCAGAATGTAGGGGGGCGTGCGATCGTATCCGAAGGACTCCACGAACGCAAGGTTCGGATTGCCGTAGATGTCCTGCACGAAGTCCTCGTCAAACGCGAACTCGTAGATGTCATCCGGCAGGTTCTCAGCGTTCAGAGGGATCATCACCGTCGTGCTGGGCGATTCGACGTTCGCGTAGATCGCAGGCAGCACGACCTCGCCCTCACTGTTCTTCACCAGCAAAGTGCCATTGCCTCCGACCACATTCTCGTTGAACCGAAGAACCAGGGAAAGCATTCTGTCCACTTCGAACGCGTAGGATTCCGGTCCCTCCGTATCGGCCACAGTGAAGGACATGGAAGAGCCCATATCATACAGCACAGGCTCTCCCTGCAGAGACGAGAAGGCGTCCTCGTCGAACACGTAGGTGTACGTCTTGCCGCTGCGAAGAGGGAACGTCATCACCACTTGGTTTTCGGAGATCTCCATGGATCCTTCCACGGGCTGGGACTCTTCCAGAATGGTCACGACGCTCGAGCTGCCCGTCGTGGCGCGCACAGGACCGCTGAAATACAGAGTGAGCTTGCTGTCCGCGGGGACCAGCACCGATCCCGAGGTAGGAATCGAGTGTTGGAAAATCACGGTGAAGGAGGAAGAGGAAACCGTGGTGAAGGGATTGAACGTGATGGCCATCATGCACAGATTATCGCTGTTGCACACAACGTTGTCCGGGATCAGGACTGTGTACTCCGTGCTCGCCGACAATCGATCGGCCTTCTTCGTGTTGTAAATAGTAAAGCTGTGGCCAGACACCACATGGATCTGGCGCTGAACCGCCACTTGATCGCGTGCCTTCACCAAGATCGTCGCGTTCTCTGCAATCACCAGATCCTGGTCGAACGTGAAGACCATCACAGAATCCAGCAGCACGTCCGACTGACCTTCCAGATTGAACGACACCACGGAAGGAGCCATGTCGCGCGTCGTGGTGAAGCTGAGCGACGAAGCCTCGTTGGTGACTCCATACTGATTCGCGAAGCAACCCTCCGGCACCTCCACGGTGTACAGAACGAAGGGGAGCAGAGACTCCACGGAGAAGAGCTGCACCGTCGCCAGCTCGGTGGTCATCGAAATCAGCGAAACGTTATGCGAGTTGTACACGGTGTCCGCAAACGCGTACAGCTGGCAGTCCAGCGTCAGCTGCACGGACTGGTCGAACGCCAGCGACAGCGTGGTCGACAGAGGGACCGAGTGCGCGCCATCCGCAGGGCTGCATGCATCCTTCAGCAAGACGGGCTTCTGCGAGCTGTAGATCGTGACCGTCTCCTCCAGCACCGTCAGATCGTTTCCATTTCCGAAGATGTTATACACCACATCCGGCTCGAGCGTGATAAGATAGCTGTGTCCGCTCAGCGCTCCCGAGAAGGGGATGTTCAACGTGCGATCCTCCACGAACAGCGCACTGGACGCGACCGAGATCACCGACTCGCATCCCTGGCAGGTCAGCATCACCGAGCCCGTTCCCAAGGTCACCACGCTCGAGAACTGCAGGTGCAGCACGTCCGAATCAAACGCCGTGTTCGACGTCAGCGACTGGGCCACCGGCTGCACCGTCTCCGTCGAGATGACAATGCTGAACTGAGCTCGCTCGTTTCCATTACCCGAAGCATCCACGATCAGGCCAGCAGGCACATCCACGCTGACGCTCTCGCCGGACTGGAAGCGAATGGGGTTGGGAATCACCACGCGATTGTTCTCCAGCGAAAGCATCTCCGCCGTGTACAGGAAGGTGAAGTTCGAGGAGCGGACCGTGATTCCGCCATCGATCGCTCCGGAGAGAGAAACCGAGGCGGAGTCCGTGATCTGGAAAATGAGGTCCGAAATACGCGAGGCGGCCTGGAGATCGTCGATTGGCTGCAGCTGGAGAGCCACGACCGGACGATCCATGTCAGCGATACGGAACGCAAGGTAGATAGGCTCCGAATACTCGTTGCCGTTGAGATCACTGATGCTTCCCTCCTCAATAATCACAGAGCACTGCATCGAGCTCGGAATCTCGAACGGAATCGTGAGAACCGACTCAGCCACCACGGGAATGTCCTCCGGAATCGCAAGCACCGTTGATCCGCAAGTAATACTGGATGTCCAGTTACCTGTGACCATCACGTCCTTGTTGAAATGGAACTCAAGGGATCCGCTCACACCAATCTCGCCATTCATCTCAGGGACCGTCTTCACAAGGACGGGTTCTGCAGAGTCCATGGTAGTGATAATGTAATCAGAAAAACCATCAAACGGCATTTTGTTCTTTCCAAGGATAGAACCCTTGGGAATGGCAATTCTATAGGTTTGGGAGAGCTCCAGCTGCGGAATAAGAGTCAACGTGGTTCCCTCAATCATGGAGTCCTAGACATGATACGAAAAGTGCACCACAAACATAAAGATTCAGAACAGTGACTCGGGCGTCCTGCATTAAATAGGCAACACAGTTCGTGCTACATTCGATCTCTTGATCAAACTGAATCAAAATTCGATCTCCCATTGTGAAGTTCGCAGAACCTGATTCCGGGCTAAACGAAACAATACTGGGAGAAGTAACGAATGAAGCTATACATTATAACGTGCTGACGGAGCTAATACCTTTCGATATGACACAAAGAACGACAAGAACAACTACAAAGAAATTCTATACATAAGAACCCATTATTTGGAAAATAAACACCTACATTTGCATTCATTGTCACTATGAAGCAATATCTAGTAAGCACACTCGTTTAGAAGTTCGTGTACAGGTGTTCTTGATTATCATCAAGTATGGTTAAATTGCTTTAACATATTATTAAGCACATGGGATTGATAGAAAGAGCTCGAAGGTGTTGAAACGTATTATGGAAATAGAATGGTGTGGAATAATAGGAAGGAGGTGAATTGTGTGTTGAGTATTTGCTGATGCTCGTTTTTGTATGTGTGTTAATACTTGCTTTGAAAATGACATTATTTGGAATAATGTCATGAATCAGATAATATCTTGAAATGGTAGTTTTACTATTTGAAAAAGGAAGGGATTCTGGATGTGGACAAGGTATATGTGTACGATAAGATATCATGACACAAATGTTACAAAACAATTGAAAAGTGTTTTCTGTAAAGAGACGACAAAAACGCAAAAGTACTCTCTGATAGGCTGTCCTAACAGTCCTTATTATAACATTTATCTATTTATTTTGTACCAATTAGATATTGGAAACAATCTAGGAGTTTGAAATGAGAGACGTTGTTTATTGATTATTTCTTGACTGTTCCACACACACACATATATATATATATATGGAGAAATAGTTGTAGTAATTATCCTACTTAAAGAAAGAACGAGAATATTCGTTTGCGTTCAAACTATTACCAGTATCGCTATATCAACATATTGCTGATTATATTCTAAAAACAGAGAAGAGAAATAGATTTCCATTTTCGTATCAAGTACACAACACATTTGTATACAACATTCAACTCCTGCATAATATCCAACATACCCTCATCGTTTTTATATCCATTATATTCAGATGTACCACAACTACAGAGATGTCACCTTGATATTAGAAACCCCTTCAATTCTCAATATAACAGAGAACATACTCACAATGTATTTGATAGATTATGAAGTTTGTTATCTCACTCAAAGATTAAACAAATATCACCTTGATTCTTGTTCTGTTTGCTTTAATCACTGAAAATTACATTACTATCTATAAGAAAAATGATACGTGACTCATTGGTAAACTAATTGGTTCTCCAGGCAAAGAAATAATCCCGTAATAGAATTGGAATTAGAATTAATCATTCTTTTAATCCGCAAACAATGAAGAATTGAAACCGTTTTGAAATATATTTAATCACAAAACCGTTGCGTTTCTTTTCAATATTTTTTCCTTCCCATGTTTCTACTCTTGCTCGTTTTTGTCTATTTGGGGTTGACTATTACATCTACGTGTTAATCATAGGGTGTCATTGCTGTGTGTCACTGTTTCAACTATCTCTCCTCAATTTCTATATTTACCTACTCGCGTAAGTACTTCTTCGTTTTCAAAGTATGTACCAGCAATATATGCTTTTGTATAGAGTGATTTCGAGCGATAATAGCTCTACCGTATTGGTATAAATTAGCTAACATCCTAGGAAGTGATTGCTACTGTTGCTCCAACTATTCGTGTCAATCCTACTGTCAGTGTGCCAAATACTACAAAGAATGAAGAGAACGATCAAAAAGAAGCAAAGCAAAGTAGCAACTCAAAGGATATAGAATTAGTTTACAATGTATCAAAGAATCATCGCGTGATGAGAGGTCATGGAATTACAGACCACCTTCCTGGAATTCGGTGGAATAGATATGGGTAGGAAATGGTTGATTCGTTTTTTTGTAGAGACTACTTGGACAAAAAAGGCTCCAAGCCTATCGACTATTCCATGATTAAGTCCGAAGAGTTACGTGAATTGTTGGTTTCGTTTTTGTAGAGTCAAATAATAGGGTTCGTTCCAAACGAAAATTGTTCCTTCTTCCCAATACCAAAGGTTTAGGAAATCGATTACAGCTTTTCTGTGGTTTGTATTTCATAGCCATCCGACATAACTGTTCTATTGTGAGTAGGACTGTGCCTTGCTTCCTTTTAATGATTTTAGTTCCTCATTCTGCTATGTGGGACAAGTTTTGGACTATCAAGCAATTCTTCCCTCAGCAAGTTGTCTTTGCTGCTGATGAAGGTATCGATAAGTGAATTATTATGTGATTGAATAGACTTGAATTATCTATTTCATTTTAGCTATCTAATTGTTGTGAAAGCAATAGGGAATTACGTCAAAACCGATTTAAGACGAATCAGGAAGTTCATTATGACGGGCAATGAGCGAATTGGATTACCTACAGGCATTACAACGATTATCGGATATTCGCACATTCTGCGATTCATTCTCGATTCTAAACCTTATCATCCAATTCTATTAGCCAGTGGAATTACTGGTTTCCAAAAAAAGGTGTCGTCCCATATGAAGGTTTACTATTGTTATGGAGAGTTTTTACGAGACATTATGCAGATTACCGATCTGACAAAGGAAATGATGAAAGTACGATATCCGATCGTTTTTGAACAACCCTATGACGCGATTCAGCTGAGAATGGGAGGACGATTATCGGACGTTCCCATGCCTAATCATTATCTTACCATGAACTCATTGAATGTTGCCATTCGATGTATTGGAGCCTATTGCAAGTCAAAGAATCTTTATATAGCTTCTGATTCCATAAAGGCCAAGCGATTCATGAAAGAGAGACTACAAGGAAAGAATGTGACTTTTGTCAATGAGAAGTCTTTGTTTTCCGATAGTCAACTGAATAACATGGAAGGTGTTTACATCGCTACCTTTTCTGCTGTGGCTGATATCTATATTCTGGGAAATAGCCAGCAATGCATAATGACGGAAGATAGCACATTTGCTTACGCTGGATGTGCTATCACAGGCAAACCTCCTGTGATTATTCCGTTAAAAAGGCAAGTGTGCTTTGAAAGTAATAGGTTAAAAGAGCTGTAATGAGTACAGTGGAGATAACACTTTAATTGTTATGGTAATAGTAATATTATAACTTCTGTGATCTATTTGTGAACAATAATCCTCGATACTTTAACAGTTCATGAAAGTGGCTTGCTACCAATGGCAATATGTACAAATGGAATAATTCAAACACAGTACTATAACAGTACTTGAAAAATACCACTAGCTTCAAGTAATTGTATCCCACAGGGTAAAAATTAATATTCCTTTCTGCTACAAGATAATTGTCTATATGGGTGTCTGGATAATTAGGAATTGTCATGTTGTACATAGAAGGTCACGTTGACTTTACTCACACTTCATATAATAATCATGAAACTACTATAGAGTAACAATAACTTTTGGAATACCAATATTCTCCCATAATTGGTAGTCTTTATTACTTCTCTGGTCTTTTTGTTTTCATTAGAATGAAGATAATATTGATCATTGTTGCAAGTTATATGCTGTTTTACTTTATTGGGATTGTAAATATAGGTCACAATTTTACGTAATGAATTATGAATCAAATAGGTTATTTTATTTCCCATTTCAGGCTTGCCAAACATCTTTAGTGTCTGTAAGGTATAAAATCACTCGGTTTGTTCTATGTAGATGTTCTGACAAAGCAAGTCCAAAGAATAGTGTATCATTAGTTCAGCAAAGTGAAAATGTAATCGTATCGGACTCAAAAAGCGTTTTAAGAAACAATAGTCGGTTAGAAACAGTAACAGATTGGAGTAGCAATGTCACTACTCCACCAATAAATAATAATAATACAAATGGCACAACTGCAGATGCCAATGTTGAAGCATTACTCAATGCCAAGCAAGATCATCAAATAAGGGCAGGAGCCAGGATTCGGGACTCTCTTCCTGGAATCATAAACAGATATGGGTAATAGTTTGATATTTGTATACATTCTTTTAGTGATAGAGTCAGTTTGAACCACACAATTGATATTGAAGTCGGTCAAATACAGTCTACGGAGTTAAGGGCTTTGTAATATATTATGATTGCAATCAAGTTATGCATAGAGTGAGTTCAAACCAGCGTTTGATCCTTTTACCCAATTATAAAGGCTTGGGGAATCGTTTGCAGCTGTTCAGTGGATTGTATTTTCTATCAATTAGACACAGAATCCCTATTATCAGTACGTTCGAATCTGTTGTTTAATTCTAGTTCCTTATTCTGCACTGTGGCATAAGGTGTGGAGCATTCGGCAGAACTATATGGGGCAGATTGTGTATGTTCCAGATGAAGGTATCGTTTTGAGAAAATTGTGAATAATATAGATATAAGCTATCTGCTTCACTACAGTTATTTATTGATTCCCAAGCCAGACGGCGAATATTTTTATAAAGATTTGCGATTCACATACTTGGCTTTTTCAAAAGGAACTCTTGATCAAATATTCCCAACAAGAATAACTGCAGTAATTGGAAATTTTCTTCTACTGAAGTTCGTGATCAATTTGAAGGAATACCAGGATATTCTCCTGCACAATGGAATAGTGAGTTTTCAGAAAAGGATTTCCTCCTCTCTCCAACAATACTATTGTTATGGAGAGTTTTTGAGGAACGTTATGCCAATCACTGACCTGACAAAGCAGATCATGAGAATGAGATATCCGATCGTGGATACTCAATCATTTGATGCGATTCAGCTGAGAATGGGTGGAAGACTGAGCGATTTCCCGTTGGATCAGCAATGGTTATCAATAAGGTCTCTCGCTGTAGCGGTTCGCTGTATAGAAGCGCACTTCCAAACCAATAACATTTATGTTGCTTCAGATTCGATGTATGCAAAGAACTATCTGAAACGGAATCTGACGGATCGAAATGTGAGTTTTGTGAATGAGAAAGCACTCTTCTCTGATACCCAAATCATGACTTTAGATAGTGTTTCTGTCGCTACCTATACAGCAGTGGCGGATCTGTACATCCTGGGTAAAAGCAAATCGTGTATCATGACAAGTGGAAGTACATTTGCTTTTGCTGGATGTGCACTCTCTGGCAATCCGCCGATTATATTGACCTTTAATGGAAATACGTGTACTGGATTTTAGTTTTAGTAATGCGATTGAATATTGTAGTGTGTGGGTTTTTGTTTGAAAATACAAAACTGGACTAGAGTGTTATTAGCTTCTTGATTGATTGATTGATTGATTGATTTGTTGTTCCCTCCAATAAAGTAAATAGATAAGTCTTGTAACTTGAGATAAGAATACTTCTCATTGACCTAGAGTCCATTCTTATTGATTTCCACTTTATCGCTTGTTATCCTGTTACAATATTCAAACTTTTTGATTGCTATTAAAAAGAGAACAATGATCAAAATTGAATTCAAACAAAATCAGTTATGTATAACGAATCTCTAAGATTATTAATCCCTAGAGATCGTGCTTATTGTTTAAGAATACTGCTAACACCTCGATATTCCAAACAGTGTTTACAGATAGAGAGCAAAATTGCTGTTGTGAAAATGCTCTCTTTTGTCATTGTAGTTCATTTGGATATTCACACTAGTGTATATGATAATGACACAGTCTTACTTAGTTGTGCTTGACATTTATAATAATTATGAGTTTCCAAAGGATCATGACTTGATCTATTGATTTTAAAAACATTCACAAATGGACTAATAATGTGTAAATGCACGTGAATCTTCATTAAATGACTCTCTACTGAAGAGAAATCATGATAAAAGCTCGTATCACTGACCATAGAACAGAAGGAACAATTCGGTACACTTCAATACTGAGCTTAAGCAGCGTTATTTACAGACTAAAAACCAAACAACACGCTACTCGTCCAATGTACGCACTCTCTTTCCAACAAACAAGTTTACACATACTCTGATCTAGTTTATTCACTTTCCAAAATCTATTCTTCCTCTTCTAGGTCCGCTTGTCTCTCGCTCGCAGGAACGAACGGGGCGGCGTTCACTGACTCTGCATTAAATGTACGCGTTTTCAATGTCTGCTTTTCAAAAGACTGGCTCTGATTCTGGCTTTGATTCTGAATCTGCGATTGCTGTATCTGTTGATACTGCGAGATAGGGACTGACGAATACAAATGATTCGACTGCATGGGTTGCAAGAGTTGCATAGGCTGCATTGTCTGCATTGTCTGCATGGGTTGAACGGTCTGCATTGGTTGCATTGGTTGCATTGTTTGCATTGGTTGCATTGTCTGCATTGGTTGCACGGTCTGCATTGTTTGCATTGGCTGCATCGCATGGCCCTGCATGGGCTGCACGATCCGATTCACCGCCGTCGGGATCAGATACGGCATGTTCGAGTACGCCGCATTCCCGCGGTCCTGCTTGATCCCCGCGGGGAGCAGCACCGACTGTCCGCCGGGCGTTTCTCCCTGGGGTCTATGCGGTTCCCGCGGGGGGAGCGTGGCGGCGGGGGGATAGGCGTAGGACACCATCATCGGCACCGCGTGCTGCGCTCCCGCCTCCTCGCGACTCCCGGCACGCAGCGAGCGAAGATCCCGCGGGTCCCGCGGATCGCGGGGATCACGGGGATCGCGGGGATCGCGGGGATCGCGAGGGCGACGATCCGCCAGCACCGATCGGGGCACATGGCTGGGAGCCAAGCCCGGACCCAACCCTTGATTCATTCCCTGGCCCATTCCTTGATTCATTCCCTGACTAATCCCTTGGCCCATTCCCTGACTAATCCCTTGGTTCATTCCCTGACTAATCCCTTGGTTCATTCCTTGATTCATTCCCTGGTTCATTCCTTGATTCATTCCCTGACTAATCCCTTGGTTCATTCCCTGACTAATCCCTTGGTTCATTCCTTGGTTCATTCCTTGGTTCATTCCCTGATTGATTCCCTGGTTCATTCGGGGCTGGGCGGCCCGAGGATCGTCCTGTTCCTCGCCGCGTCGCTCTCTCGCTCCTTCCTCTCCCACGCTGTCCCGCGGGGATGGCCTCGCCGGCTCCTCGCCCGCCTCCTCCGCCTCTCCCGCCGCCGGCTCGCCGGCTTCCGCGGGGAACCGCGCCGTGGGTGCCATCCCCGCGGGGAGGGGTCCGCCCTGCTGGGCGAAGTAGGCGGGCTGCATGAAGGGCATCAGCGCCGCCACGCCGGGCACGTAGCCCTGGCCCAGCGGACGATTCACCGCGGGGATCACCGCGGGGGACACCAGCTGCGGCATCCCCGCCACCACGCCCTGCGCCAGCCCCGCGCTCCCCGCGGGAGCCACGCCCTTCGCTCCGCTGGGGCCGCTCGGCAGCGACCGTATGTCGGACCGCATGTCGGACCGTATGTCGGACCGTATGTCGGACCGTATGTCGGACCGTATGTCAGAACGTATGTCAGAACGTATGTCGGACCGTATGTCAGAACGTATGTCAGAACGCATGTCGGACCGCATCTCAGAACGCATGTCAGAACGCATGTCAGAACGCATGTCAGAACGCATGTCAGAACGCATGTCGGAGCGTACGTTGGGGTAGAGAGGGGGTCGTACGTCCTGGCGAAACTCCCTGCGCGGGTCGCGTCGGAGATCCTGCGGGATGTCGGGTCGCATTCGCTGGCGCACGGCGGGTCGGACGGGCGGGAACTTCCCCATCTCGTCGAACTGCACGCGTTCCCGCGGGTCCAGCTCGTCCAGCGCGTCCGCGTAGCGGAAGGGGGCGCGGATTTCTTCGGGGAGGCGCCGCGCGGCCAGCGGCCCGTCCTGCGCGTACGCGCCCAGCAGCCGCTGCGCCGACACTTCCTCCCGCGGGGCGGCCTCCGAGAGCGGCGGGCCCGCGCGCCGCGGCTTCCTGGGCTTGGTCTTGTCCCGCGGGGCTGGTTCCTTGGGCTTCTTCTCGCGCGCGGGCTTGGCGGGCTTGGCGAAGCGCGGCGCGTCGAGCGGCGGCGCGGTCAGCGCGGGCGCGGGGCCGCGGCCCAGCTCCGCGTAGCCGAGCGGGTAGCCGAGCTTGCGCTCGCCCGCCTCGCCGAGCTGCAGCAGCAGCATGCGATCCACGGCGCCGCCCAGCGGACGATCGCGGTACAGTCGACCCGCGCCAAGACCGAGCGGCGCGTAGCCCGCAGACGAAGACGCAGAGGCAGAGGCGGGGCCGTAGAGGTCGGAGAGCGCGGGCTCCCCGCGGGGACGCGCGGGGGCGTCGAAGGAGCCAGGGCGGAGAGGGAGCTGGTGGCGGCGAATGGCGTTGCGACGCAGATCGGATTCCAAATCGTCCGCGAACACGGCGCCGCGACCCCCGTAGAAAACGCGGTCCGCGGCGGGGGACGCCTCGCCATCCAGGCGCTCGGACGGGCGGGGAGAGGCCTCGGCTTCGACGCGGCGGTCGGCGGAACCGTCCAAAGAACCGTCCAAAGAACCGTCGACGCGGATTGGGTCCTGCTCGACTTGCTGCTGTTTCTTCTTCTTCTTCTTCGGGGTCGACGAGGCGTGGATGATGTCCTCGTTCGCCTACGATCGATGCGCGGACCGAAGCCTACCGAAATGTCCATCAATTGGCCGTGCGAAGTGTCCGGAAGGTCCCACTCGGGAGTTTCGTCGCTGTCCATGTCGAGGAACTGGCTGGGCGGAGCCTTCTTGGTTTCACGGTCGAGGAGAAGCGCGTTGGCTTCATCCAGTGGAACGACCCTGTAGGAAAAGAACCGCTTTGGAGCTGAAGAAGTGGACATTTGATCTCGAATGGAGCGAAGCTCCGAGGGATTCTAGATTGCAGCAAAAGCAAAAGCGTACATAAATATATTTCTTAAATACCAGCGATACACCCTCAATCTCCTCCTGTTCGGGGAAATCGGTAGTGTTCACGATAGCCGGGTCAATAAAGGGGATGTCGCTAACACTTCCCTGAACTGTTTCGTTTTTTATTAGAAATGAAATGTCAGTGATGCTCTCTCCTTCTTTGGCCGGAATTTGGAGCAAACTCGAAATGTCTTCCTCGGATTTGTCCTCTCCAACGGGATTCGGATCCTCCTAGATAAAATTACGTCAAAATACGCACACCTACCTTCTCATTCAGGAAAACCTCGTTTAGGGTTTCGTTCTACAAATTATCCAACTACCTTTGCAGGTTACTGGCTCCTCGTTCTGGTCACTATACGTAAAACTGTAAGATTAAAGCCTACTTTTGCGCAAGGGTGCCGACCTCTATGTCTGCTTGAACGATCTCAGCTATACATGATCAGCACAGTTTCACAAGATACGTTTTTCCTCAAACATTTTTCCTTCAAGTTTGAACTAGCTATTCATAAAATAGAAAGGCAGACTCCTACAACGCAGCAAAGTATAACTAGTAAAGACCTAAAAGGATGTCAGCAACCTTTTTCTAGAAAACGGTTTTTTGGACAAATCAACAGAAGTTCGTTTCACAAACACTCACAAGGACATGGTGTATTAATGAACATGTTATTGTTCTTCAGCTCTTCAGGAGGGATACAGCACGATATCATGAGTTTCTACGCCTCAATCGACTCCTACACATCGTACGTCCACAACTCGGATGTGATTCGTCAGCCAGCTTATGCAGTAGTCCAGCAGCTCTTTGCCGAGAACGACGTCCGCCTTTTTCCCCACATCCTTCTTAAAGGAGGTTAATCTTTCCAGGAACTCCTAAATCTCATCGTATTCCCGCTTCCTCACATCGTGCTGTTTCTTGTGTGCTGCAAACTGCGGATATTTTGTGCATGTTAAGAAACACTCAACATCACAGCACTTGCTGTGTTATATAATATATATATATATATATAGAACAGCAATCTCACTATTCTCATTGCAACAAGGATATGGATGATTCATAAAAATCGCTTCTTCGTCCGTAAAGTGAATCCACACATAATCACTCAACGCGTCCAGCACGTCAAAAATACAGATATCCGCTTGGTTCCCCGTGTTCACATGGATCAGAACGTGCCGTGAAGGTCCCAACCAACAATCATGCATCATGCATCATGCACCACACATCATCACAACATGGATATATTCACAATCGTTAGTAGCCATTCATGCTGTCGGTCGATAGGATGATACCCGGTCGAGAGAATGCCATCGCTCCACTCGATGTACGGCTGCTTCAGCGAGAGCATGGTTTCGCGGAGAGAGAAGCTTCCGTACACGTTGTGCGTCACTACGCGACACAAAAGGAGAAAAGGGGAAACGTTTCAAGTCGAGGAAGGTTTGCAGACCTTTCGAGAGGAGGTTCACCCAGGCAGCGCAACTCTTGATGAACGCTTCTCTAGCGTGTGAGTCGATTGAATGGCGCGAAACCCAATGCAGTCAGAGAGAACCAGTAAGATCACGGTACCGATGTCGGCGAAGAGATACGCATCGATGCCGTATGCCTTGTTATAGTATGTGATTAGGTAATTGTATGTATAATCGATCCTCTATCATAAATCACCCTTTCACTCCAATACCTCGAGGGTTGAACAGGTGGACAATTGGTTACAAGCTTCGGTTATAATATCGTTGAAAAAGTTCTAGGACTCACAGAAAAGCAAAAAGACGACGCGAGCGAAATCCGTCTTCAAGATGTCGGTAGCACGGAGATATACTCCTCTCTCTCCTTGGATGTTCAGGTTTTTCTAATCAAAAAACAATAATTCGATGGCAAACGCGAATAAAGGCAGGAGATACAATAAACAGCCGGTGGAATAGCTGTCGGAACATAAAATCCAGCGGTGTGACAGAATTATCGAATCTAGGCCTTAACCCTTCACCCTGCTCAAACTTTTGAATTCGCTGGTAGACAGCCATGTCACCATTAGTGAACGCTGCTATTGTACTTCTACACACAGATATTGTGGTCGTCTTCACTTCAAACTTAGGGTAGAACCTGCAACATAAGTAAACGATTATTCGACAATCACCATTGCGGATACGAGAATCCGTCATTATTGCAGGAATATCCCGTTGGAACAGCAAGTTGCTGACCCATTCCAAAAAGAGTATGATCCTCATTCCATAATTCTTCTTTGTATTGTAGCAGCCTAGTATTCTGGAAATAGAAGGAAAAGGTCAATCACCCAACTGGTGATGCTGGTGAGTTATGTGCCAGTTTTGTTTTATGCATACCAAAACCATTCTACTGTATTTGGATTTGGCAATGGACATGGATGATGCAGATTGTTATCTTCTGTGATATTTTTCCATTATGCATGTGTGCATTACACAAACCAAACCATATACTTGAACGATGGGAAATCGGACTGTACGTTCAGTGGTTTCCACAGTGATAGTAATCATAAAAGAATGATTCTGATTCAATTCTTATACTATGCTCACCACTGCTGGGAGGAACAGATCAAGATTCCACTTATATGTTGTATCTATTGCGTGTCAAACCGGATTTTCCATTATTTTACCCCTTGTTCCTTTTGTTAATGAAGTGCTGAACACGACGAGTCTTCAGTACTCTTTGACCTTCAGCGGCTACTATCTGTCAATGATTTTAAGTTTCTCTTGTTGATGTGTTTCACCTCCAGGTTCCATCATATTTGGCGCTCTTAGCGATCGGATTGGCAGAAGAATGGCTATTGTAGTGTCTCTATTTGGACTGACGTTAGGTGAGAAACACACTCTGTAGTTGAGACTTAGGGTCGGTTGTTTGCTACACTACGTCCAACGTGTATGTTTTTATTGCGGCTCGCGTCGCTACTGGCTTAATGGATAACATGGTTGCTCTAGGTCAAGCCTATATGGCGGATATTACTCCTCTACGAGAGAGACCGAGATATTTTGCTCAGTTGGAGAGCGTGATGAACTTTACGCAGTGCATCGGTCCTTTAGTGGGAGGTATTCTCTCCAAGGTTGACCTTTACATTCCTCTGTATGCTTTATCTCGTGCTTATTGAAACGAAAGATATCTTGCGATCGTGCTCTACGCGTTTTCGTTCGTCTACGCCTTTTTCTTGCTCCCGGAATCCGTTTATTCTGTGGTCGAAAAGAAGGAAATCCTCGCCACCTTCAACCGAGTCAACCAGAGCGACCGTGGCCGAACTTCGCTTCTCGATATGGGTATTGGACGGGGTGGATTGTCAAAGCAAAGAGGAATCGCAGCGAATTCAAGAGGAGTTTTTGAAGCAAATGCGAAAGCAAGGTATTTCTTTTCTTTTTTTCTTTCTTACTTTCTTTTAGAAATGGAGCGAATGAAGAACGCGAAGCTCACAATGAACTACCTGATCGTGATCGCGATCATCGGCGAGTTCTGCAACAAATGGGTGTTCAGCATCTTCGACACGGTGGTTTCCATCTACGGCATGGAGCACTTCCAGCTCGACGCCTTCATGTTCGGCGTGATGAGCTGCATCGGCAGTCTCGTCAACATGGTCCAGACCGGCTGGCTCTTCACCTTCCTCATCCACAAGGACTTCTCCATCCCCACCATGGCGTCCTGGGCCGGCATCGTAGGCGGTAGGGCTGTCCATTGCGCGGTGCGAAGCGTAGCGCTCGCCATGTTCCTCTGCGTCGCGCAGGACAAAAACATCTTCATTCTCGGAGGCATCGTCATCATCGTCGCCTACGGATTCGCCGCCCCCGCTCCGCCAGCCATCGTATCGGTAGGGCTGAGGCCTGGGATCGAGGGCAGGCGGAGAGTAACGACGACACACAAGGAAAGGCGCTGTCGCTGATTACCGTGGGAGGACAACTCGCGCAGCTTTTCTCGCCTCTCGTGCTCAACAATATCTATCCCATGAACAATGAATTGCCGTTTTATGCGTCGTTGCTGGCTTGTAGGAGGCGGGGAACGCATGGGATGTAGGTGGAATCTTGACATTCATGATGCTGATCTGTAACTACTTACCCGGAGGAAGACTGGCCGGACAGGTGTCGCTGGCCGATTCGAAGGAGTTTGAGATGCAGCAGCGCATGTCAAAGGTGGGAGGAGACGAGAGTTGGAAAAAGGTGGGAAAATGGAGTGTTTGTTTGAATAAACAAGGCATTTGAAGAGGTGGTAGAGGATATAGAAAAGGAAGAAACAGCCTACAGCTAGTACGACGGGAATGAGAGCGGGGTTCGTTGTAGATGCGATATCTAGATGGGAATCAAGCGAGAGCATCAGGTACGACCATTGTTTTCAATGCCATAGCGTCCACGGAGCTGCGAGGCACTCAAGTCACTGTCTGGAATGGTACCTCCTCTGTGATATCGCTTTCGCAGCTCACTTGCATTCAGTTGATCGTCCGACATTAGATTATGGGAAGATGACAGCCACGTGCTGCAAGATCCAAAACGAAAGAATCCAATATAATTTTACCGATGGATGGAAGAGATGAAGAGAGTTTGGATTTGAATGTTTGGGAGTCAAATGGAAAACATCGATTCCACCCATTCTTAACTACAAAGAGATAATATTAGAGCAGATAATGTTTTTTACTTTATCTACCATATTACTACGACTACTACTAATAAGGGAAAGATTGTCAATTCTTAAGCCAACACCAAATTAAAGAATTATCCTATAAATAGAAGAGTCAGAACTTACAGAATAGCTATAAAATACGAGCAATTTGTCAGGGTTAATTTGTTCACACACCCAAAATAGTCATACCTTCCATGGAAGAGGAAGTAGGCTTATTCCACATTCAAATCATTTTAAGAAAGTGAGTAATCAAAGTGAAATGGTGGAGATGGATGAAATGGTCGAGTATGTTATGCATCTGGATAGTCTAATGGTTAGAAATGATCATAGAAAACGGTCACGCTCCTCATCGTTCGTTTTGCAGTTTGAAGGAATAACGCCTAGAATTTCTTCCCACCGCTCAGATAAAGAGGAGAGATCACGATCGCGTAGTCGTTCTCGCAGTTCCCAACGTCTTATGGAAGAGGAACCGTCCGAGTCGTTTTTGGACAATGTAATTAAATAATTCTGTAGAGAGAATACGAAACAGCAGCAAATCCAATCCGTTCAAAAGGCAAGACAGAACATGGACTTGAGTTCTCCGCGCGAGATCATTCCCACGATCGAGCTTCCCAAAGTGGCGGCCAAGCTGTCCTACCGCGAATACGTGCTTCTCCGGGAGCAAGACACCATCACGATGGAGGAGGCAGAGGAAGGCTACGAGAAGTGCGAAGTGCTCCAACCCCCTCACCGGCAGCTACCTTCGCCACGAGCAATACAAGAACGCGATCAGCTTCTTCGACGCGATGGCGAACGAGGAGTGGCTCGTGGAGCAGGAAATCCCCTCCTTCCACAAGCAATGGCTCCAGCAATGCCGCGCCGAGCACCAAGCCGAAGCCCTGCGCTGGCGCTCCGCGCTCCGCACCGACTCCTTCTTCCTCCCCGCCGCGCAGTCCCGCGACTTCGACGCGTCCTCCTTCGCGTGTCCGCTTCCGAACGGCTTCGCAGAGCGCTGCATCTACATCCACGCGATCCCTCCGCGCTGCACGCGCCGCTGCCTCCTCGACTGGCTGCGCCAATTCGACGGGCTCGACGCCGTCTACTTCGGCGACGCCTTCCGCTGCCCCCCCGCGGAACTCAACCGACCCGCCTTCGCGCTCTTCGCCTCCCCCGCGCAGACCGCCGCGGCGTTTCATCGCATGGTGGGCGTGCACGTGCCGCTCAAAGACACCGCCTGTCTCGGGCTCAACGGGCTCAAAGAGGAGGAGGACGGCAAGCCGCGCACCTTCATCATGCTCTGCTCGCTCTGGAAGCCCTCCGAGAAACTCCCGCCGCTCCGCGGAATCGCCAATTCCCCGCGGAGAATCGAGGCCGACCGGCAGAATGGACGCGCCATCTGGGCGGCCGCCGAGCGATTCTGGGTGGGCGCGGCGCGCGAGGATGACCGGTAGGGCCTGGAGACGGGGCTGTTGAAGGAGCTGGACGCGTTCACGACGGAACATCCGTGGATTCCGCCGTATTTCGAGGTGGACGCGCTGGCGTTTCTGCTGCGACGCGTGTTTGGCATCGATTATTGGGCCGGAACCAATCACTACGAGTTCGGCGTCGCGCTTCACGTTTCCTTGCTTCCACGTTTCCACGTAGCATCACGGGTCGGACCGCTCCCGCGGTTCTTCGGCCGATTCGACGCCGGAAGACGAAGCGTGGGCGCGGCAAATCGACGAAAACACGGCGAAACTCCTCGCGGAATTGGGAGAAACGACGGTGGATCGGGTTTTGAGCGAGGAAACGCCGCTGGAAGCGCGGGAGCGCGAGATCCGCGGTTCTGCGATGGAAGAATTCTATCAGAAAAACATCGTGGTGCCGGAGAAGAAGGCGGGGAACGAAGCGGAGGCCCGGGTGGATATGCGGCAATGCCGATTGTGTTTTAAAAACTTCCAGAACGCGGATTACGTGCGGAAGCACATTCTGAACAAACATGCAGATTTGATGAAGGTGGCCGAGAATAAAATGGTGCTGCTGGAAGTCGTGCGGGCGGATTACATTAAGAATCCGAAGGCGAGGATCCCGAATGTCACGCCGATGAAGATCATTAGTCGGACCAGTGCTACCACGCAGGAGACTGTGCAGACGGAGGATTTGCAGAAGCTGGTGGGTTATGGTGAGGGAATTAGGAGGAAATGAAGTGTAGCGAAGAGGTATGTGGATCGCGACATGGTTGGAGGACTGGAACTGCGGATTAAAAAGTCGGTGAGCGAAATATTTGACGATGAGTTCTAACATCGGTTGTTTGTTCTTTTAACCAAGTTCCATTCTAAAAATCAAACCAAAAGTAGTATAGAGTATTGTATGAGAGGTTTAGGGGGTGCTTTCTATTCTTCTCAAATGATACTGCGGCTCTCTCCACTAACTCCTGTGAGAAAGCTCGTTCCTCCGTGTTTCACACGGATGTATTATAAACACAAAGAAGACCCGCTCTATGTCCCGTTTGCCACCGACGCAGAGCGGGAGCTTGCGTCCATTCGTTTCTGGGTGTCTAAGAATACAAATTTGAAGGGAGTTAATGTAAACTGCCGTGTAGGCGCGAGTGAAGCGAAATTAATGCGTAGCATGCTTACCTTCCATTCTGGAGTTTTTCTTTTGATTGCTATATCCACTTCAACGGAGGATGCGCAGTTTCTACATACTCTGATAAAGATCCAGTCAAGAGAAAGAGATGCCAAGTTTACGGAGGAAAGGACTATAACTATAAATTTGTGTGTGTTTGCGGTGCTCTGCTCACATCTAGTTGGAGGAGGTCAAGACCTCATGCGAAAACGCAATACCTCTCAATCCCTCCATCATGGTAGGCGTCAAAGAGATCGAACCCTGGGGAATCTACGAGCAGACCGCGTGGGATATCGTCCGCACCAACGTCGAAGAAGAAGAGCGTTACAAGCTCCATCAGAAGTCCCATCTGATGCACGGTTCGATCCGCAACGTTTACTTCGAGTACCAAAACCGTTCCGTCAAAATGGTGATGCTCCCCGTGATCATCGCCCAGAACAACAACCTCCACGAGTTCTTCACCATCTTCATCAGCGGAACCACCGGGATTCCCGCGGGACTCTCCATCCACACGATGCCCAAATTCACGAACGTCCCGTTCTACCGCCTCGTGCGCTTTTCATGTGTGGATAACCGCGGTAGGACAAATTCTGCATCCCGCTGCTGAAGTTCTGCTATCAAAAGCTGGGCGATTGGGTGATTCGGCTGCATTCGAGTCGCGAGCAGCGCAAAATGAGCGAGCTGCAGCGACGTGTGGCTGCGGAGCGCGATGTGTCGGTGATCGAGAGCTACTACAGCAAGAAGTTCGCGCGAGAAGCGCGGTGGGAAGTGTGGAAGGACCGCGTGATCGCGTGGATGGAGCTGCTGAACGTGAATTATAAGAGCTATGCGGAGGAATACGAAGAGTTCGTGGAGATGAAAATGAAGATGAAGATGAAGCAGGAGGCGCAGCAGCGAGGCGCGCGCGGAACGGGCGATTTTTACGCGATTCTGGGAGTGGATCGGTGTGCGAGCGAGGAGGAAATCAAGCGGAGCTTCCGCGTGCTGATTATGCAGGTGCATCCGGATTGTTCGCAGTGCGGAGCGGAGGGGAGGAGTGAGGAGTAGCGATGCGATGGACGAGGAGAGAGCGAAGGAGCTGATTGAGGCGTATCAGACGCTGCGGAACCCGGAGAAGCGGACGCTGTATGATTTGTCGCTGCATTAGAGGAGGGCTGGAGGTGGATTAACGAAATTGCGATCGATTGATATTTAAGGAACTGGGGTGTTTGTTTGAAACAGGAGTGAAAGAGTGGAGTGGAGTGAAAGGGGAACCAAAAGAAAGAAGAAGAAGAAGGAAGGAAGGAAGGAAGGAAGGAAGGAAGGAAGGAAGGGGAAAGCATAAATGGAAATGAGAGAAATGATGAAAGAATCAAACAGCAAAAAAAAGGAAATTGATGAAAGAGAGGATCATGAAAACAGATCGTTTGCAAGAAAACAGGCTTGCTAAAAAAACGACTTGAATCAAACACAAAACAATTCCCAATCATCAAAGCTTCGATATCATCGAATTCACGACTTTCTTTAACGGATGGTTTGTATCCAACTGCTCAATCAACAAAAGCAAAGCGTCTTTCTGATTATGCAAACGATCTTCGTAGGCTTTGATGTATTTTCGAAGCAGATTTAACAAGGACACTGCCGAAATCGCCTTGTTCGCCACATACCGAGACAACAATCGAAACAATCCGTCCGAATAGCTCTTCTTCTCGTCCATCGATAAGATCCCGTTTGCGATCGGAACCGAAAACTCGCTCGCCGCCATTCTACTCTCCTTCATCAACTCTTCCACGATCATTTCTCGAATTGAAAGGGAAAGAGACGCGTCAAGACAACGCAGAACCACGTCCGCACTCCATTTCGAAATGGTTCGTTCCTCAACAAGCGGGAGCAGAACGGAATGAATCGTACTCTTCAAGCATCAACCAATCAAAAATGCAGTTCTACACTCGGATACGAACGAAGAAAGTCCTGCAGAGTCGAAATCAATTCTCGAGAAGCCGCGTGATCCACCGATAAAAGAGGAAAGAAGCAGGATTGAAGCACAAAGTCGAGGACAGGCAATGGAGATTTGCTGGAAACAAGATGAGGATAAAACTGAATGAAGCAAGATTCTGGAAGAGGAACGGAAAGATGGAGAGAAGGAAGCGAAGAAACCAGTGAGGGCTATGAAAAATTGTCAGGAAAGCATTGATGAGTACTGTGGAGTTCAGAATGGTAAACAACGCATCGAGTTCTGTTTCGAACACTTTCATTCTGGAAGGATCGCTCATCCAGTGAAGCGAAGAATCCGATAATATGGAGTTCACAATCGAAACGTGTTGAACAAGCTCCTCCGGAATTGCCATCTCGCTAGCAGACTGTGATTCCTGAATTGAAAGCAACGTAATATCATTCGGATTGGACTCCGATAGATAAGCACTTGGATCCCACTCCAACATATTAAAGCAGGAGGATAAGGACATTTTAGGGGTACTTTTGTGTAAGAGTAACGAGCATTCCTGCAGTAAAAGCCGAGCCAACTTCGGATTTGCAAAAGAATTAGAATACCGCTCACAACAATAGTAAATCAATCTGCGCTGATGTGGCGAAATGATAGATATGTACTTCTGCAATGTGTAGATGTGCTTTTCTTGCATTTCTTCACCGTATGTCGTAATACGCGGTACTCTACATTTCACTTATGTTCTCAATCCAAGTACAATGCATTTTTCTTTTTCCCGCTAGCAATCGCATCAACATGCCCAAAAAGCAAATAAACATATTTTTCTATCCCAATTTTCCTTATCGTGCACTCAATGTCACTCAGGGAATTCATGCAAATCGGAATCCAACAAACACCTTCTTATTTTTGCCAATTCTTTTCCACTTGCGATACAGACAACTTGATGTTCTCTTCCAACTACACTCACACAAATAGGTTAATTCTACTTTTAACAACACTTCCTGATCCTCTTCAATCAAGGCAGCACAGGCAGCCTGCCGTTTTTCCAATCGATCGATTCGACTTATGACTTTGCTCCAACTCTGAACTTCGTACCGCTGCGCTCGTAGCTGCAACATCAACTTCTCCACTTCTTTGATGCTCGACAGAAGCAATGTCGCTGTGTCATACACTTTTCTATCGATGAACAGACCCTTTGATTGCTTCTCCGAATATTTCACAAATTGCTGAAGGAGTCGCTACACAACAAAAGCACAACACGATCTTTACAGAGTATTCTGTGTCCATTCTGCTTAAAAACGATGGATTCAGTATCATCACAACCTTCTCTAACTCAGAAAGCATGGTGGGAAACGAATTATTCTCGCTCGCCTCCTCTAGTTTTACAATCATTTGGTGAATATCTTGAATCGATTCCTGCAATTTGGCTATATCAGACATGATAGATGACTTCAGAGCTTCTGAGATAGGCGCTCTTATATCATATTCTAAAGTTGCTTCCTTTGACATATTGATAGCTGCAATGATGGCATTCTTTGAGGGATCTTCAGGTTTTGCACTTTGAAGGAGCCGAGATAATTGGGATTCCATTTGTGAAACCGAAAGTTCGATTTTGTATAAATCTAGCAAATACGGATTCGCGCTCCTCGCAGAGAACGGCGATTTCTTCAATTGATCGTATTCTCTGCTTATTGCATCCATTGTGACCTCATGAGCACTCGATTCTGTCGTATCGATATACTCGCAGAACTCATCCTGCATATTACCTCCACCCCAAAAGTTTCACAGGTGGGTTGTGATACGAAGGAATATCCTCCCTCTTCGCTTCAAAAACCTCCATATGTTTGAAAACAAAAACAAAAACAAAAACAAATGATAATTACTTATTACTAACCAACGCCACGATCTCTGCCACTCATTCTCTCTCCCTTTCCCTACCGTTCACAATCTTCGACACCACCACCGACGCGCTTCCTCCCTGGTTGATCACGCATTCTCCCTTCTCTCCAGCTTGCTCCACGGCTGTAAACATCGGGATGCGGCCCAGGAAGCGCGTTCCGGCCCACTTCGCCAGTCCCTCGCCGCCTCCTTCAGCAGGAGGGAACAGCGTCACAGCTCCCTAAAATGACAAAAATCGGGGCTATTTTTACATTGAAATTGAGGAACTCCGGATAGACCTCCTCCAGCTTCTTGACCACTTCCTCGGTAATGTCCGACCCGAAGTAGTCTCGGAACTTGCATTCGCGAAGATTGAACTAGGATGCACGTTGGCGGGAAATGATTACCGCCAATTCGCTCATATTCTCGATTACGCCCAGCAGCGGAATGCCCGATCGCTGGCAGAACCGAATTTCCTTGCGGACGTCGGAGAGCGCGACTTCCTGCGGCGTGGTGACCAGAATGCTGCCATCGATGCCGGCTTCGCGCAGGAAGTTCACAATCGAGATGTGCTCGTCGGAGGTACCCGGAGGAGCTGGAATCAAACGAGAGAGACAAGGGTACTGTCGATTACGAGGTAGTCGAGCTCGCCCCAGTTGATTTCGCTGAGGAACTGCTGAATGAGAGCTAAATGAGAGGAAAGCGCAGAATCATACCGTGCTTCTTGGCTCCGCGCCAAATGACCGCATCGTTCGGATCGTTGAGGAGGAAGCCGATACTCATAACAGAAAGGTTGTCGTCGACATAGACAGGGTCCCAGCCGCTATTGCTCTGATGGACTTGGCCGTTCAGCACACCCATCATGCGTGGAATACTGGGGCCGCAAATATCAATGTCGAGAATACCAACTTGGAAGCCTTGGGCTGCAAGGCCAAATGCCAGTTGCGACGAAACAGTACTCTTGCCGACTCCTCCCTTTCCAGAAAGGATCATGATTGTGTGTTTTATAGAAGACATTCTCTGCTTAATCAATTGGGCCGCTAGAAATCACGAACGAAACGAACTCTTTACCGGGATCGGGCTTTCGAAACGCTCCCGACGAACATTTCTCTCGACTCGGGCATCCCTCACATCCGGACGCCTTTCCAGCTTGCTCGGACTGAGGTCCCACACAATCTACCAAATAGAGCCCAATCAACAAAGGAACTTGAATTCGCGTTTGGTACAGCTGTAGAACTCATGAATAAAATGACACAAACTTAAAGGAAAAGAATATGAAGTGAGCGATTTAACCGCGGCATTTGGGAGGAATGAGTGCAAATGTTTCGATCGAAACCCAATGATTCGAACAAACAGCTCATAAGTTCGTCTCTAAAAATCGATTTACAAATGTTGCTTCCAACGGATAGTTGACTGCCTGTTGAAGGAGTGAAGCAATCTTTTCTACGGTCGAAGCGTTTACAGTGATGGGATTTTTATCGCCAGAGAACACTACGGAGAATCACAACGACCCATAGAACCTACAAATCGATTTGAGAGTATATCCGGCTCCGATATCTCTGCCCACGCGTGCATCCGTGACAGACTTTACAACAATCACATTTTCAAACCACACTAACTCCAATCCTCTCATGTCTCGCAGGGATCGAAAAAAAAGCTACAGTTCACACGCTCGACCGTCCAAACTTTCATTTCAGGGACTTTGGGAATGGAAGACACTAATCTCCCCGTGTTCGTATTTAGATAGGCCACTCCATCGTCATTGGAAGAGAGCTTGGCCCACAACTCGTTCTGCTTATGGTCAAATCGATAGGTTTTGTGTGAGGACAAGTGCGGAGTTTTGGAGAAGAGGGTTTGGTAGAGTTCGTTTTTGAAGATACTAAACGCGATTTTCTGCGAGTACGCTCCGCTGTCGTTGTAATAAATCACCACTCTGTACATTCGCCGCTCCTTCTCCACATCGGAACATGTACTCCTCTCGATGGTGGCGAAGGGGATTTCGAGAATGGCCACATCCTCCTCCTTCGAAATAACATACGCATCGCGCGTGATCTGCAGATAGAGCGAGCAATGCGGGAGGAGCTGCGAGGTTTCCTCGATGAAAATGGGCGTCTTGCTGGTGTATTGAATGAGATTCTGCACCTTCCCGTTCACGAAGCGCTGGTGGCTCGTCGGCACGGGGAGGGTCTGCGGCTTGGTGACTTTGAGATGCACGGCGGCGCGCTGGGGAGAGGAGGAGGGACCGGTCATAAGGAAGGAACACTCGGGGAGAAGATAGCAGTCGGAAAAGACGGATTGGGAGAGATGGAAGGTGGTGATGTGGTGCATCGTGTCGAAGAGCTGGAGCTTCATGTCGGAGAGTTGGGAGTAGAGAATGCGCTGCGTCGATCCCACGGGGAAAATCAGAGAGTCGTTCTGAGGTTTGTAGGGCTGGCAGGACACAGAGTCGATTACACCGGAGGAAAAGCTGACGGTCACTAGAGAAGGATGCACACTACTAAAAACTGTAAGAACTCGAAGCAATGCCAGTTACGGAGATCGCCTTGATAACAATAGAGTAATCCAATGCCCGTCCAGAGCAGTTGCTAAAACGGATAACAATATCAGACTTTCTTCCAAGGGGGTTGACAAAGGTGAGCTCGAACTCTGAAGGTCCAAACAGCAGTTTTGAGACAGGGATAGATATAGAGTACACAGTTTGACTCGAAGATAGGCAATTAACAAGTTCAAACACAACAGTCTCTTGAGGGTCTAACGTACCCAGCTGAATTGCATGGACAATTACAGAATATGAACGGAGCCGCTTGAACGGATGGAATAGCTCTCCATCCCTGATTTCTTCTTCGTAGGGGAATTGGAGATCACGAAGTTTGGTGTTGAACTTCCACACACTTTTGACACTGGAGTCACTAGATTCCATCTCTCTGTTGGATAAGTGGCACAGGAGCATGTTCTCGACTATTCACTCAGGGAAATAAAGAGCTCGTACGACTTAATGAAAACATGCTTGAATTTGCAAAATGTCTTTTGGATGAGAATCAAAATTGTGCTTTTTCACGGTGTGTAAAATGAGAAAAATATTCGTATGTGCTGCGTACCGGATAGAATGGAATGCAGATTCAACTGCAACCAAAAAGGGGAAAAGATCAAAGAAAACTCAAAGATCTTTCGAAACTGCCATCAATTGGTGCCAAAACCAACAAAAAACCGCGGTCTAGATTTGTGGTCGACTTTTTCATTCTATTTCTTACCGTTAGTCTTCAAAAGGTAGGTCTCGTCATTATTCGTTTATTGTAATCTTCGCGAATACGTAAGAGTATTTGTGTTTGAGGAACTCCTGGTTTTGGACCAAAGTCTCACCGGTTGTAGAGAATGGCTTACACCTTGCCTACTGAAGCAGCTGCCTTCGTTGAAGGAGGAGATGGGTATGATTTGGATCATGTCTTTACGAAGGTGTTTGATGGCACCACCTGCACCTATGACGATTTGATTTTTATGCCGGGTAAGTGGAGTTCTGCTTTTTGTGCGAGGATGTCTGTATGATAGACTTCATAGGCGAGAGCCGTTGATGTAAACTGTTATATCTCACTGAGCACACAAATCGGTTGCGAACTTTTTCTTACTTCGTTTAGGTTTCATCAACTTCCCTACAGATCAGGTGGACTTGACAACCCGCTTCTCCAGAAACATTCACTTGAAGATTCCTATGGTGAGTTCGTGCATGGACACTGTGACGGAGCACAGCATGGCGATCTCCATGGCCCAGCACGGAGGCTTGGGTGTAGTCCATCACAACTGCAGTATTTTGGAGCAGGCTCATGAGGTGGGTCTGGTGAAGAAGTACCGCAACGGTATCATCCTGGAGCCCACGATCCTGAAGCCCGACGACACGGTGGCGGACATGAAGGCTATCAAGGCCGAGTACGGATTCTCTGGCTTCCCCATCACCGAGCACGGCCGTCTCGGCGAGAAGCTCCTCGGTATCGTGACGAACCGCGACGTGGATCTGGTGACCGACCTGAACACGCCGATCCGCGACGTGATGACCACGGAGAACCTGCAGACCGTGTCGGTGCAGACCGCCGACGAGGAGGCCAAGGAGATTCTCCGCAAGGCCAAGGTGGGCAAGCTCCCCGTGGTGGACGCGGAGGGCAACATCGTGGCTCTGATGTCCCGCACGGACTTGCTGAAGCACCAGAAGTACCCCGACGCCACCATCGATAAGAACGGTCGTCTGGTGTGCGCGGCGTCGATCGGCACGCGCCCCAACGACAAGGATCGCGCCAAGGCGCTGATCGAGGCCGGCGTGGACGTGCTGGTGGTGGACTCCTCGCAGGGAGACTCGTGCTACCAGCTGGAGATGATCCGCTGGCTCAAGACCAACTACCCGCAGATCGATGTGGTCGGCGGAAACGTGGTCACTTGCCGCCAGGCGAAGCACCTGATCGATGCGGGCGTGGACGGCATCCGCATCGGAATGGGCGTGGGCTCGATCTGCACGACGCAGGAAGTGTGCGCGGTGGGCCGCGGCCAGGGCTCGGCCGTGTACTTCGTGGCGAAGTACTGCCGCCAGTTCGATATCCCGGTGATCGCCGACGGAGGCATCGGCAACGTGGGTCACATCACGAAGGCGCTGTGCCTGGGCGCGTCGACGGTGATGATGGGCTCGATGCTGGCCGGAACGGAGGAGGCGCCCGGCAAGTACTTCTACCGCGATGGAGTGCGGCTGAAGAAGTACCGCGGCATGGGCTCGCTGGAGGCCATGGAGCACGGATCCTCGCAGAGATACTTCACGAGCTCGCACGCGTCGATGCGCGTGGCTCAGGGAGTGGTGGGCAGCGTGGTCGATAAGGGCTCGCTGCGCCAGTATCTGCCCTATCTGGTCCAGGGAGTGCGCCACGGATTCCAGGACCTGGGCATTAAGAACCTGAAGGAGATGACCGAGATGAGAGAGAATGGAAGTTTACGTTGCGAAGTTCGCTCCTCCAGCGCACAGATCGAGGGAGGAATTCATAATTTACACAGCTACGAAAAGAGACTTTTCTAATTGTTTGACTGCAGAGGTCTGTTTGTTCCAAATGCGCGCACCCGTCGTGGTGGTGAATCTCTGCGGAGCTCCCGCCACTGGCAAGTCTACTCTCGCGAGTCATTTGCGTGATGTGCTCCGGCCGGAGGCCGATGTGTTCTATATCTCGTACGACAGGATTGAACGCGGAAGATACGAAAGGAGTGAGCAGAAACCGCTCTGGGAGAGAGAAACTTGGAGATGGGCGCGGATTCACGCTATTCACATTCTCTCGGATCTGTTGCAGATTCTACGGTCCGATGGAGAAGGAAAAATAGCGGAGGACATCCTTTCGTATCCAGCAAGGAATCGTGAAAGCAAACTAAATGTCGTAATCGTAGATGACACGATGCATCTTCGAAGCATGCGACATTCCATCATGAAGCTGTGTCAGATTTGTATTCTCTGTTTCTTGTTGATTCCTAGACCAGTGCAGCTATGTCCCTATCTACACATTTTGCAGTCGAGAAAGCATGCTTAATCGCAACGCGGAACGTTCAATCGAGTATTACTGTGTCTTGAGGGTGTAAAGGATGTAGGCAGCGTGTTCCCGAATCTTCTATCGACTCTATTTTGGTATGATATTTGTGTTGCTGTTGTTGTTGTTGTTGATGATGATGATGATGAAAGTGCTATTAATGATGGATTTGTTAACACTTCTAATAGTCATCCTGTCAACCCCCTTCTCCCTCGATTTATTGGGAGTCTTTCGCAATATCAGTCTGTACCGATACTGAAGTAAACTACGATTCCCTAAAAGCAGTCATCATTTCATCGGTGGATCATCCGCTATGCGTTCAAGAAGCCGAAAACGAGGTGGATACGAATTCATTTAAGAGTTTCGCTCATCAGCTGGATCTGTTGCTACGACAGAACGTGAATCAGTGTGTTACACAGTCTGAAAGGTTCCGTCTCCTTGAAAAGGAGAAGAAGAAAAGGATCATGGAGGCTATCACGGAGAAGAGAAAACGCATGTTGCAGTTAGGAAAAGCGATGAGCTGCGAAATCACAGACGAAGAAGGAAATAGTCAGGAAATTCTCGCTGCGATCTCCTCCCAGTTCATAGAAGAGTGCACAAAGTTGATGCAACAAGAATGAGTATTTTATAAGAATAGTTTATTAATCTCACTCTGTTCTTTTGCATACACATGATCTAAACTAAGCTACATCTCACAACACCCCCATCACACCTACAGCTTCAAACTCCAAATGGTTCAGTGCCTCCGAAATAATCATATAGTCCTTCTTAATCTTTTGCGTTCTTTCCTCCGCTTCCTTTCTACATGTCTCATTTCGACTTCTAAACACTACTGCTTACCCTCCTTCACTTCTGCTCCCAATCTGGCAATTTCCTCCGTGATAAACTATGCCATCACAAAAGCATCCCGTTTCCACCTGATAGCGTTGCCGTATTTTCAGGAGCTCGTCCATCATCACCCTCGTTCGCTCCTCCACCGCGTCCGAATTCATTTATGAAACTAAGTATGTATGTATGTATGTATGTATGTCAAACAAACAATCCGAAATCGAATAATCTCAAGCTTATCGGTATCTGCGGAGAGAGAGCGTGTTGCGACGCTTCCAGCTGGCTCTCCAGGATCCTCCAATGCGCTTGTTGGCACGGTGGCCCTTCTTGTTCATGCCACGAGCATGACGACCAGCAGAGGTCAGACCACGGCACTCACGGTGCTTGTGGACAGGAGACACGATCCAGTTGATGGAGGGGTCGTTGCGGATAGCAGGGTGGTTGGGATCCACCAAGATCACCTCGTAGTACTTGTAGGTAGCGTCCTGGTTCACCCAGTAGCTGTTCAGCACACGCAGGTTCGAGCACACACGGCCCACACGGCACTCGGCAATCGTCTGAAGATTGCGGGTGTTCTTCAGCTGGTTAATACCCTGGTGCTTGGGCTTTCCGTAGACAATTCCCTTAGGATTAGGTCGCTTGCGTCCTCCGCGGCGAACGGCCACACGGTACACAACGTAACCCTGCTTGGCCTTCATGCCCAGCTTGCGGGCCTTGTCGGGACGAGTGGAGTGCGACACGCGGCACACCTTAGGAAGCTGACGATACTCCCAAGAACGAATACGAAGCACGTAACGCATGGCATCGCTCTGCTTCTTTCTCCAGAGCTCCTCAAGATACTTGTAAGCACCCATGAATCGATAGCGAGATTATAATGGCAAATAGTGGATCACGGCGGAATCTGACTTGCTCAATTACTATGCTTCGTGGTATCGCGTAAGTTCTATGGTTTTCCTACCTTACATTTTTCCCTAGAAGTAACAAAATGGGTCGTCGTCCTGCTCGTTGCTACCGTTATTGCAAGAACAAGCCTTACATTAAGTCTCGTTTCTGCCGTGGAGTGCCTGGTTTGTGATGTGGGAAAGCGGTCATGAATAGATGCCAAGATTCGTATTTTCGATATTGGTGACAAGTCTGCTTCCGTGGACACCTATCCTTTCGTCTGCCACATGCTCTCTGACGAGCGTGAGCAGGTACGTTTTGTGCGCTTTGCTGAATATCTAGCTGTCCTCTGAGGCTCTGGAAGCCGCCCGTATTGCTGCCAACAAGTACTTGGTGAAGTACGGAGGCAAGGATACCTTCCACATGCGTGTGCGTGCTCATCCTTACCACGTCACTCGTATCAACAAGATGCTTTCCTGCGCCGGTGCCGATCGTCTGCAGACCGGTATGCGTCACGCTTTCGGTAAGCCCAACGGTCTGGTCGCTCGCGTGCGCATTGGCCAGCCTCTGATCTCCATCCGTACCAAGGATGACAAGAAGGAGGTCGCCATCGAGGCTCTGCGTCGTGCCAAGATGAAGTTCCCCGGCCGCCAAAAGATCGTGGTGTCGAAGAAGTGGGGATTCACCAAGTGGACGCGCGAGGAGTACGCTGAGATGAGACAGAGCGGAAAGCTGCTGGCCACTGGAAACATCGCTTTCTATGTGTCCGATCACGGAAAGCTGTAAGGAGGTGAGGACCAGGGAGATTGTTTGTTCGATAATTCATTCACTTATTCATTCATTCACGCGTACACGCGTACACATTGTTTGTTTGATTGGTTGGAGAGATGCCCGTGGTGGTATGCAAGAATGGGGAGGGGTGAGTGGTCTAGATCCGACTGGCACGTTTGGGAAGGAGACATCTTCCATTCTATCGAATTCGTGTGTGCAATAAAAATGTGAAGCGCGATGGAAAGTTCTTGGAGGAGGTAGGCTATGGGATCATTTGGGTGCGTAACAAACAGGTAGGAACGTATAATCCCATTCCGCTTGACGATGGAATCAAAGAAGTACGCTTAAACGTTGGTAGGACGGTTGTAGCATTCAATCCTATGATTAGATCGCATAAAGTATTGGTTGTCGGTGGGAGCGCAGCCTTCTGAGACGGTAGCTATGTTGTTAGGAAGAGTAGCATGTGTGGTATCGATTGAGACATAGGCTGGGATTCTTCCTCCCCTGCCTCTTCATCCCTATTGTGAAAGCGCTGTTTCCAAGAAGAAAACCGAAGAAGGAGAAGGCGCAGCGTCTTCTTCCTAGTTCTTCCTTTATGTAACGCATTGTTTGTTCCACAAACAGGTTGGAGATTACAGGTTTGACAACTTGCTTGGGTGTTGGATGGTTTTCATAAAAAGTCAGGACTATCCGTGAGAACCCTAATTCTAATTCTGGTTCTGGTTCTGGTTCTGATTCTGATTCTGCTGCTTGTTTTGCTTCTGTCGCTGAATGTCCGCCTTGCGAGCCTTCATTTCCTCTCTCACCTGCTCCGCTCGGATGACATCCTCCGTTCTCTTGGCAGCGGCAGGAGCCAGCAACTCCACGTTCTACGCATGAATTCACAGACACAACACGACTCTGGCAATGATCGTCTTCTGATGGATTCTCTGCTGCTCCTTCGCCAGCGCCATTCTGAAAGTCACACATATCCAAAATAGCAAACCTCTTCTGATAGAAACGCTTCTCGCGAATAGTCTGAATCTCAGACACACGTTTCATCGCCTTCAGCGTAGCAGCCATCAAATCGCGGTTGTACTTCACAGGACGGTTACGAGTCTTCTCAAACTCGAAAGTCGAGTCCTATGAGGTAAACAACCACAGAAAACTCGCACCACGCGAATATCCTTTCCATTGGCCCTTCTGAACGCCTTTGTCCAGCGCACCTTACGAGGATTGCGCTTCAGATTGAAATTGTTCTTGCACTTCGATCGGCAGAAGTGGAAAACCTAGTCCATGAGGTTGGCAACAGCAGAACCGACTTTACTGTCGTTTCGAACAAACGTGATACCATGTCCAGGATAAATAGGTCCCGAGCAGAAATAGCAAGTCTCAATTCTCATCCTATCTTTTTACTCAATTAGGAGTACAAAAACAGAAAGAACTGACGAATCTCTCTTCCGACCCAAAACCCGTTTTGCTCTTAACAAACAAACAAACACCTAATCGTTCTTAGAAATCAGTCGCTGGCTTAGCTCGGGCTCTGCAGAGCCGGATCTCCTCTGAGCACGCTTCAAAACAGAATAAACCACTCCATCCAGCATTCCCATCACAGTGAAGACACCGCCTAAGATAGCGCAGAGCGAGGTACACAATTCGAAGAGAGGCATGTGGTACTCGCGAATGATCGATCGCAACGGAGAGAACTCGTATACAAAGTACACTCCAGGCATCAAGGTAGACCCTTCTTGTAAAGGACGAATGTGGTGTGTTTCTGTCACCCTACAATTCATCAAAACAGAAAAACATCGACTGATAGCTCTTTAACTCCTTCCCTGATTTGTTAATGTAAGTGGTTGGGATTGCGTTCACAAAATACTGGTACATGGAAGCATGGTCCACCGCCATCACGCCACGGTGGTCCACGAAGGGATTTTTCTGCTCCTACACTCATGACAAAAAAAGTCCCGATTACTGGAATTGCTTCGCCAAGAGAAAAATGATGGATTGTGTGCGTGACATTCAGCGAATTGGCAATCTGCCGAATCTCCGAGTTGCTTAATAAATCGTTTATCCGGCCAGGGATAATAAAAACATGACCTTGTACTTTCGTAATGGAAAGTTTTCCCTCCAAACGGCAACCTCGTTCCACGCCATTTTTCCACTTCTGCAAGTAGTTAAAACCTGCGCATTGGGGCGCCTGTGCCTTTATTCTATCCACATCCCAGTTCTTCTTGCGGTAGGCTGCGATGAGCTCTTCACATGTATTGCAGCACTCCGACTTTTCTTTGGCTCCGAAACAGTCGCCGCACTCTATTGAGTAAAGCTCCCAGAGGCTTGATTACCCTTCTTGTCATCTATGACTACGATTTCATCGTCATCGTGCTTTGTGTTCTCTAATACTTCTTCTTTCGTTGGAACGGTGACCGTTACCTAGCATGTCACTTAGATTCTAAGAAAAAAACTTGGGATTTGTCCGTTTTTCCAATAGGATTGCCATTTACATCCAAGTTTGTTTTCAAAATTTCGTTTTCGATGTCTGCTCGGTCATTTCCGAGAGCATCACGATATCCCACCTGAATCATGTCACAGGGAATGCTAGTACGTAATCCAAACACCCTAGATTTACTAATCAAAATCAACCTGCAAGGAGATCACTGTTTTGTCTGTCGTTTCCTTGTCAACCACCATATCCTCTACATGCTCCTACAAACTCAAATCACGATCCAAAAACCACATATGTCATGTACATCTTGAGTTCTCCCCAGAACAGAAGAACCATTAATAATACAGTGAATACAGAGACTAGAATCAAATCAAAGAAGAACTGTAATACTGATAGCTCCAGTGATCGTACGAACCTGAAAGCTTTCATCTGTCGCTGGATTCATATCGAACTTTTTTAGAATTTTATTGATAGACCCCATCGATGATCCCTCGATATTGGTAGTTAAAAAATGAGAGTTGATTAAACAAACACAACTATGACTGGAAATCGTAATATTCCTTTTTCAGAATATAATCTACATGACTTAGAACGAGGAGGCACCTGTATTGGGACAGCACATCAGCCAATTCATTCAAAATGTCCTCATCACTGCCATCGCTCGCAACTCGCTGCTCCATTCCCGCCGGCTTTGCTTCCGTCGTGAACACGACTTGATGGAGATACCGCACATCATGGATCGTGGTCTGTGCGTTCCAGGAATAGCCGCATCCTTCGACGCTCCACTCCACTTTTTCGCTCGAATCTTCGCTCGGATTCATTCGCTGGATGGTCGCCTGCTCGATGGGGATGGAGATCGGCGAGGACTCTACGATCAGCAAGGAACGGAAGCAATCCTACGAATCGGTTCTCGCAGCGGGATCTTGCAATCGATGGGATAATCTACACAAAAAAACGCTGGAAAAAAGCAAACGCTGGACGCAAATGCTGACTTGGTTCGAGAACTGCATGAATTCCTCGCGACCGAGATCCTTGCAAGAGAGCTTGATAAAAGCCTGGACGAGATTGAAGAGAGTGTTGTTGTTGAATACGCAGGTGATGGGGCAGTCGCTGATTTTCACGGAGTTGGCCGCGACTTTGCGCGCGAGAATGCAATGCGAAGCGATTCCGAAAATGTTGACGGAGTGGTAAGGCTCTTTCCACGTGACGCGATTGATCTTGGTGTCGATGACAAGCAAGCATTGCGTGGTGAAGAACAAAACCAGCGCGCCCTGATTGACAGGGCAATGAATCACGTATTTGTCTTGGAGATTCACGACCTCTTTTCGAATCAGAATGCACATGTATTTCATGCCGATCGCCGTGTACAAACTGTACGGCTGCAGACACACGTCAAACCCAATGCAACGAGGCAGGCGGACCATCATCGGGAACACTTCGGTGTTCGTGATGTCCTTCACTTTATCGATTAAATGCGAGGTGTCGTCGAGCAGTCCGCCCAATGGCTTCGTCACAATTCCAACCACCGAGTTCAAAACGTCGCGTTTCGGGTCTTTCAAGTCCCGAATGATCCCGTTTACTCCGCTCTTCACGCCGTGGATCAGACCGGATTTCCCGGCCGCGCGGTCTTGCTTGTAGGACTCGCTCTTGGTCAGCGTTTCCACTCCGTTTCCGAGCGTATCCACGATTTTCCCCACCGAGTTGAAGAAGCCATACGTCGTTTTCGAAACGAGCTGCTTGGTTCCTTTCCCCACGCCTTCCATAAATTCCTTTCCGCCCTTCTTCATCCCGTTGATTGGCTCGTTGAAGAAGGCTTTGAGGCCTTGGCTCAAACTGCTTACGAACTGCGCAGGGTTTCCGAGAACGTTCACAGCGCCGATGAGCGACAAGAACTGAAGTCTGGCTTGCAGAATGTAGTGATGAAGCAGCTTATCGAGGAGATCTTTCACCGAGATGTAGACGTTCTTCGCTACGAATTGGTTCAGCAAGATAGGAGCTCGGTCCAGATTGCTGATTAAGTTCCCAGCCATATCGATGATCGATTTAATTCCCTTGGGAATGAATAGATTGTGGAGAAGCGTGTCGGTGATCGGGTATTGCGCAGTGGATCGGAACGAAACGAACATTTTGATGGGGCAGATTTGAAGTCTGTCGACGTACATGTACAGTCGAGAAGAGGACGTGGAAGGGTAGAAATAACGCGTTTGCAGAAACCCCTGCAGCTGGACTTCGGTGAGTTGGCGAGAAAGCGAACTCTGCTGAGAGCGCGGCACCTCATCGAAGAGATCGAAGAGGTCGAAGAGCGCGTAGAGCAGCGTGGATTCGATGGCCAGATCGACCGTCTAGTTGAGATCGAGTGCTGAGTGGCTACGTGCGCGACAACGTCGAAGGATTGGATGTGGATCACGTTGGAATGGTGAGGGATGAAAGCACTGCAATGGAAAAGCTGATTGGTTCGGTTTGGGTTTGGATTTGTGGCCACCAAATAGTACCCAGAGACCAGCGATTCGGAAGCATTGCTCCGCTCGTTCATTCGCTTCACGGAGATTTCGGATGATTCGCTGCCCGTGTAAAACGGAGAATGAATCGGAGAACCCAGCACCACCGGGTATTCCGCTCCGTAAATGCTGTTATCCATCTGCAACCGACAGAGCTACGATCAACTTGACTCCGCAACCCCACGCTAAACTCAAAGCGAATGTCCTGATTCAGCATCTTCTGGAAGAATCCGTTGATTCCCTCGATGGAGAGAAAGCCGATTTCTTTGGAGTTCTTGCTAATAATGCTGACCTGCACGCCAGCGATTCCGATTGTGATCGATTGGATGTAGGGGAACACTTGCTCGTGATCCGACGAATCGCGAGTGAGATGGCAGTCGCTCTGGTATTGCTTGGGCGAAGAGTTCACGAACGGGGAATTGGACGACTCGACGCTGAGCGACACGGTTCGACTGGCCAAGTTGGCTTGATCTGCGAGGATCAATTGATGAACCATTTCCGAAGAGAACTGCCCGGCTCTTTTTAGATCGAGGAGCCGTGTGCTAAACGCGTCCTACAGTCAAACAGAGCGAGCAAAGCGACAGCAAACTCGAAGCTGAGAACCATTTGATGATTGATCGTCGTTCCGAAGATTCGCAGCACGGATTCCGAAGAGGGAATTCCTTTCATTCCCGGAATGGTGTTGAAGTGGGCGAGCTGTTCGCCCAGCGCCATTTGGAGACTTTCCGTCCACAATGAATACTGACTGGCGTGCTTGACTTTGAACAAATGGATGGAGGAGGAATCGGACCAGTTGAAAATCGTGGGTTTGTTCGGCTGGAGAAGAATCGGGGGCTCCAACGTGTCTTCTTGGTGAATCTACGACGTAAAAAAGCGGAGCGAAAAGCGAACGAAGAACGGAACGGTCGTGTTGTTGACTAGAAGGAACATGGGCGAGATCGTGACGATTTTCGTGTATTTAAAATCGCCAGGCGCGAAGGAAATGCTCACAGCGTACGTCTGCGACACGCCTCTTTTCGTTTTCAATTCCACCATCCCGTCGAAATCCGCGATATCCGCGGCGAACGACTTGCTCTTTCCGTACTGCGCCGAATGGATCTGCAGCTCCTTCTTCGATCCTTTCAACAGCAACGAGCCAGTCGTGCTGAACATCATCGGAATGTACTCCTCGTGAGACGGCGTTTCGGTCGTTAAATCATAACGAATCGGATGAGGATCGACGGGCACTAAACGCTGCGTGTGGTCCTGTCCATTTCCAATCATAAGAGGGATCGGGGTTTTGTTGATAACCCAGAAATCACTGAACAGCTCGAGCATGATGGAGTGGTCCTGATCTCTCGAAACCGCGTAGCGAACAACGTGCTTCGAGAACTCGAGAACGCCGGTGAGATTGCTGACGATCTACAATGAAGCGCTTTAGCCAAACTTACTTGTTTCGTGTAGAGTTGCGTCGTCTCTCCGGGAAGACGGAAGCTCAGAATGCACTGAGATAGATCGACGGGGACCGAATACGCGTAATAGTATTCCAGCGGACTCATCAAGCCCATATCGCCTTCTACATGGTTAGACACACGGATCGAGCACGATACCTCGCGTTTTGGAGACATCCATCACGATTAATTCAATGTTGCTATACAGCAAATTGTGGATTTTCAAGCCTGGAAGCAGCTCGATGTGCACGAGCGGAACCGAAGAGATCTGCCGAACCGTCACAAACAAGCGGAGCGTGAGACGCGCGCGGCCGACACGGATGCAAAGCTCGTTCGATCCTTTCTCGAGAGAGGCGATGTCCAGTCGGACGATCTCGGACTGCTCAAAAATCGAGTAGTTTTCGCTTGTGCCCAGCAACAAAACTCCGTCTGTGCAGGCAGAAACGGGCGCGTAGACTTGGCAAGTCTTTGGAAGTGGGTTGAGCGAGATCTGAAGAGCGCGCGAAATCTCGGTTTTGATGCTATCGAAGCGGTAAAACAGATCAACACCCGAGTTGTTCACAACGTCCACGCGTCCAGAGACTAAAATCTCTTTTCGGCCGAAGCTGGTCTGCGAACGAGCGACGAGCGCTTGATTCGTCATGCATTTCATCACGATAATGTCCTCTCCAAAGATCGGAATGTGTCCTTTCTGGTAATTATCGCAGTAGATCACAGCGTCGCAGCTTCGCTCAATGTGGTGTTTCCCTAGTTTCCCCTTTTTCTTCTTGAGGTCCGTTCGCAAAGACGGATATGCAGGGATCGACGTGTAAAGCGCCGTAGAATCGGCAACGTGGTATCGTTTCTCATTCAGCAAAATAGAGCTGTGTCCGTCCGAAATGTCCACCGCAATGGGCAATCCCGAGTGATTCACCAAGCAAAGCTTGTTATAAAGATCACCATGTTCGACGTTTTCGGTCTGTCGACTCGGATCTTCGGTGAGTGAAAAGGGTTTATCCGAGGAGAGAATGAGATAGAGCTGATAGAGTTCTTGCTCGTATTCGTTGAGAATCGACAAAAGAGAATGAGTGAGATTGATATTCAATGTCTTCACAGAGCTCACAACGATTTTGGATCGAGGTCCCGAAGCGCTGTTGATCTTTGAGTACATTCCAGAGAACGAGAATGGCTCGACGCACATCTCCCATTGACTGAACTGTTTCTTGTAATAGTGAGCGAGCAGTGTGAACGAAGCGGACGCTCGGACATGCACGGGAACAATCTCCGTGCTCACCAAACCATCGCACACTTCAATGAGCGCAACTGGGACCAACGAGCTGTATCGGTTCGAGACGAAAACAACGCGAACACTTGGAATCGAGAGCGATACGATCAATGATTTGAAGAGACTGAGCGACTGTTTGATCAATTCTGGGACGGACGTGGCCTCTACAATCACAGTGGGACGCATCGGTCGCATGTTCTCCATGAAGGCAGAGAGCCGAATGAGCGCTTTCGCGATGTTCAGCAGTCCCAGTGTCCCGATGAGACAATGAATCGGAGTCATTGTGACCGTTACATTCATCTTGGCAGGTTCGGGGAGCCGGATCAAAACGTTCACAGAGCATTTTTCGAGAACATCATCCGCATTGGAATCGGAAACAGGAAGGGTTTTCTGCGTGACAATTCGCAGATCGTTCAGTTGAAGAGTGATGGAATAAGAGTTGTTTAGAGCCTCCATCTTGACCGAGGCGCCGATACACACAACGCATCCAGCGCTCTCGATCGATGGCGAATCCATCAGGAGGAAGGAAATCGGCTTGACGTTGGCAGCGAGGGACATTTTCTGATCTATCGATGAGACCAAACTAGAACAATGAATACAGATGAGAAAAGGAGTGAGTTTATCGAGAAGGTTGAAGGAGGGAGGGTTTGAATTCGAATCGAAGTCGGAATCGAAATCCGAATAGAAGTCGGAATCGAAATCGGAGTCGAAATCGAGGTTGGGAGATATTTCGGACGGAGGATACAAATCGGAAGTAGACGTGGGAGCGGAGACAACCGACAACTCAGCCTTCGTTGGCACAATCGTGGAAAAAATGGAAGGAAGAGAGAAGAGGAAAGGCGAAGCGACGATAAAACTGTCGCCCACGTTCATCGTCATATCCAACGTTTTGTGCATGTCGACGTCCGCCATGCTGAATTGGATGTCTTGGACGACCACAGCATCGCCGAGAGGAGCCCAGTCCGATGATTCGCTGTTTGTGCACTTCAAGCTTTGGAGGGAGAAATCGATGATGTGGTCCGATAATGACGATTTCTTATAGACGTTAATCTTTTGGAGCTCGAGCTTCGCGACGTCGTTGAGATTCACGCCGATTTGGGGGATGTGGAGGCTCAGCGTTGTCGGGATTTCAGTGGAAGCAGGGTTGACATCGGTCGAAGAATCATCTGAGACAGGAGCGAGAGTTCGATTGTTGTTGTTGTTGTTTTCTTCTTCTTCTTCTTCTATTGCTGCTTCTTCTATAGGAGTTTCGTTTGCTTTTTCTTCTATTTTGCTTGGTGTTGATTCGATTGATTTCGATGATTTGGAGGACTGAAGAGATTTGGAGGACTGAAGTGACCTCGATGACCTCGATGACCTCGATGACCTCGATGACTTCGGCGATTTCGATAGGAAAACACCAGCGATGTGGGTAATCGTATCTCCTCTCAAATTAAAACCGACTGGAGAGGATTCAATACTGACGGTCTTCGCTTCTGCGGTTGTCTGGATTTTCACTTGAATCGCCTCCACGCCCATCAAATCCTTGCTGTCGTCCTGCAAACACAGAGATGAAGCGGAAATTGCGATGGTTTCACACAGCGAGGACCGCTCCGTTGTCTTCACTTGGAGCAGAGATGACAAGAGACCGAGCGGTTTCGGAGACGTCGCAGTCGGAACGCTGAGATACACGTCTGGCAGAGAAATCACAAAGTTCGGTCCCTTTGAAAAGTCTTTTTCTTGATTCGACGTTTCCTTCTTGTTGTCTTTTTCCTTTGGAGTCTCAGTAATACTCTCGATAAACTGCACAAACTGCTCGATAAACGAGACATCTAAGAAGCCTCTCAAAGAAGGGACCGACAACTCAAAGCTGGTTTGGTTGTCTGCAGATTGAGTGAGGGAAAGCGAGGTAACCGAAGTGGGCTGAGAGAGAATTGGATGCCCTCCTTGGATATCAGTGAGCCGCAGAGAGCACGAAATGGAAACGTTTGTTTGTTCTGGAGTGGTAGAACAAGACACACACGGAGAATTCAAAATCACGGAAGCGAACGGTATTTTCGATTCTCCAATACACATGACTCCGAAATCCTCACAGTTCAAATGAAGATTCAAAGGCTCCTTTGAAGACGGCGCAGGACTTGCGTCCGATCCAGAAGCGCCTGTTTCATTGGCCAGATTGTTTGATTTCAATTCGGGGAAGGAAAAAAACTGATTGAGCGGCAAGAGACAGGACGGATCCAATCGGACGGAGCAAGCAGCGAGATGGACGTTCACATCACACACAGATTCTCTGCACACAGAAACCGAAAGAAAAGGCCCTGTGTCCGGATAGAGCGATTGCAATAAATACGAATTGCTCAACTTGTCTTCGAGCTGAAGCACCTGCAACTGGAAAGCCAATGAAAGACCATTCTTCTTTGTTTTCACATTACACTCACCAGATTGAAGCTGGAGAGCGACACGGCAATCTTCGTTTCTAATCTCAGCATCGATCTTCTGAGTTTCGATCGACACGCAAGCCACAATCTCTCGATCCCGACGATCCATATCGACGTTCTTCGCTTGAATCGCTGCCTGAGCGCGGAAAGAGCGATTCAAGTAATGGAAGAGAATGAACAAAGCGAGAGCAAGCCAAATCATATCACTAAAATAAAGGTAGATAAGCAAGGGAAAGGAGAGAACGGTGAGCAAAGAAAAGTAAAGTAAAGGAGAAGAAGACACGATGTGAAACAACAGAAAAGTCAGGACGTATCCCATGTTAATGCACTTCTTTGCCGAAGGCTTCGGTTGCTTGTTCGCTTCTTGTTTGGATGATGGAATCGATTGAATCACTTCGCACACATACGCCAAATCGCTTTGATGGATCGAGATTTTCGTATCACTCATTCGAACGCCCAACTCAAGTCGAGGCGGCGGTGTTTTGATTGGCTCAAAAAGAGAAGCCGAGACGATCTCCGCTGTCGATTCATCGCTCAGTTTCCCCTGCATATCATTCCGGATCTTCTCTCTCATTTCCTCGGCAGAATGATACGACGCAGAAGAAGACAGCAAGGGACAATCTTTCTTGTCTAAATACTCCAAAAGAACGCTCTGATCCACACTCGGAACAGAGGATTTCACTTTGTCTTGCAGACACTCGGCGGAGATCCAGCGATCCTCCACGCTCGACGCATTCCAATGAATGTCACTTCGCAGGGAAAAGTCTTGAAGAAGAAGAGAAACGCCTGTAGAGGGCATTCCAGGAGAGGAACGCTTGTTGGGATCGACATAGATTGATAGGGATTGCAGAGAAAATGATTTGTTGGCGTTAGAGGAAGGAATGTCGCTTTTGATTGTGTCGAGCTGGATCTGTTCTACATGCGCTCCGATTGCCTTCATAGAGGATGAAGGATACTCGTAACGAATGTGGACGTCCGATATTGTGACTTTCAATTTGTTGATTAAAAGAGATAAGAGCTTATTCAAGTACGTATCATCCATTTCCTCTTCTGCTGTTATTTCTTCTATTTTCCCCACTTTTGGATTTTTCACTGACTTTCCCTCCTTTAATACCACGTCCACTCCCTGGATTTCGATTAAAAAGTACATATTTGACAACTCGATCCAGGGGATCTACAGGAATGAATATCGTAAAAGACCATACTTGAATATGCAGAAATTTGATCGATACTCTACTTAACGCTACGCTCTGATCGAGAGTATCCAGAAATGTCTTTGATAATGACTGAAAATGAGTCAGAGAGCAGAAAGCATACGATATTGCGCAAGATAAGATCACCATCGAGAAGCGAAGAAGTTACATCCGAATCGCCTATCTCGTTGATATAGAATCCGAGACAATCGTTAATGGCTGAACAAATCACTTTTCGAGACATGAATGGAAAAGTTTGAGTAAGTGTTCACAATCCAGTTTTGCAGAAGTCGTTACACGATAATTTTGGTGTGTATTGCTTTTCTTTTATGTTTATTGTTTTCAGTTTGTTTCTGTTGTCGATCTTAATCAAACTGTACGCTGGGATGCCTTTTCTTTTGTTGCATTAAACTTTAGAAAAATAGAAAAAGCTTAAATCCTAATACATTTATTTTTATTCAAATGGTCAACACGTAAAAACCATTTTTTCTACTCAGTTTTAGTAATGACTTATGTTGCTTACTCACGGAGAAGTCAAGAAACAGACTTCCCGAAATTGAACAGAATGAACGCACAAAAGCAATAGAATTCTTACGTGAGAAAGCACTTGGGCCAGATTACAACCCTATAGAAGTTGAGGAAGTAGCTAATGCTTTAGTACGTTGAAATTTGCATCGTTCAATGTAGACTTATATGTACTTAACACTGTACAGTGAATTTACGACAGAAGAAAAGCAAATCATCTGTGATGCTGCAATTCGACATGTAATAGAGTTGCCTCTTGAGTATAATCTAATCCTTTGTTATTTTACATTCCAGCTCGAGTTCTGTCAAATTGGCAACCTTGTTCAATAAGGTCTTTGCGCACAAGGATCCACTGGTGCATTGTTCGTTCTCGACAGACAAGCTTATCAAAAGAGCTTTCGAAATCTCGGGAAAGGGCGTATTCTTCAAGAACAACGAAAGTACTGAAGGACCAGCTTGGTTTATGCTGACTCAGGGACAGAAAGGTGTATACGATGCATTCTTTTCGACCGTTTGGAAATCACAAAGGTAATCATCCCTAGCTCCGCCATTTCATTTCACCGGAACAATACAAGGAGATATTTGCTACCCTCAAGGAATACATTCCTCCCGTATCGACAAGCATCGGCTCGTTGATCAGCAAACTCCTCTACAGCATGTACCCTCCCCACTTTTTCAGTGCAGAAATTGCCGATTTGTTTCCACTGTTTCCACGTTTAATCGATAGTTTCATGCCCTATTACCGATACGGATCGTCCCCTCTCGGTACAATGTTCCTTCCGCTGGTGTCTCGCATGATGGCAGGAGATGAGCAGCACGTGTATCCCTGGCATCAATACAGCAACAATCTGATCCACTCCTCCTATATATCAATCCGAACGATTAAGAATCCGAGCATAAACGATGAGAAGGTAGGAACATAGGGCTGTTATGAGTTGTTAGCTTATAAACAACATGATGATTCAATTAATGATGGTTGGAGCCGTGGAAAACGGAATCCCGCGGGGAATGCGCGATATCCTGGTACGTGCAGAGCAGCGCGTTGATCGGTAGAGCTTGCTTCGCTCGAATCTTCCAATGATCCAGCCGGGCTCGACGTTCTACGCTTCGGTTGGCTCCACGACGTTCGAGTATTTAGACGTGTTGTTCGAGCAATTGTACTACACAATCCAGCAGCAAATCAAGCTCTTCAAGAAAGGAAAGCTGAGGCCTGCGGAGAACTGGACGTATTTCATCGATCTCGCGCGTGATGCGAACGCGAGCGTGACGGAGCTCTGCGATACGCCGATTTTGAATAGCGCTCTCAATTTCTTTGAAGAGGTGTTTGTGTATGTAGGGACGCATGAATTCGGTTCGATGTAGTCGTTGTCGGCACGTGATCTGACGGGGTGTAATTCGCTCCACCACATTGTGAATTTCCGTCCGTCGGCTGTGATGAAAGCGATTCAAGACACGTGTTTGGAGATCACGCAGGACGATACCGCGGGAAATGCGCTGAAACGCATCGTCTCCGAATCGAAATCGGTGGTGATTCTGATTCATCAAATGCTGGAGAACGGGATGATCGCAAAGGATAGCGAAGTGAAGCAGGAATATAACGATTTTGTCGATTATTTGATGGACTTCTGCACGAAGATGGTTCTCGAAAGCAGCGGCGTCAATTCGATCAGCGATTGTTTTGGATTGGCGACCGGTATTCTGCAACACACCGAATTGAATCCATGTAAACTCGCTCTCTTAATGCTTTCTGATCGATTGTAGATAACACGCTAACGCAATATTCGGAAAGCATGGATGTCTGGGCGCGTCGAGTGATCCCCTCCTTCGTCAATACTTATCTCCTCAACATCGCATCCGATTACAAAGAAGGATTCAGCATTAAATACGGAATGTGCTTCCAGAACGTTGCGTCGCTCATTTCAGCGGAAGCCAAAACGTACATCTTGCAAGAATGTGTTGGGTAGACGACAGAAGAGGGCTCTGAATGTAGATTGATCATCGAAAAAGCGTCGGAGCAATTCTCGCCGGCTGATCATTTCTTTGTCAATCTGCGATTCTTGAAAGCCGATTCCTCGTTCGATAAGTTTTTGATCCTCAAAGTGAAATCGGTTCTGCAGTCGTATCTGCTTCCAAAGAATTCGCCGGTGGAAATCCGAGCGGCCGAAATGATTATGGATGTGAAGGAATTCGAGCGACGACTCAACATTGCGACGCTTCTTTTGCTGTGGTGCGATGGGAAAACGATTTGTCAGTTCTTCGAGGACTATAAGCAATCGGTGTTTGTGTTGCTGGCGTCTTCACAGAAGGAAGTAACGATGGCAGTGAAAACGGTGCTGCATCAGTTTTTCATTTGTGGCGCGGATATGACTCCGCATTATGAAGTTTTCCACTCGTTTTTCGTGGATACGGAATCATTGAAACGATTTTATGAGATTGACAACATCAAAAGTGAACGTGAATTCATTACATTCTTTGTGAAAACGTTTTATCTTCCCATCTTCCATTTCATCGAATCGAATTGTTTTCTCTCCATTTCGCTTTGAGAATCTAGACGCCACACTCGACATCGCACTTCTCAATCCGCTTGTCTCCTTCATTGTCATGGTACTTCAGACCATCCTCTCTTCTCATTCTAGTACTACTTCTCTGTTTTCTCGAGCACCATCATTTCCGCAAAGGTCGATGGCAGCGAGCCCGCGTATCTCACCGACGAAGTCTATCAGGACTTCCAAAATTGCCGAGTCGATTCATCCATTCCACTTCATTGTAGTTGGAATTGCTCATCCCCAAGCTGCTCACTCGCATCGAAGACATCGCTCTCGTCTCAAACTCGTCGCTTGCGTCTTCCTTAGTATCCGCCATGTTCGCTCCTCCTTCCTTCCTTCCTCATCCTCAGCATGTCTTTCACTTCTCCGTCTGTCTCTTCGGAGAAAGCCAGAATCGAATCGAGCACGCTCTGTCTCGATCTACAAGTCCAATACCGACTCACCAGTCGAGCCAATCGCCATTTGAAGTTCCTCTCGAACTCCGTCGTCATTTTGTTGCTCAGCAAAGTGGAAGTGGAGCTCAATCATCTTCCGTTCGTCCTCTTCTCATACAAGCCGTGCGTGTTCCAAGTCATCGACTCGCTTCTCTCCATCATTCCCTACGCCTACCTCCACACCGCCACGCTCCAATCGATCGTTGTAGCGGTGAGCAGCCACGCCTTCCCTCGATCCTATCGCCTCGCTCTTATTCATTCTCTGCTCGAAAACATCGAGAAGCTCATTCAGAATCGGTCTGCCGTTCCGACGGTTCAGACATCGAGCACTGTGCTCATCTTCGCGAAGGCGCTGTATAAAATGGAGCGCATGACGATGGCGGATGTGCTGCAGGATCCGCAGTTGACGGTTCGGTTGCTGACGTGTCTCCAGCAGCTGTACGAATATCGAAGCCAGCTGTGCATTGAGAGCAATGCCGTCTCTCTCTCGAATGTGATTCCCTCGATATCGAGCGATATTTTGAGTGGCGAGTTTGGATTCGAAGTCGTTTCTGATCGCTAGGCTCAACAACAGAGTCTTCTCCAACGAAGTCGTTTCGTTCATCCTGGATCAAATCCAATCCAATCAATCTTCCACGCGACTCTGTTTCTACATCACCTTCCTCGCCAATCTCCGAATGAAGTTCAGCTTCCCCATTCCGTCCGCCACAATCCGCTCCATTCTTCGCTCCTTCGACAGCATCGTCTACAAAGCCGCCATTCGTCTCTTCGTCTACTGCAAAGACGCTTTCCTCGATTCTCTCGCCTCTCTCTCCGAGCAAGATCGCACTCACGCGCTCACCATCATCATTCAGCACGGCTATACGCTCAAAACGGACATCATAGCTCCCAAAGGCAAAACCCAGGACGCGTATTCACTCGAGCTTCGCCATTATTTGGCCTACAACTCGCCGAGTTTGAAGTCGTACCAGTTCAATTTCCACGCGGGAATGGACGTTTTCTCGCTGAATAACTACGCGATTTTTTACATGCGTGTGTTGTCGTTTTGTGCAGAGCGCGATCCGCGATGGATCCAAACAATGATCGACGTTTGCACGGAGATGCTGGTCTGCACGGGTTTGGATTGAAGTCTTTGTATTTATCGAGTAGAAGACAAAGTTCCCTATACAACGGCCGTTTCATCGTCCGTGTTTGTCGTCGCGCTGATTCATTGCGATGTGGCCAATCCGGAGAGTGATCGCTATTGCTGCATCGACAGGTTTGTGAAGAAAGTCAATGACTTAAACTTGTTATGGCTAACGAAGAACTTGATATACGGTTTGCTGTTTGAAACGTCGGACGCGCTCCTCGCAAACACGCTGCAAAGCTTGAATTATGTGATGAATCTCCTTCTGAAACAACCGAATCGCGTGACGATGGTGTTCGTGGATTACATTCTCTTGTTTATCTTCGTGTATGATTCAAACATCAACTTCATTCCCACTTCGACGATTCTCCGAAGGGGAAACAGAGAATCCATCATGAACCACCTGCCAATGAAAGCGATGGAATCGCTGCTCACCATTCCGTTCGATCTTGTAGAACCAATCAAAAGATGTTGTTATTTCTAGACGGTCACAGTATACAAAGCCTTCTTGATTTCGCTTTTCTTGCTGGTTGGCTACGGTACTTCTCTCTCCTTTTCTTTTTTATCATTCGTAGACTGCGATTCGATGATTTCTCTCCTCGAATCGGCGTCGAAAGAGGCAGAGACGACTGACGACACGGTGAAGGAAGTCTTCGCGTTGTCTTCGTTAGGCGCTTGTTATAGTGCTGATATGATGTCTCTCATCCAGCACACCTCCGAAGACGCCTACAAAGCGATCATGCGACTGTACTGCAAGGAGTTGATCTTGAAAGACGTACTGAATGAGTTAAAAGAGGGTGATGGGTAGAAGAAAACGGGGCTCATCAGCAATCTAGCGAAGAAGTATTTGACCAATGCGTTGATGTCGGATAATTCGTCTTCTTTGTTCATGCATTGCATCATCGAAGAGCTGATCCAGGCCATGCGAACGGAAGCCAATCCGCAGAATCTCGCGAGTGCGCTGTACATGGTGATGCCATTCAACGCGTTTTGTCGCATGCTGCTCTCTCAAGAGGAAAATGAAATGATTCTCGATCAAGTCGTGTCGCTGATGTCGCATCCAAACAAAACGATTCGGAAGGCTGCGCAAACGACACTGGGTTCGATACTGTACAAGATGGAAGATGTCGAGCAGAAGCAGATGCTGGATCGATTTATGAAGCTGGCTGGTTCCGAGGAAGAGAAGGGAGTGAGGCTTGGAGGAGGATGGGATCATGGAGTAGATTCGGGGCGTGTGCGCGTTCGTAGAGGCGGACAAGAGCGGATTGTCCCCGATCTCGAAAGAAGCCTTGCTGTTTTTGATTCACTTCACGGCGAAGACCAACGGGGTAAGCGACGTGATCTCGGAAGTGATCGCCGATTTCCGAAAGAGCCACGTCAAGCGCCTGGAGCAGCTCAAGAAGGAGTTTTCTCCGGACGACTGGGATTTGATCTCGACCAACTCGAGCTATATTTCGTACATTCTCTTTCCTGTTTGGTTCTCGAACAAACACTCCACAGATTCTTCTGCTTCATCTTGATCACATCTCCCAACGAAATCGCCACGCCCTGCGTCTTGCTTCGAATGCGGTAATATCCGCTCACGCCCATCGGCGTCTTCTCCACACTCACGTTCAGCAGAATGTCTTCTCCAAACAGAGAGCGAGCCTACGCCTCAAGCCTCTCCTCCTCTCCCACATAAAGATTCGCCGCCATGAAATCCGCGTCGGTCTCCGGATCGAAGTCGGACACGATCTTCATGTGCGTCACATCCGCAATGCGCTGAATCAAACCCGCCAGCGAGTTCAGATTCGTGTTCACCGATATTTTGTTCTCCCACGTGAACGCAGACCACATCGTGCGGAACGCCTTCGAGTCGCTGCCCCTCATTCTCTCCCTCTTCGCTTACCAGTCCGCCGGCTTGATGTACTCCATCAGGCTCACGTACACTTCGTTCAGATTCACCACGGCGTGCTCCGCGCTGCTGCTGTACGAGAACGTGATCGACCCGAAGATGTAGCCCGTCTCCGTCGAGTTCACCTTGATGATCGCGCGCAGCTCGCGACGTTCGCCAGCGTCCAGCGTGATTCGGCCGGGCTTATCGATGATGCTGAACGATCCCGTGACAGAAAGCTCCACGGCGAGATCGGTCATCGTGCGGTTCGTGCGGTTGATCACGGTGATCTCCATGATCTACGGTGGAAACGGGGAAGAGAGAGAACGATATCGAAGTCTTTCATGTACACCACGCTCTCGCAATAAACCGGGTCGGAATAGCCGGTGAGTTGATGGACGCGATTCAGCTTCTCGTTGTACGTCATTTCCTTATCGAATTCTATCGAATCAGCCGATTCGCCCGATCCAAACCCGTCGCCTTTTCGACCGCCGCGTTGTCGTCGATGTCGATCATGATGCCCAGCGAGGATTTATCGCGCAGCTGCTTGAACACGATCACTTCGTCCACATCGCTGTGCGCCGGACGCAGTCCCAAATCCTTCTCTTCCTTCTTGCTGCTGTGCGCCACCATCTTCTCGAACACTTCGTTTGATTCGCTCCTCTGCTTCCTACCTTCGCGAGACATCTTCAGAATCTGGTCGTGCAGCAGCGTGCCCACCACAGGGTCCAGCAATGCGCGCACGAAGAACTCGATCCGCTCGCGATCCAGCTCGTCCATCGAATTCTCGTACTCTGCGAGCAGCTCCGTCATCACCAGCAAGCTCTGCAGCTTCAGATCGCGCAGCTGCTGCTTTCCAGCCGCGTCGCTTCGCTCGAGGTTGATGCACAGCTTGGCCAGCGCGTTGCTCAGCACCGAGCACGCGAAGAACGAGGGCTCCACCAGCAAGTGGCGCAGCGGCAGCACGGACGTCTCGGCGGGAGCGTCGGTCGCGACGTAGCTCTGGCTCGCGTAGGTTCCGTCTTGCAGGACGGTGGGAGCGGAAACGGGCGCAGCGGCGGCCTCGGGAGCGACCTCAACGTCCTGGCGGAGAGGAAGCGGACCGACGGCGTCCTAGAATGAAGAGAGAAGAGCGAGAGGACGAGGATGGTTTGGATGGCCTGAGGAAGGGAGGCGATGGGAGTGAACTCGGCGATGATCCAGAGGGCGGAGAGAATCACGTCTTCCTTCTCGAGAGAGGAGAAGACCTCGAAGAGCTTGGCCAGCACGGAATCGACGAGCGCGGGCTGATGCAGCAGCATCTCCTTGACCAGCGAGAGAATGCTCACGCCGCTGTCGCTGTTCAGGTAGTCGAGAAGCAGCAGAATCACGGTGTCCGCCACCACAGGGAACCGCACCGCGAGCGAGTGAATGCTGTGGATCAGCAGCTCGCGATACTCGCGACCCAGTTCGTCGGAGTCGCTCGCTGTGCGCACCACTTCGCCCTTCAGGAAGTTCATCACCTCCGCGATGCTCCGATCGCTCACCAGCAGCGCGCCCAGCTCCAGCAGCGAGCTTCGGATCTTGGTGGACGGCGTGCGAAGCAGCGCCAGCAGCTCCATGACCGAATCCTCCAGCAGGCGGCAGTTGTGTCGAATGATCACGGAGAGACGGTCCAGAATCACGATCTTCACGTTGTTGTCCGTCTGCGAGGACAGCAGCGAGAGCAGCGTGTTCGCGGCCGCTTTCACAGCGGAGGGAGCGCTGGAGAGCGTGACGAGAGTCGTGGCGGACTCGAAAGCCACGGAGGGAGAGTCGGAGTTAAGCATGCTCTGGAGAGGCTTGATGAATCGGCCCTTCTGCGAGGACTCCTCCATGCAGACCTTGCGGATCAACTCCAAAGCGACGAGCTGGAAACAGTCGCCGAAGTGGCCGATCTACACTCACAAACGAGGGGCAAAGCGACTTCGTCGCAGTTGTTCTCGAGGAACTCGATCGCGAGGGATTGCTTGCAGTCCATGAGGAAGGCGAAGGCGTTGCGACGCGTCGAGAGGTCGGTTTCGTTGCCGAGAAGCTCGTAGATGTAATCCGGAATGTCACTCATGAGGCGGTCTCCATGCAGTTTGTAGATGGAATAGCTTGGAATTAGGGGGATTGGGTAAAAGTACCATGTGAGAACGGCATTCTTTCGCACATAGGCAGAATGATGCTCCAGATTCTCTTTAATGTATGGCACCTGTGGATAAGAGCCAAGGGGAAAAGCCCACCAAAGGTTCTAGAATCTCATCTTCAGTGATCTTTGACAAAAAGCGTAGGGTGCAGCCACGGATATATTCGTTCGCATGCTTGAGATTGTTCATGATGGCGTTGCAAACCAGAATCATTTCAGGCTTCAACTCGCCCTTATCATCGCACTTCTGAGCACACTCCCAAAAGCTAGAAAATCAGGCATTCCACAACTCCAAATACATATGAAGGAGCTTTGTCAACTCGTGATCGTCCACCGTGACACAGAAACGGATTACGGTCATGATAAGATCACTCATATCCTTTCCATTCGACATTTGAATGATAGCCGATTTTACAGCATTTCTTTTCTTTTGAATGTCCTTACTCTCAAGATCAGCACGCAACGTTGCTAAATCAATTGAGCTCAGTTTTCCATCTGAAGAAATTAGGACAGTGCAGGCTTGGTTCATTGTGCCAATAGCTCGCTCGAATATTGTAGAAAACGGGAATAGAAATTAGGCGTGAAAACGGTTATAAATGGCATTTTGTGGACTCCTTGATATTACCTTATTCGCAGGCTAAACTGTTGAAAGTGTGTATGAGATGCAAGATACAATTGATACGGATGATAGATTCGAATTGAAAGTAGAGTAAAGTGAAATCTCGTTCCAACCATTTTTATATATATTCTATTTCGTTTTACAAATTACCGCATTATAATTTCACCTATTATTTAAAATATTTCTGTACAATCCTGATTGAGGGTTTTAGTGTCAAACCGCGGTAATTAGTTTCTCGGTTTCCTCAATTATCGCCATTCGATCGCATGTCATTCTTTCTTTGTGTATAGGTGATGAATTGCTTTGTGAACCCTTCTCTTACTGATCTCTATCAGGTATTGCTATGAGATGCCTTTAATTCTAGATCACGATGACTTATTCTTATTGGAAGCTTGGACGTTGTGACGAGCACGCCACATTTGATATTTTCTTCCGAAAGAATCCCTTTGAAGGAGAGTAGTTTGTCGTATTGCATTTCGAGTCTAGGTTTACGATTTTTGCTGGACTGGATAATGTGGTTAACCTTTTAAAGAACTTTAAGTTTTCTAACGAGCATATTGAATATCTGAAGTTTGCTTTGCTCTGATTTCTCTATTGTAGGAGCCAAATGACCACGTGCGAGCCCGAGTTCTTTGATTACCTCCGCTCGATCGATTCGAGCTCCTTGACTGTGTACTGCATGAAGGAAGGCTGCATGATCTTCCCTCACGAGCCGATTATCCGTGTGGAAGGTCCCATCGCCGTGTGCCAGCTTCTCGAGACTCCCTTGCTGTGCATGGTGAATTACTCCTCGCTGGTCGCCACGAATGCAGCTCGTCACCGCGTGGCTGTGGGCGATTCGATCGGTCTGTCCGAGTTCGGTCTGCGTCGCGCGCAGGGCCCCGACGGAGGCATGACGGCGTCGAAATACAGCTATCTGGGCGGGTTCAACAGCACGAGCAACGTGCAGGCGGGCATGCTGTACGGCATTCCGATCAGCGGCACGCACGCGCACAGCTACGTTCTGTCGTTCGACGGGCTGAAGGACGTGAAGAACCCCGTGCTGAACGGCGTGAATCTCGTGGAGGAGGCGCTGAAGGTGCGGGACGAGAACAACTGGCCGGAGGCGCGCGAGAGCGAGCTGGCGGCGTTCATTTCGTACGCGCTGAGCTTCCCGAAGGCGTGTCTGTGCCTGATCGACACGTTCGATGTGCTGAAGAGCGGACTGCCGAACTTCATCTGCACGGCCGTGGCGCTGTACAAGGCGGGGTACAAGGCGCTAGGCATTCGCATCGACAGCGGCGATCTGGCGTACCTGTCGCGCCGCATCCACAAGACGTTCGAGGAGATGGAGAAGAAGTACAATGTGCCTCTGGGCTCGATGGGCGTGGTGGCGAGCAACGACATCAACGTGGACGTGCTCTACTCGCTGAACAAGCAGAACCATCAGATCAACAGCTTCGGAATCGGAACCCATCTGGTCACCTGCCAGGGCCAGCCCGCGCTGGGCATGGTGTTCAAGCTGGCCGATGTGAACGGCGTGCCGCGCATGAAGCTGTCGGAGGACCCCGCGAAGATGACGACGCCGGGGCGGAAGAACGTGTACCGTCTGTACGGCCAGGAAGGCTATCCGCTGCTGGACTTGGTGCAGCTGTGCGATGAGGAGGCTCCGAAGGTGGGGGAGCGCGTGCTGTGCATGCACATCCACAACCAGAAGAAGCGATGCTACTGCACGCCCTCGAAGGTGGAGTGCTTGCTGCATTGCATCTGGGACAAGGAGAAGGGACAGGTCTACGATCTGATCCCGCTGAAGGAGAGTCGAGAGTACGTTCTGAAGCAGCTGCATGAGGCACGCGAGGATCATATTCGCTACCTGAATCCGACGCCGTACAAGGTGTCCGCGTCGACGCGTTTGAGCGATTATGTGAATACGATTTGGACATCGATTTGCCCGATTACAGAGCTGGATTAAGTAAAGAGTTTGATACTTATGAATGGAATGGAATGCGTGCATTCGCTCATGCTTTACGCTTGATTTGTGGTTATATTTTCAGAATATGGATTGTTTGTTGGGAGTCACGTTGCTCCGTTGTGTGTGTTTCTTCATTGGTAGAGAAGGGAATTGAGTTGTGGGTATTCAACAAGTAGAGAAAGGTTGGCTCTTCGAACTGTTGCTTCGAAAAAAACGTTTGATTCCTTTTTCCATCGGCTTCGGCTTGATCTCATCCTCTTCAGGAGCCGCTTTGAGGCGACTGCAGAACAATCTGCGTCGCTCTTCTCGCTTCTTCTTTTCTTCCTCGTCTTCTTCGCTCCGTGTTCTCCGCAAACTCTGCGACAGCGAGGCAAGAGTTGGTGGTTTAGACGTGTTTGAAGAGTTTGTGCTTGGCGTTGGGGTCATTGCATTTGCACTTGTATTTGCACTTGTAGTTGCACTTGTAGTTGCACTATTTCCGTTCTCTTTCTCTGTGTCCTTCGCCGATTCCTCGCTTTCCACGCTCGCCACGCTCTCCGCCTTCTTCAATTTCAAACTCATCGCGTGCATTTTGCTAAACAGCCCCGTCTTCCTCACCGACGTCGGCTTAATCTTCGTCGTCACGCTCTCTCCCAGCGTCCTCTGCACCTTCCTCCCCATCGTCTTCTCCTCCCCCATCGCCATCTCCGCTCCGCTCGCCCACGCCGGCCGCGCTGGCAGCGCATATCCCTGCTGGTTCGCATCGAAGAACCGCTCAATCTCGCCGCGCAGCGCCTCTACGCCTCATCCCCTCTCCCCACCGCAACGGCACGACTGCATGCGTCGATAGAACGGCTGCATCCATCGCGAGAGATACCGCTCGCTGTCGCGCGAACCGAATCGCTCGTCCATCAGCAGGATGACGCCGAAGTCGTTCTTGTGCCGAATCACGCGGCCGATCGACTGGTTCACCGCGCGATACGCGCTGATCGTGTACCAATCGTTCCCGGAGAACGGCTGCATGTCGAAGCACGCGAAGGACGCTAAGGGAAGGTCCGTGCCGACGCTCGATCGAACGTCGTCGCCGCGGGCGGCAGCCAGGCGAACACGCTCGTTGAACGCGCGCTGCTGCGCGTTGCGCTCGTCTAGATATTGCCTGCGCATGATGACTTTGCGGTCGGTGAGAGTGGGGTAAGGAATGCCGGTGATGATCACACAGCGACACATCGCGTCGCTGAAATCGATTCCTTCGCTCGCTTTGCCTCTGCAGACCGCGAGCAGCACGGCGCCTCGCTCGTAAACCGCCTTCTGGAGGAACTTCACGACCTCGCCGAACTGCGCGTTGGTCATTTTGCTCTCTTCGCGATAGACGGGCTTGACGCTGCGCAGACTGTCGAGCTTGCCTTGCTGCTCCCAGGACGCGTAGCATTCGTTGAGGTAGCTGTAGGAAGGGAAGAAAATGATGACGTTTCCGGGGATGGAAGGGAGAAAAAAGAGAATCGTGTCGATGATTTCCTCTTTGAGAATGGAGTTTTGCCTCGCTCTGCTGGTTTAGAAGGGTGAGAAATCGCACTGATAGGAAGAGGAGAGTGGAATATTGTGGATGGAGCGATCGACCGTCACCACCATTAATTGACTATCGTTGATGACGTGCATGTTCTCGAGAACGTTGGAAATGGGGATTTGGAATTCGGAAATGAGTGGATTCATCGGCGAAAGCGTTCCTCTGCGTGAATTTATGACGTGAAAACAACGATGTGAAAATAATAGTGGAAATGCCGGTCGAAGAAAGCATTTGCATCGCTAATGAACAATCCATGCACCAGAACCCAAGACATGGATCTGCGTATAACAAGGTCATAACAAACACAACATTTTTCGATGCGTCGCGTTTTGGTAGTGCGATCGAACACCGATTCTTCTTCATAATAACAAACAACCATCCATTTATCCGCCGTCGATCGCGGGAACTGTGCTCCATCTCGGAACAATATTCCGAGAAACTGCTGTAGAGTTTCGGTGTTGCATCCCTTGGCGTGCGGGAAATATTGCTGCCGAAGCAGAACCACTTCTTCGATGAGTTCCTTCACCGACGCCAATGATTTCAAATCGATTCCGCACTCTGCGAGGAATTGATAAATAGTGGATCCGGACTCCGAAACAGTGTTCTACATTGGAACAATAATGAGCCGAAACGCCTGCTTTGGCTTCTAATCGAAGTCGAATGACGTCTTCGATTTTCTGAATCACCGCTAAAAGAACCACCGAATTCTAAAAGAAAACGAAGAGCACGTGCCAAACGCGTTCTAGATTCTCTTGAATCTGCTGCTGCTCCATCTCGTCGAGCGAGGAGAGCTTGGACTCGCGCTGCGCGACATTTTTAACTAAAAGTTCTTTGATTTCGCTTTCGATTTGGTGAAGCAGACGCGCACTGATGTCATAGGACAAGCTTTCCAGGCAGAACGAGTCCTATCACTTAGAGTTCTTTGTGGGTTTGACGATGTTGTGCGCTTCGTCGACGATTACGACACATTCTTGGAGATCGAGATTCAATCGCGATCGGATGTGGTAGTCCATTATGTAGTTGTATGGCATGAGGAGAAGCTCCGATTCGATCATTGACACTTCGTGGCGCGCGATATAATACGGACACACCTAACTCGCATGCCAATCACATTTCAACATTTCGTCTTCTTCCGTATGCGTATAGATCTTCGATATCCATTAATTCGCGCTCTCTTGGTGGTTGCACGTGAAAAAGATCAGAAATGATGTCGCCATTCACATTACGATGGTAGGGACAGGTTAGGCCAAGGAAGTGGCATGTGGCGCGTTGAGCATATTGGGGAAGACCTCGAACGTCTTGGTTGATACACATTTGATCACGGGAGGCAAGTACCATCAACTTGGGTCGGTACACCGTTTTTTTGATTTCTCTCACAATTTGTTTTATTTGTGTGTGTGTACGAGAACAGTATATCAATTTTCTTCCTGCGACATCTGCTGACGAAACTAAACATCACGCAGTCTATTTGGATAAAACTTGGGCTGATTTTTCTTGCCATCCCTTTCGCCACTTTATCACTTATTGAGTTGGATGTTTCGATGTTCTTTAGGTGATCAGCGTATTGCTTTGGAATATAGCTGGTCTAGATCTGAGCGAAAAAGTGTGCTAGAACCATTCGAAAATCAATTGCAGCCAAAGCCGAACACAAGAGTGATAATGTCTAAAACTAAATGAGAGTGATAAGAAACACCTTTCCTGTTCCCGTAGGACTTTCTAGCATAGCATTTTTCCTGTTTTGAATGGAGTCAATTACCATTCTCATGTAATCCTTTTGGATATCATAAGGAGGAAAGGGAAACTGCACTGAAACACCATTGTAATCAAAAGAGAATTGTTTCTGTTCCTTTCCCTTAACTAATTGACTCATTTTGAAAACTACAGAACACTTTGTAAGCTGTGGGATCCCACTATCAAAACAAACAGATCTAAAATACAATCTCTAAATCATCTTCACCTTCTGGTTTATACTTTGCGAAGAGTTCTTTAATTTGATCGACATACTACGCAATTCAGTACCAAGCCACAAAATTACCTTCCTATGGATCTCTAAAACCATTTTTTCTGTCGGATTTTCGCACTTCTTCACAGGAATCGGTGATCCAAACACTGTAGTGATCTGTGTATTTCGAGGAAGCAAATGGGAGATCGGTGGAATACGAATTCCCAGAATCTATATAAAATGATTCTCTCTCCCCTACACTCTTCGTAATGCTATTCAGCCATCCGATCGGCTTGTTCGTCTCTTTGATCTCCCAAAGATTGTTTTCACCGAATGAGTACCTGCTTCTAATGCATTTCGACATGCTACATAGGGACGATGGGCGTGCCTGTCTGCAGTGCTACACGAACAAACCCTTTGTGCTTCATGATAATTCGATTTTTGTGAGAGATGGTTAGTAATGATTCATCTGCACCTCCTGGTAATACGACCGCTGAGCAGCCATTTTGGAGAAGACTATGGATCGTGGAGGCGCGGCAATCCGTTCCGCCAAGAGCTAAACAGAAATCCCGATAGAAGGGAATAATGTAGCAGCAACTTACAGCTACACCTCGAAATAATATGCGAGGAAATAAGATATGGATATCGGATGCATTCGTTCCGATGTTCAAGCAGATTCCAAAAGGTAATACTCCATGAGGATGGGCTGCAAAGATATAGGATCCTGGAGGTAATATTGTTGTGCGTACAATCGATGAATTCTTGGCAGCAGCTATTTTCTTCCAAATAGGAAGGTTGTAAAACCATCTGGAAGGTCTTCCGGTATGAAGTTCAGGATCCTTCATAAATGATATAAAATACAACAAGATGAAGGGAATTAGAAAGTGGAAGGCATGGGCAATTGGGAAGAAGAAAAACACGAAAATTGAGAGTTTCAGCAGCTTGTACATAATCAAATCTAGTAAGAACATAAACAACGATACCTACTACGGTGATCTTGAATATTACGCTTGTAAAGAGCACCCTGACAAAGCAGAATGCTAAAAGTAACAATGCAATACGCAGAAATACATAGCAGATAAAAGGGAAACAATCTCCACAGCGAACACATACATTTTGTATCCAATTCAATAAAAATGATAATCTATCAAAATAGCAAATAAAAATTGAGTAGGGATATAATATAGTAGCAAAGACAGATAATAAAGGCCACAATAGTATTTTTAGTCATGATTCTTTGCACATGTATAGAATATCGAACGTAACTGGAAATGCAGAACTTGAAGGAATTGAAAATACTATAGAACAGAATTGAGGTTCGTGGATATTTGACACTATATAATTTGTTATGGTACAGAAAGAATTTGAAACAAACAAGCAACTGCCCATAGGGTACATTCATAAACTGTGATAACTGATTATAAAAAGTATGGGGAAAATGTAGGAGGAGTTAGCTGCAGTACCAGGTTTATAGAAACATCTAAGAATGAAATGAATATACTATAAAGACTGGAAACTGATTTCGATTTCACATTATGGAATGCCTTAAACAGCATTACATTCGAAAGATTTGGAATATCTGAATGATATCAAATAGTACATTTAGAATATACTTCTTAATTTCACTGTAAAAGGATGATAGAAACTGAAATTTTGAGATATAAGCGATTTTAAATTCGGAAGATCTACATTTGATAATTGCGAATCATTTCATTTATACTTCGCATAATCAATTCACATGATACATCATCGGTTCCAGCAAGTGCATCACTCCCGAGTTGAATGGATTGTAGTGCTGGGAGATCTATTGAAATCATTTCATTCGATTCATTTAAATACTCTCAATTACTGTTGACAGAGAACTCTCAAATGTATAATTACCTAATGTAATGGATTGCAGATTTGGAAGGTCTAATCATTATTCAAATATTCAATAGCATGTCAATACCTCGAACAACAAATGAACTCCCAGTAAAATTACGTGACCAGCTTCCGACTTTACCAATTACAAGAGTACATAATGAGGGAAGCTTTCTTAATTCAAACTGCCCGCCGAAATCACTAAAGCTATATTCACCAATTTCAATTGATTCCAATGACTTGCAATTAATAATATGGAATGATTTCGATTCATCGCCTTCACACATTGTGCTCTTTTTCTGGGTGAACGAATAAAGACCAATTTTCAAACTTTTCAATCTAAACATTCCTTCGATTAGGAATGTTTTTACGGATGCAAATGAATTATGGCCAATTTCAATTGACTCGACTCGTGTGAATCGAGAGAAATCAAGTGTCGTAAAAGCAGGATCATTGCAAACCCAATTGGGAATATTAATGGAAGTGACAGAAGACTGAATTGATTGCATATAGTCATAGTTATAAACTTTAGGGAAGAGAATTTCGGAGACATCTAAGTATAGAGAGCAAAATATAATCAAAACTATTAACAATAGGATGGACCACGTTCTGGAATGGGAAACCTTGCCAATCTCCATTCAGCTTACGATTTTTAAGATTTGGAATATCTAAATCAGATCGATGATTCACATTTCAAACTACTTTCCAAAGTCAATAAACGAATAGAATAAAACGCAAATCCCTCGGAATTAAGAATTGTTAAATTAGGAAGATCTACATAGCATTTTTAGTTTTTATATTGTATACTTCGCATGGTTAATGAACATGATGAATCCCCTCTGCCTGAAAGCGCTTGACTTCCTAGCTCGATAGACTTCAACTCTGGGAGATCTATACCAATCATCTTTTTTGCATTTATTTCATACTTTCAATTAGTATTGATTTGGATCTAGAAAACGTACAATAACCTAATTTGATGGATTGCAGACTTGGAAGATCTAATCACTTTATTTTTCATACTATATCAATACCTCGAACTACAAATGAAGTAAAATTGAAATTGTATGATTGACTTTTAATTGTACCAATTTGAATGGATTGTAATTGTGGTAGATTCTTCAATTCAAAGTCTCCAGCAAAATCAACAAAACTGTATTCACCAATTTGTATCGATTCCAATGATTCACAATTTAATATGTGGAATGATTTTGATTCGTTGTTTACTTTATCTAAATCCCACTTTTGATTATTTTTCACAATGGAGAAAGATTTGTTACCGATTTTAAGAGTTTTCAATCGATTCAACTTGTCGATTTGAAATGTTTGCACTGATCCAAAACAATCATCGCCGATTTCGATAGTTTTTAGCCATTCAAATCTGTTAAGATTTAATGCATTTACATCATTACAACAATTTGATCCAATTATCAAATCTGTTAATTCTAAACTCATACTTTCTAATTCTTTTGATTCTGTAATCGTTTGCTCAACAGGATATATATTGTACCATCCAACATACAGATCTACACCACTCACTTCCTTTCCATCCTTCCATTCACATTCTCGAGTTGCAATTCCAGTCTTTTCATCAATCAGACATCCTTTCCCTTCACGAATAAATGCTTCATTATCTTCGTCATAGCGAAATCCACCCACATAAATCGGAATTCGTTTCGTTGGATCCAAGCTATCTACTCCATTTCGCTTCAATTCTGTCATGGTGTTTCCATTGAAACATCGAATCACTTCTGTCATTGTTCCTTTGTTCCACATACCTTCTACAACCACCTTTCCACTTTCTTCATCATATTCGATACCCCATCCTTCTTTCTCCCGTTTTTCATTAAATTCTCCGTGATACATCAAATGGCCTGTTTTGGCTGACCAGATTTCCATCCGAAGTCCCTTTTTGTGATTAACTATGTGATTTAAATCTCTCTGATCCAAAATATCTTTATATTGTTGACGGAAATCAACTCGACCGTTCTTGTATGCGATGAACTCATTCAATTTCATTCCTTTTTCATTTTCCTTCCACTGTTGTTTCAAAACATTATTTTCAAATAAGAAAGAATCTCCATTTCGAGTTTGCAGTAGGAATTCGTTTTTATGTTCTCCCTGATATCGATGAACTGTATATCTGATTCCATTCCTAATTAGGGGTTCCGCACTGCCGGAAGATATATATCCATTTAACAAATATTCAGCTCCATTTAGCTGTATCTCGGAAGCTATTTATAAGTAGAAACAGAATGCCATACATTTAGAATTCATAATAGTGTACAAACTATTAATTCTTTTCTAAAATCTGAAACAATCATGCTAATAATAGTGGTTATTTTTTGACATATTACTTTTTTGGGATTGAATAGTGATTGAATGGGATATTAGGCATGCCATATCACATTGACTGATAGTAGTATTATAATGAACGTACGGAGTAATATCAATGTCAGTGCCGTTGGTTAAACTGTTGCATATTAATATTTTGAAAGCAATTATTAATATTGTTATTATTAGAATTATTAGGATGAATTATTTGGTAAATATGGAATAGAATGGATGAGCCTTATCTACACTCTTTGTTGCTGTGTGTAAAAGGGATGAAAATGGTACCAAATAATTCGCGATGTTGCTGAATTCTGTCCTACAGGATAGTGAATAGGATAAAAAGCCTGGCAATAACACTCGTCTTTTCGAATCCCAATAAAAGCGCGATTGATAGTTTTTAAAAATAGTGCTTTTGCAACAAAGAGAGAAAGAGTAAAGTAACGATTTACTCCACATTGATCGAGAGAGTGTTTTCATTAGGAGATCGAATGATTTCCATGAACTCAGCAAGTCGTCCGCCGATGTCCCATTCTTCCTCATAGTGGTGTTAAGGACTTTCCATTACCTACTACTAAAGGATATGAACTGCATCGAGAAGAGATAGCAGAGGAAATCTTCCGAGCTGATGCTGACCTGGCATTCCTTGGTGAATTTATCCATCACATCCATGTCAAAATCAAGTCTCTCGATTTCTTCCTGCACGTCGTCCTCCTCCTCCTCCTCCTCTTCTTCTTCTTCTTCTCCTTCCTTGTTGTCACAGCACTCCTCCTTCTTGCAGCAGCCTTCCTTCTTGCAACAGCCTCCACAGCAATCCTCCTTCTTGCAGCAGCCTTCCTTCTTGCAACAACCTCCACAGCAATCCTCCTTCTTGCAGCAACCTTCACAACACTCCTCGTCCTCCTCCTTCATGCAGCAGCCTCCACAGCAATCCTCCTTCATGCAGCAACCTTCACAGCATCTTCCCTCTGCAGACGGATACTCGTAGCACTCCGGGTGATAACCGGGAGGGAAAGGACTCTCTCGAGTGAAAATGAAGTCAACAACTTGTGCTATTCATTATCCTCAAGAAATTAACAAACTCAGGTTCTCTCCCAATGTGCCCACCTTCAACTGATAGTGGACACGCGTAGACACTAACTCTTCCTCCTCATCTTCCTCTTCCTTCTCCTCCTTCTCCTCCTTCTCCTCCTTCTCCTCCTTCTTCTTCCTTGCACTAGCCGTCAATTGAAATAAAGTAATAAAAATACATCTCCTCTACCATACGGTCATAAACCGTCATTACCTGCAGCGTTTTCTCATCACTAATGGCTACGTTGATGAGAGCAGAATAGTGAGCATCGTCCATCTCCGAGAAATCCTCAATACGAACAACCGTCATTCTGTTCGCCAAGTCTTCCATGTCCTTTCTCACTTCTCCAGTTTCCTCATTACGAATTGCCTCAGAAGCGTACTCCACATTATGCACAAAATGATTTCTAGAGGAGAAAGCAGAACAGAGAGTAATACCGGACGTTGTAAGTGGCAAGCAGCAGGTTGGACTGAATGACAACCATCTTTAATACTTCAATTTCCGAATAATCACCCTTGTAGGATTTCACCAAACTCATGATTTTTTCGTTCAGTCCTTCCAAGGATTGCTCTTCGAATTCGTCGTACATACTCAGAGAAGAATTTCCAAGGCAAATCTAAAATAATGTTGTTAACCCGGGTTACAAAAAAGGCAAAAAGAGTGGATGTGGTGGGCATCGATCCCGCTACCTATCGCATGCGAAGCGATCGCTCTACCATTTGAGCTACACACCCTCGAAATTGCTTCTCTGTACTCGATACATAAGTAACCGTAAATGTGTAACTTGCTTTTCAAAAATGCGAGTTGAATACACGGTGTTTAGAATTTGCGCAATTCTTCTTGCATCTTTTCTATTGTAGTTGTAAAAAAAGTGCTGTTATGTTTAGGGGTTATGGGGGAACCTATTTATACGGAAACCAATCGAGTCTCCGTGCATCTGAATGTAGGGATCAATTTGTTATTGCCGTACTATTTATTACTAATTGTGTTGAAATAGGTTGTGGAGAATACTAGTCCATCTGAAGCACCTGGTAGTTCTGTTTGAAACTGTTTACAGTTAGCTATATATAACAATGTAATTATATCAAAACCTACCATTATGAATAATGTGAAAAGAGTTGCTCATCCAACAGATAAAACTGATTTAGTTGATCATTTTAGTGAAAGTACGGAAACAAACGATGAGCAGGGTGTGTCGACCGAAATCGACTCGTCAAAATCTATTGTGGCAAACACTCAGCCAACATTATCTGTATCCCCTACTACCAAACAAACAAAGACTTATCATTTTCGTAACCAACTCACACCATCTACGGGGTACGTGTGCTTGTCCTCGATTTCGAACCTAGTGCCCCACTTCTTGATCAAAATATTTACCGACAGAAACGAGAGGAGGTAATAAAGCGCCTGATTACGACCAGCAGACCCGAATCTGTCCCCCTATTATTTACTCGAAACTATCTCACTTTCCGCAGACAGTATCTCGTCAAAACGCGCCCCTGGCGTTTATACAACCACAAAATGCGTGTCTACTACATGAAGAAAAAGAAAGGGCAGCCCTACCCTCTCCCTCCCTCCCCTCCGCCCACTCCTTCTCTCCCCCCAATCGTCGAAAAGCCCGATTTCAACGGCCTGGACGAGCCTTCCATCGGCGTGACTCATCATTTCAGCTGTCCGCCTTGGGGAGCCGACGAAGTGATTCGAATCCGCCGCTTTGAGGGCAGTCGCGAGGTGGCGAAGGAGATTCCGGAGTATTTTCCGAGTCCCGACGATCCGTTTTCGTTCACGCTGATCGCCGTGGGAACGTTTGGGTTTGTGTGTGTGGAATAACGGGAAGCTACTCGCGGATTTTCTACATTCCGTATTTGCTGCGTCGCTGGAGCGGACAATTGTCGCTGGTTTTGTACGGAACGGACGACGAAGAGGCGAAGATCATCGACTATCTGGACAAACGAGAGTACAGCGAGCGGCTCTCGCTGATCGTCTATCTGGTCAAGAACGGCACCGAGGAAAGCAAGACCTTCCCGATCAACGCGCTTCGCAATCTCGGCATTCAGAACTCCCGCACGACGCACTACATGGTGACCGATTTCGATGTCTGGCCGGTCTGTACTGCGTCCACTCCCTGCTCTCACGCCTCTAGACAATCTGTACAACGAATTCAAGAAGGTTCCGACCTCGATCCTCCAACGCGACGACGTGGCGATCATTCTCCCTCTCGCCTTCTTCGATCTCGGCCAGTTCCTCACGTTCTGCCTCGAACTCAGCAGCTGCATCCGCCTGCACGTGCCTCTCTCGCTCTCTCACGCGTAGAGCGATGGAGTACATCCCGCAGGACAAGGTGCAGCTGCGAGCCTGCATCAAAACGCGCGTTTGCACTTATGAAAAGCTCTGGCAGATGACGCACGTGGGCGATTGGGGGATTTTTGTGATGCTAGCTGTACATCAACAACTATTGGATGACTCTGCCGGGGGGCGTCGTCGCGGAAATCACGTGTCTGCTGAATGAACATCAGGAACCGTGGGGATTTTGCGGTTTTGTGAGAGATAGGTATGTGATGTTGCGACGGTCGAAGAACACGCCGCTGTTTGACCCCCGGTTTGTGAATTATGGGTATAATAAAATGCAACTCATTCAGCATCTTCGGTATAAGGGATTTCGTTTTTATGTGCTGGTGAATTCATTTGCGATGGATATGCCGCATCGGAATTCCCGCTTTAGGAACCGTTTTCTGAACAAGACGATGAAAACGAACCCCATGGAGGAGTTATATTCTTCTTTCATGGATGAGCTAGAACGCCAGTATGGTTCGAACCGAAAGATCCCTATCTGTATTTCTAATAAAACTAAGAATTTTTACAAGGTTGTATCAATCTGATGTGCTTTTGTTTGTACCAAAATAGTGTTTTTGTTCTTTTTTCGCTTTTGCAAATTATTCCCTTTTTGCTATCTGGAATACGAATCCAATGATTCGTGTTCTCGATTTGTATAACTTTGGGGATGAATCCATCGTGTCAAACCCGGTGTATAACTCGATCATGACAACGATCCCTGTTTTATCTCGTTTTGGCGTTAATTCGTAGAATATAAAGAGAGATGCGCAGGAGAAATCCATTATTTTAGCAATTCCGATGACTTCGACACTGAAATCTTCTCGCTTCTCTCAATCATTTATCCGTTTGTATGCTTTGAATTTGTGAGTATAGAGTCTCATATCCTCACCTCCTCTTCCGTTTACAAAGATGAGTACATCACGTACTCAGGGAAAACGGCGGCAATCAATAGTAAATACGTCCAGACAAAAGTATGTATGCGGAGAGTGTGCTTATTTAAAGATGGATAAGTGGAATGGAGTTGGGTTTGCGGAAGAGCGCCATTGCCGTATTCTGTACGACGACGTCATCACAGTCGACGGCACATCTGAATTCCGCATTCTGTTAATCGACAAGCCTCTTGAAGGCAGCTATTACCCTCTCCAAGTGTTTCCGCAATCCAATGTTTTGTTTCATTCTGGACATGTTTCAGGTCTCTCCTCCTCTCTCTCTATTCTTTGTAGAAGTATTCGACTATTTCGTAGGACGCTCGGTTTCCGATAGTCTGGTAGTGTCAATCAAAAAGAGCACAGATATATCCTTTGTTTGCTTGTTTGTTTTTTCTTCACTCCACTTCTTTAATAACAACTACGTACTCAATAGCACCGATCCATCCATTCAGGATTGTATTCTCAAGCTGCAGAGCTGGATCGAGGCCGAGTACGCCAAAGTGAAAGCAGAAATCAGCCGAAACAATCCCTACTACGCCTCCTCTCTAATGATTCAGTTGTTTATTCGACGAGTGGTCGAGATGTACTTCATCGAGCGATGTTACGATAAACTCTCCCATTGCCTCATCGACCGCTCGATGGCCGACGAGATCCATCTGCAGTGCATTCTAGACTCCATTCAAGTCGTTTTGGAGAGGACGTTTCAATTAGAAACATGGCGGGCTTCGACCTGAAGATGTGTGTTTGAACCCTCTATGCTACTACCCGGATATAGTACATCGCGCAGCAGCACAGTTGAAGAAGATGGACGAGCAACGCAGCGTGCTGGGGAAGCTGAATGTAGGAGTGATCGGGTTTTGATCGATCGAAGATGATCTGGAAAACGCTGAAACTCCTCGCCGTGGAGACGAAGGATCGGATTCTGGTTCGAAAATGTACGATTTGGTGGTGTTTTTTAATCAGCGATCCTGCATGAAGTCACAGCGGATGATCAGCTGCCTCTTCTGATTATCGTGGTATTTCCCGCTGTTTCCACTCATTCCAGATCTCCCAGAGCTCGCTATCGAATATTCTGAGCCAAATCCGGTTCATCACCGATTTCGATTTCATGCATTGCCGAACCAACGAATTAGAGTTTCCCCGTTTCCCCTTTTTCCCTCTAGATATTGCTTCGCCTCCTTCTACACCGCCATCGACTTCCTTCGCCATTTCAAGCCCAAAAAGCGCCATCTCCAGAACGCTTCCACGTTTCGACTTCCCCGTCCCGCGGTTCGCTCCGTCCCCGCGGGGATCCACGCCTCCGGCTGGACCTCCTCCACCCAATCCATCTTCAACGATCTCCTCACGCGCTCCTCCCTCGACCCCCCTTCCCCGCGGGGATCCACCGCTCCCCCCACGCCCCGGTCGACCGTTTCGCGGGCGTTTCGCCAGCCGGCGGCGTCGGCGGCGTCGTTCTGGTGGTCGGAGGCGCTGGAGCGTCGCTTTCAGTGAGGTGTGATCGGGTTTTTACATTCCAGGCAATGCGGCGACGAAGCGTCGGAAGCGTCGATTCCCGCGGAACTGGACTCAGTTTTGTCGCTCCCCGCGGAACTGGACTCGGAATTGTCGCCGTCGGACGAGTCGCTTCTGGGCGATGCCGAGTTTTCGGAGTCGCAGGAAGCGTCGAAGTCGGCATTGCCGAGTGTGTCGGGCAATTCGGCGCCGAGCGCGTGGCGGTGGCTGTGCTGCTGCGACGCGTGTGACGATGCGTGTGACGACGCGTGTGGAGATGCGTGTGGAGACGCGTGTGGCGGCGGGAAGCGCGGAGCGTGCGAGAAAGTGGGAGAAACGCGGAGGAACGAAGTGCTGTGCTTCGAAGAAACCAACGTGAAGAGCCTCTTGCTGCCAGCGTGCCAGCCGCCCAAGGCGGCGACCGCGTCGGAGAGGTCGCTGGCGTCGTTTCCGGTGGCGTCGATGCCGCAGAGGGAGCCGGTGGCGCGGAGAAACACGGTCGATGATGCGAATGTGTACTCGGCGTTTGATTCGGGGTTGGGACCGTTTTTGTCATCGCTGAAGACGAATAAGAGGAAGGTGGTGCGTAGTAGTGATTTTACGATGTGGAGTGTTTGTTGATTCAACTTTTTACTGTTCTGGAAGGAGGTTCGCGAGAATGTTTGTAGGGTGTGGAGAGGAGAGATGAGGGAGTAGAGCAGAGGAGGAGGAAGCTGGGGATTGGGTGGTTCGTTATCTTTGGGAGATTAACACGCTAGATCTGATGTCTTCGATTAAGAAGGCCTCTTCTGAAGTGAGCCGGATCGCATCCGATCTCGTCGACAAAAGCACCACAGAAGCCATGGTAATGGATTTCGTTCTTGCCGATGGTTTAGAAACTGTACGGAGAGTTGAAAGTGAAAGGAGAGGAGGTTGTCAAAGAGATTAACGCAAAAGAGGAGGAAGTGAAAAAGAAACCCATCGAGTGTCTTCCTTGGGAACTTCCAGAAATTCGAAACACCGAGTATAGTATCATGTTGAAGGATGATACACTTCTGCTGTCTTTCGATTCGAACACATTTTTAAAAACGATCGATGGATCGGAGGACGAGCGTTACTCTCCGGAAAAGAACGCTCCGCTCATTGTGCTACTTCGAGGGCAGGACAAGAATCTGCAAAAGGTTCGCTACGAAATCGTGCAGAAGGATGGCTTAATTGACGTTTGGCTATATGGATAGCATCAAGTGTAGGATGATCATTTCTGGAGAAACTATCTCTTCCGCGTATTCCAACTCACAGACCGCTATCTCGCCATTTGCAGGCAGGAATCCATTCCAGTCGCGGAGGTGGTCCAGACGAAGTCTTCCGCATCGGAGACTCCGCTCATTGCTGCAAACGATTCCGGACAAAATGTAGAATTGAATGCGAATCAGAGCGCGGAGCCGAAAGAGACTTTGGAAATTAATGGGAATGCCAATGCGGCTTTGGAGGAAAAGGCAGCGACGACAGCAGTGGAGGAGGAGCAGGAGGCCGAGGCATTGCAGAGTCAGCCAAATGGAGAGGAAAACGGAGGGGAAGGGAAGACGGAGGAAGCGATCCAACCGGTCGAAAGCACGATTCCCGAGGTGGTGCACACCGTGGATGATATTTACGATTTCGATGATATTAGCGGTAGGGATGCGATTGGAAATGGTAATGGATAGATATTGAGAAGGAGATTGGTGAGATTGATTTGGAGGATGTGGACATGGACGATCTTGGTGATATAGATAAGGAAATTCTCTCTGAATTGTAATGATATACGTGCTTGCATGTTTGTTTGTGCAAAATCGATAAAGAAAAACGAGTAAGGGCGTGCAACTCCCCGCTTTTCCTGCCTTTTTGCATAAAAAATGATCCGTAAGGAGAGCTGTATCGCTGGAACTGGAATTATTCTGCTTCTGTTTTGGGCAGCCGTGTTTATTAACATGGTAAACACTCCTTCTGAAAAGAGTTCGGATTCTTGGCGCCGTCGCCTCCAGCAAGACGTGTTTGTGGAAACGAGCCAACGGCCTAGCGATGGGAATATTCTCGTGCTCTCGACGACGTTAATGCCGACCGAAGTCTTTTTTTCTGATTCCAATGAATGAAATAGAGTGAGCACACTCCGATTGCAGAGCTGCAGCGCAATACGATGTATTTCCTGTCGACCATGCCGGGAGTGTTGGGAATCGTCTTCTGCGATGATGAATACTGGTTCAAGGAGTGCAGCAAGTTCAATCTGCAGTGCATCAGCGAGTTCCCGTCGATGTTTTTCTCCTCCTTGATTCTAGTCGCTCTCCCTTCGGAATGCCGTTTTTCTTCGGCATGATCGACATGCTGATCAACAAATTCCCTGGCTATCCCTTCTATGGCTACATCAACGGTGATATTCTAGTGGAAAACACGATAAGGGACGTTTTAGAGCAGGTCCATGCAGATATTCTCTCCGGCAAGCTCGGTCCAAAAGTGTCTCTCTTCACGCACCGCAAGAACATGTTCGCCTCCTTCCCCGACGATTTATACAACAACAACTCCGAATCGCGCGAGTGCGTTCGTCCTCTTCCTCTCATCCGCAGCGAGCTCTTCACCCGCTTCAATCGCCGCAGCGTGACCTACTGGGACGTCGCCATCGTACGAACCGCCGCTTCTCTTCGATGCAGGATCTCTTCGTGTTCACTCCTTCCGTGTTTCCGTGGCGACTGATGCCCAACTTCGTGATTGGCCGCACGAAATACGATAACTACGTGGTGCAGTCGCTCGCTCACGACCCCTCGCAGGTGATGATCGACGCGTCCAACATGGGTAGTCGCGTGCGCGGCGTGCGATGTAGTGGCGATCGTACACCAAACGATCGACGGCGTTCGCTCGGGTCTTCGAAAGCAGCGCAGCGAGAAGAAGTCGTGTAGGGACGGAGAGAGGCTTCAACGCAGCGATTAGCATGCTGTGGAACGAGCTGGCGCTGCACATCGCGGGCGTGAAGGATTGCTGCCAGGATATCTGGTTCGCGGAGCTGAGTTCGCACGTGGTGAGTAAGCGAGTGAAGCGAATGGCGACGTAGTTCCCACGCAGCAAGGCGTCTGCGTCGAGGCCAAGCTGATGCAGTCGTACCTCGAAGACGACTTCCAGCTCAACGAGATCGAGATGCTGAAGGCGTATATCAAGCCGGAGGAGCATCGACGTGCGTGTTGTGATCGGGTTTTGATGCAGGGTGTTTGTTCGTCGTGGAAGGAGCCGTGTCCGGGTTTATGAGCCATCTCTGCGAGCATACGTATTATCTCTGCACCAATCGGCAGCAATGCGTGTAGGGGTTCGGAACCGAATCGAATTCGAAGACTGGCTCGGAAACGGCTTCTTTCCTGCGGGTTGCAAGACAGAATCACGGTTATTTGCACGGAAATCGCGAGGGATCGCTACATGGCGCAGCTCACCGAGTATCTCAAGTTCTACAATGCCAAGTTCGATACGGTGATTTCGATGCTGCCTTCGGGCGACGGATTGATTCAATATGTGACAGAAATCGGGGGTATTTTTGACGTGTAGCTCATCCTCCATCAGGCCATGTTCCCTGCCGGAGACAACGTGAAACTGTACTTTATTCGTGGGTTTAACCGGGCGCAGACGCGAAATTCGATTCTGATCAACGCGGCGGTGGATATCGTGAAGATGTGGGGTTGATGGGGAGTGACGAGCGTAGATTGGACTACAAGTACTATTTCGATGGTCCCCACTTCCCGGAGATCGGAATGGCGTTGTACTGCGAGAAGGGGAAGGCGTCGTTGTTGCAGTGAATTTTGTTTTGATTGTTTTGTGTTCAGTTTTGTTTGAAAAAAGGTTTTTAGCGATGTCGCAAACGTTGGAGATCTCTCTCCAGATGCTGGATGAGTGGATTCGGGGGGTGTCAGAGTGCCAGCTCCTCTCGAAACCGGAGGTGGAGAAGTTGTGTGAGAAGGTGGGAATTTGGAGAGGGATATTAGCTAGGCGAAGGAGATATTGGCTGAAGAGTCCAATGTGCAGCCGATAAGCTGCCCTGTAACGATTTGCGGAGATATACACGGTCAGTTTCGGGATTTAATCGAGTTGTTTAAAATCGGTGGGACGATCCCAAATACAAACTATATTTTTATGGGAGACTTTGTAGATCGTGGTTTTCACTCTGTTTTGTGTTTTTCAATGTGGTGATGTTTAGGTTGAAACGATTACGCTTCTGATATTGCTCAAAGTTCGATATCCCGATCGTATTTGGCTTCTCCGTGGGAACCACGAAGCCCGCCAAGTGAATATATCGTATGGACTTTACTTATCTTCTAAATTAGCTGCGGTTTTTTTGACGAGTGTATTCGTAAGTATGGAGATTCCTCCGTCTGGAAGTGCTTCAACGACCTATTCGACTATCTTACTATTTCTTCCCTTGTTGAGAACGAGGTTTTTGTGGTTCACGGTGGTCTTTCGCCGTCTATTCAGTCCATCGACCAGATCCGAGCGATTGACCGTGTAGTCGAAGTGGATTCTATATCCTATATTGTATTGTGATGTGTTTTGTATGGAGTGGATTGCTTGCTTTGTGTTGTATTGTGATGTTATGTGTTTTGTATGGAATGGATTGCTACTTTATTCCACTTCACTCCCTATTCATAGTCCTTGCACACACACACACGCACACCGTTGAATTAGAATCCTTAATTTCACGAAGGACCCATGACCGATTTGCTCTGGTCGGATCCTGATGATCGCGCTGGCTGGAACGCCTCGTCGCGTGGTGCTGGCTACACGTTCGGCGAAGACGTCAGTATTAAGTTCAACAAGGAAAACGGGTTGAGCCTAATCACACGGGCTCACCAGCTCGCAATGGAGGTACATTACGGTCCGTGGAGTTGAGCGCAGGGATATAATTGGTGTCACAACCAAAACGTGATCACCATCTTCTCAGCACCGAATTATTGCTATCGGTGTGGAAATCAAGCTGCCATTTTGGAGATTGCCGAGAATATGAATTATTCGATGTAGCTGAGTTGAGGAAGCGTTTACGAATAGTCTCCAGTACAATCCGGCTCCTGTGGCGCGAGATCCGGAGCTGTCGAAGCGAGCTCCTGCGTTCTCCCCCCACAACTGTGTATCAATCGAAGAATTTCTTTATTTGTAAATTAGGATGATTTGCTTGTTGGTTTTGAGTGATACAGTCGTGAAAATAGATTATTGTGACGATTGCACGATTCACCACTCGTTGGTTTTATTTCAGAAGTTATTATCCCTGGATTATTACTTATTGAAAAATGCTCGTTGATAGAAAGGACACTTTGATGGTTTATCGCCAGCTCTTTGAGGGTGGGAATTGGACAGTTTAGTGATGATGGTGTAGATGGAGTTTTCGTGGTGAAGGACGACGTCCACAAGCCCTACGTGATTGGTCAGGACGAGAACGGAATGAACATCACCATCAGCGGACTGAAGGTGATCAAGCTGCTCCAGTCTCTGTGCTCTCGCGGATACGTGAAGAAGACCTACTGCTGGTAGGGGATGCGGGTTTTGTTTGACTCCAGGTGCCACTTCTACTACACTCTCACTGATGCGGGTGTGAAGTTCCTCTCTGAGTACCTTCACCTCCCTGAGCACATTGTGCCCAACACTCACAAGAGAGTGAATCCCACGATGCCTCGTGAGGAGCGTCCCTATCCTCGCCGTGATGGAGACAAGCCCGGATTCCGCCGCAACGGACAGTTCCGTTCCAACCGCAGCGGATTCAAGGAGCAGCCTAAGGAGCAGCCTAAGGAGCTCTAAGCGTCCTCAACGACATACCAGATAACAAAAAGTTGTTGGTTCATGTAAAAAGGGATACTTCCCCGCTCTGTTTGTTGCAAACTTCGCTTTTGATCTTCTTGTCAAAGGGGAGGGAGGGTTTCGATGAGTTGGTGTATTCTTCCTGGATGGAGAAAGAGTTTTGTGTTGTGCGCGACTCAACGAATGGGATACAATCAAGGATGGACACATTATTGGCACTGGCTACTCCTGATGTGTTTTCTTCCCTGGCAGAATGTTTATCTGCCAATTTTGGAATCAGTCTCTTTATTTTTAATGAGAATACCAAGGTGATTCGCTATCAGAGTGGTCACAGCCAGGATCCCGATATTCAAGCATCTATTTACAGTCACTTGCGTGCTTCGGACGAATGGAGATGTGTTCTGGGAAAGGCAAGTCCTGTACTGTCCTCGGAAGTGGGATATGTTCGAAGAATCAACGATCAAGGAGATTGCATGTTAGTATACTCAACACCGCGCATGGACGATGACATAGGAAGTAAGGTTGAGCAAGAAAAAGAGATCTATCATGAACTGAGTGTGGTTCGTGACATCCACTTCACACTGTCGTCGCTCATGTCCCATAGCTTTATTTCGATTGACTGCCTTTCTCTGCAGCTAATTTACTCTACGAACGACTTTGCAGCAGTGTGCGGCTTTTCTCTATCGTGCCTTCCCAAACTGTCGGACTTGTGTTATCTTCAGAGTGAGCGAATCTCCATCGAGCGCATGTTTGGCGAACTAAACTCGGTTCACTATTTCACTCTTCGCTTTTCTCTTCACATAAAGAGTCAATTTGATCGGCTCTTATGCTATCAGGTCTACTGTGTTCGAGTTCCAATGTATCAGGATGCAGTTCTCGCTTTAATCGATACGACTCAGGAAGAGCATGATCAGTTGTGTGCGGAAGCCTATAAGAAACGAGGTTCGGACAGTCTTCTGGTAGTTGTGTGTGATGAGAATGACGAAGTGGTGAGTGTTTGGAGTCGAGAAGGAGATGATGAGAATAGCAAGGCGTGGATTGGAGAAAAGCTGAGGGATATTCGCATTGATTGCAATGGAAAATCGCTATTAGAGATGATTCAAGGAAATCAGACTAATACAACTAAACTCAAACATGGAACAATGATTGAATTGACGCAGTCTTCCTTGGATATTATGCCATGTACTAGGGAAAGAAGTATTCTATCAGAGATGCTCGATTCTCTGTGCATGCTGATTCAGCAACGGACATCAGAAGAAGTAACTCCTGAAGAAGCACTCCACATAGGAATGTACAGTTTTCAAAATCAAGGGAAGCGGTACGCTATTTTTAAGCAAACAACGAGAGATCTGGTTGAGGTGATAAGCACAATGATTTATGCTGGCGCCGATCGAAAGCAGAGAGGGAAGACGAGGGAGTATTACAGTTTTGTAATGAGTCACACTCGATCAATGTATCCAAAAGAGGAGGATGAAGGATTTTATAACAAGCAGATGAGTTTACTCTGGTATTTGAAGGAAGATCATCGAGCCACATTGGTATCTTGCAAGGAAGTCACTGTAGAATGCCCAGAAATACATGCAAGGCTAACAAAAAGTATTTTGTTTCCCAATCTTTTTGCAGTCGAGGCGAGTCCGATTGAATTTGATGTTGGAACGGTTCTTTCCCCTGAATCTCTTCACCTATTTTCAGTTTTTTCTATTCCCATGTTGCTTGTTTCGTTTACGTTTCGGGTAGAATACGTGAATCAGGCTGCGGAAGAGCAGTTGGAAATGAGAAGAGGTTCCTGCTTTACAGATTTCTTTTCCGATGAATACAGAGGAACCATGGAAACGATTCGAACGTTGACACTTGGTCAATCAACACAATTCAGTGCAAGTAAGAAGGGAGATCGCAGGGATGTATATTTCATTTCCTTTTATGCTCTATCATCGGATTTGGTTCTTGTGACCTGTACACCTTGCCAACCCACTCTTGAACATAATAATTATCTTCAAAATTCACTGCAGCTTTACTCTTTGGAGAATACCCGACTCAAGAGGATCATGAACATCGCATTTGATGGGAATTGTGTGATTGAGCTCCAGCGTCTTACAGTTCTCTATCCTTCCTATTCAATAAAGCATTTGTTTGATTGTGAGGAAAGAGGAAGTTGCTTTGTGAATTTTATCAAGGAATCATACCGTGAAGAGTTTAAGCAGAAAATGAGGGAACTGAATGAAAAGGGCTTTCCGCTCTTTGATTATGACACGATTTTGGTGACACACGGCCAAGAGCGGTATTACACCATCGTGGCGATTCCAATCCAGCTTACCTACCAATACTACTCCCAAGCGATTCTGTGTATAAAGGACATAACGAGAAACATTGAATTAGAAAAGGAAGAGAAGCAGTTGAACGAAGCAATTGAGCGGATGAATACTTTGCAGAGCGCGATGATTGAGACTGCGTTCAATGGATCTTGCATTCTCGACTTGACTGTGCTCCAGCCGTTGCGCATTCTTCATGCATTCGATCTGTCAATTTCGAGTTCCATTTTTTGTGATGAAGCGCAAACCACGTTCACTTCGGAGTTTCGCGAGTATTTGCTTCGCTTTGCTTCGGAGTTGCACGATGCAATTCATGGAATCCGGGTTGCTCTTTCTTCTGGAGTCCAGTTGGAAATCAACATGGTGGGTGTGGAAAACAACAAAAAAGCCATGATCACTCTGCGAGACATCACGCAAGACGTGGAAAGAGAAGAAAGAGAGATCCGTCTCCGCGAAGAAGCGCAGAGGGCAAACAAAAACAAGCGAGATTTCATTGTACGCCATGTTTGTTGGATTGAAAGTAGGCATACATTTTTCACGAAGTGCGAAACTCGTTGACTCCTATCAGTATCGGGATTGATTTACTGTCAACATGTTCAGACAAGGAAAAGCAGGAATTGCTTTCCGTTTTGCGCATATCGTGTGATTCGTTGTGCCACATCCTGAGCGACGTGTTGAGTATGCAGAAAATCGAAGAAGGAAAGTACTCTCTTGAAAAGGAGTGGTTTTCGATGGGTCTCGACTTGCAAAACCTCGCGAATCAATACGAAATCACAGTGAGGGATTCATGAGAGGAGTGTGAACTAGTGTTCCTCTCGAGGAATTCGACTTGTCTATGCATGCCCGTCTACTTCTCTATCGATGTAGGTGTATTTTTTTTAAAACTATTGGAGTTGAAGTGTTTCTAATCAAATAGATTTGGTGATCGGACCAAACTCCAGATCGTGATCAACAACTTTCTGAGCAATGGTAAGGAGTGGTGAAGTGAATATCCCATTCAGCCTGCAAGTTCACCCGACCAGGCGGAGTGATTCAGTTAACGAGCCAGATTCTCGAGCAGCTTCCTTCGGATCTTTTGGATCAGTTGAGTGATCGAGGTCAAGAAGACCAGAATTTCTTAACTAGCTCGCTTGGGGTGCAGCAAATGCAGTATGTGCGAACAATTCGCGAGCTCTCTTTGACACAGCATTCCTTGGTTTTGTTTGATGCATCTGAAGAGAATTGTGGAGTGTTTCATTCCTCGCTACAATGGATTCGAATCGCAGTCATTGACACAGGAATCGGAATTCTGAAAGAAGACTTGACTTCGCTGTTTGTTCCGTTTGCTTTTTACAATATGCGATCATTCTATGAGTTGTAGATATAAACAAATTCGAAGTGGAGAAACACAGAAAGGACGAGGGACCGGATTGGGATTGAGTTTGTCCTTGTATATTGTCTGTCTACACCAAGGAATCATTCGCGTGATTACCGAGCCTCAAGTTGGTTCTACGTTCGAAATCTATCTCCCCTTAACGAAAATGGATGGAAATGTCGTTCCTTCCGAGCAGGATACGATCCCAAGGGTGATTGAAGAGAAGATCGAGACTATTGCCGTTGTGGATGACCAGTTATCGATTCGCCAGCTCGTAAAATCGTGTCTCAAACGGCTTGGATACACTGTACGCTTCCTCCTTCTTAATTATTTATGATGTTTGTAGTGTACCCTCTTCAAGAATGGGGAAGAATTCTTAGATTCTGTTCATGAGGGAAACACATTCGATTTGGTATTGCTGGATTATGAAATGCCTGGAATGAATGGAGGTGAGGTGACGAAGATTCTGCGCCAAGAACAATATTCAGGGAGGATCGTTGGGTTGACGGGGAATACGATGAGCGAGCAGCGCGACGCTTACATACGATGTGGTACCGATGGTTATATGTGTGTGTTAATCAAACAGGATTGAACGGACTTTTGGCGAAACCCATCACCATGCTGGATCTGAAGAACTATTTACTCCAATTTCGCAGCTGGCTTTGTTTCCTTTGAGAAAATCGTTCGAGCGGCTTGGATCGATGCTGAATCGACCAGCCACATCACGAGGAGAACCGAGATCCCAGCGCACGCTCCGATTCCGACAAAAAACAGAACCGAACGCATCGAGAACGGCTTGAAAAAAGTCTCGAGATATCCCAGAATTGCGCACACACCAATTTCATAGACGAGCCACACTGGCGCTACGGCAATGTCTCGAATCACGGGCTTCTCCGCATATTGAGACAAGTAGCCGAAGTGATGGATACAGCGACATCCCATATTGACGATATTCGCCACGATGTATCCAACAGAGCCGAGGAACGGCGTGCAAATGCGAGCAGCGAGTACAAACGCGATCGAGAAGAGAATCATATCGAAATTGTAGCGTTCGAGACGCGAGGGTTCGGCTGTGGCCTGAAAAAAAATTAAAAAAGAAAGAAAGAAAGGGAACGTACCATGAAGAAAGCTTCCGAAATGCCATTCAGTCCAAGAAACAGAACGTAAACGCAGTAGACGCGAAGCAGCGTTACTGCAATCGAGGTGGCGAGCTGGTGTCCTCCGTAGAGGAAGAGAAGCACCGAAGCATAGGGATAGCCGAAGCCAATAACGATGCATCCAAACTAGATAGAAGGGCAGGAATGGAAGGAAACGTAGGACAGGCAGCGGAGAAGGAGGAGACAAACGTGCAGAATGGTTTGGTTTTTGGTTCCCGTTCGGTTTCCCTCCTATTGATGACAGGGGAGAAGCCGATGGCTTACACGGGAGAAATAGAGATAGAACCCTTCTTCGAGGGGCTGGAATAAGAAGCGAGCGAAGAGCGAGCCGAGATTGTTAACAATGTCGAAAACGCCTTGGTCGTGCATTGAAATCGAGCTGAAGCTGAGAATGTATCGCTCTCCCTCGGTTAGAAGCTGCTTCAGTAGGGACTGTCTAAAGAAGAGCAAGAGCACTTTGGAGGAATCCGTTGGTAGTGTAAAGGAGGGAAGGAGTTCGGCGAAGGACTTGATAGGAAGCGAGGAGCTCGTTTCTGGATTGTGTAGAAGACGTTCGATCTGCACTGCATAGCTGCGATGAATGCCTCGATCCAAAAACAAACAGTAGAGGGAAGCAGAGAGCATAGACGAACTCGCCGATACAGAATCCTTTGAGTCCCAGAGACGGAAAAAGGCAGAGGAGGATGCAGTTTGTGATGCTTCGGATGGAGAGGGATGTGCTTTCGACGAAGACTTTCACGTTGGTGTGAAGCGTCATTTGTGTGAGAACATATCCCACTTCCGAGCAAAGCGCGATGATGGAAGAGAGAGCAAATACGAAAATGGACTGTGATAGTGATAGAGATAGAGAGCAATGCGTACTTGTTTGTAGAAAGCGACCTGTGGATCAGGAAGTACATAGAGCCAAATGAGTGAAGTGACGATAGAAATTACTACGCCAGTAGGTACACTATAATAGAGAGTGATCCGCGAGTTCTCACGCCAACCATACAAGTTGATTCACCTTGCTCCACTCCTCTTTCCCCTTGTCCAGGCAAGCCTTTCGAATCGGTTCACGTGACAGAAATACAACGGTTGTAGCAAAGAGAGAGAGTCTATCTCAAGAAAGAGGACAGAGTGAGCAAACCTCACATTTACGACTCCGATCAGTTCTATGGACACAAACCGAATAAGGATCGCATTGATTAGAAAGGAAAAGAGTCTATTCAGCACCTATGAAAGAAAAAAGAGTAGAGAAGGTACTTGAATAACCATATTCAATCCTGCCGAACGAGCAATGCGATTCAGTACAGAATCCTGCATTATAGGGTGGGAGAAATTTGAAAGAGTCGATAGGGAAAATACATGGAGCGTGTGGGAAAGAGGAGAGGCATACTTTCTGCGATCTGTGTTGTTCGTACAGAGTGTGTGAAATAAGAAAAAAGGGAGAACCAAAGTGGTAAAAGAAAGTCCAAGGCGGGACTTGAACCCGCAATCTCTTCCTCCGGAGGGAAACGCCTTATCCATTAGGCCACATGGACTCGCAAAAAATGAATTGAATGTAGATATAAGTAAAGGATGAGGGGTTTGGAGTGAAAAAGGAGGGAATGCCAAAAAAGAGAGGATTTGGGAGGTGCTTGTAATTAGAATATGCTTAATAGATGTACGTAGTGTTTGGAGTGGATAGAGTAGAAGGTGATATACAAGTCAGGTATTTGTTATGCAGGTTGTGTTACTTGGGAAGTACTCGTAGAAAGGAACGGAAATGCAAACAATGGTAAAGTATGGAATGATGATTGTTTTAGGCGAGAGTAGTGAAATGTGAATGGTCAGCAGATCTGTGGATGGTGAACGCTATGTGGTGATTCAAGCGTCATAAAGGAGATGAGATAGTGAAAGTTGTTTGTTCGGTGTGAATAATAATGGAATGCAATATCTGTACTGGATTATTTAAGATTTGGTAGATATACAGTTATTCGAGAACTTCTAAGGCAAGTAGGTATTGCTATCTAAAGATAGAATTGATTGCGTGTTTGTAGCTGTTGGGAGTTTAAATAAGAATTAGCAATCAGGAAACACGTTTGATAAACTGGGCGATTGAACGGAGGATGTTCATAGAAATCATACTCTATTGATCACTATACTTGCATGTTTAGGAAATATAAACATCTGGTTGTGATTGTTTGAGTGGGAGAGTCCTATGTCCAATTACTTGTTTCACAGTGAACACTAGCAGGTAAAACACGACTGTGACAAACAGGATTCATGGTGGGGTCTTAGATTCAAAATAGCAATTCTTCAATAGATAGAATAATTGTGTAATGGAGGAAATGAGTATATAATGAAAACAAAGAATAAACTGGATGTGGCCAAATCTATGTGGAAATGAAATAGAGACATCTTTGAATATTTGCAATAGGTTTGAAGAGATAATAGCAAACATCTCACACTTTCACTGTGAGTGTCAACGAAAAAAGGTAGGACTTGTTGAGAGTATAAGTAAACAACATGAATCTGATAAGAGAATTTGGGGAATGGGATAACTATCGCTGAGTTTCCAATCGAATGAAACTCCCAATCCTCAGTTTCGTATTGTATTTTGGTACACATCCTTATCCTATCGTTTTTAAACTATCCAATCTGTCTATCAACCGTATGACTAGTAATTTTTAAAATAGTTCATTCGTTGTGCATTATTACCATAATAGAGTGCATAAGTGCGAACTACCATACGTAGTGATAATAGTGCAATGTTCTCAAGCAGCAGGTACAACTCAAACGAAATTTGCTAGGACTATTTATGTTCTTTCATGGACACTCATAATAACAGCCTAACAATGAAACTATTTTAGAAACTATCCAGTCCAATCCAGTTTATACACTTGATCGTCTCAATTCAATCGTTCATAACTTAGCGATTTGTCAAGTATAACACATTTCTATTCTGGGCATTGCACTCTACTGGATTGTCTCAGTTTGGCTCTTCCATTTTTCATAAATTCTTTATTTTCATTCTTAACATCGTTACACGAAGGATTGGAACATGCTAGCTAAACCAATCTGGGTTGTAATGATGAAAAGAGCCAATCGATGATTGGATCCTAAATCAATGACCAAAGAATGATGGTAAGGGGTTTTGAATCGAACAAACAAAGTAAGCATTGAACATACAATGATCATTGGATGGATTGGAATGAAATGGAGTGAAGTGTGTAGATTCAATGCTGGAATTACTGATTGATTTTCATATTGTTGTCATGTACTATTACAAATTTTCAAGCAAATGTTCAAGATCATCCCAACTTTTTCTGGTACTGGCATGCTTGATTTGGACAAGATCAGCGAGAATGGAAGAAACATCTATGAATCAAATCAAATCAATCAAACTATACTCGAAATTGATTTCGATCGAACATATTGGAATGAATAAGGTAGTTTGACATTTCGAAGATTTGGAATATCTAAATACTATCAATATTCAATATTCAGAAATACTTTCCAATGTCACTACACGAGGTAAATAGAAACTAGATCCTACAGAAATTATTGATGTTAGATTTGGAAGATCTACAAAACAAATCATAACCAATCAATTCATTATTACTTCGAAGTGTCAATGAACTTGAATCATTATCTCTTCCATTCAGTGCTTCAAAACCGAGTTGAATGGATTGTAATGATGGAAGATCTACATCAATCATTTCATTCGAATTCATTCAATACTTTCAATTATTGTTGAGAAGGAATACACGAATGCCTCATTACCTAATGTAATGGATTGTAGATTTGGAAGATCTATGCATCATTCAAATATTCTATACAATTCAATACCTCGAATCACAAATGAACTACAACAGAAATTGTATGAACTACTTCCAACTGTCCCAATTTGAATGGATTGTAATTGTGGTAGATTCTTCAATTCAAAGTCGCCAGCAAAATCTTTGAAACTATATCGACCAATTTGAATGGATTCCAATGATTCACAATTCAATATGTGGAATGATTTCGATTTATCATATCCCCAACTATACTTTTTCTGAGTGAACGAATTGCTTCCGATTTTGATAGTTTTCAATCGATTCAATCCATCGATTTTGAATGTTTGCACTGATCCAAAGCAATTATTGCCAATTTCGATTGATTCAACTAGAGTAAATCGCGAGAAATCAAGTATTGTATAATCAGCATCATTACACGTCCAATCGGGAAGAATTATCGAAGTGACCGATGATTCAAACAATTGAATATAGTCATAATGATAGACTTTTGGAAATAGTAATTCGGAAACATCTAAAAACAACAGCAATCAATATAAAAACTATTGATAGAAGGATGCACAACTTTCTCGAATGAACGAGGTAGCTTGACATTTTGAAGATTTGGAATATCTAAATACTATCAATATTCAATATTCAGAAATACTTTCCAATGTCACTACACGAGGATTAACGAAACTATATTCTACAGAAGTTATTGATGTTAGATTTGGAAGATCTACAAAACAAATCATAACCAATCAATTCATTATTACTTCGAAGTGTCAATGAACTTGAATAATCATCATCTATTCCAGCAAGTGCACAATCACCTAGTTGTATGGATTGTAATGATGGAAGATCTACATCAATCATTTCATTCGAATTCATTCAATACTTTCAATTATTGTTGATAAGGATCTATAGAATGCACTATAACCTAATGTAATGGATTGTAGATTTGGAAGATCTATGCATCATTCGAATATTCAATATCATATCAATACCTCGAATCACAAACGAACTCCACCAGAAGTTGCTTGAATCACTTCCAATTGTACCAATTTGAATGGATTGTAATTGTGGTAGATACTTCAATTCAAAGTCGCCTCCAAAATCACTGAAACTATATTCACCGATTTCAATCGATTCCAATGATTCACAATTCAATATGTGGAATGATTTCGATTTGTTGTTTGCCTTATTCGAATCCCAGTTGTCAGTGCTTTTCAGTTGAGTAAATGAATTGTTTCCGATTTTGATAGTTTTCAATCGATTCAATCGATCGATTTTGAATGTTTCCACTGAGCCAAAACGTTCATCACCGATTTCAACTGTTTCTAATGAATTGAGATTATACAGGCAGTATTCAGAACCATTTCCAAACGCATCATCACCTAATGTAATGGATTGTAGATTTGGAAGATCTATACATTACCCAAATATTCAATATCATATCAATACCTCGAATCAAAAACGAACTATGATAGAAATTGTATGAATCACTTCCAATTTTACCAATTTGAATGAATTGTAATTGTGGTAGATTCTTCAATTCAAAGTCGCCTCCAAAATCACTGAAACTATGCTCACCAATTTGAATGGATTCCAATGATTCACAATTCAATATGTGGAATGACTTCGATTCATCTTTTCTAGTACCATTCTTTGCCTGAGTAAATGAATTGCTTCCGATTTTGATAGTTTTCAATCGATTCAATCCATCGATTTGGAATGTTTGCACTGATTCAAAACGTTCATCACCGATTTCAACTGTTTCTAATGAATTGAGATTATACAGACAGTATTCTTTGCTGTTTCCAAATGCAGCATTACCTAATGTAATGGATTGTAGATTTGGAAGATCTATACATTACCCAAATATTCAATATCATATCAATACCTCGAATCACAAATGAACTATTATAGAAATTGCTTGAATCACTTTCAGTTGTACCAATTTGAATGGATTGCAAGTGTGGTAGATTCTTCAATTCAAATTTACCTCCAAAATCACTGAAACTATATTCACCAATTTGAATGGATTCCAATGATTCACAATTCAATATGTGGAATGATTTCGATTCATCATATCCATTATCATTCTTTGCCTGAGTGAATGAATTGTTTCCGATATTGATGGTTTTCAATCGATTCAATCCATCGATTTTGAATGTTTTCACTGATCCAAAACAATCATTGCCAATTTTGATTGATTCTACCCACAATGGTGGATAAAACTCTCGAGTCAATCGACAGTACCTGTTTCCGAATCTCAGATTTGGTCTTTGCATTAATTTTGCCATTTGATAGTCGAATCCCCAGCGAATCTTACCAAAATACCATCTCGCACAGCATACCATTCCTAGCAAAAGCAGCACACTCAAAGAAATGCCTATCCACACGTTGATAATGTAAAGAACCACGAAAATACCAACAATCAAAACAACACAGACAACAGAATGCCCCCAAACCATTGCATAATACTTCCTCTTCTTTCTTCCGCGAATCCATTCTCCGTCATAGGCGATTTTCTTATTCTTGTACACAGCGCCCCTTCCATGACGTTTTCCATTCACGAAGTTCCCTCTATAAATCATTGTTTTGCCATTAACACCAAATTCTTTTCCCTGGCCATTTCGAATGTAATCCAAATAAAAACTGTCAATGAATTCTCCTTCGTAGAACTTGACTCCGTTTCTGAATTCCGTCATTTGATTTCCGTTGAACGTTTTAGTCACAGTGATTTCTTTTCCATCCTGCCACTCGCTTATTCGAATAATTTTACCGTTAGGATTGTAGCGATAACAAATTCCACAGAATCCTCCATTTTCATCTCTTTTGCAGATATTCACTATGCGATCTTGCTCATCATACTCTTTCCAATATCCTTTTCTTCTGCAATCCTTTTCTCTTCTCAATTTCTTCCCTTCGTCATAATATACTTCTAATACAACGCTTGTTGAGCTACTGTATTCTCTGCCTTGTCCTTGACGAATTCCATTCTTAACAAGTCCTTCAAACCATGATTTGTGAGGTTCATCATATATTTTGCAATATCCACTGTATTCATTCTCATATCCTTCTCTAACTTCGACAATATGACTTACATTACCTTTTGTGTCATAATAATAGCAAATTCCTTCTTTTTCTCCACTGTCATCATTTCTTTTGCTTATACTCAACAGTTTGCCATTCTTGTCTAACTCTTTCCAATATCCACTCATTTCATTCAATCGAATCAAATTCATTCTTCTTTTTCCGTTCTTTACAAATCCGTCAAACCACGATTTGTGAGGTTCATCATATATTTTACAATATCCACTATATTCATTCTCTTTGTTTTCTCTAACTTCAGTTATATGACTAATGTTTCCATTTTCATCATAATAATAGCAAATTCCTTCTTTTTCTCCACTGTCATCATTTCTTTTGCTTATACTCAACAGTTTACCACTTTCATCATATTCTTTCCAGTATCCACTCATTTCATTCAATCGAATCAAATTCATTCTTCTTTTCCCATTCTTTACAAATCCTTCAAACCATGATTTGTGAGGTTCATCATATATTTTGCAATATCCATTGTATTTATATTCTGCACCCTCTACAGCTTTAACAATATGACTAATATTTCCATTTTTATCATAATAATAGCAAATTCCTTCTTTTTCTCCATTTTCACAATCTCTCTTGCTTATACTCATTAGCTTGCCACTTTCATCATATTCTTTCCAATATCCACTCATTTCATTCAACATGTCAACATGAATTCGTTTGCCCATGAAAAAGAATCCTTCAAAACTCACATTACCTTCTTGGTCATATTCCTTGCCCTTTCCGGAACGATATCCATTACGAAAGCGACCCTCAAAAAATAGATAGCCTGAAGAATCATACAGTTTGCAGGGTCCTTCAGCAATTCCAGCTTCAAAGTTTAACTCCGCTACAAGGACATCTTCGTTCGAACATAAGGTCGATTTTCCCTGCATTTTATTGTTCACAACGTGGGTTTCAATGGAATATCCCACATGAGGATAACCCACCTGAACGGTAGTGATTCCACCTCTCTCGACCATCGAGCTTACTGGAAACTGGCTGGAAAAATTCATTTCCCAGCAATGGTTTCTTTCTGCATCCACTGAAGGATTTATCACAATATCGATCAGTCCCACTCCACTCGATTCACTCTTTGGTTTGGTAGTATTCGGCATTAGAATAATTATGTAGAAAGGGTTGTTGATAATTTCCCATAATACTCAGTATTTCTCGGTTCTTTCCGAATTTCTTAGGAACTCAGGTTATTTTTGCTGTTCTATTTCCTCCTAAAAACACTATATAGGCATTATTCTTTGAATACTCATAAAGTTTGTAGTTTTCTACAAGGCAATATCCTCTTTTCCAGTGGCATTCCACTTTTCTTTAATCTGCTTTTGAATATTTATATATTGGTCCAAAGCGTATTTACATATAGTTCAAGCCTATATATACATGTACATTATCTCATCTGCTACGAAATTATCCACATTCTCTTTCCCCCTTTTATTCATCTCTAGAATAAACACTGGTTCCTATTTTATTCCGGAAAAACCATTCTGGCTTTCTCAACACTTTCTCTCATTTTGCTTCAATTCATCTAATCCTAGTTTTGCCTATTTTAAATCCGCCCTACTAAGTGATATGATACGTATTCCACATTCCTTAAGAAAATGCATCACATGGCCTATTGCTTGCCGAACGAATTACAACTCGAGCCTATCTCACAAAAAATATCGTATTCCCATTGTTCCTCTTTCTAGTAAAGAAGTCGCCTCTACCTGCTGCTTTTTTCCTAAGTCCTACTCTACTAATTTTACAGACATAAATACACTGATATGCCTAACCTGTACGCTCTATTCTCCACTCAAACTGATGTTTTCCTAACACACACAAATCAAATCGCTACCCTAGATCCCATACATCTATATACACATTCTATCTATTCAATTGCATAAATTGTGAATACAAACTCTGCAATCAACAAAACCGGCACACCGACCAAATAGAACCTTGTCCCACAGCTGTTCCCTACCATCCATCCCACATTATACGAAAACGTCAAATACCTCAAATACCTCCCTAGTGCTCGCGACACCTCTCAATCATAGTGTCATAGCACCTTCATCTACCGACTCCGCAAATCTACATCCCCATTTTCCCCCTCCATCCTAATCACTCTTCATCGCTACTTCCACTATCCATATTCACCTATCTCCTACCTCCCTACCTCCCTCTCTCAAAAGCCATGTCTACTACACACAACAAACGATTCATTCTCTCCAATTTCCAAGACTCCACCTTTGTACACTCTCTCTACCCATACATTCTTCTCAGCCATCCAAAATAATGCCCGCGAATTATAATTTCCCTTCCTTTCTATTTCCTTTGGGGGTAAAATAATCTATCCACTTCCCATAGGTACTCCACCATTTTCCCCCTGGGGTTTTTCATTCCTTTCTTTTGTAACAATCTCATAGATCACCTTTTGACTCGGATAACTATGGCTAGTATTCAGGAGCAAGTACGTACAGTGTCTCTAACCTGTTATTTTTGTTATTCGAACTTTGCATGCCTTGTTTTGAATGCTCCGACTGGGCAATGATGCTAATTATTTGTGTAGAATCAGGCTGCTTTCCAGAAGCAGGATAAGTTCTCTTACCGCAAGGTCCACCTCTTGGGCAAGAAGGCCAACCAGCGCTGGTACGCCAACATTGGTCTGGGCATCAAGACCCCCGCCGCTGCCATCAACGGCAAGTACGTGGACAAGAAGTGCCCGTTCACTTCCGATGTGACCATTCGTGGAGCTATTCTGAAGGGACTGGTCATCTCCACCAAGATGGAGCGCACGATCATTGTCCGCCGTGACTACCTGCGTTACGTCAAGAAGTACAGACGGTAGGACAAGAAGGCAGCGCTGACTCCCTAGTTACGAAAAGAGACATCGCAACATCCCTGCTCACTGCTCCCCCTGCTTCGATGTGAAGGAAGGAGACATCGTGACCATTGGTCAGTGCAGGTTCGGAAGCCTCCTTTTCTTCACAGTGTAGACCTCTCTCCAAGACCGTGAGATTCAACGTGATCGACCACGAGTCCCAGAAGTCCAAGGGTCTTTCCAACATCCGTAAGCAGTTCCGTATGTTCTAAGTCGTCGATGATGAGGAATTAAGGTGAATTAGTCGTTGTTTGTTCCAAATTCTATCATGTCCGTGTACTCTCTCTATATTATTAACAAATCCGGGGGTCTCATCTTCTCCAAGGTAGGGAACCAACTCGATTTCAAGAGCTAGGACTTCAACGCCAAGAATCCTCTTTCTAGTAACGATCGCATGCGTCTTGCGTCCACGTTTCATAGTCTTACAGCCATTTCCACACAATTCGCACCAGCCAAGAATTCGCGAGGCATCAACTATGTCCTAGCGGAAACCGTTTCAATCCACTCATACCGTACAATTACAGGTTCCCTTCCGAAATTGCACTTCTCTCTAGGAATCAACTTTCTTGTAATCTCCAATCCCACCGTTCCCTATCTCGAGGGATTGCTAGATGAAATATATGTGTTGTTTGCAGACTATGTGATGAAGGTACCATGTCATCCGCTTTTTCTCCTAGAATCCGTTTTATGAGCTGGAGATGCCGATCCGCTGCTCCCTCTTCGAAGAAAAGCTAGATACCCTCATTGCTTCCCATTATCCTTTTTGAGAACAAACACCCTCCCCTTTAGCAGAGCACTACGCCCTCCCTTTAGCACAGCATTCCACCCTCCTTTTGGCAGAGCACTCCACCCTCCCTTAGCAGAGCTTCACATCCCTCAGCGTCTTCACCGTGCACTTTCCAGCGGACGTGATCATCGCGTTCTCCTTGAACACCGCCACTCCCTCCTTGTCCGCTCGGAAGAACTCCTCGCACTTGCCCCACGGCGAGGTCTTCCGGTTCGGATTGACCTCCTCGTCGGGATTCACCGGCGGCAGTCCCTCGAACTGCACCCACTCTCCGATCGCAGCGTCGGCCGGCGGCTCCACGAGCTCCACCACAGAGGCGTCCTCGTTCTCCGCGCAGAGCACCATTCCCTGCGAGACGAAGCTGCCCACTCGCCGCGGCTTCAGGTTCGCGACCACCACCACCTTGCGATGCAGCAGCTCCTCCTTCGAGAAGAACTGCCGCAGACCCGACATGACGGTGCGCGGCTTCTCCTCGCCCACGTCGATCTCCTCGCAGTAGATCGAGTCCTTGCCCTCCATCTCCCAAATCTTCGTGATCTCGCCCACCTTGAAGCCCAGGCGGCACACTGCAGGCAGCGCGGGTGTCGCGTCCTCGCTCTGCGGCGCCTTCAGCTTGGTGCCGTACGCCTTGAACACCAGATCGCGCGATTCCTGGTTGTCGAAGGACGCGCGGATCGGGTCCAGCAGCAGGTTCAAGTACTTCGCCACCGCCTCTTTCAGGTCCTGCGGACTGAGCTCCTGCGCGGCGAAGGCCTGCTCCATCTCCTCGGGCGTGTTGAAGACCTGCTTTCCGCCGTATTTCTCGGGACGGTCGACGACGAAGGGCAGCTCCACGATGTGGAACAGCACCATCTTCGCGAAGGACAGCACGCCGTTCTTCTCCACGTTGCCCGGCTCGCAGAACGCGGTGCGGATCTTGCGCAGCACGGTCTTGGAGTCGTCGATCAGATCGATCTTGCTGTTCTCCTCCGACGAACTCATCTTCTCGCCCACCAAGCCAGGAACCATGAAGTTCATCAAGTGAATGCGCGGCTGGTAACCGATCTTGGGCAGGTACTTCTTCGCGAACATGAAGATCTTGCGCTGGTCCGTGCCGCCGAACTGCGCATCCACGTGCAAGTATTCCTCGTCCAAAGCCTGCAGCTCGGGGTACAGAATGCCGCTGATCTTCGGGTTCGCAACCTGCTTCACCACTTCCGCTCCGGCCTTGATCGCGTCGTGCTCCGTCACCAGAGAGGAGAGACGGTACATATCCAGAGTGTAGTCGGCGGAGAGCTGGTAATCACTTCCCGTCACAAACTTCAGTTTGTCCAGGGGAATGCCCAGAGAGCGGAGCATGCCCTTAATCACACGAATGTAGTATTCAGTGCGGAATTTGAGCAACTCCCAAGAAGACTTCATGTTGTCAAGGTAGGCATGCAGATCGGCGAACAGGATCGTCACCTACACATCACACGCACTTGGAGATCCCACCTCGCAACCCGCAATGAGGAAATCGCCAATCTTGCTCATTGGCACAAAATACCCAATGTGAGGTCTTCCCGTGGGACTCGTTCCCCAGTAAATCTGCATATCAGCCATCGGACGAGAAATAAACCTTGAGATCACGAGTCTTCAAGATCTCCTTAAGCTCCTCAGCTCCGTCCACCTCCTAACTATAAACTTCAAGCTATGACTCCAACCTGCAGGTTACGGGTAATAATCTCAAACTTCTCTTCTGGTGTCAACACTTTCGTCAAATCAATATTTCCTATGTGCTAAGGGTTGGTAAGGGCCGAATACTCGCAATGGTTGATCTTCCTTCCATTGTGTAAACTTTTTGTGAAAAAGTGATGAAAACCGGTTGTTGTTAACCTCGTTATTCTATTTACAACTCGCAACGATCCATCTCCAAAATAGGTCACAAGCCACGAATTCCACCACTTTGACAGCCTTGCCAGGGAGAGGTCCACAGGGACCTAGATAACAAAACGGCTGCGTCTCCAAACAAAGATAGAGTCCCAATTTAGTGCCTATTCTCCAAATTCGTTTTGCAATCCCCCATCATACAAAACTCTCATACTTCAATTTCCGATGTTTCTCGCTCTCAAAATTCCCAAACCAAACGGTTTTGACGACCAAAGCGCGAAAAGAAGCTGATGGAACGTGCCAAAGTGATCGGCAAGTGCCCTTGATTGTCAAGGGACCACTTTCCACACCTCAACCCCTGTTTCCCCAATCGATCAATAAGTCATATTTTCATTATTACTGTCGTTTAGATATGCTTGCTACTGCTGCAAAGGCTACTTTTAGTGTAGGTCCGTGCTGCTTTGTTGAGGCTGTAGGCTGCTCGTACCTTCGCTACGGCCAACGCTCCCAGAATTCTGATCACTGGTGCTTGCGGACAGATTGGTACCGAGTTCGTTACTCGTATTGCTCATTTTGACCGCCATTGATGTCTAGTTCTCCGTAAGAAGTACGGAGTTGAGAACGTCATTGCTTCGGATCTCCGCTTCCCGAACAGAGAGTTCCAGACCTCGGGTCCCTCCGCGTTCTTGGATGTGACTGACAAGAACAACGTGACCCGCCTTGTGGCCGAGAACGGAATCACCTGGATCATTCATCTGGGCGCTCTGCTGTCCGCTATCGGTGAGAAGATGCCCCAGAAGGCTCTGGAGGTGAACGTGCACGGTTCGGAGAACATCATCGAGGTGGCTCGCCAGTACAAGTGCCGTCTGTACATTCCTTCGACGATCGGTGCATTCGGTCCCTCGACCCCCAAGGAGATGACCCCCGATGAGACCATCATGCGTCCCACGACGATGTACGGTGTGTCCAAGGTGCATCTGGAGCTGCTCGGCGAGTACTACCACCGCACCCAGGGTCTGGACTTCCGCAGCTGCCGCTACCCCGGCATCATTTCGAACAAGGCGCTGCCTGGCGGTGGCACGACGGATTACGCCATCGATATCTTCTACGAGGCGATTAAGCACCACCACTACACTTGCTTCCTGGGTCCCGACACCCCGCTGCCCATGATGTACATGCCCGACTGTCTGCGTGGAACGCTGGAGCTGATCGAGGCGGACCGCAGCAAGCTGACGCAGTGCGTGTACAACATCGCGGCCATGACGTTCACGCCCGCGCAGCTGGCGGAGAACATCAAGAAGTACATGCCCGACTTCACGATCGACTACAAGCCGGACAGCCGCCAGGCGATCGCCGACTCGTGGCCGTACTCGCTGGACGATAGCCACGCTCGCAAGGACTGGGGATGGAAGGAGGAGTACGACATGGACGCGTTGACGCGCGACATGCTCACGGAGATCGAGAAGAAGCTGATGAACGCCAAGAACTAAGAGAAGAAGTATCTTTATGCCCACATTGACTAGCTGCGCTGTGTTTGTTCCAAGAAACAATGGGATCTAAAGTCACTTTGCCGATTGCTCCTGTGGTTCTTCAGCTGCCTTTGGTTCCTTGGGTTCCTTCGCTTCCTTTGGTTCCTTCGTTTCCTTCACTTCCTTCGTCTCCTTGGTCGGGTGGGTCGACAGCAAATTCATCAGCTTCACAAAATCCTCCGACGACACGTCCGCTTCCTCCTCCTCCTCCTCCTCCTTCTTGGCCTTCGCTTCAGGCGCCGTTTCCTTCATCGTCGCCTCGGTCTCGCTCTCCGCCGCCGCCTCTTCCGCCTCCTCCAACTCATCGAGATCCTTCACAGTTCCGTCCCACTGCAGCTCCTTTCCGTCCCACTTGCCCTCCTTCACGTACTTCTCCGTCTCCTCCAAACGGTCCTGCAGATACGACGACAGATCCGTTCCCTCCAGACCTGTCACTTCGTCCAGTTTCGGAGCTGCTTTCAACGTGTCGTGCAACGTGATGTCATCAACCGTCATCATGAAAGGAAGAAGACCCGCCATGCGAGCACGCTTAATGCAGCGAGCTAGCTGCTTTTGGTGCTTTTTGCAGGTACCACTGAGGTTTAGAAAGGCGATTATGAGTACGTTTGGTGACGACTGAGAATAACTCCCGTGTCGTGCATGAACAGCTGCAGGAGAGGAACGTTCTACTATTCGCATCCACGAAAAAGCGATACGAGGTAGTTGATGTACTGACGTGGAATGCTGCATAAAGGACAACCTTTCGCTCGCGAAATATTATCGCCTCTGGTCAGTTAGCAAAAATCAATTTGAATCATACGTTACCACATATTTGTTGCGAATAATGTCCAAATACGACATGCGAAGTATTTCCTTCCGTGTCGCAGCATCTTTGTAACTCTTCAGGTCTTTCTGAAGATCCTGTTTAAGAACAAAATCTCGAAGCATATCGTTATAGCTTTCTACGACATGATTTCCGAAAAAAGCATTTCCAACCAGTTGCAAACCCCTTTGCAAACACTGAAACTGTAAGGGATGGGTTGAACGCACAGAACCGACGAGATACACTGCGCAGAGCTTGAGCTACCCTTCACTTATCAACTCAATTTGCGTACATCCTATTCTAAACATTGTGAGTGATAGCCAGCTCTTATTTGTAAAATACCTCCGAATTCCCAAAATTCCCCTTTTTTAGTGTGTAAAACAAAGGCATCAATCCTCAAAAATGGCCCCTTCTACCATCCTAAAAGACTTGTACTCTCCAGGCTTCTCGCGAACCAGATAAAGAGAGCCCAGTTTGAATCGTTCCCCGGATAAGCAATGCACATCTATCTAACAGCATCTGGAATCAATCTACTCTCTATTACGGCCTTCTTAAAATAGGCAAAGTTTCCAGTTGTGCACCTTAAATCTGTTAACCTTGGTAAGTCTATGTTTGCATGACACTAAATCCTTCACTCTTCAGAATGATCGTATCCGAATCGGGTCTGATGCAGCCAGATAACGACGAAGGACCGATCCATATATCAGATACATTCCACAAGTCTATTTGGCTCACAATCGAATGATGTCAACTTTCCATTCGAATCGATGGACAGTTAGAAAACGATGTAGCGCAAACTTCGAGCTTCTTCAGTCCGGGTAAGTTCGTCAGCGCAAACGGTGCATTCACGAAATTCGATCCTTTAAACACAATCGATTCCAGTTTGTCGCAATCTACACTCACAAATTGCAGCGATTCTCACGTTCAATTTGAAAGGTGTTCGCTGGGTAAAACGATGTTCTTCCAAACGTTATGGACTGCAGTTTCGGACAATGGTGAATCCACAGTCTTCGATTCGCAGATTCATCACTTCTATTCGATGTCCCATTTGAATAGGAAAGACTCCACGAATTAAAACTGTTCTCACCAAACTTGAGCGATTTCAGACTCGCCAAATTGTCTATTTGCAAGTCAGTAACGGACAAAAGACTGCTGGATCCGAATGTGAGATACTCCAAATGACCAAAATGGCTACTGATTATGAAGGTTGGTTTAACATCGCCATGAATAATATCGATCGTAATTCGCTCCAGTTGGGTATGAACACTACTCAATTGGTTAGATCGCGTTACATACAATATAGGAGGCGCTTGCTTATCAGCTATCCATATACCATTATACACAATGTGACCTTGACGGTCATATTGGATCCCTTTCCCCCATCGTTGTCCCTTGTAAAATGTTCCTACGTAGGAAACAGTACCAATATCCTCAAAGTACAGAATTCCACAGCACATACACTGGTCATCGATCATGAAGCCTTTATACGTTAGGGTACCTTCTGAGTTATAGTACTCTCCGTATCCATACGGCTTTCTATCCAAAGCGATTCCTTCCCAACGATTTCCCTCATCACTCAGATCCACGATATCAAAAGCGCAATTATCCAAACATTTTGAACTGACGACGATACTGTCTCTCAATTCATACATCCCAATTAACATATCATCTCGTGTTAGCACAAACTCACCATTGAGCCTCCCTTCTTTCCATTGACATGTCGCAACCATGTTCTCTCCGATCATGAGTAATCCAGCTCCATTCAGATGGAAATGATCACAAGCTGCAAAAACGTTCCAATCATCGTGGTTTTGGATGAAAGATCCTACAGAGAGAGGATCCATAATATTTGTATTGGAATTCGATTGAGGGGAAAAATGAAGTGTGTGTACAGGCAAAATATATTTATTTTTGTACTTATTGTCTTCATTCATAACAGAATCGAATTCCACTTTCTGTAAATTGCTATTCTCGATCAATCTCCAACATGGAGTTGTTTTTAACAACCAAAAATATCCTCTTCACTCCCACACTCCGTCATGAATCCATATTATAGGTGTATACCCACACCTCCCACTTTCTTGCAACAAACACACGCCTTCTAAATTAACAACTCACTTCTTCCCCACAACCTTATCAAAGAACGACTGGAAAAGCACAGTTGGAGGTGGCAGCGTGTGCGAAGGTCCATTCAAAATCGCGAAAAACTCCTTCGAATTGATCAGATCATCTACCGCCCTCACGCTTCCTCCCCATCCCTACTATAATCCTCCTTCACCCTCATCTCGTTCGCCAGCTCCTCCACCTTATCCACCTCGAACACCTCATCGAACGCCGACGCTTTCTTTGTTTCCTGGCTTCGAATCGGCACCTTCTCCGCCTCGCCCTCCACGATCTTCACCACTTCGCCTCGCTCCGTCAGGCAGTACAGACACATCCGCCGGCCCTCGCGGATGCTCTCGCGTCCCCACGTCATCGCGAGCACCTTCGTGGGGAGCTTGACCGACACCACCGGGACCGAGCTCTCCGGATCGAACACCAGCACCGCGTCGCACTCGCGTGAGCCCGATTCGCTCGTCGGCTCAACGGAGGGCGCAGCGTTCTTCCGCTCCTTGCCCGATTTCGCGATCGTAGAGGCCTTCTGGCTCTTGGAGCCCTTCGATTCCTTGCCCGATTTCTTCGCTTTGGACGGCTTCGCGTCGTCGTTCGGCGTCGCTTCGATGGGCTCAGCGGGCTCAGAGGGCTCAGCAGGCTCAGCGGGCTCGACGTCCATTGAAGAGGCGGATGGAGGGGCGGAGCTGCGCACTGTGATCGCAAAGAGCGACTTCTCGACGAACAGATCGGAGTTGGCGGCTGCGCAGGCGACGTTGGCAGCGACCATCCACATGATTTGCCGCGAAACCGTGTCCCAGACGAAGAAATGGCGGTCCGTGACGCAGAGAAGCAGCGAGGAGTTCTGGAAGAACGCCACCGTTTTGATCTACACATCATACCGGCCGTCTGCATCGACGGTACTGAGCGAAGACGGGCAGGGCAGCACGACCAAGCCTTCTTTCGACTCGGAATCGAACAGACTCACCGTCTGATCGTGCGCCACGGCGAGCACGCTGCCGTCCTGCGAGTACGCGACCGATCGGATCGACTCCTCGCAGAGCTTGCTCTGATAGGTGCACGACCAGGTGAAGCGACGGTCCGACGACACGGCCTCGTTGCCGTCTTTCTCGCTTCCCGCCTCCACCAACTCCCAGACCTTCACCAGTCCGCTCAGATCCGTGGTGATGAGTTCGTTCCGTCGAGGATGCGCCGCCATAGCGGTGATCAGCGCGTGGTGCGGCGACTCCACGGACGCGAAGAGCTCCCACTCCCCGGAAGGCTTTCGCTTCCAGAACAGAAGCAGGGAGAGCTCGGCGCCATCGACATCGGCCCATCGCTGAGCGACGAAAAGCCATTCTCCGTTATTGCTAATCTTCACGAAGTCGACGCGGAACGAGCCCTTCTTGTCCTTCCAGAAGGTCTTCGACACGTCGGTTCGGCTGTCGCCCAGCAGAAACACGCCGGAATCCGACGCCGGGTCGTAGATTTGAATCTGGCCAAGGTGCGAGGTGGTATTGAACAGAAGATGCTGGGAGCGAGCATCGAACACCACGCCGAATCGCACGGCGGTTTCTAAGCGATGCACCGAGTTGCTGCCGGCCAACGCCAGACCTGCAATGGTGGCTTGGATGGTTCGCTGCGTGGTCTCCACGAACCGAATCGAATTGTCCTTGCCGGCCACGAAGAGACGCGAGCCGTCCGCAGAGACGCACAGCCCGACGATCACGCTGCAAACGCGCGGAATGAACGAAGGACGCGCCGAGGACGGCGACCACGTGACCACCGTGCCTTCCTCACCGCCCGAAAACAGCAGACCCGACATCGAAAACACCAGATTTCGAATCGGGTGCGCGTGCCAATGCAAGGTAACGCCCATCGCCTGCGCGTCAGCGCTCCCTCTCCGCTCCTACAGGCGATAAAAGCTCGTCCAGGGCGGGAGCTCCGGAGGGATGGTTGAATACCGCGGGGAGCTCCGTGTGCTGCGCGTTGGCGCGGTCGACCGCCTCGATGACGGAGGGCGGAGCGGCGCAGTCGCCGAGGACGTACCACTGGTCAATGCGACCCTGGAGATCGCCGGTCACGACGACTTTATCGAGGGGATGGATGGCGACGGCGACGAAAGGGAATTGCTAGAGTGAGAGGGCTAAAAGGGGCAAAACGCCGTGGAGAAGCCAGAGATGGTCGATGAGGCTGTTGTAGATGTAGAGAGAGCGGTTCACGGCGAGGGCGAGGAAGCAGCCGTGCGAGTAGAGGGTCTCCAGAGAGTCTGCGGTTGAGGGAGGAGGGAAGGAGGAGGACAGGTGAAGGAAACGTCGACGGGACGAACGGCGAGATAAACGTCGCTGCCCGTCGCTTCGAGAATCACGCGATCGATTGTGTTTGTGCTGAGGGTGAGGATGGCAGAGAGAGAAGAAGGTACATGATGTTGTACTGGACCAGCTTCCAATAGACTGTGTCTGCGAAGTTGAGACAAGATAAAATAAAACGAACCTGCTTCTTTCTTTGTGATGATGACGGCAAAGAGAATGTTCGGGTCGGTCGGGTGGGCTACCACGTTCAAGAGACCAATGGAACCCTCGATGTGGATCACTTTCACGCAGCCAAGATCCTGGATATCCCACAGACGGATTTCTCCATCGACCGCATAGGAAATGAGCTGGAAGTCACTAAAAGGTTTTAGCATGCATCCCTTGATGCGATCCTTGTGTCCAACCTAAAAGAATAGACCCAAAAAGGACAAAATCGTACCAACGTGTTCTCCAACGAGCAGGTTTTAATATCATAGATACGGATGTTCGATCCATGACAAATAAAGAGCTTTCTACGAGGAGTTACGGAAAATGAAAAATAGCTACTGTTCATCTCTACTTAGTACCGGTCTTGTATATACCAAGCATCCTCCAATCACTTTTCCTATAGACCACACCATTTGCGTAATATTGACTCCAACAGGAAAAGACTACAAAGAGTAAGGAATTTGGAGCGAATACAAAGAAGAGCCACTTACTAACGTAAAGAATCAACCACGGATGGCCTGATTTGCCAGAATAGCTGTGAAACTAAAAACCGCGATTTTTGGAACGTTTGCTATAAGCTCGAATAACTCGTGAAGGAAGGCGATCCAGTGTCAAACAAACAAACCAAATGAACTATTATAACAAGACAAAACCCCTATTCACTAAATACGGGAATCACTCAACAAGAGAGACAATCGAATCATATGAATTAAACGAAGCACATCCTTTGAGATATCCACCTAAGCAAGTGAATGCAAATTAGAAAAGTCTACAATTTCATCTGTAGTCGTAACAACCTCCAGCTTTCGTAATTCCGCTTCCGGAGTTGTACCAGTTACTTCTGTATTCACCTAATTCGTCAACAAACATATTTAACGTTCACCTTCAACGCCTGTATTAGTTTTTTATAGCTATGAAAATATCTTCCCTGAATGGAGTTAATCTCCTTTTTCATGTTATTTACTGCATGAGACGCATCCATGACGACTCGAGGAAGATAAATATGAGTATTTCTTCTCCTTCACCTTACTGACTGCTTCATCAATGATATTATTTAATGCTTTATCATACTGACCATGTTGATAATAAAAAATCCTCATCAACTCCCAATTCGACTCTAACCAGTTGTGATTTTCCCGATTTTCGTTTATTTCTATATAAGCACTTTTGGGAAGCAAAAAGAGAGGAGAATAATCATCCGGAACCCATTTTCGAATCACCACATCGGAATTACAAAACAGCAGTACGATTTCCCGCGTACTACGATCATCCGTAACGATGCTTCGCTGTTTCAAATCATATTCTTCCAATCGTAGGTGTTGTTCGTTTCGAGATCGTAAATGAGTGATCACTAGCGTTTCGTTTTCACTGAATTTGGGAACGATGTTGAAGTAGCGATACACAGCAGCTCGAAAACAGTCATATTCAATGGTCTTTTCAAAGAGCACAGGTTGATTGTAGATAGACGGAATGACCTATTTCAAATCATGATCGATGCTAAAGGCGCCTACAATGTTTTGATAGCATTGAATGGATTGACGTTTCAAGGAATTCCGATAGGATTTCCCATACAAGAGAGTGGATTGGTTTAAGAGAGAAAAATGCCCAATTTCAAACACGAACTTGGAGCAAGGCGGTCTTCGAGAAGTGGGATAGAAAGGAACAATCACGTACTCCGGCTATGAATGATTGAAGAGAGAAAAGAAGAACATCTATGGGGAGAAGAGGGTGAATCGAGTGGAAGAAGAGCGAGAGATACGAAGCCAGCGAGTTCATACATTCGTTTGTCGTGTGTTCTTTCTTGGGAGTGTAAAAAAGCCAAGTTAGATTGGAAGAGAGAGTGGGATAGGGAATGGAAGTGGCTTCCGAGAGAAACAAGGGCAGCGATTCAAAGCCTGGAATCGGTGAATCAAGTGGGACTTCTTGAAGAATGTTGGGAGAACGGAGATTCGTTTTGGTGAAGGAATGATCGGGTTTGTTCCGTAGAATGATGATTTGGCGTTTGTAGAGATTCACACAGCCATTCGGAATGTGGAGAAACTGGACTTTGTCTCCTGGAAGGATGGAAAAAAAGTTCGTTTGGATGTGGAGGAGATCTGGAGAAACCGTGGATTCGCTTCGCATGATTTGTTGGTAATACCGAAAGAGGGAAAACCAGGTTTTCTTCGAAAATGGGATACCGACTGGATTGAATTTGGCCTTCTTCGGGCGTTCTGTTTGTTTGAAACTTGATTGTATGCTCGGTTTGTTGGGCGAGTCCGAGTGTGAGTCGTCGATTGTATTAGTAGTTGAATCAGGCAGTAATATCTCCCTTGATTCTTCCTCTGGTTCTTGCTTTGATTCTTTCTGTGATTCTTTCTGTGATTCTTCCTTTAATTCTTCGACTTGCTCTCTATCCAACTCAGTCTTTGATTTTGAATCCTGTTCTTGACTTGCCTCCTCGTTAGAATCCTCATCTGACTCCAAATTCATTTCTTCATTCGATTCTAGTTTCGATTTCTTATTGAATTCTTCAACTAATTCTAATTGAGACTTAGAAGCCAACTCATTATCTGACTCTCTATCTAAATCGGAATTGCTATCCAAAATATTCATTGTATCAGTATTAACAACAGTCTGCAACTTCGGTTGAACAGAAAACTCAAAAGAAATCCTTTCACCCCCATTTTCTTCTTGATTTACAAGAAATTCTTCACTACGAAGATCATCATTAGAGATAGAATGAATGTTAAACGAATTAAAGTGAAGATAGTTTGTAATTCGCAACGAGAGGTTTAATTGAATAATGGCAAATACCAACAATATCAGTATTGAAGAGACGATAAACACAAGCATACTCCTTTTCATTTTACACTTCTAACAATGTCAAAACGCAAAATCACTCGTACCTTGCTTATTCTATATCTCTCTTCGCTGACTTAATAAAACAAAAATAGTAACAAAAACCAAGAATAAAGTAAATTATCTTTTGTAACATAGAAAACAGGCAAGACTGTATAGAGTACGATGGATGCTACGATCCAGAATCAGTAACTGTTGTTTGGAGAGTGTGAAACTAGATCCAACTCTGTTTCTGTTGTTGTTGATTTGGGAGGAATTATGGCATCGTCAAAGTCAGATGTATATATTTAAAATGGGATATCACGCCTAGCTACAAAAAGCGTTCGATACTCTGTCTCTAATCGTTCTAAAAGTATTAGTATCTTGCCAAGAAAGCCGTTCGTCCTATTACTGGAAGTAGAGTTTTGAATTTGCTTTTCTCTAGTCATCGGTTTGTGGACTCCCGCAGAAATGTTGGAAAAACTCCCATTGAACTGAATAAATATATTAGTTTACTATCAAAGAATGGATTTACATCTATGAATCCCCTAGACTTTTCCTATGAGGTTTTTATTTTATGAAAACATTAGTGGTAGATAATTAGTTACTCTAGCTACGAAAAATGGACCGAACAATTGAAACAGCTCCATTCCTGCCTTCTCTCGGGTTTAAGAATCCAAAACAAGTATCTTTCCAATATTGTATCCATTTCTAGCTCTAAAATGGTACAAGCCATGAACGAGCAAGAAGCCCGCGTAACCAATCTCCAAAAAGACCTTCTTTCTGCCTCCACCGAAGAACTTCGCTCCCAAATACAAGCCCAGCTCCGAAAAGAAACGGAGGTTCTCGACGAACGCACCCTTCTAGTACGCTATTCTTCTCCCTTTGAACGCAGGTTCGCGGCTCAATCAACGCTACGCGAAGCCCTCTGCGCGTTTGGCTCGAGTTTTTCCTCCTCCTCCCTGCGATTTTAGTTCGATTCACGAAGCCCAGCAAGCCTCCGCCGTCGACGCGCTCTCCTCCTCCTCTCTCTTCTTTATCGGCGATCTGACGAGCGTTCTGGAAGATCGCGATCCCCTCGCTCCCCATTTTTGCGACTCCGACGTGCGAAGCCAAGCGAAGTTTTCTTTATGAATTAGGCCGAAAAAAACGAGCGAAACGTTCCGCAGTCGCCGATTCAAGTGACGATTCTGAACATGAATCGCTCGCTTCCGTCGCTGAAAGCGCTTCAGGAAGAAACGGACGAGATCTATCGGCATTCCCCGCGGTTAACGCCTGTGCAGTGGACTCTTCGCTCGTACTCCCAATTGCTCATGTCGCCACTGCTGTTCGCTCCGATATCCTGAGATTGTTTATTGAATGAATGAATTGAATTGAATGAATTGAATGAATTGAATGAATGAATAAATGAATGAATCATTGAGTTTATATTTCACTCTTAATTCAACTATTCATTCAATCAATCACTCACTGAATTTTCCATTCATTCATTCATTCATTCATCGAATTTTGTTTTCTTCATTCCAATGGAATTCGCAGCAAAGCGATGTATCCTTCCGACTCCCCAGCTGCGAATTCGATATCGAAATCAATGGTGAAACGGTCGATACTGCTCGCTGTGTCGACATTCATCACTATCCCCCTCCATCCCCCCAAATCGTGGAAACGGAGAAACCCAAAGTCGAACTGGAGGACGCAACGCTCGTCTCCGAGAATCTCGTTTTGTCAACGAAAGGAACGCGCGTGCTGATGGATCTGGAAGACTACAGCAAAGAGAAGCAAACCAAAACACAAAAAACAAACTCGGAATTGCCCAGCAACTCGGCAAAACCGAGGAAAATCGAGAAATTGGCGATCTTTGGCACGCAGAAAATCACGGAAGCATCTATTCGATCGATTCTGTCCCTCCCTTTCTATCTTCTGTTCAGCCAATCAGCTTTATTCATTCAATTGACGCGTTCGCTCGTACTCAATCAAAACTTAGTGTGCGTTTCGTTGACCGAAATCGCGGGCTTTTTGCTCCCTCTCACGTCGAATTGTTGCTACTTGTTTGTCGAAAGCCTTCCGGCTTTGGAGATGGAGGAAACGGACTGTTCGGATTGTGTGAATGAAGGATCCACCGATTTGTTCGCGTTCTGGAACCACCAATTGGAACACACCCAACCTCGTTTGGCTTCGCTGTCCCTCTCAACATCAGAAAGCCCGCCAAAGGCGAAGATTCCCGCGCTGTTTCCCGGCGATCTCTCGGTGTTCTGCTATCTCCGCAAGCTTTCGCTGAACGCAAATTCGCAGCCCGAAAGACCCGAAGAAACCGCGGTGAAGGAGATCCGCGGGAAATTGCTGTCGACTTCGCTGGACGCGATCGAATCAGGTCCGAAGTTTCTGCATATGGGGGATGTGAGTATGGTTCTGAAATCGCAGATCAAAGATTTGTTTGTATTGGCGGATTTGATGATCGGCAGATACAATCAGACGATTGGGATGATGAACGAAGAAGTGAGCTGGTTTTTCAAGCAGATGGAAGCGATTCGAGAGGAATACAAGGAGGACTTTAGTAGGATGAATTGGGATTTTGGATGATGGAAAGCGGAGGAAGGGTTCAATGAGAAAATGATCGGGTTTTTGAAAGAGATACTGATCGAGGAAGAGGATGTGAAACAGAAATACGGATTGCGGTATGGATGGGAGTGGATGTGAATGGAAGGATTAATCGCGATGTGGTTCATATTCGGTTTCGTGAAGTGGTTCTGCAAGCGTTAATTCGCCTTTGTTTTTTGTTTGTTGGTTTTTTGATTCTACAGATATTTGCAAATTCTCGCCTAATCCTGATCGAAAATCGTCCTCCACGTAGCCTTTTCTTTCAATGTGAATGGAAGGGACCCCATTCCTCGATCATATCTCTCCACAGTCGTCCGCTTTTTGAAGCAAATCTCGTTTTACTCGACGGAAGAAGACGTGATTCGTCATTATCTCGATGTATTGAATGACAAAGCGATGGAGTGTAGAAAGTGTTCATGCCGCTCTTTCAATCATCGCTTCCGCGCACGTTGGTGAAGCTGTACAGAGAGCTGGAGATCGAGTGTCCGATCCGATTGCAAGTAGAAACGGCGCGAAAAGAGAAGAAAGAAAAGATTGTGCAGGAAGTGAAGATCGCGCCAATCCTCAAAACCAACACTCTCTTCCAGCGAAAAGCCCCACAGATGCCAAAGAAGCGAGGTGATATCGCGAAGGTGCGCGTGGGAGGCGCGACGTCGAAGCTGCCTCTCCTCAATTTCACCACGATCAAACATCGAGTCACAAAACCTCACCGCAAGTGGTTTGTTTGTTCACAAACAGTTCATTCCTTCATCATCGCTAAATAGTCCGACAGCGACATTCCCGTTCGTTTTCGCGGCTTCGTTGTCGTCGTTTTCGCTTCGTTTGATGCTTCCGGCTTCTCCAAATCCAACTGAAACGCGTGGAACGACTCCGCGGACTGCGTCGATTCCGGCCGCTTCTCGACGGCTTCCTTCTTCTCCACCTTCACCTCGGCCGTCTTTTCTTCCTGCTCCGCGGCTCCAGTGCTCCAAGACACCGAGGGAAGCGTAGGCCTGCGCGACATGAAGTTGTCTTTCTATCTCTCACTGCCTCCCCTCGCAGTCCACATGATTTCGACTCGCCTGCCGCATCAACTCGCGATTCAGTCGCTGATGCTTCTCCGCGATCTTCGTCATCGTTCGGTCCTGCTCTTTCATCAATCGGATTCGGTCCTCTTCCTCCTCTTCCAACTCCTCGATCCGGTTCGTCGTCTCGGTCAGCTCTTTCTCCAACTGCGCGCGGCGATTGTCCAGCTCGTTGTAGACGCTGCTTCGCGACTTCTGCAGGTCCTTCTGCAGCAATGCGAGCTCGTTCTCCAACCGATCTTTCTTGATCTTCAGATCGCCGAGCAGCCGCACGGTGTTGATTCGATGGACGTTCACCTATACGATGACTCGATTCGGAGGAAAAGAACGGTCAACTGGCGACGAGAGACGATCAACTCCATGTCTTTCGAGGTCGGAACCTTCTTCTCCATTTCCTTCACGTGCTCCAGAAGCTTCTTGCAGTCCTACGGTCGATCCAATCGCCCACTCCAAACCGTTTTTGTCATAATCGACTGGTAATGGTGCTCTCGCTCCTCGATGAAACTCGCGAAATCGCTCTCTGTGAGCTTGCTGTTGCTCACGCTGTTCAGATCGACCTCCTTCTCGCCCTCTCCGTACGTCACCACCAAAATCTGCACGCATTCAATGCATCAACCATGCGGTACTTTGACTGTGGGAATGTCGCCGACGTAGTACTCGTATTTGCTTTCTTTCACATCGCGGATCTGGCGGATCAGATAGATTTGCTGGTCTCCGATGGTTTCGCGGTGCAGGATGAACCCGTTCCGAACGATTTCATCGAAAAACACGTTGGAAAGATAGGAGAGAAGCTGCGTACGAGAGAAGCAGAGCGATTTCATGTCCTCAAAGTCGATACGATTCGAAACATTGCGCTTCTTGGGAGCTGGCTCTTTCTTTGGGGGTGCTTCTTTTCCTTCATTGCCATAGTCGCTCGATTCCAATTCACTACCCGTCACATGAGCTTCGCGAATCTACTCATCGATAAAGCTGTCTTCCCCATTCGAGTAGTCGTCGATATACTCTACTTCTTCTGTCTGGTTGCGAGAAGTTCTTTTCGATCGCTTCGACTTGTGAGCGACTCTACAATAAACAAACCGAGCGAAAAATACTCATCTTCATATATATCTGCGTCTTCATTTGTGTCAGTATGCCGATTTGCTCGTCTATGTATTAAACCACTGCATTTGCTTCAGACTTCATTTTATTCCGCAAACGCTCCAGTTCCTCATCTCTTTCTCGAATTGTGTTATATTCACTAATATATTCTTCCTTTTGCAGTTCGGTTAACGAATTCCACTTCTCCTCCGTCATATCAGGAATTGGAGGCATCCTCCCATATTGGTCGAACGTTCGCATATCTTCGTCATAGTCAGAAGCTTCCTAAGGATCACGATGTCCGAAACAAGCTAAAAACGTTGTATTCCTCCTCGCGATCAAAACTATCTCCATCTGAGCCAGCTTCCTTCCTTGATGTCATGGTTCAGAGAGTTTTCTGTATAAAAACAAACAAAAAGCGAAAAAGGAATTGCACCATCCGGGATTCGAACTCGGGTCTCACGCTTGGGAAGCGTAAATGCTAACCACTACACCAATGGTGCTCTGTCTTTGCATCTCCTACTCAACATATGAATACTCTCCCCAAAATGTACTATCACTCATTCACAATATTACACCATGGGTAGTGGTGCCAAAACTAAGGGAAAGAGACAAGCAGGAGCGGGTCATAGGTATACCAGACGTATGCGCGCTCTGAAGTCACGCTCAAAGGACCTAGATCGTATTCAAGTGAGTTTTGTATCAATATTCGCTTAGGACGTAGGATGAACTCAAACTGGATCCTGAAAAGCGACTGATTGAGTATGATGAAGATCTTCCCGGGTAATTCATTGGTTTTGTTGCAATGTGTAGAGGAGGTCAGTTTTATTGCCTTTACTGTGATAAACACTTCATGAACAAGGAAATCTTAGATGAGCATTTAACTACGAAGCTGCACCGCAAAAAGTGAGTTACTAGGGTGTGGAGAGTGATTGATAGTGTGAAAAGAGCAAATGAAGAACAGTACACGCAGAAGGAGGCAGAAGCTGCTGCAGGAAAGACAGTTGAAGTGTACGAGCCAATTCGTCGTGATGAGAATGGTATTCCACAATAAGTCGTTTTATGCTGTATTTGTAAATAAACATGACGATTAATCGTTCTTTTTCTCTTCAGATGCGTTAACAGCTTCGTTAATTGCAGGGGCATAACTAAAGTAAATGAAACGAAAAGAGCACACAAGTTAACGAATAATACGAGCGCTGTCGTCAGGAAGCCGAGAATGTAGCTAAAATGAACCTACCATGGCAAACCTTACACATGGATGTTATAGTAGCGGTAAAAGAGGCTCACAATAATAAATATCCATTCCATAACGAGCGTCATGTTCAGCAGAATCAGAGACGCCGAGTTCACTACAGATCAGCACTTTCGTACAATTCTCACCTCCCGGCGAGAGCAACATCATGATAAACTTCACAATGAAGTTTTCGTGCTCTTCTGGGACTTCCTGTTTCTTTGGTGTCGACATGAACAAAAAAAGAATGGAATTCAAATGACGTGTGAATACAAACAATCACTTAGATGCAAACTATTCACAATAGGGTGATAGGACGTTGAGCTGTTTATCATTGATAGTGTAGGACACGTTGAGGTAGGGGTCGTCCGTTCGGCTACAAAACGGACATTTCCAATCATCACAGGGATTTTGAATACAAGCAACATGCGCATATCCTGAGCAACCCTTACAAAAACGAACTGCCGATTCATTCGTAAGATCAACATCAATTCCACAAACAATACAAACAGGCAGACTATCCCACGATGCCATGCACAATTGATGGAAAGTTTCATCAGGTATTCCTCTCTCAGTTTTGCCTGATTTGCGGGTGTTGGTGTTCTGTAGAGGCGAAAAAACTTCATTTCTATCTTCCAACTCTACAGGAACGGGAGACTGTCTGCCATAAAGCTTCCATCCCTCTTCGAAAGGTTGAATGTAAATCTTATAAATATCAGAGAGTGATAGAGAGTCATATTTGGACTTTGCAGTTACGAATTTGTCCCCATAGTACTCTTTAATCAGGTCCCAGTTCTATGTTATACATCGCACCCTAAACTACATCTTGAAACTTTTTCTTCGAATAGAAAAGGGAGGCTGGTGTGAGAGATAATTCAGAAAATATCTTGCGAATGTTCGGATCTTCAGTTGATATTACAGGGTTTGCTTTCCAGCATGTATAAATGTAGTTATTAAAAAAGTATTCTTCGGTTTCTTGATGCTGCAAATCGATAGAATATGGGGTCAACTGGACCTGGCTGGCTTCATTCTGCTTAAGATTACGAGAAACTACATAGTAGATAGAATTCCCATCGTCTGTTCCGCGACCTTTGACCCAGGAACTTTCCGGAGTATTGCAGTCAAATTCACCTCCATCATCTCCACAGCACCATAGACCCAGTTTGTTCTGAGTGGGACTCACTTCTCTGCACTTCAGACACTTGTAGCATTGCTTCCATGTGCAATTATCCATTCCTTACTGTTGAGTTTCCAAACAGAGTTGATTCCTAACTATTTTGTTATAAACCGTGAAAGGATCTTTTTAATCTACAAACCGATTCTTTATCTGGAAGAGGAGTATAATTGATATTTCGAGAGATCCCAAATAACCATAATCACCTGGAGTTTGTTCAGTTTCAGGAATAGATACTCCACATTTCTATGTCGAACTTTCTGTAAGCATTGTGTTTATAGAAGCACTTCATGCTATTGATGGATTACAGCGAAATAACACGATGTCTCAACATCGACTCTCAAATGACTCCGTAGTGTTACCATAAAACACATTCTTGCCAATTCTTATAGGACCATATACTCTGGAATCACATTCCTTGTATTTTTGTTTTGCTTGATTCTCGAGCAATGCTTGTTCATCGATTTCCATTTGAAAAAATAAAATATCATTAACAAAAAAGATCGAAAAACGGATTGGTTGTGACTATTGCAATTCCATTTTTATGCTTTGATTATGGAATGTTGGCTCGTCGGTTTGTTTTCTGTATCAAACCTTATGCCAAGCATATCCGAGAATTGTTGCCGCGAGCTGGTACTGTATTAGACTTCACACCGTTTCGTCGTTTTGCAATGTCACGCCCACCACTAGAAGAGATGGCTGAAGACGCTGAAGATGATATCATGGAAAAAACGCAAGATAAGCGCATCATCCAGCTTTCTCGCTATGTGATGAACAACAACTTGAAGTCGAGTCTTGTTACATACAGTAAACTGCCGTTATTTCTACCGCGGAGTGATTTTCGGATTGTTTGCTCGTTGATGAAGCAGCTGGGATCTTCAAGTGGAATCCCAGATTTGGAGAATGTCTTTTTGAAGATTCAGAGGATGAAGTTGTCAAGGAAGCATGCACTCACAATGCGTTGCTTAATTCGCCTATCGTACGAGATTGGAGACGCTCAGCTGATCGAAACGTTCTACCGCCAAATTTGCGAAGAAGAGATTTATGTGAACAATTCCTTTTTAAACGATGTTGTGTTTGATTGCCTCTTTTCTCTCAACGCATACAAGTCAATCTGCACCATCGTTCAGTCTCTAGAAGTAGGTTTTTTGGTCACTCTCGATTGTAGTCTCTCCTGGATGAAGGAAAGGTTCTCCCCTCCTTCAACAATCATTCCAGTCAAAACGCGATCATCGCCTTTATGGCCGAAGGCCGAGACGATCTGCTGCTGTTCTTCCTTCAGCAGATCAAGACCAACTGGCGAATTCCGGTCACAATCACGGATTACATCGTGTCCAACGCGGTTCGGAACACTTCGCTCGCCACACTTTTCCCCAAATGTCTCGACTCCCAGCCCGTACTTCCCCGTTTTCCCCTTTTCTCTAGAAATCGGCGACGTTATTCAACGCCATCATCGATTTCTACGCGCACTGCAGCGACTTCGCTTCCGCGTTCAGCATCGTGCAGCGCGCCAAAGCAGCGGGCGTGAAAGTGACTTCGGTGAGCTATCAAAGCCTCTGTGAGCTTTTATTCGAGCTCTACGATGCTTCGCCGCCCGATCGCGAGCTCGTTCGGTCGTTCTGCACGCATCTCTGCTCGTTGGATCGTGGCGGGTATGTGGTGCTGCTCGGCGTGCTGCCGGTGCGCGTGATGATTCGCTATGGCGAGTTGGAAAACGCCGCGCAGTATTTGAAACTGTTGAATCGATTCGAAAACGGACTGTCTAGAGCGGATCTCGCTATTTTGGAAGAGATGAGGGAGCAGAATAGGGAGAATAAGGCGCTGATGGAGGAGATGGAGAGGGTGATTCGCACGCTGAGAAGTAAGTTTGGTATTGATGGAGCGAAGGAGCCTGGAAAGGCAGACGGAGTGGAATAACGAGGATTCTGATATGTGTTATAGTTTCATTTAGTAGTGAAGAATTGATTGTTTGAATAAACAAGAGTAATGAGTGATGGGACCTACAGGATCTGCTCGGACTTCGGACCAGTTCACCTGTCCGTCTTTTTCTTCGCTATATAATCCAATAAGACTTCTATACAGTTACTAGCAAAAACCAAGAATACGTGTCGTCTCCTCTAAATAGATATACATCATACTTTTCCACTCTCATAGGCTCAGTTTGAGAGAAGATTCTCTCCTCCACGTCTTCCAATATAAGGTTTGTTACCTGATCTACACCTCGTAGCATTCCCTATGATGTTAATCAACGTCTGGATCGCATACAGTAAATGTCCGGCCATCATTTGTCAAAATGACTACTTTCTCTAAACATCTCATACAACTCCCAAATTCGTACTGTTCATCATTTTGCCTAACTCTTCAGCCATTTTTGGTCTATTTCAATATTATACAGAAAGAGATTGTTAAGAAAAGCAGGAACTTTTCTTTCTCATTTGATTTTTATTCAATTTCTAAGCCATGGAGAACGATGAAGCAAATCTGATAGCTGCGAAAGCTTTCCGGTCGCGACTTCTCGGAGATAAGAAGAGAGCTGTGTACTGGGAAGGTCAGCTTGAAGATCTTCGCAAACCCAAAAGTCCGCGAATAGAAATGAGTAGAAGTCCGTCTTCTGAAGCGTCTGTATCAGGAAGAAGGTCGGAAGACGGGGAAGTGGAGATTGTCTCTCCTTTGGATGAAAACGGCATGATTCTCCCTACTCTTCTTAAGAAGGTATTCAAATTATTTGATATTCATCCAAGACTGCAAAGCAAGTCGATGAGGACTTTCAATACGGCGGACGCAAAGGCATGCGTAAAGAGGCTCAGGATCAGAGTATCGCTGAGATGCAGAAATCCATCTATATGCATCGGGAACGTAATATCGACGAGGTGATCGCTAGTAATATCATGAAGCACAGTCATTATCACAACCCTGTATGTTTTTGCTGCTTCTCTTGTCATTGCAGATGGAAAGCAGCCGATCGGGGTTTGATGAAGAGGATGCGATCGACGAGAAGTTTTACACTGGCAAAGAAGAATACATGACGGAGAAAAAGAAGCAGGAAATGGAAATGGAGCAGGCGATCAAGGCACAGAAGCGCTGGACCCAGATCACATCCACCTGTCCCTATTGTTACGGATCGTCTCAAATGTCAAAGGATAATTTGATGTTGGTGTTTGATTTGTTCTTTCCCGTAGAGCTCTCGGGAATCACACCTATCTCGCGATGTGCTCGAAGATGCGACTTAATGAATGGCATGTGCAGATCTGTCCGCTGCAGCACGTCTGGTCGCAAACGGAGTGCGATGAGGAGGTGATGTACGAGATCCAGCGCTTCCAGCAGGCGTTGACTGCGATGGCTCGCTCGCTGAATAAGGGATTGATTTGTTTTGAGGAAGTGCATCTTCCGCGTGGAAGGCAGCATTGTATTGTGGAGTGCGTGATGGTGCCGAAGGAGGTGGAGATGGACGCGCCGATTTATTTTAGGAAGGCAATGCTGGAGGTAGGGATTGAATGAATTGGAATGGGTTTTGGAAGGATCGTTGTGAAAATCATTGTGAATATCATTGTGAATATCATTGTGAATATCATTGTGAATATCATTGTGATTGCTGTCATTTGGTTGATCCATCGATTGTTTTGACTCTCTTCTCTCACTCCCTTTCTAGTGTGACGATGTCTGGCAAGCCGATAATCGAAAATGCATGGACACATCAGAGAAAGGGCTTCAACGATCCGTCCCCAAGGGCTTTGCCTACGTCTACGTCCATTGGTCAAATATCACTGGGGCGGAAGGCAGCTTGACCCACGTCATCGAAGACGAAAAGACCTTCAAGCGAAACTTCGCGCAGGATGTGTTAGCCGGCATGATGGACCTGCCTACCAGTAAAATGCTCCGCTACAGCGAAGCGAGCATCCAGTCCGTGGTAGAATATCGATGAGTGAGTTTGATTGCTAGCTGCGACCGTTCCTGAAAGTGTGGCGGAAGTTTGACTGGACCGAAGAGCTCGATAGTTGTGAGTGTTTGTTCGTCAAGAAACAATCATTATGCACTCGTTTCCTTCTCAATCGCATTCTCCACCGCTGCGTCCAGCTCTTTCTGCTCCTCTTCTCGCTTCTCTCTCGCCTCCTTTTCCTCCTCAATCACCTTCTCCGCAGCCAGTTCGATCTTCGTCTTCCGCTCCTCCGCAATCTTTCGATCGATCGCATCGTCATCCACCACCATATCGTTGATTCCCAGCTTCTCGTTCTCCTCAAACGTCCGCTGATAATCCACGATCTCCAATCGGGGGTCTGGATTCGGCGCGCAGTCGCTGTAGATCCACGAGTTCGCCAGCGGATCCACGATATCAATCGTGAACTCGCGCTTTCCATCGCGCATCGCCTTCAGCTGCTCCATGAACTCCGCGTACTGCTTCTTCTTCTCTTCGATCGCGCTGTCTCCCAGGAAGATCGGGCTGTTCTCGCTCATGCTGTCGATGATCTGCGTCAGCAAGCCTTCGACGGTGGTGTACATTCCGCCCAGCGACCCGGCCTCCAGCTCCAAATCCAACTCAGGGATCTAGGTCGCCAATCCGCGATGATTCCTACATACACAGCGGCGGTGTCGCTCTTCAAGACATCGCGTCGGAGATCCTCGACAGCGTGCTCTTTATCGGATCGGAGAATGAGGCGCTGGCCTTGTTCCGGAATGGAGCCTCCTGCTTTAATCTACTCTTCACCCTGCCTCCAATGAAGCACTTCGTTGGTCCGGAATCCACAATAGTCGCAGAGGAACGACATGATGATGACCTCTTTGAAGTAGGGAATATCGGTAATGCACATGCGGCTTTCTCCCATTCGTCCGCACGCATGGCAAGGGCACTGCATCACCATCATTTCTTTATCGGTGTCCACTGCAGAGCTATCGAAATGCTGATATTTCGATTCGATATGCAGATTTCCTCCTTCCTTCTTCTCTACTTTCAACTCTTTCCCCCTCATCTACCGTCCAATTCTTCCTCATACTCTCCCTCCGTGCCCCATTTCATCGTCGATTCGTCCTCTGGCAACGCCATGCCCAACGCCTACTCTCTCAATCCCCCTCTACAACGCAACGATGTGCTGTTCACGGCTTCGATAGTAGCGGAACACGCGGCAGTTCGGGTCTTTCTACCATTCAATCCGCGCTGAATCGCGACTTTCGGGAGATACGGATTCTCCACGAACGAATTCCCCGAAGGATCGTCCACGATGAACGTGAAGGGAAGCTCCTCGCCCGTGGAAAGCTTGTCGATGCGCTGGCAGAAAGCTTCCACTTGCTCGTACACTTCCGGACAGGTTTCTTTGCGGTATGGCTGTTCCTGGCGGAGCTGCTCGGAGACGCGGTAGAGAATTCCCTCCACTGTGTTGAGGTCTCCCTGCTGTGTGATTGGGGGAATGTCCAGCTGCAACTCGGGAATGCTGATGGTGCAGTTATCTCCCTTGATGATTTGGCGATTTAAATCCTATAAATGAATATAGGACACAACGGGCACTTCTTTGGAAGAAACGGTAAGCTGATAGCGCACTCCCTTCTCCTGAATTTCCGCTCCACTCTGCACTTCGTTCGATTTGAAACCGCAGTGAGGGCCTTCGAATCAAAAGAAGTAACAATAATCACATTCAAAGGCAACAATAATGATTTCTCGGAAGTTGGGAATACGTGTCATCATCAGTTTGTTGCGTCCCTGTTGTCCACAGTTCATACACAAACCCTCCACATCTACATAACACTCTCGTAAATATACGTACAAGTAATTCCATTCTCATCCGTGTGAATTTCTGCATTTTCCACCGGCTCTAAAACATCAATTGCAGAGCGACGAAAGTACTATCCTCTTCTGGGGCACCTGCGACCACATTCTCGGGTTCCTCTTTGTGCTCAAAATTATCTCCAAGGTCTGTAAAACCGTTTTCAGGCATTTTTCTCGTTTTTTTGATTGTATGGTCGTTTCAAAAGCAACGATACAAAAATGGGCGATCCCACAAAATCGATTCGTTCGATCAAACAAGAAAATAAATACACATATCAACAAGATTAGAGATTCGCCGCTTCTTCCCGATCCTATCCTTCAACAAAGACCCAAACCCAAACCTTTTGACTCACCTTTTTGAAATTGAGCACCGTAAGCTGAGGGAGAAGCTTTACAACGCGAGCACGGAAGTTGGGCTCCGACTCAATCGGATTATCAATCAAAGACAAATTTGCTATAGGTGATAGAATCTACACAACCACACTGAGATTTATCCAATCCTTCAGATGCTCAATTTCTTCAAAACTCGAAATGCGGTTATTTGTCAGTAGATATTAAGGAACCACGAGGAATACGTATCGGCTACCTCATAGGATATACACAAGCTCACGGCAATTCGGTACATTGGCTCCTAGGTTACTTGAAATACGATTGATCAGATTGTTGCACAGAATGAGCATTTCCAGTCGGTTGAACTTGGGGATGTTCTCAACCACCGCAATCGAGTTGTCGGACAAATCGATCATATCAAATTGGTCATTTGCAGCTCCAAGATTCTCCATTATACCGATTTTAAGTCCTCGTAGATCCAACGAGTACTGTTTCAAGGGATTGTAGTAAGTTCGCGCAGTGGCGATGACATCTTGTGTGAGACGCATATCTACTCAGAAATCTGATAAGAATCATACTGTATTCACGTTCGCTAAAGAATGAGTTTGTTACTGCAAATAACCACGGTTTTTCACCATATCAACCCATTCATTATCTCTTTACTTTGTGGGGTTCGTCCTAAGTGAATAGGTAGGATCTGTCCATTGTGTGCTGAACCCTTCCAGTCTGAAAGGTTTTCATGAGTTGTTGAATTCTCTTGACTGGGGCGGTAATAAATCCTGGATTGTTTCTCAGTGACCGAACGCTCTCCATTCGGTCGCTTGTATTCCTCTCCAATACTTATCGTTTGTGTAGACTCGAATTCAAAGTGCATCCATTATCTTCACATTTCAAAAACAACAAACAAACAAACACAATCACAAAAATAGATCACATTTGTAAGTTGCAGACATGCCGCCTTCAGGCACAAGGAAAATACGAATTCCACTGTAGTAAACTGTCACAACCCCCTTATAAGCGGTTCGAGGGATGCCCAACGAAGCATCGCTCATGATCCCCAATTTTGTCGCCAACGAGTAGAAACTGCGAGGTCCCGGGTGTTTCCTACGCCTAACAATCCATCCCAATGGCACACGTGTAAAATAGCTTGGCCGTACTTTCGATGGGCAGAGTAACGAGCTCTTCGAGAGACTGGATCGCCGTCGCTTCGTTTAGCAAACTCTGGAACATGGGCTCATAATTTTCCAGCATCAAATACGCGAGATCGCGCTTTCCAAACTCGACAAATCGATCATTCAACTTGATCTTCGATTCGAACTCCCAGTAGAATCTACATCGCAGTTCTCCGTTTCCCCTACGGCTGGCTGTTCACGCCGGTGCTCCCGAACGTCACCACACGCGAGACCTCGGGGTAGACGCACTGCCGGTCCTGCCGCGCCGCGGGAGATCGGACCCAGTCCCTCCAGAAATCGGTGGGCCATAGATCCTTCCAGGCGATCCACTGCTTCTTCTCGATCATCCACCCGAGCGAGGGGAAGTAGTCGGTTCGCCAGATGAGGGCTAGAGGAGAGAAGGAGGGGAGAGGAGGCTACTGGGATCGAGAACGAACTTGGACTGGCCGTTTTCGTTGTAGGCGCTGATGCAGTAGATGGAGGGATCGCTGTTGAACAGATAGGAAGTGGCGCTGAAGTAGTCGAAGAAGTCGGGAGCGATGAGAACGTCGTCCTAGCGATGATGGGAGCAGGGAAAGCGCACGTCGAGAACGATGACTTGCTCGTAGTTGTGCGTGCCGAAGAGAGTGCTCAGCGCCCAGGAGAGATGATACGCGATGGACCCGTACTGCGCGTCCACTTCCAGCTTTACCGGCTTGTGCTTGAGATGGAGGAAGGGGCAGAATGGGATCTCCGATCGGACGCGACTGCTGATGATGCCGACCAAGGTGGTGACGGTGCTGTCTGCGCCGTCCTGCGATATTACTATGTCCACGTAGAACAAGTTGGCCGGGTTCGAGAGCACTTTGACGACTTGGTTGAACGTGCGTAATAAAAATTGGGGACGGTTGTACGCTAAAATAAGCAGAGCCGTTTTCTTTCCTCCGATCGCAAATCGGTTTTCCTTGCGAGACGCCTCGAAAACAGCAACACGATTCAAAGCAGGCCGCACTATTTCTCTTCCTTCAAATGGGTTCTTGTACAGACTTTCAGAAGTAAACGATGAAAAAGCATCGGGAAGCCCAGCCTTCGAGAAGAGGGAATCGTCTCTTCCAGAGAAATCAAAAGGATTCGAATTTGAGGATACTTCAGGAGTAGATGGCTACAAATGAAAGGAATTTACCAATAGACTACATCACGTAGATTATTTCCTTTGAGAGTTTGCTATGAATGAATGAACCAACCCAAAACTACAAATGTTCCTTGAGCTCTTGAACCCGACTTTGAATCGTCATAAAGCGATGCTCCCGACTAGATCGAACGATACTCATAAAACAAACGATGTGAGTGAAAGAGGCTACATCAAGCTTGAAGAATACCATAAGCTGCGACAGACTGATAATACATAGTACAGCAAGGACACAAAGAAATATGTTTTTGCGTCGCATTTTGGTTTGGAAAATAGCAGAAAGCGAACAATAACGGTTATTATGGATTCTTAGCAGGCTATTCTGTTGTGAAACATGGTCTTAATGAAACAATAAAATGAGAGAAGATACTATTCACTGTATAAAGAAGCTATTTGTACATAAAAATAAGAGAGATCTCGTTCCCATTTGGATAGATAGCCCCTATTGACACCATATTTAGAGTTCAGTGAATTTTTAACAATCGATGGTGAAATAAGACCAAATTGGCCGAGAAATGAACAATTTGAACCTGTTGAAACTCCCAAAGAGAGGTAAATTCCACTTTCTAAATCATTTGAAGCTATTACACGATGTCTGAACAAAAGGCGCTGCCTACTCGAATGTAAATGGGTGTGGCATATCGTGAGAAATAGGGTTTTGCAGGCTTTTAAGGCGAAAGCCGTTTCTGCAAAGAAAGGTGGGAAAATGGATTTCCTTTGATTGCTTTAGGTTATGAGCTGCTGAAGAAGAAATCGGATGCGCTCACTGTTCGTTATAGAAAGCTTCTAAAGGAAATTCTCGAGGTTTGGCGTTATTCGAGGGCATCTGATAGATAGATGAAGCGAGAAGTCACTGAAATGATGAAGAACGCTTCTATTTCTCTTTCTGAAGCCAAGTGGGCAGCTGGAGATATTACGTAACGACGGTGTGTTTTGCTTAATCTCGTAGTCGGAAAGTAATCGACAATGTTAGCAGTGCTTCAGAGATTCTCGAAGTTCACATTGATAACGTTGCTGGAGTGCGCCTGCCTGTTTTCAAATCGAAGCACCGAGATGTGGCTGGTATTTGTCTCTCTCTCTGTAGCTCATAGCCTAGACGAGCCAACTCTGGGTCGCGGAGGCCAGCAGCTGGAGAAATGCCGTAAGATCTGGTCCGAATTCCTGCAAGTTCTGATCCGTCTGTCCTCTCTGCAGACTTCCTTCATTTCCCTGGATGAAGCCATCAAGGTAACAAATCGCCGTGTGAACGCTCTGGACAACGTGGTGATCCCGGGCATTATCGCAAACATCCACTACATCGAGTCGGAGCTGGACGAACTGGAGCGAGAAGACATTTTCCGACTGAAGAAAGTGCTTCAAGTCAAGAACCGAAAGGAGGAGGAGGAGAAGCTCGGCGCAGGAGGTAGGAATGGGAGCAGAGTGGGACGTAGGCGAAGAGACGTTCGAGGAGTGTGAGGAAGATACGGAGAACCATGATAACATCTTGATGGACTACGTCATTGAGGAAGATGACGATGACGTTGTTGTTTAATTGTTCAGATGCGCTTTCAGTGTTGTGTTTGTTCGAAACGACGTGTCATTTTGAAAGATTCGTCCCTGGAGTCTCAAAATGAGAAAGGTTTGTGTGGTTTTTGTGATTTTATGCATTGTATGCTAGTTTTTGAATGCTTTTCACTTTCAGAGTGTATTCAGTCTTCAAAAGACAGAAAGAGCCAACCAGAAATGTCTCTTGGAGCTGATTATGATCGTGAAGGACGAAGCTGCGTCCATCCAAAAGACTGTGTTGAGCGTGAAAGGCATTGTTGATCGTTACTGTATTCTCGACACAGGGTCGACAGATAATACGACTGCATTAATCAAGGAGGCCTTCGGTACAACGCCAGGATCCATTTACTCGGAACCTTTTGTTGATTTCGCAACGACACGAAATAGAGTTATGGAACTTGCTGGAAAGGAGTGCCAGTACACGTTAATGCTGAGTGGAGACGAGTACCTCCGAAACGGACAGAAATATCCAAATCACTCCTCTTTTCACTTTCCTTAACATGTTTACACTGAAATCCTATCTGGAAAAGCTGTCCAATCCCATAGGTGGTGCTGAAGTCAAGATCAAATATGGGCAGACTTCCTATAACAGCATTCGTATCTGCAATACGGATATTGCATGGACCTACGTGGGTGTGACCCATGAGTATGTCATGTCAAACACTCCCAATACGGAAACCGTAGTGATTCCGTATAAGACTGCGGCGGATACTTTCATTCTTCATGATCTCTCTAACTTGTACCGTTTCGGCCTGCACTTTACTCTAGTGACTACGAAAAGAAAAAGAAGCGGTGGGCTCTCGATGCTCAGCTGCTCTATCAGGACTTGGTGAACAATCCTACCAATACCCGATCAGCTTTCTATCTGGCACAGGTACTTCGTTTTCCTTGTTTTCTGTTGCTAGTCGTATGATTGCTTGGATGATTTAGTAAATGCCTACAAGTACTACAATCTGAGATACGAAATGGGTGGTTGGTATGAAGAACGCTATGAATCGCTTGTGAGAATGGGTGGACTATTAGAGCGAATGGGTTACGACTGGCCCCAATGCGAATACCAGTATCTCCAGGCTTATTCGTTTCTCCCTATTCGCTCGGAGCCGCTCTACCTGATCGCCAAGCATTGGTATGAAGAGAAAATGTACGATGTGGCTTTCCTCTTTGCGTCTCGCGCCTATCAGATTCCCTTCCCCACCCAAATCCGACTCTTTATCAACCAGGACATCTACTCTTTCTAGTAGGAGCGTTGATCGTGTGCCAATGATAGCATTCCCGAATTGTTGTCCCATATCTGTGTTCATCTTCCAGATCAAGCCGAATTGGGAATGGAGGCAACCGAGCGTTGTCTGACGCAGTACCCAGCGAACGTCGCCCTCCAGAAAAACAAGCGCTATTTCCAAAACCGCTTGTCGCAAGATTCGCCTCACCACGTTTCTCTCTCGCTTCCCAGTTCGATGGAGGCTCAATACACTCGCCGCCATTTCCATGTTTATTCAACAAACAACCACCCGGATTACGCTCCATACATCTCTCTATACTTGGTAATAGCCTCCAAATAGCTCGACAGCTCTCCACTTTGATTCAGATAGTTAATCAGCGAGTTGAGATCCACGATGCTCACGACCGGGAAGTTGTAGTCCTTCTCAATCTGCTGCACAGCGGACAAATCGCTGTCATTTCCCTTCTCCTGGCGATTCAGCGCGATCACCAGACCGACCACCTTGCCTCCTTCCTTCTCGATGATTCCCACGCTCTCGCGTGTCGCTGTGCCCGCAGTGATCACGTCATCGATCACCAGCACGCGCTTGTCCTTCAGCGCACTGCCCACAATGCAGCCGCCCTCGCCATGGTCCTTCGCCTCCTTCCGGTTATACGCGAACTCCACGTTCCGTCCATGCGCAGCCAGCGCCGCAGCGACCGCCGCAGCGAGCGGAATGCCCTTGTACGCAGGTCCGAAGATCACGTCGAACTCGGGCGCGCGCTCCAGAATGGTTCGGGCGTAGCTCTCCGCCACATCGAGCATATCCTGGCCCGACTTGAAGTTGCCCATGTTGAAGAAATAGGGACTCATGCGTCCACTCTTCAGCTTGAACTCGCCGAAACGCAGCACCGACGCGCGGATCGCCGCTTCGATGAACTGCTTCTGCGTGCTGCTGAGCTGGGGCTTCGGAGCCGCCGCGCGCTCCGCCAGAACGCGCTGGATCGACTCGTTGATCTGGTCGCGGTAGCGGATCGCGGTGGCGCGGGGGTCCTCAGCGCGGGAAATACCGCGCGAAATGGGAACGATGATTCCCTTGCCGTCGTCTCGAATGGCGGCGCGGATCACATCGTCCAGATCGCCGCCCTGCGCGCCCACACCAGGAGCCAGAATCCAGATATCGGGGCAGAGCGCACGCACGTTACGCAGGGCCTAGGGGATAGATCTGAAGAACAAAGGAGCACCGTTCCGTCCGTAGCACCGACCACTACGCCGGTTCCCCACTCGGCGGCTTTGCGAGCGAAGATCTCGTACAGGAAGCGCTCCTCGCCATCGGTGTCGCGGGTGCGGAGAATCTGGAACTCGTTCGAGCTGGGATTCGAGGTTTTGCACAGAATGAAGCAGCCGCCCCAATCTTCTTCGAGGAAAGGCTTGATAGCGTCGTAACCCATGTAGCTGTTCAGGGTCACGCCGTGGGCTCCCACCTGCTTGGCAGCCTGAGCATAGGCCTGCGCCGTCGTCGAAATATCGCCGCGCTTGACATCCAACAGAACAGGAATATCCTCCGGGATGGTCTTTATGATCTAAGCTCAATACTAGGAAAGATTCAGTACCTCAGCGAGTGCCTCCACTCCACCGGGAATGGCCTCAAAGAAGGCAGAATTTGGTTTGTAGCAGCAAGCGACATCCTTCGTAGCCTCGATAAGGCGAGCGCAGAATGCCTTTAAACCCTCAGGAGTGTGCTCGGTCAACTCCTGTCCATGGGGGTCCAGACCAACGCAGAGAAGAGAATGACTCTTCTCGATTCGAGCATTAAGCATATCAAAGAACTTCATCGTAGTGTATTATTTTGATTTATCAGAGCATAGGAAAAGTGATTCTCTTCTGTACAAGTTTAACAAATAATGCGGAGCGTCAATGGTCTAATGGTTAGGATTCTACCCTTCCAAGGTAGAGGTCCGGGTTCAATTCCCGGTTGACGCATTTTTTTATTTCTTCTATTTTGCTGTACTTTGAATGGGTAGTATGAATGTACTGATGAGTGGATAGAAAATAGAGCAAACGTTTTACAATATCCATTCATATTCACTCTATTGTCATCAGTCCTCCAATTCTCCTCCTGCTCAAGTGCCCACAACACTAATTGTCTCAAACAGGTCAAAATGACTATCGCTTCAGGTTACTCTGGATCTTGCTTCCTCCGCCCGTTACAACGCCCTTCTTCACAGCTCGGTTGAAGTTCGCCTGGTCCTCTTCCAGCCATCCCATCACTTCCTTCAGCTTCTGGCTCTGCTGCTCATCGATCTCTCTCTTCTCCGCATCTCTCATCTACATTCAATTCATCTCCCTTCTTTACTTCCGAAATCACCTCCGCCTCTCTTCTCATCTCTCTCTCCACACCTCTCTTCTCTCTCTTCACCTGCTTCAGCAACTCGCGTTTGCGAATATGCTCCTTGTTGGGATGCAGCACCTTGCCAGGAACGAAGTCCTGCTCATACGAAGGAGCCTTCAATGAAAACAATCACACACTCTTACGAAGGACACATACACCGGTCTCAGCACTTCGGCCTGGAGAGGAATGTGCTTGCGATGATTCAGAGTGTTGGTGAGGACAGACACGATCTGGTCGACCGTTTCTTGAGCCTTCACGGCTTGGAACGAGCCTTTTTCTTGGGCGATGAACCGCAAGAGCGTGCTGAGAATCGGCCGGAAGTAGACGAGAGCGGCGGGGTTGGAAGCGTTCGACTCCAGCAGACTTGACACAATGCGGAATCTACGTTAAACAAAGAGAGAATGAAAGGAACAGAGAGGCTTGAAGCTTCGAAATGGGAATGGACTCTATGGATGCGTCCGCCAAATCGGTGAGTGTGATCTACACGCTCGTAGCAAGCAAACAAACAAACTGTTTCTTCTGAATCGCTCTGCTCCTTAAACTTCAACTCTACAATTCATCGATTCTCGCTCTATTACCCAGCTTCGAAGCGGCCGACGAGCTCTTTCGCAGCAATCTATTCTCAACGCAGCAATCCGCATCGTACACAAGCTCGCAAACAATCGGCAGCGCGGCGTACACTTCGGGGACAAACCGGCCGCTCGCCGAGCTGTAATCCGCCAGGATCGCCAGAATCACCTCCGCAATCACGACGTCTCGCACACTCTTGATTTTGCATTCCAGCAACGTCTATATGAGAGAAAGCTTGCAGCACTACGCGCCCAAGCAACAAGAGAGCAGGCTGAATGAAGTTGTGGCGGAAGTCTGTGGCCGAGAAGAGATTGAGCACGAGCTGAAGCAGCAGAACATCGGAAACGCGAGGATACCCGGTGGTCTAAACGGAATCAACCCACAAGGAAATAAACGTTCAGCATTCGCGTCTGGATTCGTGTGAGAATGTCCGTCCAAATGATGTGGACGTTCGATTCAATGTAAGGAAGCATCGCCATTAAGCAGCCCTGGACGCAGTCCAACACATAGGGCGTTAAGCAGTTCTGCGAGAAATAAGCGTCTACCAGTCCCACGACGTTTCGGTAGAACTACAAGTCAATGGGCGGAGGAAAACGTGCATTGATGAAATTTCCCTTTTCGTCCTTGTTCACATTGGGATTGTTGTTTTTAATGATTCGAGAGAGAATCAGGTGGATCGAGTCATCGTTCGCGACATATTCGTTCAGCAATTCGCACAACTCTCCGATGCTACACGATCAAACCAATTATTATTCAAAGAACAAACCTGCGAGGAATGGGAATAATAAACGGAATCTCGCTCTTCGCGTTCTTTATCATTTCAGCTCGCTCCTGCTTTTCCTTCTGAATCGCTTTCTATTCATCACGCTCAACTCCCTCTTCTCACAATCGTCTCCTTTCTCGATTCCTTCTTTGGAGCCGGTTCCGCTTCATCGCCAAACAGAAGCGCATAATCCTCATCATAGTCCTTCGCTGTGGCCTCCAGCGTGCTTCCTGCTGCTGCATCCTGGTCAATCGCATCCAAAACCTCGTCTTCGTACGACTTTCGTTTCTACAATGAACCCAACAAACCGTCCATACAATCACCGATTCTTCCTGGATATCACCAGTGTCTCGTCCTTTCGAGGGAGCAATGCCGTGCATTCGCTCTTCTCTCTCCTTCTCCAGTTTCTCCAGTTTCTCCTTTTCCTCCTTATCAACTGCATCTCACTCGACCCTCTCAATCCTCACTCTCTTCTTGCGTCTTCTGTCTATCAGAAGCCTTTCCCTTCGCAGCGTTCACCATCTCCGCGGTCAATCGGTCGTATTCCTGATCCTTCTCCGACTGAACGATCTCCGGCTTCTTTGTTTTATCCGTCGTGTTGAAGGATAGCAAACTGTGCAAATCGTCCATCATCGCATCCACGTTTTCGATTTCCGCCTCCAACGCCTCCGCCTCAATTCGACGTTGCTCGCGATAGAGCTTGCTCTTCTCGATAATCTGCGTTTAACAAACGGATTCACGCGTACCTCCATCATGATTTCTTTGTGGGTTCGAGGACGATCCGGATTCTCGGAATCCTTCTTGAAGCTCGTTTTCATGAAGACATCGGAATTCATGGCTCCTTCCTCGTCGTCTTCGTCATTGTCAATCTCTTCGTGAAGCTTCTTAAAGTCGTCTTCAACTAGAGGTAAGATGAGGAATGACTCGCACTTTCCAGCGATTTTCCCTTATGGGTAAGGAGCTCTTCCTCTTCGTCTCCTAAGGCAAACTTCTCGCGCTTTAGCTGCTTCTTGCGCTGGATTTCCATCTTCTTAAACATCTTCTGCTCCTCCGTCATTGTTTGCAAATTTTCTGCTGAACCGAAACGACTAGAAGTCATATCACTCCAATTCTAAAACCGGTCCTTAAAGATGTTTTTCTTTGTTTGTTTCTCATAATCCTCGCCAATAGCGTGCTGCCTCTGTGTCAGTGACTATCGTGGAGGGTAATTATTAAAAGTACTTTGGCATTTGAAACAATGAGGTTCCGATTATTACCCTTTACATTTCTTCCAATAACACTAGAGAATAACAACCGAATGAGGTACTTTACGTTGTATGAGGGCTTTTGTTTTTTCGCATTTCGTATGGATTTGACTCAATGCTAAAAGTGACCAAGAAAATAATCCACCAACCGTTTCTGGATATCAGAAGCAGACGATTTCATTCCAGTGCGCATCTAGCAGTTGATGTCGACTATAAACAGCCTACCTTTTTCGCAATCACCTTTTTCTTTCCATTTCCAACCATTTTTGTGAAAAAAAGTAGACTGGAGTGATAAATGGCTGAAAAGAGGTAGGAAAAGGTGTATAAAAACCCGATCAGACAAAAATGGATAATTGGGATTGGTTTTGGTTTAGGAAATCATTCGAGTTGTGTTGAAGTTTTGTATATGAATGTTTCTAGAGAATAATGATGTGATTTGGTTGACTGTAGAGTAACAGTATGGTATATGATACTGACTATTGCGTTTTCAGTGATGGTAACCAATTTCAAAAGTAGTTTGTTGTGAATGAGAGTGTTTTGGATAAACCGGGATGTTCGTTAAATAGCGATCCAAATGATATATATGCATACAATACTATTAAATGCTTATGCTAGATTGTTCTCGTCGGTTTTTTATTTGAACAATGATGGTTTTGGAATTACTGCTATTTTTGTCTGTATAACTGTTTTGAAAGTATATGAAAGGAATTGAAACTACGGTTTAACTGCTTTCCTCAAAGATATAGACATTCTAGCAAGAATCGTTGGATTTGGGTTTTGCAAAATATATTTAGTTCTGAATCTGTGGCTCTGAAGCAACGCCGTGATGAGAAGCTGAAGGCTGCCGCTGAGAAGTATGCTGCTAACCTTGAGAAGGCCGAGCAGGTCAAGAGAGAGGCGATGGTGAAGTGCACTGAGCAGTACTACAAGGAGTACGCCCAGGTGAAGGCTGATCTGATTGCCCAGAGAAGAGATGCCCACAACAACGGTCATCTGTTCTGTGAGGGAGAAGGCCGTCTGGCGATCGTTGTGCGTATTCGTGGTATCAACCAGTGCTCTCCGAAGGTGAAGAAGACCCTGCGTCTGCTTCGTCTGCGCCAGATCCACAACGCCGTGTTCGTGCGTCTGAACAAGGCTACGATGGAGATGCTGCGTCTGGTGGAGCCCTACATCGCCTACGGTTACCCCAACCTGAAGCTGGTGCGTTCTCTGATCTACAAGCGTGGCTATGCTAAGCTGAACAAGCAGCGCGTTCCTCTGATGCTGAACGAGCAGATTGAGCAGGTGCTCGGCAAGTTCGGCATTGTGTCTGTGGAGGATCTGATCCACGAGATCTACACTGTGGGACCCCACTTCAAGGAGGCGAACAACTTCCTGTGGCCCTTCAAGCTGAACAGCCCCAACGGCGGATTCTCGAAGAAGCTGCGTCACTTCAACGAGGGAGGTGACTACGGTAACCACGAGGTGCTGATTGGCAAGCTGGTGAACAGAATGATCTAAGAGAGAGAGTTATGGTAAGAACGATATGAGTGAGTTGTTTGTTTGAAATGCCACTGTGTTGTTTGTTTGAAATGCCACTGTGTTGTTTGGGTTTCTTTGGAATCCAATAGGTAAGTAATCGAGTTTAAATATAATAGAAGATAATAAAATAGGATACAAATAGATTTATTCGTATGTAATGAAAAAAAGGAAAAGAGAAGCGCCCACCGGGGGGCTCGAACCCCCGACCACCAGGTTAAGAGCCTGGCGCTCTACCGACTGAGCTAGACGGGCTTGTTTATCCCCGAAAAACGTTGCTTATACAACAAACATGTCACATAGCTTAAGGCTGAATAATGCGCATATTTTGAGCAGTATTGTTATGAGAAGGTTGCAATTTAGGAGATGGCTTGTTCATGGCGTGATTCGCAATCTCGCGACGTTCTCGCCTTTCATCAGCATCAACGACATTCTGGTTCATAATAATAGCATCTGCTGCATTTTGATTACCCATGAGAAGGGACTTTGATCTAAAACTAAGGATCCAACCAGAATAACATACTCAGGCGCGCCTTTCTTTTGTAAGTCAACATGATTTCCTGGTTTTGTTCGAGCTCCACCAACCATCGTAGCCGGCTCAGCTCCTGCGTTCTTCGCAGATTCTATTGGATCCATCTACAATAAAGGACCAGAAAGCAAGATTTACTAGTTTGAAGAAAAATATGAAGAAAGATCTGAAGGCAGTTTCATAGAAAAGATTCTAGAAAAAGAAACCGGATTCGTTAGAACAGATCCATTCCAATATATTAGATTAGATGGGCGTGCTCCGAATTGAGTGTATGAGAAAGTACTTTTTGATAGAATGATATGGATATTTTTGAGAAGTGATGAGATTAGGTGAATGGAATAGCCTGTTGGCTTGCTAAATGATGTTAAAATAAATAGATAGGACAGTGATAGTAATTGTTTAGAACGAAAGAGAGGAGATTGTTGAAAGCCTCAACCTCTTCGCTTTATTGTCACTAATTTGTTTAACTACTAACGGAAATATATGGATTGATAAGTACATTGTTCGTCAAATGCCAGATAGATAAATTCCAGTATGAATGCAATATTGCAAGAACAAATGAAAGAAAGAACGGTAATAGTGTATGTTCCCAATAAGTCATCTATTCAAAGGGTAAATAGACTCGATTAGTAAATGCAGTTGTTTTGAATATCTTTATAGTTAATCTATTAACATTCTATATGTCTGCTGCTAATAGAATAAAATATTATAGAAAAACCAAAAAATAGTCATACTTTACTAAAACAGAACAGAAGATTATCGGAGTGACAAGAAAGCAAACTTTTTAATAAATATACTGTAGAGTTAAGAGTAGGAAGTACTTAGATATCTCATTCGAGTTCTACAATTGAGCAAACACACAAGTATGTAAAGAAGAGCAATCTTCACAACGAAAGGGTGTGAGCACTATGCATCCAATAAAAAACAGAAAATAGATAACTACTGCATACAGAACTCAGCACGATTCACAATTCACCAAAGGGTTTTTCATTTTAATGGGTAATCGAACCTACAGGTGAAGTAGTGAATTCAATAATCGATCATATGGAAATTATCAGAAATAATAAAAAAGGAAAGGAAATAGTAAAGAACTAATGAGGCAGTCAAAAGATAAGTGATGGTAATATACTATCCAACATGCATTACAATAGGAATATTATAATTAAAACAAAATAGAATAATGGAGGGCAAATAGATGAGGAATGTAAAGTAGTTAAAATGCATATATGATTATTATAAATTAAAAACGTTACTTAGCTAATAACACTATTATTGATTTGAATTCAATCATAAATGGAGATATTGAGGTCATTGAGTCAGGTTCACATCAATATAATAGCAAAACTTGTAAAAACAACAGTATAGATACTTGGTGGGAATGCAATGTTGCTGAGCAATTTCCCGTTAAGATTGCCAAGGGGGCACATGGATCAGTTGATGTTGAAGTAGGTAAGCCTCATACAGGTTGCACCATAAGAACTACAATAATAAACTCAAAAATGAATGGCAAATCAAGTATTTATTCATACAGAAATGTGTTGATGGCAAATTTGACTTTTGTGGATGGAGTAGCTTCAGGACCTTGTACAATATATGATGATGGATATTTATTCTTTTCTGGTTATTTGAAGAATGATTATCGAGAGGGCAGAGGAAAAGAGTATGATAGAAATGGAAATCTGATATCTGATGGATTTTATTCAAAAGGCAAGAAACTCAATATAAAACCATCAAAAGAAATGGGAAAAGGATATTGGGAAGAATATGATGAAAATGATAAATTGATTCGAATTTGTCAAAAAGATGATTTCGGAAACTACTTAGGATTTTGTTATTATTTTGAAAATGATTATTTGAATCGATTAACTCACTTTGAAAATGGTTCTAATACAACATATAGTGGATTATTCAAGTTATATGATGAGCCTCATAAGAAATGGTTTGAAGGTTATTTTGAAAATGGATATCGAGAAGGCAGAGGTAAAGAGTATGATAGAAATGGAAATTTAATATCTGATGGATTTTATTCAAAAGGCAAGAAACTCAATATAAAACCATCAAAAGAAATGGGAAAAGGATATTGGGAAGAATATGATGAAAATGATAAATTGATTCGAATTTGTCAAATAGATAATAATGGCATTTATAATGGTATATGCTATTTATACAAAGATGAAAAAATAAGACGAATAAGCATCTGGAAGGATGGCAAAGAAGTGACATTGCTAAAACAATTTAGCGACGATATTATGACCGAATATAAGAATGGTCACGTAGTGTATGAGGGAGGATTTCTTGATTCTGTAATATACAGTTATCCTAGAAATGGAGTCGGAGAAGAATTGGATGAAGACGGGAAAACAAGAATCTTCAAAGGAAATTACAAAAATGGTAAACGTCATGGAAGAGGCTCTATATATAAAAATGGAATGGTATGTAATGAAACAGACTGGGTGATGGATTACAGAATCAATGAATTATGGGCTATTCAGTCAGTTATTATACTATCTATGTTATTGTTCATAAGTCTTAGCTTCTTAGTTCCTTGGAACATTTGTTCTTATTTGTTAGCTGTTGTACTGTTGGTTTTATCGATTCTTTGGATATGTCAAGAGAAGTTCAAAAATCAAGTGAGTCCTGTTTTAGATTTTGAGAATGCAGTTGAGTTATTTATCGAGAAATTCATGGTTGCAAACAACAAAGATATAAATAGGAACTTTAATGCAAAAGAATTAGGTAGAAACGTCATCCATAATTTGTTTTCATTCTTATTTTTCGTTTGGATTATTGCTGGTATTATTATTATAGCGAAAAGAATGCACTATCTGCTTTATGAAGGACCACATGGTATTTTTTATGAACAAGAGTCTTATATTGTTGGGTCAAGATATGGAGACATTTTACTGCGTTTTACTATCACTAATTATCCCAATCTAAAGTTAATCAATATTGGGGATGAATGCTTTACAGAAGCAAAAGAGTTTATCATATATAATTTACAGAATTTGCAGAGTTTGAAAATCGGATCAAATTCGTTTACTATGTTCAAAAATGGATTTGGTAATGATGTATCGAAATCATTTCATATAATAAATTGTGAATCATTAAAATCTATTGAGATTGGAGAATATAGTTTCAGTGATTATGGTGGACAATTTGAATTGAAGAATCTGTCACAATTACAGTCTATTCAAATCGGCCATATAAATTCGAATTCATATAATTTCTATTCATCATCATTCATAATTCAAAGTAATCTTATGATATCGAACTCATTAACGCTAAAGATATGCCAAATATTAAGTCTATAGTATTAGGAGATCATTCATTTCAGTTATCTTTGTATACGATATTTAAAAGTATATGTTTTGATTGATGATAATATTCTTTAGATGTACCCAAATTGATGTCAATCCAATTAGGACATTATTCGCTGTTGGGTCAATGGGGAAATGATGATTGTCTTTTAATATTGAGTCGTATATTATTTATGTAATGATTTTTTTATATTATTATAGATCTTCCAAAATTAAAATCGATTTCATCACTAGGATATTCACTATGGTCACCTCGTAGAGTTATAATGAAAGGTATATTATGTTAATTAAAGAGTAGTATTATTGTATAGATATTCCAAATTGTCAAACAGTTAAACTGGATAAAGCATTGAAGTATGTTGCTTTTTCTTCGATTACTTCTTCAAGTATAAGGCACGTTGTAATTATGATACATATAGATATTCATTCCAATTTACGATCTATTATTGAAAATCGATCAATTCCTTCAGGATTTTCCACTTGTTCATATTTATCAGAATTATCAATGTCATATTCAAAATCATTATACATCCCTTACTACGAATGTAATTCCGAATCATTGACAATATTTGATATGAGTGCATTCAAGAATATAAAACATATTTCTATAGCTGGCTATAACTTTCAATATACGAAAAGATTTTTACTCCATGACTTGTATAAACTACAACATATAACAATTGGATTTAGTTCGTTTACCCAGGCAATGAATGGTTTTGGCAAGGATGAATCGAAATCATTCCACATATTGAATTGTGAATCATTGGAATCGATTGAAATTGGTCAATTTAGTTTCAGTGATTTTGCTGGAGACTTTGAATTGAAGAATCTACCACAATTACAATCCATTCAAATTGGCATAACTTGGAGTGATTCATACAATTTTTATTATTCTTCATTTGTGATTCAAGGTATTGATATGACTTGATTTATATAATGATAAGACCTTCCAAATCTACAATCCATAACATTAGGTGATTGGGCATTCCATGATTCCTTATCAACAATAATGAAAAGTATTGAATGAATTTGAATGAAATGATTGATGTAGATCTTCCATCATTACAATCCATTCACCTAGGTCATTATGCACTTTATGGAAATAATAATGATTCATGTTCATTGAGAATGCAAGGTAATAATAAAAAGATTCGAAATGATTGAATGTAGATCTTCCAAAACTAGTATCCATTGATTCTGAAGGATATAGTTTCTATTATCCTCGTGTAGTGACATTGGAAAGTATATCTCAATATTGAATATTGATGGTATTTAGATATTCCAAATCTTCAAAATGTCAAGTTACCTCGTCACCTATTTAGTGGTTCATTCGATTATGTTCAGAAAAAAACAATTTCAAGTATAGTTTATGTAATAATATGTCTTACATAGATGTTCATTGGAAACTCGCTAATCTTATTAAAGTCAAGTAATTATTACAGCATAAATATACACACTTCACATATTGCCATTCCATTCCATTTTGTAATTGTTATGTTTTCTATCCTTTCTTTGTTCGAAACTCCTTCTCATCTTTCTTTAGTTATTGCACTAGGATCCAGTTATCGATTGACGCTTTCCGATCATTTTCATCACAACTCACAAAGGGGTGATCAGCATGTCTCTAACATTCCATACATCTTTGTTAAAGAAAAAATAGATTATCTGATATGATTGAGATTGGTTTGATTTTCGAATAAGAATGTGTTTTGCCTGACAAATCATATTCTATATAATGATCAATTGAAATTGGACTATCAAGATTTTCAAATGGATAATACTGGATTATTTCAAGTAATACCCATGATGACTAGCTAACTAGAAATGGAAGTAAATGTGAATGACATGTACTGTTTTGATATCACTCAGATGTATCGAATGAGACTATTACTATAAATAAAACAAATACAATCGAACTTTCTAAATCTTGAAAGTTAAAACCATTTGTTCAATTGTATTGCGTTGAATAAAACAATTGTATGATATATTTATTTCTAAAAACGATTGAATCGGATCGTGAAACAAAAATCATAAATGAACTGAGTAGAAAAAGTAAAATTGATTAAACAAATGCAGGCGATCATCGATACTAATTACACTCATTTTTTCTACTATCAAATCAACTCAATCATTTACATGCCAACCCATTATTTTTCTATTTTTTATGAGAATGAAGTGTATGATGTTTGTTGCTTCGTCTCGTATCAATTACTATACCACGCAAAGACATCAGTATTCTTTTTCGTTTTTCAATCTGCATTGCTCTTTCTTGTGACAAATACTATATGAAGCAATCATGTCACAATAGACGACAAAATAGAAAGTTCATCTTCCTTATTGTAATACATTTCTATTTCAAAATAATACATGTCTTGTGTCAACAGTTTTCATGTCATATACCTGCCTTTTCCTTCCATTTCTGATTCGTACATTCAAAATAGTACACTAAAGTCAATTTCAATATACCGATAACTAGAAACCTAGATATCCACTATTTTCTATTTTCATCCTAAGCTTAACATCCGTTTCGCGTTATTTACTTTCAATGTTCGACAGTAACTCGATATATCAATACTCATTCTTCGATTAATATCCTATATTATGCATATTCCAACCCTCGTTTCATTTTTCGATTTCCCTCAAAACCCATCTCATTGTATTCCTCATTTCAAGCCCCTGATAACTTTTCTCATTTATTAATTTCAATTTCTCGCCGTTAGTCATTTCTCTTTGATTGATTCAAAAAACTGCCAGAATTCTGGAAACGAACCTTCTGGAATAAATTTTCGAAAATCAAAAAATGTCTGAATCAGAAGTATTTCTTGTTGTACTCTATTCAGTGGTAGATTCTTCGTGAAGAACAGCTTACCTCGGATGGAGGTGTTGTAAAATTGGTGACAAAGGAAGGAGTTGGAGAGTGTCCCAAAAAGGGATACAAACTTAAGAGTGAGAATTCGTCTTGTTCTTTAACATCTAGCTCACTATACTGGAAGATTGCTCAGTGGAGAGAAATTCGATAGTTCACGAGATCGGAACGAGCCATTTGAATTTGAACTTGGAAGAGGTCAAGTGATAAAGGGCTGGGATATTGGTTTTGCTTCCATGAAGCCTGGAGAAAGCCATCTTAAGAATCAAGCCAGAGTATGGATACGGCTCTACGGGAGCAGGATCGAGCATTCCTCCAAACTCGACTCTGGAATTTGATGTGGAACTTCTCAGCTACGAAGAAAATATCAATATCAATGATATGACTTATCAGCAACGTATCGATGAGGTAATTTTCTAGTATTCTACTTTATTATTCTTTAGGCAACGAAGTTAAAAGATCTGGGAAACGAAGCTTTTAAGAACAAAGATTACGTGGTTGCCTGCTCATATTATGACAAAGGTATTCCCTACCTTCATTTTGCCTTTCCGTTCTTAAAGGAAAAACACATTGTTGAAGGGGAAGAAGGCCATGAGGAAGAAATGGAGAAAGGCGCTGAGCTGTCTCACGCCTTGCGAACCAACAAAGCGCTGTGCTATCTGAAAATGAACGATTTCCATGCCGCGATTACGGAGGTTGGTTCGTTGTTTTTGTTCGATGTGTAGTGCACGACCGTCTTGGAGAAGCAGCCAGAGAACGTGAAAGCTTTGTATCGACGCGGTGTGGCACACGGCAAGTACGGAATGCTCGCTGAGGCAGTGCAAGATTTGGAAGCCTGTCTGAAGGTGGATCCTGAGAATAAATCGGCGAGCACGGAGCTGGAGAGAGTGAAGCGCCAATTGCACGCAGAGGACCAGAAGAAGAAGAAGTCGCTGCGCAGTTTCTTCCAAAACGGGTTTGGAGACAATTAAAGTGTTTGTTGGAGAAAACAAGCGATTGACTTGGCTTTACAAGACGATCGAAGCTCTCTTCGAGAGATCCCTGAGCCGCAACGAGCAGACAATAATGCGATTGGATGAGATACCATTCTTCAAACTCATCAAACAGCTCCAGTCGAGACACACTACACTTCATTTCGCACAGCAGAACGCACCGCTTGATCTCGCTCGGGTCAAGGAGATACGTGTAGAGATGCTGCATGTCTTGGCAGAACACTTTCTTGTACCCAAGCGAAAGATAGCGCTGTTTCTGGTCTTCGATTTCCGGGTAGCGCGTTAAGCTCAGCAAATCGCAGCCACGTTCCTACGGTGTGTGATTGTGCGAGACTCTACATGCAAATTCTGAATCATCATCGCTCCGAAGGGATCGTTTGGACGGATCTGCTCGTAGACCACCATCACGCTATTGGGAAATGCTTTTTGGAGACATTGGAGAGACGGGTTCACAAGATCGGGATTGATATAGATGAGAACACACTCTGATAAGAATAATGTTGGAGTATTGCGAGAGAGGGGAGAATCGCGCAAGTAGGCTTCCAGCGAGGCGCAGTCGGTTAGGTCCATTGGCTTTAGAACATAGCGAGAGGTCGTGATTTCTGGAGAAGTAGAAGCGGCATCAAAAGAGGAGTCTTCACCAAAAACCACGGATGCCAGTTGAGACTGGGTTCGAATGAGCATTGCTTTGGTTTTACAAGTTTCTAAAAGATCGAATTCAACAAAAAGGTCCGGCAAGATGTTCATGTCCTATTCTATCACTCCTTCCAATTTCTATTACATGCAGACGGAAAAAGAGAGTATCGTACCCACCTCCTAAGTTAACTATTTGACAATGACCTTGAGACTCTTCAATAAAACGTTTGACAATGATTTCGATTGCAGCAACTCTCGAGTAATATCCTGATTCTAATTTTTATAAAAACAAACGAACCTCTGTTGATAATGGGAGAACGCTTTCCCTTTCTGCGAACAAAATTATGGATATAGTTGTCTGTGTAATATCCATGATCAACACAGGACCTTCATTCAAATGAAACAGAAACAACTACATTTTGCTTACAGTAGCATCATTTGCAGTGAGACGCACTTGTTCGATTGAATTTGACATATTCCAACAAGGAAGTCAACCCTGTGTAAATGATTGTTACTCTCAACTCACTGTTTGAATAATGGATTGATAAACATGAGGAATTGAATGAATAGGATTATTCACTATTTCGGCAAACGATGGATATTCGCAGTTTTTTCGTACCATTAAGCTTTGGTTGAATCATTGAGTAGAAAAAGGGAAACGCGCAGAAACGATCGTCTGTCACAACGGATGATGCTACCGATTTGAAAAAAGGCGATGTATCTGAAACCCCAAAGTCTGCTGTTGCTGAATTAGAATCAAATAATGAATTACCTACTAAGAAATTGCGATTGAGCAAGATTGGAAAGAAGGGTACTTCCAACTCGGTACAAAGTGTGAAGAGAACAAAGAAGATTCTAGTTTCGAGTGATGACGACGTGGGTGAAAGGAAATCCACAGAAGAGGTAGGCGGATATGAGATTATTGATATTGAAGAAAAAGAAAAATAGTTTATCAGAAAAAGAAGTTGAAAACAAGAGTACATCCAAGGAAACGAGTGTATCGAATGGTCCGAAAGCGTGTTTGACAAATTCCGTATCGGAACTACCCTCTATAAAGGAAGAGCACTTGAATAAAGAGCAGCAACCTGCAAAGGAAGAGCATCTCAATGGAAAACAACAGCCAATCAAGAAGGAACAAATCATAGAAAAAACACATTCAACAAATGCAGAGAAACTACCCAATCCAGAGACCAATCGTCCTGTATCAAAGCCCTCTACTACTACTACTACTACTACTACGCGTCCCAAACGGGCACCCAAGGTTCATCTCGTCGATGAGTCGCTTCTAACCACAAAATACGCTCCTCGTTCTCTCGAAGACATCGTGGGCAATCAAAACAACATTCGAAACTTGTACAACTGGCTTTTACAATGGGATACAAACCATTCCAGCAGTAGTTCCTTTCACTCTTTCCTTCATCGGCGTAGCCTCCACGTCCGACACGAAACGATCAAGAGACAGCAGTCGAGCCGTGCTGATTTCCGGTCCTCCTGGCATTGGAAAAACGACTTGCGTTGAAGTGTGTTGCCGACAGGCTGGGTACGAACTCATCCAACTCAACGCAAGCGACAAACGAAACATGTCGTTCGTTCGCGACACTCTTAAAGACAGCACTTCGATTATGTTTTGTTTTTGAATTGGTTGCGAGTGTAGACCTCTCTCTTTTGAGAAAAAGCGAATTCGAAAAGCGATCTTGATGGATGAAGTCGATGGAATGAGTTCAGGAGATCGTGGAGGGATTCAAGAATTAGTAGGCTTTTTTGCCATTCCAGAAATAGATCCGAATTATCAAAATCACGCAGATTCCCATAATTTGTATTTGCAATGACGATGCGAGCGCGAAAGTCCGTTCTCTGAGTTCCTATTGCTACTCGCTTCGCTTTGAAAAGCCTCTCCCAATGCAGATGCTTCCTCGCGTTCGCTTCATTTGCCACAACGAGCGAATTCAAATCAGCGATGATTCCATTCTTTCGCTCGTCACTTCGATCGGTGGAGACTTCCGACAAATCCTCAATCACCTCCAACTCGTCTCGTTGTCTCGCTCTCCGATCCATTCCGCCGCTTCCTCGCTCTCTTTAAAGGACAAATCGATCGGTTTGGTGGCTTCTGAAGCTTCAAAACTGATGCTTTCGAACTCGAGAATGTCGATTCAGGATCGATACGATTTGTTTTTCATCGATTACGAAATGGTTCCGTTGTTGATTCAACAGAACTATGTGTCCAGCGCATTGTCCAATCAATCGCAAGGGAACAAACTCCAGCAGTTAGCAGACGCTGCAGATTCGGTCTGCGATATGGAAATGATGCGAGACACGATGCTGAAAACAAATGCAAGGAAATTGGCTGGTTGTTTGATCTCTAGAATTGGTCGTTGCTTCCTTCCTTCGCAATGCTGACCGTTCGAACCTGCTCGAAATCGATGGGCTATTGCAACTACATGGCATTTCCGGAAGTCCTGGGAAAGACTTCAACTATTCGAAAGAATCAGCGACTCCTTTCCGAGCTGAATTGCCGGCTGTCGCTGAGCGCTTCGCTGGGGAGAACGGCGCTTTCGATGGATCTTCTGTTTGTTTTGTACCGCTCGTTGCTGAATTTGCTGAAGAAAAACGATGTGGAGATGCTTTTAAGTCGGTGTGATTTTGCAGATCGCCGGATGCATTCAGATGCTGGACGAGTACGGAATTACGCGCGATGATTTCGTGGTGGTGATGAGCGGAATTGTGGAGCAGCAGAAAGGCGAGTGGAGCAGTCTCTCGAAGGAGAAAAGCGCGTTGACTCGGATGTACAATAAAACGGTGCATCGAAGTGCCAATCAATACGCGGACGACGATTCGCTTTTCCACCGAGTCGTGAAGGGGAAGCGAGGCAAAGGATCTCAGTCGCAATCCCAATCGAGATCCCAGTCACAATCCTCATCCAGATCCCAGTCACAATCTCTATCAAGATCCCAATCGCAATCTCTATCCAGATCCCAGTCGCAATCTCTCTCTCTCTCGCAATCCCAGTTGTTTACACAAAGCGATCTCAATGCGGTGGACGATTTTTCGGACGAAGAGGACTTCGAGCTTCCTTTCTCTCCTGTTTGTTCTCCTCACGTTTCCAACAAACACTCCAAGTTGACACACCCCTACAGAAATCATAGTCAAAGTAGCCTCCATCCGAGATCGACAATCGCGGCACCACATTCATCGACTGCAGTTCCTGGAACAGCAATTTACACGCATACGGAATGCGAATCTTCGACACATGCTCGCCCGACTTGCAATATTCGCACCACTCTTCCTGGCACAGCAACCCGCACTTCCCGCAAATGCTCGCCAAGAACGGATCGCTCGACAGCAGCAATCGCTCGATCAGCAGCATCGACGTTCCATGCGCCACCAGACAATCGCGCTCCATTTCTCCCACACGCAGACCGCCGTCACGCGATCGTCCCTGCGTCGGCTGGTGCGTCAGCGCCATCCGCGGCCCCTTCGCGCGTGCAAACACTTTATCCTTCACCATGTGCTTCAATCGCTGATAATACACCGGACCTGTGAAGATATACGCGCGCAGCGGCTCGCCGGTAATGCCTATCCCTCACTCAATCTTCTTCCTCCCCTACCGCTATAGAACAAATCCTTCCCGCTGTAATTGAAGCCATGACGAATCAGTTCCTCCGCGCAATCCTCGATGTCCGTGCCTCCAAAAATCGTTCCGAATTTCCGCTCGCCGTCCCACAATCCCGCCTTTCCTGCGAGCAACTCCATCATCTTCCCGACCGTCATTCGCGACGGGAATCCGTGCGGATTCATGATCATGTCCGGGTAGATTCCCGCGGTAGAGAAGGGGAGATTCTCCTGCCCAGTGATCAGACCGACGACTCCTTTCTGTCCATGGCGCGAGGAGAACTTATCGCCTAATTCAGGGCGTCGCATATCGCGCACCATCGTCTTAATCACGAAGTACTCGTTGTCTGTCGTGGTGATCAGTACTTTGTCCACATAGCCGCCGCTTTCTTTGTACTTCACGGGCGCTGCGCGGAGCTGATCGCGGTCCGCTCCGAAGCTTCCCGTGTCCATCGGCACGTGCTTGTTCACCATGATGTCGCCTGGGTGGATCGGAACGCCGCTCTCCACGATTCCGTCGCTGCCTAGCGCTTTGTACGGCTCGAAGAGCCGGTTCCACGTGTGGTCGTCGATGTTTTTCTGATCCTCTCTGCGCGGCGGACCTTTGATGAGATCGCTGCTTCCGTTGGGGTATTTCTTGAGCGAGAAGACCTGCTTCTTGCTGATCACCACGCGGCCATAGCCGCGATCGATCGACGCGCGATTGAGCACGACCGCGTCCTCGATATCGTATCCGGAATAGCTCATCACGGCGACCATGGCGTTCTGCCCTGCAGGGAGCTGCGAGAAATGGAGAAGGTCCAGCACGCGCGAGCGAACCATCGGCATCATGGGGTACACCATCACGTTCAGAGGCGACACGTCGACGCGTTGCTGCTGGTTGCACGCGACGGTGCCGATCGCCTGCTTGCCCATAGCGCACTGATACGTGTTTCGAGGCGATTGGTTGTGATCGGGGTACGGAATCAGCGAGGCCACGATCCCGAGAATCGACACGGGATCGATCTCCATGTGTGTGTGCGCTGGCGTGATGTCTTTGTCCGTCACCGCGATCAAACACGAGTTCTCCTCGTTCACGTCGATGTATTCGATCACGCCCGCGCGCACCAGCTCCTGGATCGTGATCGTGCCGCGTCGAATCCCGTCTGTGTGCGCTTTGGTCAGGAACGGGCGTCCCGTTTCCCGGTTGAGAACCAGCAGCGGCCTGCAAATGCGGCCTCCATCGCACGACAAGTGCACACAGCGGCGAATTCGGTCGTAATACACGCTCACGAACGCGCCGAGCAATCCGCGGCGACGCAGCTGCCGCACGCCCCGCACCAGCGCCTGCGGCTGCGAATGCACGCCGAGCAGCCCTCCGTTGAGGAAGACGAGACTCGCAGGACGCGCGTAGAGCTCCTCCGCGCCGAAGAGCCCGACGTCGAGAACGCCGAGATCGTAGGCGACCTGGCGCAGCGCTTTTTCGTCCTGGTCGATGGTGATGTAGGCGAGAATGGTGAGACTTTTGACCAGACCGCACTGCTCGCCTTCCGGCGTGTCGCTGGGACACACCATGCCGAACTGCGAGGGCTGCAGTGCGCGCGGCCCGCTGATCTTCTGCGCCTTTTCGACGTGCGATCGGATTCGCGTCATGTGTCCGATGGCTGCGATGTACGACAAGCGCGTGACCGGCTAGACCGTCAGAGAGAAAGAGGGGAAGAAAACCTCGGCGACGCCTTTGCGATCGATGTGGAATCGCTTGAGAACCCAGTTTCCGGATTTGATGGCGTTGACGCAGCCGTTGGTGATGATGTCGTGGAACTGCTGCATGACGGGGACCACATCGAACGCGTTCACACGCGTCGTCTATGCGTTCATTCGCGCTCTCTGCTATACTTTCTGGAGCGATTTGTTCACGAACTCCTTCACTTTCGCGTTGTACATCTTAAACAGATCCTCGAAGAGCAGCGACATCAAATCGCCCGCCGTCTCGATTCGCTTGTTTCCGTAGTAATCCTTGTCGCTCAGCAGCGAATGATCGAAAATGCACTGAAGACATTCGCGCGTCATATACGCCAAATACACGCATTTCGGCCAGAAATCATAGCGAACCACCGGCACGTGGCACAGAATCGTCGTGTTGAAGACTTCGCGGCCTTCCTCTTCCGCGGATCGCTTCCGGCTCCATCGGCCTTTTCGCATGCTCACGAGAGATCCCACCCATTTCAAAGCTTGCTGCTGGGTGAAGATGCCGAGCTCGTGGGCTTCTTCGATGCTCTGGTTGAAGTACGTGCGGTATTTCGGCTCGTTTCCGATCTGGATGTTAGCAAGCGAGTAATATAAAAGAGAGTACCAATGCCATGATCTCTTGATCGCTTTCGATGCCCATGCAGCGGAATGCGATGCAGATAGGAATGTCCTTTGTGAATACATTGTGCTTGAGATACAGCTTCCCCTTTTTCTCCAACACGTAGCATCGACTCTTTCTTTCGGCTGTGGAGCTGGTTACGTTCACCTACCCTTCAATGCTGCAAGAAAAACACGTACAACGATCGTTCCATCGTCGTTGATATCGCAGAGAACTCGGTTTTTGCTCATTTGCTCGCCAGAAAGAAGCACCTTCTCATTGCCCTTTACGATGAAGTAACCGCCAGGATCGTAGAGACACTCCTGCATTGCTGCGAGCTCGGCGGGGCTTTTGTTGCGGAGAACACACTTGCACGAATGGAGCATAATGGGGATCTGACCGATCCTCACCTTCTTGCGAATAATCTTATCTCCCAGAGTATAGATGATGTCCGCGAAAATGGGAGCTGAGTAGGTAAGACTACGCTTACGACACTCCATTGGGGTGATCTACCGATCAGCAAGGCTCTTCTACATGGACTTTGTTATTTATGATGCTGGAATCTTCGAGAACCATAGGCTCGCCTACTTCTATCTTCTCATAGCGAACAAAGAATTTGTGGTTCACATCGCTGCGGATTTCCTTGTTCGCCTCCATGATCTTTCGAATGCCGGAATTCAAAAAGTAATTGAACGAGTCAATCTGTTGTTTCACAAGACCTCGGTTCTAGTAGGTTAATTGCGCTCTCGATTCTCTACTCTCATGAACTCAGGAATTAGTTGCCATTTATCTTCCTTATCGGGAAAATCAGGGGGCGACTTGTATTCTATCGCTAATCTCTGTACCGACAGTCTATACCCTCATTGACCCTTGGAAAACAGGTATGGAAACTCATTTTCTAAGGCGCCCACAAAAGTCCAAAAACCTTCCAAAGAATGGAATTCCAGAAAAAGTCTAAAACAAACAAACAAACTCCATCATCCATTCACCCAATCACACACCGACCCCCTTTTCACTAACTCTGCACCGCCAACTTCATCAGATGCTCCATGAACACCTTCAGAGACACGTCATCGGTCAACACCGGAGCACATGTCGTATCGAACGAATTCTGCGTCACTACACATCACGCGCCGCCTCTTTTCCCACCCGACGGATTCACCTTGGCCATCAAGAACCGCGCCTGACTCTTTCCTTCGTCGCAGAGAATGAATCGCGGCACGGGGAACCGGTCTACGGTCAATCTTCGCCGAAACGCCCACCCTCCATGATGTTCTGCGCGTCCTCCTGCGGCATTTCCAGCAGCTGCTTGAAGTTCGCGTGCTCGGGCTGGTTCTGGTAGCCGGCGTCGCGCCAGGCGACGATGGTGGCTCCGTGGAAGACGACGAGCGTGAAGAAGGTGTCGAGAAGGAGGAGAACGTCGGGACGCACGGAGGTGGCGTCGAGCAGCACGGCCTGCGGCGGCGCGTTGAAGGAGTAGGAGATGAGGGCGGGCTGGATCATGACCAGACAGTTGCTGGTGGGCTGGCGACAGAGCATCATGCGGTGCTGCGCGTGAGAGGGAAGGGAGAGAGAGAAGGTACGTAGCAGGACTCATCGGGAGAGTAGTTGATGTGCTGCATGAACTGGCTGCGACGAAGATGGAACATGAACTGCGGGAAGATCGCGAATTCGGGGGAGAGACGGAAGGAGTTGGGGTCGTCGGGGCGGTAGTCCGCGAATTTCGAGCAGAGCCGAATCAACGAGCGGTCGATCCAGCGCAGAACGTCCGACACGGGCTTCGTTTCACGCCTCTCCCCGCTCCTACCTCCTCCAGCAAGCGCTGCGTGGCCAGACGCGCGATGATTACTGCGGCGCACTCCTGGTCGAACGACGCGGCCACGGGCTGCATGTGCGCGAAGTCCATGTGCCAGCCTCCGCTGACGGTGGTCACGCGGCGGCGCAGCCGGCCATTGGGGTGCGTGTAGGTGGTCACCAGCTGCAGGCAGCGACGGCGATTCTGGATGGACGACTCCTCGCTGTTGCACACTTCGAAGTAGAACGCCAGCGTCGTAGTGGGGTCGATGCAACCCAGATACCACGAGTTCGTGCCGCTCTATCGTTCACTAACGCGCTAACCGCTATGGTACCTCGCCGATCTCCAGCTCGCCCACGCAGGGACCCGCCTTCTTCAGCGACATGCACGGACCGATGCACCCGCTCACCTTGAACTCCTTCGTCGTCTGCAGCTCGATCGTCGCGCCGAATCCCATCATCAGCGACCCCGCGTCTGCTCCTCATTCTCCCCACAAAACGCCCACCGCCCTCGCGGTACTCGTCCGGATACACCTGGAACACATGGCTGAGCGAGCTGCCGAACACGGACTGGCTGAAGAAGTCGCCGAGCAGGCACAGTCCGCCGGTGGTTTCGATGCAGGACCGCATTTCGAGGAGTCCGACCTGGTCGAGACAGCACGCGAACAGATCCACGGTCTGGTGGTTCTTGCGGCATCGCTCCGCGACGCGTTCGTAGAACTTCTGCGCCTCCTTGAGGTAGGGCGCCTTGTCGTGCTCGATATCCACGTTAGCGCGGATGGTTTCTTCCAGACTGGTCCCCACGATGCACCCGGGACCCGACGTGCACGGACCGCCCACGAAGAGCATCACGTGCGCCGGCGATTGCGGACACGCGATCTCCAGCAGCGACGACGCCACGGACAGAGCACAGCCAGTGCTGCGCTCCGCGCGGTGCTGCGCGCCCACGGGCCACTACGCGATGAGAAAGGAAGGGAAAGCGGACAGGGTCCTTCTCTAACTCGCTGAGAAGCGTGTCGATCACCGAAGAGCAGTCGCCGTAGGGCATGATGAACCGCGAGGCGGAGGTGGCGGCACCGATCTAGGATTGGGGAAACGGGGAAACTCGACTTGGGACTGAGCGACGGAGCCGCGAAGACCCAGCATATCCGCGACTTTCGAAGTGGGGTATTCCTTCGTGCCGTTGAACACGTAGGAGCGGGAGATCTCCGTCTGTGTCAGCTCGTGCACCTCAACGTGGGTGCCGAAGGAGATGACGCCGACCAGCGCGTTGTCGGGGAGATACGCAAGGTTCTGCTGCAATGCGTCCTTCAGACTGTTCAACTCCTTCGCGTCCACCGTGGTGTCGATTACGATCAGGAACACGGGGGGAATGCTCTGGCGGCCCTGTATCTCGTACTCCACTGTTGTGTACGAAGGCATGACTTCGTAGGGGAGAGAGGTCTCGTTTATTCCCTGGGCATACTCGGGAGGGAAGTGGTTTCGCTGTCCGCAGAACGGGCAGGTCCAAAGCTTCGCACGGAAGTCAATCTGGCTAAACGTGATTTCGCTTCGCTGCGATTACCAGTAAGGATTCAGATACGCACCGCAATTCGGCTGTCTGCAACGAACCGGCTGATAAGGAAGAGCGGGCGGCATTCCGTAAATCGTCTTCAGAGGAGAATATCTATGCATCAGCGCCGATTTCCGACGCAATACAAGCAAGCCATAGGAATAACACACTTTGTTGCCTCCATGCGTGTTCCAGGCCACGTATTGAACGTGAATCGGATTCCGTCGCGTTCATCGGCCTCTGCGATATTTGTTATGCTGTTGTTCATAGCTCAGAGCAGTTTTTGCTCAAATGAAAAACTCGTGATGAAACCGCGGGAAAACGACTCTTTTCAACAAACATTGGATTCACCCTTATTGCTTCTCCCCTTCGAATCAGTCCCATTCTCGCACATCATTCCATCCTTACTGCTGATTCTTCTCCAGCCAAGCATTATGGAGCTTTTCCTGCGCCTGGTAGAGCTTCATGATCTTCTTGAGTCCGCTCTTGGTGATCGGCTCTCCCTTCGCATCGTGCGTGGGAATTCCGCGCTCGTCGAACTGCGAATACAGCTCCGTCATGCCCAAGAACATCGTTTTGGGGTCGATCTTGGCCTTCTCCTCCTTCTCTTTTTCCTTCTTCATTCGCTCTTCCTCCTTTCGCTTCTTCTCCAATTCCTTCTCCTTCTGCAGCTGCAGCTTCTTCTCTCGCTCCGCGATCAGCGTCTCCTTCGCCTCCAGCTTCCAGATCGTCCCGTTCGCCGTGTCCTCCAACCGGATCCCCACGAACGGCAGAATATCATCGCGGATCTACGTGGAAGGTTCCCCGTTTCCCCACTTCGTCGCAGAGCTTCAGCAGAGCGGCCGGATCGGCCCGATTCTTCTTCACTACCGCTCATCACGCGCCCTCATCGCTACCTTCACTGCGGAATTTGGACAGGATTTCCACGACGGGGCTCAGCACGGCCTCGCGGTCCGCGGCCTCCTCCCCCGCGGCAAACCCGATCTTGGGCTCGGGCTCGATGAGTCCGAAGACGCGGAACATCTGGCTGACGAAGCCGGCGCAGGAGAGAACGAGCGGAGCGACGATGTGCTTGGCGGTCTCGAGATAGCGGTACACGGCGCGGACGAGGCCTTCCAACGCCTCCATCGCGCCGGCCGTGTCGAAGTCGTCGCACAGACAGGTCTAGAAATAAAAAAAGCGAGGAGGAGAGACGTGGACGGAGGTGCGGGCGGCGTCGAGCTGCGCGTTGAGCTGGACCTCGGCGTCGTCCCAGCGCTGCGGCTGGTCGGCGGTGAGCTGGCGCAGCGTGGCCTTGACGTTGTGGAAGAACTCGGCGAAGAGCTTCTCCTTGGCGCGAGCCTCCTCCATGGCGCCGTCGGAGTAGTTCATGGTGGTGTTCCACTTGTGCAGGAGGAAGTAGATGCGGATCTGGCTCGGCGTGAACTGCTGCAGCGTCTGGCGGATCGTGATGAAGTTCTTCAGCGACTTCGACATCTTCAGACCGTCGATGTTCAGGTGGCCCGTGTGCAGGAAGTAGTTCACCGACTGCCTACCCCTCAGTTCCACGGTTCGGCGCTACGAGCACTCCATGTACGCCTCGCTCTGCGCCATTTCGTTCGTGTGGTGCGGCAGACGCAGGTCCACGCCGCCCGAGTGCACGTCGATCCGCCCGTCGCTGATCGTCTTGAAAATGCTGAACGACATCGCGGAGCACTCGATGTGCCATCCCGGACGTCCGGCGCCCCACGGAGAATTCCACATCGGCTCGCCGGGCTTGCTCGCCTTCCACAGCGCGAAGTCGTTCGGGTGGCGCTTCTCCGACGCGAAGTCTTGCTCTTCTTCCGTGTTGACGTTGCCAACCATCTCCGGAACTAGAGAGAGAGAAAGGACAGCATGGGCAGTACTCAGCTTTCCGTACACGTGGTTCTTCTGGAAGGACGTCGTGTCGAAGTAGACACTCCCGTTCGCTTCGTAGGCGTAGCCGTTGTTGATGATACCCTGAATCATCTCGATGATTTCGTCCACGTACTGGGAGGGAGACAGAAATGGGAAAAATGTACTTCGGAGACGCGGGTGATCACGTTCGCAGTGCGGCAACCCAGCGTTTTCATGTCCTCCATAAACTCGTTCTCGTACTTTCGGGCGAGCTCGGTGAACGGAATTCCAGCTTCAGTCGATCTTTCGTGTCAATTGACACCGATTCCATATACCTCTTGATGATCTTGTCATCGATGTCCGTAATGTTCATCACAAACTGCACGTCGTAGTTAAAGTAATCGCGGAGAATACGCATGATAATGTCCTGACTCAGATAGGTTCTGCACTTCACAGAAACCACGTTTCTCTACCTAGCATGGCCCATGTGAGCGACATCATACACAGTAGGACCACAGCTGTACCACAATACTTTGCGAGGAATCATCGTGATGAAGGGAACCTATTTCTCACTCCTTTTACTCTGATTCACCTTTGTACGGGTCAAGCTATTCGTCACCATGATGGGAGTGCGATTCAACTCCTCTCCCTTCTCATTCTTAATGATTTCAGGTTGAATCCAGTTAGACAACATGGTCTTCTCTGTTTCCATTTTTCCGTTTCAATACGTCAAATACAGAATTCTTTTCTGGACAAGTGACAGTTAAAAAATCGCGGGAATTGAAAACTGCTCAGAAAAAGCGATGAATCCAATTCGTTACATTCAAAATGTATTGACAAATCGTCAGTACTTTTGGCACTTCTTTTGGATGATGCTTCTCGGAGAATGTGTCTTGGGGTGCTTGTTTATCCGATTTGTGCCGTGTATGTCTCTTTCGATCGGAGAATAATGAGATAGACACCGAAATCGATTGGAAAGCGTACATGGATGAAGTGGGGGGCGCGATCACGAAAACGCTGGATTACACACAACTGCGAGGCGAAACGGGTATCTATTTGATGTGGAATCGATTGTGAATTAGGTCCGCTCGTGTATCCTGCGGGTTTTGTGTATGTCTATTCGCTTCTCTATTATCTAACCGACGGAGGAGTCAACATTCGACTCGGTATCTAGTTTCGATGCATTGTGATCCTAGCTCAGTACATTTTCTTGGGTCTCTATCTTGCAACGGAGGCCGTCGTTATGATTCTCTATCACCGATCCAAGGTGGTGCCACAGTGGGCGATGCTGTTCCTGGCGCTCTCCAAACGTCTCAAGAGCATCTACTATCTGCGTCTGTTTAACGAATCCGTTCTGATGCTCCCCGTGTATCTCTCAATGTGCCATGCTCCCCTCCTTCTTGATTTCTCCATAGTCTGCTCTTTACCTATCAACAATGGTTCTGGGGCATGCTTCTCCTCTCCATTTCGCTCTCCATCAAAATGAACGTGCTTCTCTTCTTCCCCGCGGTTCTGCTTCTTCTCTTTGAAGTCGCTCCCCCTTTTCCCTCCCATTTAGTCCGTCGGTGTTACGCGCGCCATTCTGCTTCTGCTGCTCTGTGCCATCGTCCAGATCGTTGTGGGTGCTCCCTTCATCGTTACCAATCCCATGGGATACTTCTCTCGTGCTTTCGAATTCGTGGCTCCGCCTCAGCCTTCTCAGCTGTAGAGCCGCACGTTTACCTACAAGTGGACTGTAAACTTCAAATTTCTACCCTACGAGGTGCGACACGAAAATAAAAATAATGACGGTTTTAGATTTTCGTGTTGCCCAAATTTGGCGCGCTTTTGCTTCTTCTCCAGCTTTCTCTCCTTCTCTGCTTTATCTTCTTCCGATGGACGCAGTAGATGATGCTCGGGATTGGTGAGTAGGCCGATGGGCGGGATTTGGAGAGTCGTTCAGAGCGATCCCTTCGCTCCGAAGCCTCGAAACTTGCTCGTGCGCGCCTTTGACTGGTTCTGTATTCGCACGGACGCTGTGAAGCTGACGACCGAACATATTCTAACGACTCTTTTCATTAGCAATTTCATTGGAGTGGTTTGCTCAAGATCGTTGCATTACCAGTACTACTGCTGGTACGCCGCCACATTGCCGTATCTGCTGTGGCGTACGGAGATTCCGGATCTTTTGGTTGGAACAGAGAGGGACGTTCACTGTAGAAACCGATGCTGTTGTTATCGATCGAAGTCGCGTATAACGTGTATCCTTCAACTCCGGCGTCGTCACTGCTTCTTCAGGTAGCACACTGGGTGCTTCTGCTTTGTTTGTGGATGAGGAAGTGTGATATTTCCTGTTGCATTGTTGGTGGGAGGTTATTTGATAGACGAAAGACAGGAAGAGAGCGAAAAGAAGAATAATTAGTAGAATATTTGGTTATCGTTTGTTTGATAAGAATCAAATCACTGTACGGCTCCCCTTGATAATGATATGTACATGGAGTATAGTTGTTTTTACGAATTATCTCGATGGGGAGAAAGCGAGCAGATGTTTGGAATGAATTCGAGGAGAGTGACAAGGACGGTTCATTTAAGGCACGTAGGGTGCGGTGTATCCATTGTGGGCACGAATTCACTGCACATGCAAATAGAATGAAGGAGCATCTCCGCGACTGTCCGCAGTATAAAGAGGTTGGTTTCGTTGTGAAAATGAACATCGTAGGCTCTGTTCAAAGGAACTGCAAGACCGATTGATCTCACATCCACCCATTACGACACACAAAAATCCATGGAATATTCTGGTTCATCGAATCAAAATCTCCCAGAAGTACTTCTTTCGTTGTTCTGTGATTGCTAGTCCCTTCCTCGGATCGTGTATCGCATGGGGATCGTAGGTGGTGGAAATGGTTCTGTTATGGGGCCACTTCACATTTCAGCTTGTTTCGCTCAATATTTTCATTTACAGTAGTGACACAAACTCGCAGAGCTCGTTTGGTTGCAGGCTGTTTCTCCTCTGATCCCATCAAAGCCAAAGCAGCCGGAGCGCAGTATGGAATTCAACGCTCCCGAGTTTACAAATCGTAGCTATTATCTACACATGATAAAAGCACAAGGTTTGAAGAAATGATCCAGCGAGAGACGAATATCCCTGATTCAGAGCGTGTAAACGCCATCATCGTCGCGTCTCCCACCGGATCGCACTATTCCATCGTATTAACCGCTTTAGAGAACGGTTTTCACGTGATCTGCGAAACGCCTCTCTGTTTTTCAGAAGAAGAAGCGTTCAAATTGGCTCATGTCGCCATCGAAAAAAACCTCATTTGCGCAATCTCTCATCCTTACTGTTACTACGGCATGGTCCGCTATGCCCGCGATCTCATCGCCAACAATGCCATCGGCGAAGTGATCTCCATCCGTGCTTCCTACCTCCAAAACGCCGGAATTCTCGAGAAAGACGCGAGTTCGTGGCGCTTCGTGAGCTCGCAAGGTGGGATCTCGTACTGCTTCTCGGACTTGGGGGTGCAAACCTATCAATTAATCGCGTTTGTCACGCAATTGACCCCCACGCGCGTTTCTGGGTGTCTTTCCCGCACGTACACGAATCGAGCAACCGATGACAACGGATGTGCATTGCTGCAGATGAAGGAAGGCGTGTTTTGCGACATCCACGCTTCGAAAACGTCGCTGCTCCACGACAATTTTCTCTCGATCGAAGTCGACGGAACGACCGGCGCGATTCATTGGGACCTCGATTCGCCCAATCAGCTCATTTATCAGCGGATCCACATGAACAAACAGGTGCTGACGCCGGATTCGCCGCCGGTGATGGACCATCTGCGCGGGCGATACAATCGATTGCCTCGCGGACACGCGGAGGTGGGGCAGGGAAGCGAAATCGAAGCGTAGGGATTCGTTGAAGCGATGGCGAACATGTACGACGCGATTTTCAACGCGATCGATCTCTCGGCGAGCAAGATGATGCGGTCGATTCCTGCGGATTACGTTTGGTTGGTTTGGAGGAGGTTAGGAGATAGCCGAGCGTGTTGAGAGGCGTGGAAGGCGTCGTGTTTTTGAATCGCGTGCTGGAGAGCGCGCAGCGAGGATCGTTGTGGATCGAAATGCCGCCGCCGCCGACGTTTGAGTCGATTGCAGCGACGTCCGTAAGCGCTCCGGCTGTGAATAGTGAGAATGGAGGAGAGGAGTGAAGCGCGCAGATTTCAATAATCCGCTGTCGATCAATTATTCGATGATGAATCCGTTGCAGCCGATGAATTTGGGTTTGATGCCCTCCGTAGATGAGCCTAGCATTCCTCCAGATCAAACTGGTGTGTGGCGTGTTTGTTGAAAACAGAAAGAAAGGAAGGAAGAGTTTTAGCGTTGACATTCTAATTGACGATAATGGGCGAGTCGAATTCCTTCTTCAAGAGCAGTCGCCCATTCGGGAATCTTCACAGTGAAAGGAAAAGAGGGAAAATGGAGAAGCCGATCCTTCGAAAAGCGTTTAAACAGAAACTGGACACGCTTTGGATTCAGTTGCGTGGACCCGCGCAATTCAACAGCATTATCAGATGAAGAATCGAATGAAATCCGCGTTGGATGGGCGAGTTCGCTGCGAAGTTTGGAAGGAACTTGGGGATTGGTGGGGAATGAGTGAAGTAAAGGATGAAACCGGGTAGTCATTGATTGATTCAATTCATTCGATTCAATTCAATTCAATGCATTCAATTCAATTCAATTCAACTCATTCATTCATTCATTCATTCAATTCAAATTGGGGATATGTGCTCGCGATAATACTCGCCAAACTGCTTCTCGAACTCACGTACACACCAATAAGTATTGAACGTGCATTGCTGGCGCGGATGGGAATAAAGCTGCGTGAACTGCTCGAACGAAGAGTGGTTTGCATGGCACGCAAACGCGGGGAGAATCAGAATTCGATGAAGAACGATCGCTGTTAACAAAGCCGTTTCCAAAGCTTGCTGCTCTTCTTCTATAACAAATCAATTCACTGTGTTGAATCGTCTACCAAGGGAAGCAGAGGCGGGAAGCGCGTCGTAAGAGAGGAAATAGCGATCTGGATTGGAGTAATAATCGCTATCCGTGTAGTAGAGACCGAGTTCTTTGATGCGATACACCTTCGCTTCCGATGTCATGATCCAATTATTATGGAACATGACGCACGTATCGCCTAATTCAAATCGAATTCCAATCCTTACAAGGAAGATCTGAAGCCAAAATATGATGCGTTTCTTCAAAGAAATACCAACCTGGAGAGAATTGGTGGAGAGGCAGAAGCAGCATTCGCAAGTTCGAGTGAAGCATTGTATCGATCGCCAGACTCAGAGCCACTTGATGCCGCATACTTCGATTTTCGAGGTGGTTTTTCCATGCTTGATTAAAGAGCGAATTGGATCGCGGCGTGTTCGCGACGTAACTACAATAAACAAAGCAAAGTGCAGAAACATGAAGCCGCTGTTTCGCTCGCGAGCTGTATCTGCGCTTTCTTCACGCTGGATTTGAATGTCCCAATTGCCGGTGCCCAGATATTCGAACGGATTCTTAAAATAAACGACGTCCACATCGCTGAGGAGCGGATTATAGTTGCACTGGAGAACGTGAAGCACAGCGAGCGTTTTCATGTTCGCTTTCGTTGCAAAAGCATAGGAACCGTAGTCAGAGGAACTAGAAGTACTGATGGAAATATCCAATTCAAGGAGGACGGATGGAATCCCCCAATCTTGTAATGTCTAGTTCGAAAGACAGAGATACATCTACTTTGTAGGTTCGTTTGTCCATTGCAAATGCGATAAAGTTGGTAATATGCAATGGAAGAAGACTGCTGTGATAAAAACTGTAAAACTGTGGCAAGAACGCAAAATCGAAAACTGATATAATCACGTTTTTCTTGATTGCGACTTTTTCCAACAAAGGTAACAAATCAGGACTTGGAGTGAGTTGCGAGGAGCGAAGTCCATGACGAGGCATCTCCAGGTGCACATCGCTTATTTCTCTCACCTCTCTACCTTCTACGACAGGATCCTTCCTTTTTATAGAGGCATTCAGAGCAAACTACAAACTATTTGGAATTTTCAAGAATTACACTTGTATTTGACAGGAATCGATAAAGCATATATAGATTGACCACAATCACTAGGAACACAGTCAAAAACACACAACGAGCTATTAGTCTCCTGGTTCTCCTTCTCTTCTTTCTTTGAGCAAAACCTTGCCTCCTCATAGAATTAAGGACAAAAAACTGTATGTTAAGAGGTTTTACGTTTGATGAGAGTGCGAATTCAAGTCAATCAATTGTTGGATTTCAATTAAGATGAGATGGTCAACTCTTCGAATAGGTTTTCTCAGCCTAATCGACTCGCCTATGCTTTCAACACATTTTGTATAGATATTTGGATTTATAAAATAGGAATTCATCGAAATGATATAGAAACATATTATTTGTTGCATAGTGAAATAGGAATCTATGATAATAAAATAGAATTGTGAAAATTTGTAACAATGAACGAATTCCATTAATTATTCGCAGTCATTGAACTAACTATCAAAACTTAAGTCAAAGCATAAAGATGTCTCTATCGATTCCTTACAACGAGAAACATTTATAATTATGTTTAAAAGTGACAGATCCAAGAGCTAATACAGATTATCAAGAAAACGAGCCATACTACTCAGAACCATCATAATCTTGTTCAATATATAAAATTTTTACATATTAAATAACAAATATGATAATTGTCTTGGAATGATCCAAAAATAGTGTCGCAATCAACAATTCCAAAAATATGGAGGATTCTTCCACGATTGGTTTTTCTTATTTGTAGAGTATTAACCCTATCTAAGAATGAGCTTTATTGCCGGTTTGACTGGATGCTGCATTGGTTTACTGACAAAGCTTTATAGCAACTCTCTTCGCAAGTTGCCTTACATGAGAGGTAGGAGTGTTATTATGCTGCCATCTTCTTACGTTTTGTGTAGAGCCTTGGGAACATCTGATTTATATGGGCGTGGGAGGCTTCTCTTTCTATTACGCCAAGAAGTTTATCGTACGCTGAATTGTGATGATTCTGAGGATTGTAGGATAGAGAAAAGAACTCTCTGCGTACAATGCTGGTTGACTTGGATAGAGAGGATGTTTACGGAACGCAAGATAAGAAAATTGAATAAAGCACTGTTTCCTTTGTTTTGATTACACACATACCTTTCCAGTACACATTTCGCAGCCATAGGGTCAGGTGCATGTTTGCCTGTCTTATTGCATCTATATCACTTTTTCAGTCAACAGTGCATCACTACGAACAAGATTATCCTCACCACAATAACATTCGCAAGATGAACGAATATAAGCGGATTGAGGAGTGAGTTGCTAAATGGCATTCTGAAAAATAGATTGCTGTATGATTTGTCAAGCCAACTGAAGGAGTTTGGAGATGCAGCAACTCGTTTATATTCGTGTCAACAAAGAATAGAATCAGCAAATATATACACCGAAAACTTTATAAATGCGATCTCTGCCTCGAAAGCAATTTTGTCATTCTCTCCTCCTATAGTAGAACCTGTAATTTGTTTTGTTATTTCCTTAGTAGTAGGTGGTAGAAGAGGAACCAAAGAAAGAATTGCCCAACTCACAACCAGTTCTTGACTCGAGTCGTAATGATTGGTAACCATTTTAAATGGTAGAATCATCCACAACACCCAATCCGAAAGTTGAGAAATCGAGCTCATCGGTTCCTAAAGGTCCTTCCCAAAAGCGTCAGCGTGTTGCTCAGCCAGTGAAAGATGCGTTGTTTTCACTTGAACGTGAAAAGGAAAGCTTGCCTCGCAAGTTGCGTACTCCAGAAAACATAGCAAAGCTAGAAACAATTCTTCGCTTTATTGCTGGTAGAAAAAAGGAGGGAGCGTAGGTAGAGCCGGTTTCGTGTCTCTTGTAGTGTGCTGAGGGATATTGTTACATTGATGAAAGACACGACGTTGCATTGTAATGAATATCTTGGAGCGCTGATAAAAGTTGAGGAGGTAGAACGAAAACAAAGGAAGAACGTAAAGATTTGGTGGAGTGTTGTTTGTAGGAACTTGTATATACACTTCATCCGAATCGATATTTCAAATATCTTAATAGCTAAATTGTTTGCGAGCGTTTCTATATGTTTTTTCTACCAAATACTTTTCCCACTATTTTCGATGATTAGTCCCATTGGTGTATTTGATGGGGTCCATTTTTTCGTAATCCCTATGACAGCCACCAGGCTGAAGGAAAACAACGAAAAAATGATTTCCTTGTTGAAAACAGGGGCAGCCACTGCATTGTCAAAAATAGATGATGATGTGACACACATCATCTGTAACAGTGCAGATTTTTCAATCGCTCAGAAGTCTGTGAGCGATTCGGCGTTTTGCTCGTTTGTTACACCAAAATGGGTTTTCATTTCATATTCTTTGCATTATTGCCTTCCTGTTGTAGGGCGTTAACGAATAGTGGTGTAATTGTGTGTAGAGAAGCTATTCTGCAGATTCTTTTAGTTTCTTTTCTGGTTTTGTCTTCTACTTCCACAATATTTCCATTCCTTTAAATCAGGTTTATCTTCCGCTTTGCATTCATCGTGGAGGACAAGTAAGTCTCGATTTCGAACCATAATTTAGGTGATCACATCTGTGATGAGTCAGTGCACACACATTATCGTTTTTAATCACACGCGACCCTTAAATCTTCCCCCTGAAATCACCACCTTTCCCCAGATTCATGTAGTGAGTGAGCTTTGGCTAGAGTCGTGTCTCCGCAGCAAGAGTCTCGTCGATGACACTCCCTATCTCCTTCAGCCAGTGAACACGGAGGACGGTACATCGCTTCAATCCGAACTTGAGTCTTGTAGTTCCTGTCTCTTTTCAGCTCCAAACCACGCGTTATATCTTTGAGTGGGAGAACGATATCCGTGCATCGGTCGACAATCTCTTCGATGGCTGTACCTCCGACTATTCTACCGCCTTTTCCGTTTTCTCTTTGATTGTTTTGCTCATTGACAGAACGTACGGATCCTCTTTCTTCCCAATCTGGACCGGTACTCGCTTGATTCTCCCTTCATTGCTAGCCAAGAGCAATTCTTCCTCACCTGCTCCGTTGAGAAAATGGGCGGCCGCGTGCTTCCCTTCGTCCAAACCCTCGAGCACACCCTCGAAATCTACACACAGCAATCCTCTCCCAACGCTCTCACTCACATCATCTGTCCCTACCTCCGCTCCGGTCAGCGTCGTCGTCTCCAGCGATGTCTCGGCTCGTACCCCGCGCAAATCCTCTCCAGCAACTGGCTTTATTCCTGCATCGATCAATACACTTGTCTCTCAACAAGCCAGCTAAACCCTTGGGACACGCAGCTCTTCGCTCCAGCGGTGGAGTAGCGACGGAGAGTAGCTTGAACGTAGTGCTGCGATTCCGGAGATGCGCGAGTGCGTGATTTCGGTGACAGGGTTTACAGCGGAGACGACTCCGACGCGAGAACAAGTGAAGAGCGCGATTGATACGATCGGAGCGTGTTATATGGGTCCGCTGTGCAAGGATCACACGACGCATTTGGTGTGTGAGGGGACGAATAGGTAGGAGAAAGGAAGAGAAGTGAGGGAAAGCGATAAATACGCGGCGGCGAAGACGTGGGAAGCGTCGATCCAGATCGTGAGAGTTGAGTGGTTGTTGGAGTGTTTGAAAAGATGGGAGAAAGTGGACGAGAAGGACTATCGGTTGGCGGATGGGGTTGGAGACGAGGAAGATAATATTTCGACGGGGGATGAGGAAGACGAGATCGAAACGGCCGATGAAGATGAAAAAGAAAAAGAAAAAGTTAATGAAATTGAAAAAGAAAATGAAAAAGAAAATGAAAAAGAAAATGAAATAGAAAATGAAAATGAAAAGATGGAGATTGAAGCAAAGGAAGAAGAATTGGAGCAAAGGAAGGATTCGAATGCGGATGGATCGGAGAGTCGAAGTGAAAGTGCAGAGTTGGAAGGGGATCAGCCGACGCTGCAAGAAATGGACGCGATGCGAGCTCTGTTCGATGATCGGCCTTTTGATCAAATCGAAGCCCCGCAGAAGCGATCCCTGCAGCAATCCCCGCCTTTAGCCAAACGAATCGAAAAAGAAAAAGAGAAAGAAAAAGAGAAAGAGAAAGAAAAAGAGAAAGAAATGGAGATAGAGACAGAGAAAGACGCAGAGGAGAAGGAAAGTGAACCCAAATCGAATGTCGAACCAGAATCAAAACCCAAACCCAAACCAAAAGCCAGCTCCAAGTCAAAACCCCAATCCAAACCAAACCACGAGCCCCAATCCGACTCCAGCTCCCAATCAAAGCCTGAAACCAAACCCGATTCAGAATCCGCTCCGCCCTCCGACTCTCCGATCGCCAAGCCTCGCTATTTCCTCTATTCGGGCGGTACCCTCGACCCCGATCTTCGCGACGCCATTCTCCATCTCGGCGGAAACTACCTCGAAACCCAGTAGGGTTCCCCGTTTCCCCATTCCTCTCAGCGTTTTCGACCCCGCAGCCACGCACTTCCTCATCTCCGACCCCAAGCGAACCGAGAAGTTCCTCGGCTCGGTGGCGTGCGGGCTGTGGATCCTCAAGCCGGAGTACATCAAGGCCTGCGAGCAGGCGGGCCGCTGGGTGGAGGAAGCGGCGTTCGAGTGGACGGCCGTCGACGCCAAGAGCAAAATCGACGGTCCGAGCATCGGGAAATGGCGGAAGCAGGGAGGCCGAGCGTTCGAGAAGGCGAAGTAGCGATGAGGGAAGTGTGTGAAATAGGATTATTCTGGTCGGCGATTTGGTGCCGTCGCGCGATGTGTGGAGGCGGATTATCTGCGCGGCGGGGGGCGAAGTGGCGGTGACGCGCGGAAACACGACGGTGCAGGTGAAGGCGCTGGCGGGGGAGAAGGGAGAGGGGATGCGGCTGTGCGTGATTCCGGTGGATATGCAGGAGACGAGACTGATTAGCTATGTGAAGGAGAGAGGGTTCCAGTGTGTGTCGTCGGAATATGTGGGGGAGAGGAGAGGGAGTGAGGCGTAGTTGCTCGATTATCTCAGTAAAGAACCGATGCCTGATATTAAAGAATATACGTTGCTTTGAAGTGTTTGTTGTTGTGATTGTAAGGACACAAGAATGGATGATTCGTGAGGCTTTTCAAGCCTAATCACACTTCTTTATTGCTTTTCCTTTCGATTTCTGATTTAAAACGTTCTATTTCACACTTCATTCATTCATTCATTCATTCATTCATTCATTCATTCATTCATTCATTCATTCATTCATTCATTCATTCATTTGATTCCACCCATCTGCCTCTTTCTCTCAACAAACACTCCATGAAAGAAGAAACATTTACAGTCCTTTTCCTTTCAAGTCGCCACCGAGATCGGACTGATACCATAATACTGCACTTTCTCTCCATGACGAGCGAGAACGACATCACACGTATCACACATCATCGGAAACAGTTCGCGCACAATCGACACCACTGTTTCCTTATCCTTCTGACACACACTGCAGCAGAACTCCAGCGATTCGTCGATCTTTTTCCCCGGAAACGAAAACGACCATGCCAGAAAGATGCAAGTCTGCGTGATTGCGATAGGAGGGACTTGGAGAGACTCGTATTCTACGATTCACTGCGAGAAGAGGCGAGTACTCATACACACACCGTTGAGAAGCGATTGGTAGTTGGAATAGAGGGAAGAATGCCCTGCATTGTAGAGAATCGTCTCGCCCTCGGTGTATGGAGAATAGGGCGAAAGTCGGAAGTCCAAAACACTCAAGAGATCGAAGAGAAAAGACCGAATCTCCTGAGGTGAATATGTATCACTGATAACACTGCTAATCTCTTTCTACAAATGCACTCCAAACACTACGCCTACATAAGACAAATTATTTGTTCTATTATCATAATATAAGGAAGCAAGGTGAAGACAAAACCAGGACAAAAGTTCCAGTTTCTGCCTTGGAATTACCTTGCAAGAGAGGTATCTATCAAAATAGTTTATCCCAACATATGCAACATTTGCGCTACTACCCTTATCACGGCAAACCTATGAATCAAACCCCTCCAAAATCCAAACTCCGAGCATCCACATATATGTCTGTTCCCTGTACTTGCAGAATGTTACACAATTTTGAACCGATAGCGCATATGATGGATTGGGAATATAAGACGCACCAGGCCTTCGCCCGTCAAGAAGACCTGACTGCGGTCCTTTCAGTATATTCTGATCGAAGAAAAATACACAGTCTACAGTGCTTTCCTCTCTTGTGTCTGTAAGTCTTTCAGAGCACCTTAGAGAAGCAGCCATTCGACTAGTGTTTAATACAAGGGGTCCAAAGAAAAGAATAAACTATGCCCTCCACAAATCAGGCTTTGTATCAAAAAACGTGGGATTCACCTCCACTTTTGATGTGATAGAAGATATGGGACTTTCTTGATTCACAATGGGGGTCATTCTTGATTTATGCCTGCTATATAACACCCAAATTTGCCACGCAGAATAGACTATTGGGGACTAACAAACAATATGCCTCTTAATTCGAATTGATAAACTGCTCATTTCTCGATATCTATGAAGAGACAATGCTTCATATTTAAATGAAAGATTCAATGCATTAAATGAACGCAATCCTGAATAATCGAAGCCAGGGTTGTGCACATGGTTGGAAACAAACACTCCGAGAACACTCAATTACAGTGAAAATCGCTTTAGTTCTCAAACGCGATATCGGCGGACGACCGGATAACCATGTTTTCCAAACGATGCTTTCCGGGCGCATTGACTCGAATAACGCACTGCTCCTCTCTTTTCACGTCGTACCCTCTCATTCTCACCACAATTCCGATGGACATGTCATCCTTGTCAATGTCAAAGTAATGCCATCCCTTGTTCTGCACCCGAACCCCCTTCAACTCAATGGCCGCCTCGGTCTTCTTCCCATTCACCGAGCAATCGTCCTCGATCACACAGCAGCCATCCAGCACAAAATCGTCCAGGAACCAATTGGGCGTTTTGATCACCAGCACCGATCCCTTCTTTATTACCACGTTTTTACCGATATGGCGATGCAGCTCCTCCGTACACACTCCCGCTTCCGGCCACAGACACACATACGCGCCATCCTCGATGATGATGAGCTGCTCCTTCTGCGGATTGCATTCCACACATTCGTTGAGTGTCAGCAACTGCTTGCGGAACAACGCCAAAATATCCGCTTCGCCGCTTCGCGGACTCTCCTCGAAGCCAGTCTTCGCCTTCAAAATTGCCGCGCGCTGATAATCGTTTTTCACAGGAGACCACGCCATAAACCGAGGGAACGTCACTACCAAGCACGTTCGGTTCACCTCCATGACCTTGGACGCTTGCAGAAGCAGTTTCGGGTAATCCTGCATCAATGATTCCAATCGTGTCGGCTGGAGATATTCCGTTTTGGAGCCAGGCTATTCCTCATTTCCTGAGCCAACCCACACCTTATATTTCGGATTGACGAACTCGGGGACGATTCCATGACTCAGATTGATTACCTTCAAATACTCGCGGATATTCATGCACAAATTGTTGCAATTCCCCGGGAATCTGCGCCTCACCGCCTCCTCTCCACGCCTACGGCGAGTACCCCGTTTCGTCCGCGAAATCCCCGCGGGGATCGATGGTGTGGGAAATCACGTCTTCGAGCTGATTGTATTCCACGTTGCACACCATCTCGTCGCCGTTTTCGTGCCTCAGCAAGCACAGTCCGCCCGTCTACGTCTCGTACGGATTGGAATGGTGCGCACCTGTTCGTGCGGACGGCGCTTCACGCAGGTGCTGATCATGTGTGCATCGTTCTTCAGAGAGAGCGCGGCAACGCATGGCATCGTGTAGAAATTGACGGTGTTGGTGTCCTGGAAGAAGAAAACGCGGTGCAAATCATATCGCTCCAGCCATTTCTGGATGATTCCGTCCTACCAGCTCAGGCGAAAAACCACGGGAAATACGCGGTAGAGGCAGAAGTGAACGTCGCCGTGGCCGTGAGGCTTCTTGATGATGTGGCCTTGGGCGTCAACGGCGATTTCGCCCTCGAGATTGCGAACCGCGGGGATGCAATCCTGCATCATGACGTAGACCTGGTCCTCGCTCATTCCGAAGTAGTTGTTCTCCTTCAGGTAGTTCACGGTGCTGATTGTGAGAAGGAAAAGAAAGAGAGAAAACATCTCGTGGTTGTTCTCGGACGTCATGATGGCGAAGGGGAGAATGCAGTTGGGGCGGTTCGAGCGGTGCTGGAATGGAAAGGAGAGAGGGGACGTACCTGAATAGCAAGGATCTTTTTGATGTAGAAGTTCAGGTAGGTGAGATAGGTGAAGGTTTCGATGGGAAGCCCAACCTTGATGCTGTTGTATCCCAAACGTTCACCCAGACCGCCAGCAATCAGAACATACCCACAGTAGGTAAGCTCTTCCATTCCGATTTTCTCCATCTCGTAAAACTCCTTCGTGTTGTACTCAAAGTGAGTTACTGGGGGCACCTAGTCTCGCAGAGAGGAATAAACAAGATACAGAAGGAGTCCAGCCTTGGAAAGGGTTCTCTCCGCGCGAGGACTTGCCGAGAAGGTCTCTGCACTTCTCTACATAGGATTTTAGGCCTCCGGGATAAAAGGCGTCAAAATTCTTGACTTCCTTCACAAACTCATTAACACCTAGAACTCACATTATCCCCGCAAAACAACTCTCTTCCGTAGACAAACCCTTAAGAACGTTTTCCTGGCCACATTCCACAAGATAATCAACAAAATGTTCCTCGTCCTTACCGACGCAACTCTTTCTACAGCTAACTCAACTACCAAGCAGCCAACACAAAATCAATAGCGGAGCTCATGAAAAAACAATTTTGTAACAAACAAATGAGGAAATCATTTGCGCATTTTAAGCTACCATTTGCTTTCTCTCAACCGATCCGCTCACGACTCCGTTCACAAACGACAGAATATTCTCAGCGGTCAATTCGTTCGACGGCGCCAGGTAGTAACCACCCTCATCCGGAATATCCACAATGCTCAGCAGAGGGCACTCCGTCTGCTGAATCATACCACGAATCTGCGTGGACACATCACCAGCCTCACGCACGTAGAAGATGGACACCTCGCCCATGATCTGCTCGGCAATCTGGTTCAGGGTCTCCACCACAGCGTCCTTCTTGGCATCATCGCAGCAATCTCCGTCCATAAACGCCACCAAGCATCGGCGAGCATTGATGTCATCGGGCTCGGCATTGAGGTCCTTCACGGCCGAAGGCAGCCAGGGGAATCCCTCCACACCCGTCGACTTGACCGAGCTGACACCGTCGTCGGTGATGGGCTCCATCTCGGTGTTGCAGAGCACCAGCGTGGGGATTCCTTCGAATCCGAGGATGTTCTTCAGCTTCTGCACAATCGGGCTGTTGTAGCCCAGCGTCATCCACGGCATCGAGCCGTAGTACTCCTTGTACTCCTTCTCGTCGTTGTCCAGAGAGCAGAACACCACCTCGAACGGCTGGCCAGCCTCCTGCAGCTTCTTGTACACCTCGATTAACTGCGGAGTGAACAGCTTGCAAGGACCGCACCAGTGGGCGGAGAAGTACAGACCCACATACTTGCCGGCCACAGCGGCTTCGCCGACCAGCTCGTCGCCCTTGCGGACGTTGGGAGCAACCAGCTCCTTCACGGTGGGCTGCTTCCAAGGGAAACCGTTCTCGTTGGCCAGAACGTCATCCTTGGCGTTGGGGTTCAGCACACCCTCGGGAGAGAGCATAACCAGTCTGGGGATTCCCTCCACAGCGAAGAGCTGAGACAGAGTCTCGCGCAGCTCCGCATTCTTGAAGTCGACCGCCAGCCAAGGCATGGCTCCGTAGTATTCATCAAATCCCTTCTGATCGCTATCCTTGCTGCAGAAAACAATCTCAAAAGGTTGGCCAGCCTTCTTCAGATTCAGATAGATCTTACGAAGAACAGGAGTGAACTGGCGGCAAGGGGCGCACCAATGAGCACTATGAATGAGAAGGCAATAAAAAGGCCTACGAGAAGTATACACCCACCATCTTTCCATTAAGGGTGGAAACATCAACAGGTCCGTTCTTAGAGAGGAGAGTTTCTCCAAATACGCTAGAATAATCAGCCATAACTTACAAATGAATTAATATTAATATGACAAACCACAATAGCAATTAGGGTCAGCTGCGCACAATAATTGGAACCTGTTTATGAGCCCAATTGATACAGAGAAGTTATAATCTTCTAATTACGAACATCTAATCAGCAGTCGATTTTTCGTTCTCTAGCTACTCAATCATGGGGGTGAACCAGGGGTGTATCGATTTGGAAAAATACATGGCTGTCCTTCAAAAATACCTAGCATACTAATGCCCACATTCTCGTGATCAGGTAGGATCCAACCAAAAAGACTAAAATATACTTAAATAAGAGATGTCTTGATTCCTTCAAACAAACACAACCGTCAAATACTAGATAGTCCGGCTTGTGCCTATTCCACGAAAGATTCAAAACAATCTGAAATCAATCATTAATCTTTTGAGTAGAAGAGGGTGATGAATTCTGTGTGTGCTTCATGCTGTCATTGATCGGTAGATACCTCCAGATTGTCTCCGTATCGTGTCTAGGAGCCTTTTTGGACATAGCATAGAACGTCCAATACCTGCTGTGAGAATGGTACAAGAAAAGTTCAGACATTTCTTAAGTGTATTTATTTGGGTAACTTCGTGAAGATTAGCATTCCCTAACAGAGTGTCATGCAAATTCTTGCCACGACTGTCAGTTTATCAACGAGCTTCTATGTTGGGATATAGCTATTTCTTAAACAAAGGTGATCACCTTTCTAGTAACTGCAACATTTCCAGCAGTGAAGGCCACTGCTACTTCCACGAGATTGTGGAACATTTTTCGGTGTGTAAACATATGTTACTGATGAAATCCCACCCCGTCGAAAAATGCATGTTTTGCAATAAATCACTGTATACGCGTCTCATCCACATTCATTGTAGACACAGACAACAACTTCGTCAGAAGTTTGAACACGCCTATGCTTGTCAGGATCCTAAATGCACGAACTCTTCATGCCACAAATGGAAAATGTTTATCACCCACACAAAAACCTGCCCTGTACATTTTCTCTTCTACTTTCACGCTCCAGGGCTGCTGGATGACATTCGACGAAAACCGCGTCAACAGCGTGTATCTGCTCTACCACAACACCTCCAGCGCTCAGCCTCCAACCAAACAAGAGCAATCTCAGTCCCAAGGGATGTACCCTGTCCAGTCGAACTACATGTACCAGCAAAACTATGCAGACCGCAGTCTGGGCTCCTCCTCGCGCTCCCTGCCCGTCTCGATGTCCACATCGCAAGTGATGTCGATGAGCTCGTACCCGAACGTCAAGCAGCAGACAGCGATGTACCCGCACCAGCACGCGATTGGCCACTCGCCGGGCGTTGCGATGCCGATGGACGGGAAGCGGCCTGCGACGCACTCGATGGATTTGGGCAAGCGGCAGCACACGGTGATGCAGGGAGGCGCGACGGCGGGAGCGACGATGCAGAATGCGTACGCGGGGAAGCAGCCGGCGATGCAGAACGCGATGATGAGTCAGCAGAGACAGCCGAACATGCAAGGAATGCAAGGAATGCAAGGAATGCAAGGGATGCAGGGAATGCAGGGAATGCAGAACATGCAAAGCATGCAGGGGATGCAGAACATGCAAGGGATGCAAGGGATGCAAAGCATGCAGAACATGCAGAGCATACAAGGAATGCAGAACATGCAGGGAATGCAAGGAATGCAAAGCATGCAGAACATGCAGGGAATGCAGGGGATGCAAGGTTTGAAAAGTACACAGAGCGTGCAGAGCGTGCAGAGCGTGCAAAGCATGCAAAGTGTGCAGAGTGTGCAGAGCATGCAAAGCGTACAGAACATGCAGAACATGCAGAACATGCAAAATATGCAGAACATGCAGAGAATTCGAAATATGCAGGGGATGCAAAGCATGCAAGGGATGCAAAACATGCAGAGCATGCAAAATATGCAAAATATGCAGAAAATGCAAGGCATGCAAAGCATGCAGAGCATGCAGAGCGTCCAAAACATGCAAGGAATGCAAGGAATGCAAGGAATGCAAGGGATGCAAGGAATGCAAGGGATTCGCAACATGCAGGGGATGCAGATGAAGCAATACGCTTCGCAGACCCTTCGTCAAAACCCCATGCAAAGCGGGTATCCCAACTACGCCATGACTAGCCGTCCTGCGATGCAGCAGCTGCACGATATCAAAATGACCGAGGTACACGATTCTATTTTCCATCGATCGCCTAGCAGCCCAAAGAATCGAGATCGCCGATTATCAAGAAAGACGCAGCTCCACTCACGCTGATTCGCGTCAAAGACCACATGAACAGCATCAAAAAATGCAGGTTTGGACAGGTAGGCTCGCTTGCGATCCTGCTTTCTCTTACGAATAGAATTTCGATGGGGTTGTGGAGAAGATGCTTGAAGTGGGCGAGGAATCGGAGCGTTAGCTGTAGATCTATCTCACTCGCGTACTCAAACTGGTCCGTCAGATTTCGGTTTCGCGCGTGGGAGCAGGGAACTCGCTGGGTTTGGAGCTGGAAGAGAAGAATCCAGTGGTGGAGTATGTGAGACAGTATAGCGAGATAAAGACGACTTCGGGACAACGAAGGAATTTATATTTGATGGGTAAGAGAGGCAGGAAAGAGTCATTGCTAGAACAGCAAGTGAACTCTTCGAAGCAAAAAGTGGAGATCACAGTGGATGATATTCGAAGGTTCATCATGAGCGAAAAGAGCAATGCGACATACTTGCTATCCAAACAAATGATCGTGTAAACTGTTTGTTCAACAAACATTCCAAAAGCGCGCAATTATTTCCATGGGAAACCCTGAGGATTCATCATAACAGAGGTTCTTCCATCACTATTATACACACCCGACTCATCCATCAAGAGCAAAGTGGGAATTCCAGAGACATCAAACGTGTTTCCAAGAGACTGACGAAGATCCTCTCGATCAAAAGGAACAGCCAACCAAGGCATGGTTCCGAAATACTCCTCAAAGTCTCTCTGGCTTCGATCGAAGCTGCAGAACACCACTTCGAAGTCCTTTCCAGCAGCCTTCAGCTGAAGGTAAGTCTGACGAAGCTTGGGAGTAAACATACGGCAAGGAGGGCACCAATGTGCACTAAACAATCAAACATTCCCTGTATTCCCTACGAGAAGTAAAGACCGACCACTTTTCCAGCCAGGTCCGAAGTTGGCACAGGTCCGTTCTTAGAAGCAAGAGTAGCACCGAAAAGCTTTTGATAATCCATTTAAATTAATTTTGATTGAAAAAAGTGTAGGACGGAGTGAGCCAATCAAGTGGCTCATATTCTTCCAATTGAATAGAACTGAAAGCAAACGAATTCGCGAACATGGGGGTCTGGTAGTTCGGCTATTGACATTCCCACACGGTTTTGGTTCCGAACATCCCCGCAGCTTTGACTCCGAACATCCCCGCAGTTTTGACTCCGAACATCCCCGCAGTTTTGACTCCGAACATCTCCACAATTTTGACCCCGAGCATCTCCACAATTGCCTTTGAGAACAAACACATCGACTGGAGCTTAGAACTCCTTCACCATATATCCAGGAGCGAACTTGTCAGCGAAGTACTTGAAATCCTCTCCGGAGATAATCGTCGACGCGGTGTTAATCAGGGGATGCAGACTGACCGTCTTGGCCTCCATAAGTCTTTTATCGATGATGACCTTGACCTTGTTGTCGGGATCGTTAATCTTGGCGAAGAGGGAGAGATGTCCCTGCTGCACGCCGAGCATGGTTTCGAGGAGCTGGTTATCAGCGAATCGTAGAGAGCCGCTCTTGTATTTGAGTTCCTGCATTTGAGTCCTGTCTGCGTGGCAACGCTGGTCAGTTTTTTGATGTCCACCGCGGTATCGAAGGCGGCCACCACCATCCACAGCCCCGTGTCCGTCTCGCCGTTGGGTTTTTTGGCCTAGAGTGGAGAGTTCGCCGCTGCCCTGCCTTCAGGAAGAGGTTTTTGGTGGGCAGTCCCAGGGTCGCGTCGACGAATCGCACCACGTCCTCGACGGTCTGCGCGGCTTCGTGGTGATACGTCGTCTTGGCTCACGTCCCCGCTCCACCCCTACGTGCGCGATGCCCTCCGCGTTCAGCACCGCGAAGATCCGCCGCTCCGCGTCGTTCGTCGCTTCCTCCACCTCGCCGCTCAGCGGCTGCCGGCTCGTTTTCTTCGCCTCGCCCGCCTCGCCGGCCTCGCTTCGCTTCTCCGCCTGCTGCTGGCTCTTCTGGTTCTTCTCGCGCTGGCGCTGGCTCTCTTCCTTCTTCGCGTTCTTGTTCTTCTCGATCGCGATCTCCGCCTGCATCGCAGCCCGCCACCGCCACTACCACGCGCGCCACGAAGTCGGGGTCCGGACGCACGTCGATCTGACCGCCCTCGCGCACCGTGGCCGCAAGCGACGTCGTCGCGAACGTCGACTGCAGGCAGCGCTGCTCCGAGCAGCGGCATCGCCACGCCGTCAGCTGCCGTTAAGCCAGACCAACACACGGCCCATCCAAGGATATCTTCGGGTAGAGGCTTCGCCACGTGGGAACCATCACGTAGCGGAACAGATTGAATGTGCTGCAGTACACAGCGATGTCCACCAGACCGAAGCTCCCACAGAAATACTCCTCGCACAGATCTTTCTCCCACTTATCCAGATAACCTGAATCACACACACTTCAAAGCACTCTACTTCCAACGCTTTTCATCACTTGGCTATACACTTCCACTTGCTCAGGACAGTCACGAACACCCATCGCAAGGAGCATCTGGATGTGGCTCTTCTATGCATTAGAGCCTTCCTCAAACCACACATGCTGAAGCAGGCAAGTACTGCTTTCTGCCTTCAAATAACTCATTGCCTCCTCCACAATCGCACTGCCTTTCTCACAGGGAGCTACACATAACCTTCTTTCTCCTCAAAAGACCATTTTCTTTGAAGACTGCACTATAATCTACAAACTCATTTTCAACATGTACAAAACGTACCAGAGTAAGAACCCTCCTCCTTTCCAAGGAAAGCCAAGCTAGCTTTCAGAAAGTACTCCTAGTTCTGAAAACTTCATGCAATTTCTCACGTTGAAGTTATTCTCGGTAATGGCAAACATATAGAAATCGAAACGGAAGCCGAATAAGCAATGAAAAGCAAAAGGGGAGTTTCAAAAGCGTTTCAAAGAGCAGAAAACAAGAATCAAAATCGATGGGTCGCAAAAAGAAGCAAGTTGAGAAGGAAGATATTTGGTGCTATTATTGTGACCGCGAGTTTGAAGATGAGAACACGCTAATCTCTCACCAGGTTGCTCGCCACTTTAAATGCGAATATTGTGGTAAGAAGTTGGGTACATTTCGTGGATTAATGGCTCACACAAAGACAAACCATCACGTTGATTTACAGGTGTAAGTATTTGTTTTATATTGTAATAAATAGTGTTCCTCATGCACTTCCTGGCCGCAATAGTACGGCAACGGATGTTCACGGAATGACTGGAATTCCTGAAACAGCTCGTTTCGGTAGTTTTGTGAATGGGTATTGATAAGTAGAGCACAAGGCGAAGAAGAACAAGGAGTTGGGTTTACCAGTTCCTCGTCGAGAAGTAGCAGTGATTCGAAATCCGAAGCAGGAGTTTGTAGCGAAGTTGGAAGAAACTCGTACGAAGAGCCAGATGGCTGACAGTTTTTCTTCAATGGTTCTTCCTTCTAGCACTTTGAATAATCCTTTTATGTCTACGTGGGAGAGAGGTTTGGGGTTGAAGTGTAGAATGGCTCCGATGGCTCCGATGGCTCCGATGGGTGGAATGGCTCCGATGGGTGGAATGGCTCCAATGGCTCCAATGGCTCCGATGGGTGGAATGAATCCAATGGGTGGAATGGCTCCGATGAATCCGATGGCTTCGATGAGTCCAATGGCTCCGATGAATCCGATGGCTCCAATGGCTCCGATGGCTCCGATGGCTCCAATGGCTCCGATGGCTCCAGTGAACCCAATAAACCCCGCTCAAACACCATCCACTACACAGTCAAAAGTTCCGAAAATGGTCTACACACGAACCGACATATCCATGGAAGAGTGGCGCGCTTCGCAACCAAAGTATCGTTATCACGAATTACTCACTCTGGCGGATGCTCGTCAATAGTTGTATCACTCGAATTCTTGTTAACAAACAAACGAATGATATGTTTTTGCTACAAAGTGCATCATTTCTTGATTTCTGGATGATTGCGAATAGAATGCTTTTCCAAACTATTCCCACTATCGAAATGGCATACTGACAAAACATTTTTCTGATCGATAAGAACATATCAAAGTGTTGGCATTGAATAGAAACATATTCAAGGATTTTCAGTTAGCAGTTACACTATTGGCTCTGTATTCATTCTCTTCTCATGAAAACTGCATTTTCGAGATTTCTAAATACTCAACTCTTTGTATTGTGCTATAGAACATGAATAGCAATCTACTTCAACTCATATTCGATTGAAACCAATGCTTATGCTATACTCAGTTTCTACTGTGAGTTCAATGATAATCTAGATTATAACCATATTCATCACATTGTATTGGTTTGATGAAGATAATCGTATCAAAGAAATCGGTACATGATTAATATCGATATTATTCTTTCTTTGAATGATTTTATAATAGAATATACACATTATATGAATGTAAATTAAATGACTAAAAAGTTCTACACTTTATCTACTAATAAGATTAGAGTATCGATTGAATCTTGCTTGTTACAGTATGTATATGATATCTAGAAACATCATACTCTCTAGTCTTGTAATTCTTTCCCTCTTTTTCCAATACCAATCCAATCTCCATTGATAAAGATACCTTATTCGATACAACCAAAACTAACTATTATTGAAATTCCCTTAGTTGCTAGTTCTCTGAGTAGTTGAGGGAAATAGTATAATACACAACAATCCAATTCATTATCATTTGATGTTTTCATTTTCTATTACATAGTTTAGCTACTTATCATTCAGTTTGTAACAAAGTAAACATAAATACATATAATACTCTTTTCAAAAACCATGAGAACTATTCAATGTAATTTACAAATATCCAGTATTTTATTCCATGTACTCTCTCAGAGACTCACTGATATTACGCTGAGTACGATACAAAGCCTTTTTGAATGCAGATTCACGATCCAGTTCTGCTTTAACAAACGGAATATTGGTAAAACTAACGATTCGGGTTTCTTTGAAACATTCCAATCCAGCCTCCAGTTTTTCTAACTTGGGTAGATCTATGTTATACTACATCCATTCAAACACAAACTGATTAAATCCACTTGACACCATTGATCATCAAGTCCCATAAATACTCGATCTCCGATTTGAATAGTTTTCAAAGATTCCAAATCTTCACAATCAATGAATCAAATCGATATCTTACTTTCAATTTTTGTAATCATTGCGTATTGAAAGGCTTCATTTCCTATAATAATTGTTTCAAGTTTGGGTAAATCTATGTGAAATACCTGATTTAGAAATACCCTTGATACAAAAGGAAAGTAATCTGAAGGAAGCGGAATAGCTTCCTATTCTACCAATCTGTAAATGTTTTAAAGAAGGAAGATTAGTTAGCGAAAATGATCTTACATAATGCGCAAAACTGAAAGGTTCCAAGATAATGGACTCTAATCGGCTGCAATTCGAAATAACAAATGGACCAAATATTTGGTTTGTGCAACCTGTATCAAATGCTCTATTAAAGATATGAATTTCCTCTAGCTCGTGCAATTGATCAATGCGGAATTCCAATGCTCCCTTAAAAGAATCTCTTCCCACTATCAGCTTTTTCACATGAGTAAACGTGTTGATATCAATGAATCTATCCACATCGTTACAAGAGTTTGGAGGAATGTCTATTACAGTTTCATTCTGAAGTTTCAAATCATCAAAATAGACGCCAGGCTTAAATGGAGATTCCTCTGCAACAACCACAAGATCAGCCAAAATCGGAGCGACGTCTAGAATTCATTCACCCTTCGATTCCTACTTTCTACATATTTCTCCATGATTTCTGGGAAGGGACGATCAGAATCGGGATATTCGTCCAAGTAGTGTAGTTTGAGAATTTCAAGATTGGGGATATCTAGCGTCAAAACAATTCAATATTAAAATACTTATCAATTTCATGGTATGAATATTGCGGAAACTGAATCCTCTCGATGTAAGTATTCTGAGTTTTGGAAGATCTGTATCAAATCTATTCTCAATATCCAACTTTTCATCGTCAATGAACCGGTATTCAGTTTACCAGAAAACACAACCCAACCAAGTTCCAGAATTTCTAAACTCGGAAGATCTGTACTCACACACACTTCAAATTCAGTACCTGAAAGTTCGATAATTTCTTCCGTTTCAAAAGCATGATCTCCAATAACGATTTTCCTCAATTTTGGCAAATCTACGAGTAAATCAATGGCAAAGGAATTACCTTTTGCCACAAAATTACAGTACGAAAAGTTACCTGAATCTACACCCACTTTCCCTATTTCCAGAATCTCCAAATTTGGAAGTCTTTTCAACTCAAATCCTCCAGTATAATAAAAAAAGGAAAAAGGTCCAATATAGATTGATCTTAAACGAGTACAATCAATGATGCTAAATGTGCGATTCATGCGATCGGATCTATTTTGACGATAAAAGGAGTAATGACCTATTTTCACTGTTTCTAGGTTTTCATTTTCCCAAATTGCGAATTTGTCTACGTTACTAAAGTTATACTCTTCAATATCCAACGTTTTCATTTTCTTGTATCTGCTCAGGTCTAAGAAGCTCACATACTTTAATTTGTAGGCTGGTACTCTAATAACTTCAGTATCGACAGGGAGATTCAAAGGATCTTCTTCTACATGATACCAACCATTCTTCATCACAACAATATCAGTTTCGACTCCATCTTTCCATGTTCCTCTTATGGTAGCAACTCCATCCGCGTTGATTAAAAATCCTGTTCCATCTCGAGAACAAATGTTATGAAGCTCATTATACTTGTATCCACCAACATAAATAGGAATGCGCTCATGTAGTTCTAGGTTACTTGTAGTACTTTTAAACTCAATCATATTGTTATTCTTTTCGAATATGCGAAGGATAGTCTTTAGCTCATTGTCCATCCATATACCTTCTAACTTCAATTCACCAGTCTCTGCATCAAATTCAAACCCTCTGCCTATTCTATTGCCTTTATCATCAAGACTTCCACGATATATCACATTCTGCGTATGCAAATCTACTAATTCTCTTATAGTCTTCGATCCATTGTTGATATCGTGAATAGAAAAGGAATCTGAAAGAGTTTCCCAACTTTGACTATATATAGCGAATCCTTCACTATAAACGGTAACACTATCAATTGTATTGTCGTTCTTTAATTTCCAGATTCTCTCTACTACCCCATTTCTATAATGTATTATTTCTTGGTTAGTAAGTCGTGTATATTCATTCTTATGTTCACCCTTATAGGTCTGAACCCTGTAAACCTCTCCATTTCTGCTTATTAGTTGTGATTGCCCATTTTTCTCATATCCATTAAAGAAATCAATACTATCTATTAGATTAGTACAATGAGTCAGAAATGACCAAGAATCTTGTCCAAATACATATTGCTACGTTGAATAATAGCAACAGTAAAAGAATAATAACAGTATTTATGATTGTATTGATAAACTGATTGTATTACTAGTACAAGGCAATATTTAAAGAGATCTAGAAATGGTATCTGACAGATGGTGGAAGAGTATTTTAGTCTATCGATGTTGTATGGTTATGAATACACAGGAAAGAATCCTATCTACAATAGATGATAAATGAATCGATTCTTAGTGTATACACTGGGTTTTGCTGAATAATCTGAAACCAATCAAGATCGATATGCTTTCTGTAAGAATGAACGAAATCACAAAGAGAATAACAACAATAAAGAAGAATACGATCACAACAATCGGCATTCAATAATGACCCCATTCATGTTCTATCAAATCGACAACCTGTATTCATCAGTCAATCGATGAATCAATCAACCTCTTGAGTATTCAAGAATCTATAGAATTGTGATAATAATTGGTTTGAACAGTGAATCCAAGTATAATGGTATTTACACTCATTGACTGATTGTGAGTGGATCAACTAAAATCGACCAAGCATGCTAGAGATAGGAACTGATTCTGATTTTCAAAGTGTTCAATCACCCAATCTTTTGTTTCTATCGATTGTTCCCACTAGTCGAATTTCGAATCGATCTTGCAAATGAAGGAATTATGAGAATTTGGCCGATCAGTCAAAAGCTCCGAAAATGGTCTACACACGAACCGACATATCCATGGAAGAGTGGCGCGCTTCGCAACCAAAGTATCGTTATCACGAATTACTCACTCTGGCGGATGCTCGTCAATAGTTGTATCACTCGAATTCTTGTTAACAAACAAACGAATGATATGTTTTTGCTACAAAGTGCATCATTTCTTGATTCTATTTTCAACGAATTGACAATCACGTACTAGTTGTGGATTTTTGGTTGAACAATAAACAACATCTGTCGAAATAACCTCCCTTCGACCTGCGTGAGTGGCAAAGTTTTCCAAATCACCTGCGAATACTCCTACAATCAAATCCGGAACTCTCAAATACCCAAATAGCTTAGAACAGCCTCTTCTAGAATAGAGAGTGCCTTACTCTTCACTCATTCCCCTAATTTGTACATCCTTCGAAATGTAAAGTTCATTCTGACGTGCTACCCATTATTTTCATTTCGAGCTACTACAAAACTCAAGGCACAGTTTGTCGATAGAATGCCTTAATCGAGCTTCTTCACTCTATTCAAATCAATTCGAGTCAAAAAATCAACTTCTAGTGAAGACATTCAAGCATTAAGTGAGTATTTCTTGAACCGATTTGAACTATTACCGGGATAATCCATAAGAATTACAGTAGTAAGATGGAAATCGAAGGCATCCTCGTATTTGCCCTATTGAAAAGCAAAGTAAGAGATCAAAATCGAATAGCCAAATAACTCCGAAAGCAAAGAAAGATTTTTAAAAAATTGCTCGATGAGCTCTCTGACATGTCCCTGTAACAAAGAGAAAGCAAGTGGATGGAAAGAATGAGTATTTAAAGAGAAAAGAAATAATGTAGGGGATGATATGAAAAGACGATTGAAAATAGTATTATGAATATAGCAAGGGGTGAAATTTGCTGTTGCTTTCTTATTGAAGTACAGAAATATCCACTCGTGTTCATTATAATGGCTACTCCTAGTGAAATCAAGCTTTTTGGAAAGTGGTAGGTAGTGTTGAGACGTATTATGTGGTTTGTGTGTGCAAGTAGTGTAGGAATGTATATAACAGTATATAGGACCTTTGGCGATGTTGAGGTGAACGACAAGTCTCTTCAGGTATGAAAATATGTGTAGTTGTTTGACTCGTGTAGGACCATTTGGCCGTAACTCCTAAGTACGCAACTTATCTCCCCCACACTGCTGGAAGATATCAGTTGAAGCGTTTCCGCAAGGGTCAGGTTTGTGGTTGAAGTGTTGGTTGAAAGAGTAGTGCCCTCTTGTTGAGCGTCTGACGAACTGCCTGATGTTCCATGGCCGCAACACTGGAAAGAAGATGAACGCTATGAAGATCGTTGAGCAGGCTTTCGACATCATCAACCTGATGACGGATAAGAACCCGATTCAGATTCTTGCTGATGCTGTTGCGAACGCTGGACCTCGTGAAGACTCGACTCGTATCGGTACTTCCGGAGTGGTTCGTCGTCAGGCTGTGGATGTGTCTCCGTTCCGTCGCGTGAGCTTTGCTTTGTCTCTGCTGACGACTGGCGTAGGAACAGAGCGGAGGGGTGATGGGTAGGCTCGTGAGGCTGCTTTCCGCAACATCAAGTCGATGTCTGAGTGCCTGGCTGATGAGCTGATGAACGCTGCGAAGGGTTCTTCGAACAGCTACGCCATTAAGAAGAAGGACGAGATTGAGCGTGTTGCGAAGGCCAACCGATAAGTATTGTTGCTGCTGGGTGGGTGCGATGATTGCACTAGCCGAGTATGGTGGATTAAGCTGGGTTGTTTGTTTGTAAACACATAAAGTGAGTGGACTTATGGAGTTCGTGCGAGTTTGCTGGGGAAAGGACGAGGTGCATCTCAAACGAAGCGAAGTAGAGTCGCTGGAAGCGCTGAAGGAGAGATTGCAAGTAGTGGAGTGATAAAGTGCGACTAGATTCTAGGCACAATTTGGAATTCTGAAAGAGAAGCAAACTCTGTTTTTCAACGACCATTACGTTCGCACAGATAACCAGCTTATTGATGCTGTGGAATCTACAAATCCAGTTATTTATGTTCATTCTCAGCCACCGTTCTGTATTTATCTGAAGTTCGGGTGGTTATTGAAGATGGTGGAGATATTTTCGTTTTATCCTATTGAATATATATCTTATCTGTCCCTGGATGTTGAAAATAGTAGAATGAGTGAATTCTAGGTATTGGAGTGTGAACTTGGGTGTAGTATTGATGATCAAGATATCCATTTACTATTTGATGGTAAACTATTGTTGAATCCTCGAGAAACTGCGTATAGTGTGGGTCTACACGAAGGAAGTATAGTTGAAATGAGTGTATCAAACTCTGCAAGTATTGCCATATTATTGAAAGCAATGCAGACTGTGCAGACTGTGCAGACTGTGCAGGCTGTACAGACTATGCAAACTGCACAAGCAGTGCAAGGAATGCAGGGTATACAAACGGAGCAAAGTAGAGAGATAACTCAGAAAAAGGAAGGCAATTCTTAGGGAATTGAAATCGAATGTGTTCTGTACATTAAGTAGTGTGAGTAGAATCTCGTTCTGTTTGTAACAAACAATGCCGTATCCATTCTTGTGGATTAGCATTATGTTTATAGTTCATTATCTTACAACTCCACATCAATAATATCTCCATTCTCCATATCTAGCATCTATTTTCATATCAGTAAGCAAATGAATCTTACTTCAGGAGTATTTCTTCTACTGAGATTCTCACCATCAAACGTCACTTTTGCTCCACTGCATCCGCATTCGGGTAGAATCTTTAAGATATCTGTTAGCGGTGCTTTCTACGTGAAAAATAAGCATTTCAGATACTACCTTATTCATGTTAATGGCTTCCTTCCTTTCTTCTTCATTGTGTGTAATTCGAAGAATGAGACAAACAACATCTTCTTGTTCTTCATAGTCGTTTCGCAAAGCTCTTTCCTTCTCTTCACCCACTAGAAGCCAAACGTTTGTTGATGTTGTTTCATCATATGTGGTTTGGTTGATTTGCTTTTTCTTCAAAGACTGAATGAGCTTTTTTCGCTTTTCTTGTCTCATTCGATCCTTGTTAAGGGTTTTTGATAATTGTTTTACATCCTGCTTGATTTTTCTACATAGAATTATCAATCCTAAGTGGTACGTGGCCTCTGACTGAGAGTCGTGTTTCTTCATCTCCTTCATTGCCTTGATTTTGCTTTTCTTGTCAATCGCTGCTATAAATTCTTCTGCATTGAACTTGGATCGTTTAGACGTAGCTTCATTCGTCAAAGAGCTACTATCACTTTCCGCTTGATCTATTTTTCCGCGATCCCCCTCCTCATCACTTGCAAAAATCGGTTCAATAGTTACCGAAGAAGGTGGTAATACTTCTTTTAGCTTTTCCTCGTCTAAAAGTAATTCTTTGTATTGTGTTATACATTTTTCTTGAATATTCTTTCTTCCAGGGTAGTAGAATAACTCATCACAATCACTATCTGAATCAGACATTTTTCTGTGTATCTGGATTCTGATATTCCTATCTTACTCGAGTCCTCGTTTGAATCGATTCAACAAAGTTACAGAAGTATATCGTATTATTATTTTGTTTACAGTACGAATTGTATATGGAAACAAATCCGGATTGTAACACGACTGATGCTGGTCAACAAACAACCGATGAATATACAGGGTGGTGTTATGATTTCTCGAGGGAACTGAAACTCAAATATTTTGTTGATGTATCAGATAATAATGAATATATTGAAGATAATTTTGTAAAAAGCATACGGATGTCTCCAACTGGATGTTCTTTCATTTTCTCGAGTGAAGATGGGATGGTAAGATATGTCAATATTCGAGACATCGATTTTTGGGGAGTGCAAGAGGAGACTTCAGAGAAATATTTGCTTCACACATCTCGCTGCTTCAATCACACCGAAACAGCCTATGATATTGAATGGTAGTCACGGCTTTTCTTTCTTATGTAGGGTTCCTCTCTCTAACAAAGAGTTTTTTATCAGTAGTTGCAAAGATACTCCCATTCGTTTGTGGGATGTCGAGTCAGGTCAAGTTTCCATTTATAAGAGTGTTTAGCTAACTAATCGAGTTATGTGTAGCGTACAATTCAAAAGACGAAATCATCAATGCTTTTAGCGTTCATGCGAGTCGAGATGCTTCATTGATTATGGGTGGATATAAAGGGTATTGGATTGTCTGGTTTGCGAACTAGGCATCTAAGCGTATACGCAGTCGAACGCCCCGGCTTGGCAGAATGGTGGTGGGAGGATAAAAGCGTGGGGCTCATCTCAACAGTAAGTGATTGTGTGGATGGATGCATCGGCGTACGCCTTTTTATGATTCTGGTTGAATATAGATTGGTTCATATAATGGCGATGTTGTGTTGCTGGACCGTCGACTTTGTGGAGATGGTTACCCGCTCTGGCAACAGCGTATTGGGAATCATGGAATCCACCAAGTTTCCTTTCTTCAACAAAGTCCATTGCTACTCATAAACGAACGATATAGCGGGGTGATTAGTGTGTGGGATCGTCGGAATCTCAGTGCAAGCGTTTTCTCTGTGTCGAGAACAAGTGGAAGTCAGCAGGTTGGGACACATTACCGGCTTTTTTAGTTTAGCGTTTTGAAGTGTCTGTTTCTGCAGATGAGCAGTGGTTTGCGAGTGGCGATCGTGAGGGGAAGGTTCGCGTGTGGAATATGCGAGGAGAGGTTGTTTACGAGCAATGCATCTACAAGGGTAGGTATTCGCTTGATGTTGTGAGATAGATGCGATCCCTGCAGTGTGCTTCCACCCCTATAATCCAATCTTGGTATGTGGCACTGGAGAAAGGCATTTTGATGCGGATGTTGTTCCCTCGTGTTGTCTGCTTTATCAAATACCTTGGAAGTACTGGAAAGCGACTTCTGCATTTTCTATTTGTTACAAACACTCCATATTCATTAAAAAGTCTTTGATTGACTCTCGCCTCTATCCATTGAGCATTCTTGCATTGCGATAAACACTATGCATATTCTCATCTGTCAGGTCGTGCTTATCCTTAAGCTTGATTTCTTGGCCATTATCTCTCCAAGTGAGTTTTAGATCCATAGAGGCACTGCTATGAATAGTAACTTTCAACGTATAGCCATGATTCTTTTTCCGACGCTCCGGGTCGATTTCATACTCATATTGTCGAATCTTTGTGCATTGTTTATGATTCTTCGTTTTTCCTTGGTATAGAATGATTTCAATCGATGTGCTATTACTCGTAGTCTGTAGATTCTTCTCTACTGTCTGGTCTATCTCATCATTCCTCTGATACAACAAATCCAGATCATCATCGTGGAGAGCATATTGAATCTTGAGTCCAACATTGTACATATCGCGATCTTTCAGCTTGATGCTCTTCACACGACCCAAATCCAGATTTTGAGGTTCGACATCCTTCTCAATATAACAATTTCTATCACATTCAAATAGTTTGCTCTCAGAACAATGCTTTTTCGTTTTGATTAAGAATTTCTTAATGAACTTCTCTCGACTTTCACTTGAGACCGATTCTATCGGTGTCGGACTTGGGTATTTTGAAAAATCTTTTTGATTCTCGTCATATGATGAGAAATCATATTCGATAACATCAGGAATTGCAGGATTTGCCATGGATCCATATTCATTCAAATTGTCCCCACAATATGGATTGCAATTTTCACAAGTTCTATGATCCGCTTGGTAGGATTCCGTCATTGAATACATCGCCAATCCCAGAGCCACAGAAGCATCAACGTTTTGATACGCTCTCCTAATCTTCGCAGTCGAAACAAGAGCTCTCTGGAAGCAGGGGAGTTGAGTCGCTCTGCCTGCAAGAACTAACGTTGTAGGCGTGATGCCCTTTTCCTGCGCTGTATTGAGAATCTCTTTTATTTCCTTGCAACATCTGCCTATAATCAAATAGCAGCTTTTCTCAAATTCGGAATTGCTTAAAAGAATCGTACGATCCTTAAACGTTAGAGACGCGTCATTTCCTGTCTCAGACATCTCAATTTTGGCGGCTTCCACTGCCTCACGCAAAATGTATAAATCATGCACATCCAGAGACTGATACTCTATGCCAAGCTTCTGCAACGCCATGAGAAGGAGGACGTTGGTGAAAGAGTCACCACCAATATTGTTTAACCCTTCACTGGCGATAACATTGTAATTGCCTTGTTTACACTCAATAAGGGACACATCGAAAGTTAAGACACCACAGTCCACTACGATAGCAACTTCATCATCAGAACGATTCAACACACCACTGTACAAACAAGCAGCAAGAGTATCCGAAATGAGATCAACATGCTTCAGTCCAGTGTAGTTTGCTACCTTTCGCAGTTGATCTTTTTGAAGATCCGTGAAGGTGTGTGGATAGGAGAGAAGGATACTGTCAAAGCGTTCCTTGTAACCACTTTCATAAACCTGATCAATAATATTTCTCACAAAGAATGACAGAATCACTGTGGGGTCATAAACAGTTTCATTATCTTGATTTAACCCTACTACCATGCATCGACGATTTTTGCCCTCGGTAACACTGCAAGGAAGATACGACATCAGAACGGACATATCGTTCTCATTGAACGATCTTCCTATGAGATTGACTAAATTTCCAAAAAGATAGGATGAATTCTCTTCCCCGACAGTCTCAGCATCTCTGCCAATTGCAGTACTCTTGCCCTTGTAAACAAAAGTGGGAATGGACTGATTGCCTTCTAATTCAATTAGTTCAGGCTTCCCGTTGGATACTGTAGCGATTCTTGTATTTCTAGACCCAAGATCAATGCAGATGGGATTCATGTTAATATAAACTGAAAATGAGTTTAACAAACAGCACACAAAAGCACTTCCATTGTTTCCATCCAAAGGACGAAAACAGCCCAACATTTATCGGTAAGACTTCTGGTAACGAGCACGAGCAGATGGACCTCCGTACTTCTTGGGCTCGCAGCGACGAGGATCTACCCATCAAACCAACCAACCAAACCGAACCGGCAGCAATCAGAGAACGATCGAAAGACACGAGAAGATCCTTGATCTCTCTCTTGGCCTGCTCGTCAACGTCTAACCCATCACGCCACACAACGACTTCCTACACTTCTGATAGAAGGCGACGATCGCTCTGGAGAGCGCCTGGCGGATGGCTACGTTTCACCCAGCAACAAGGGCTGCCTACCGTAAATCTGAGCCACGCGACCTCCTCCCTTCACAGTCAGATGAATGTCGAGGTTGGCGAATCTCTCAGCTCCCAGAAGCAGAACAGGCTCAATAGCCTTGATCTTCAGGCATTCGGGCTGCATCACATCAATAGGCTGACCGTTCAGTCTCAACACACCCTTTCCATACTTGCAGTGGGCAACGGCCACAGCATTCTTCTATACAGAGTTAGAATACACAAAGTCCACCAAATGCCACAATTCATTGTTCCTACCTTACGACCAAAGCACTGGACAGAAGGCTTAGCTTCAGTAGACATGATTTATTCAGAACAACGGAAGTTATTGTACTCTTGAGTTTCACAAAAATCGCAAGGGGGTAATTTGAATATACTTGATTTTGATATAGGAACCTTGTATCAATATGAATTTGCACAGATTCACATATATTAATTCGTCTCATTGCTTCGGATAGGTTCATATGCTCATTCGATGGGTTTACTCCGAAAATGAGATTATTGGTGTTTTAGGTAGTTTGGCTGCCCATTCTATAGATATTGACCTATATATGTAGTCCATAATAAAGGGAATCATCAGAAATACCTTGGTGGCGAAAACAGGCGTAATATCTCTGCATTGGTTTGTTGACGTGGCTACGTCCTATCTATGTGAGAATTGGACTTTTTGAATACAACTCGGCAGTTTCAAGTTGAAAGAATCTTGGGAAGTAGTGCATCCAATCAATTCACGCCCCATGGCTTCACTCACGAGCACTTTTTGTTTACCAATATTTAATTTTGACCATGAAGTTCTTTTATTTGCTTCTTATTTTGTCCTTCAGCGTAGTGATTTGTGCCGAATCTGAGGAAACCTCGCGTTATTCGAGATACGAAGGTGCTTGCCCTGGAAACATTGAGGATTCTTCTAAGAGCTTTGGTATTTTTGTTCAGAAATATTTCAACAACACGGAAACTTCCATTTTGGAGAAGTGTACTCCTGAGTTTTTTAAGAACTATACGAATTTGGAATATGAAACTGTGAAGGACTGTGTGGTATGTTCGCTTTCTTGTAGCTAATGACTAGGAACCGGTGCAGGAGTTTATGTGGGATCGTTGCCACTGGAGATTGTTGTACAACGTTGCTGAGAAGAACAAGGCTGTGATGGATTTCTTGAATACCCTTCCTAACGGTGATTTGACTATTGAACTTTTGAACGCGATGAATGAAAACGAGGCGATTTACAAATTCGCTTCGAAGTTTGGATCTTGGGATTGGGCCGGAATTGGCATCATGCTTCTCTGCGGTATGTTTTTAGCTGTATTTTTGTGATTTTTAGCTTTCTTTGGATCCTACATTATCCTTTGGATTATCGGAGGTATCATGTATCTGACCAAGAAGAAGCATCCCGAGGAAGAGAAGAAGACCGAGAAGACTGATTAAAATTACGTTGTACATTTCGCATTATGTTTGTTTGTTTGTCTCAAACACTCAACTTGTTTATATAAAAATAACTTGACTCTCTCTCTCTATCTTCTTTCCATTCCATTCCATTTCAGTCCATTCGGTTCGGTTCGGTTCCCTTTGGCTTAATGGTGGAAGAGACGCAGCCCCGTGTGCACCATCGTCATGCCATAGGAGTCCGCGGCAGCAGTGACGGCCTCATCCTGAATGGAGCCTCCGGGCTGCGCGATGTACTTGACTCCGTACTTGGAGGCCTGGTCAATGTTATCGCGGAAGGGGAAGAAGGCATCGGAGCAGAGCGATACGCCGTCCATGGTCTTGATGAACTCGTCCTTCTCCTGCTGGGAGAGAGGCTCGGGCACTTCCTCGAAGAGCGTCTTCCACTGCTCGTACTCCACCTCCGTGAAGTCGCCCTCGATGTACCGCACACGCGCGTTCACGCGGTCCTGCTTCTTCACGCCCTGCTTGAACTTCAGTCCCAGCACCTTCGGATGCTGGCGCAGATACCACAGCGCCGCTTTCCGCGCCTAGCCCTCACGCCTCGCTCCCTTCCTTCCTACCGCCAGCTTGACGCAGTCCACGCGGCTCTGCTGCCCCGCGCCGACGCCGATCATCTGTCCGTTGCGCGCGTAGGCGACGGAGTTGGACTGCGTGTACTTCAGGCAGATGTTGCCGAGGATGAGATCGTTCATCGCGGCCTCGGGGATCTCCTTCTTCGCCGTCACCACGTTGCCCATCTGCTCTCTCGACGGCACCACGTCGTTGTGTCGCTGCGCCAGCACGCAGCCGTGCAGCTCGCGGAACTCCATCGGCGGCATCGCGAAGTCCGCCACGCCCTGCAGCACGATGAACGCGCCCTTCTTCTTCTTCTTCAAAATCTCCAGCGCCTCGGGCTCGTACCCGGCCGCGATCACGCCGTCCGAGATGCACGTCGCCAGGAACTGCGCCGTCTCCACGTCCACCACGTCGCTGATCGCCGCGAAGTCGCCGAACGACGACATCGGATCCGCGTTCCGCGCGCGCAGATACGCCAGCGCCGCGCCGCTCATCTCCTTCTCTCCCACCTCGTACGCCTCCTTCTCCACCTCCGTCAACGGCACCGCGATGGCCGCTCCCGCGGGGGACACGTGCTTGAAGGACGCCGCGGCGACGACGCCGAGCGCCTGGCGCGCCTCCTTGACGAGCATCCAGCTGTTCAGCGCGTCGCACAGGTTGATGTACCCCGGATTCCCGTGCACGATCGTGAACGGCAGGTCGCTGCCCAGGTGACGGTACAGGCCGGCCGGCTTCTGGTGCGGGTTGCAGCCGTATTTCAGCTCGCGGACCGGGATGTACGGACGCGTCGCGATGATGTCCGTAGCGCCCTCCGGGTTCAGCTGGCGCGCGAACCAGCTGCTGATCGCCGCGTCGTACTTCGCGGAGAGGGCGAAGGCCTCGGCGGCGAAGCGGCGGCGCAGCTCCAGGGTGGTGCAGCCATCATGCGTTTTCATCTGGGAGCGTCACGGGATGGGAAAGAGAAAGGTACCTCCTCCATGAGGGCAGCGTACTGGCTCGGAGAAGAGCAGATCACAACGGCAGCGTGGTTCTTGGCCGAGGAACGGAGCATCGAAGGACCACCAATATCGATGTTCTCAATGCAGGTCTCGAAATTGTATCCCTTCGCCACGGTGTCTTCGAAGGCATAGAGATTCAGAACAACCAGGTCGATCTTCTTGATTCCGTTGTCCTTCATGTCCTTCTCGTGTTTCTCGTTTCCACGGACAGCAAGGATTCCTCCATGGACCTATGTGATTACAATTAGAGGAAAAAGTGTGTTTACCTTGGGATGCAGCGTCTTGACACGGCCATCCATCATCTCAGGAGCACCCGTGTATTCAGATACGTCCATCACCTTCACGCCAGCATCACGCATAGCCTTGGCAGTTCCTCCAGTGGACAGCAACTCCACTCCGTAGGACTCCAGGAACTTGGCAAGATCCACGAGTCCCGTCTTGTCCGAGACGGAGAGAATGGCACGCTCCACCTTGAAGAGTGACTGAGTGGTTCCTACGCCTTATCGCCTCCACCAACCTCGAACCCTGAACGGCAGTAATAGTATGAGCCATGGTAGATCAAAAATCGAATCTGCTAAAAGAATCTTTGCACCTTAATCTGGAATGAAACGCCTTTGCGCCAAACTACCAAAATTCCCGTTTTCATCGAGAGGGATCGTTTCTGATGAACTGAAGCAGTTGTAAAACAGAGTCGAATAATGCAACCCCTATGCTTACTAGAATTACTTTCAACAAGTAAAGGGGGGGGGGGAGAAGAAAGGAACTACGTAATCAAGCAACCAAACCCTCCCCTATTCCATAATATACTGTTTGGAACAAACAAAGCCACAGAATCACGTAATCGAACAACCAAACCACTCACTCACTGCTCAAAAATGGGCAGCATATGCCCGCCCGTAGTAAAGAGTGTTTTTCCTAGAGTCAGAATGTTCTTGGTGCTGAACAGCAGATAAAAGAACTTCATCGTTTTTCCCACGAAATAGCTCGGAGCCTCATCGCCCAACGACGAGAACGCGCTATGCACATCTCGATACTGCGCGAATCCCGCGTCTGTCTTGCACTTCTCCCGGATGCTCTTGAAGATATTCCATCCCCACTCTCTATCGCTCATTCCCGCGCCCTTCGTCCCACATGTAGATCGGATCCTTCGTCATGTGATACAACACGAAGAACGTCTCGATCGTCTCTCCCCGCAGCTTGTACTCGATGCCGATCGGCCCGGTCTCGAAGTCCCGATCCTCGCTGAAGAACACCTTGTCCGCCGCGAGTCCGCTGGTGGTGGAGCGGAACATTTCGTAGCACGTGTACGCCAACGCGCGCGCCTTCCGCTTGTTCCCCTCCGCGAAGCGAGAGTTCGGGTTGTAGTACGCGGTCAGCGCGTAGAGGGCTGGGATTGAGAGCGCTGGCGAGGCGTACTGGCCACGGAGCACGCGTACTGCTCCATTTCGGGATGGAACTTGCCGTTCACGAGGGATCCGACGAAGGTGTAGCCGCCGTGGTAGGAGGTGTGGAGGAGATGGGCGTCGATGCCGTGCAGGGCGCGATGGAACGCGTTCTGCAGCGTGATGTTGCGGTACTGGCTGTGCACGTAGCCCTTGAGCAGGTACTCGTAGAAGGGCCCCGTGGCCTCCGTGAAGCTGAACTCCTTCTTCAGCACCAGCCCCGTCAAGCGAGCGAACTAAGTGAAGGAACACTCTTTCGTTCTTTGACCATCGATCGATCGATGAATCAATCGATGAATCAATCGATGAATCAATCAATCGATGAATCAATCGATGAATCAATCGATGAATCAATCGATGAATCAATCAATCGATGAATCAATCGATGAATCAATCGATGAATCAATCGATGAATCAATCAATCGATGAATCAATCAATCGATGAATCAATCGATGAATGAATCAATCGATGAATCAATCGATGAATCAATCAATCGATGAATCAATCGATGAATCAATCGATGAATCAATCAATCGATGAATCAATCGATGAATCAATCAATCGATGAATCAATCGATGAATCAATCGATGAATCAATCGATGAATCAATCAATCGATGAATCAATCAATCGATGAATCAATCGATGAATCAATCGATGAATCAATCGATGAATCAATCGATGAATCAATCAATCGATGAATCAATCGATGAATCAATCAATCGATGAATCAATCGATGAATCAATCAATCGATGAATCAATCGATGAATCAATCGATGAATCAATCAATCGATGAATCAATCGATGAATCAATCGATCGATCGATGGGCGATAGATTAAAGGATATGCTATCCGGGAACAGTCCGTCGAAGGTGGGCAGCTGGAAGAGCTTGCTGTACATCGTGCGCACCGCGCTGCTGTACCGGGGATCCTGCGTGATTCGCGACAAATGGCTAGGCCGTCACCCATTTCCAGCAGCCCCACTTCATTTCCAGCGTCAAACTCCCCACCTCCGCCAAGAACACTTTGCTGCTCGACTGCTCCAGCGCGCCCGTGCGAGGATTGATCAGCGGCTGCCCGTCACGAAACCCGATCACTCCTACCGCGGGGAACCCGCTTCCTTGGAAGGTCCGGAGCAGCAGATCGCCCACTTCGACGGCCTTTTCTAACAGAATTCCGCGTCGACTGAGTTCGTAGGCGGAGAGCAGGCCGCCGAGCAGCCGCGCGTTGTAGTCAAAGGCGCTGACTTCCATGTTGACATCCAGCGAGAGGCTTTCGCGGATCCACTTCACGGCCGCGTCGAATTCCTTGCGCATTCCCATCAGCCAGAGCGTGTCCAACGCCTCCACCAGCGTGATTCCCACGTGGCCGTTGTTGTCAAGCCCGGCGTTGCTCACTGGGAGCAGCTCGTCCGACCCCCACGCGTACTGCTGATAGCTACACTCGAGCCCTCGCCTCGCTCTCACCCCTTCCAGAAGTGCTCCATCTCCTTCTTCACCTCGCTCTGTCGCTGCTGCACCAGCTCGTCCCACTCCTTCTCCAGCTCCGGAGGAATGCGGAAGTGGTACGAGCCGCCCTTCAAAAACTTCTTGTCCTTGTTGTTCAGCGACTGCAGGAACACTTCCATGTCGTTTCCGCGCTGCACGCGCTGCCGGCCCTTCGTGTCTAGGTCCCAGCGATCCGCCACTAAGTACTCGAGACGTAGATCACCATGTTGCCGTCGATGTCTTCCACCGATTCCGATTCCGGCTCGCTGCCCGCTTCGGCCTCGCTTTGGACGCTCGGGCGCGGCGTGGAGGCAGCGGATCGCCTGGACGCTCGCTCCACACGACGCGGCGCGTGCGTGGCTGGAAGATCCAGCACGTCTTCGTCGTCCTCGTCTTCCTGCTGCTGCTGCTGCTGCTGCTCATTCTCCTCGACGTCCTCAATGCGAATATCGTCCTCCTCCTTCTCCCGCGGACCCATCCAATTGCGACGCGATCGACCGGATCGACCGGATCGGCTCGTTTCGTCCTCGCCTCCATTCACTCCCAGCCCATCCACAGCGGCTTCGTTTCGCTCAGGACGTATCGAATGCACCGCCACCGGCGCTCGCATTCGTCGCATCTGCTTCTTCGCTTCCAGCTACGCTCTCACTGCGCTCTCCTCGCCCTACATCGAGGTCCGGCTCGTTCTCCGTCTCGTCTAGCACGTCCTCGCTGAGCGGCTGCATGGCGAGATCGTGATTACCCGTGCGGGTGAGCGAGACGATCTGGCGCGGAGCCAGCTTCACCGCCACGTCCAGGGACTCCAATACGCTGTGCGAAATGGTCCGGCCCGCGCCCAGACGCGCGAGCGTCGCGTCCTCCAGCGCAGAAGAGAAAATCTGGAGATAAACCGACGGATAAGCGAGTCGTACGGCGATGGAGGCGATGTTCCCCACGAAGGGATCCGTTCCGAAGCGCTCACTGCCGATCAGAAGCATTTCCGTGTCCTGCGCGTGAGAATCGGACGGAGTGGAGGGCTACTCGGATGCAACGCACGGTGACGAAGCTGTCGACACGCTGGCCGTTGATGTAAAGAATCAGCTCCATTTTGTAGCCGTGCTCGTAGAGACGCTTCTGGGACGCTCTGTCCGTGGGACGATTCACGCGGAGGTCCTTGAACACCACGGCGAAGTGCGTCCAGCGGTTGAGACTGCGGGGAGAAGGGAGACAGAACCGTACCTCTGGCCGATGTCGATGTCGTAGTCCTCGCAGGTATTTTTGCGGCCCTTGTAGATCAGATGGAAGTGCCTGAGGTGGAGACAGTAGAAGAGAGCGTACACTTCGGAGTTCTCCAAAATTTCGAAGAAAATGGAATATCCTTGGACAGAGTCTTTGTCGGGGGACGAGCAGAGCTTGTTGTGGGTCGATAGGACCGTGTACCTCCCCTTGGCCGATAATTCCTTCATGCGAACCCAAAATGCGATCTAGTCAAAAGAGAGGCAAATCTGTACCGTTTGCGACAGCGGATCATCATAGAAATTCGCCTTAACCAACGACTTTCCATCGAACAAAACGCTCGAACTACAATAATAGGCAAAACGAGCGACTACGAAGGGAAAGCGGACAGCAAGTTTCTTATTTCCTTTAAGTTCTTGGACGATACATCGGCTGTTGAGTACCTACGATAGAAGCCATCGCCGTACTCGCTACTGAGAAGATGGAGTTTCTGTCATAATATTGGCAGATAGTACAACAAAGAACAACGCACATATACCGATCACGATAAGAACAAAGAAAATGGCTAGAAACGAGAAAATAACCTTCTCAATGGGATTGTGTCGTCTTCTCCTTCCTACACGTCATACCTCGCACCAACATCGTCTCCCTACTTTGGACCTCTTTAGGAACCATTCCAAACCAAAAATGTGAGAGATTATGAGTAAAAAAACGTACGATTTTTGGAATACTGAACAAACAAGAAACAGGCACAAAAGCAATATACAATTAGTGAGAATTTCGCATCAAGTGATCAATTCGATTTATAATATCAATACAGTCCGGGACGCTCTTCGTCCGAAAGGTAAGCACCAATTGGATCTCTACACAACACCTCTCCCCCACTCCTTCCTACCTTCCCCTTCCTTCGTGTTCGTCTCATCCTCGTAGTTGTCCTTATACTTAATCACAAACCCATCCGGCGGACTATGCATCGGACTAATCTTCACGATGTCCATAATATAAATCCCCAGACTCTCTTCCGAGGTGCAGCACCCCCAGCCCATGCAGGAGTGCACCGGATCGATAAAGATCTCATCTCGATCGATCGCAAAATGCCGCCGTTTCTGCTTGTCCTTCCCGGTAATCAGCCACACGTCCCATTGCTTATATTTCCCCGCTTCGAAGTTCGTGATCACGTGGTCCGTCATATCCAGATCGTCGTCGTTGATGTACTCCGGGTTGTACGTGTACGTCGCGCACTGGATCACTTTGGGGCCGTCGAAATACCGCTCTATCATCGAGCCCGCTCTCCATTCCCACTGATTCGCACGCGGAACTGCGTCAAATCGATGTCGCACAGCCGCGTCGACTCGTTCACCACGTCGCTCATCATCTTCAGCCGCTCCTTATCCTCCGCAGCCACCGTCAGCTCGTACGTCTGCGCTCAACGCCGCCCTCCTCGCCTACTCTTCCCGGATACAGCTCGCGCTTCACGCGGTTGAGGAGCTGCCGGCACGTCGACGTCGCCGGCATTTCGAACGTGAACATCTGGTCCTCGAACGCCACGCGGTATTTCACGTCGTCCTCGGCCGACGTCGGCGTCACCACTACGCTCCTCCACGCTTCAATCCGCCCCTACCTCGCGGCTGGTAGTCCGGAACCGACACCAAGCAAAACGCCTGCGGCTCGTCCTCGAAGAAGTTCGTCAGCATGCCGCCGCGCTCCAACGCTACGCCTCACCTCGCTCCCGCGCCTCTACCCGGGAAATCCAAGTCGCACTCCCCGTTCTCCATCTCGATTCGAAGCTCGTACGCCATGTTATCCGCGATTAACGGCATCACGTCATACCCGGGGATCGCTCGCATTTCGCTTTCGCTCACCACGCTTTCCTCCTCCACCTCCGCGCCTCCCGACGGGTCCAGGAACTCCGAAAACCCGTCCATTCCATTCTCCGGAGGACTCTCGTCCAGCGGCGGCGACGTCGCGAAGCCCGTCGGACTGCGCGGTTCCGCGGGGATTTCGGGGTTCGGCTTGGCGCTGCGCTCGTCCTTGAGCTCTTGGAGACGCTTCTGGAAGAGTCCGGAGAGCGCGTTGGCCTTGCGGATGGTCTTTTCGATGGTGTCCTGGACGGTGGCGTCGCGTTTTAAAATCAACCAGATCGGATGCTTGTTCGGAAGATACACTTTCACGCGTAGCGTGTTGCCGTCCGGGACGTAGGAGCCATCGTCCTCGGCGTTGTAGTCCTCTTCCTCGAGGCTTCGCGTTAGCGGACCTCTGGGAGGGAGGGTAGGAGATTGTTCATTACTCAAAATCCTCATCGTAGAAAGGGAGTTGCGGCGGGATTGGATCCTGCGCTGGCAAAGTCTCTATGGAGACGCTGCTATCGGCAGCAACAGACGCGGTTCCCGTGGAATTCTGTAATTCAACATGGGAACGAATTCAGACCCGAGTTGCTTCTCTCCCAGCGCTATCCTGCGTAGAAGTTGGTCTCGTATCATGTTTACTATCTTCTAAGTTGGTCTCAGTTTTCGGCTCCTCAACCTTGTTATCTAAATCAACTGTGGCTTTTTCGTCATTCATTTCGAACTCCGATTTGACACACAATATATCTCCACTAAAGATTACTCACCGCTATCCACCCTAACTCAGAATCCGCAATGCTATAACCATCCGCCACATTATGCCGATATCGCTCTGTGTTCCCAAAGTCAATTGATCTTATCACTCTGAATTTGTTGTACAAGTCATCGATGTCACAGAGCTGCATCTTCTCTCAATCCTTTCAGATTCTGATCTAACAAGCTGATTCTATTTCAAATATGCGTACAGGACCAAAAATCCAAAATGATTATCCCACTTTGTTTCATGCCTGCAATCCATTTTTTGTTGTGTGCATGCCACACCTCCCAACTCTCCTCTCCCGCGACTGTCTCTAACAAACACGCCATCATTCCTTCTTCTCTTCTCCTTCCTTCCCTGTCTGTTCCACTGAACCCAGCGCAGAAATCGATTTCTGAACGTTGAACGACGCGTTGAACTCGTTCAGTTTTTTCTCAATCTCCGAGTCGAAGCAGAATAGCAGCTTGTTCTCTAGACGAGCCAAGTCCACTGGGCGTCACACTGCGAAAGACCGTCCTACCTTCCATGTCAAGCAAGGACTCAATCGTCTCGTTGCAGTAATCGGTCCATGTCTTTGAGAATTGGCGTCTTCGAGTGAGATTGAACTCAATACCGCACATTTCGGATACTGTGTCATCAAAATGCTTGCTTTGCTCCTCTTGCTCGGGAGTAGGGTTCGTTTGATCCTACTGTTTATTCATTTCAGAGCGTTCACAGTGATCTTCTCCATGACATCTCGGTTGCTTTCCTTCTGAATCTCTAGTTTCTTTTCCACCTCACTCTGGATTGTGGAAATGTCGTTTTGCACAACATTTTCTTCCTCCCTTTGCACCGATTTTGGCATCGGAGGGGGAGGAGGCATGGCGTTGTCCAGACTGTTGCCTTTATCTAGTTTTATTCTCTTTTCTGGAGCAGTGACTTTGATGGGGTGCACGTTTGATATTACTTTAGGCTCTTCTTTGGTTTCATGTAGTTTTAGGAAGCTCGACTTTGCACTCGACGGAACCACTTCTAGATCCTTTAGTCATCCATTTTAGTGGATACTCGCACCCGTAGGATTCTTCTTCTCTACCGAGAAGTTGAATTTGAACGTCTTTGCTGTTTCTTCCTTTCTATTCGTGAAACTAGTATTAGGAAGAGTACTTTCGAAAAAACGACATCACAAAATCGAAAACTAACTACTACTCTCTTGGAGGGAAATCTTCTCTTGGCTTTCGTTCACAGGAGAGTTCGGACTCTGTCTCTTCCTGCTCTTTCTGTGCTTTCCTCCGTCATTGGCGTGCAAGTTCTGATCCGTCTCCAATCCTTTGCCTTGGAGGTCTTCCAAGATTCTTGTGCATTCCTCTCCAATCCCATACGCATTTCCGAGTGTTTCCCAGTCATGAGCGTTGTGCACTTGCTCCGCTCCTTCTTCGGTCTGATGCTTTCCTTCGGTGATAATTCGGTACACGGTATATTTCACGTTGGCAAAGCAGTTATTGTATTGGGCAGAGAGACGTAGGAACTCTCGATTCGTATCCTTGTAGGTCATACTCTCCCCTCTAAACACGCCCATATCGAGAATCGCTCCTCTCCCTATCATTAATCCAGTTGTGGGGAATTTCTTGCGGAGAGAACAAACATCCTCAAACGAAAAAATATCGCCGTTGTAACAAACAGGAACCGAGGGTGCGTACGCCTTCATGGCTTCCAGCACCGTTGGGAAAAACTCTTTATGACAAGGCACGCGCGGACGATCGTCCGTATAGCGAAGATGCAGCGTGATCGCCGATGCGCCCGAATCGACGAGTCTCTTCATAAAGTTGATCGTGTTCTCGATAGGACCGTCAAGCAAACGAATTTTGCACGAAACAGGAAGCGACGTGCTCTTCGACAGCCCCTGAACGATCTGCTCCATTACACACAGTCCTGATCGGTACGCTGCAGGCGATGTCAGGCGTCTTTAGGAGGGCGGAGCCCATGTGGCCCTGCACAGAAAACTGCTTCGGACACCCCATGTTAATGTCGATCGCCGAGACGTCCTTTTCTCTTGGGGTTACGCCTGCAAAACACGCTCTACACGACTTTCGAAGCAGCGATCGCGAATTCAGCGGTCGGAACGCCCAATTGAAGAACTAAGTGTTCTTTTTCTTCTTTCGTTGTTTGAAATACAAGCTCGTTCTTATCGTCCATAAAATCAATGGTTCCCAGCACAGCTACCACTTAATCGCTTTCTGGTCAATGCTACGATTCTCTTTCCGAACGCACTTTGCGAGCTTCATCGCCACAATTTCCTCAGAGAAGACGGTTTGGCACCCTCGTCTTCTGCAGAGAGTTCGAAAGGGAAAGCTGTTCTACGGGATCATCCAGTGCTCCTTTTACAAACCATTCTCACCATAGGAGCTAACATCGTCGTGCTCACATACAAACGTCGTACCACCTCGCTCATCTCTTTCGCAGGCCTCTCCAAAGTCGTATTCTCCGAAATTTCCGTCGTTTTAAACAAACACTGAATTCTACATTCCGGAAAACATTTTCAACATATCCGAAAACAAGCTCCCCTTCGGCTTGATGCCAAAATACACCTCTCCGATCTTCTCCATCGTCTACACTCACAGCACGGCCTCGCTTTTACTTGCAGCAGCGCGGGATCTCTTTCCAGTTCAGGCGTGTATTTCTCCTTCAGAAGATTGAAGAGCGGCGCGGCGTCACGCTACACTCAGAGAGCAAAGCAGAGAAATACCGTAACCGTCTGCAGAATGAACGAATCGAAGTGGAACAAAGGGGAAGACATGATCGCGCCCTTGGCTTCGAGTTGCGATTGGACGTTTGAAAAGAGATCGTTCGCATCGCGGAGGTTCTGTTTAGCGATAAGCCTAATTGATTAGAGACAGCATGAATTACCAGAGAATCGAACGCGTGATAAACAAATCCAGCTCGCTTTGGTAGCCGTGGCTCGCCCAATCGAGAAGCATGCTGGCGTAGCTACGCGTAACGGTGTAGAGATGGAGGATACGATTTCATATCTCCGCTGAGAAGGTAGTAATCGTCAGCAATCGCATATTTCCCTTCCGTTCAAGCGGAATTTTCGTTCTTTACCTTGATCCCAGTAGTACTTCGCAACAACACGATTCAGTGCTTGATAGCCGGTCAGAGCGTTTCCTGCTGTATGGCACCACCTTCGTATTATACAAAAAAACAAAGAATTGAAACTCAGAAAAGGCGGAGATAAGCTTGTCTTTTTCCTCTCCTGCGGGAAACTGGGAGAGAATGTTGATAAATCTGTCTAAAATTGATTTATCCCTAATTCAGAAACCTCCGATTTCAGTAGTAAAAGTGGCTTTTCGCGATTTCAAGGAATTGAAATACAGCACAGCCAGATCGTACGCAGAGATAGTCTATGCAATAACTACGCAAAAAGGAAAGAATCCACTTGATTATGTTTGTTCATGTTCTCAATTCCGTGAAAGAGCAGTTCGTCCGATTCCTTGTACTTTTCAGCAGTTTCATACCTATGTGTCAACCAAATTTTGGGAGTATCCACCTCGACTGCAGACTCTTATACAGCTGAAGTGCCTCGTAGTAATTTCCCTCCTCCAATTGCATATCCAGCGTCTTGGGAATTGTTCCGACAGTTCTGCGCATCTTCAACAATCAATCAACAACAACAAAATAAAGGTCTGTCAACAAACACGCAACAAAAATGTGAAATCAGCATATACCCCACGATGATCGCTCGGCCACAACGCACTATCCTTCGACATCATTCCTGCCTTCAGATCATCCGTCTCCGTACCGCTCCATGGCTTCAATCCAATCAGCTGCGAGTCGTCAACCCGCACATGCACTCCACTTCCCTGTTTGTAGATGATGTAATCAATTCGCTTCACCGGGTTGTCTGTAGGGAAAGTCAACGCTTTTGCGCGCGCTCCTTCGCTTGGTGACCGCGGTTTTGGCTCTGGATGCACCTGCAAGAATGCATCTTTGTAATTGGTTCTCTTGCCGCCTAGCTCTCCTTTCCCCTTCGCTTCACGCTTTTCCCCTTCCCTACAATCAAATACCGGATCGCGGCGGAGTCTGGCTCCGCGTTCAGGTCTCCGCAGAACACCGAGAACTCATTGGCTCCGTTCCAATCGATGAAATCCGACAGCTCCCGCACCGTTCGATCCCGCGCCGCCTCCGACAGCGACAAGTGCGTTCCGTAGACGTGAATCGTCCCGATCGACGGCACGGCGATCTGCGCATGCAGGACCAATCGCTGATGATCGTCCTGCTTGTCCGTGTAGTCGCGGCTGAGCAGAATGTAGTCCTGTCTGCGGATCGGGAACTTCGAAAGCACCGCGACGCCTTCCTCCACGCGCGAACCGTGCTCATTGTACATGTTCGCCGGCTAGCCTTCGAAAACGCGATCAAACGCTACTTGGAAGATATATTGATAGTCGGGAAGCAGTTCTGTTAAGTGGCGAAGCTGAAAGCGACGTCGTTGATCCCCGAGCGTTTCGTCGTACCGAATCTCTTGCAGAACGATGATATCCGGGTCGGCTGCACGGAGATTCGCCGCCATCAGCTGCATTCGCTTGTAGAACCAGTCGAATCGCCGTTCTCCGGTGATGAACCATGATGCGGGCATGGTGTTCCAAGCGTTGTAGGAAACGATTCGGAGGCGAGGATGCTGCGTAAAGAAACGAAAAATATGGTTACAAGAGACATCATTCCGGAGAGTCTCGAAATGGAGGAAACGAAGGAAACATCGCCTAAATATTGGCGAACGCTGCTTCCTGGAACGAAACTGTGGTGGAACAGGTAATGATGACCTTTGCGGTCGCGTGAGATGGTGATATTGTGGTGCAGAAGCAGGTCTGATTGAGTAGAAAAGAAGAAGAGAAGGGCTTACTGTTGTTGTCGGGGGCGGTGAAGCAGACGAAGAAGTTCTTCCCCATGACGACGTTCTCTCTCTCGCCCGTGAGAAAGGAGTTCGCTTCCTTCCAGGTCTGTCCGTCCACCGTGTAGCGAAGATCTTGCACACTGTAGGGTAAGAGGGAAAATTGGTTGGCACCGAGACATTGTAATTCGAATATTGTCGATTCGCATGTTGGACCACGAGTAATTCACTACTAAGCACACTTATCCAAAATAGATACGAGATTTATTCAGCAACGTTTTCTCTTTACCGCATAATACATCCCAAATACTGCTTAGCGCCTCAATCAGCTCTGGATCTGATGGGGAAATATCATCAAAGTGAAAAAGAATATATCCATATGCAATATCGGCATTCTCTGTGCTTATTGCTAAAGCAGTCAGCAGCAAAAACGAAACAAGTACGATTTCCCCATATAGCAACAGGGTAAGATTTCTGGAACAATTTGGATGACATTCCACCCCCAAATTTGAACGAAGCGCTCAAACCAATAGAAAAGACGAGTACTCTACAATTTACAGCTTCCACTGTATACTAAACAGTAATAGTCCCCAAGAGTGTTCCATTGATACAAAGAACGAGGATTATGAAATCAGACTTGAATGAAACTCCAAAAAAGAAGTGTTCATTTTGTTTTAGAATGGCAGAGAGTGAATTTAAAAAGCTGGATAAGTCCATTTTCAATCAAAAGTTGGATGTCCTCGCTCTGAAGATCCCTAGTCGGAAAACGCAGGAGTTCCGGTATCATAATGAGTGTTGAATGAGGAGTAGAAAGCGGCTCGGCGATTGGTTGCTTCAAAAGCAACGATTAAGTAGTATTGTTCCAATTCCCGGGGATAATACAAAACGATTGATATTATTAAAGGAGTCAGTAACGGAGAAATCGCTTGAGCAGCTTCCGGAAGACTTGAGACGGTGGGTTTTGGATCAGGAGGACGTTGAAGTTGTAAATCATTCTCTGACACTCGACTATAATTATTTCACAGCAAACGAAGTCGGTTTCACACATACTCTCTCACGATCAGATTTTGTCTCGTATTCTCCCTCAGGGTTCCGAGATTCCATCTGCCTTTGAGCAGGTCGGTCATTTAATCCATTTAAACCTTCGTGACGAGCTTCTTCCGTACAAATATGTAATCGGCCAAGTGTTGCTCGATAAGATCCCAACCTGCAAAACGGTGGTCAACAAAGTGGGTAAAATCGACACAGTGTTCCGGACCTTCGACATGGAGCTGCTGGCAGGAGAAGACAACACGGTGGTGAGTCTGAAAGAAGAAAACTGCATTTTCGAATTCGATTATCGGAAAGTGTACTGGAACTCGCGTCTCCAGCACGAACACGCGCGGCTGGTCGCAACGTTCGCGAAGACGGACGTGGTAGCGGACATGTTTTGTGGGATTGGTCCTTTTGTGTTGCCCGCTGCGAAGAAAGGCTGCGTAGTGTATGGAAATGATTTGAATCCGTGCTGTTTTGAGTATCTGAATAAAAACCTGAAGTTGAACAAGGTCGATTTGATGAGAAAGCGTGATGAGTAGTTGGAAAAGAACGTCAAGACGTTCAACTTGGATGCTCGCGAGTTCATTACGCAGATCGCGAAGGACGATATCCCCATCACTCAGATTGTTATGAATCTTCCCGTGTCCGCTGAGCTCTTTTGCGACGTGTTTCGAAGCTGCTTTAGCGTACTTTCAACGCATCGATGCGAAATAGAACTTCTCTCACCCGCTTCCGATGGTCCATTGCTATATGTTTAGCGCCGCGGAGGATCCTGTCCGCGACTCCATTCATGTGGGAGCGATGAGGGAGCGTGACTCGTAGCGATTGGAAGGGATTTTGAAGGCGTCGCTCAGTTCAGAAACGACGGAAGGAAGGCTGATTCGCGATGTGGGGCCGAAGAAAATGATGACGTTGGTGTCGTTCCGTCTGACGGAGGACATGATTGATCGGTGCAATAAACGAGAAAAGGATGTGGAGGGAGAAGAGGGTGAGGGAAAACGATTGAAAGTTTGGATTGTTTGTATAGAAATAATAGTAATCATAATGATAATATGAAGTGAAATACTTTGATGGATTCCCTGGAAATCGAAAGGGATATCGAAAAGAATCTAATGTGAATGGCACGATGATTCGAGTCAGTAGAAAGATAATGTTCGGGAATGATGAAGGCTTTTGTTATACTAGAATAGTACTAGGAGAGATGTATTGATTGAGTATTTGGAAAGGAATCAAAGAAGTGAGAATACGTAGACAATCAAGAAATGAAATAATACTGAGTGATCAAGTGATAAAAAAAGTCTGAAAGAGGATTATAGGATTTTTCAAAATGAAATTGTTAAAGTAATGATATTATACTAGGGATATTTCAAGGTAATTACAAATATGACAAACATTACAGCAAAAGAGCACCCTATAAGAAGAGTATAAAGAAGCAAAATGAATAATAAAAGCATAATCGACCACACATGTTAGCACAGTGCACTACATAATTCCATCATTTCACATTGAGAAATCAATTCCATTTCTATCATCCCAAACACAAATCTATAACTACTATCCAAAAAAGCATTCAGTCCTATTTTACTTATCTCTACCCCTTTTTGTTTTCCTATTCAACATAGCATCTTTCACCTTCTTTCTATCCCATATCTTCAACAAACACTCAATTTGATCTTAATCTCCTCAACTTCCACATCTTCACCCGTCTCCTCATCCTTCCAAATATCCTTTGCATCCATCCGCATCGCCGATTCGATTCCCTCCACATTCGGCATAATGCGATCGAGCACAACACGCAAATCATCTGGAGGTGTCGCAATACGCGCCAATTCGTCCTCGCCCAGCGTTTTCAACTTCTCCATATTGGGACCCAATGATTGCTGCACTTGCTGCGTCCAGGCAAAGAAATCACGACGGAAGTCCGGGTTCTTTGATATTTCCTCATCCAACGCTTTGATTACCTCCACAGACTCCTTTTCGATCCCAGGGAACTCTTTATGGATTTCCTCGTCACTCATGGGCATTTTCTCGTTGCTAATGATTTGATTCACTTGCTCTGTGAGCGACTTCTTGTCATCTTCAGAAATATTCAACATTCCGATAATCTCGTCCATGGACATGTTTTTCAGTTCAGGACTCTCCGACAAGATGTGATCGAGCTCCTTCAGCTTCTTTGTCTCTTCTTCAGAAACAATATCGGAAGAAAGATCGATTTCCTTGAGCAACTCGGCTACCGTTTGTTTATCGGGCTTTTTCGTTTCTTTCTGGGGTTCTCTCACTACTGGACTAACTCATAATTCGAAGCTCTTACCGTCCTTGAGTTGAGACTTCGGTTTGTTTGAAGGGCGCACAGAGCCTGCTCTACCTATGCTGAAATGGTTTTCAATTCAATATACGTCGATTCGAGAAATCACGACAAAGGGGAGTCAAACGAGGAAAAACCGTAACGGCGGGTCTTGCCAGTTGAACTAAACGAGGAACAGCAAGACGGAACATCAACCAAACAATTTGTAAAACAAACACCTCCTAGACTAAATATCCATTAATTCCCCTTCATTTTCTCGATCAGCTCATGCTGCTGCACGACTTTCTGAGCCATCACCACATGCAGGTTTTCCACCAATTTCCCTTTATACGTCACAACGCCTCTACACGTCACACCCGCTCCTCTCCTCAACTTTCCGGACCGCTCGGCCTCCTCAAAGCAAGCAATGATGTTCTTCGCGTCCTCCACCTCCGTCGCGGAAGGCGCGAAAATCCGATTGGCCAACTCGATCGTCGACGGATGAATCAGCGTTTTCCCGTCGAACCCGAACTCCTTCCCCTACCCATTCACGCTACCCCGCTCCGCATACCTCCCAGCACTCCTTCTCGAAGCCCTCGAGATCGCGGACGTTCAGATACACGCCGTCCAACACCACTTTGCCGTACTTTTTCGCGGCCAGCACCACCATTTGCAGAGAGAGCTGCAGCGCGCGACGACTCGTCACGTTCAGCTCCTTCGAGAGGTCGCTCGTTCCCATGATGATGCAGCTGTTTCGAGGAAGACAGCCACAAATCTCGTCCGCATTCAGAATACCTCGAGGAGTTTCGATCAGACTCCAGATCTCCTATGTGTCAGTCGAGTTCGTTTGATTCTAACAGTCTTGGGATCCGCTCCGCACTCATTGAGAATTGCATTTACGCGTTCGATCTGTTTTACATCCATTCTCCAGACCTACTTGATCCGCTCGTTCCACTTTGGGCAGTGCAATCGCGTTGCATCCACTCGTGGCAACAAGACGGAGATCATCTTCACCCCAAGGCGTATCCAGACTATTAATACGGATGCAAATCTCACGCAGTCCATAGCCTCCCTTTCTCACTTGCTCATTCACCATTTTACGAGCTTCCTCCTAGGCAAGGATTATCAAGCGAATATGTATTAAATACTTTCTTGTTGATGGCAACCGCATCTTCTAAATCGAGAATCAGTCCATCTGCAGCCAAGGTCTTTCCTTTCTCCATAGCTCGCGCATTCGATCCCGGCATATACAAAACACTCCGTCGCGGATGATTGCTAGCCACGAAGGGAGCGGCGGTCGCAGAGAAGCAGCGTTTCGACAGCCCAAAGGCTTTTCTACGACTCTAACGACTCTGCTGCACTGCATACCCTACCAACCTTCTCGAAGCACACAACATATCTCAAACAAACAAAATAAATGGAACCACATTCCAAACGTGCGAGTACCCCCTACAACTACGCGTCACGCACCTGCTCCTCCCCTACCAAGGGTACCTCCACACTTTCGACGGTCTTGACCTCCTCCATTCCATACAGCTGGAACTTGGTGGGCACATAGCTTCCCTCCACCAGCACGAAGAACCTCGGTCCATGCCGATTGAAACTCTTCCACAGCGCCTACCTCGCACGCGGCCCTCTCCCCTACCTGCACGGTGATCATGGCGCTGCAGTCGATGTACCGCACTCCGCGCAGATCCAGCAGAACCCTCGCCTTCACGTCGTGGATCAGCGCGTTCTCCACGCTCCGACTCACCTCGTAGCGGTTCAGGAAGTGCAGCCACTTCGTGCATCGCACCACCGTCACGCCGGCGGGGACTCCGCGCACCTCCTCGACGGCCGACGCGTTCGGAGCGTCCTTCCGGATCGCGTAGAAGGCGTGGAGAAGCGCTGCGAAGGACATCGCGATGCCGGCGAGGAGGCCGAGCTGCGTTCCCAGCGTGACCACGCTCACCACGCAGACCGCGAAGGTCCAGAAATCGCCGCGCGATGCGCGCCAGAGCGGCTTCATGTCGCGAAGCTGAGCGTGAGAGGAGAGAGAAACAAAAGAACGTGAGAGAAGAGAGAGAAGAGATTGACGATGACGATGGCGGCGAGACAGGCGTTGGGGATGTAGCGGATGAAGTCGACGAGGAAGTAGAGCGTGAACAGCACCACCGAGGCGGAAATGATCGCGTTCACGGGCGTCTGCGCGCCGATGTTGTTGATCAGCGACGACCGACTCAGCGAGCCGGTGGACGGATACGCGGAGAAGAAGCTGCCGAGCAGCGAGCAGCTCCCCAGCGCGACGAGCTCCTGGTTCTCGTCGACCTGGTAGCCTTTCTACGCTCCCAGCCACGCCGCTCTGCGTACCTCGCGCGAGAACGTCTTGCCCATCGAGATGGTGATCACGAACGCGATGGTCCCGATCAGAACGCCCTGCGGAATCACGCGCGCGAGATGATGCCAGTTCGGAATCGTCAGCGGCGCGAAGCCGGCGTGCAGCTCGTATTCGCCCATGTAGTGCAGACCCCACCGGTCGTGCAGGTCGAAGAGCCACATCAGCAGCACGTTCACGATGATGAGAAACAACTAGAGAAGAGGAACGTGGAAACGGAGAACCTCCATCGGGAGAGGGACGCGCGGAAACACGCGGGAGTTGAGCTGTTTGAGGGCGTAGAGGAGAAGCATGGAGCCAATGCCCACCAAAAACGCGTACCAATTGTACGCGGCGATCGCTTTGGCGTTGAAGATGTCGAAGAAGATAGCGAGAAGGGAGTCTTTGTTGGTTGAAACGCCCCAGAAATTCTTGAGCTGGCTCGCGGCAATGTTGAACGCGGAGCCAGTCGTGAAGGCGGTGATGACGGTTTCGGAGAGGATGTTTGTCACGAAGCCGAGACGGAAAACGCCCAAAGTCAGTAAAAAGATACCGCTAATGGCGGAAGTGGTCATCATGGTAAGAACGTATTCATTGAGATCCTTTTCAGGATCCAGGAAACTAAGAGCACTTCCACACATCATACTAACTAGACCGTCAAATGCTGCATGAAATCGTACCGATGGCACACGGACCGATTGTCACTTGGCCGCATGTACCCAAGACACCGTAAGTGAATAAAGGGACTAAACAGCAATACAAACCGTACTGAGGTGGCAAACCAGCTAACATGGCATAAGCCATACTCTACATATCGGCATAAGAACAGCAAGCGTGTACCTGAGGAATGGCCATAATTCCTACAGTAATTCCAGCAATTCCATCAAACTTGAAGGCATTCCATGTATAACTAAATATCGTCAGTGGAATGAGTATCTACCTTCCAAACAATTTCGTAATTGGGATTACACTATTTATGCACGACTTAAACGAGTTAATCTAGCTGGAACACAAATATTCTATTATACTTCTCTTGGAGTTTGGTCAAGAAGATTCTCGTATAATCCAGATTGATCCTTCTCATTCAGTTGAACACTCACCTGCTAAAACTTCATTCCAACCCATTGGCAATACGCTATTGCTAGAATTCACTCCACCCTCTGGAAGCATTGTCAAAACTAATATTTGTATGAGACCATCTGTTAGATTCACTAACCGCGGTTATTTCCATTACTGTCTTGTGCGATTTTTCGATAGTTTAAGATAGGATTTCTGTGGTCCCTACATGCAACTCAGCTTTCTATTTGGCTTCACACGAGAAAAAATCGGAACCGCGGGAGGTTTCAATTTTTGACGACTTACTCAGTTTTGTTTATTCGTTGACGTAAGCGAAGGAAAATGAGTAGCGTATTGTGTCTCATATTGCTTCATGACGAATAGTCGCAGAAATGCATTGACTTGCCTTCTGGACCGATTGATCGTCTGAGGAACGGCTTCGATAATGAACCTCGCCGAATCGATCCTCATCCACTTGAAGAAAATTGCAAAAATGTGAGTTTCGCCAAGTTCTTCGTTAGGCGTAGGTTTTTACAAATGAATATGAAGAGAGAAAGAAAAATCTGAGACTTATGTATGGTCCATATGTAAGAAGCGTTTCTGTTAGTTTGAGCATTTTAGGGTTCCTTTGGGTTTGAGAGAGAAACTGAAATCTGCAGTCGACCGCTTCGCCTCGCCCCGCTGAAGAATCATTATTGCGAGTTGAATACTCTGTGGGATCGTGATGAGGAAATTACCTTTGAGGATGTATTGGGAGGTACGTCGTGATGTGCTTGGTTCATTGGTTAGACTGGACCTCAAATCCTGATTGTCATTAAGTCTGTACTATTCTCTCAGTTTGTTTGTTTGTTTACATACTCACTGATCCAATTTTTGGTGTTTATAATTGCAGATTCCACAGTATTATTTGTGGAGGCAGTGATGCAACGAGAGTTCATTCGCTACAACCGAAAAGTGCTGGGGAAACCCGAAATCTTTGGTAGTACAGTGAAAACCTGGTGAGTTGAAGGTGGTGGGGAAGAACAAGAAAATCGTGATGACAAGGATGAGGTGGTGGATAGAGAGGAAGAATATGATGATATTGAGGAGGAACAAAGTGGATTTGTTTATTCTCTCGTTTACTGAATAGATATCGATATAAATCAAGACGAATTGAGTAAAAATGCTTGTGGGGAGAATAACCAAGACGAACAGGACGAGATGGATCCTTTGGACTTGTACATGCAGGAAATTGACACAAAATTAAAGCAGGAGGCGGCAAGTCGAGTAGAAATATGGATATGAATGGCTAATACATAGAAGGCAGCAAATCAAGAAATAATGGAAGAGGAAGACACGGACTATAATCAACTAATCGAAGGAGAGCGAAATGAAGCACCCGAAGACACATCAGGAAGTATGATAGCCAGTCTTTCTTTGATATTATCATTTAGTCATCTATGACGAAGACGGGAATCCAAAGAAGATTACCAAAGTGGCAATCAATCTGGTCACCGCCATCCAGCGCGAAGTGTCGTATCCCCCTCTAAAGAAAGACTTCTATCCTGATCCTGATCCTTCTCCCCCTCCAGAAGCCCCAAAAAATTCCACGGAATCCTCGGAATCCTCGGAATCGCTCGCCGCCTGGAAAACGCAGCACGGCGTCGAGATCCACAACCTCGCTTCGGACGCCTCTCTCTCCCCCAAAACGCCCCAGCCCGTGCTTTCCTTCGCCTCCCTCCCCTTCCCCGCCGCCCTGCGCCGCTCCATCGAGACGCAGCGCTTCCTCCGCCCCACGCCCATCCAATCCGCCGCTCTGCCCCTCGTTCTCGCGGGCCGCGACGTCATCGGCAGCAGCCCCACCGGCAGCGGCAAGACCTGCTGCTATCTCTGGCCGTTCATTCTGCACGCCGCCGCGCAGCCGTAGCCCCTCGCCGCCGCGTTGAGTTTTAGAGAGCTGGAGGAGGCGGACGGGCCCATCGGAATCGCGATGGTTCCCACGCGCGAGCTCGCCGAGCAAATCGCCAGCGTCGCGAAGACGTTCTTCGCTCCGTTCCGTCTCTCCGTGATGTGCATCACCGGCGGACAGAGCGAGTGGCAGCAGAAGAAAACGCTCCACGTGCGAAGCTTTCACTTCATCGTCGGCACGCCCGGACGGTTCATCGATCTGGTGAATCAGAAGTACTTGCCGATGAATCGGTGCTCGTACGTCGTCCTGGACGAGGCCGATCGCATGGTTTCGCTGGGGTTCGAGCAGCAGATTCGCTCGCTGCTCGGCGTGATTCGCCCGGATCGCCAGCTGCTTCTGTTTTCCGCGACGTTTCCGCCGCGCGTCGTGAATTTGTCGCTCGATTGGATGGCGACGCCGGTGCGCGTGGCGGTGGGACGGTCGGGAGAAGCGAACTCGAACATCGAGCAGCGATTTGAGGTCATGCGAGTCGCTTTTAGCGAGTTGGTTCCATTGTAGGAAGGGCAGAAGATCGGGTTTTTGCGCCAGTGCATCGCCGATTTGGAAATGAAAGGAAAAGTCCTGATTTTTGTCAATACGCGGCAAGGTGCGGAGGAGCTTCTGCACACGCTGGAGAAGCTCACGACCTCGCCGATCGGCTGCATCCACGGCGAGAAGATGCAGTACGATCGCAGCGACGCGATGAATCGCTTCAAACGCGGCGAGCTTCGGATTTTGATCGCGACGGACGTCGCAGCGCGCGGATTGGACGTCTCCGACATCCGCACAGGTCGCATTCGAAGCGGTTCTCGAGCGTAGTGGTGAATTTCGACGCGCCGAGCAGCGTGGATGTGTACGTTCACCGCATTGGGCGAACGTGTCGCAGCGAATCCGCCACGGGCCAGGCGATTTCGCTCTTCTCCTCGCGCGACAAGCAGTTCGCCCAGCAGCTCTGCGCCTATCTGCGAGGTCTCCAGCAGCCGATTCCCGCGGGATTGGCGGCCTTGGCGGCGCAGGCGACGCAGGCGACGGGCGAGAAGAGAGGAAGCAGCCGGGCGAGCGGATTGGGGTTCGGAACGGAGAGAGAAGCGAAGGTGGGGAGCGAGCAGGACGCGTTCGAAGGGTATTTCGTGGAGGAAAAGAGCGAGGCGGAGGGAAGAGTGATCGCGCAGAGCTCGACGGGGTATCAGACGGTGTACGATCCCGTGTCGAACACGTACACGACCACGTTGGCGAGGGGAACGACGGGGGTGCAGGGGAGATCGGCGTCGAATGTGGCCGGATTTGTCGCGGGGAGGAGCCAGAAGGATGCGCTGCCGGTGGCGAGCTATGGAGGGCCGGATGATGAGTGGGACAGCAGTGTGATGGCGATGGAGAGCGCGTTGGCGGCGATTCAGGCGCGAAGAAGGGAAGAAGAACGCAATCAAAGCCGTCGAAGCAGAAGCAGAAGCAGAAGTAGAAGTAGAAGAAGTAGAAGTAGAAGCAGAAGTAGAAGCAGAAGTAGAAGAAGTAGAAGCAGAAGTAGAAGAAGTAGAAGCAGAAGTAGAAGGAGTAGAAGTCATCGACATCATAGCCAGGATCGACATAGTGATCGAGATCATAGAAGAAGTCACCATAGTCGGGATGATAGAGAAAGCCATAGTCATAGTCGTAGTTATCATAGAAGACATTAAATTTTCAGTGTTTTTTGTAAATCGTTTTCACTGATTTTCTCTTCATAAGGCATGCAGAATAACACTCTCCTGTTGTGTATTCTCTTGCTCTTTCCTACACTCCTTCTTATTCTCTACAATTCGGTCAAAGTTATCAACAACAGCTTCTCGTACATCCAAAATACAGAGGTATTCTTTCTTTTTGAGATTCACAGTTAGAAAGACTACAGTATAATTTATCAGGAGGAAGACGTGGACTATGGAAAGAAATATATATTCAACACTTTTCATGCTGCTACTTCACTCGTTCTTGGCAATGCAGAAGATGGCAACACGAATACAGTTTCTGATACAACTCCAGGTGAAAACACAGTATATCCATACGCTTCAATCCATTCGGATCAGGAGAAAGAACATTCGGGTGGTGATGTTGTCTATTCATCAGAAAAAGCATCCTCAATGGTTTTGAAAGTGACTCAAAGTTCACATGGTTCAATGAGTGACAACGATAATCAGTTGGAGTTGAGTGATTCGAAATCGTCCTCCGACTTGGAAGAATCACAGCATTCCTCGGAGTCTCCTATGAGTAAAGATCAACCAGCAATGGATGAAGCATCTGATTCATCTCTATCCACAACGAACGCTAATGAGCGTGATTCGAGTGATACGAATGAAGCAAACACTCCAAACGATTCTTCCTCCTCTTTTGATGAACCACTCAATGACGCTGCAAACACACCTCTAGACCCCTCTGCGAAGCCCTCCTTCAAACCCCTTTCGTTTTCCTTCTTGAAACGCACCGGCAATGAATCGAATTGGGCCTTCGGTCCGCCTCTTTTTCTCGAATACATGAACACAAAATACAAAGCGCTCCAACGCAAGCGCGTTTCCCAACCGAAACGCCGCATCGTCTACGAGAAAAAAGGAACAACCGGCATGGCCGGACAGATGATCGGCGTTTGCGACACGCTTTTATTAGCCATTCTCCACGATCGCGCCATTCAAAGTGGCTCACCTCTTCTCTCGTTTGACGCGTAGTCTGGGCGCCAGCGTTGCCCGAAGGCATGTTTGATTTCCCGCTTTCGAATCTCACATATCAAGCCATTCTCCCTTCAGGTTTTCTTGTTTGTTGTGCGTTGTAACGACTAGGAGCGAATCCATTTGGATACGTTCCGGATATCAAACACTCGTTTGCACACGTGATCGATTTTCATTGGTCGAGAGAGTTTCCCGGAATCCACAGCGAAGTCGACTTCGATGCGGAGTATCCGAAAACGCTTCTCATCATTTCCTACCACCCTTTTTCGCACGAAGTCCTTCAATTGAACTCCACGAAGAAAAAACTCGCGCAGATCGGATTGACACAGCCGAAATCCGATGAGTTTTCGGCGTTGGCGTGGTATCGAATCTGCATGCGGAACGTGTTTCGACCTTCTCCGCCTCTCCTGGAGCTTCTGCAGCCGTATCTCGATCGAATCAAGGGGCATTATCTCATCGGAATGCACGCGCGAATGGGGAACGGAGCCGCTGCGTGGCAGGACGGAACGAAGTTTATGAAGATCAAGAAAGTGACGAGCAAAATCTTCGAAATCAAACGAAAACTTCGATGGCGCAGAGACGCGTTGTTCTTTCTATCCACCGATTCGGAGAAGGTGGAGAGCTTTTTTAGGAAACGGCTGCACGAGTCGATTATCGTGGTCGACGACTTTCCGAGGATGCACGTAGGGAAACGAGGCGTAAACGAAATGGCGGTGCTTCGGTCTTTTATGGATATCTATCTGCTGGGACAGTGTAAATATTTGTACCTTACCGCTGGAAGCGGGTTTAGTACGGCGGGGTTAGCGATGAATGGGAGAAATCCGAAGGTGGAATATCTCAATGATTGACGTGGATGGCATGTTTGTTCATAAAAGGTTTTGAAAAGAATTGTGTGTTTGGAGAATGAATAAAGTGAGCAAAATCCAGTTGTGTGATATCGTAATAGTACGTTTGGACGGTCATTTTCCTAGGGGTTGAATTTAACCGATAAAATGTATGTTGGAAAGTACAGAGGCAAATATCGACATGAAAATGATATGAGTCGTGTGCTGCAGCGTGCTTGGGATAATGGCGTGTCGAAAATCATTATTACGGGTGGGAAACGTTGTCTCCATTTGTGAAGTGTAGCTGGGAATCTAAAACAATCACGAAAATCTCTTGAGTTGGCAAAACAGGATCCTCGCTTATATTCAACGGTGGGAGTTCACCCGACTCGTTGCAGCGAATTTACTGAAGAAAATCAAGACAAAATGATGGAAGAGTTGATTGCTGTGGGGAAGGAAGGGAAAGCGCAGAAGAAGATTGTGGCTGTAGGAGAACTCGGTCTAGACTATGATCGACTATTTTTCTGTAATAAGGAGGCGCAGCAGAAGTATTTCCGGTTCCAATTCAAGCTGATCCGCGCACTGGATCTTCCGCTATTCCTCCACGAGAGAAACTGCATGGAAGACTTTTTGGAGATTCTGAAGGAAGAAGATCCAGAGCATCATCTTCGCGGGTGTGTTCATTCTTTTACTGGAACGAAAGAGGAGGCGAAGAAGATCCTGGACGCTGGATTTTATATCGGGTTTAATGGCTCTGGAATGCGTACCGAAGAGAGCCTGGAGGTAATTAAGTCGGTTCCTCTCGAGAAAATGCTTCTCGATACTGGTTTTTGTTTGTTATACGTGTTAACAGCAGATGGACCCTACTGCGGAATCTCCTCGACACATGCTGGATATAAGTATGTCAAGACTCACTTCCCCGTGAAGAAGCTTGAGAAATATGACCCAGATAGCTTGGTGAAGGGGCGGAACGAGCCGTGCTGCATGATGTTAGGATGGGAATAAGCGCTGAAGTGTAGACAAGTGTTGGAGGTCGTGGCTGGAGTACACGGAGTACCTGTGGAAGAAGCGGCTTCAGTTATTTATAAGAACACGCAAGAACTGTACTTTCCTTGGGAATTATGGTGTGTTTGTTATAGAATTCCTGATCGATGTTCAAAAAGCTAGTATCTGATTGTTATTAGAAAGGTGTGACTTGTAGCAACGTCGTGTTGATGAGATCAAGTCTACTTTGGTGGAGTTGAATTCTTCTTTGACTGAATCCTCAAGCGAAACATGTGTACGTTTCTCAAAGCATTTTCTTACCTTCTATAGCATTCTACGATCCTAAAATTGGACAATGAGATTTCAACCGATCTCGGTGTGAAGATTGAAAAAATGTATGCAAAAGCGATTGAAACAGACCCAGAAAAGCAAGTGTACGGTCCGGAAACATGTGCCAAAGTGAATGTGTGGAATTGGAGTTAGTTCTAGATTTCTAAATTGTACGATGAATTTAAATCAATGAAGGAAGATTTATCGGCTTTGAGCGCCCGTTGTAATGAGTTTGTATCGAAACTTCGTGATGAACAAGCGAAGGAGGAAGCAAAAAGGAAAGAGGAAGAAGCAAAGCGAGAAGAAGAAGAGAGGAAGAGGAAGGAAGAAGAAGAGAAGAAAAGAGAGGAAGAAGAGAAGCGAAAAGAGGAAGCGAAAAGAAAAGAAGAAGAAGAAAAGGAGCGGCAGCGCCAAGAAGAAGTCGCAAAGCGGAAGAAGGAAATGGAGAAGGAGTTGGCTCGGCAAGAAGCCAAGCGGAAAATGGAGGAAGAAGAAAGAGAGCGGCAACGCGATGCGATGCTGGCTCGACAGAAAGCCATCTTGGAGACGCTGCGAATCCAGAAGGAAGAAGAAGAGAAGAAGAAAAAGGAGGAGGAAGAAGAAGAAAAAGAAAACGAGAGAAAACAAGAGGAAGAAAAGAAGAAAGAGGAAAAGGAGGAAGAAGAAAAGACGAAGAAAGAGGAAGTGGAAGTGGAAGAAAAGATAGAGGAAGAAGAAAAGAAAGGGAAAGAGGAGGAAGAAGAAAAGAAAGGGAAAGAGGAAGAAGAAGAAAAAGAGAAGAAAAAGAGAAACGAAGAAGAGGAAGCGAAGAAGAAGGAGGAGGAAGAGGAGGAAGAAGAAGATCGAAAGAAAAAGCCGAAAGAGGAGGAGAGGACAGCAACGTCCCCCTCCCAGAGCCACCGAAAGCCTTCCTTGCCTCGCGATGACGCCTCCGAGGAGCTCCGCGAAGAATCCTTCTACCCGCTTTCCTTCACTTCGCAGACCTGGGACGCCTTCCTCGCCTCCGAAACCCAGCAAATCGCCCAGCTCCACCCGGAATTCCTCCCGCCTCGCGGCCTCCAATCCACCGACGGCGGGCTCTGGACGCTCCAGGACTACTCCAGCTTCTTCCCCGTCGTCTTCGCTCCCGACGCCTTCGCTCTCTGCGTCTACTGGCACCAGCCCAGCTCGCAGCGCAGCCTCGAAAACCTCGCCTTCTTCGAAGCCCAGCTCGTCAATTTCCCCGCGCTCCGCGTGCTCATCGTCGATTTGTCGCTGTTTCCACAGCTGCTTTGCCAGCTCGACGCCTCGCCGCTTTCCATCCAGTGCTTCCTCTTCGGAACATTGGTCGATTCCGCCGTGGAAGACGTTCAGACCGCCTTCTTGTCCTTCGCGCGCTCGCTCGATTCCCGCTTTTTGGATTATGCGTTCGGCGTCAGACCGCGCTCCTCGACGGACCCTTCCGAATTCCGCCGTCGCGCGATCGAGCACGAAACCTTCGGCATTTACCCTCTAATGAACGAAATCGCCACCGCGTTAGACGCAGTCTTGCAAAACCTTCACACGGAATGTGCAGATGCCGAAAAGGAAAAAAACGCTCTTAAAGTAGGAGAACCGCGAACACGCAAATCGTAGCTTCTTTCGAAAGTACTACAGAACCTGCTCGACCATCCGGACAATCCGAAAGTGTACCGGCTTCGCGGCAGCTCCGATAAATTGCGCAGACAACTGACCGGATTGTAGGCGCGATCGTCGCGTGCGAAATAGGGAAAACGGGCGAAAAGTGCTCGAACTCGCGGGGTTCGTGCTCGAAAAGGAGGGAGACGAGGAATACTATTCCATGAAGGAGGGAAATCTGAATGTTCCGTGGATCTCGTATGTTGGGAACGAGATCGATGAGGCGTTGGATGGGGAGAAAAAGAAGAAAAAGAAAACGAAAAAGACGAAGGAGGAGGAGGAAGGAAAGCAAGCGAACGCCGCCACGCGACGCAGTGAGAGATCGCAAGGAGGAGAAGAGCGCAAGGAAGGGGAGGATAGCGAGGAGAATTTGTCTTATGAAGAAATAAAGAGAGAGTACGATCAAATGAGTCTGCAAGAGCTTGAGTGGGAGAGCTCGCAATTAATGATCCGTCTGTGCTCGGATCCGGATATAGCGAAGCTTGTGGAGAGTATTAGCCGCGATCCGCAAGCGGCATTGAGTCAAACGCCCGATCCGTCCTTGTTAGTTGGGTCGATGAAATTAAATGCGAATAAGCGATATCGAGCGCTGGCAGCGGCAATCAGAGAAAAAATGCCTCATTTTCTTGTTTGTTTGACACAAATTCCTTAATCAGCATTAAAATATGGTATTTGTGCGTTGGATGGATTACAATGCGTAGTTCGCACCGACTACTAACTACAGCAATGGGGGAGTAGCGACGATTTGGAGTTCTACATGGTTGAGCACCGGAGATATCGTAACGGGTTCGATCGATGGTTCTACTCGTATCTGGTACCCTATAAATTGAAAAGCTATTGGATAGGTCACCTTCGCTGGAAACGAAATTTGACTTGAAATCACAGCTTATGGGAATTGTAAGTGTCTCTAGCAGCCCCAAAATGCCATATTTTGTAACCAGTTCGATTGATGGCACTTTGTGTGTGCGCTCTTCGCAGAACGGTATTTCCCTGTGCGTTCCATTGATTTTCAGGGGAGGTGATTCAGAGTTTGTCTCTCGGACCGATGGAAGCGTGGAAAGTCTTGTGGACCTCTGTACGATGTTTTTTTGGATTTGTGATCAGACAAACCAAATCATAACCGGTAACGGCAACGGTATTGTCAAGATTTGGAGCTTTACTAACAACATATCCTCTTTCTTTGTCCATTTTTTCAGAGTCAATGAGAGAACTGCGAATCAATTCATTTTGATGCATCTTTCCTCATTGCTATACTTCCTCTCTTTTTTCTTATCCTATTTGTTTCCTTCATCGCCACAAACTCGAATCCCCCAAAGAAATCCCCACCAACAATGGCTTCATCATGAGCCTCGCCTGCGTATCTTCTTCTTCCTCCTCCTCCTCACTCCCAGTCCCCCGAGGGCGATCTCCTCGCCACCGGCCACAAAGACGGCTCGCTCACGCTTCTCGACCTCTCCAAACTGCGCGTGCTGCACACTCTGCACGGTTCGCTTCGCTTATTTGTTCGTTTTGACTTCGCAGACCACGCGATGCCCATTCGCACGCTCGTTTTCTCCGCGTCCAAGCAGCTCTACGCGGGCTGCGACGACGGAAGCGTCTCGTGTCATGACTGCAGAACGGAGAGCTTCGCGCTGGTCGATTCGCTGCAGGGACACACAGGGTTCGTGACGGCGGTGGACATCTCCGCTGATGAGAAGTACTTGGTGTCCAGGTAGGGGAAGGAAGCGCTTGCGAGGTAGTTCGGCGGATAAGAAGGTGATTGTGTGGTCGCTGAAGGAGAGAGAGACGCCGCAGACGATGAACTGTCATAATTGCATTGTGTGGTCGGTAGCGTTCTCGCCGGACGGGTCGAAGATCGTTTCGACGGGGGACGACGGATCCGTGCAGATTTATGTTAGGAAGGAGACCGTTTAACATTGTTTGTTTGATGGAAACCTGAAGGGATGGGAAATATCTGTTTTCCGAAAGGAATTAGTAACAAACCAGATGCCTTCGCTGTAAGAACAAAATCTTGTGTAAATGAAAGGCTTGTGGAACAAGGACCGTTGCCACATTATTCGATCAGATTAACGACACAAATCGTAAATTTGTTGAAAGCGAATTAGATCCAAGGGATAAAACTGTGGAGAGAAGCTTTTCGGATAGTGGATGATGTATTTTTGCCAAAGCACTGTAGAATCAAGTACGAAGCTGTCAAACAAATCGTGTTTAAAAACGTGGAGATCAATTACGAGGCTGTAGGGAGTTGCGGCATATCTATCTATTTTCTAGTATCCTACGTTTGGTGTCACCTTAGATTGGGACGCGTATGGATCATTAAGCGAGGAAACCAAGTACTTTTTGGTAGAGGTGCTAATTTGCAGAAACAGTGCCATCCGTCTCTTTTTAGTGCTGAGCGAAATGAATGACATGTATTTTTCTCCGATCCTTCCTGGCATGATCCTAATGCTCATGAACTACATAAGCGAGGAGGAGGTTTACATTGTATTCTTGTTGTTTTGTCCTTAATTCTCGTCAGATCATATCCTCGATCCTCGAAAATGTAGATCTGTACCAGAAATACTTGATTCTGAACCAGCGCTACGAAGAAGCGTTTATTGAAAACCTCTGTACCATAAACCGACGTTGTATGCTTTTCTCTGCCCATCTCGACGCTAGTTGCTAATTCTGACAATGTACATTTCTCCCAGCTGCATCCCTCACTGTACGGATACATTCTCCACGCTTGGATGCCCGCCTTCTTCGCCCTCTCTCCCTCTCTCGACGTGAACGTTCGTTTTTTCGATGCATTTGTGGATCGCGGTTTCTGGGTTTTCATTCCTTCGCTCCTTCATCCACGCAGCTCTTCGCAGCGTTCTACGTCGCTTATCTCAATCGCTACTGTCGAGACCTGGAGTACGAGATGGGCACGGACGACGAATCCAATGTGTCCCACGTGCTGGAACACATCAAAACGCTTTCGCTGGACGACGTGGAGCTCCTTCTCGCCGACAGCATCCACCTCACGTTTGCTTTCGATCGTCCGCGATGAGAGCGCAGAGAGAGCTTCGCGCAGGAGGAGCAGGCGGTGCAGCAGCTCATGGAGAGCATGCAGCACCGTATCGACGAGGGCGAGAACATCATGAACATCTGCAAATATCACATTTACTACGTCATTGGACCCTCGCGACTCCTCACCGTGCAGCTCTGCAAACGACTCATGCCGCTTCTCCCAGTACGCGTGCAGTCGCAGGATCCGCGCTTGCTCTACACGTCGCTGATTCACGGATATCACGTGACGCACTTGCTGGAGTGGGGCTTCCCGCGGGGATTGACGGTAGAAAAGCGTCGTACCACAAGCCGACGCTGTTGCTGATGCAGATCGAGCACAATGGGAATTATATCGGGCTGTATCGCGAAGATCGGTGGAGTCGACGACGCGATGCGCACGGCGTTCCGGAGACGCTGCTGTTTTCGATCGTGTTCTACACGAAGAAGGGCGAGACGTACCCGGTGATTGAGAAATGGAGCGGACGTGGGCGTGGAGAGGGAGAGTGATGGGTAGGAGTGTCGGATGTGTTTATTGACGGGGTGGAGAAGCCGACGGTGGGGAAGAAGCGGGGAAATGAAGAGTAGAAATATGTGTATGTTCGATCTCCGGATCATTATTTGATGATTGGCGCTGGCGGAAAGAAGGGGATCAGTTTTTATGCGTCTGAGGACTACACGAAGGCGTATAGTCAGCAGAGCGATGTGTTTTTGAATGCTCCTCTGTGTGGTAGGGATGGGGCGAGGGGTTGAGCGTAGATTTGGAGTTCTTCTCCATTTCGAACGTCGAATTGTTTGACTTTGTGAGTCCGGGAACACTATCTTGGTGTGTTTGTTGGAAATCATGAGAAAGAGTGGTGTGGGATGTGTGATGGAGGCAGGTGAAGGAAGAGAGGAATAAGAGAGGTGCTATTAGGAGATAATGGGATGTACTAAATAATGAATTAATTCGTTTTAGTCAGTATGGAAAACTTCAAACTCGCTACTCTATATCCTTTTCTGAAGGAAGTGTGTTTTAATAAAAAAGGATATTTAGAGAGTATACAACACTCCATACTTTATAACTCTACTCACTCTTTCTATCTCCAGGTGTACAGTTTCAATTCACAACGGTCAAAACACATCTGGAAAGCCTTTATTATTATTATTATTATTATTATTATTATTATTATTATTATTATTATTATTATTATTATTATCATTATTTTGAAAAAATATAAGTTCCTATCTATGAAAATTACACTGTCCAATTTGTATAACACTTATAACAACCTATCACCCAATAAAACTCTATTCAAACTATATCACTTCTGGAAAAATACCATTAATTAGGCTCGCAATTATCATAAAACCATTTCAGCCAAACACCTAGTCTACACAAACATTCGTGTTGCACACTCCACATCCTCAATAGAATTCATAATTTAAAAATTCTATCGACAACCACGCTGTATCTTGGCAAATAAACACTCGACGGTGTTTTGGAAATGATTTTAGCACTTTATTTAAGCGAAGATACATGGATTCCCGCGGCTAATCCAGTATTTTGTAATCTTCACAATGAATTATGGATAGATCTCATCAACTGCGCCAGTACTCTTCTGCATATCGCTATGTTGAACATGATGAACGCGACTGGAGACGGACCTATGATAGTCAGCCTCAACGAAAGAAGGATGTGAAGATGAGTTCGAAGTGCGTGGCGCTAAGGAGATTAATTATTGCTATTTTTGTCATCCTTGCAGTTATTATAGCGGTTGTTGCACTTATACTATATTTTTATAAAAATGAGCCCACGGTAACTCGTGTGTGTCCTCCTGGATTTACCGGCGAGCAATGCGAGCGAAGTGATTTTCTAGGCTCGCTAACATGGTATGCTGATGATTTCTACACACTGGATGATGGGTTTCAATACCGGAATGGCCTTGCATTCCGTATCTATGCTCCCTCAGCCAAATCTGTTACGATTCACTGCGTATCTTTTAGTGGAGCCAGGTCTGAGTACAAGATGATGTTCCATTTTTTGTGTGAATTGAACTGTAGAAAGCAAGATAGTGGACATTGGTTTTATGACGTTGGTGGGATTGGCGTCGGATCTGAGTACTATGTAACATTAACAAATTCGAACGAGAAGCAATATCAGCATTTGATTCAGAACGGAAAGGAAGTGTACGTGTTTTGTGAATAGCGATGAAGTGCAGCGTGTTTGCCATGAATCAATGGAAGAATCGCGAGCCACTCAATGACTACTCAGCCCCCGCGCCCTCGCAAAGGCGAGCTCTCCAAGCCTCCGACGTCATCTACACCCTCCACATTCCTTCCTTCACAAATGGCACCAACGGTTTTCCTCGTTTTATTTCATCACACGCAGGCCTGGGGACGTATCAATCCGCCTCGCAGTTCGTCAGCTACCTCGCCAATCTGGGCGTGACGGTGGTTCGGATCATGTCGCTCGAGCCAGCGATTTGCTTCAGCTCCCTCATCGACTCCCGCTGCTGGAAGCGTCGCAGCAACGTCTACGAAGGGGTCCAGCACCCCGCGTACGGCTCGCCCGAAGAGCTGGTGGACCTGGTGCAGGCGATCCACCAGAAGGGGATGCTCGCGATGATCGACGTGGACTGGAGCGGGCTCTCGCGCTACTCCGACTTCTACGACTACGACGGGAGCTCGATCCCCACGTCGTTCGGCCCGCTCTTCCAAGCGACCTACGACACCTACGAGTATCAATCGAAGACCTGCAAGAAGTTCGACCTCTCGCGCGGCTCCGCGGGCGAAACGATCGTGTCCAGCGCGCTCGACCGCCTCGCGACAGTGTTCCGGTTCGACGGGATCTACTGGCGCGGACTGATGTGTCTGCGGCTGGACTCGTCGAACTGCGAGCGCGGCACGGGCAGCGACAACGCGATCAACACGCAGTACCTGCGCGAGGTGGTGTCCCAGTTTTCCTCGTCGATTTCATTCTTCGTAGGGCAGCTGGGGGCGGCTGAGGGGCAGGTCGGAGAGGATAACGACAACATTTACTCGCTCGCGGGGTCGTCGGTGCAGAACATCGTGGACAGCGTGGAGACCGACGGCTTCGGCTTTGCGGCGAAGCGGGATTTGTCGATGTGGGCGTTCGAGGAGGAGGAGGAGTGAGCGGCAGAATGAACGGACTGCGCTCGATCCTGCTGACGGAAACGATCGTGATGCGGGATCTGATCGATTTCTTGCAAGACACGTCGAAGCTCGCGACGACCAATATCATTTCTCTCGAGACCGCAGAGACGGCGAACGTGCGGAAGCCGCGGAGGAGTCATGTGTAGGAAGAGAGATTGATCAACACGTGTCTCACTCTCGAGCAGGGAAACTACACGTTTGCCTACAAGCGACTTTTGTTGGCACAGTTCATGATTGTGTCAACCCCGGGCATTCTCAACTTCTTCCAGGGCTCCGAGTATCTGGAGGACGATAACTTTGCCGATTTGCCTAGGCCTTTGCAGATTGCGGAGAAGGTGGGAGATGGGGGTGAACAGCTGACCGGGGTCAATGCAGGGTTCTTCAAGGCGACCAGGAAAATGCTTCAGATTCGCCTGCAGTACGCACTTTACAACATCGTGAAGCCGAACATTTACTTTTTCGGAAAAGAGCATTCGGTGTTAGCCTATCTACGAGAAACAACCAGCGAGTCTTTGGTGGTCATCCTTAACTTGTCATCCAAAGATTACGCAGAGAAACAGTGGGAGTGCGAAGGAAGAGGAGTGATGTGTAGAGTCATGGTGGATTTCCCCTTCAGTTCGGCAAATGTAAAATGGACAGATCTGTTTACTACGGATAATCCCGAGTATGATCCAGAGTTTGACGATCTCAGGCAAGAGATAAGACTCTTCCGCTGTAGAGATCACTTTTATGAATGGTGTGGAATGGTGTCGATTGGACCTTTTGGAGTAAAGGTTATGCACATTGCGAAGTAATTAAAACCTGTAGTATTATTATAGAAGCGTAATGCTGTTTGATGAGTCCTGTTTTTTTGAATCACAATCAATCCCTTCTTCCAAAGCAAAATACCCTCTATCTAGCTCATATTTCCTTAAGATTACAGATAAAAAAAAAGAAGGTAAAAGTAAACGCACTCGAGTGAATTGCAACAAACAAATCGTCTCTCTAAGCATTTAGAACGTTTAGAAAGTGGGGTAAGAGTTCATCTGGTTGATACCGCAGATACCAGCTCCAGACTCGGTGTACTTGATCTTCAGGTAACCCTTGTCACCCCAAGATTCACCCCAGGAGTTCTTGACAATCCAGTAGTCAGCACCATAACCGACAGCCAGCACTCCGTGGTTCAGAGAGGTTCCGCAAGCGGTGCTATCAATGACACCACCAGTGTACATCTGGAACACAATGGAGTCAGCCTCCACAGCCACAGACACGGGTCCCTGGGACACAGCCTGCTTCAGAGCAGCACCGTCGTACATGGGAACCTCTTCATATCCCTTGGGGAACACAACAGGAGTGCACTTGTCGTCCTTGCAATCCTCATCAACAGCGTGGTAAGGATAGTCCTCCTCCTTGCACATACCCTTCTTCATGGCGTACTCGAAGGCATAGGTCATCCAACCACCTCCGCAACCAGAAGACTGATGATCGCAATCAACGAGCTGCTGCTCAGACAGAGAAATGAGCTCTCCGTTAGCAACGAAATTTCTGCCCTCCATGGCACCGGTGGCAGAGAAAGCCCAGCAGGATCCGCAAGAAGCCTGGTTCTTGACGGGGGTCACAGCTCCCTTCTCTCTCCAGTCAACAGTCTCATCAGCACGCTGCATGATGGGAGTGGCGGGCTTGGTCATCTTGGGCTTCAGCATGCATCCGCAGAGCTTGGAGTTAGCAAACTCAGTGTTGGTCATATCAGCGAAAGGAGTCATACCGACAGTGTAAGGGTGGTTCTGGGCATTCATCTTTCTCGCCCACTCCATGTTGTACTCGAAGACCTTAGCACGGAAAGCTCTCTCAGCAGGGAGATAGTTCTTTCCATATCTGGCCTCGAAGGCAGAGAAGTCGTCGCGCAGGCTGACAGACAAGGCAACAGCAAAGAGAACGAAAATAATAGATTTCATTTTATCGCTTACTTAAAAATAATTTGAGAATCTAATCAACCACATAGGGCAGTTTCATAATGCGAGAGTGACGCACGTTACACTAATCACTGATTCGATGAACCAATCCGAGCAGCCAATCATTTTGGAAGCCAATTATTCTGTGTCATTGCTTACGCCGATGATTCTTACCGCCTATTAGCATACCAGACATCAAGAAAAAGGGTGACGGACTCTCTTGTGCCTCAATTCTCTATTTCTTATCAAATTGATTTTCCATTTTTTTCGATCCTTCCAAGCGGAAATGGGATCGAAGTTACATAGACACTGGGCAATCTTCCCCGTTAAAGATTTAGAGAAAGAGCAGCAATTCCACTTTTTTCTTTTCTAGAAAGAAGGAAGTCTTTCGGATTTGGAGTGCTCAAACGTGAAAGCGCGAATGGCGCAGCAGGATCCGATGGATTCGAACAAACAAAGGCAAATAGAGAATTACAGGCTACACTTAACCAAGAAGAGCTTTCTTGTTATTGAACCAACGTCGGATAACAAAGATTTGCACCACGGAGAACAAAAAGAAGGTCACAATTTCGATCAGGTTCACAAGGGACACACGATCGTGCGTCTTCATCACAACTAACCGTTACACTCCAAACCAGCCACCATTACTAGCTCGACGTTCTTCCTCTTGGAGACGGTAAGCAGCCTGCTTTCCTTTAATATCAGTCGTCATACTCTGGATTTCCTTCATGGAATCGCCAATATGGATAATCTAACGATGTCAAGCGAAACCGATCTCTACGTCTTCTCCCTTCAACAAGTCGTCATCGATTGTGTCCAATCCATCCTCTAGACGATAAAGAGACAAGAACTGAATCCGAACCGTTTTCTCCTTCATCAAAGCGGATATCGACGATCTTGGCCGCTTTAGAATACCGGGTTTTGTCATTATCAAGACAAAACGCATACTCCGAGAAATACGGAATCTCGAGAAGAGTGTCCTAGAACTCAGCCGAAAACACACCTTCCTATACTCTGAAGGTCGGAGGATGATCCGGATCAATTCCCAGCTCATGATCCGAGATAACTTCATCACGACCAATGGAGGTGATCTACCTGTAAACCCTCGCAAGCACCATCACAGTAAAATGAATATCATGTTTGCCCCCATCTAAAACACTCACAAACATGTGAGGCTTGTGACCAATTCCCATCTCATCATATAAGCAACGCTTTTCACCAGCTGGAATCTACCAACTGAAAAAGAGAACAGAAAGTTACTTCGATAATAACAGACACGGCTACACACAAGACCACACACAGGAGAAACGACTTTTGCATTAATAGCAAGTTAAAAATCGATGAAAGAAAGAAAAATGCCCCGCAATTTAGTTGTGGAATTCCAGTTTCTTGCAGAATTTTGTCTTTACCACAAATCTATACAGTATGGACGAACAGCTCTATGGTCAGTTCATTGCTTCATTGAATTTGCTCGACAACTATTCCACGCCTGCACAGCAGCGTGCACAGGCTGAGGAATTCCAGACAAATTTCCATGAAAATGAGAACTCTATTGACTATTATTTATATATATTATCCACTCCTTCACCTGGTAGGCGTACATTGTTGTTTCCTTGAGATTTAGCACACAGTGCATATATTTGCTTAGTTTGTCTGAATAAATTGAAGCTACTCATTATTTCAAAATGGGCGGTGTATGGAAAGGAGAAAAAGGAGCAAATCAAGCGTTTCGCTGAGTCTTATTTAAAGGACTGTATCAATGTAATTAGCGGAAGGTGCTCTCGACTGTAGGACGCTACGAACCCCCCTCCATATTTGACCACTAAGTTTGCTGAAGTGTTTGTGGAGCTAATGAAGCGATCGTGGCCTCAATACTGGCCCAAAGCCTATGAGCTGATTAAGCAGGCGATGCGGTCCAGTATTAGGCAGTTCCAGACCGGAGAGATGATTTTCACAATTCTTCTGCAAGAAATTAGCGACAAGGAGGAGAACAGTCGTCTGTCGATCGAGCGTCGGAAGGACTTGATCCAGGTACGCTTCTCTGGTCCGTGTGGTGAATCCGCAGCAATTCAACTACAACGGCGATGACTTCATCAAATTCATTCTGTTCACGCTCGACAGCTACATCAAGAAGATGGCAGACAGCGAGCAGCAGAAGTACCTCATCCAAAACACGATCGATTTGTTCACTGCTATGATTCCTTGCGTTTGGAATTGTATTTCTCTGCGATCTAGATCCCTGAGAAGATGATTCGGAGCAACATTGACAGCATTTACATGATGATGGATCCGGTCTCCACGGATCGCGACGTCTTCCAGCACGTCGTGAACTTTTTGTGCAGCTTGGCCGGCGTTCAATACACGGCAAACAACCGGGACTTCGCAATCAGCGTGCTGAAGCGCCTCCTGGAAGTGTCCAAGATCCTCCCCAACTTCTTCGATCAGATGGGCGATGCAGACCTCTACAAGCAGTTCTACTAGTAAGCGCGAGCATTCGTTCGGGTGAGGAGTAGTACCATCATCGACTTCTGCTCCATTCAGAACAGCTTCATGTCGAAGTGGCTGTCGACCGAGCTGGACGTCTATCGCGCGCTCCTCGCGTTTGTTCTCAGCCTGTTCACCAACGCGTCGTTGGAGATCGCCGACGCCGCGATGGCGGCGATTCCGGCGCTCTTTCCGGATCTCCGTCGCAGCGAGTTCGCGAACATCCGGCAGATCGCGCAGGAGGGAATTGCCCAGTTCCTGACGAACGTGATCACCAGTCTGCAGATCAACAACGTGAATTCTCCGGATTTCGCGTCTCGAAAGTGAGGAGCGGGGTTGGATTTGCATGGTGTAGCATCGACTTCGAGGATCAGAACGAGAAGGACGATTACATCGCCGATTACCAGAGCTATGTGAACGAGATTCGCAATCGCGTCGCGGCGTTGACGCCCACGTATGTGCTTCCCATGTCGGCGACGGTTCTCCAAATGTAGGGCGGCTTTTGAGTGTGGTGCGAGCGTAGATTCCAGAAGGGTCTCGTGTCGACCTCGCTAGGCTACAAATCGCTGCTGTGCATCACGGAAGGCATCAACGTGGGGATGAGTCGCTGCAAGACGGAGATCAAAGGCCAGGCGGAGGTGATCAGCAACGGTCGAAAGACCGTCGAGTTCCTCTTGCAGCAGAACATGGGATTCAACCAGGAACTCGACCAGCTGATCTTGCAGTCGGTCTTCGATTATCTGTGGGTGCTGCGAAAGGACACCACGCTCTTGCTCTCCTTCATCGAGCGAATCGTCACTCTGATTGGCCAGGCGTCCTCCCTCTACAAGTACGCATCGCTCGGCTCGCCTCCCTCGTAGTGGAAACACAGACCAACAGGCTCTGCTCTGCGTGAAGGCCTCCGAACTGCTCTATAAAGTGTGCCAGATTCTGGGAAACATCCTGGTCACGCAGATGGACATGATCCTCGACGCGCTCTTCGGCCTGATCTCCACGGCCATCACGCCGACGGTCTGCAACAATCTCTGCAAGGCTTTCCGTTCGATCGGGTGCGCGCGCTGACCTCTAGTCTATCTCGCCACGAACATCACCGAGTCGCAGAAGCGACAGCAGCGCTATGTCCAGGTCTTCACTCCCGTGATCAACTTCCTCTCCGAGAAGAGCGTCGTGGAATCCTATTCCAACCCGCAGAACTTCCATCAGCTCTACTCTACCAAGTCGGTTTTTTTTCTCTCTCTCGATGGTAGTGCGGACAAGCTCGCCGAGCTGGGCAATTCCCTGTCGTGCCTCGTGTTCATGCTGGACGCGATCTTCTGCACGAAGGGAGAATACCGCGAGATCGTTCTGTCGATCTTCCAGCGCATGGGCGAGTCGCTCGCCTACCTCTACCTCACCGTCTCCTATCTGCTCGTTTTCTCCAACGGAAACGAGCCCGAGCTGGCGTGCTGGCGCGTGATCACGCCTTCGGAAATCCCGTCGGCGGTGCAGTACGGGAACGCGGTGCCGCCGCAGAGCACGCGTCTCTACAACATCTTCGGGTTCCTGAACGTAGCGCAGCGATGAGGCTCTTCCGCTCTAGAAAATCTGGAGACATCTGCTGAACTTGGAGACTGTCGCGACGGACGATGTGCTGTCCTTCTTCCAGGTTCGTTCATTTTTCGTTTCCCCTCACGCGCAGAGCACAATCCTGCAGCTTCTGCCCTTCTTCCGGCACAAAATGGCCGCGACGTTCCTCACCTGCATCATGACGCCCTTCTATCTCTCCTCGCCTTCCTCCTGGACCACCAAGCAGCCCTCTCCTCTGCTCCTCCAATTCACCTCCGCGGCGCTTAGCGCTCTGCTCTCGCTGGTGGGTTCGGAGCATTACACAGCGTCCAGTAGGCCTCTCTCGCGCGCGCGGGGTCTAACATGCAGTTCGCCCCTTGGGCATAATCGCTCCTGGAATGAGCTCGGAGGCCGCGGAGGCGCAAGGCGTGGAGTCGATTTACTACGAAGGCACGTTGGCTCTGGCGGACAGTCTGCTCGACTTCCTGATGAGCATTTCGAGTAACGACGGAAGCGGGTATTCGGAGACGCTGGCGATGCGTCAGTTCCGCCAGAAAGTGCAGCAAACCACGAAGATGGACGACAAGGAGCTTCGCTCGCGGCGTACGTTCGGAAGAGAGGAACGTAATGAATAGGGCAGGCGTTCCTGCGAACGATCTTCACGCCCGTGATCGTCGCCAACGTGGATCTGTGCAAGAGTATCAATAGCTTCCTGCTCTCCTGCACGGTGAGCAGCAATGAGTCTCTGTAGCGTTTCGAAAGCGTCGGTGATGGGTAGAGATTTGTACAAGAAGGTGATTCGATTCCTTTCGTATTATGTGTTTTTCATCGGAGGAAGCAGCGACTATTTCGAGTTCCTGGACTCCGTGTTCTACTCCATCCTGCAGAATCTGCTCTCCGACTCACTGGAATCGGACCTTCGCTTGCAATGCATCATCGTCGATGTGTGCATCTACATGCTGAACGTGGTGGGACGCAGCATCACCAAGATCCGAATCGAAAAGAAGGGAATGTTTAGCTCCAATATCGAGATGGTGCTGCAGGCCCAGAATCGAGTCACTGCCGAGCAGTGCCGCGCGTTCCGATATAAAATGACGTCGAGTGATAATCTGGATCTCTATGTGAATCATTTCCGGGACTTCATTAATGAAATCAAGAATGCATCGGAAGGTGAGGAGTGCGGGGAGAGGAGTGAGGAGTAGGATCAACGAAGCCTGCACCGATTATTAAAGTGCCGCTGGTGGGGAAGAAGCCACACGCACACAATAACAATAACAATAACAATAGTTATAATCAAAACCAAAACCAGGGAAGAAGAGACCAGAGGCAGAAGCAGAAGGCCAATCGAAAGAAGGGAAGGAAGAACCGACGGCAACAAGGACAGAGAGACTTGAACGATATTTTTGAAGGGGGTGAAGGAAATAATAGTACAAATAACAATAGTAATAATTATTATTATAACCATTCGAATGATCTGCTTTAATCGATCAGTAAGAACAGTTTCTTTTTGTTTGTGAAAAAATGTCCCTTTTTTTTATGCGTCCTGGAATGACCGAAATTGGCTCTGTTTTTCGCCAACTAAGTCGAAGTCATTTTGCTAGAACTTTTGCTACTGCTATGGTATCTGGCTCATGCACGGCTCATTAGAATAGGGTTTCGACAAGGAAGTGATTAAGGCTGGAGACGGAAAGAACTTTCCGAAGACTGGTGATATGCTGACCATGCACTATACTGGTACTGTAGGCCTCTACTACTCCTTGTAACGGGATAGCTGACCAGCGGAAAGGTGTTCGATAGCTCGCGCACCCGTGGAAGACCTTTCCAGTTCGTGATTGGTATTGGCCAGGTTATTAAGGGCTGGGATGAAGGTGTGATGACGATGTCTCTTGGTGAGAGAGCCAAGCTCACCCTGACCCCTGATTACGGTTATGGCGCTCGTGGAGTCCCTGGAGTGTAAGCGTTTTTGTAGCCTTGACTATATGTGTAGGATTCCTCCCAACGCCACTCTCGTTTTTGATGTGGAGCTTCTCAAGATTAACTAAGATCTCACTCTTTTTGTTTCTTGTAACAAACATTTCATACCTCTGAATAGATATCATTCACGTTGCGTGTGCAAAGTCTGGCAAAATTCTTGTAGCCATAAAAAAACAGCAACTGCTTCTGGAAGTGGCTGTACTTTCTCCCCATCCTGGTAATTTCATCCGAATCGAGCTTGTATTTCTTCCGCAAAGCCGAACTAAACATTTCACTCGCTCCCCATCTCCTACTCAGGATGTGGCAAATCCATCAAAAACACCTGATTCAGAATATAAAACTTGAAGTTCGCAGCTCGAAGATGTTCGAAGAGCTGCACCTTATTATAGCCATAGTTCCAAAAGCGATCGTCAAACACAATAGCATCCTTATGAAACGGAAGAATGAAATAAGGCTCCTGAAAGTCCATCGTGAAGCAGCGCACGCGCGACACAGTGCCCGACATGCGGAACCACTGAGGGAGCGTGTACATCTAGCTAAGAAACAGCGTGATTAATAGTACATGAGTGCGAAACCATCGCTTTCTCCAGATACAAAGACCGCTCTGGAGACATCCGGCGAGTTCTTCTTTGGTCTGCGGCTGGAGAGCCATGCCTCTACAAGGAATTAGAAAAGAAAAAAAGAAAAGAGAAAAGAAGAATAGAGAAAAGAAAAAAAAAGAAGATAAAGTCAACTCAACTCAACTCAATTCAACTCAATTCAACTCAAGATGGATGCAGACATACAGAGTGAGACAGTATTTCATAGAGGGGCAGTAGTTGAGTAAATGATCGCGGCGGTAGAAAAAGACGGGCAAAATAACCGCAGCTTGACGATTTGAAGTGATTGAATGAGGCAGTTTCGATATTTCGCTGTAGAGATTGTCTGCACGGAAGTGGAAACGTGGAAATGGATACAAGGCACGGAGAGATCGATATCAAGCATCATGAAATGAGTGGTTTGGATGTTGAAAATAGCGAGGTTCCGAAGAAGATTGATGGGAAAGCCTGCTCTCTTATCGTGTGTCACGTAAAGCAGAATCGTGCAACGAGTCGGAATCGCCTTCGTCTCAATGAACTTCAGCACTTGCTTCTGATTGTTTCGGTTGGCGTAGATCGAGAACACGGCGTGTCTATTGAGTAAACAACAGAAACAAAGAGAGAAAAAACCCTGGCCAGTGATTCAGCATGTGAGGAACCAAAAACAAACGATCCACGGTCAGCAGCGAGACGATGGACACAGAAAAGGTTGCGTTCTCTGCAGGAAACCGCGCTATCCATCAACAAAAATCAACACACCGAACGATTGGTCCCGGAATAGATCGGAGTCGTCTCAATGTTCCCCACGAATTTCCGAACGAAACTCTCTGGTTGGGTTTTCGCTAAAGGCACAGGAGACGGATTCTCAAGCTCTCTCACTGCGGGATAATACGGATAGAACTGCTTTTCGTTCCGACTGATAACATCCTGCAGCTGCTCTAAAGTCAGTCGTTTGTTCGTGATTTCATTGCGCATCGCGTGATAGCGCCGGGTTTCATTGGCAATTTGGGGAGCGAGCATGTGCATCACTGCTCTCTGCTCGGCCTCAACGGCGTGGACGATCTTCTTGGCTTGGTTTTCGTAAATATGATCCGGAGGGAAGTTGTAGTTCCTGTAGGAGCGGAATGCCATGCTCAATGCGAGCTTTCGGCTCGCCTGTCGCGCAGCAGAGTTGAGGAATGTGCCCCACGGCTTAACATAGGTAACACCTAGGGAAGAGAGAGAAACACGAAGAGAAAACTGTTGTTTCTGGGAACGACGTTGGCATCTTCGTAAATGTTCGGAAGTCCTGAAAAATGTTCAAATGAAGAAAAAGAAGAAGAATTAATGGGATGAGACAAAAAAAGGTCTGCATCTGCTAAAATAGTGGGTCCCTCTTGATGAAAAAGTTCCGGCTCTCTGCTTGGATCGCTGAAATTCATAGAAACAACTTAACTTGAGAAAGAAAAAACATCGTTCACCTGACGACTGCGCTCGAAAAGACAGGCTCGTACTCACCTGATTTGGGTTATCCCCAGAAATAGCACCATCTACAAATCACGACAAACATCGGTAACAACTTGCTAACGAGGAGTAAACATTATTACTCAGAAAAGGAGATGGATTTTCTGAAGGGTTCGTACTGCCAAGATTTGCGTTCCGATCTTGAGGCACTGCAGACTCCTGAAAAAACGATTTCGATTCCAATGAAAGGGAACTCTCCCCCCCTTCATCACAATTCTTGTTGTCACAGTCAGTAGTGTTAGCAATGGGAGACAACATTGTAAGGACTTGGATAGAGTTCCCAATAACTCCGTTATCTAATTGATAGGAAACAACACTCGTAATTTCCTTTGCATATTGACGAAAACTATGGCAGCCAAAATTATAGCGGAAAGCCGCCATAACAAGTATAGAAACAATAAAGGCAAGACGGTGAACGCTGGTTGGCATCCCAACTAAAAATAAGCCTGTTAGAACAAAATGAGAAATACTCCCGTTTTTTGTACATACAAAAATGCGTTACAACCATATACCAGATGAGTGTTATAACGAAATATCGAGGGAGATAGATCACTATAGTTCCCCTATGTTTATGTGTTATTCACATTTGCTGATCGCCACAGAAGGTGTTTCTATTCGCATTGCTTGATTGATAGATAAGTGGAAAGATACTGGAATTACTGGAATCCTTGTTGTCGTGACGTGTAGAAAACTAAAGACCAATCTACTGCGCATATATGATTCAAGTGTATTTCTACGGACCGCCACATGATCTCTAGATTTACAGATGCCTTTTTGAAATTGAACTGTATGATCGTTGTGAAGATAATATTGTGTTTGGGACTCGTTGCTTTGTGTTGCCGTTCAAGAAGGCATCATTCTGTTTCCTTTTCGAAGATATTGAAGACACAAATCAATGTAGACTAAAAGTATTGGTACTTGCATCGATTCAAATCAGATTTTGGAGGTAGCTTCCTACTACGGAGGTTCTACCAGTTCCGAAGCTCCTACTCCCACGAAAAAGAAAGGTCATCAGTCGGTGTCCATTTCTCGAATTCAAAACGTACTCTTGTTTCTTTCTCGCCCTCACCTCCAGATCCAGCTCACCAACCACTCCGGCACCGAGCTCGTAGAGCTCTCCTTCCTCCTCTTCCTCCTCTCTAGACCAACGTAACCGGCGAGAACATCCTCAACGTGCTCTACAGCAAAGTCCGCAACAGTCGCGCCCTCAAGAAGAAAGCCGTCTCCCCGCCGCCCTCCGCGCCGCCTCCGCTTCCTCCCGTCCCCATCGAATCCCCCGCGCAGGCCGAGCGCTCCGAGCTTCGCAAGCAAGTCGACGCGCGCGTGTTTTCCTTCGACACCATCTCCGAAGAGGACGTTCCCGAGATCCCCGCGCTCCCCGTCGACCCCTCTCGCCCCTCTCTCGTCCAAAAACCGCGGAAGCAGCAGCAGGTGGCGGTGGAGATCCCCGTGCTGCGGACGCCGCCGACGTCGGGGGACCCAGGACTGTCCGGCGAGCGCGAGATGCTGCGAGCGCAGCTGAGGTCGCAGCGATTCGACGATTTGTAGGAACGGGGAAGGAGTGCGAGGTAGGCTGAGCGGCGAGGACGAAGCGCCGGTGTTCGGGAACAACAACAACCGGAAGATCTCGGATCTGAGCGAGTCGCAGGGGTGCAACCCGAGCGAGCTGTTTGACCGCGGGGAACGCGGCGGGTTTTACGGGAGCGTGGAGAACGAGCATGATAAGAACGTTGCGAAACTGCGACGGTACCAGATGGAAATGCAGTGGGATATGGTGGACGAGCCGTCGTACGACTCGAACACCACCGCTCAGAGCAATGTGTATGTGATCGACGATGCGGATGAGGCGCTGCGAGCGTCGGTAGGGAGGCCGACAAGCGAGTTTCGACCCTCGATCGCCTCGCAGATCAGCGAGATTTCGCGAGGATCGGAGCTGAGTCGGGAGGAGCGGATTTCGTTCCCTCTGGCCCCGCAGGAGAAGCGGAATTATGTGGGGAGCAAGGAATCGATCATGATGATGCAAGACATCGATTTGCTGAGCGGACAGTCGGAGAATGCGGAGTACATCGTCGACACTTCGGATCAGCATCGATCGCCCTGCTCGACGCTCATTCCCGAAGTCTTCGATCATTCCCGAGACAACACGGCTGAGCCCACCAGCGTTAAAATCACACCGCCGCCTGGATCGACGACGATGCCCAGCGTGGTGCCGCCGCCCGCTGTGCCGCTTTCGATCCCGCCGCCTGTCTTTAAACCGCAGCGTCTTTCACCCATTTCGAATCGTAAAACTCCTCCCGAAGAAGGGAAGCCGCGAACGGCGCTCCCGCCTCACTTTGCAATGAAATGGATTGTTTGTGAACAAACAGGCGAGCTAAAGGGACTGCTTCGCGATGAAATGAGCCATGATGGTCTTGAGGATGTCGGGAATGTCCTGAACGCCCTTCTTCACGTCGAATCGACGCAGCAAATCTTCACTCAATTCACGCCCCATAGCACTTACTCTTTCCGCCCACGCCATAGAAACTAATGATGGGAGCTGTCTGACGCTCATACACCGCCAGACGATTCTCAATCACCTCGCGATTGTCATCGCTTCGCGTGATCAACTCTTCGTGGCATGTATCGCAGAGGTTTTCCTCTTTGGGAGCCAAGGGAGGCAAGTGATATCCGCCCCCAATGATACTGGCGACGTTGTACGAACGGTTGCACTTGGGACACACGCGGCGACCCATCAACTTCTGGATCAGGAGATCGCGAGGAAGATGAAACTGCAATACAAGATCGATCGGGAAAGAGTCTTCGATCGCTTTCGACTGAACCAAAGAACGCGGAAAACCATCCAGAATCACACCCGACTTGTACTCCGGTTGCTGGATGATCTTTTGGATCACAGGGAGAACGATTTCGTCAGGAACAAGCTGGCCACTATTCACGTACGGCTATATTATTGCTCAAAGAGGAAGAGTAGCTACTTCAACCTGCTTCCCAAAAGGCGTTTTCTGAGCGATTTCCTTCTTCATATAATCTCCCGACCCAAATGTTGGGATCTACGTAATCAAATCCAAGAATAAAAGAAACCATCAAAATGGGAGAAATAATCCGTGAATACGTACCCTTTCCGGATCCTGGAGCACCGATAAATAAAATATTCTTCCTTTTCAAATGCAAAGCGACATTCTACACTTCACACAAACCGCTTTCCAGTTACTAAATTCTTATAAAAGCTCATAATATCTTGTCCTTCCTAAAGATAATATGAGAATGAAGAGACTACACTTAGCTTTTCCAACTCGGCGGCAATGGCTCCTTCATTCAGATGAATCAAAGATGGAAGAATATATTTCAGTTTTGCGACGGATGTGACACTCATAGATGCGTAGACTAATAGAAATTGGAGCAAAAGATGAAAATGCAAAAATAGGTCAGAATTTGATAATTCTCACAATCAGCTCTATTGATCGGTTTTGCTCACTATGGAGGACAGAATAGTATGTGATAACTGTGAGAATCGCAATCTGCATCTCTTCGGAGCGAATACCAAGTTCTTTATGGCACCATGCGAACATTGCTTGTAAATCTCTTCGATTGCACACTCACTGGTTTAGTTGCGAGGTATGCGTCTCAAGATATATAGAAGAATACACTCGTTTCGAATGTCCAAAGTGTAAGCGCGTTATTCAAAGGTCCGAGTTGAAAGAAGAAACTAAGGAGGTGTTTGAAACAAGGAAAATTCGGGAAGCTCGAAGCAAAGTCACCTCCATTCTAAACGAAATGTTCACCGACTATGATAGTGAGGACGCCAGAAAATACTTAGAAAAGAGAAATGAACTATGTATTCACTCTAATCGGCTCTTACCATAGTCTTGATGGAATTAAAAAAGGACGAAAAAGGATTCGGAGAAGCACTGATGAAAATGGGAGCTCGAGATGATCGCCGTTTTGAACAGAACGAAGCAAAACGAGTAATACAAATTGCATTTATTCACACTAGTCATATTACAAAATCGATTTAGAGAATAAAGTCAAAAAGGAAAGGAAGGAGCGAAAACAACAAAAGAGCCTTCTCAAGAAGGGCGACTTTGAGAATGTACAACTTAAGGTGGCAGTGTTCCATAGATTGCCGAAAGAAAAAAGAAAGATAGCATTTTCTATAGTCATATCCTTTTGATAGCATTTGGATAGCGCCTTCATTGTATGGAATAATAGGCCTCAAATTCGCGCACCTCTTGAAACGATGAAAATATCTAGGCAGGGCAATGTACGACTTGCGAAGCCACCTTCCTTTGTAGAAAATAAAAGCAGAGAGAAGGGAGCGGACCGCCTCTTATATTTCTTTGTACATTTATCACAGAGGGTTGGAAGAACTATTATGTGCTTTAGTTTCGTGTGTTTGATGAAAATAGTCTCTATAACTGGAATTCTCAATTCCTCATTATCTGTGCATTATTCCGAGGATTAGAATGGCGGATAGCAGTGATTTCTTTCTTTTCTCTTTAGGCAACACATTGGGTAAAAAGCTGTGGGCAGGAATGAGTGTTAGAAGAGAATTCCGAGCAGAAAGGTAAAGAGGAAAGCAACGTAATATAAAAATGCCATTTTCCATATTAGGAAAGTAATCCGGTGGGGGCTAAGGCTAGCAATGAAGATAATCCGCTGTTTCGGGAATGAATGTTATTCATTGTTTCTTTTATCTATAGCACACACGCCTACAGAGATAGACACGGACGATTCTCGTAAATGCCGATTTTGAAATTCTATAGTAGGAGCTGTTACTCCACGAGCACCAGAACAGAAAGAGAACGTTCCGGAGAAGGCAAATACCAAGGAGGTCGTTTTTCTTGAAGAGGAAAAAGACTTACCTTCTCCTTCCAGTCATTCAGACTCAGAAGAGGAAGCAGTTCCTCTCCCCCCTCTTTCTCCGCAGGACACATTAACTGTTGAAGGAGAAAATAACGAGAATGCTCCTTCTGCAGCAGCCAATCAAACTACTCTCCAATTTATAAACACCTTCACTCCACTAAACGACGACAACGAGTTTTACGATCTAGAAGACGCGGCTCGCTATTTCAGCCGCCAAAATGAGACAAGAACTTGCCATCTCTGTGGAAATCCTGGGCATCTTTCGCGAAATTGCCCGCTCGCGAACACCACGAACGTTTGCTTCTTCTGTGCACAGCCCACTCACAACTCCAGATCCTGCCCGTTGGTCGTGTGTAGACGGTCGATTTTTATCTCTCCACTGATGTACAGGTGCCACAAGCCTGGTCATGAATCAAATGCTTGCTCCGAAAAGTCGATTCCGCCCTTCTGTCACTATTGTTCGTCTCGCCTCCACCAGCCCGATGTAGAGTTTTTTCCTCTCCTCGATCGCAGGACTGCCCAATCATTCCACACCCCTACGATAAGGCCGTGTTTCAACTCATGCACTGCGTTTGCTGCGGAAAGCAGGGACATTTGGTCTGTAAGCCGCAGCCTGCTCTGTCCAAGGGGTATGGAGGAAGATGCGCGGTCTGCGGGTCACCCAATCACTCGTATGTTCAATGTCCCAGTCGAAATTCGCACCGAACTGCTCATACAGCTGCACAAGAGAATGGCGGAGCTTGTTTTATCTGTGGAAAGATGGTAGGAGAAGGGGTGAGTGATGAGCGTAGGGACATTTCGCCTCAAAATGCCCTTTAAAGAAGAGAGGAGATTCAGGTATCGTGATGCCGGGAAGAAATGGCCAGCAGAAGAGAAGGTAGAGAAGATAAAGGGCTTTGTTGTAGTGGTCGTGATGGAGGATATGCCAAGAGAATAAGGGAGTGAAGAGAAGCAGCGTAATCCAGTCTTTTGCATTGTTTGTTACAAACAGAACGAGATTCTACTCACACTACTTAATGTACAGAACACATTCGATTTCAATTCCCTAAGAATTGCCTTCCTTTTTCTGAGTTATCTCTCTACTTTGCTCCGTTTGTATACCCTGCATTCCTTGCACTGCTTGTGCAGTTTGCATAGTCTGTACAGCCTGCACAGTCTGCACAGTCTGCATTGCTTTCAATAATATGGCAATACTTGCAGAGTTTGATACACTCATTTCAACTATACTTCCTTCGTGTAGACCTACACTATACGCAGTTTCTCGGGGATTCAACAATAGTTTACCATCAAATAGTAAATGGATATCTTGATCATCAATACTACACCCAAGTTCACACTCCAATACCTAGAATTCACTCATTCTACTATTTTCAACATCCAGGGACAGATAAGATATATATTCAATAGGATAAAACGAAAATATCTCCACCATCTTCAATAACCACCCGAACTTCAGATAAATACAGAACGGTGGCTGAGAATGAACATAAATAACTGGATTTGTAGATTCCACAGCATCAATAAGCTGGTTATCTGTGCGAACGTAATGGTCGTTGAAAAACAGAGTTTGCTTCTCTTTCAGAATTCCAAATTGTGCCTAGAACCTAGTCGCACTTTATCACTCCACTACTTGCAATCTCTCCTTCAGCGCTTCCAGCGACTCTACTTCGCTTCGTTTGAGATGCACCTCGTCCTTTCCCCAGCAAACTCGCACGAACTCCATAAGTCCACTCACTTTATGTGTTTACAAACAAACAACCCAGCTTAATCCACCATACTCGGCTAGTGCAATCATCGCACCCACCCAGCAGCAACAATACTTATCGGTTGGCCTTCGCAACACGCTCAATCTCGTCCTTCTTCTTAATGGCGTAGCTGTTCGAAGAACCCTTCGCAGCGTTCATCAGCTCATCAGCCAGGCACTCAGACATCGACTTGATGTTGCGGAAAGCAGCCTCACGAGCCTACCCATCACCCCTCCGCTCTGTTCCTACGCCAGTCGTCAGCAGAGACAAAGCAAAGCTCACGCGACGGAACGGAGACACATCCACAGCCTGACGACGAACCACTCCGGAAGTACCGATACGAGTCGAGTCTTCACGAGGTCCAGCGTTCGCAACAGCATCAGCAAGAATCTGAATCGGGTTCTTATCCGTCATCAGGTTGATGATGTCGAAAGCCTGCTCAACGATCTTCATAGCGTTCATCTTCTTTCCAGTGTTGCGGCCATGGAACATCAGGCAGTTCGTCAGACGCTCAACAAGAGGGCACTACTCTTTCAACCAACACTTCAACCACAAACCTGACCCTTGCGGAAACGCTTCAACTGATATCTTCCAGCAGTGTGGGGGAGATAAGTTGCGTACTTAGGAGTTACGGCCAAATGGTCCTACACGAGTCAAACAACTACACATATTTTCATACCTGAAGAGACTTGTCGTTCACCTCAACATCGCCAAAGGTCCTATATACTGTTATATACATTCCTACACTACTTGCACACACAAACCACATAATACGTCTCAACACTACCTACCACTTTCCAAAAAGCTTGATTTCACTAGGAGTAGCCATTATAATGAACACGAGTGGATATTTCTGTACTTCAATAAGAAAGCAACAGCAAATTTCACCCCTTGCTATATTCATAATACTATTTTCAATCGTCTTTTCATATCATCCCCTACATTATTTCTTTTCTCTTTAAATACTCATTCTTTCCATCCACTTGCTTTCTCTTTGTTACAGGGACATGTCAGAGAGCTCATCGAGCAATTTTTTAAAAATCTTTCTCTGCTTTCGGAGTTATTTGGCTATTCGATTTTGATCTCTTACTTTGCTTTTCAATAGGGCAAATACGAGGATGCCTTCGATTTCCATCTTACTACTGTAATTCTTATGGATTATCCCGGTAATAGTTCAAATCGGTTCAAGAAATACTCACTTAATGCTTGAATGTCTTCACTAGAAGTTGATTTTTTGACTCGAATTGATTTGAATAGAGTGAAGAAGCTCGATTAAGGCATTCTATCGACAAACTGTGCCTTGAGTTTTGTAGTATCTCGAAATGAAAATAATGGGTAGCACGTCAGAATGAACTTTACATTTCGAAGGATGTACAAATTAGGGGAATGAGTGAAGAGTAAGGCACTCTCTATTCTAGAAGAGGCTGTTCTAAGCTATTTGGGTATTTGAGAGTTCCGGATTTGATTGTAGGAGTATTCGCAGGTGATTTGGAAAACTTTGCCACTCACGCAGGTCGAAGGGAGGTTATTTCGACAGATGTTGTTTATTGTTCAACCAAAAATCCACAACTAGTACGTGATTGTCAATTCGTTGAAAATAGAATCAAGAAATGATGCACTTTGTAGCAAAAACATATCATTCGTTTGTTTGTTAACAAGAATTCGAGTGATACAACTATTGACGAGCATCCGCCAGAGTGAGTAATTCGTGATAACGATACTTTGGTTGCGAAGCGCGCCACTCTTCCATGGATATGTCGGTTCGTGTGTAGACCATTTTCGGAGCTTTTGACTGATCGGCCAAATTCTCATAATTCCTTCATTTGCAAGATCGATTCGAAATTCGACTAGTGGGAACAATCGATAGAAACAAAAGATTGGGTGATTGAACACTTTGAAAATCAGAATCAGTTCCTATCTCTAGCATGCTTGGTCGATTTTAGTTGATCCACTCACAATCAGTCAATGAGTGTAAATACCATTATACTTGGATTCACTGTTCAAACCAATTATTATCACAATTCTATAGATTCTTGAATACTCAAGAGGTTGATTGATTCATCGATTGACTGATGAATACAGGTTGTCGATTTGATAGAACATGAATGGGGTCATTATTGAATGCCGATTGTTGTGATCGTATTCTTCTTTATTGTTGTTATTCTCCTTGTGATTTCGTTCATTCTTACAGAAAGCATATCGATCTTGATTGGTTTCAGATTATTCAGCAAAACCCAGTGTATACACTAAGAATCGATTCATTTATCATCTATTGTAGATAGGATTCTTTCCTGTGTATTCATAACCATACAACATCGATAGACTAAAATACTCTTCCACCATCTGTCAGATACCATTTCTAGATCTCTTTAAATATTGCCTTGTACTAGTAATACAATCAGTTTATCAATACAATCATAAATACTGTTATTATTCTTTTACTGTTGCTATTATTCAACGTAGCAATATGTATTTGGACAAGATTCTTGGTCATTTCTGACTCATTGTACTAATCTAATAGATAGTATTGATTTCTTTAATGGATATGAGAAAAATGGGCAATCACAACTAATAAGCAGAAATGGAGAGGTTTACAGGGTTCAGACCTATAAGGGTGAACATAAGAATGAATATACACGACTTACTAACCAAGAAATAATACATTATAGAAATGGGGTAGTAGAGAGAATCTGGAAATTAAAGAACGACAATACAATTGATAGTGTTACCGTTTATAGTGAAGGATTCGCTATATATAGTCAAAGTTGGGAAACTCTTTCAGATTCCTTTTCTATTCACGATATCAACAATGGATCGAAGACTATAAGAGAATTAGTAGATTTGCATACGCAGAATGTGATATATCGTGGAAGTCTTGATGATAAAGGCAATAGAATAGGCAGAGGGTTTGAATTTGATGCAGAGACTGGTGAATTGAAGTTAGAAGGTATATGGATGGACAATGAGCTAAAGACTATCCTTCGTATATTCGAAAAGAATAACAATATGATTGAGTTTAAAAGTACTACAAGTAACCTAGAACTACATGAGCGCATTCCTATTTATGTTGGTGGATACAAGTATAATGAGCTTCATAACATTTGTTCTCGAGATGGAACAGGATTTTTAATCAACGCGGATGGAGTTGCTACCATAAGAGGAACATGGAAAGATGGAATCGAAACTGATATTGTTGTGATGAAGAATGGTTGGTATCATGTAGAAGAAGATCCTTTGAATCTCCCTGTCGATACTGAAGTTATTAGAGTACCAGCCTACAAATTAAAGTATGTGAGCTTCTTAGACCTAAGCAGATACAAGAAAATGAAAACGTTGGATATTGAAGAGTATAACTTTAGTAACGTAGACAAATTCGCAATTTGGGAAAATGAAAACCTAGAAACAGTGAAAATAGGTCATTACTCCTTTTATCGTCAAAATAGATCCGATCGCATGAATCGCACATTTAGCATCATTGATTGTACTCGTTTAAGATCAATCTATATTGGACCTTTTTCCTTTTTTTATTATACTGGAGGATTTGAGTTGAAAAGACTTCCAAATTTGGAGATTCTGGAAATAGGGAAAGTGGGTGTAGATTCAGGTAACTTTTCGTACTGTAGTTTTGTGGCAAAAGGTAATTCCTTTGCCATTGATTTACTCGTAGATTTGCCAAAATTGAGGAAAATCGTTATTGGAGATCATGCTTTTGAAACGGAAGAAATTATCGAACTTTCAGGTACTGAATTTGAAGTGTGTGTGAGTACAGATCTTCCGAGTTTAGAAATTCTGGAACTTGGTTGGGTTGTGTTTTCTGGTAAACTGAATACCGGTTCATTGACGATGAAAAGTTGGATATTGAGAATAGATTTGATACAGATCTTCCAAAACTCAGAATACTTACATCGAGAGGATTCAGTTTCCGCAATATTCATACCATGAAATTGATAAGTATTTTAATATTGAATTGTTTTGACGCTAGATATCCCCAATCTTGAAATTCTCAAACTACACTACTTGGACGAATATCCCGATTCTGATCGTCCCTTCCCAGAAATCATGGAGAAATATGTAGAAAGTAGGAATCGAAGGGTGAATGAATTCTAGACGTCGCTCCGATTTTGGCTGATCTTGTGGTTATTGCAGAGGAATCTCCATTTAAGCCTGGCGTCTATTTTGATGATTTGAAACTTCAGAATGAAACTGTAATAGACATTCCTCCAAACTCTTGTAACGATGTGGATAGATTCATTGATATCAACACGTTTACTCATGTGAAAAAGCTGATAGTGGGAAGAGATTCTTTTAAGGGAGCATTGGAATTCCGCATTGATCAATTGCACGAGCTAGAGGAAATTCATATCTTTAATAGAGCATTTGATACAGGTTGCACAAACCAAATATTTGGTCCATTTGTTATTTCGAATTGCAGCCGATTAGAGTCCATTATCTTGGAACCTTTCAGTTTTGCGCATTATGTAAGATCATTTTCGCTAACTAATCTTCCTTCTTTAAAACATTTACAGATTGGTAGAATAGGAAGCTATTCCGCTTCCTTCAGATTACTTTCCTTTTGTATCAAGGGTATTTCTAAATCAGGTATTTCACATAGATTTACCCAAACTTGAAACAATTATTATAGGAAATGAAGCCTTTCAATACGCAATGATTACAAAAATTGAAAGTAAGATATCGATTTGATTCATTGATTGTGAAGATTTGGAATCTTTGAAAACTATTCAAATCGGAGATCGAGTATTTATGGGACTTGATGATCAATGGTGTCAAGTGGATTTAATCAGTTTGTGTTTGAATGGATGTAGTATAACATAGATCTACCCAAGTTAGAAAAACTGGAGGCTGGATTGGAATGTTTCAAAGAAACCCGAATCGTTAGTTTTACCAATATTCCGTTTGTTAAAGCAGAACTGGATCGTGAATCTGCATTCAAAAAGGCTTTGTATCGTACTCAGCGTAATATCAGTGAGTCTCTGAGAGAGTACATGGAATAAAATACTGGATATTTGTAAATTACATTGAATAGTTCTCATGGTTTTTGAAAAGAGTATTATATGTATTTATGTTTACTTTGTTACAAACTGAATGATAAGTAGCTAAACTATGTAATAGAAAATGAAAACATCAAATGATAATGAATTGGATTGTTGTGTATTATACTATTTCCCTCAACTACTCAGAGAACTAGCAACTAATAAAATTTCAATAATAGTTAGTTTTGGTTGTATCGAATAAGGTATCTTTATCAATGGAGATTGGATTGGTATTGGAAAAAGAGGGAAAGAATTACAAGACTAGAGAGTATGATGTTTCTAGATATCATATACATACTGTAACAAGCAAGATTCAATCGATACTCTAATCTTATTAGTAGATAAAGTGTAGAACTTTTTAGTCATTTAATTTACATTCATATAATGTGTATATTCTATTATAAAATCATTCAAAGAAAGAATAATATCGATATTAATCATGTACCGATTTCTTTGATACGATTATCTTCATCAAACCAATACAATGTGATGAATATGGTTATAATCTAGATTATCATTGAACTCACAGTAGAAACTGAGTATAGCATAAGCATTGGTTTCAATCGAATATGAGTTGAAGTAGATTGCTATTCATGTTCTATAGCACAATACAAAGAGTTGAGTATTTAGAAATCTCGAAAATGCAGTTTTCATGAGAAGAGAATGAATACAGAGCCAATAGTATAACTGCTAACTGAAAATCCTTGAATATGTTTCTATTCAATGCCAATATTTTGATATGTTCTTATCGATCAGAAAAATGTTTTGTCAGTATGCCATTTCGATAGTGGGAATAGTTTGGAAAAGCATTCTATTCGCAATCATCCAGAAATCAAGAAATGATGCACTTTGTAGCAAAAACATATCATTCGTTTGTTTGTTAACAAGAATTCGAGTGATACAACTATTGACGAGCATCCGCCAGAGTGAGTAATTCGTGATAACGATACTTTGGTTGCGAAGCGCGCCACTCTTCCATGGATATGTCGGTTCGTGTGTAGACCATTTTCGGAACTTTTGACTGTGTAGTGGATGGTGTTTGAGCGGGGTTTATTGGGTTCACTGGAGCCATCGGAGCCATTGGAGCCATCGGAGCCATTGGAGCCATCGGATTCATCGGAGCCATTGGACTCATCGAAGCCATCGGATTCATCGGAGCCATTCCACCCATTGGATTCATTCCACCCATCGGAGCCATTGGAGCCATTGGAGCCATTCCACCCATCGGAGCCATCGGAGCCATCGGAGCCATCGGAGCCATCGGAGCCATCGGAGCCATCGGAGCCATCGGAGCCATCGGAGCCATTCCACCCATCGGATTCATTCTACACTTCAACCCCAAACCTCTCTCCCACGTAGACATAAAAGGATTATTCAAAGTGCTAGAAGGAAGAACCATTGAAGAAAAACTGTCAGCCATCTGGCTCTTCGTACGAGTTTCTTCCAACTTCGCTACAAACTCCTGCTTCGGATTTCGAATCACTGCTACTTCTCGACGAGGAACTGGTAAACCCAACTCCTTGTTCTTCTTCGCCTTGTGCTCTACTTATCAATACCCATTCACAAAACTACCGAAACGAGCTGTTTCAGGAATTCCAGTCATTCCGTGAACATCCGTTGCCGTACTATTGCGGCCAGGAAGTGCATGAGGAACACTATTTATTACAATATAAAACAAATACTTACACCTGTAAATCAACGTGATGGTTTGTCTTTGTGTGAGCCATTAATCCACGAAATGTACCCAACTTCTTACCACAATATTCGCATTTAAAGTGGCGAGCAACCTGGTGAGAGATTAGCGTGTTCTCATCTTCAAACTCGCGGTCACAATAATAGCACCAAATATCTTCCTTCTCAACTTGCTTCTTTTTGCGACCCATCGATTTTGATTCTTGTTTTCTGCTCTTTGAAACGCTTTTGAAACTCCCCTTTTGCTTTTCATTGCTTATTCGGCTTCCGTTTCGATTTCTATATGTTTGCCATTACCGAGAATAACTTCAACGTGAGAAATTGCATGAAGTTTTCAGAACTAGGAGTACTTTCTGAAAGCTAGCTTGGCTTTCCTTGGAAAGGAGGAGGGTTCTTACTCTGGTACGTTTTGTACATGTTGAAAATGAGTTTGTAGATTATAGTGCAGTCTTCAAAGAAAATGGTCTTTTGAGGAGAAAGAAGGTTATGTGTAGCTCCCTGTGAGAAAGGCAGTGCGATTGTGGAGGAGGCAATGAGTTATTTGAAGGCGGAAAGCAGTACTTGCCTGCTTCAGCATGTGTGGTTTGAGGAAGGCTCTAATGCATAGAAGAGCCACATCCAGATGCTCCTTGCGATGGGTGTTCGTGACTGCCCTGAGCAAGTGGAAGTGTATAGCCAAGTGATGAAAAGCGTTGGAAGTAGAGTGCTTTGAAGTGTGTGTGATTCAGGTTATCTGGATAAGTGGGAGAAGGATCTGTGCGAGGAGTATTTCTGTGGGAGCTTCGGTCTGGTGGACATCGCTGTGTACTGCAGCACATTCAATCTGTTCCGCTACGTGATGGTTCCCACGTGGCGAAGCCTCTACCCGAAGATATCCTTGGATGGGCCGTGTGTTGGTCTGGCTTAACGGCAGCTGACGGCGTGGCGATGCCGCTGCTCGGAGCAGCGCTGCCTGCAGTCGACGTTCGCGACGACGTCGCTTGCGGCCACGGTGCGCGAGGGCGGTCAGATCGACGTGCGTCCGGACCCCGACTTCGTGGCGCGCGTGGTAGTGGCGGTGGCGGGCTGCGATGCAGGCGGAGATCGCGATCGAGAAGAACAAGAACGCGAAGAAGGAAGAGAGCCAGCGCCAGCGCGAGAAGAACCAGAAGAGCCAGCAGCAGGCGGAGAAGCGAAGCGAGGCGGGCGAGGCCGGCGAGGCGAAGAAAACGAGCCGGCAGCCGCTGAGCGGCGAGGTGGAGGAAGCGACGAACGACGCGGAGCGGCGGATCTTCGCGGTGCTGAACGCGGAGGGCATCGCGCACGTAGGGGTGGAGCGGGGACGTGAGCCAAGACGACGTATCACCACGAAGCCGCGCAGACCGTCGAGGACGTGGTGCGATTCGTCGACGCGACCCTGGGACTGCCCACCAAAAACCTCTTCCTGAAGGCAGGGCAGCGGCGAACTCTCCACTCTAGGCCAAAAAACCCAACGGCGAGACGGACACGGGGCTGTGGATGGTGGTGGCCGCCTTCGATACCGCGGTGGACATCAAAAAACTGACCAGCGTTGCCACGCAGACAGGACTCAAATGCAGGAACTCAAATACAAGAGCGGCTCTCTACGATTCGCTGATAACCAGCTCCTCGAAACCATGCTCGGCGTGCAGCAGGGACATCTCTCCCTCTTCGCCAAGATTAACGATCCCGACAACAAGGTCAAGGTCATCATCGATAAAAGACTTATGGAGGCCAAGACGGTCAGTCTGCATCCCCTGATTAACACCGCGTCGACGATTATCTCCGGAGAGGATTTCAAGTACTTCGCTGACAAGTTCGCTCCTGGATATATGGTGAAGGAGTTCTAAGCTCCAGTCGATGTGTTTGTTCTCAAAGGCAATTGTGGAGATGCTCGGGGTCAAAATTGTGGAGATGTTCAGAGTCAAAACTGCGGGGATGTTCGGAGTCAAAACTGCGGGGATGTTCGGAGTCAAAGCTGCGGGGATGTTCGGAACCAAAACCGTGTGGGAATGCCAATAGCCGAACTACCAGACCCCCATGTTCGCGAATTCGTTTGCTTTCAGTTCTATTCAATTGGAAGAATATGAGCCACTTGATTGGCTCACTCCGTCCTACACTTTTTTCAATCAAAATTAATTTAAATGGATTATCAAAAGCTTTTCGGTGCTACTCTTGCTTCTAAGAACGGACCTGTGCCAACTTCGGACCTGGCTGGAAAAGTGGTCGGTCTTTACTTCTCGTAGGGAATACAGGGAATGTTTGATTGTTTAGTGCACATTGGTGCCCTCCTTGCCGTATGTTTACTCCCAAGCTTCGTCAGACTTACCTTCAGCTGAAGGCTGCTGGAAAGGACTTCGAAGTGGTGTTCTGCAGCTTCGATCGAAGCCAGAGAGACTTTGAGGAGTATTTCGGAACCATGCCTTGGTTGGCTGTTCCTTTTGATCGAGAGGATCTTCGTCAGTCTCTTGGAAACACGTTTGATGTCTCTGGAATTCCCACTTTGCTCTTGATGGATGAGTCGGGTGTGTATAATAGTGATGGAAGAACCTCTGTTATGATGAATCCTCAGGGTTTCCCATGGAAATAATTGCGCGCTTTTGGAATGTTTGTTGAACAACCAACGCGAGAATATATTATGTCTATTCAACAATGAAAACAAAATGTAGTTTTATAAAAGTACTTCATTTTTCTCCATCGTTTGTGCAACATGGAGCCTGATGATAATCAACAGTGGGATTTTCAAATACCGGTGCTTCTGAGCTGCCTTCGAAACGATATTAAGGAGATTGTCACGAAGTTGGAATTATCTGATGAAGACCGTCAAAGATTGAATAAGCTGATCGATCAGATAAGAACTGAAGAATCAAAGTATGAGGAAACGGTCCGTGCTCATTTCCACAAAAAGATGGAGAAAACAACCAACGAGCTGTTATTGCTGAAAGAAACATGCTCTCAACAACAAAACGAAATTGAACAATTACGCTCTAGTTCATGTGATAACCAAGGAGGGAATGGTAATGGTATGTTACTTGGATGGAGTTTTAGTTTAGAATCGGGAATTCAAAGTAGTCAAATAGCTTCTCTTCAGGCAATTCAAGGAATTAGGGAAGATTTGGTTAATCTTTCTATGGAATTGAGATTATCCGTTGAAATGGAGTTAAGCGATATGCAGGGAGTCATTGGACAGCTGACATCAACTCTTCAAAACCTTGCTGAACGCTACCGAGCATTGAACTCTGCATATATCAAAGAGTGTGATTATCGCCGCAAAGTTTGTTCCTATTTTCGTTTTCTCCGTAGATCTTCAACGATCTCCAAGATTTGCGTGGTGCAATTCGTGTATTTTGTCGTGTACGTCCACTAATTCAATCTGAGATCGATAAGCAGGAAACCGCAGTTATCGAGTCTCCCTTCTCTTCCCTTGTAATCTAGACCCATCGATAGCACTTCCCTCCTGGTCCATCTTTCCCAAAACACCGTCGACACTGGCAAAGGCCAGCGTCGCAGTGACAAAATCTACGAATTCGACCGTGTATTCGACGCCTTTTCCTCTCAAAGCCTCGTCTTTTCCGAAATGAAAGGCCTGGTCACCAGCGTTCTGGACGGATATTCCGCGTGCATCTTCGCGTACGGCCAAACCGGCTCTGGCAAGACGTTCACGATGGAAGGAGAGGAGGGAGAGCAGGCAGGAATGATTCCTCGGACGCTCGAAACGCTCTGCGAAGAGATGGCGCAGCATCCCGAGATTCGGTATGCCGTGGCGATTCGAATGATCGAAATCTACAACGAGAAAGTGTACGATTTACTCGGCGGAAACGCGCAGGTGGACGCGCGATTGGATGCATCGGGACGCGTCGTGTTTCCTTCTGCAGTCGTGGAAGAAGCGAAATCGCTCACACAGATGCTGGAGATTCTGAAGCGCGGCAATCAGAGTCGCCGGGTCGCTTCGACGGCCAGCAATGAGCACAGCAGTCGATCACATATGCTGTTTTTCCTCTCGATTCACAGCTCCAATTCGGCGTCGAATCAAACATCGCAGGGGAATCTGGTGTTGATCGATCTGGCAGGAAGCGAGCGCGTTTCGAAGACGGAATCCACGGGACAGCGATTGGTGGAAGGACAACACATCAACAAATCGCTGAGTAGTTTAGGCGACGTGATTCACGCGCTGAACAACAAGCACAAACACGTTCCGTTCCGAAACAGCATGCTGACGTTCGTTTTGCAGGACGTTTTAGCGATCGGGAACAAAGTCCTGATGATCGCACAGCTCTCTCCGGCGGGGTGCAACGTTCAGGAGTCGCTGCAATCTCTCGAGTTCGCGAACCGAGTCAATAAAGTGGTGCTGGGTCGAAGTGTGGAGAATCGAACGCAGCCGCTCGTCGCGAAATTGAACGAAGCTGTGATTCTTAGGGAACGTTGTGAGGAATAGAACGATCATTTGAAGCAGGAATTAGAAAACGTGTCCACAGAATTGAAGATTCTGAAAGAGAAATCGGCGCTCTCGTCGGATTCGCTGGGGCAGGCGGAGAAGCGAGTGCAGTCGCTTCAATCGCTGCTGACGGAAAAGAATTCAGAAGTGGGCTGTGGACTGGGGTTGGAAGTAGATTGCGCGGTTGAACGATAAAATCACGGATTTGGATGCGGATGTCGCTGGGAAGGCGCGGCTTCTTCACGATCGCGTTGAAGAAGTCGCGGAATTGAAAGTAATTCGAGGAGTTGGTTGGTGAATCGCAGAAGAAAGTCGATGCATTAGAAGCCGAAAACCGATCGCTTCGATCGCGTCGCTCTTCCGAAGGATTCAGAGATTCCTTTGGCTCCTTTATCGATACGTCCAATCCTGTGATTAATCGGCGATTGAGTACCGTCGGAATTAATCGAGTTTCCACTTCGACGACCAGTGCTGCTTCTGCTTCTGCTTCTGCTTCTACTTCTACTTCTACTTCTCGACAATCTTTATCCCATCCTACACTTCCAGAAAAAGACTCTTTTAAACGCCCTGTTCCCGTCTCTTCTACTTCAGTTTCCACTTCCACAGCTCCTCCTTCCACAACGCAGAAGTCCAATCGACGCATTTCGTTGATCGAGCGATCGAAAATGGCCGCTTCGCATTCTGCAGTTTCTTCTATGTCTTCATCTTCTTCTGGTTCGTCGCGTACGGTTACTGGAGTCGCTCGATTGACGACTCGACGTACTTCGACCGGAACGCGACGCTTTTCGCTGGTTCGATCGCGCGCACCGACCGGATCGACTGAATCAAAAGAAAAGAAAAGAGGAGAAAACGGAGAAGAGAAGGAAAAGGAAAAGGAAAAGGCGGAGGATGGAAAGTCCGTGAAACGAAACAATTCGGCGGCCGAGCAGACCGAAAAGATTGTTATTTCGCCCACAAAGCGTCGCCGTTATACTGTGAGTGTGAATCGAAATAGCCAGCCTTCCTATACCTTTACACCTTCGACAGATCGACGAAAAACCTTGGACTCGCTTCTCATGAAAGCTACAAAATTGAATGAATCGGATTCTACGCTGAATAATACGTCCGAACTTTGTAGTGTTTTGTGATTGTTTGGAATGATATCTAGCTACCTTTTTGACCTCGACGTCCTATCGCAAACCTGATAATCCTCTCTCTTTTTTGAATTGAGCTTGTAAAATGGGTCGTTTTTCGATGTTTATTGCACAAACAATCTAAGGATGATATTGCAGCCACTTCGCCTGCCCCTTTCTTTCCATCACCTTTGAACAAAACGCTTCCGAATCCTGCATTCCCTTTTGATACACAGGAATCGTCTTCTCCACAGTCATATTCTTAATGGCATAGAACTTCTCGAAGCAGCTATTCAACATGGTATGAACCTGCTCATCGTTGTACACATCCACTCCCATCTGCTTCCAACAAATTGGAAGACCAATATCAGAGAAAAACTCAGCCAGTTCTTTGCATTCATCCAGCCGATTCTCCATTACCAACTCGGTCATTACACCCAACGCCACCATTTCTCCATGCAAATACTTCTTTTCCGTGTTCGGAAGAGCCGTTACACCCACACCCAACGCATGAGCACCCGAAACGCCTCCATTTTCAAACCCAAGTCCAGACAGCACTACAAACTAATCGATTCGTAATCGAAAATACGAGTATTTGCTTCCACTACCGCTTCTAAGTGATCATCCACACGATGAGCATCCACAGCGTTCGAATTAAGTCCCCTGGTTCATTGCTCATTGTACTGTGAAGGATATCTCAATGGCTTTCAGTCCCTCTGCTAATATCGTCTTTGTGCAGGCTTCAGCAATCGCAGCAGCAGCCAATCTGCGGTTATAGTCTAATTAAGAAAGTACGTCGGGCGAACGCGAACAGATGACTCTCCATTTGGATTCTCACGCGCACAGCGAGCCTCGACGAATGTAGCAAGAGCATCGCCCATTCCAGCAACCAGATAACGAGCCTACGATCGATTTGTTCTTTACAAATAAACGGGAGAGTTGGCGATAATCTCTGTGTCCATGACAACCATATCAGGACTACATTACAATAGTTTTTAGCAGTGAGTACTTTTTGTAGTTGAAATAAGCTCCCTGACGCTCATCGGTGTGTTCGTCGTACATCACAGAGAGAGACGCAGTAGGCGCATCATTTGAAGCAAGAGTTCTAAGTGTTAGAAACTGGAATAATAATGACGGGACGAGTATCACAGGAAGGCACAAAGTCTATCAATAAAGCATAACATCATGTACTACAGTAGCCACACCCTTTCCAAGATCCACAGCTTTGCCTCCACCCACAGAAATGATAAAGTCACATCGATCCATTCCCTTCACAAGAGTACATACACGCTCGATTTCATCATAACTACCATTTTTCAGATTCTAGAATCCTACCTGCATTGACGGCCAATGGGAATAAAGGAATATTTCACATTAGCTTTCTTCATCGAGTTCTCAACTATTCTATTTTATACGATCGTGTATCCCATACTCTTTTCTCCAAATCGCTTGATTCCGCCTTCAGAAATCAGGATAATACATGCTCTCTCCTTGCTTAAAGGAGAAATTGAACAAACATAATCTCCGAGGTAATTAATGACTCCTATCTCTTATGTTATTCAGAAAGATAATACCAGGTCCTTGGATATACTTACTAGGAGCAATAAAGACACGGGGATTCGAATCCGCATGCTTATAATATTGCACCATATGGTATGACTTCATAGGGAACTCCATCGTTAATAATACTACAAATCAATGCAAAATAGTGTCATTTTCTAAATGGGTTTTTTTTATTTTTGTCATTTGACTTTTTGTGCAAATCCTTATCAATTCTTTCTAAGCAGTTCATCTTGATTCCATGCTTTCAAATAACGTAACGTGTTACTAGCTTGTTTTTTCGAGGTTTGACATATTTCGAGCTTTATTCCAATCCTTCCAACATATTTTAATTGTAATCGATATGAATCTACCATTATTATAGAGTGAGTAGTTTGCCTCCTTTTTCTCTTTTCCTTTGAATAGTCTATTTTAAACATGAAAAGGCAGGCTACAACATCAGAAGCATCATCTCGACCATTGACAGACAAACGAGTATCTAGGTCCACCTTTTATGTCAGCGATAATGATATCTATTCTGTATCGGATAGACGTATTTTTTGTTGAGACTGTTGACTACATAGTCGTTTTGTACAAACCTTCGGCCTATAGCGATACCATTATTCGTGGAGCTCCCTCTGAGGTGTTTAAAGTCGTTCCCAATCTGCCTTTGGATTTTGAGATCAATCAAGACGTTGGTGTATTAGTGCGTACTATAGATGAATATATGAAACAGCCAAGGTATTTTTTCACTGTTCAACTCTTATAAAGTGAGGTAATACAGCTTAGTCAAACCATCCAAGAAGGAAAACTGAAGGACGGAAAGAATTACTCTGTGTGTGTGTTTTTAGTTGTGATGACAAATCCAAACGTTGCATCTACAATCGTGAATGAGCTCTCAGCGAAATGTGTCTTCAGCTGCTTCACTCTGATTCTGTGTAATTCTTTTATTGAAGCAGGACAGTACATTGGCTGTTTTAAGGTAGATTCAGTAGAAATCTTGTGACTAGGCTTATGAGAAACGAGGAGGAGAAATCATTCAGAAGTATGTGAAGAATGATCTCTTTTCCCAAGCTTCAAATGTTCTCACCAGTATTAATGGGATAAATGTAGCATAGTTTGGATGATTTGAAGGTAGAAAGATAACGTTGTTTCCCTCACGAGCCGATTTAAAACGATGTCTGATATTATAACTGCAAATATTGACGATCTTTCTGAACTCTCCGGAATGGGAGACAAACGTGTTTTGAGTATATATCGAGCGTTTCAACAAGAAGAACAAGAACAAGAAGACCCAGATGAAATTAGATAACGTTATTCTTTGTTGTGGATTATTTCAATCACCTCCTTGTACGTTAATAAACTCACATGAACTGTTTCCTACAAATCACTCCTTTCTTTACTTTCTTTACCAAGTACTGAGCATAATAAGCCACATCATGCACTTCTCCATTGTCAATTCGTTTCATCAGCGAATTGGTCTGCTCTTCTGAAAGAGATAGCAGCGAAAGAAGGTCTTCGCAACATCGCATTGGGCTTCTCTTTCCGACGTTTCCTAACGATTTCAATTCCAAAAACTGCTCCAAAACTTCCACTAAATTCGCCTTTCCGTTCTATTTGTCACCCACACAACAAACAGCAACATCATCATAATGTAGCAACAAGAAGCGCTCCTTCACACCCTTATCAATCGCTGACAACACCAAAAACAGTATTCCGTTTTGAATCATTTGGTTGGATATTGATTCTTCCAGATCTTTGCGAAATGACTCAAAGAATTCCTTTCCAGCCTGTAGATAGGGAGCAACTTGGCCGATTACCGTGAGATAAAGATCATTCATGGAGTAATATTGGGTAACTAGCACGTTATCCAGTACTTGGTATTCATAATATCGCATAAAAGCAGTCCGAATACACTCATAGAGTTCATGCTTATACTGCCGGATTTTCGTCGAGTAGTTCAAAAACGGAGCAGCTTCAGGACTATCTAACAGAGAGGCAATCTGTTCGTGGTTTTGAAGTTCCTGGATTTCTTTTTCGAAATCCGAAATGGCATCAAAGGCCACTGTGATATCACTCCATGGAATCGCCATTTTATGAGTATTGTATTTGAAAACAACTTGAGGAATCGCCTTGAATAATCTATATTCCTTATCAATAGAATAGGGAAACATACTTATGGAGAACAGGCAAAACCACTTGAGTAAAGTACACAAGCTGCTTTTCTTTGGCAGGAATGTGGCTTATCTTCTTCACGACAGCATTCATTATCAAATGGAATTCCTATCGTTCATGCTACAAACGATTTGTACTGTTGAATGGTTGTCTGGAGATTGCTGAATCATGCTTCCAAACAACGCAAGATCCCCAGAATACCAGTATTGGAAGACTTCTTCCGATGTGAAAACGTTCATTAGATAGATCTTTTCGTCTTCAATACCCCATGTACTGCACAAAACATCATCGAACTGCATGATCTCATTGAGAATGGCTTGGAACATTTCGAATGCGCGCTGATTAACATCGAGGAACTCTTCCGTTTCTGAGAATGCGAGTTTTTGATTGATAATGCTTTCCAAATCGAGCATCAATCGAGACTGCATGACGGTTGTGATCTCAAAGCAGATTTCATTCTAGAGAATGAGAAATTGTTGCTGTGATACGATGATATCCGCTATTTCAATGGAGGAATCGATTCTGTAAATGATTTGTAGAATGAATGGAACATTGTGCTCTAAGAAAGATTCTATATATTTCAAATATCTAAGTTAAAGTTATTTAGAAAGTTGATTACATGGAAGTGGCTGAAAGTGTGTTTGTGACCTCATTCATAATGAAGTGATATTTAAATCGAGTGATCAGAGGCTCTAAAAGTACCTAAAATCACATCCATTTCAATTTCAAACCTTCAAAATACTGATTAACTTAGATTCAGTTTTTGGCTTTGCTTTAGAATCAGAAGGATGAGAAATCGAAGTCAATTCAAGAAGTTGTGGAAGATACGATAGATACTCTTGGAATAGAGAAGTAATCAAGTCGATAGCTTCATCCCTGATTTTATCCGTTCCTGATTCATCCAAGTTCAATTCAGAATTGAAATCTGTGAGAGGATAATGCAGTCTATTCAATACAACAGTTAATTCATTACTCGGAGAGTTTCGCATGAACCCAATCGATATACAACGAGCAGAAAGAGTTGGCTAGATACTCGATTCGACGAGACATGCAAGCCTACAAACGGATAATCGATTCTATGAGACGAATACTCGGATCTCCGTCTTTTCATCCATGTATTTGTAGATGGAGGATTTGAGGAAATCGGAGTGAAAGGCGAGTAGCTTAGAGAAAAAATCATGGCGAGAATCTTTATCAGGGAGATTATCCCGGCTGAGGCGCTCTTTCAAATGGCCGGACGTCTCCAGAAATTCCCTTGTCTCAAGCGCGATTTGTTGTTGTAGCAACTTGCTCTATGCTTGTAGGAATGGTTCAACACTACGTGATATTCTTCAATGGTGTGTGACATATTCAAATAATTTGTTTCTTTTTCACTTATTTCCGATCTGGCTTGAGAAATGATCTCTCTAACAATCAAGGAAATGAATGGTATTTTTAAAAAATAGGATATCGAAATGAAGGGGCTACACTATCCATACTAGAAGTGAGCGCCGTATTCTTTTGCGAAAGCGATGTATACTTTTCGTTTAGAGTCTCGCCCTTCTTCCGTTCTTCTTCCTTTATTTCCTCCACAGTGGATGATAAATGCGTAAAGAATCCATGCAAGATCTCCATTTCGTCCAAATATTTGTCTTCAAGGTCAATACTATTATCAGTGAAATATTTGTCGATCTTTCTAAACATTAGTATGACTATCTATGCTAACTCATTCAGCTCTGATTGAATTTCAACAGATACATCGCTCCTCGATTCTCTACTCATTCTTGTACTAGTAACCAAGCAGTAGAATGCAAGAACAATGAGTATTTAAAGAATTTGAATGTTCGGGTTTCTACACCAAAGATCTTCACTATTATTTATCAACTGGTAAACGTATCATGTTCACTTATAAGGCAGCCAATTAATATTCATCGTTATGCATAGGTTGAGGACTTTGGAAAGCTGCCTTCTGGAGAGGAGGTACACAAAATAACATTTGGGTATTTGAGTATGGTAACAGTAATTACCTATTAGCAACGGAAATGTCCTTGTGTCTATTCTGGATTACGGTGCTACAATCCAATCGGTTATGATGAAGGGGAAAGATGGCAAGTTTGAGGTATTTTGTGGGCTCTCTAGAGTTATTTGCTAGGAAGTGACGTTGAATTACGACAATCTGGAGGACATGTTGGCAAACCCTGGATTGTTCTACGGCTCGACTGTTGGCAGGTAGTCGCTTATCACAACATTTATGGTAGATATGCAAACAGAATTGCCAAAGGACAGTTTACATTGGATGGGGTCAACTACCAAATGTGCGTTAACAATGGCCCGAACAGTCTTCACGGAGGAGAGATCAGCTGGGGACACGTATTTCTTTGAGGATGCTGTAATGAAAGAAAATGTGGTCATTTAAGGAGTACAAGAAAGAGGGTGAAGATCCTTGCGAAGGAGTTGTCATGTCGATTGTCTCTCCTGATGGTGATGAGAACTATCCCGGAGAAGTCACTGTATCGAGCACACTTATCTATTCATGTAGATGAACGTCACCTTCTCTCTGAACACTCGAAACGAGTTGAAGCTGGAATACGAGGGACGAACGACACGTCGCACCGTGATCAACATGACAAACCACACTTACTGGAACATGTCTGGCGATTTCAAGACCAAGATCTACCCTCTTCTTCTCCAGGTGAACGCTGACACTTATCTGCCTGTGGTCGATATGATTCCGACTGGTGAGCGAGCCTCTGTCGAAGGTACTCCGTTTGACTTCCGCGCGCCCACGCAGTGCGAGCAGGCGCTGGCGATCGATGGAGGCGGCAAGCCTGGACTGGATCACTGCTTCTGCTTGAATGGCGAGGGCTTGAAGCTCGCTGGAAGGTAGAGATAGGCAGGAGATGCGAGGTAGATTGACGGATCCTGTGTCGGGACGCTCGCTGGAGGTGGAAACGACGGAGCCTGGAATGCAGGTGTATATGGGGAACTGGATCGATGGATCGCATCCTCATCTGCAGCACAACGCCGTGGCGTTGGAGTGTCAACACTTCCCAGACTCGCCGAATCATCCTGACTTCCCTTCAACGGTACTGAATCCGGAGGATGTGTACACGCAGACGACCATTTTCAGACTGTTGTTGTATTGTGTTTGTTAGAAAAACTGTTTAAGCACTATAAATTGCCTTTATACTCTCTTGGAACTTGTCTTTCAGCTTCCGTCTCCTCAGTTTGAAGGTGGGAGTGATTAAGTCTTGCTCAACGGTCCAAGATTCGGGTTCCACTTTGAATTTGGTTAGCCGCTCGAACCCTTTGAGCTGCTTTTCTTCGAAGATTCGTTGGAACTCGAAGGATAACTGTCTATGGAAAAGCTGACTACGGCAAATATCTTTGAAAGAAAAGCCTTTGTAAGAAGGAACGGACTGTGCCCATTTCATAACAAACGATTCTTCAGGAACAACAAAGCCAATCAAGTAGTTTCGCAAAGAATCTCCATAGATAAAGATCTGCTTTACAAACGGAGACGATCCATAATAAGCCTCAAGCTTCTCGACAGCGATATATTCGCCTTGCGACAGCTTGAAAATGTTCTTCTTTCGATCAATGATCTTCACTTCATAATTGGGGAGCAAAACAGCAATATCGCCAGTTTTGAAGAACCCTTCGTCATCAAACGAAGCTTTACTCGCTTCATCATTCTTATAATACCCTGAACTCACGTTATACCCTTTAATACAAAGCTCTCCACGTCCTAAGCACGCTTTGCCTTGGAAAACACGATCTGTCGCGCAATATCCCATCTCTGGAACATCGACCAATTTCAACAAATTGCACGGAATGGGAACTCCAACTGTTCCCTTTCCTCGACTCCCTGCGAATTCGATCGTCGCTGGACCGCTTGTCTCTGTGGCTCCGTATCCTTCGACGATCACTCCACCCAACAAACACTGAAGAAACGATTTCACTTCATCGCTTAACGGAGCCGATCCACTGACTGTAATTCTAACATTCTCAAGTCCAATAGATTTCCGAATGGGTCCAAAGAGAAGCGTGTCAAAGAACCAATCCGATTTGCTGTACCCGTGCTCAATTCGATACTTCTTTACTTCCATTCCCCATTGAAAGAGAGTACGAGTCATCCATCCTCTCTTCTCTATCTCTGACTTAATCCCTTCATATATTCGGTTCAGCAGCTGCGGTACACTACAAAACACGGTAGGACGCAGCGCTTTCACATCATTCACAATACGCTTTCTATCTCCTTGTGCAAAGCCAATCTGCGCCCCGACTGAGAGCAGAGCATAGCTAACTGCTCGTTCCAATACATGAGCCAAAGGCAAATACGACAAATATCGATCTTCCGATGTGGGAAAAAGACCTGTTTGAATCGTGGCCATAATCGCAGACACAAAGTTTCGATGAGAAATCAACACGCCTTTCGGAGTACCAGTCGTCCCCGAGGTATAACAAATCGTGCAGATATCCTCTGCAAAGGGAGGGCGATTCTTTAATGGATCGTTTTTCCCTTCTGACTCAATAGTTTCGAAAGTTAACAGAGTCACATTACAATCATCTGCCATTGACTTGAGTTGATCGCTTATTTCTCCAATCAAAATGATATATTCAAGACATGGAAGTCTGTGCTTTAGAGATAGCAATTTCTCCGTTTCAGAAACACCACAAATACAAGTTTTCAAGCAGGTTTGCTGTAAAATGTACTCCACTGAATCCGTTCCTAGGGTATCATAGATTGGAACGAGCGTTAAGCCGTATGCATTGCAAGCATGATCAGTTATTCCCCAGTGAATACAATTTCCGGAATATAATCCAATAAGCTGTAACTACATAGGTAAATAGATAAGGCCAATGCAACATTTTCATCATGAGTCACTAAATTGTGATGAATTAGTCCACTACCAAAATTAGTCGCCATTTCTGCAATCTGCTTATAGGAATACCAGACAAAGTCTTGGATTTTCCCGTTAACAATCTAGAATAAACAAAAATCGTAATAACAACAGGTCGATAACCATAGCACGGGGAGTTAGGATTAATGCTTAGTCCTCGATTAAATGCGTCATATCTAGTGAGTAAACACATAAAATGAATACAGAGTTTCCACTTCAGGAAATAACTTCCATAATAATGAGTTATTGGTTGCGAGCTGACTGATAATCGTCGCAGACTACACTCAAAGCCAAGATGAACTACTTATTTGTCCTTTTTTGCTGGGAGAATATTCATAACAATACGAATTATTCGATAACATATCTTAACAAAATATGGCGAAGCAATCATTTTCGTGTCAAGTACGAAAACCCCCATCGATTCAAACAAACACGACCTTACAAAACACAATCAACACTCATCGTATATGCGAACTGCTTTATGAATCAGCCTCTGAGCCTTGGTCCTCCGAATCACTATATGGAGAGTAGCCATAACTGTAGCTGTAATCGTAGCTGTAGCTATAACCGCTGCCCGAGCCATACGAATACTCCCCATCCGAAACAGCCTCCTCCTTTGGTTTGTCCATCACCTCAGCCTTCTCCTGCGGCACATCTTTCTCATCATCGTCCTCCATATCACCCCAGAAGTCATCTAAATCATCTCCAATCGCCTCTTCCTCTTCCTCCGATTCTGGAATATCCGTCTTGGGGATGTCTCGTCTCGAAGGCTTGAACTCGCTCAGATTCTCGAAGAAGTCGTCCTCCGAATTCTCCTCCTTCTACCCATCAAACCCTGCTTTTTCTCCTACATCGCCCTCATCGTCGAAGTCGTTCCGCGGGATCGCGAAGCGACCGTCCATCCGATTGCTGATCTCTCTCTGCGACCGATTCTGCAGCGCAGTGATACGATACACTATTGATTAGACCGTTCTCTCTTCTCTACAGCGCTGCTTCACCTGCTCTTCCTTCTTCTTCAGCTCCTCCTTCGCGCGTTCGATCTGCTCATGCAAAGCTTTCACCGCCGCCTGCTTCTCCTCCACTTCCTCCGTTTTCAGAGCCAACTGCTGCTGCCGGCTGCGCCACGTCAGCATGTCCTTCTTCCACTCGTTACGCAGATACTCGCGGTTGCCCAGCTCGGCAGCCATCGTCACCGAGGTTGGCTCCACAGGCGTAGCAGCGGGAGCCACAGCAGCAGCCGCTGAAGGCGCGGACGAATCTCCCAAAAGGCCGAAATCCAGTGGGGACTCAGCAGGCTGGGCGGGCTCTGCGGGCTCTGCGGGCTCTGCGGGCTCTGCGGGCTTGGGCTCCTCGGATTCGTTGGGCATGAGGAGCATATCCATCGCATCCGCAGACTCCGCGGGCTTCGCGGGCTCTGCACTCATACCAGCCAGCAGATCGTCTTCTTCGGGCACAGGCACAGAGTTGGGCTCCGATTCAGGTTCGGGCTCAGGCTGCAGCTCGAACTCGGGCTGATTGTCGGTAGTAGGAGGCATAACGTCGTTGAGATTCATCATGGGCTCTTCCTGAGTAGTGGCAACGAGCAGATCCATCATGGGCTCGGGCTCCGGCTTCTCCATAACGACCTCTTCGTTGAAGTCGGGACGAGGAGGCATCATGTCGGGACGCGGTCTGGGCTCCATGCCGGGACGAGGACGCGGCATCATTCCAGGGCGTGGACGCGGCATCATACCTGGACGAGGTCTGGGCATCATGCCTGGCCGCGCTTCCATTCCAGGACGAGGCTCCATTCCAGGGCGAGGACGAGGAGGCATCATACCTGGACGAGGACGCGGACGAGGACGCGCATCCATTCCAGGACGCGGTCTGGGCATCATGCCTGGGCGTGGGCGAGGATGGCCTTCCATACCAGGGCGAGGACGAGGAGGCATCATGCCTGGACGCGGTCTGGGCTCCATGCCTGGGCGTGGGCGAGGAGGCATCATGCCTGGACGAGGTCGAGGAGGAAGGTCGGATTCGGGCTGGCTGGATACCATCGTACTCTCCATCGGCTCTTGCTCAGGCGCAGCATCAGGATTCGAAATACCAAAATCAAGACCAGATTCAGAATCAGCATTTGTCTGCTGGGGAGCAGGAGCACCGAAATCGAAATCAAATGAATCTGATTTCTTTTCTTCTTCCTCTTCTGCTTCTTCTTCTTCTTCTGCTTCTTCTTCTTCTTCTGCTTCTTCTTCTTTCTTTACTAAATGAGCCTTCGATGGAGGAATCAAACTCGCAGGCAGCTCTTGAGGAAGAGGAACACCATTACGACAAGTGAATAAAATGTGAGTCATGATTACAAACTCAGCAAAGTCCAAACGACCATCCTCATCCAAATCAGACATGGAATACAATTTCTCTAATACTTCTTTAGGTAATCCACTCTGAGAATGATAGGCAATCACAGCATCATGAGGCAATTTGTGGCTCTGATCTTTGTCCAATTGTAAGAACAGTTGTTGATAGAAAGCACGCTGCTGAGGATTCGTAGCAAATGGATCGCCCATAGGAGGCTGAGGCTGTTGAGGCTGTTGAGGCTGTTGAGGTTTCTGAGGTTTAGGAGGAAGAATTGGAGCTTCTTCTTCCTCTTCTTCTTCTTCTTCTTCTGCTTCTTCTGCTTCTTTCTTTACTAAATGAGCTTTCGATGGAGGAATCAAACTCGCAGGCAGCTCTTGAGGAAGAGGAACACCATTACGACAAGTAAACAGAATGTGAGTCATAATTACAAACTCAGCAAAGTCCAAACGACCATCCTCATCCAAATCAGACATGGAATACAATTTCTCTAATACTTCTTTAGGTAATCCACTCTGAGAATGATAGGCAATCACAGCATCATGAGGCAATTTGTGGCTCTGATCCTTATCCAATTGTAAGAACAATTGTTGATAGAAAGCACGCTGTTGAGGATTCGTAGCAAATGGATCGCCCATAGGAGGCTGAGGCTGTTGAGGCTGTTGAGGCTGTTGAGGTTTCTGAGGCTTAGGAGGAGGAATTGGAGCTTCCTCTTCTGCTTCCTCTTCTTGCGGCTTCTCAGGCTTTGGTGGAAGAGAAGGAGCAGAAGCACCGAAATCGAAATCAAATGAATCTGATTTCTTTTCTTCTTCCTCTTCTGCTTCTTCTTCTTCTTCTGCTTCTTCTTCTTTCTTTACTAAATGAGCCTTCGATGGAGGAATCAAACTCGCAGGCAGCTCTTGAGGAAGAGGAACACCATTACGACAAGTAAACAGAATGTGAGTCATAATTACAAACTCAGCAAAGTCCAAACGACCATCCTCATCCAAATCAGACATAGAGTATAGTTTCTCTAATACTTCTTTAGGTAATCCACTCTGAGAATGATAGGCAATCACAGCATCATGAGGCAATTTGTGGCTCTGATCCTTATCCAATTGTAAGAACAATTGTTGATAGAAAGCACGCTGCTGAGGATTCGTAGCAAATGGATCGCCCATAGGAGGCTGAGGCTGTTGAGGCTGTTGAGGCTGTTGAGGTTTCTGAGGTTTAGGAGGAAGAATTGGAGCTTCTTCTTCCTCTTCTTCTTCTTCTTCTGCTTCTTCTGCTTCTTCTTCCTTTACTAAATGAGCTTTCGATGGAGGAATCAAACTCGCAGGCAGCTCTTGAGGAAGAGGAACACCATTACGACAAGTAAACAGAATGTGAGTCATAATTACAAACTCAGCAAAGTCCAAACGACCATCCTCATCCAAATCAGACATGGAATACAATTTCTCTAATACTTCTTTAGGTAATCCACTCTGAGAATGATAGGCAATCACAGCATCATGAGGCAATTTGTGGCTCTGATCCTTATCCAATTGTAAGAACAATTGTTGATAGAAAGCACGTTGCTGAGGGTTCGTAGCAAATGGATCGCCCATAGGAGGCTGAGGCTGTTGAGGCTGTTGAGGCTGAGGCTGTTGAGGTTTAGGAGGAAGAATTGGAGCTGCAACTGGAGATTCTTGAGGTTTCTCAGGTTCTTGAATCGAAGAACCGAAATCGAAATCAAATGAATCTGATTTCTTTTCTTCTTCTTCTTCTTGCGGCTTCTCAGGCTTTGGTGGAAGAGAAGGAGCAGAAGCACCGAAATCAAAATCAAATGAATCTGATTTCTTTTCTTCTTCTGCTTCTTTCTTTACTAAATGAGCTTTCGATGGAGGAATCAAACTCGCAGGTAATTCTTGAGGAAGAGGAACACCATTACGACAAGTAAACAGAATGTGAGTCATAATTACAAACTCAGCAAAGTCCAAACGACCATCCTCATCCAAATCAGACATGGAATACAATTTCTCTAATACTTCTTTAGGTAATCCACTCTGAGAATGATAGGCAATCACAGCATCATGAGGCAATTTGTGGCTCTGATCTTTGTCCAATTGTAAGAACAATTGTTGATAGAAAGCACGTTGCTGAGGGTTCGTAGCAAATGGATCTCCAGTGTGTCCTTGTTGATTGGGAGCGTTTCCACTCTGCCCTAAAGGGTTTTGCATCATCATACCAGGTTTTGGTGGAAGAGAAGGAGGCTGCATGCCAATAGTTTGATTTGGTGACATCATGGGCTGTGAACCTGGCATCATAGGTTTTGGGGGCAAAATAGGGCGAGGACCCATCATTCCAGAATTTGGGCCTCCTTGATTATTCATACCCATCATCATGGAATTCGATGACATTGGCAATTGTCTAGATGTAAAGAAAATATCAAAATCTTCGTACTGCATTTGCATTCTCTAAATTTATGATATTTCAGATAATAAGTAATCTAGAAATGTAATAAAGACAATCTCTTTTATGCCCAAAAAAGAAGAAAGTCTAGATAGCGAATACTGGTGAATGCAAAGAGATAGAAATGCTTGATCCTAATCATAATAATAATAGGACATATATCGAATTTGGTCCTTAATACTGACTATTTGAATTCTATTAATAAGTGTAATAAGGGTAAATATCGTGCTGCATGACATGATGCTCTACTTTTTCCGTTTTCCAAATTCTGTTTCACATACTAGTATGTGAACACAGTTTCGTATCATTCCGATTTACTACTTTAAGGGTAATTTGGAAATTAGAATTACACTGCTGCTATTTACAAAACGGAATACGAATAAACACTTTACAATACTATTGCACTTCTTGACATCTTAGTTCGCCCTTATCTTTTTCTTCAAGCAATATTTTACCATCCAGTAGCTCTTATTTCGAATTACATCAGTTTTTTGTAACTCATGATCCTTTTTGTTTTGTTTTTCATCTGTGGTACTGCGAGATACCAGTACTTAACAGAACAAGAAATCATTAACGTAATTACTCTTCCAAAGGAGGATGCGTTACACAGAATTCATGCTCAGGATGGACCTTCTTATCTCATGACAAAAAACCGAATAAGGCATGTTTCATGCTCAAATTTTATATGTAGATATAATTGTACAAATACGTGTCATAACAAAGGAGAAAGTACATCGACTGGCAGTTTACTCGTTGTTTCTAGAGAATTGCTGGAAAAGGAGACATTTTATGGAGAAGGAGAATATGGGTCGATTTTCATCTTTCCTGGAAGTCATTTAGAGATCAGTTTAGTTGGAAAAAGCGTATTCTATGCTTCTCTTTTTCCTATTCTAGCCATTTACCCTCTTTCTAGATCGCTCAATAAAGCCTGATATCCGTATGGGAGAATCGGGAGTGCACACAGCCAAACGCACAGAAGTGTATACCACTGCGGACCACTCCCCACCAAAGGCAAAGGTCTTGTTTATTTGTGGCGTTTCTCGTCTCTCATACCCAAAATACGAACAGCCTGGATATATCGTATCTCTTCTGGAGTCGGATTCAGAATCGATGGTGTTCTCAGTGGCTTCGGATAGATATTGCTTGACGGAGGAGGAAGAATCCGGCTTCAATGAAATTCGAAAGCGTTTACTCGAACCCGGTAATCAGAAATCGTTCTTTGTACTTACTGAATCGCTCTTTCACATAGACGAACAACGGGTGGAAGTATGTTGTCCACCACAAAGTGAATGTCACACAAATTTACACTTCGACCAACACAGAGTACAATCTAGGATTTTACAACGCTACCGCTACCATGGAGCAGGGACTTGACATTGTCCGTCGTTTTAAGCTATCAGATCCGCACGATTCATACGTTAACCTCATCTATGATAACGTTTGTAACCATTTGGGACATGCACTCTAGGGAGATGAATGCGCAACTACAGGAAGACCTAGAACGACGAATGTTCATCTGGTGTGTCCTTCGTTTAGCGTGCTCACGGATATTGCAATCGAGACGAAGCACTGTCATTACGAAATCTACACGAGCGCTGCGTGGGTTTGTTCTTTACCTTGGATGAAAAATACGAAGCGTGCCACATGTGATGTTATTTGCTATGATATATCTGATGATATTTCTGCATAGATGAATAGAGAATACTATTGAGGTTGTTAAATTCCTGTTGTTTGTTGAAATACCGTGGGTTGGAACCCCTGGGTCGGATACCCCCACAACACTAATTTGGAGTTACATCGATTTGGTTTTCTAAACCATAAGTTTTCTGCACTTACTAAGGGAAGGTTGGTATTCTATCTCTTTCTGGGGAATTCTAATTTTCTCAGGAAACATATTTTTGTGAGAGTTTTGAAGATTTGGAGAATAGTAAAGCTTATTTTGTGTAGACAATGCCTCACGCTAACGGTTATCGTGCCCGTACTCGTTACATGTTCAAGAGAGCATTCCGCTGCCATGGAGTGATTCCTCTCTCTACTTTCATGCGCTCCTACCATGTTGGTGACTACGTCGATATTGTAGCCAATGGAGCTAGCCATAAGGGTATGCCTTTCAAGGGATACCATGGTCGCACTGGAGTCGTTTTTGATGTGACTAAGACTGCTATTGGCGTTGAGGTCAACAAGCAGGTGAGAAACCGCATCATCAAGAAGCGAATTCACGTCAAGGTCGAGCATGTTTTGCCTTCCAAGTGCAGAATTCAGCACCTGAACCGTGTGAAGCAGAACGAGGCCATCAAGGCTGAGAAGAGAGCCGAGAAGGTGTGCCTGAAGCGCATTCCTGCCCAGCCTCGTGCTCCTCACACCGTAGTTCCCACCAAGCCTATCAAGACGGTGTTCGTTCTTCCTTATGAAATTCTTGCTTAAGCTTTGGTGTCATTCTAGTAAGATGCGTTCTGTTTGTAAAAAAACATGTTACATTGCCTTGGTGGAGTTAAAGAAGATGATGATGGCGCTTATGTTGTCGCGGGATCCGAGCCTTTTGGCTCTTCTTACCAGCTCTACAAAACATTCAAGCGCATTTCTTTGTACCCTGACAACACGAATCTAGATCGTTGTTCGTAAGTAACTGCCGACGAACGAAGTTGATACATGCTTGTGGAGGAATAACATCGAACAACCCATCACTCCCCATAATGATAAACTCGTCCTACAAAAATAGTGCTGACAATCAAGACGCACGTCCGGCATTCGATATTCCTTACAGATGTCAGGGAACGAAGAGACTAACTCACCGCTAAACGTGGTCTTCCAAGAATCTTCCTTCAGCGATTTGTATTCGATATCACCCAGAGATCGCGTCACTTGTAACACTCCCATCACACGGTTGTGAATAATGACTCCTCCTGCATCCACGATCCGTTTCACCTCATTAACGTTCTGAGTGTTGTGCGTCACATTTAGCTCAACACACGTTCCGTTTCGGCATAATACGCAGCGAGAATCTCCACAATTCACGCAATAAATCGTCTTTTCATATTTGGTACTGAATCAAAGGAAGAGTGAATGGAACTACTTTATCAAAATCGCGTTAATCGCCGTGCAACCGCTGAAAAAGCCGTTATGTTTCGCGACCTCGAGGAATGAATGATCCAATTCATCGTATGTATTGAGAATTGCAGTGACAATGTCGGTAGAAAACGTTTCCTGGTAAATCTAATAGGGTAAATAAGCATGCTTACAAAAAATACCAGAGTTCGAATAAAGCGATTATTGATAAAATCAACACAATCCACTCCACCATGACCTACACAAATCAAATCAAATCAACAAGTCCAAAATACCATCGAACAAACAGAAAATACTCGCATTCATTTTGGAATTCTGCATGATGTTTCGCGTAGAAAGCAAAATCGATATTCGATCTTCCATTGCGTCTCTCCCATTCTACATCACATCTGCCAATCTATCAAACTTTGTCGCTATCAAACGCACAAACAATATGCATATCGTTGCAAACCATGTTTCCTTGGACCTGCGTTATCGGACTCACTCCTTTCTCGAGTGGTTCGAACTCACGAGCTAGATCTTCGAAGAGAGCATCGGGTATGTTGTAAAGATCCATATCATCAAACGTATAAGTGTTAACTTGAGTATCGTCAAAATCATATTCCCTAAAGTTAACGATAGCGAGAAAAGGAACTCAGACTCGGGAGAATCAGAAACGCTGGCTACACATCAGCAAAACCAACAAATGCTCTACAACAACCATATCGTGGAGATGAGATTATTTCATATTGATTGGGTGGATCGTTTTCGAGATTGGAAGAGGAGTGGGTGCTCGAAAAACTATCTTGGCGGCTTTGCCCTTGATCAGCCATGGGTAAAAGATGGCTATTGCTTGTGGACTGTAGAGACACCGAAGGACTACGCAGCGAACGAGGTGATGAATTAAACGTGGACGACTGCCTAGGATCAAAATAAAATCACAGAGCAACCGATTGCTTTGGATTTTCTTGGTGTGATGGCATTCCGAACTACAAAGCTCTGAATTCGAAATTTGGCGATGAATCGTAAGCATAGGATTCGATTGGTTCGTCGAAGAAACGGCTCCCCGACCCACCAAAACATGGGATGAAGAAATCGAGCCTTCGGACCGTCTTGATGTGTTGACGCCTACGGGTGGAGCGGGCTGGTCCTGTGGATAATCGTAAGTGTGGATCGATAGATTCGGCTGGCCTTCGCTAACCGTCGTGCTGTCAATACTCAAGCAGTGTCGCAAGGAAGGCGTGTACTGCGAGGAATCGTTCATCGGCGAACAAGAACGACGGTCATGATCGAAATCGTCGGGTTCTGTGTTCTGTCCAGATAAGGATGTTATCGAATTCGATATCTGAAACGATCGCACATCTCGTTCCAAACAAGAACTACTCTTTGCTTCTCTTCTCTGCAATGAACAAAACGCAGTGAATCTACCTTTACGAAGCCTATAGATGGTCGATCTTTGAGCGACTCGTCTTCATAGATATCCTCTTCTGCCTCATAATCTTCCGATTTAAAATCATCATCGTTCATGTCTTCCAAATTCGAATACGAAGTGCTGTGTCGAACCGAATGAGACTTCCTCTCGTATTCTGTAGAAAAGCGAGACGATTCCAAAATGTGTTGGAGACGATTGGAGGTAGGAGAGATAAACTGCTCGCCAGAAGCAGTCGAAGTTATATGCGGCTCTCTCAGATGGGAGGAACCTGGAAACTCTTTCAATTCGGTGGAGAGCAACGACATCGTGTCACCTTTTAATCAGTAGATATCACACGAAACAAACTCATGTTGATTGGATAGAAACCATCCATTGTTACCCATTCATGATTGATGATTTGGCCGATCGAGATTCGCTTGATCGGGTTTTTCTCACTACAATCACACCAATTTCTCATTCATACAGCATTCGTTTCAACAAATCCTTCAAAGCAAACTCGTACTTCAACGCTTTCACATTATAGTCAGGCTCCCTAAACATAATCGCCTCGGACAGCTTCTTGATATTCTCAGCCACAAATGGAGGCGTTCCGGTCACCATCGTATATCTCATTACATACATTCCAATCACACATACAACAAAATTCCCAAACTCCAGATATCGCGAGCCATCCCGAAGTTAAATGAATCCGTACCTTTAAACCCTTTGCGTTTTCGCAGAGTTGCCTTGGCCGTAGCGATGATTGTGCTGTTATAAACTTCGGGTGGCATGCTCATCGGTGTTCCATAGATGGACGATTCGCTATGACTCATTTCGATTCAACGATTCGACGTGTTTTTGGAATTGTACGAAACTCCAAAATCGATGATGCGAACTCGATTTTCGTTCTTCTCAATAATACTCGCGCGATTCTGCTGAAACAAATGATCACTACTTTTATCTCTACACCAACACTCCATCCAGCTCTCTACAAATCGAACTTCCTTCCTGTAAAAGGCAGCAATTCTTCTGAAACGATCGACGTTGATCCTTCTTCTGCGCAATGCATTACTTCGGTTGAAACCGAATCCGGAATCGATGGTTCTGGAGGAGAATTCGCATCGCGGTTGTTCGGAGACAATCCAAGACCTTGGAATTGAGACGTGGATCCATCGTTCGATTCGAACTGGACGATTTCCTCGTTGGGAAGTTCCTCCCAGGAGTTTTCGATCATGATGTTGCTCACTTTCAAGTCTCCGTGGACGATTCCCTTCGAGTGGAGATAATACACGCCTTTCAAGATCCCTCGGAAGATCTGAATGGCTTTAGTGATTGGAATGGGAGGTTGAGGCGTTCTGATGGTCATTCAAACATGATTCGAAAACGTGGATTCTTCCATGATGATTCGTCCTCGAATTAGCTCTTCAATCAAAATGAAATCATTCATGATGTTATCCACTATCACTTCGACTAACTGAACAACGTTCGCGTGATTCAAATCTTTCAGAATGTTCGCCTCCGTTCGCAAACTCTGCTATTGAAATCAATCCTAATTCAAACATCGATCGCATTATTTCCCCAGAATCGATAGAGCTTACTGTTGGCTTTTACCGATTTCATATGTTTATTGATCGACTTGAGCGCGTAATACTTGTTTTCACTCTGGCAATAGCAGGTATAAATCTATGTTTACAACTCTCCCGATCCATTACTCGACTATTAATGCCTGCTGATATTTCCTTGATGATTTTGTATTGATTGATGCTGATATTCAAATCGCGATCTTCCCGGATCACCATCTACACTCGATTCCATCTACTGTTTCTACGTCTGTCGTAAAAACCACTTCGTGTTTGCGAGGTCCGCGCGATTCTGCGTCCGAAATCATATCAATATCGAATTGTTCTTCCGTCTTTCCTTGCAAAATGTGATTCACCCACATCATTTCTTTCCAATTCCGCGAATGAAGCGATTTTCGCAAGTACTATGTTCTCGAAAACGGCGAGAAAGAGTTACTAAATCGTATCGTTTGTTGCTTTCGATCACTGTGCGAAGAATCCCGGCTGGAATACGAAGAACAACGAGCTGCTCGTAACCATCACTATGACACCTACATCCTCACATGATACACAGTAGTATTCATAGCGATTATTGTTGAAAATGTCGGTTTCTCCGATTACAGCTCCTGTGTACCTACAGAAAAGCAACAACCCACACGGACATTTTCTGTAAAGAGTTGTATTTTCCTTGGACGTCACTCTGAATCAGTTCTACTGTTCCGTCAATTATAATGTACAAAAAGGAAGGGATTTCTCCCTGAGAAAAAACGATCGAGTCAGCAGAGTAAGTGATTTGTTCGAGATTTTCAAGAATGAAACTCCGCTCGTCGTCAGAGAAAATGTTACCAAAGAAAACAGTCTGCTTAAGAACAGAAAAGTATGGCATGTGCTCATACTTCCTACACACGGACTATCTCGAAAGATTTCATATAAAAGATACCTCAGGTAGTACAGGAGACATAATACCTGACGTGGGGAGTGACAAATCCGAATCTAAATCCAACTCGTTCAAGTTATCCATGTTAATCTGATATAAAAATGATAGAGAGAGTATACAGGGACGACTTCTTCTGATAAATTATCATTATCGCTCTCGGAACCCGAAGATGAAATATCAGGCTCGAAAACAATCTGGGACAAACCGAGATCCGCACTGACTGCAGAGATCATAGGGTTTTCTTGATGACACGCCTCTTGATCTCGTGGAGGAAGCTCCGGCATACTGATTTTCCTTGCATCTTGTTGATTGTTTCTACTGAAAGATGACGAAATGTCTCGGAAAAACATCTTATTATTTTTGTTGATCGGGGTTTGAAGGTAATGTGGTTCTACTATGAATCACTGAACAGCACTTGGATGGAATGAATAAGGAATTGCTTATTTGTTTTTGACTCTCCAGTAGTAGTCTTTTTATTTTAGAAACATGGAGTTTTCTGGAAGAGTGGAGGATACTAGTAAGCCAAATCAACAAGAACAGAAGAGTGACGTTCTCAAAAGAATAGACGAATTTGCGTCAATGACGTAATTAATTTGCACGATGTATAAGTTTAGTGTTGAGCAGCTCGATGATAACGCTCCAGAAACAGTAATTGGACTTATTGAGGATGCCATAGGCTACTTTGCTGCCGAGGATGTGCTCTCCCTGTCAGAGCACTTGAATAAGGACAGCAACATCTTTAAGGTAGCCGAACTCGTGATAAAGTATTGCACAATGAAGGGTGGGCACGAAGATGATATTGTTGCTCTCTTCGATAGTTTAAATCAACTTGCCACTTTTACCACCGACTTTGACCTGTGCATTCAGTACTCCGAGCGTTTCCTGAAGGAAATGACGAATATGAATAATGAAGAAGGCATTGCCAATGCTCTTATGTGCTGTGCCAATGCCTGCAGTTCCTCTGTCTTGTCGATAGTTGCTAGTATCACAGAGGACGTTAATGATAAAGATAATGACAAGTTGCTCCAGATTGACGGAATCGAAAATCCTGTCAAGAAGGTTGAGGAGCTAGTTTCAGATTCTGTGGAGTACAGCCACCAAGCATACATTAGTCATCTAAAGCTTGCAATTCTTCAAGCAGAGTCGATGGGAATCGTGAAAAAGGGTCTTTCCACGCAACTGGACGATGAGCATCTGGTAAACACAGTAACGACGCTGAGCGATGCCCTGAACGCTATGAAAGAGAGACCCGATGAGCTGAACTACATCTATGATCATCTGCAATACGCTCAGGAGATGAATGAAAAGTGTATGGAGTTTGATGGTCTTTCCTTCGCGGAACTGAAAGAGAAAGTGAGACATATGATGGATGATGAGGATTGTTGCTGTGATTCGAGCTGTGAATGTCGTCATGGCGATGATGATGAAGAGGAGGAAGAAGAAGAGGAAGAAGAAGAAGAAGAGGAAGAAGAAGAAGAGGAAGAAGAAGAAGAGGAGGAGGAGAAAAGTAAAAGGAATAGATCGAAGAAGCGAAATCAACGTGGAGCAGCATCACAAAGCAAACGAGTGAAGCATTGTTGTGTTTATTGAACAAAGAACTGCAACTATTTACAAACTGACTTGTGAGCAATATCGATACAAAGCATAGGAGACACGCAATTGATCCTTCGCGCGATAAAATAAACAAACCCAGGTGATGAATAATCGACCTACAGTTCATCCACCAACACAACACATCTCACATTAATCACGAAATACTGATGAACTTCGTATCGCAGCATTTCCCCTTTAAACAACACATCTAATTCCGATCCTTCTTCCAACTCCGAAGGCGAATACAGCGCAATAATTTCGCTCTCTTCCGACACGAATCCTTTCAAATACTTCTACCGATCAACACCATGCTCATCCTTCCACCTTCCCTTCTTTCTCCGCAAACTCCAACGAAAACCGAAACGTCAAGCACTGCAAGATCTCATCGCGAAGCACCGCCAAATGCTTGAAGTTCGTCACGCTCTCCTGCACCGCCAAATGCAGCGAATCCGTCGCATTCAACTCAACAACGTCCGCAGTGCGGATCGAGCAGCGATACCGATAATTGCTCTCAAACCGCGTCACTTCCAACGGCTTTCTCGCAACGATTGGCGTCGGGAGAATCTGCGAAAAGGAGTAGAACGCCTCGCAGAAGGGCTGATGCGTGTCGGTGACCTTCTCCGGAAACGAAATAATTCCGAAAATCTCGATGACCGGTGCGATCTTCAGCGTAGAACTGCGAGGAACGAAGAGAGGAGACGAGAGATAAATGGGACGAGGCTCGGACGGCGAGGCGGGAGACGAGACAAACCGGAAAAGATTCGAGTTGCAGGTCTTCGTTTCGGACTGGATAACCATCCAAATCAGCTGGTTTCCTTCGATTTTTGACTTGATCTACCATTCAGAAAGCGAAGGAAAGCGACGCGAAGATCCGCGGGATCCGAGGAGAAGATCGAAAATGCCTCGCCCATTTGGAGAACCTGCTCGATCGAGGGGTGCACGCCGTGTTTGTCTCGAAGTTCCGAAAGCACGGTGAGATAAACCGGGTAGTTCGCAGCCTGCACGCTCACAGAAAGCACCCAGTTCCCGTTTGCATCTTGTTTTGTGCTCAGCAAATCGACGCTGTCGGTCAGATAACAAGCTTGGCGTTAAGAAGAGAGAGAGCTGGAAACCAGGGATCGCGAAGTCGTAATAATACACATCGCTGACCGTCGATTTGTCCACTAAAACCATCCAGAGCTGATATTCTCCACTGTTGGCGAGCGTCCCCACATAGAGAGAGGCTTCGTCTGCGAAGAGACCAGCGTAGTAGCCGCGTTGTTCGATGTCGAAGCGAGAGCGCTCGATTGGATGAGAAGTGTCGTTTGTTTTCCTCTCGATGTGGTAGAATACGTGGGAGGGGTTTGAGATGGAGCAGGAAATATAGCAAACTTCATCATTGACTATTAGGTGAGGGTTCCAGATATGATAGTTGTTTGAACGTTCTGGAAATGAGACGATTGAGGAGGCCTACGCTTTTCGGTAGATGGCTGGTCCAAAACAAGCACCGAAGAGTGGCAATGGGATAATAACTCTTCAGCAACGAGAAAAATCTGGTAAACTCCTTGATCCCGAATACTCAGTGTGAACTCTTTTCCTTCCCTCGCAATAGTTGATTTTCCTTGCTGAATAATGCGATCTGTTGATACTTCTTGAGCTCGATAAGTTTTCAAGTAATAGATGATAGCATCACCGCCATGAACTATGCCTGATAAGCGATAGAAATAATCATTCCAAGAAAACTCAGATACTTCGATTTCGATTCTATGCTCAGTACAGTCTATTTATTAGCAAATACCCGATATTTTACTAATTTCATTGCGGAGCGAATAATCCAAATCTGTTCTCTGGTTTAACCTGTGATCATCGGCATTCTCTATGTATTCATTCTTCCCAATAGTATAAATGAAAATGGGAAGAAAGTACACAATGAGAGCGTTCAAAAATAGATTCATTTTGATCAAACAAAGAACTGACTATCTGAAAATAATCTACTTAAAAGCTTGCACCACTATTCAAGTGTTTCACACTTGACAATATACTGCCCAGAAATCATCACACAACCAGCGCTTCGATGAAATTCCTTTCCTTCTTCTTCTACGAATTATTCGAATATAAAAAGTAAACCAAAATTGATATACTCTGTTGCCTGCATCAAAATAAGCCCCATCTTGTTATCCACTGCCTAGATGTTACATATTTGTCAAGAAGAGCCAACACTAAGATAACCAGTGAACACACGACCATCACTGATATGAACTCTTGTTTTTTTGTTCAAATACTTTCTCAGCTCAGCGCACTTTTCCCCTCCTTCTCTTAAATAGGCATCTCTCAGTGTAAATGGTAATTGAGCTTCAGACATGTTATTCTTCAAGTGAATATAGTAAACAGTATAAGGAAGATCCGAGTTCCGCCTTAAAGAATAGGAAATATGAGAAAAATGTAATAATAATGTGTAAAGGGGCAGAATATCAATTTGCCTCCAAGACGAGGTTATTACTATGAAAGCAGTGTCTCTAGCTTATCTGTTTGTCGATCCACAAAAATGGAGCATTCACTATTCTTTACAGCAGCAAAATAGCAGTAGCTTATTTATAGAAGAACTATAAACCGGTTTCTTATTTTCTGTAGACGTTTTCTGTTATGTCTAGTGTTGGAATGGTTGAAGGGAGTAACATGTAGTCAAACACCGTGGAACAAAAGTTAGATATTGAAAATAATGCTACCTCTGCACCCATAGTAGAAGGTAACGAATAGTAGGAAAGATGAGTATTTAGAAAATGGTACAGCCGCTCTTCCGAATTCTGGAAATCAAAATTTGGAAAACCAAGCTACCGACGATATCAACGAACTTTCTGTCGATGCTATACTTCAAGACCTTTCTGATACTGATTTTGAGGAAGAAGTTCTATTTAGTGGAAATCAAGAGAACTGCCCTGATTCAAAAGATGTTGGCTCGGGAATACCACAAGAAATGCCCAAGCTTCCCGCATTGCAGCTAAAATTAGTTGATAATCCTAAATTAGTTTTAAAGATAAACGAAAACAGAGATGGCAATACGGATGGAGCAGGCGAGCCCAATGCTCAGGAAGCTGGGGATAGGAAGGAGAGTGAAGTGGTGAATGCTGAGGAAGGAGAAGGAAGACAGAAGAAGGACGATCCAGAAGAAGTAGAACGTCGAAAAAGAACCTTGGAAGCAATTCGTCTAAAACGTCAAGAAATGTTTATGAAAACTTATCAAATTAATTCTCTTAATGCTCAGATTGCTGAACTGAATGCTCCGGTTGCGAAAGATGTCTCGAAGCTACGCAATCAAGTGGATCGCTGCTTCACCCAGTTACGAGAGTTGCAAGATGAAAGTATTCGCGTGAATGAATCGATCGAGAAGGCAGTTCAAGTGCAGCAAAAGCTGCAGGACCAGTTGGATGCCTTGGAAGAGAAGAGGAAGGAAGCGATATTTGAATTAGAGAACAAACATTTAATGCAGCTGAAGGGGATTGAAGAGGAAATTCGACAGTTGTTGTAGTGTGTGTATGGGATCGTGGTTCTGTTTTATGAAAACAAAGCTCACCAGATCATCAGTAACAAGTACAGCCTTTCTTGCAATCGTCATCACTATCATATTCTGCATCTTGATCTTGATGATCACTCTCGTCTTCATTTTTATGCTGAGTGGGAACATTACCATCATTCTCATTTAATGTTGATGTGCAAAGGGTGGGGGGGTTTGGAGCCACATCCTCCGATACACCAGACCTATCTATGTAAGCAGGATTTTCAGGGGCTTGATTCCTGTATTTCTCGTTCATCTCTCGGCCAGTTCCTTTTTCGACAGGTGGAGGAGAAATCGAATCACCAGAAGCATTACTTGGTTGAGAATGATTATTATCACCATTTAAAGATATCTCGTTGTTTTGAGGGACAGTAGAATTCGATAGAACAGGATTTGGGATAAACAGAGAAGAGTTTTCCGGATTTGAATTCGTAGAAGAAATACCACCAATAGCATTGTTATTCAGAGAACGATTTACAGAATAGGTGATCGAACCAGATTGCGTATAATTGATTCCACTGGTAGGAGGAGAAATCATGGGAATGTTCATTGGTCCATTGGGCGCAGCAGTAGCATCAGCAGTAGCAGAAGAAGAAAGAGGAATGGAGATAGAAAGTTCTGTATCTTGAGTTGTAACAGTAGGAGGAACGGTAGGAGGAGTGGGAATAGAAGCACTGTCAACTTGAGTTGGACCGGAAATAAAAGGAGGATTCAGCACTGTGGGGTTACTTACACTTGGCTGTTGCTCGGTAGCCGATAAAGCAGGGTCGCATATCACATTCACATTAGAGGGGACATTCGGATTGGTGTTGGAAGTAGTCGGTACTGACTGGCTGCTCGGTTGAATTGATTCTGGCACAGAACTGCCATTGAGCTGATTTGATGAAGACAAATTTCCGCCGATTGGGGCGGTCTGAGTTGGAGAGACGGAAGCTCTGCCATCATTTGTCTGATCCTGGAAAGAAGAAGCGTGCTTGGATGGCGCCATTGAGTTAGCAGAAGGCTGGTTTTCGGAAGAATTACTCTTCTGCTGCGAATTCGATGCCGAGTGTTGCGAATTGAGTCCATCTATTACTCACCTCTAATGACCCATCCTTACTGTACTGATTTCCCATAAGCGAAGGCACGTATTTCCCAGCATTCTCATCGATCGGGATATTGTTCTGCTTGCACCATTCATCCAAATCGCGCTTGATATTCTCTCGCGCTTCCTTTGTCGCAAAGGTCGCTGGCTTGACGCATTTCATCTGGTACTCTTTGTATTTGACATTGATCGGATTTTGGGGATCGTTCAGCTGATTTCGGGTGATAAAGTTATTCACAGAGACCAGAACCGCATCCACATAATCATGCGTCTTCGTGACTTGCTTGCTTTCTTCTTCGTCCTCTTTCGTTTTATTCAGCAAATACTTCACACCCTTTTCTATTTCTATTCGCTCATTCCTCCCAACCAATCCTCACCCTCACTACACTGCGCCAATTCCTCCGGACTGCACTCGCTCAGCGACTGCCACATGGACTCCTTCAACCCATTCAAATACTCATCCGAGCAATTCACGAAGTAGTACATCTTCCCTGCGCTCTTCACGAACATGCTGGAGTTTGTTTCCTCCGGATCGTACACTCCGCAATTCTTCAGCTTCTCATTGAACGTAATTCGCTTTTCTCGCAGTAGATGGGAGATTCGGCACGCTCCCATCGCATTCTCTTCGTCCATTCGAGCCGTGAGCGAGAGCGGCTTCTTCAAAATCGTGGTGGTCACTTCCTGAAGCAGAACGGATCGCATCGCGCCGCCCATCGGAACAACCGAATACATACTAATCTTTTTGCTTTCCAAGTACTACACATCACGCTCTCCATCCATCGCACTACCTTCAATGTCACTTGCAAAACCTCCTCGAACGGCTTCAAACTCTCCTTGCAGTAATCCTCAAACTCGGAGTGGTTGATCAGAAGCTCCAAATCGTCGTCGTTTTCGTTTCCAAAGGCTCCGATAATCGACATCATCGTCGTATTGATCTGGTGAGTGTTGATTTGATTCTTCCATTTCACCATCTCTTGAAGCAACTGGTACTCCGTTAAGGAGGAAACATCCTTCCGATTCGATTTGCTGATTGCAAAATCGCGAAGCCGCTTCGTTAAAATGCGTCCTCCAAATTGTGCTGACTTGGTGTACATCATCTTCATTTCGTTCTTCTTGAATTCGATCACAGAAACAGTGAGGAAAACATCTCCGCAGTTTACAACAACCACGTATTCTTTCTTCCTCATAGCTTGATATGTCAAAAAGCCAAAGGAAACACCGAATGCTATGCTGCCTTCAACGAAAATAGGCTTGGGAAGATTGTAGCAAAGCATAGTTTTAGAGAGCAACTTCAAATGCTCCGGGGACATCACTGTAGGAACCTAATTTTGAACCTGACGAAAGCTACATACGGCTATAATTGGCCTATACTCTGAAATTTTATTCTTTCGAGTCTCCTCATTCACTAATGAGTACATGTTTGTATATAAATCCCCATGCTTCATTGTGATTCTATAGAATACGAACAACATCACATATCCGATGAGGGAATACGTATCGATGGAGATTGGGTCAGTTTTTCCAAACTTGAGTTTTACAAGGCAATTCTTCCACTTTTCGATTTCAAGTGGACAGAAAATATGTTCTTCTTCTTCATTTACAAAAAAATCCAATAAACTGATGTACAATGGAGTCGTGTTATTGATGGTTCTATTAGACTACAAAATTCAAAATACACATGAATCCATACATATTGCTTAGTATGATTCGAGACATTGATGATTCTTTCGGAAACTGATATTTGATTTCTACGTCATTACATACATTATATCAAAGCCAACGGGAATGACTTCTTACCAATATCATTGGTCACAACTTCATAACAAGAATCAGGATGAGCAGTAATCGTATTTGATCCTTTGAAACATGTAATTTCAAAAGACCCAAGGTCTATTCCAGTTTCGTTCAAATATCCAGTGCTCATTACAAAATTTCTGTGATGAAAAAAAGGTTAATTTTGTAGTGTTTGTTTAAAGCATCTTTCATTTTTATATACTACATCCTTAAACTTGTGAATGGATTAAAATATATTTGCATGGTAAAGAAATTACTGTTCATAATAATTAACCTCCCCCATCTTGTCAAATTAGTTTATCATTTCTTTCAAATTGAATAAAAGTTCATTATTTTTTTAATTCTCAATGTTTTTGAACTCAGACATACAGGAAGGCAACTACGTAGGTGCTATACTCTGCTTTTACTGTTAGTCCTATTTGCAGAGAATGAATGGCTATGAAGGTGATAGAACCGTCTTCTGGAGTGACGCGTCAATCTCTTCTTCGCCTAGAACATGTATACTCTGAATTGGGAACTGACTTTTAGTAAATGACGATTTATTCAGTACTCAAGGTCACTCTCTGGAGGACCCTCTCTCGCAGAGAGTACGGGAACAGGACCTGATGTTTGCTGCGGATCAACCTAACGCTAATTTATATGTTGAGAGAAATTCACCTAACACCCCTTTCTTTTGGGAAGAATACGAAGATCCTTTCTTCCAAGAGGAGATTCTTTTGAATCCGATGTCTCCTAATAATGTTGCTACTTTTGATGATCCTAGCAATTTGTTATATGGGAGTCGTTATGAGAGGCCTCCCTTTCCTCTTCCCACGCCTCAGTCTTTTGCTATGAGTCCATCTCCCTACACTGTTCCCCCCCATATTTATCGGCGACCTTATCCACAGTACGAACCTCCCCGCATAGCGGAGGGATTTGTACGAACTCCCTCTCCTCGTTATGATTTTGGTATTCACTCAATGCATCAACCTGTACCTACATCGATGCCCATGGGTACGGTTGCTCCACCTCCATCGATGCCCATGGGTACGATTGCTCCACCTCCATCATTGCCCATGGGTACGATTGCTCCACCTCCATCATTGCCCATGGGTACGATTGCTCCACCTCCATCAATGCCCATGGGTACGATTGCTCCCCCTCCATCATCGCCTGTGTCGACAATCGCTGCACCTCCATCATCGCCTGTGTCGACAACAGCTCCTCGTCCTCCTGCTCCTACTCCACTGCCACAACCCCAAGTGATGTCTATCCCATCGAGCAATAAGAAGCATAAGAAAGGCATGAACAATTACAACAAGAAGGAATTGAATGCAAGCATGTACAAGATTGACCTATATAGAACTCTTACAGGAAAGGATATGCGAATGACCCTAATGATCCGAAACATCCCCAACGGGTATTGATTGTTGTTAGTAATACTAATCATTCAGCTTTACGAGAACGAAACTGCTCAGATATTTGGACGGGTTTGTAAAGAACAAATACGACTTTTTGTATTTGCCTGTGGATTCCATCTCGTTAAGCAATCTCGGTTTCGCTTACATTTCAATGATTAATCTCAAAAGCGTGGAAACTATATACAATGAGGTATGCGATAAGAAAAAGGATTGACCTTGTAGATGCATGGAAAAAGATGGAAGGACACGTTCAGCATGAAGGTGTGCCAGATTGTTTATGCAAGAATGCAGGTAGGAATTGGAAAAGAGGTTTGATAGATAGGGGAAACTAGCGATGAAGCGACTATGCAAGGACTGGAGTGTGATGCAGCTCCCTGAAGAATATCATCCTATCTTTTTTAAGCCGATTATTGATGAAAGGGGGCATACAGTAATGATTGTTGAAGATATTTTGTGTGTTTGTTGATAGACTTCGCGCATATTTCCTCAAAGAAAAAGATGAATTTCACACTCTCTGACTATTGCATTGTGAACTTTGGAGAGAGATTTCTATTAGAAAGCTCGTGCACCGACAAAGCAGTACCCCCACCTGTCACTAGTTGACAAACACTTTCAACAAAGCGTTCCCTGCTTGCAACCAAAAGAGCTAGAAGAGCTATTTAAGTATCGATGAGATTTCGGTTCGAGATAGATATCCCATGCCTTCGCTCCCTCTAAATGGAACCTTTATGATAGGACCAACAGATGCAAGACAGTTTAACTTGATTTCCGATGTGTATATGTTGACTGGCTTGAAAACAAGATATTCTACTCAGCTTTGCTCAGGACATGGAGGAGAATCTACAATTGACCTAAACAACCATCCTATAACCAAAAGACTTTGGAGACTTCGATCTTTACTTGTAGATCTTTTCCAGAGGTACGATTTGACTTGGTGCGGACTCTACCTTTTGAAGGCAAACGTCTGCTCCACAGAATGGGCCCTTGTGAGAGAGGGTTCCGTTGGAAGTGCTATGCGCTGTGTTATTCCTATGACTCCTGAATGGGTAACAGAGAACAATTGTGCTTGGACTGCTTATTACGAAAGAATGTGCTACTGTCCAAATCTCAGTCTACTCGTATTCCTCTGGTCCTGCAACTTCTGAATAGTCCAACCATCAAGGATACCCATCGTCAACAAGCCAGCTGTGCCTCCCCCTATTTGAGGTATAAAACCAACAGTAATTATAGAGTAGTGTGATGGTTCTCGTGCAATTGGTGTATTGAGCTGCTATTCAAGGAAAAAGGATGGGTTCTGTGAAAGAGGAATTGCTGAGTTGTGTGAGGTAAAGAAACGTTAGAACCCTCATTTACAGACATGCTACGATTTAGGAGCATCAAAGGCCTTTTGTTGGCGAGAATAAAAATTGGGTATCGTTATGTTTACTAAAAAAACGGAAAAAAGAGTACATGTCAAGGGCGTTTCGGCATTTGCATTTTTGAAAATAATAATTAATCGTTAGAATGGAAACTATCTTGGTTACTGGTGGAACTGGCTTAGTCGGAAGAGGTATTCAGTTGGCCCTTGAAAGAATGAAGGAGAATGGAAAGAGAGAGAATGAAAACTGGGTTTTCCTGAGCTCCAAGGACTGCGACCTTTTGTAGTGCTATTACTGTTTCATGATATTTAGAGACCGTGAAGCATCCCGTGCTGTTTTTGAAAAATACAAGCCTGCTTATGTGATTCACCTGGCTGCTAAGGTCGGAGGTCTGTTCAATAACATGGCCCACAAGGTGGAGTTTTACAATGATAACATTATCATGAACATGAACGTGATGGAGTTGTGCCGTGAGTTCAAGGTGAAGAAGCTCATTTCTTGTCTTTCTACGTGCATCTTCCCTGACAAGACGACCTACCCCATCGATGAAACCATGATTCATACGGGTCCTCCACACTATTCCAACGAAGGATACGCCTACGCCAAGCGTATGATCGAGGTGATGGATCGTCTGTATGCTGAGGAATACGGATGCCACTTCACCGCCATCGTGCCCACCAACATCTACGGTCCTTATGATAACTACGAGATTGAAGGTGGCCACGTCGTTCCCGGTCTGATCCACAAGTTCTACAAGGCCAAGCAAACCGGCGAGCCTGTGTGTGTCTGGGGTTCTGGCAAGCCTCTGCGCCAGTTCATCTACAACGTCGATATGGGAGAGCTGATTGTGTGGGTGCTCCGTGAGTACGAGGAGATCGCGCCCATCATTCTGTCCGTTGGAGAGGATGAGGAGGTGTCGATCGGTGATGTGGTGAACTACATTGCGGATGCGATCGATTACCACAATATCGAGTACGACCATACCAAGGCGGACGGACAGTTCAAGAAGACGGCTTCGAATGCCAAGCTGCGAAAGTACCTGCCTGATTTCAAGTTCACTCCGATGAAGGAGGGAATTAAGGAGACTGTGGACTGGTTCGTGGCGAACTATGATACTGCCCGAAAGTGGATTGTTTGTTTTAGCAATTTTCATACTACGTTGAACAGAAAAAGGATATCATGCAGAGCATCGTTGATAGCATTGTGGGAGCGCAGGTGAAGAACATGATCTTTGAATTTCACTTGCTGAGCGATGTCAAGGATTGTGTAAACGATTTAGTATCTCAGGTGGAGGCGGATGATAAAGACAATACAATGTTCTGTTTTCGTGCCGATGATAATATAGTAAGGAGCTTCAGAAGCAGATTTTGCAACTGCAGCAGGAAAACAAGATTCTGGAGGATGCAAACGCTAGATACAGTGATTTACAACTAATCGAAGCGAATGTTCGCATGGTTGAAAAGGATGAAGTGTAGAGGTGCTTTGAACTGCAAGAATTGTTTCAGAATGAGATGGAAAGCATTCGAAAGGAGTTGCAGCAAGCAGCTCTGTACATAAACACTTGTTGTCTCACGAAAAGGCTTGAAAACGAGATAAAACAGTTGCAGGAAGAAAAGAAAGAGTTGGAGAAGAAGAGGGAAGAGTCTGAGCAGCGAATTGTCGCTCGAGAGGCAGAAATGGCTTCTATGCAGAAGATTATTCGAACTCTCCAGTTCGCCTATGTGAAGTAAGTTGTAAGAGCCAGCTTTCATGAGTACGATCGCTCCTTCTCTTCCTATTCCGTCTCCTTCTCTCTACTCTCTTCCTCCAGAAACCCTTATCCACGTATTTTCTTTCTTAGATGTAGTATTCTTTGAGTCCATCCCCATCTTTAGACAAAGACCATGATCGAATTGAGTAGTATCAATTCCTATTTTAGAACGTGCTACGAAGCCACAGTCTTAGGTGAGTTTTACAATAAAGAGCCAACAGCCGACTCCATCTCGCCAAAGATTGTGATTGCTCGCTTGCGAGTGGTAATTCAACCAATCCATGACCTATAGGAGGAAGTTGCAACTCTTTCTAGCCAAAAGCAAGAGCTGGAGGAAGTGGTGGGAGTCAAAGTGTGGATTGATTTTAGAAAAAACACATGGAACAGTCGATATTGGAGCTCAATCAACAGATGAACGAGATGAAGGACCGAATCAGCAGGATTACTTCCGAGCTCGAATCTGCGCATAATCAAATGGCAAGTGACCGCGAAGTGAAATACTACTTGGATGAGAATCTCACGAGAATCAGCCAAGAGTTGACGTAGATGAGGGGTTTGCATATTTATAACATAGAGAGAAGGAAAATTTGATTCGAAGTATGCAGGAGAGGAGTACTGAAGGGATGAGAACGAGAACCACGTCTGTTGCTGTTTGATTGGTGTTTTTTGTTAATGATAGAAGGAACACTAGAAGTGAATCCAGTGATTTTGGAAGCTAAAGTCCATGAACGTCGTGTTTGCTGTTTAAGGATATTGTTTGAGAAAATCAAATTATCCTATTACTAGCTTTTGAAATGTCTGATGAGAATAGCGTTCCGCTTACCTCTCTTAATACTCGTTCGATTGTACTAAAATGCACCTTCATTAACCACGACGGAGTCGAACTGGTCATGAAGGTTCCCAGCAGCACCTCAATCCGACAGGTGAAGAAGCGCATTATCAAAAACCTAACGAATCTGGAAGTTAGCAGGCCACCAAAGAAGCAAGAGTCTCCGGCAAAGGAGGACGTGATCTATATAAGTTCTGAAGGCACAGAGCAAACGAGTGCTTCTACCCTCTCTACAACTTCAACACTAACTTCCGTTTCTGAGTCTATTAGAGTCGAAGGTAGATATTTTTACACTAATATCCAACTCTAGGAGGTGATGAGCAAAGGGAAGAGCTCATAGAAGTCATTCGCAGTAATCCCGATGTGCTACTAAACGCGAGACTCTTCTGTATGGGGAAGGAGCTAAAATCAAACCAGAAACTAAAACGTAGTGTAGAAGGATATCGTTCAACATAGAAATGAAGCTTCCCTGCTTTCCAGATTGCCCTACTCCTCTTCAAATAATGATCGCAGAAAAACCAGACGTGGTTATTCAAAAGTCGAGTGATCTCTGCTATTATGTATATCACTGCTAGAGAGAGATCAATGCTACCTCTGTTTTAATTCGGCGCTGTATAACTGTACCATATTGTGAAATTGCTTTGTTCAGAAACACTTTTTCCAGGGAGAAGATTGTGGAAATGGAAAAGGGATGGAGGACAGCCTGGAGCAAAAAGGAGAACGCGTATTACTATTGGAATGAGAGTACACATGAGACACTTTGGAAGGTGGAGTGTCCAGAAGATTGGTGGGCCAAAAAACTAATAAAAGGAAGTGATTCCAGTGTTTCCTGGATCTATGTAAACCTAAAAACCGGACGCGAGCTCCATTCGAAATCCCAGTTTACAGAATACATCAATTCTCTTGGTGGAAGCCATGCGCCCAATCCGTATCTGCAATAGCTAACAACTGATCTGTAGTCAACCGAAGACGGAGACGAACGCTTTCGGAACGGCTATTCAAGACAAAGGCAATAAGAATGTAGAAAATTCAGATGGATTTGTCTCCATGTCATTAAAGAGGGAAGCCGATAATGGAGACGAATTTGTATCCATGTCTTCGAAGATGATACAGTACAATGGCGTAGTCAATAACTACAACAAGGAAGACAAGACAATAGAACAACGAAATCAGTCCTCCACACTTCATCTCCGCAAACTAGACAATTGGGTAAAGCTCTACTTAATTCAGGAATACTGCAGAAACTGCAAGAGAGTCTTGGATCTAGCTTGTGGCAAAGGAGGAGATCTTCAGAAGTGGAGAGAGCATAACATTAAGGATTATGTCGGAGTCGATATAGCCGACCGTTCCATTGCTGATGCAGTTGTTCGGTTTAAGAATATGAAAAACCCAGAGTTTTGTGCTCGTTTCGTTGTGGCGAACATCGGTCAAATCAATCTGACGGACGTTTTGCAGCAAGTACTCTCCTCTCTGTCCCTCCTATTATTCACTAGGGAGAGATGTTTGACATTATAAGTTGCCAGTTTGCACTTCATTATATGTTCGAGTCGGAAGTAGCATTCTCTGCAGTCTCTCCTTCCCTAGGCGATGATTCGAAACTTTCTTAGCAACGTCAGTCTTTTTCTCAAGCCTGGCGCTGCGTTCGTAGCCACTCTGTGCGATTGCGATGCGATCGTGCGGTGCTTTCGATGTCTAGCGCATCGCGAAGGCGAGGAATGGGTGTGGAGAGTGAGCCGTCGCAACGACTTTACGAATAGAACTCCATCTGCTGCATTGCCATTGATCAGGAAAACTACGAAAAAATCGATCATATCGATGAGAATCCGTATGGTATTCGCTACAGCTTCACTCTGGCCGAGTCGGTGGATGATGTTCCGGAATACCTCTCGCCATTGTCGTGTATCGAATCGCTTTGCGAAGAATACGGACTTGTCGTGGAAAAGAAAGTGAACTTCAATGTAGCAATGAGGGAGCGTTGTTATGGGTAGGAGTACATTCAGAACAGCCTCAAGACAAATGACGATCGGACCAAGTTTTCGAGTATGGGAGTGCCGAACATCAATGGGGTTATTAGCAGGGACGAAGTGGATGTCGCTCTGCTCTATTGCGTGTTGGTTTTGCGACAGCCCAACAACGATGAGGACCTAATGGACGATGTAAGCGATGAGGTGCTTGGGAAATCGAATCGGGACATCTCAGAGCAAGATATTATTAATGCAATGAATTCGAGTGTTTGTTGTATAAGCAACGTTTTTCGAGGATAAACAAGCCCGTCTAGCTCAGTCGGTAGAGCGCCAGGCTCTTAACCTGGTGGTCGGGGGTTCGAGCCCCCCGGTGGGCGTTTCTTTTTTCCTTTTTCTTTTTCTTTTTCAATACATATAAATGAATCTATTTGTATTTTATATTATTATCTTCTATAATAATCACACTCGATTACTTACCTATTGGATTCCATGGAAACCCATACAACGCATTGGCATTTAGACCGATAACACAATGGCATTTCAAACAAACAACTCACTCATATCGTTCTTACCATAACTCTCTCTCTCTCTCTTAGCCTCTCTCTTAGATCATTCTGTTCACCAGCTTGCCAATCAGCACCTCGTGGTTACCATAGTCACCTCCCTCGTTGAAGTGACGCAGCTTCTTCGAGAATCCGCCGTTGGGGCTGTTCAGCTTGAAGGGCCACAGGAAGTTGTTCGCCTCCTTGAAGTGGGGTCCCACAGTGTAGATCTCGTGGATCAGATCCTCCACAGACACAATGCCGAACTTGCCGAGCACCTGCTCAATCTGCTCGTTCAGCATCAGAGGAACGCGCTGCTTGTTCAGCTTAGCATAGCCACGCTTGTAGATCAGAGAACGCACCAGCTTCAGGTTGGGGTAACCGTAGGCGATGTAGGGCTCCACCAGACGCAGCATCTCCATCGTAGCCTTGTTCAGACGCACGAACACGGCGTTGTGGATCTGGCGCAGACGAAGCAGACGCAGGGTCTTCTTCACCTTCGGAGAGCACTGGTTGATACCACGAATACGCACAACGATCGCCAGACGGCCTTCTCCCTCACAGAACAGATGACCGTTGTTGTGGGCATCTCTTCTCTGGGCAATCAGATCAGCCTCCATCTGAGCGTACTCCTTGTAGTACTGCTCAGTGCGCTTCACCATCGCCTCTCTCTTGACCTGCTCGGCCTTCTCGAGGTTGGCAGCATATTTCTCAGCGGCAGCCTTCAGTTTTTCATCACGGCGTTGCTTCAGAGCCACAGATTCAGGACTACACGGAAATGAGCATTCAATTGCCAAAGAAGTCAATAAAAGCACACTCTAGATGAAGCAAATACTTACACGGACATATTGATGTAAGAACAATACAATATGAGGTCCATCCCTAAGACTGTAGGGGGTTCGAAATGTCGTGGATCCTTTCTGGACAGAAAATTGTTACCCCCATGATAGTAAAACAAACAGAATACAATGTTTTGATTTCTCCTATTGCACGATTTTTTGAGTATACAGCTGACAGCAACAAATTTCCGTACTTGTCGAAAATCTTAGCAAAACCGCAAACCTCGCCCTTTCGGAACTGTCCTTCCACCACCATTCCGTTTTCCATGGTTGCTCTCCCCTGCCCACTTCTCTGCCCCTTTTTGTAGGCTCCATTATAGATCACCTCTCCCCTTTCGTCGTATTCCTTACCATTTCCGTACGCCTTGTTCTGCGCAAGCTTTCCCTCGAACATCAGCTTTTTGCCCTTAAAGAACTGCACCAGCCCATCACACACATCATTCACAAACGACCCAGAGCAATACCAACTCTCGTTGAAATGATACTCTCCCTTCCCATTAAACCGGTTATTCTCGATGTGCCCAATGTACCACGACCCATCCGCGAAGAAAAACCGTCCATCGCCACTGAACACATTGTCCGAGAATACGCCTCGGGACACTTCGCGATCGCTTTCATCATAAAACACGGCAGGACCGTTCATCACACCATTCGAAAACTCCACTTTCATGTACGACCCGTCTGGGAAATACTCCGTTCCCGGTCCGTTTTCGATGTCGTTCTTGTACGTTCCTTCGAATAACAACGTGCCGTGCTTATTGCACACTTTCCCAGAGCCAACGCGCTTGCCCTGAACCAACGAGCCATCATAATAATCCCCATTATCGAAGAAGAACGTTCCCGGACCTGTCATCTCGCCATTGACCCACTGCCCGTCCCACGACGCAACGCGGCCATTGGCGTAATAGGTTCCTTCTCCGTTCGGAACCCCGTTGGAGAACGTGCCTTCGTATCGAGCTTTGTTGTTGTATGTGAGAACTCCCTTTTTCGGGTGGTCCATTTCGAAAACGCCGTCAAAGAAAACTCGGTTTTGTTTCGATCGCATGATTCCTTTCCCATGGCGGAGGTTTTCGCGGAAGAATCCTTGATAGACGGAGCCATCGGAGTACGTCATGACGCCTTGGCCTTGACGCTTCCCGAAGCGAATTCCGCCGATATACGTGGATCCATCCGCATACCGATGGAGTTTTCCATGGGATGTGTTTCGTTGTGGAATGTGCTCTTGGTTTTGTGAGTTAGCGTATAAAGAAGAGATGAGATTTTCGTTCCAGCCTTGCGAATGAAACGTGAGAAGATCGGGAATGGTGATAATGTATCGACGTTTTTCGGGGTGCTGATTGAATGGAATGATGGGAAGTTTTGTGGGAAGAATAATGGGTGGAATGGTGAGAACGTACGGAAATGAGTTGTGAGAAGCTCGCGCATTTCGAGGCAATTCGATTCGTTTTTCTCCCTTGACGACGGCTTTTTCTTGCGATTTCTCTTTCTTTTCTTGCGTTTTCTCTTTCTTTTCTTGCGCTTTCTCTTTCTTTTCTTGCGCTTTCTCCTTCTTCTCCTGCGCTCTTTCTCTCTTTTCTTGCGCTTTTTCTCTCTTTTCTTGCGCTTTCTCTTTCTCTTTCTCTTTCTTTTCCTTCTTGTCTTGGATCTTCTCTCTCTTTTCTGCCATTTTCTCTTTCTTCGCTTCTTTCCTTTCTTGCATCCGCGTTTTCCTTTCCTGAACTCTCTCTTTTCTTTCTGTACCCCTCTCCGTTTCGCGTGCTGATAATAATCGCGATGATCGGCGAACCAATTTCTCTGACTCCTGTTCTGATTCCACCTCCATATTCTCCATGCTAACCGTCGAATCACTTCCCGAATCGCTCGCGAATTCTTTCTCTTTCGGAGGAGGCTCAGCGGCGACAACTTTTGGTTTGGGTTTGGGTCCTGGCTTTCCTCGTGGTTTGGAAGCTTTATTCAATGGCGCTGTTGCTGGCGTTGCTGGCGTTGCTGTTGCAGATGCCGTTGATGTTGATGCTGTTGCTGGGGTTGCTGGCGTTGCTGGGGTTGCTGTTGATGTTGTTGCTGCTGGAGTTGGCGTTTTTTCTTCCTTATTCTCTTTCATTTTGGCCTTTTCGATTCCCTTCTTTGTCTTTTCTTTCTCCGTTGACTTGGTTCTTCCATTTCCTTTTCCTTTTCCTTTGCCCTTCGCTTTTGATTCTGGTTCCACCTTCGCTTTGACTTCCGCTTCCGGTTTCACTGCGGCTTTCGCTTTCAATTTCGTCGCTGCTTTCGGCTTCCCCGTTGTTTTCGTTTCAACACTTTCACTTACTTTTTCTACAAAATGCTGATTCTCCTCTTCACATTCCTCTCGAGGCGCCTGCGTTTCCTTTTCAACAACCGGCTGTTCTGCATCCTTCTTTGCTGCTGTAGGATCATAGATATCCTTTTCCAACAGCTCCTTGTTGATCTGAAAACTCGGCGGTACGAGTTCGGATGGTTTATCGTCTTGAAACACCAAATCGCTGTCGCTTCGCTTCGTTTTAAACGGAGGTCTTAGTATTATCTTCGTTGAACTTTGCAGTATCGATACATCGGGCTCCGGACTCTTTACCGATGTCGATTGTTCGGGAAGTTGATCCACTTGATCCAAATTCACTTGTTCTTTGGGCAAACGAATCGTATCCAACAGGTTATAACTGATCTTTTCCAGCTGATTCATCTCATAAATCAATTCCACTTTGGGATCGGACATGATGAATTCGTTGATATGGTTATTCACAACCACTCTCTTTTGAGGAAACAGGAATTCGATCCATCGTTGATAGAGTGGGACCGAACTAGCATTCCCAGAGATAATGCAGGTATCGATGGATTCCAGCTTCCATTTCAGATTGTTGATCACATTCTGGATTTCAGAAGAAGCTATTTCTAATATGGGGCGTATAAACTCCAGAAAACTTTCAAAATAGATACGACTCACATGCTCCACAGGTGTTAGCTGGACCACGAATGTTCGAACGGATTGACTATTAAAACTATCAAGTGCATTCATGCAGGAAACCGACATTCTCTCAATAAAATCAGGTGACATTTCGCACTTATTCACAATAGACAGGTACTTCATGAGATGAAGACAAAGCTGATTTTTCGATAATTCGTTTGTTGCCAAGTGTTGTTTGACAGTGATTTCAGATCCTTCATATACACAGGCATAGATATGGAATGTATCAATATCACAATGGAAAAGAAAGACGAACGAGCGCTTTATGGGGATCGATTGAATCACGCTTGAGGCGATTTCATACAAAATAATGTTATCAAAATGGACAACATATTGAGTAAATCTCTGAAAAATATGGGAGAGATGATCAGCGTGAATAGCATCCAAGGACGCCGGGTGACAAACCGTAATTTCAGATATCACGTTATTGCAACGCTGCTCTTCGTACAAAAGAAGATATTTAAAATACAACTGGAGCATAGAAGAGCTGGTTACATACCGGTTTTTGAGACTCTTCAGCATGTACATCACCTCTCCATCTGTCCCCAGCCTGGCCTTGCAGGTACACACTTGGTTGAGCTTTTCTACAAAATCCACACTATTTTCCCCAAGAAACGAGTGCAGAAATCCAGAAACAATGTCAAGCGATGAATAATTGTTTATATCATGCTTCGTCATACCAATAGATACTGAGGTACAATTCAGACCCATAGAAAGCGGCGTTTGGATGGGGAGACAACTCGGGACTAAATGTCTTCTTGAATCATTCCAGTAAGGGCAAGAGATGCAGTAATCCTTTTCAATAATTATGAAAACGCCATAGACTCCATTTAACTTGCTCATTCGAGAAATATAACAAACAATTTCAAACTTCCATTTCTCACTCCTCCTTTGTTTCCGCACTTTTTTCTTGCTTCGATTTCTTGCTACGACGCACTTTCTTTTTCTCCCCTGCCTCTCGAGGTGGAGGGGGCACATTCTTCTTCTTTTTCACAGAAAGTGGATTTGGGTTCTTCTTGTGGTGGTGGATATCAATCAATGGGTTCTAGTTCAAAATTCAGAACAACATGTACATAGCTTCGCTCCTCTCGCTTCTCCTTCCGAATTCCGATTTCTTTCTTCTCTTCCTTCGTTATTCCAAGCTTACTCATCACCGCATTGTCGACAGCGTGGTGGGAATTCTTCGATGGCGTATCTAACGTGAGCACGCTGCGGTTGAAGTAGATTAGTGGAACTCCGGGAATTCGGCGTAAGTCCATTTTGTACAAATCCTTCTGGGTGCAAATCACATATTTCTCTTTCGATTTTTTCATGTCTGCTTCTTAGTTCAAACAGAAGAAGTACTTTTAGCCAAATCCATGATGCATTTGATTGACGATAAGGGCTCTTTGTGATTACACTTTATGCAGCGTAATCGCTTCGTATACTCAAAATCACGCTGGTTTTTATCCTTAAATTCCAAAAATCGCTTGCGAATACAGTCGGTAATAACCAACTCCGCCTCAGGGTCCTAGCAAATCACATTGTTTTGCAGACGCATACCTGCACAGCTGAACGAATCAAATCTTCAATCGAATTCGGCAAATTCAAGTCAAGACCATATCGAATAAAAGACTCTTCTAAAATGACCTATCGGTAACTCAATGCGAAATCTATCATACGGTGTATGGAGATCGAAAACCATAGTTGATCTCATAGTACTGCATGGTTTTACGATTCTGAATATGAAGCGGTGAATGAAACGATTACTTGCTTATTCCTACGAATTCTCATGGTATGAGCGATCGAGGGAGGAACTAATTATGCTGTGTGATGTGTGTTTGTGATTTCTGTGAATGTCTTTATTAATTTTGCTTCTTCCATTTCGTGTATGGCTATTCCCTTTTAAGAAAATAGCTCAAAGGTTTTTTCACTGACAGAGTATTCTCGCTTCGGAGCTATGTCCATTCAAGGTAACGATCCTTCATATCAATTGTCCGCAGATTACTCTAGTTCCTCTCGAAGTAGGTCGTTTTGAAAATGGATGATCGAATTAGATAGCAAACGTTGCTACGTCTGTAATGGCATAGGCCATATCGCAGCCCAATGTCCATCTCGCTTCACACTCAAATCATCGTCTCATAGTTCCAACGGTGGATACTATTTCCGAGGAAATACGAAATACCCAGGTCGCGACAAAATACCGTACTCCCACAACAATTCTAGTTTTCAAGCAGTACAGTGTTACATTTGCGGAAAGAAGGGGCACCTGGCGAGAGATTGCCGAAACAAACTGTCGAGCTATTCCACCTATAAGCCATCATCCTCGGGCATTCGAAGCACGCGTCCCTACTGGTAGACTTTAATCATCCCAACGTCATGCGTCAGTCTGAACTGCCACAAAGAAGGTCATTTGGTGAAAGACTGTCCGGAAGGCAAAATCTGCCGTCGTTGCGGCGAAGTGGGTCATATCGCCGCGGATTGCTGCAATGCCGTGCGGTGCAACCGCTGTTACCAAGAAGGCCACTTCGCCAAGGACTGTCCGAACGCCGTGGTGTGCAGCGTTTGCAATCAAAGCGGACACCGAAGCGACTGCTGTCCCAACCGCCAATGCTTTGTTTGTTCGATCAAACACAGGAATGGAACACCGAGAGACACGTCATCGCCGTGGTTCCGATCATCACGAGCACGCCCAGCACGACCAGAACTAAATCGACATACCAGCTTCCCTTGCTGTGGTTGGGCAGAATCTTCATGTGCAGCAAGGGCGGCAAGATAAACGACACGATCGAGATCGTGAAGCATCCAAGTTCGATTAAGGCTCCCTTTTTTTTCTCTGTTCCTATCGCTGCTCTCTCCACAGCGCCCGCTCCAAAGGATATTGAAAGACACCACCGCTTTGAAATTGGGGATGAAATACGCGAGCAAACACGTCACCACCACCACGCCCAATCGCTGCAGCACGCGCCGCCAGTCCGTCACCATCACCTTGCTCTCTCCGCCGTCGATCCAGGCCTCCAGCGCGATCAGAGCGGGGTAGACGGCGATGGGGTAGGAGAGGAAGCACACCAGCGAGAGGCCGATCGCGGAGATCACGTAGAACCAGGAGCTCGATGGGATGTTCGACAGAATCAGGTCCTTGATGCCTTCTGCATGTTAGACAGGAGAAACGGGGAAACCGGGGGCGTTGGCGTAGAAGATGACGCCGCAGACGGCGAAGAGGATGTAGACGATGCCGGGGATGACGAGAGAGACGACGAGAGCGTTCTCGAAGCGAGAAGGGTTCTGCATGCTGGCCTGGCGGTCAAAGAGGGCGAAGAAAATTTACGCGGGAGGAGAGACTGACGAAGGCGACGCCCATGGAGAAGCAAATCACGCCGAACATGTTGGCGATCTCGAGATAGTCGGAGGGCCAGAGCATGGCGACGGCGAAGCTGGGCTTGTTGTGGAGGATTCCGTAGAGAATCACGCAGACCATCACGAAGAGCAGAATGTAATTGCCTGCCTGCGAGGCGAACGAAATCGCGCTCATGGTGCGCAGCAGAACCAACGGGTAGATGCACACGCCGAAGGCGATCGTCCAGAAGAGGATGTTCTTGCCCCATTTGAAGTTGAAGACTTCCCAATGGAGGTCCGACAGCAACTGGTTGAAGGTAATCTGGTACGCGGCACCGACACCGATCAGGGTGACGATGAAAGAGAAATTGAGGAGGAAGACGCCGAACTTGCCGAGTCCCTACGATAAACTCGTTAAAACAGAGATACCTTTCTGGCTACAATCTTGTAGGGGTCATCGTTCGACGGAAGCAGAGTCAGAAGGGTAACCTCGTTCACTTGGATCAGCAGTTTCATGCAGTAGTAAACCCAAAAGGCAATTAGAGCAACTAAGAGAGTAGCGCTAACAAAACCAGTCTAAAGCTTATCCCAGCATTCAAAAACACACATGGAGAGTCGTAATGGGGAGGGCGAGAATACCGACTCCCATACAAGTCTTAATCAGATTTCCTGTTGTCTATGGATTACCACGCACATCTCGATCTCAGTACCTGAGAAAAAGTGGCGGACATTGAAGGGTTAAAGAAACGATGAGAAACACAATTGGAATACAAAAAAAAAGCTTCTAAAACAAACAATCCGAATAAGCCATCGCATGTACACTACTCATTCAGCTTCACTCGCTTCTGTACATCACAACCCACACCCAATCCTACAGCCTCCGAACTCGTCCGTTCTTCATTATCGTCGCTCTCGGGCACCAGCTCGTCCATCACATCTTCCGAGTCGCTCGATTCATTGCCTGCCTCATCTCCGCGGTAATCCACATCCTCGCTCTCCTGATTCGCCGCACTGTTGTCATCGAAGTCCTCGTCGTCCGAATCGCTCTCCAGATTCATCATCGTCGGTATTTTGAGTCCCAGCTGTCGAATATCCTTGCTGGAGAACTTCGAGTGGATCGCAGAGAAATCCGCACTGTCCGTTACTCCCTCCCAGCAATGCTACTATTCGATATTATGGAACGAGACAGTGGAAGTGGACTGTCCTTTCAGCAAAATCTATCTGACATCGCCATCACATGGCTACATGAATGTCGAACATGCGGTTCCCCGACCTCGAATTGGGGTCATACCGACTGTACTTCACGGAGATGATTTCCTGCGTGTCATTCCGTCCGCCTCCCGCACATCGTAAGTGATCTGGAGCGTGGGTTTGTGGATGAAGAAGATGCTTTTCTCCATGAAATACAGCAGTCCGCTCTCCGATTTGTGCACGCACCGCACGAACGGGAACCCGCGCGACGTGCGGAAGTCGCCCGACGCGTACAGCTTCACGCCGCCGATGAACTTGAAGAGCTTGGCGATGAGCTTGTAGCCCTCGTCGCGCATTTCGGGCTGCAGTTTGCCCTGGTATCGCTCGTTCAGCACGCTCTACGATCGATTCGCGAAGCGATCCCGACCTCGCTGAGGCTCAACGAGAGCGAATAGCGCTCCGTCGGCGCGTAGAGAACGAGGTGCGGGTAGGTCTGCTGCCCCTGCCGGAGAGGCCGCGTGAGACAGAAGACGAGGGCGCGGTGAGCGAGGTCGGGCTGCTCGAACATGTAGATGCACGAAATCGTTTTGTATCTGCACTCAACGCGTGGAGACACGGCTACAGGATCTTGTACGTGTAGTTATTGCCGTTCATTCGCATGTAGTTGTCGTAGAACTCCATCATGTAGCGGCCGCGAGGCGTCACGAACTGCCCCAAGCGGTCGTCGATCTCCGCGATCATGTTGCCGTTGTTGTTCACCAGCACCGCGCGCTCCAGGATCTGCTTCTGCAGACGGTGCGCTGCCGTGTCGTCCTTCTCGTTCACGTCCTCGCTGGCGCTCTGCGGGACGTAGAAACGCACGGTGACGAGCGATTCTTCCTGGATGGTTAGAAAAAAAATCAAAAGGAAACGGTGGTTTTGGAGGTGTCTTCCTCGACGAACTGCAGCTCCACTTCGTTTTTGGAGGGGAAGGCGCATTGGCTCAGCTCGTTTAGACCCAGTTCGAAGAGGCGACGACCTTCGGTGTCTTTCATTACCACGCTCTCTCTGCCGATGAGAATTTGGAGTCGATGGATACTCTCCCTCGGGGCCCTCGAAGTCGATGGTTCCCCAGTTTACGCCATCCGAACCAAGAACGTCATCTTTCAGATCAATCTTGAATACGGACTTTAGGAATGGAGACAGTGCGTCATAGTCCTTTCAATCAGCAGAATTCATCAAAAGTTGTACCGAGCGCTTAAAACCGTCGAAACGGGAAAAGGTTCCACTTCCCAACACTAAACGGAGCTGAAAGCGTGATCCAACTTTGCACCAAAAGGCTTCTTTGATATCTGAAGGTCCAAACTAGAGAGGGTTAGAAAAGGAGCCAACCAATCTACACTGACCGTGCTGTCATCGCTTTTCCAAGTAATGCCATTCTCGGCAGTCTTCATCTGCCCAAGAATCTACAACTTATCCCCGGAATCAGAAAACAGACTCTTCTGTGGTCCGTCAGGCTAATGTTGTTGAAGGTGTTCTCCATCGTCAACCAGATTTCGAATGAGTGTGAAAAAAGGAATGACAAAAAAAGTCCTTAAAACAAACAAGTCCTTTCAAATTCCAGCGTTAACACGAACTACTGACTTGACACATTGGTTTGGTTCCGTGCAGCATTGAAATTCGCAGCGTTGTTATATGGGGTAAAAATACGCAGCATCTGAGGATTCGGCTGCATCATGGGGTTTATCGGCACCATCGGAATGCCCTGCTGATTCATCGGCACCATCGGGTTTATCGCAGCCATAGGAGGCATCGGATTCATCTGAGCAGGTTGATTCCCAGGGCTCATCTGTGCAATCTGGGTCATCTGACCCATTTGTCCCATTTGTCCCATTTGACCCATCTGACCCATCTGACCCATTTGACCCATCTGACCCATTTGTCCCACTTGACCCACTTGACCCATCTGACCCATCTGACCCATCTGATTGACTTGGATTGGCTGCGCAGGCTGTTTCACCTGGCCTCCGGGACTCATCTGCGGCTTCTGTCCCATTTGTCCCATTTGATTGATCTGTCCCATTTGACCCATTTGATTGATCTGTCCCATTATATTCACTACATTGACCGGATTCATGGGAGTAGGTTGGTTCGGCGTGTTCACCTTATTCACTTGACCCACTTGACCCACTTGACCCACTTGACCCATCTGGTTGACCTGCACGGGCTGGCCCATCTGGTTCACGGGGACGAACATCATCTGCTGGCCCATCATCATCTGTCCGGTGGAGGCCATGAACATGATGGGCTTCGCGGGCACCGGTACGAAGCACGGCGCCATCGGCACCGACGGCGACGACTTCGCTTTCGGATTGAACTCCGGCGCGTCGACGCTCATTTCTACATCCAACCTCCCTTCCAATCCTACTCGTCTCCTTCTTCGTCTCCTTCGTCTCCTTCGTCTCCTCCGGCGAGCCCGTCGAGCCCGATCCATGCGCTGAGCCCGCGCCCGAAGCGCCCGAAGCGACCGAAGCGACCGAAGCGACCGAGCTGCTGGGAGAGTCGCTGCTCGACGCTTCTCTCCGGCTTTCCTTCGAATCGTCCGCTCGCTCCGCGTTCTTCTTCGATGATCGCTTCGCCAGCTTGCCCGGGCTTCGATACGCCGCGCTCTCCCCCGCTTTCTCCACCGGCTTCTCTGATAGTTTCTCCAATGGTTTCTCCGATAGTTTCTCCATCGGCTTCTCCATCGGCTTCTCCGCCGGCTTCTCCATCGGTTTCTCCGCCGGTTGCTTGTCCGCAGGTCGCTTGGTTCTCTCCGAATAGTCCGCATGGCGCATGATGCTCCGCGAGAGCACATGCTCGTCCTTGGAGTAGCGCCGATACATCTCCCTGTGGTCCGCTCGCTCGCTCGAATGCACCTTGCTGTACAGCTCCTCTTCGTCCGCGTCCACTTTGATCCCTCGCTCCTCCAGCACGTGCAGATTGCTCGTTCGGTCGCCGTTCTTCATGGACCGCTCCATCAGCTCCGCTTCGTGCACGATATCCCTAGCTAGCACGCCAGTCAAAGCGATACGCGGGCAGTTCCTCGGTGCTCACGTGCGACGTGTACATCGTGATGTCGAAGTCGCTGTTCACGCCGAACTTCGCGCGGTTCTCCGCGAATTGGTCGTAGGCGCCCATCTGGAAGTTGCTCTCTTCGAGAGTGAGACGCTCGTCGCGCTCGGTGAGGAACCCGAAATTGCTCTACACATGCACTCCGCACAGAGAAATGACTTGAAGTTCACGGTGACGATTGGCGTTTTTGCCAGATTGGCGACGTTCGGAGTCATCGAATGCAGAAAAATCGGCATCTGCAAGCTTGAGCGAATCCATGATACCCATGGAGAGCTTCTCTGGCTTCGCATCACTGCCAGTTCGTTCTGTGTTTTTGTGAGTTGCCAATTTTATAATATCTTTAAACTCAAACTTTATCACTTTGTTTTCTGTTAATTGCTCACAAGGGACGGGACTAGTCTACGCAATTATAAATAGAACGGACATTCACTTCAATGTAAGAGTACGTCAACTCAAAATAGTTGAGTTTCTTGTCCATGCTCTTGACATAGCCGCAATACACCGAACCATCTTTTAACTACTCGGTGAAACAAGAATTCATCATCTACCACACAGCGAACGAAGTCATTACGAATTACGTCACAAATAAAATCGATTCGCTTTGAATTCAGCTCCTCCACTACCAGTAAAATATTCACCACAAAATCGACATGAATACCGCTTCTTCTCCGATGTTGCTCTACAAATAAAATAACTCGATAACCACTACTTCTTTCCTCCTTGCCGAACTTGCTTACTCATTTTACAGAATGATATTCACAATATTCAAGAAGCTAAACCCCAAATTAAGGAGTGAAAAAACTCCAGAAAACAGCTAGTTTTTTTTGTCTGGCAAAATGAATGGGTAGATCATCTGCATCGGAGATGACTATATAGTCGGCCGAAGGAAACGACAGCTGGCGTGAAATCGATGTTACGTTCATTAGTGAGTCTACAAATTGTACCGTACTTTTGTTTTGTTTTTCCATAGGATATGATGAAATATTCTGTTGAAAATGACCTTGATTCTCTTGTTGCCCATCTAGAGCAGTCAAAAGGTATTGTTTGTCAACGTGTGTATATTTTAGATATCAACGTAGACTCGTTACTCCTATATGCCAACTCGATCAAGTATACTGCAAATTGTCCTGTAAATATGGATACAGAAAATGTACTTCTGAATAATCGTTATTATGGATAGTTATTAGCACCTTATCCTACACTTAAATACATATCTGCTTCTTTGTTACTAAATAGCAGGATTCTATCAGGTATATGCTTTCTGTGCAGTTAAAAAGCAGAATGGAAGAATGGCGATATGCAGTCACACATGTCTATGTCAACCACACAGGAGAACCAGGATAATGACTTAAATGATATGGTTGATGATGATGAAAGCAACCTTACTCCTACAATGGAGGACGAAACTCTTTCCGTTATTACACAGTCCATTTTCAAAGGCTCTACACACGTCGTTTGTGATTTTATTGTATGGTTCTCTGTAGAATCGTCCTAGGAAGCCCCCTGTCAAGTGGGATATTTCAGATGACAGCGATAGCAGTGATAGTAGTGAGTGATGAACAGTGTGATTGTTTGTTTAAATCCATATTGCTGGGAGAACAATCGCATCCTATTGAAAGGGATTGGTTGGGTGGCTTTTCGTCTGCGACCATTCCTGATCTGTGGGTCACACCTTTCTTTCAGTGAAATGGTCAGAAAAGAAGAAGAAGAAGAAGGGTATTCGAATCAGTGAATCGTGTTATTGCTTTGAGAAATGATGATGAACCTTATCATGAAAACAAGAGAATCACTTTCTCATGGCTGATTCTCTCCCGTTTCACACGATTCTTGCATTCATCTCGATGCTATGAGCAATTGTGTTCTCCACTGCTCTTCCCCCATTACATTCATTCATTCATTCATTCATTCTGTGTTCCTCAAACATTTCATTTTCCTACTATCTTTTGACACATCACCTCCAAATCGTCCAATTCTTTTACTCCTGCATACATTTTACCCCGAATATTCCACGACGGCAAAACCGCCGGGTTCATTTGTTTGCACAATTCCCAGTTTTGAGTGCAATCCACGAATTCCACCTTATCCCTCAAGTTTCCGAACATAGACAGCTGCTTTTCCGTCTCCGGTTGGCCTCGTGCACCCAGAAACACAGCCTTCAGCATATGGAGCTTGCTCACGATCAATTCCTGCTGCTTCTCCAGAGGAAGGTACACACGGTTGTCGATGATGCCGATGACTACACCAGTGCGCCCGTCCTGGAAGACCAGATACAGGAACTCACCAGTGCCCATTTCCTTTGACTTCTCGGCGTACACAACGCCCTTTCCCCACTTTCCCTGGACATTAAACTTAATGCGGCAGTGCTTCATTCCGTCCTCGTCCTCATAGATGCAACTATCGATCTGGTTACGACGACCCTCGTATTGTCCTTGGTAGTCTCTGCCGTAGCCTTTTATATTGGGGCCCAAACAACGCTTCACATCGGGATCTTGAGTAACGATCTTCAAAGCATCATTGAAGACATATGTTGCGCTCAGGCTGGATGGAATTGTGTCACGGATGAATGCGAATGCGCTTACAATACCACAAATACCAAGGAAGACATAAACGGCTGTCTTAGAAGCTTTCTTTGCACCTACGACGTCAGCATCTCTAGGGAAAGACTACCCCGAACCATTTTGACGGCCATGATTTCCTGACCCTCTTTTACAGTACGATATGTTCTGGGACCTGCAGCTCCCTGAGCAGCTCCCTGAGCAGCCTCCTTCACTGCATTCGCCTCCGCACCAGAGGCCTATCGCTTACGGATTAACTTCATTCCTTACTTCGGTGGCAAACAATCTCTTCGACTTGAAAAAAGCAGTTCTCATATATTGTGGATCACGGAATACAGAAGTCGAAAACACTCGGCGCGCGACAAGCTCCGATGTTCGAAACGAAGTGGGAGCAAGCACAATTACCTCCCTAACAAGAAGGGATCTGCTTCCTAGAGTTCGGAGAGTTGATAACATTCTGTGGTTGCAAGTGTAGGAGAAGGAAAGGGGAAACAGGGAAACGCCGAGGTTCGATTGAACGGACGATGGAACCTTCCCAACTTCCTATATTCACCATCTGGTTATAAATAGAACCAGGAAGCAATAAAAAGCCAGGTACGGGGAAAATAAGTCATTGTTTGTCTTATGCCTGGCTGGGAATTGATCGTTGGGTGTGTAGGAAAGCCCTCTGCTGGAAAATCGACGTTTTTTAATGCAGTAACCGATGGTTCGGCAAAAGTACGAGTTTGGAAGTATTCAGTGATGGAACTAGGTGGGAAACTATCCGTTCACAACAATTGAACCAAATACAGGTATTACGTACTATATGACCGATTGTCCTTGTAAAACGAAGGGACTCAGCAAAGAATGTCATCCCCTATATGGCTTCTGCAAAGATGGTCAACGCCAAATTCCTTTGAAGCTGCTGGATGTCGCAGGACTCATTCCAGGAGCTAGTGAAGGTGCAGGTTTGGGAAACAAGGTATTGATATAGATTTTCGCTGATTATCTGTCTAGTTCCTCGATGATTTGCGTCATGCTCATGTTTTGGTGCATATCGTGGATGTCTCGGGGAGAACAAACGAAAAGGGAGAGAACACAGTGGGATACGACCCGTCTCGCGTAGGTCTTGAGAGCAGGCTCGACTGTAGGACATCGACTGGCTCTACGACGAGATCCACGCCTGGATCTTCAACAACATTTACAAAAAATGGAGTGGGATCATCCGCAAGTACAGCACGTTCTGCAACAGCGAGAAGCCCAAAGGTCTTGCGGAGCTCTTGCAGCTGCAGCTTTCCGGCTACGGAACGACTCCCTCGCAGAGTGCAGCGATCGTCCGCTACCTGAACCTGAAAGAGCCAGTCGACCTAAACAGCTGGAGCGCAGATGATGTGCATCGCCTGGTCGATGCCTTCATGTACATCCGCTTTCCGATCGTGGTGGCGCTGAACAAGGCGGACTGCAAGGGAAAGACGGACGACAACATCCTCAAGATCATGAAGCGGTACAACAAAGACAACGTCGATTGGAAGTCGAGGGACCATTTGAAGGTCCGCGACATCGTCGTGATCTCCGCGGCCTCCGAGTGTTTCCTCAAGAAACTCGCTGCGCAGAAGTATATCACGTACAACCGCGGGGATACGATGTTTTTAACGCGGGAAGACGAGATGGAGGCGACGGGGAAAAGCGTAGCGGTTTGCGTGGTTTGGGATGCGTAGAAACTGAAGAAAATCGACGCCACGGTGTCGGACCGGCTGGAGAAGATCATGGACATGGTGCTGTTTCGGTATGGATCGACGGGAGTGTGGAATGTTGTGACTTCCGCGGTTAAATGCATGAATCCGACGATTGTGTACCCGGTGACCTCGATGACGACGTATAAGGGACCGCGAGGAGGCGTGTTCTCGACGTGTTATGTGCTGCATCAGCACGCCACGGTGGAGGATCTGCGAATGTTGCTGGTGAATGCGGAGAATATTCCGTGCGTGTCGATTGAGGCTGCGGATGGAAGGGTGATGGGAGAGGAGGACGAGATTGAGAACAACTCGATTGTAAAGATTAACACGCGTAGTAACGTTGATTTTAGTGTTTGTTATATCAAAGGGGTTTCATCGACCAGACTATACTGATATTCTTTTAAATCTCTGTTATTAGTAGTTGCGATTTCAAAATAGATATGGATACTAGTAAGGGCAAGGCCAATAGGACCGTTAATTCTGAAACTGGTTCCACACTGTATCTACGAGATATCAATGAAGCATATCTTCTTAAGTATACAGAGAATCGTATGTGGGCCAAGGTAGGTTTAGAATCCGCTTAGGTGTTGTATTAGAAGTTTAAGGAGCTAACGCGCTATTTTTATTTATCCGATTACATACTATCCTATGCTGACTCCCCGAAGTCCAAATCGAGGAAGTTGCCATGTCCATCCTGACTTACTCATAGAAGTTTTAATTTACAAGATGTTATGAAAGTGAATTCCCCCTCGAAAAGGTTTGTAGATGGTGATATCCCAAACAAAAGTGTTGTTGACCTTGTGTTTCGTGATAATACTATTCTGACTATTGCTGCTAGTCGTAGTCTCCCAGATTCGAATGTTTTATTGTCAAAGGTCTTGTCTGCGCAGAACCTGAACCGTAGATTTTAGATACCATCAAATTGGTTCTAAAATATCAGCAAATACCCGATGATGAGGAGCTTAATAAGCTCTTAGAGGAAACATTAGATGATATGATGCTGGTGGATGAGCAACATCGCGATGCCTTGCGATACCGAAGTCGTGAAGACAAATGGAATTTAGTGTTATACCAAATGAAAACCAATCTCCAGAGCCGGTCGGTGATTCTCTCCTCTGTCGAGCTCCTCAAACACGTTTAATGCCTGTCTCTCTCACTCACCATGCAGCGGACGATCACAATCGAAGCCGCCAACGAGATCAACGCCGTGCTCCGCTCCGCCAACCGCACACAGATGCAGCTGTTCGTGGACCACAACGGCATTCTCTTTGTCTTCGACGTATGCTTTGTCTCTGTCTGCCAGCGTAGATGATAAAGCGATACTGCACGAACTTCGATAACACGCCAGAGGTTCGCAATATCGTCTTTTCGCTTCTGCAAATGGTGCATATGCTATTGAACACCCCCGTTTCCGAGCCTGCGACGGTGCAGTGCGAGGAAAGCGGGTCTGCGTTGATGCATGTGTATTTGCTCGATAATGGGAAACTGGCGGAGTGTGTGTTTCCAAAGCTGAACTATTTGATTATGCATATTAAAGACGATAGCAAGATCGATTCATGGGTGAGTTTGTTTTCGAAGAGCTTGCATGAAACACATCGAATGGAGAGATTGGTGAACGTGTTGGACACCACGATGAATAAAGACGTGGCGTGGTGCTTGTTCTATTTTATCAATCTCGCGATCCAGGGACATAATTCGTTGTTTAAACGAAATGCCGTAAGCGAGCAAGAAGCGACTGACACTTAGTTCCGACATATCTTTTTGGAGTTGGGCATTTTTGCAGTGATGGATGGCGTGATTCAACGCGGCGAAGAGAGGAATTGGAGCAATCTCGAAGACTTAAGAGAAGAGTATAACATTTTTAGCGAGGAGGAAGCGAAGGATCGCGAAGACGCTACGGTAAATGGCGTCGATTTGTCCAACTCGCTGAGTCTTTTCCGTTCGGTTTGGAGTCTGCTTTGATTCATAGAGGCGATTGAGAAGGAAACGACGGCCAATGGTCGAAGTGAGCTGCTAACGAGATTGTTGCGAAACCTGCATACAATTCCACAGGAAGAGGATCGTGGCAATCAGATGTGGGAATTGGTGGTTCAAATCACCGATTTCAGTTTGAAAGCCACGGCGAACATGTTTAAGTCTACATTTGGCGAAACCGTTACTGTATTTTCGTCCTCGTCGCTTAACTTTTAGGACATTTCGCAAACTCTCATCAACATCGGAAAGAACATCATGAGCGAAGGTCCCAGCCAGTTCCTGGATCCGAAGTACGTTCGGTTCTTGCAGATGAAACTCTTCGGCGAGCCGTTGGAGAAGATCAAAGAGCAGGCGGCAGCAGCCGGATTGGATCCGTCCTATCTCGATCAGGACTTCCCAGATTATCGATTGGATCCGGATTACAAGTATTATTTGGATGAGATGCAGCACGGCACGGCGATTGATGTGCTGAAGGAGAAAATGCTGGAGCGTGGATTGGATCCGACGGTGTTGGATGTGTATGACATAGGAATGAGAGATACGGTTCGTGTGGATTATGCGAAGTATATTAAGTGGTTTACGATGAAGGAGCAAGGAGGTGATCTTGCGTTGATTCGATTGAAAATGGAACAGGAAGGATTGGATTCGTCGTATCTGGATCGAGATACGAAGAATATTGAGTTTTATAATATCCCTTATGATTTGGTGGTTAATTCATTCAGAACCGAGAAGGAGCCAGAGAAGAAAGGACCAATTCCTGAAGTTCCTAAAGAAGGTGTGTGCAATCATAAATATGCTCGTCATGTTGATTATGCTTACTACAAAAAGTTCAAACTATTGAAAATGCATCTCCCAATAGAACAAGTGAAACAAAAGATGGAAATGGAAGGATTGGATCCATCAATTTTAGATTTGGACATGAACACATTGGCATTCGATAATATTCCTGAAGACACAGTTGTACGATACGACGATGGCCATTATGAACCTTGCTGGAAACCTGATCCTGACGCAGAACCAATTCCTGCCGCGAAGCCAGTTCCTGAAGCTCCTAAAGCTCCTAAAGAAGGCGTATGCAATCATAAATATGCTCGTCATGTTGATTATGCTTACTACAAAAAGTTCAAACTATTGAAAATGCATTTCCCAATAGAACAAGTGAAACAAAAGATGGAAATGGAAGGATTGGATCCATCAATTTTAGATTTGGATATGAACACATTGGCATTTGATAACATTCCTGAAGACACAGTTGTACGATACGATGACGGCCATTATGAACCTTGCTGGAAATCTGATCCTGACGCAGAACCAGCTCCTAAAGCTCCTAAAGCTCCTAAAGAAGGCGTGTGCAATCATAAATATGCTCGTCATGTTGATTATGCTTACTACAAAAAGTTCAAACTATTGAAAATGCATTTCCCAATAGAACAAGTGAAACAAAAGATGGAAACAGAAGGTTTGGATCCATCAATTTTAGATTTGGATATGAACACATTGGCATTCGATAACATTCCTGAAGACACAGTTGTACGATACGATGATGGTCATTATGAACCTTGCTGGAAACCTGATCCTGACGTCGAAACAACTTCGAATCCATCCAAAGAGCCTGCCAAAAAACCGAAACCTGCGCCAACTCCCAACCCTCCTCCTGTTAACAAAGATAATCGAGATCCTCGACCTCCTCTCTCTTCTGGATTGAAACTGCGTCCTTTGTATTGGGACGTCAACAATTCCGAATCGTTAATCCGCAATTCCATGTGGGACAAGATGAATGACCGCGAAATCAAAATCGACCAAGACATGATGAAGCGAGAATTCCAAGCCAAGACCTCCACGGTGACCTTCGCGATGCCTACTTCGCAGTCGGAGAAGGTAACGACGCTGCTGGAAGGACAGCGAGAGCAGAATGTCGGTATTGTGATTGGACGTATCCGACTGGATGTCCAGGACATTCGTCATGCTTTGTTGTTTGTGGACTTCAACGTCCTAACAAGAGAGCTTGTAATAAGGCTGGCGAGTGCGATCCCCACTACCTCCGAGCAAGAAGCCTTCTTGGGCTACACGGGCGACGTAAGCAAGCTGAGCAAAGCGAGCCAGTTCGGGTATTATCTGTCGGATATTCCGAATCTCCAGGCGCGCGTGAACTGCTTCAAAGTGATTCTTTCGTTCGATGACGAGCTGGAACGACTGAAGGGCTCGCTGCAGAAGTACTTCGACGTGATTCGAATGGTTCGCAACAACAAGGGGCTCTACACCATCATCGAAATCATTCTGGCCCTGGGGAACTTCTTGAATGGAGACAATCCGCGTGGCGGAGCGTGGGGTTTCCACATCGGTTTCTTACAGAAGCTGAATGAGACGAAGACGGCCGACAATAAGAAGACCTTAATGACGTAAGTTTCTTTCTAGAAGTAGAGTTGATCGAATAGTGTGATCTGCGATATGGTCGCCCATTCTTACCCGTCCATTCTGACGGATTTGCAACAGTTGGATCAGTTGCAGATGATCGAGAAGGTGGATATTAAGGATATTCTGAAAGATATCACCAACCTGCAAGGAGCAATCAAGTTGGTCAAAGCTCAGAGCGATTTGAAGCCGTTCTGCGATGAAGACTTGTATGGAATGCGATGGAGTGTTCTCTCTCTAGATTCCCTCAGAAAATAAGCCCCAAGGTCGGAGACATGACGACTCGCTTCGAGGAACTCCACAGCTTGCAAGCGAAAGTGAAGGACGCGTTCCGTGACTTGCTGGCTTGGTTTGGAGAGTCGGAGAAGGACTACACGGAGAACACGTTCTTTAAGGTGATCTCTGATTTCTACAAGATGTTCAACAACGAAATGAGGGAATTGGAGAAGAGGAAGAAGCAGTCGGAGGAGATCAAGAGACAGAAGCAGCTGCAGGAAGAGCTGCTGCATGCGGCTGGGCAGCACGCGATGGATGAATTCCAAAACGATACGCAGGGAAAGAATTCTAGAATGGTGTCACAGTCTTTCAGACAGAGTATGCGTGGTATTGCGAGTCGAAAGTCTATGCAACCGATGCCCTTTGAGCCTATATCAGCACAGGGTCGAAACACGATTTCTCGACAGCTTGGAGTGCCCACTAATAGGTTGAGTATTATGAGTTCGGAAAGCGATACGATGAATGAAGAAGATGATTATAACAGTCTAAGTCAGAATGAATCCGATATCAGTGATGATTCTTGGATGATGCAAGGAAGAAGATAATTGTGTGAATATTGCTTTGTTTGTTTTATGAACTTTTAAAAAATCGACTGCAGGGTCGAATAATGGACATGACAAATGTTTGAAATGGAAAAGATATTTTTTTGTGCATTGTACCGCATATCCTATGACAAAATTAAATAGTAGGATAATAATGAGAGTCTAGGTATTTAAAACAAATAGTAGAAACGTGGTTTCGAAAATGTCTCCGAAAATAAAAACCAGAGGTGTCACGGCAGAATTTGGAACATATAACACACAAATTTGTAATATAAATTTCTATTAACAATTGAGCACCCGAATGATTCAAATATTTTATCGTGGAACCCATGAACCACATTCTCCAAATTCATAATTCCATAAGTTATTGGTACAAGAAGGTATGGTGAAATCTAGAATAGTTCATTCTCTAGAATGGTTGATAAGTTCACTAGAGTTTCTTGCATTCCTGGAATGTTGATTTTTGGTACCGCCACGGTCACCATCCAGAAGTACGTCTTCGAGGTTAAGGCCCCTGGAAGATACGGTGATGTTCACGCATTCAAGAAGCCTTGGTTCCAGACGGAGGCCATGTTCATTGGAATGCTTTCCTGCCTGATTGTCTACGAGATTATCAGATGCATGAGAAAGATTAAGAAGAACGATATTGATGAGTCTATTCAGCATTGGAAGCATTACTTCTACGTCGGCGCTCCTGCCATGTGCGATCTTTGCGCTACTTGCTTGATGAACATTGGTCTGTTCTACTTGGATGCTTCGATCTGGCAGATGCTCCGTGGTTCCATGGTCATTTTCAGTGCCCTGCTGTCCATCATCTTCTTGAAGAAGCGTGGATACTACAAGGCCTACCACTGGGTTGGTATTCTTTTGGTGGCTGTTGGTCTGGTCACTGTCTCCTTCTCCTCCTTCATGAAGACTTCTGAGGGTGGTGAGAAGACTGCTACGGCTGCTCAGATTGCTATGTCTATTGCTCTGGTGGTCGGTGCTCAGATCATTCAGGCTTCCCAGATTGTCATTGAGGAGTACCTGCTGAAGAACGTGAAGGCTGCTCCTTCTCTGATTGTCGGTCTGGAGGGACTCTGGGGTGGTCTTGTGGGTTGCTTGGTCATGTGGGCCGTGCACAACACCTCCACCAAGTCTGCTCTGGTGGCTGATATGTTCCATGAGGATAGCATTGATACCTACTACATGCTGAAGAACTCCAAGTCCCTGGTGGTTCTGATCATCTTCTACATTCTCGCCATTCTTTTCTACAATCTCTTCGGTATGATGGTTACTCAGACCTACAGTGCTGTGTACAGAACTATTATGGAGGCTGTTCGTACCATGTGTATCTGGATTGTCAACATTATTATCTACTTCTTCGATAGCACTCACGGAGAGAAGATTGAGTGGGCTTCTTTGGTCGAGGTTGTTGGATTTGCCATTCTCTTGTTCGGTAACTTCTTGTACAACAAGGTCATTCGCCTGAAGTGCTTCTACTACGAGGATAAGGCTGCCGAGGCCGTTCCTCTGGTGGAGAAGACTGAAGTTTAATGGTAGTGTTGCGTTTGTTAGAAACACGTTTGGATGGAAGGGAAGATCGATGCCAAAGAGTTCTTAGGCTTGGAGAACAACTTCTTTCACGCTGTTGATAGCAACACCCTAGCACCGAACGATCTGGACACGGGTGACATTCTCCTCTTTTCTCGCCGATGTACCGATATGAACTTGTTCGGAGCACTTCTTTGCTATGGAGCTAAGGTCAACTTCGGCAGCTTCGCTGTAATCTGTAGCAGTTCTCTCCTTGGGACCATATTTGCGTTGTCGTGAAAAATCCGGACACGGAGAAGGTGTATGCTCTCGAAGCGGCGCTCGATGGGGTCCGGGTTTGTTTTTTTTACTCGTGTAATATAGCTATTTGAAGTGGACGACCGTATTCGGCACAGCAAAGCACCTGCGATTGCCGTACGCTATTTACGGGTAATGGGAGAGTGTACTTTGTAATGTAGCTGTCTAGAACGGACAAGCAGCGTAAAGAGATTTGGGATTTGGTGAAGGCAATGGAAGGAAAGCCGTACATGTCCGATCCAGATATTCTCATAAAAGCGGGCGTCTGGAGTCCCCAGAAGGTGAAGCGCCTTCTGATGCAGAGTCAATCCTATTACCTGGATCGTCGGATAGGCGAAGTGGAGCAAGCTCTCCGCTCCATTGCAGCGGATCCTCTCACTCTCTCACTCCTCTCTCAATCGCTTTCTTCGCTCCGCAGCGAGCAGCAAGAGCTGTCGAACGCGATTCAGACGGAGCGGAAAAGCAGGTTGGAGTCGGAAGACAGCTCATCAGCGTTCTTCTGCAGCCACAGCGTCGCCGTGGTTCTACGAAGTCTGGGCGTGCTGCCCAGTTCGGTCCCTGCGACGGAGTATCTGCCGTACTCGTTTTCGAGCGAGATGAATCTGCCGCTGCTGAAGGGAGCGACGTTTTCAGGGGAAGTGTTTCTTCGCGGGACGAAGAATGACGTGTTTGCGTCAACGGGGAAGATCGTGGATGAATTGTACGCGACGATGGTGAAACGAAAGAATGAGGAAGAAGAAAAGGAGGAGGAGGGAGTGGAGAACGAAAGGAATGGAAAGCAATTGGATTTAAATGGAAATGGAAATGGAAGTGAAGCGGTTTATTCATCTGGAAATAGCGAGGTGAACATCGAAGATGACAATCGTAATCATAGTAAAGAAAACCAAAACCAGAACCAAAACAACAACGAACTCATCAATCATGAAATCGAAACTGAAGAAAATTCCACCCTCCTTCATTCACCATCCCACTCTTCTTCATCCAATCACCCGCCAGCCGGCTCGCCTCCCCCTCCCACCACCACTTCTCTCGAGAACGTTTCGGTGCCCCACCGCGACGTCACGTCCCTCCTCTCGCCCTCCGATCTCTCCTACGTCCTCACCCAGCTTCGTCTCACGCGGCCGCTCGCTCGTTCCTCCGACGCCTCGCTCCTCGCTCTCCTCCAGCACATGGCGATGTACAGCCCGCAGCTCTCTGCGCACTAGAACCTACCACATCCCCGGAGACCTCCTCTCTCTCCGATCCTCCGACCTTCTCCTCGCCGTTTTGCTCCGCGGCACCCTCCAAATCCGACAATTCAACGAACCCATCGGAGAAACCACCATCGAATCGCGGGACCCGCTCTCGCTTCTCGGGCTCCTCGCCTTTCCCACCGATCCCTCCCATCTCGTACGCATTACCGCGGGAGACGTCGCCGTTCTCGGCTGTGTCGACGCGACGGAATTTCACGCTGCAGAGAAACCGGCGCACGGGATTCACCGCCTCGAACGGCTCCGATTGGCGCAGAGCATGCGCCATCACCCCGTGTTTTCCCGCTTTTCCGCCAAGGAACTCACCGAGATTTCCCTCTTTTTCCACAAAGTCAAGCTTCACCGCGGGGAAACGCTCCTTCGCGAGGGGAAAATCCCCGCGTACGTCATCTACGTCGATGAGGGAACCGTGGAACGCCAGGCCCGGAGTTCGCAGGGAAATTCCACTCCCGCGGTTATGGAGCATGGGAGTTTCATCGCGATGGAGCCGCTGATGCACGGGAGAAAAAGCGATGCGACGTACACCGTGAAGTCTGATGAAACCGTCGTGTTTGTGCTCCCTCCCGCGGTTCTGGAGGCGTTTACGGGGAACAGACCGTTCTGTGCGGTGGACCTGTTGCACCAGGTTCGTTTTCCCGCGGGGATGGATATAATGAAGTTGATTGGTCATGCGGTGAGTGGGGTTCAGTCGTATGTGACGGATACGTTTTTGAGCAATATGCGAACCAGTTTTTCGAGTATGCTTCGAGATGATCCGTTGAATCTCAATGAGGAAACGGAGAAGGAAATACAGTGTTTGATCGATTTGTTACGATGGATGTACCCTGAAATGAGCCTATTGGCTCATCCGACCGGGGATCAGTCCTCGGAACACAATTCGACAGAGTCATCCACCAACCCTTCAACTCTCCCCGAAATGGTTATCAACGCGGTGTATTCCCTGTTTTTCCAGGAACACAGTTCCGAAGAAACGCCCAGCGAGGGAGCGAAGTTCAACACGCTGAACGATTTTTCGGACGGCCAAGTGTTTTCCGTGCTGCAGTCGCTTTTGTACCGCGACGCGTCAAGCTCTGCGGCCTATCTTTTGTTTTTGGCGCTGAGCGGAAGCGACGAGTTGGCGAGTCTTTCGAAATCCATGTTTGAAAAGCGTGTCGAAAAACTGGGGATTTTGGATGAGCGAACCAAATCGGAGCTGGTAAAATTCTTTTTTGGTTCGAATGCGACCTCGCTTTCTTTCGATTCATTCATTGAAAAGTGCGAATCGGCCGCTGCGCCGTCCGTCGTCCGTGATTGGCTGCACCAGATCCGCTCGTGCGTGCAGACCATCGCGCCGCATCAATCGGAAGTGTGGGAGCAGCAATACGAGCGACGCAACCGATCCACCGCGTTCGGGAAGTCGGTTTTGAAGTCGCACTCGCCGTTCCAGCTGCTTCCAATGCCGCTTCCGGTGCCGTACATGATGACGTACACGTTGTATTTCCAGAATAGCGATGTGGATTACTGGAAATACGTGCTGGGCGGGTTTGTGGGCGAGGTTTTTGTATTGTGCGGTTGTGGAGAGTGAGGCGTAGGGGCGATTTATGCTCTATCCGACCTATCTGAGCTCGTTTTCGCGCCTGGTCGAACGGGATATTCGACCCATTTCTTTAGTGAACGTTCTTCGAGGCAAATCGACCGCGTCCAAAGCGGTTCAGCCGCCCTCAATTCCCCCACCCGCTTCACTCAAAACCCCATCGAACTCTTTCTCTTCTTCTTCATCAATAACAACAACAACAAAGCCCACAAAACCCACAAAACCTTCCACATCGCCCATCATCATCAAAGATTCGCGCGTTCGTTCCACTCCCAAACCTTCCTCGTCTCCTCCACTTCTTTCCACGGACCCATCCATCAACACAAAACCCGATCTCATCAAACCAAAACCCGATCTCATCAAACCCGTCAATCAACTCATCGGGGGATTCGGGCGTTATTTCTTCATGCTTCTTCTCGAACGATCCATCCAGCTCATTTCCTTCCCCTACGTTCCCTCCACGCTTTCCACGTTACCTCTAGTTCCTCCGATCCCTCACAGACCACGAAATAACCGCGGATCTCCCGCTGTGGTCGCAAACCTTTTTAGCCGGAGGTCTGGTTGGTGCCTCCATTTCCGTGCTGCGCTATCCCTTGGAGCGCCACTATCTTCGCCACATGTTTCTTTTACACCCTTTCACATCACGTTTAGTTTAGGAATTCCAAAAGAAACGGGGATTTCGTTGATTCGTCGGTTGTATGGCGGTTGGGGCGCTGCGTTGCTCCATTCCACGCTCTTTAACGCTCTGTTCTTAGGCGGCTTCGCTCTGATTTGGCGCCAAATGAATGCTTCGTTTGCGCGGGATTTGGGCCTTCATTTGGCGGCAGCGCACCCGCGGGACGAACGCAATAGCCAGGAGTTTCCGGTGCATTATGAGCTGTTCGGCAAGGGGATTATTGGGATTTCGTGTGCTTGTGCTGCTACTCAGCTTGTTTGTTATCCGATTGGGGTGTATCGGAATATGAGGTAGGGACAGAGAAGAGATGATGATCAGAATGTTGGCGACCTTCAACAAACCATCGCTATCGCCGCTGTTGAAGCAAAGCGCATCGATTCGAAGCTTTTTCTGCAAGGCAAATCGCGCCGCTCTGTACGGAGGAATGTGGACGCGTGTGTGCTGGTCGGTATTGAGCTGTTCGATGGGAATAGCGTTTGGTTCGGCGCTTCTCACGAAGGATTATCGAAACAAGTCGAAGTATTAGAATTCCATATAATTGTGTTTGTTTGTTGTTCAAACGAGGCTTTGACGTGCCGAGATGAGTAACAAGAAGTACCCTAGTCCAGACATGGTAAAACCGCACCGCTGTGCATTTCTTATGGATAACCTGTTTGACGCAATGCATCCATGGAACACGAGCGAACTAAGGATTGCGTACCATGCTTTCCGTGATTGTTTGAAGAACGAAGAAATAAATGCAGATCTCTCGCAGAAACCAAAATATTTAACGCCCAAGCCGGAGTACGAAGGTACCATGAAAATAGATTGGTCAATTTCGTAGACATGTTTGATTCCGAGAAACTCAAGGAAAAAGCGGACCAGGCGAGAGCTCAGGAGAAGCTCCGACGAGAGAGCTTCAAGAGAGACAAGACGAAAGATCAGGATTGAACAGGTGAGCAAGTGGCTTGTGCTATGTAATTGGTTTTTTTATTTCGTTCCCTCTGTTTGATCTGTACTAATGAACTTGCACTTGGGATGAGTGTTGTTGATTTGTATCTCAGTTCAACTGTCACGCTTCCCAGCATTTCGATCCGGTAGTTTACTGTCTGCACAGAACAAAAGGACGTTTCGTGGACGATCTTCGCATGAAAACCTGATTCGCGAAGCAAAGGGATCATTCATGGAAATCATGTTAATCACAAAAATATCCATGGATATTAATCAATCCATTCCCGTTTTGCAGAGCGCGCCTCGCACATCAACCGATAGCTCGCAAACGGCTCTAACAACAAACAGCAATGAGACTGTTGATTGCTCTACAACGCGTAGTGATTCTCTCCAACGGGGAGCATCCCTTTCGATGAACCCTCTGTTGTCTTTGTCTCTGTCCCGCGGGTTTCTCTCCTGCCTATCAGGAAAATCGGACACGTTTAATCTCTTTCCGAGTCTTCGTCTGGATGAAATGACAGCAGACGATTCGCAATCGCTTCAATTCTGTCTACAGCAAGTAGACCAGGAGCTTCAGCCGCTGCAGCAAAGACAGTCCAAAATGCCTTCTCTTCCTATGGACGAGTTCACATTTCAGCTCTCTCCGAGGAACGAGCAGGAGTCAGACGATCCGTTTCTTGTGAATTTGTTTCTCTCTCCTTCAGATCGTGGCTTTTCTGAACTAAAAGGGTCTCTGTCGATTAGCAGACATCCCTCTCTTTCTTTTGCTACAAATTTCGAGAAACCGGAAGCTGCACATGGCCCTCTCTCGAGTGGTTGGATTCGGAATGTGACTGCATCTGTGATCCAATCAAACAATGAGCAGCCTTGTAATCCCAACGCCAAATTGCCTTTTTCTGGAACAAATGCCGTTCCGATGTTTGATACTCCTTTCATTCCTTGCGCCACGGATACGGAGTCGGATGGAAATCCGTATTCCGGATCAATGTCCGACCTGTCTTCCTTTGACGACACAATCCAAAAGAAACAGTCCACGAAAAACCGAAAAAAGTGGATTTGCTCCAATTGTCGCTATTACAACAACCTGAGTTTGCCTCCGATCTGGGATTCATCATAGAGACGAAGCGCTGCCTGAACTGTGGGAATCCATCTCCTTACCAATCCCAGCACTCCAAAGACTATCCCAACTCCCCCATCCCATCGATGGAGGTAATGAACCAACTGGCGCTCAACTCCAATCAAATCAACCTAGATATTGATGTAGGTGGAGGATATACGCTGCGTGACTTCCCTTTTGCCTACCTTCCCTCCATTCCTTCAGGAGATAGTTCGGAAGCCGCTCTGAAACTTGTAGATGATGAGTGTGGTGTGTGTGAAAATAGCTGGCTCTGCGCTCGAGAAAGTCGGAGCCGAGAATCTGTGCTCGGTGTGGAAGTACCAACACTCCGAAGTGGAGACGCTCACCTCCTCCCATGCGGTTTCTGCTCTGCAATGCATGCGGTTTGCAATACAGTAAAGGGATCAATGAGCACACGCACTCCATTTCTCCTCTTGAGGAATGTCAAGTATGTGTTATATAGAAATGGAGAGAGTGTAATATAGGGAGAATATTGTGTCCGCGCTCGAGCAGAAGGAAGAAACATCAAGCGTAGACTGTTCAACAGACATATCCTAAGTGTTGTCAATGTGCCTTCTTAACGCCAGGATTGCGTCTGTGCTATTATTGCAATAGGTTGCGAAGACAATCACTCAACATAAATGAGCAAAAGGCAGAAATCACAAACAAAAATCTGTGTTAATCATTTACATTTTTTATGTTTCATAATTAAATTTGGAGGTTTGTTGCATACTGAATGAATATCCCGACATGTATTATCAATGTTTCAGAGCTCGATATATCTGTTTGCTACGTGGAAGGAAATGACTTGTTTCGCATTAATATGAGTCAAACAGAATATCTCCTGAAGGGAACTGTCTCATTCGGTAAAAATAAGGACATATTTTTAAATGCTCTCCCATCACAGGACGATTTGGGAACAGTCAAGAATTTCTTCAGATATCCTGGTAGAACATACCGTGAAATCTATGACAACTTCAATCTCAAAGAAGACCTCATTAATGTTCGTCTTCTGGATTATGTGGATGGACCGTGTTTTGTTGTCAATGAGGAGTACAGCATGTCTGTCATTTCTGTATTTGAGTATATATTAACACATGTAGTGAAGACTATTTTTTCGTATCATCGTACATTTTACAAGTTTGTTGTATGTGTTCCTCGTTTCTTTGGTGAAACAGAATTCAACATCATCAAGCAGTGCTTTAATGAGATGCAAGTAGTCCCCAATATTATTCACGATTATACTGCTATCGTGTCAAGTATGATTCATAAAGAGACGCTCTCGGGTCAGAAGAGTTATTATGCATTGATCCACTCGAAGTACTTCAGTACCGATTATCTGATTATTCAAGTTCAATATCAAAATGGCATACCTGTCCTTTCTGTGTTAGAGCACCGAGAACTAATGAACGTTTCAATAGAAGCGCTCAAAAGGCATGCTCAGGAGCTGTTTCGGAAGCGATGGATGATGAGTATGGATAAAGGAAAGGTGCCCGATGGAGTGTCTTTCAGTCTGGACGATGATTTTTGGACAAAGCGGGAAGATGTGGTGTATGTACATGCAATCATTGGGAACAAAGGCTCGGGGGAATACCGAATGAAATTGGAATCTTGGATGATCGAGATGTTTTTACGCCAGTGCGGCTATGCCTCTCTATTCCTAACGAACCGCATGCTTGATACTTGCGGAATCGATTTCAAAAATGCTACGATTTTGGTGGCTGGATTGTTCCTCCAGTCGGATTCCTTCCTTGTGGACCGCAATGTCTTTGCGCTAGAGAACCAAATCAAGTTGTTGGATGTTGCGAATTACTTGGTTTGGGGGAGTGAGAACGCGCTCTCTCTGCGAATTGTCGAACAAACGAATACCACCTTGCTCCCTGTTAGTATCTGGTTCTATTCCAGTGCGAATAGCATCCGATTGCTTCTCGAAAAGGGCACGTTGCTTCCGAACTCGAGTGGCGCCGCGTTTATCCCCAAGCTGAAAAGCGGCGTGGAGCCTGTGCGGACCGAAAACGCGAGCCAATCTTTGGGAACAATGAAGTTTGCGCTGGTGACTAGCGAGCAGAGCGGCGACGAAGCCCGACGTGTGGTCGAGGAGGGAGAGGGGAAAGTGATTCTCAACGGGGAGATGAAGTACAGTCCGGATAGCAAAGAGGAGAATAACAACGTGTTCTACATGCATCTCACCGTCACTCAGGACTTCGAATTGGATTTCACGGTGAATCACCTCACAAAGAACAATATGGTCTTCCAGCATCGAGCTCAGCTCTCTTTTTCGTTCTCTGTTTCTTCAACAAACACGCAAGACTTTTCTCACCACCAGATCCTTCTCCACCACATACTCGCCCGGCTCCGTGATCTCGAACGTGCACGTCTCCTTCTTCACCAGCCGGTATCTACGCCTCACTCTCCTCGTCTACGCCCACCCTCGCAGCGCGTACTTGTTCTCCACGCTCGGGTCCTGCTTGTCCACCGCCTCCGCTTCCCATCCCGCGTTCTTCACGCAGCAATCGCGGATCGTCAGCTTCACGCCGTGGCTCGTCTTGATCACCAGCGCGCCCTCCAGCACGAAGTTCTCGATCTTCAGATCCTCCGCGTCGATCGACAGCACCGACTTCTCGCGGATCTCCACGTTCGCGCCGAAGTGGCTCGCGATGTCCGCCGTCGTCAGTCCCGACCGCGCCGACAGCGCCACCAGCGGGAACCGCGGCATGCCCAGCGGCTGCGTGAGCGCGAGATCGTACTCCTCGCTGCCCAGCTTGACGCCCTGCGCGCGCAGCACGCGGCGGTAGAACTTGTAGATGTCCTCCTCGCCGGAGAAGAAGGACTCGGGGTAGCCGGTCGCGTTGAACTGCGCCACGGCGTTCTCGTCGCTGTTCTTCACCGCGGAGAAGCACAGCCAGCGCGGCAGGGAGACGAAGCCCACGGGCGCGGAGTGGTGCATGAGGAGCTTCGGGTAGTCCTGCATCATGCACTCCAAACGCACGGGAGCCTTGAAAGCAGTGCGCGTAGCGTCCTTGTACTTGGGATTGACGAACTCCTGCACCACGCCGCCGCTCTCGCGGAGAATCTCGCGGTAATTATCCAGACGCACGCAGAGAATGTTGATGTTTCCGGGGTAGCTGCGCGTCAGGCCCGCTCCTCACTCGCACTTGCTGTTGCCCTGCGCGTTGGGCACGTCGCCCTGCCCCGTGCACGCCTTCAGCACGTCTTCCAGCTGGTTGTACTCCACGTTGCACGTCAAACTCGCGCCGTTCTCGCGCACCAGCTTGCAGATCCCGCCCACCTTCTCGCCGGGACGACGCACGATCGCCATGCTGCCGAACGCGTAGCCGAACTTCTCCATCACGCCGAGCAGCAGCGGGAAGCCGTGCATCGACAGCCCGTTCGTGTCTTGGAAGAAGACCACGTAGCGGATGCCTTGGGCCGCCCAGGCGTCCGGAACGCCGTGCTGGCTCATGAGCAGGTGGATGTCGCCGTGGCCGTGCGGCTTGAAGAGGATGTGGCCGTCTTCGCGGACGGCGATCTCGCCTTGCGTGTTGCAAATCGCAGGAACGCCGTTTTGCTTCATGATCGTCACGTTCTCTCGCTTCAGATCGAAGTATTTGTGCGACTCCAGGAGCTTCACGGTGCTAGGAGTGAAGGGAGGAGAAAAAGGGAACTCGTCGTTCGTGCCGTCCGACGTCATGATCGCAAGAGGAACCTCGCAATCCATGGTGGTCTGAATGGAAGGCGGAGAGAGCCAATACCTCGATGGCGTGGAAGAATCTGCAGTAGTCCTCCAGGAAGGAGTAGCCTCGCACGAGATCCGACGTCAGAGACAGTTTGATGTACTTCGAGTTCAAACGCTCGCCGATACCTCCGCCGACGAGAGCAAATCCGGCGTGCTTCAACGCCTCCTTACCCAACTTCTCGAGCTCCACAAACTGGTCATCTTTGTACTCGAGGTTTAGACCGGAGGGAATCTTTTGTCAGAGAAAAAGAAAAGGGTACTTCCGTTTTAAAACCATCGAACGGGTTGACATTCTTGGTGGATGCCTCGATCAGTTTTGAGGCAGATTCGATGTACTTGGGAACACCGCCGGGGTATGTCTTTGAGACCATACGAACGTCGCTCAGGAAGTTTTGGAGCTCTTCAGATTAAGATACTATCTAGCGCGAACGTTCCAGGGTGGTCAGAGAAGCAATTACATTCTTCTGGCCGCATGCACAAAGCGAGTCACACAATTCAAGGTCTTCCTTGGTAAGAGAAGGAATCCTAGATGGTATCTTACACGAGAAAGAGCTTACAATTCAGGATTTACACAAGAGCTGGACATTCAAACTACAAATAAGCAGTGGTGGGGGATTGCCTGATCGGGTTTTGATGGAATTAAGATGCGTTTCGTGAACTTCGATTCCTTCCAAGAATCGATTATTCTGGCTCCTAAACAACATCCATGGAATGAAGGAGCTGTTCATTTCATATTCTCAAACAGGGAAATACTGAACGAGCAATCATAACAACACATCTAAACTCACTCAATCCTTCTTTTCTTTCTTTTCCTTCTTCTTATCCTTTTTCTCCTTTTTCTCTTTCTTTTCTTTTTTCTCCTTCTTTTCCTTCTTTTCCTTCTTCTCCTTCTTCTCTTCCTTCTTTTCCTTCTCCACTTCCTTCTTCTCTTCCTTCTTCTCCACCTCCTTCTTCTGCCCCTTCAATTCCTCCGCCACCTCCATCATCGCATCAATGTTCTTCTGCGGCGGCACTCCGGTCTCATAGAAGTTCAATCTCTGCTCGACCTGCTCCTTCATCTTCATTCCATACAGCTCGGTGGGTTCCTCCGCGAACGAGTCCAGTCTGGACGCGATGGAGCACTTGTTCGCCAGATACCGCGAGATTCTTCCCTTGTTCTTCGCCCCCGCGCGTCCGATGAAGCTGCTGTGGAAGATGATGCCGTACTTCGGCGTGTTGCTGCGCGTCTTCAGCGCGCGGAAGAGCGCCTTCTCGGCTCCGAGGATCTGGATGGTGGACGCTGGGCACTTCGCGAGGGAGACCAGCGACCCGGAGTGCGCGATCAGCCGCGCGCCCACGACCTCTCCGATCAGCGCGGAGAGATTCGGCGCCACCGAGTGCATGCGCTCCTGCAGGTACGCGAAGAGATCCTCGCGGTACTCGGCGAGCTCCACCACTCTGCGCGTTAGCCGAACCAAAGCGAAGCCCACTTGGCCGCGAAGAGGTTCACGCTCTGCAGGTCCGTCGCGGAGAGCTCCTGCCCCATCGACGCGCGGCCCGCGTCGCGGATCTCGCGCGCGAGCGCCTCGTCGAGCACCACGGGGACGAGCTTGGCGACGCAGTCGTCGTCGTGGAAGAAGGCGCGCGACTGCACGGTGCGCACCACGCGCGCGTAGAGCGCGTTGTCCTTGACGAGCTCCTTCAGCTCGGGGAAGTGCCAGCCGTACCACTCCTTCACGCGCATCGCGAAGGTGTTCAGGTCCTTGTCGATCTGCGGGTTAGAGAGAGAGAGAGAAAAAGAGAGAAGGTACCTGGTCTAAGAGGCAGATCGCTTGGATGATCATGTTGTCTTCGCGGTTCACGTTGAATTTCACGTGGGCGCGCGAGTAGGAGTGCCCGAGACCCAGCATCGCTTTCTCCGCCGCGCCGTTCGACAGAGACGTCACGAACTTGCTGTAGTGCTGGCGGATTCCGCGGCAGAGTTCGGCTACCACATCGTTCGTCATGCAGGGGATCTTCAACTCTTCTTGGATGGCTTGGCCGATCTTTGCGTCGATCTGAAGCAATGACTTCCAGGAGTTAAAACACCTACGACGCCCAGAGTGATCGTGCTATCCTTCAGCTTCTTCACAGAAGGAATGTTCACCTCCAAAAATAGTTTTAATGTGTTGCTCAGAACGCCCTCAGATATATTGTTGCAGTTTTCTAACGCATCTTCTGCACTCTCGAAAGGCTGCGCGTCAATATACAAACCCAACCCATACAACGAACGCCTTCAGTTTCACCAGATTGCTGAAATTACTGAAATCATTCAGACTCTCTTGTACCTACAAATCAGCCATTCCACACTACATATCACTTGTTTGGTAAGGCTCGCAATCTCCTCCTTCTCCACAACTTCGTATAGAGAATAGCCCGAGGCAGCTTCAAACAGGATGTACGTTGTTTTACCCTACATTCTAACTCTCTCCCTGACGCTTCCATACCATGACTCAACAAATTTCACTATCAAAACAACTGAATGTCGGTCAATACTGGAGAAAACCAATCTTGTTGTGGGTGGAAAAGTCCCAATTAAGAAATGGGCCCTATCTCATGTTAACTCATTTCTCAACAAACACAACTCTACAGACGTTCAAACTGCTTTTGAATCAACAAACGGTTCTGCAACTGCACGTTCATAAAAGGACTGGTCAGAGAGGCATCGAGCAAGTTGTAACCCTTCTTTCGCAGCTTCTCCAGATAGAAGACGCCCGGCGTCGACAGCAGAAACATTGTTTTGTACTGCTTGTTCTCTCCATTACAACCCGCTTTCCACAGTGCTCTTGCCTCTTCATACGTCGAGAGTGCGCTATCTGCGATCTCTTTCACTACTTTCTTCACCGCTTCCGACTTTACATCACAGGCATCGATTGGCGCCAAGCCGTTCTTCTTGCAAATATCGAGAGGGAAATAGCATTTGTCATGCTGTAGATGGTACGGGGATCCCCGCAGGAGTGTGGAGATGGACATGACATGCGACGCTCTCCTCCATCCCTCGACCAAATTATTGTCGGTAATCCCAAAACTCTGCATCAGAAGCTACCCGTGACACCCGCTGTTCAACCCAACATATCCTATAGAACCATAAATCCGTTCTCCATAATCTCGTAAATCATCCAACGTGTTGATTGCTTCGTCGTTCAGATCCATCTCCTAGAATCGAGAGAAACAAACAATACACACGCGGGCTTCAATAATCCTATCCAAGAAGGTGTATGACCACCCATAATCATGGATCATTTGGAAAAGACACCGTAAAAAGGGAGAAGCGCCCACTGCTTGCTTGTCATAATACGCCGTGATTTGGTCTCGGAACCACTGCAATCTCATACGTCCTGCGATTACATTTCCATCGATTTGATCTCTCACACTAGCTATTTCGGTATTGAAGCATTGCTACATGTTAGCGGCAAAGTAAAACAAGAAACCGCAACAAAAAACAGCACGCGCATCTTCTCTGGAATCAAACAGCCAGCATGGAAGTAATCTATGCTCCTTTTTCTAGATTTTGATATAAGAAAGAATGTACTACTTAACTAAATCAATTGTTTGCCTAAAGTCGTCATCATTTGCAATCGACTCTATTTGCCTAATCGGAATGAAAGGCTTTCTTCCAGTCACTCTTCCAAAAAGTTTGACACTCCTTGAAAGACTTTGTGAAAGCATTTTGTGTAAGGAACAAACTCAGTCATGAATCAGTATTAACGTGCCTTTTAAACAACGTGATCGAGAAGAGAAGCAGAGCCAGCACACCTACTGTCACACAATCGAATCGCATAGTCGTATCTGGAACCGGAGTAAAAGCCACCGCTTCTATTTATAAGATTTTTGTTTTTGGTATCACCTAACGAGTAAATCCGTGTCCATGTCCCGTTGAGTGTTCGCTCAAGATAGGTTGGTGGAATGATTCTCCCCAAATCTGCGTTAAAAGACATTTCGTCCAGAGATATGGGAAGCTTGAATAGTGGGATACGAATTGAAAATGGTCTTTCTGCCTCAATTTCGAAGAAGAAGAAGAAGAAGCGATCATCGTTTCGTCGTTTATATGTGCAGTTCTCACACTTTATATGGTGTGGAAAGAATCGGATTCCATGTACCTGTTGAATGGTCATTACACAAGAAGGACATGGCTCTCGATAGTGGATATTCAACCATCCGTGAATATAATCAGTGTCTAGCGTATTATTTTGAGGTTTCAAAAGCGAACTGATCACAACTTGGCGCAACGGAGACTCAACAAACGGTAATCTTGATGATTCCATAACTTGGAACTGAACATGGATTTTTGATTCATGGAAGTGAATATCTACTTATCGGCAGTCTCACACCAACAGTACGTAGCGAGAAGAACGGATAATCCAAAAGTGATCGAACTGTCTCTCTTGACAATGGAGAAAACAATTGGTTTTGTAACTCATCTAAAAACATAGTACATGGCTTTTCAGCGTCATAATAATAAGATGAAAAGAACTTGGAGGCAGAAAACAGAGTACCGATCGACAGGTGTAAACTGATTTGATTTACCAAGGATTGGATTGCGCTCGGATCGGCCTGCTCATTCCAATCAATAAGCAAGCCAGGAGGATAGTGTGCACCCCACTGTCCATGAGTAATATGGATTTTGAAGCCATGATATGCAGGTATCGATTGTACACGGATTCCCCGATCGAGGATATCAAGAAAGGGGAGCGAGTTCGAGAGAACGGCTGAAATTCACTCAACGAAAGGTTATTTACGGACGGAAACGCTTTTTGTCAAGGTGATCATGCTATCTACAGTCGAGTGATTGCTTGTTGAGACATCAAAAGCGCCAAGCGACTGCAATAGACGTAAGGACATTTTGCTAGTAAACATCTCTTCATCGCAAGAGCACGCGATGAAGAAGGTGAGGGTTAGGAGAGTGAACATAATCTCTTTGCAGAGGAAAAGGAAACAAAAAGTTGGAAGTGAGTCACTTTTCACACAAACAAGTTACGTCAAATTGAAAGGAATCTAAAATAATACAACTATCGCCATCTCTTCTTTAAAAATACAGAACGATACGATAAAAAACCTTACTTCAAACACTGTCGCAAATGAACAGTATAGTCTGGAGCAAAAACCTGCACTGTGACTCAAAATGAGAATTCTCATACCACTTTTCCACAATTATCGCACTTGAGTGCATATAAGAATGGATCTCTAGAATTCCTCGCATCTGGAAATAGAACAGGCTTCGGTTTATGATACAACATCTTCACGTAGTTTATGACTTCATCATCAGCGCTTCCAAAAAAGTCATCAAGACGAGTCATTTCCTAGCTAATAAAAATGGAATATAGCTACCTCCTCCTTCTTTCCAAGATTAAACTGATAATGGTCTAATGGGGGATTATGATTCGATTCCGTATCCATTCCAACTTTCCCCTCGATCAGAACTCTCTTCCCGTTGAATAGAGATCGACTGTCAAATTAAAATTTGGAGTAAGCGATGGCAGACGATTTCGACCTGGACAACTTGCTAGATGATGTGCTGAACGAAACGGTTCCTCCGAAGAAGGATGATATACTCGACTCGTTAATGGACGAAATGTTAGACTCTCCACAGCCAGTGCCAAAGAAACCTGCTTTAAAATATGAGCAGTTACAAGTTTTGCCGGAAGATATGCAGAATAGCTGGGAACAGACGATTTCCTCTGATGAGGAGGCGATGAAGAGTCGAGTCCATAAACCACTGAGTAATGCATACACTATGAAGCATGGATCGGTGAAAGAGAAGACTCTAGAAGAGTTTCTTCTGTCTGTGTGTCGAGAGAGCTTCGGGAATCAATCGAACCGCGAGGAACTGTTAAGAATGATTAGTGGAGACAAGAAGTTGGCGATTCTATTCCGAGAGGAAGTTCTACGGAAGATTCGAGCAAAGGTGAATAAGAACGACGGAGATGTAATCAGCGGGGATTTCCCTCATCTGAAAAAGGTTTTAGAGATGTAACATGCTTTGTTTGTGTCAAACCTTTTTTGCAGAGATTCAAAATGCCTCGAATTGTGAACGGTCAGATTGTAAATGACGAGCCAGCGAAGAATCCATCGGATAGACCCCGCGTAATGACGTGGAGAAACTTTTCGGAGAAACCTGCAGGCGGAGAGGGTGTGCGCAACCGTGCGAGTAACCAGGGAAAGCCTGAGGAGAAACAGGAGGCGGCTCCTTCTACACCTCCTCCAAGCGGCATTATCCAGTTTTTTTCGAGCATGTTAGGTTTGGAGGATTACAATTTGAAGATTCCAAACGATCATCCGACCGTCGTTCTCAATGTGGTGTATTTCTTGTTTTTCCTCTTTTTCACACTGATATTTGGATATAAAATGGCCGTACTCTTTATAAGAATTGAATCTCACGCATAGCTCCTTCTGACCGTTGCCTTATATTTCATCGAACCCAGCCAGGAATGCCTTGTTTGTTTCACAAACCCAACCATAAAATCATAAATAGTAGTAGAAGTAGTAACAATCCTATTCTAAATAATAAACGACTTATATTCTTCTTCTCTTGGCCGCCTTCTTTCCCAGCACCTGCAATCTCCGCACCTGCTTCTTCGCGGCCTGCTGCTGCTCGTGAATGCTCTGCTTCAGCTTTCTCTTCACACGCTCGCTCTGCTTGACCATCACGAAGTTCTTCTTTCGTTCCTTCTCCTTGTTCGTCGTGCCGCCTCCCTTCAGCTTCATCACGTGCTGCTGCCGTCCTTCGATCGCCTTTCTCCGCCGCTCCTCGATGTCGTCCTTCCGTTTCTTCTGGTAACCCAGCAGATCGGCGGGGTTCACGACCGCGTCGTGTGTCTACGTCATGAAGCAAGCTAAAAAAAACGATACGATTTCGTTGGCCACATCGGCGGTTTGCTCTTCGGAGTCGTCGGAATCGCTGCTGTCCGAATCGTTGCGATCGCCTTGGAGAATACGGAAGAGCTTGGGAGGAAGGATGTGCGTGGACATGAACTCGCGAGCCAGCGCGATTCGGCGTTGCCGAACCGCCTCGGCTTTCTCCGGACTCATCGAATCGCTATCCTCCGATTCCTCCTCCATGGAAGATGATTCGTTTTCATTCATTTCATCGTTTTCGTTTTCATTCTCTTCTTCTTCCTCTTCTTCTTCTTCTTCTTCATTCATTTCATTTTCATTTTCTTCTTCTTCATTTTCTTCTTCTTCATTCTCTTCCTCTTCGATTTCTTCTTCTTCTTCTTCTTCCAGCAATGCTTCGTCTTCCTCTTCGTTCTTTTCCTCTTCGTTCTCTTCCTTTTCTTTCTCCTTCTCCTTCTCCTCCACTTCTTCGCCCTCTCCCTTTTTGGCGCCAATCCGATCCCACTGCTTGTGCCTCGCTCCCTCCGCGAACTCCAGCGCCTCCTTCGAGATCTTCATCGGCTTCTTCTTCTTCCTCGTCACCGTGTTTCCCTCCCAATTCTTCTCCTTCTTCTCCTCCTTCCACGCCTCCAAACTCTCCAGCTCCGCCTCGTCGATCTCTCCCTTCTCCAGCATCCGGCCCAGCGCCTCCATTCCCTCCACCGACACGCGCACATGATCCTCTCCGAACGCCAGCGGCCGCATCGTCTTGATCGCCTCGCGTCCGCGGTCCTTCTTCTGCAGACAGGCCGGATAGATCATCCTCGCTTTCTACAATCAACAGTCCTCTCCGAAGCGAACGTTGAGGAAATTGCGTGACGCCACCGCGACGCCCTTGTCTTTATTTGTCTTCATTTCGACCAGCTCGAGGATCAGCGGCTGCAGCTCGTCGGCCTCGAAGAGCAGCGGAATGCGCGCGAAGATCTCGCTGATCGTGTTGATGCCAAGCGCCACGATCTCGGGACTGGAATGATCGTTCACGAAGTTGTCTGCGATCACGCGAACCAGCGGGAACAGCTCTTCGGGCGGCACGAAATCGTGGCACGCCTGCGTCAGGAAGACGAGGATGCGCGTCACGTGCTGCTGGTGCGCGGTGAGATACGACTGGATGAACGTGTAGAACGGAAACACGCACAGCTTGTGGTACCCGATGAACCGCGAGATCAAATCCATCAGCAGCAAGCGCACCGAGAACTGCTCCTTCGTCTACTCCTCACCGCGTTTCCACGTTTCTACTCGCCGCAGGAGGTTCAGAAGCTTCTCCGCGAAGCCTTGCGGGTCGTAGACCAGCGCAATCGCGGGGAAGCGCGGGTTGCTTTCGGTCTGGTTGGCGCGGCGAAGCTTGCGGCGACGCGCGGCGACCTGGCGGTCGGTGTCGCGCTTGCGCGCCTTGGTTTTGTGGCTGTGGCTGTGGTTGTCGATCTCTTCGTTCTCCACTTCGCGCTCCTTCTCTTGGTCCTCCTCCATGCGCGTCTCGATGCCGAGGAAAAAGCGGATGCCGCCGATGCTGACGCGAGGATGCTGCGAGTTAGAGAGGAAAGATTATTAAAAAAACGCGGGATAGACACGCGGCCGCGATGACATTGACAGAGCGGGCATCCGTCCAGACTTGGCGGCGGTATAATTCTACCATTACGTCGAGTGCTTTGCGGGCAATTAGGTCGGAGTCGTTTTCGAGCAGGTCAAACATGAATGATTTCAATTGGCGGTTGAGCTAGGAAATGAGGATGGAAAAAATGGAGTGAAACGTTTTCGTTGGTTTTGCCCTTGTTCGCAGAGCTGATGTCGGTGATGATGTGAGAGTAGATGAGAGCACGCAGCTGCTTGTCGTTGATACGGAAATAGTGGAATAGACTCTTGAGAAGAGGAATCACCTCGATGAGGCCTTTGTTTCGCATTAGAATCAGAACGCGAACGATCGCAATTCGCGTTTCACGGTGCATCACTTCAGCATGCTCATCCATTAATCCAAACAAGAGAGAAGGGTAATCAGCCAAGACCTAAAGTCAACTTCCCTAAACAGAGCGTACGTCTGGATAGCACTGAGCTACCTGACCCATAAAATTCATTAAAGCCACAAAAGAATTGGCTGGTTCAGACAGATGGGCTTTAAATAGAGCTAGCTCGGTTTGGAAGTGGTCATACTATTTGATTAGCGTATTCCACCATATCGACCTGTTGCAAAAAGTCCTCCTTGTAGATTTGAGGATCACGCTTAATCAAGTTCTGAAGACTTGGTAGATCGTTCCCTGGAATCGACATTGTCCAACACTTCAAAAAGGCACGCGATGCTGGGACTTTCTATGGTTGATTTCCAAACGCCAAAACGCCGTTTTCAAAACAAACAACTCACAATTCCTCATTCGCGTTTTCCTCTTCAACCCCCGTTTCTTTTTCCTTTTTCTCCTGCTCCTGCTCCTGCTCTTGCTGCTTTTTACCCTCATCTTGCTCCTCTTCCTCTCCATCCTGCTCCTCTTCCTCCTTTTTCACCGGTTCCACCCAATCCCCGCTAATCTTCAGCTGTTCCTCCATATATCCCATAAGCGAATCCACCGTTCTCGCCGAATCCACCATCTTGGGCATGAGCGGGTCTTCTCCCTTCGCAAACCACAACAACGTCGGATACCCGCGCACATCATACTTATCCTACACTCAATCCCCTTCCCTCCCCATCTCATACACCGATGTCCTTATAATGGTCTGCATCGATTTCTGCGATCACGACTCCATCAAACGCGACCGTTGCAAGCTCCTCCTGCATTTTATCCGCCCATCCTGATCCGTACATAAATCGGCGCCAGCGCTCTGCAATGTCCACACCACGGCGCAAAGAACTTCACCATCACATTCCGCTTCCCGTTCACCACGAAATCGAACGAATCCTGCGTCAGCGAAACCTACGCTTTAACCGCGGTTCTCGCCTCCACCACCGTGTGCGGCGTAATCTCCACGCGCTCAAACTGCGTCAGCACGTTCTGCATGGCCCGGAGCTTGGCGTACTCCTTGGAGTCCTCGTCGACGGCCTCGATGGCGGTCTGGACTCGTTGCCGTTCCTCGACGACGAAATCCGGTCCCGATTTCGCCACGTTTTTCATGATTTTGTAGTACCGGAAGCTTGCCGGGTGATTCTGCTTCGCCTTCAACACCTGCTTCATCACGCGCTTGTAGTTCGCCATCGAGTTCTACGCACAATCGGGGAAACCAATCGGGGAAACCTCCTCCATGAAGCTGTGCGCCAGCACGTCCAGCATGTCGTCGCGCCCGTATTTCTCGTTCAGCCCGCCCGCGGAGCGGAGGAACGTCCCTGCCCGTGAAAGGTGGAAACAGTGGAAACCGAGGTAGCGGTTGAGGTAGCTGTCGATGCCCTCGCGACGGCGGAAATCGAGGATTTTTCCGTCGAAGGGAGTGTGGGAGTTGTTGAAGAGGCGGATTTCGGGGAGCATTTGGACCTGCAAGTACTCGCAGACGCTCTGGGAGAGCGAGCAGTCCACGCGGCCGAAGAGAAGGGACTTGATGCTCTACGCGGGTGAAAGGAGAAACGGGGAAACCAACGTGGAAGGCCTTGGCGGTGGAGAAGAAGGGGTAGATGGAGTTCTGGGAGTTCTGCTGGGAGGGGACGTAGAACATCATGAGGACGTTCTTGTCTTTCATCTTGCGAACGAATTGGTTGTAGTTGCTCTCCGTAATCACCATCGAGTAATCGGGATTGGGAACAAGGCCGGTGTGCTGTGAAACCCACTCCAACTACGTTTACATAGTGGATTCAAACCTACCAGAGTGTCATCTTCATCCATTGTAAGGTAATCCTCACTGCCCTCCACAAACAGAAGGGCCGTGACTTCTTCGTGGTTCTCCTTTATGCCGTACTTTTTTACAAGACTGTCATCCGCATTAAACGTGTTTGCAGCGACAAGATACTAATCCTTATTTTTCCTTCACAGAACCACCTTTTTACTCGATCCAAATGCGTAGACAGTGTACTGGATGTCCCAAAGTTGCTGTCCACACTTATGACAATCACTTGTGTACCAAAAAGCCAGAACCGACATTTTCGCATCGAGCATCGGCTTCAACGTACCCTCCGTCAGTCGATTCAATCCGCTGCACGATGAGAGAGACTATTGGAGTGTACTCAAAAATAAATTCGGATAATGCTACACTCAGCAGGAAAAATGAAATCAGCAAAAAGCGAGCCATTTTACAATCAAATTTGCTAGAAATGCCAGTGCTCTTCCCCTTTTGGAATTCCAAAATTGGGTGACATCAAACAATTTACAAAAAATGCTTTAATACACAATAGATCTCAGTTGATTTCTTTCTGGACGCTTTCGGCTTGATCAAATTCACCGACTGGAACTGAGAGCGCACAGACTTCATAAAGGACGGAAACTCCTCTCCCTGCAGAACCTTCAGCACGACAGAGCAATCCTTCTTTGCCACTCGCTTCGCGAATTCGATTACGCTTTCACACATATCGATCTGCTTTTCATGGTCGATCGAGTGATCTCCAGAGAAATTGGGAGCGATGTCGCTGATCACGACGTCCACCCTGCGGTTGTCGATGTAATCCTCCAGTTTGCAGCGAGCACTTTCGGACATGAAGTCACCACACAGAAAGTGGACTCCGGTAATGGGCTCGATATCCAGCAGATCGATAGAAAACACGGAGTGGGGAATCGTTATCCCCACACGCTCCACCGCATACTGAGACCATCCTCCAGGAGCAGCGCCTACATCAACCACGATATTTCCTTCCCGAAACACATGGAATCTCTATAGCATTCATTCCTCATTATAGAAAAGCAATACTTCATCTATTTCCTTCAACTTGTACACTGCACGCGATCGGTATCCTTCTTCCTTTGCCTATATTATATAAAAGGGAATGTAATGCAATGCAATTACCATAATTGTATAGGGATCTCGCAGCTGACGATCTAACCAAATCGTGGACGAGTGCGATTTCCCCTTCTGGCGCAAGTAGTCCTTTTTGATGTTACGCGCAGAATACTTGTTTTCTCCATTTCGTGCAGCTTTGGGGAAAGCCGTCTTAAATGTTGTAAATTGCCTTAGAATTGTGTGTCTCCATCCATTGTAGCAGGAATTTCGGAGGATTGTTGGAAACATGTGAATAGTTTTGAGTCTACTTTCTTTTTCTCTTCTTTCAAATCGAAGTCTTGATACATATTATACACAATCCACAATAATCTCTATCCATTTGACTGCTCTAAAAAGGAACTATCGTGATAAAACCGCGGTGATGGCTCAAGTTTGATCGGCAATTTCACTCAAACCAGCCAGCATTATGAGTTCAGAGTTGGACATTCGGTAATACTCTAATTCATAGAGACGGTGATGTGCTTGATGACCAGTTTGACGAAGAGATGCGCGCTTATCAGAATACGTTAGCCAAAAAGCGTGAACCTATAAAGAAAGATGTTGTAAGTATTAGGAATAGACGATTAGTGCGATAGAAAGGACTCGAGAGCGCACTGGAAGAGATGGACGATCACTTAGACTGGAAGGAGACCTTAGACATGTCTGTAGATTTAGGAGAGGTGGATAATGCGAATGACGATATTAAGAGAGAGCTTGCTTTGTAGTTTTTATTAGAAGTTGTTTAGATGTAGCTACGAAGCATCGGTGAAGGCCGTGATGGATGGAAGAAAGAAACTAAAGGAAAACGGAATTCCCTATCTGCGTCCTGACGATTATCTCGCGGAGATGGTAAAAGACGACAAGAAAATGAAGATGATCGAACAAAAGAAGACTGCCATCGAAGAGGAAAAGCGTCAGAAACTTCGAAAGATCATCATTCGCAACAAGAATAAAAAGCGAAGCAATCGCAAGAAATACTCCCGACGATAACGTTCCCCCGCTCTGTTTTCTCTCAAACACACCAAACGACATCAAACTACTTCTTCACCTGCACATTCTTCAGCTCCATCGGCGATCCGCTAATTCCCTCTCTCTCCCGAATCACCGCCTCGATCTGCTTCTCCAGCTTGGTGGCCAGTGCTTTGGTGGCAGTGCTCCACTGACTCACTCTGCACTTCTTCGCATAGGCCTTGAGAGATCGCGCTACGGGATACGCGAGTTCCGGGAAGGCGACATGTCGCTCATACAGCTTGAAATAATCGGCCAGCAGCGCGATGGCCTTGGAAATGACCGCGTCCTGCACGGGCCGCGACGCCAAATAGGTCTTGGGGATGCGAGTGAGGAAGCGGACATCGGGCGGCTTGGCGGTGGTGGTGGATTTGGCGAGGAACTTGTCGTTCTCGATGAGGTCGAGGAGCAGCGGAGCGACCGGAATGAACACGCCGGTGGCCGTGATGAGCTGGAGATAGAGCTCCACGCAGTGCAGACGCAGAGGGTAGTAGCGAGCCGTGGGGATCAGCGTGAGCGTGCTGTCGATGACCTGGACCAGCGGGTAGACGAGAGGCTGGAAGGCCTCTTTGAGGGAGGGCTGGCAGACCATGTAGGTCCACAGACGAAGACAATTCACGAATTGCCAGTTGTACACGAGGTGAATGCTGGGAAGTCAACAGGAGAGGGGAAGCGCCTACTCTTGCTCTGTCATCGATGTCGTGGCGTTGCGAACGTGAATGGCGAGCTGGCGAATGTACACGAAGGCGTGCTGGTAGGCAGACACGGGATCCAGAGCATAGAGCTCGGTTACGCAGTTACGCATCACGGTGAACGACTCGTGGGTGGATTCCGAATACAGTTTGCAACTCTTCACAAAGGCGAGGTAAATATTCTACAGCCAATTACTTGTCGCTAAAAAACGATCTACTTTCATCGTAGGTTCCAGCAGATAAGAATTCTGCATAACCAACTTTCGCAAGGTTAAAAACGCATTCAATTGAGTTTTCTATGACTCACTATCCCAAAATAGAATCATACAGGATCCTCTGTATTTGACCACTCCTTGATGAGGAAACGCATATATTTTGTTGCCTCCTTCTTGGGCATCTTCTTAGATTTCTCTTCCTCCATGATTCAGTGATTCTCAATGGGTGGTTCGTTCAGAAGTGATTCTCAGAGAGAAAGGCGGAAAAACGGGAATGGCGCAAAGTTGCCACGAATTTTGACTTGATTCATTCAATCTTCCGCGGGCGTATGCAGCGATTCCTCACTCTTTTCAATTTGCACCCCATACTTTAACACACAAATACGCGATTTAGAAATCCACAAACCATTCATTTCTGTTTTGTCCAGAATAAATAGTTTTGGTCGTTTATACTAATATGGATCAGGCAGATCACAGTTCAAATCAAGGAGTAGGTTTCTTACTTGAATCGGTTAGGTTGCAGGTACGAGAATCTGGCTCTACTCAGGATAGCCATCGTGATGAGAAAGAGCGGTAATTTCCGCGGAACGTCTTTTTATTGGTAGTAGTCGCGATTCCAAAAGAAGTAGCTCGCGGCGACACGATCGCAGTTCGTCTCGCCACCGAAGTCACAGAAGACACAGCAGAAGCAGAAGTCGCAGCCGTGACTCGCATAGACGCAGCGGGCGTTCTCACAGTCACCGCGATCATCGCGACCGCGACCGTAGCCCACCCCATAGAAGCAGAAACGATTCTCGCCGCAGAGGAGACGATGAAGGAAATGAAGTAATTTGCTGCTTGTTTTTTCTCTAAAATGGCAGGAATCGCTGACTCGTGATATTCGCACAGTGTTTGTCTCGGACCTTCAAGTCAAGGTCGATGAGAAGTGGCTTCGTCACTATTTCGAGCAAGCCGGAACGGTACTTTCTATCAAACGTCTCCATCCTCCAGGTCAAATCGATCAAGCTCATCCGCGACCGGTACTCGAACCGTTCGAAAGGCATGGGGTACATCGAGATGGCGACGCAGGAAGACGCCGCCAAAGCGCTCATGCTGAACGGTCAGAAGATGTGCACGAAGCACAAAGCGTGCAACTGCAGCGGTTTCCCGATGAAGGTGAAGCGCAGCGAGGCGGAGAAGAACTGGTCGGCGATGAAAGAGCGCGCGCCGCCGAAGATCCAGCCCTCCACGATCCGCGTCTGCAACCTCCACCCGCAGCTCACGCGTCCGAACCTCATCGAGGTGCTCTCTCTCTTTCTCTCTCTCTCACGCTCAGCTCTTCGAAGCGTTCGGCGATGTGGACAACGTCACGATGGATCTCGACGAGCACAAGCAGTTCAAGGGCAGCGCCAACATCAAGTTCCGCCGGCCTGGTCGCTTCGTTCTCTCCCTCTCACCGCTAGAAAGCGCCTCGCGCGCCGCGACGCGCATGGACGGACAGGTCTACTTCGACCGGAAGCTCAGCGTGCAGCTGCTGCAGCGCAGCGGGCGGAACTGGAAGTACGAGGACCGCGAGGACAACATCATTCTGGACCCCAGCCGCCGCTCGCTGATGATGCGGCACATCGCGGAGAACAAGAACGACCCGACGCTTCTGGACACGATGAACCAGGTGAATAACCGCGGGCAGATCGCTGTGAGGGAGAAGGGTGGAAACGAGGCGTAGAATCCGGCGGGGGCGGCGAAGCCGACGATCGAAGGCAACGCGAGCAACTGCCTGGTGCTGCATAACATGTTCAACTCGGCGATCGAGCAGGGCCCGCACTGGGATATCGACATTCAGGTGGGCGAGAGGAGGAGGAGATGATGAGTAGGAGGATGTGCGGACGGAGTGCCAGAAATATGGGGCGATTTTGCACTGTTTTGTGGATAAGAACTCGAGCGGCGATGTCTATCTGATGTTCGATAATATGAATAGCTGCCAGAATGCGGCGAACGATATGAATGGACGGTGGTACGATGGAAGAGTGGTGCAGGTGTCCTATATGCCCAGCGGAGAGTATGTGAATCGATTCCCTGATACGCGTCGGGCCGCTTCCATTGCCTATGCGAATATGGCGAATGCTAATTGAGGTGTTTGTTGGAATAAAGGAATCAGTGAGTGGGTGGGAGAATAAAATGAAAGTGAGAGATTTGGAAAAAAAGACTTTGAATGATTGGATTGCAATAAATAGTAGAGGGAGTGTGGATATTAAAGATAGAAAAGGGAAATACAACACGATGAAGAAATGGACTGCAAATCGTCATCAAAACGCGAGATACAGGAATAGACGATGTGTTTATGCAATATTCCGAAGAAAAAAATAAACAATCATGAATTCAATATACCTTGCTTCTCATGGTGTCAACAGCGCTTGGATTCAAGAGTGTACTGTATTCCCTCTCATGTTTTCAACAAAGAAACCGTACTGCTTAACCAACTCCCCATCCCTCTTCCAACAAACACTTCCAACGATAAGCCTTACAGTTCCTTCTTTGTATCCTTGTCGAGCGCATACTCGATCCACGACCCATCAAAAACCGCACAACTACCCTCCATCATCTCCCTCGCGCCTACCTATCCAGCGGCCGTCCCAGCAAATGCATCGCAAACAACCCCACACACGCCGACAATCCATAATCGCAGCTACGCCTCACCTCTCCGCCCCGCAGCCCACCTGAAAATCATTTTCTCCGGCTCCCCGATGATAACGCCGTGCTTTTCAAAGATGGCGCGCAGCTCCGTGGGGTTGCGGATCATGTAGTTGTTGTATGGATCCGTCAAATAGTGGAAGGGAACGTTCACCGCCCCGGGAATGTGCCCCTTGGGAATGCCCGCGATGGGGACGCGGCAAGTGCCGTGGAAGCAGCAATCGCGTCGCATGTCGACAACGGAACGCTTGGTGATTCCGTTCTCGTAGTCCTTCACGCGCTGCTTCACATCGGCGAGAGAACAAACAATGTTGAAGTTTTCATCGATATTAAAGGAGCCTCGCTTTTCGCACGTCTTCGCCGGACCCGTTTCGATGGGGTATTTCTCCGTTTCCCACCGAGTAATGCCGCCATTCATGATATGCACGCGAGCATTTCGATTAAATACTTGGAACATAAACCACACTCTTGCAGAGCTGTAGAGACCTTGAGAGTCGTAAAGGACAATGTCGTCGGTGTCGCTAATACCGAGAGTTTCCATCGCTTCCTTAAACTGGGCTTCAGTGGGAAGCGTTTTCAAAAGCGGTCCCTGAGCGGTACATAACTGAAGAAGGTCCAGATACTGGGCGTTGGGAAGTCTCTTCTGAATGTAAGTCACGATAAACAAAAAAACGGTCATAAACTCAGTCTTTGCATTCTTTTTGGGAGTAATGTGTCGTGTGGTGTCGAGAATTTTCACAGAGCCAAGACGATTAAATACCCACTCTGTTGACACAAGACCTGCCCTTAAAAACAGAAAAAAACACTCACTGGGATTGGAAGCATAATAGCTGATTGGTCGTGCAAGGCTAGAGCAAGCTGTTCTGGTAATGCACCTAAAAGCCAACATACAGAATTGAGGGTAAAAGTATTGGGGAGAGACAGAAATGAAACCCCTCCCATTGCTTCCTTTTGCTTTGTGTTGATTGTGAATGAATAGACAGCGAATCGATTTGCAAAATGCAGGGTAGGCTAGTTTGCGCGTCATTTTGAACCTGAACAAGGAATGTGAGAAACTATCGGCCGTCTTAGTATTTTCCCTGTCTACGCAAATAAATGTTCTTTGCATTCGTGATTATTCATTCCTATTTGTCAGTATTCACTTTACTAATAAAACTCCTTTGTGCTTTCATTTAATATTCGTTCATGGAGGCAGATATCGATATTCCAGAACCCACCTTAAACCACATTATCAATGCGTCGACTTTAAAATGGTATTCGTGCGCCTGTGTGAATTCATTTGTAGGATCTTTGTGGGAGGAAAAGGAGGTGTTGGAAAGACAACCACTTCGTGTTCTCTTGCGTATCGCTTGAGTGAAAAGGGGAAAAAAGTGTTGCTCGTTTCTACGGATCCTGCTCACAATTTAAGGTATGTGCATTTGAATTATTCGAATCGTAGTGATGCGTTCAAGCAGAAATTTACGAGTCATCCTACAGCGGTGAACGGATTCACCAATTTATTCTGTATGGAGATCGAATCCAATCCTCAAAATGGTATTCTATTCCGCTTCGTAGTTATTTGCAGATTTTAAGAAGTTCTTGCGACTTCCGGAAGTAAGTGATGAAACAAGTTCGAAACTGGGTGATTTGCTGAACTCTGTATCGTCCCAGCTTCCAGGAATCGACGAAGCCATGTCGTTTTCGCAGCTCATGGAGCAAGTCCAGAACATGGAGTACGATGTCGTTGTTTTCGACACAGCGCCCACTGGACACACTCTCCGTCTTCTGTCCTTCCCCACCATCATCGAGAAGTCCCTGGACAGCATCAACAGCCTCAAGTCGTCAATGGGCAACATGCTCAGCCAGATCACCTCGTTGTTGGGGAACCAGGGTCCCAGCCTCGACGACCTCATGGACAAGTTCTCTGTGATGAAAGAAACCATCCACAAAGTGTCTCTACGCTTCAAAAACCCCGCGGAAACGACGTTTGTGTGCGTGTGCATCCCGGAGTTTTTGAGCGTTTACGAAACGGAGCGACTGGTTCAGCAGCTGTCAAAGTACGGAATCAACGTGAACTCGGTCGTGATCAACCAGGTAGGGCGCGAGGGAGGGCGTGGGACGGAAGGTGGTGTTTCCGGACAAGGATTGCGCGTGCCGGAAGTGCATAGCGCGGCGGAAGATGCAGGACAAGTACATCACGCAGGTGTTCGATCTGTTCGCGGACTTCCATATCTTGCTGGTGCCGCAGCTGACGGACGAAGTGCGCGGCGTGGAGAGCATTCGGGAGTTCTCGCAGATGCTGGTGGAGGAGTACAATCCGGAGGAGCATGGGGAAATGTTGGAAGTGGAATGGAGTGTTTGTTGAATGAAACGAGGATGGAAGAGTGGGGTGGCAGAGGAAGAGAATGGTAGGGAGTGGAGTGGAGTGGAGTGGAATGGAGTGAAGAGAAGAGAGGCTAGGAATAATAGAGTGGTGTGGAGAGAAGAGAAGAGAAGAGAAGAGAAGCTGGGAATAAAGTGAAGTGAAGTGAAATGACTAGAATTCAGTGATGTTGATGGATAAGTGAACGTGTGTGGATTGAGTCACATCGAATCCTACCAAGAGAAAGAACCAAAACGAACCCAATGCGAATCGTCATCTATCCATCCATCACAATTCATTCATCCCTCTTTCCATTCACCCTTCCAACATGTCTCAAAACAAACAACCAGCAACGTCAATCTTCATTCTATTCTACATAATGGTACAAGTCAAACTCTACGCTTCACTCTCTCTCTCTTCACTCACTCCATTTCCTTCAATAGGCGTGGAAATACTTGCAGAAGACCCTCTTCTCCTTTCTCGATTCAACCACGACGCCACTCGACTCTTCGGAGCGATCAGAACGTTCAGTGAAGACAGTGTCGGCTGAAACGATGTCACTGATGTTTCAGCTTCGTCACTCGGCGCGATCGGAGAACTATGAAAACAGTCAGTTTTTTCGCTGATTAACTGGGAAACGGGCTTTTCTTCTACCCATAAACAACACAATTCGATCTTGCCTTGTGGCTTTCGTGTTTCCTTTTCTTCCTGTCTTAAAAGTCGTGTGACTAGCGAATCAATCAAACGGCAAGGGAGTACTATTTAAATTGGGAACTAATCGATGAATGGCACACGAAAGAGGCCAAAGATCCGTTAAAGGGATGAGAGAATACAAGTCGATAAAGTAAAAAAAGTAGGCAAGACTATCAAGAAAAGCTGTGTCCATCTTTAAATCTTTCAGTGTGTTAAGATGGCTGTGGTAAATGTGCGCATAGATAAGGAAATAGCGTTTCACGACGCTTTTCACCGTATTCACATATCGACGAGGAAAAATGCTATCTGCGATTCACTATTTGTATTCAGTCGTACTTTTGTCTGATGGGAATAAACTCTCTTTTTCAAGCTGCTTCGAAATCCATTGGATGAGGAAATCGATATAGGTTTTAGCTGGCAGACTGGTAACCGTTTTGTAACGGTAATGATCGACCCATACGTATTCAAATCTAACTCTCAGCTAACGATTGATAAAAAGCTACTGATCACCAGCAGACATATAGGGGCATGAAAAATTTGTGCAATAATCTTGGACGGCGCCATAAAGCACATTGATATCATTAAAAAAGAACACTACTATGAGTCATTTCCCACACAAATAAAGACAATGAATGACTATCCACTGGTTACTGTCTTCGTATGAAGGGCAGATTACCGCTTTATCGTAAGTTTCCCTAAGTTCAAGATGCTTGAGAATGATACTTTTCTAACTTTTCCATTAACCTCATGTGTAAACCTTCTTTATAGGATCCCGCTCCATAAGAAAGGATCTTGTAATAGGGTTTTACCTTCATTATCGCTTTACTGTTTCGCAAACGGGACACAATACAAACTCTGGCTTAAAGAAAAACAGAGAAAACAAAGCAACACAGAATGTTACCCGCAATAAACTTTTCACTTGCGTAACACATGCTTTTTCTCCAAATCGAGCAGTTTCCCGCGGTAACTAGTTCTTTGTGTTTTTCTTGACTAATTAACGAACAGAATAGGATTTATATAATAAACAAAGTACTGAATATCGAAACATAATTACTGGTACTTGCGAGAAGGAAGGGTACTGTGTTTAAAGTGAAGTATCAACCTTACTGAGATATCATCTTCTTGATTTGACTGTAATAAAAGGAATCTTCATCCGCAGCATCTACAGTACTCTCTTGGTCATTCAAGGATGATTGCTCCTCTTCCGAGCTCTCGTCGCTTTCTATGACTTCTTCACTTTGCATTTCCTCGATTTCCTCTAGAGAAAAGAGAATCAAAGGAACTACTCTTCAAATTTTTATATTTGTTAATTATAAGGAAGGCAGCGAAAATTATTTTTACATATATCGAAGAAAGGATTTCTACAATGAAAAAGATTGAAAAAAGGGAACTTGACAAGGACTTGCCCCATTTAAATAGATGCTTTATTAGAATGCGAGAAAATAAGAATTGATTTTCAGCCTTGTCTTTTTGTGATTCACCTTTTTCTTCGAGCGTAATATTTGGGGAAAATGACTCGGTAGACGATGGTGAGTTGTCCTGAGGTTTTATGGACGGATCTTCATCGAAAGATGGTTTTGATTCTTCAACCGTAAAGTCAGGATCCTGTTCATTCAATTCATTCAACGTCGTCGTCGAAGCAGAAGCAGAAACATCGCTCTTTTCTCCCTTTTCTTCGTGATCCACAGAATTGAAATCTTTTTCACTCTGATTTTCTACAGTACGTGAAGGCAATTCAAGTTCAACATCCGATTCAGATGCAGACTCATTGTCATGATCACTCTCATCATTCACTTCACATTCAGGTTCAATTCCTTTTTCATTTTCTTCAATCACATCCTTGTTTTCATTTTCTTCAATCACATCCTTGTTTTCATTTTCTTCAATCACTTCTACTTCAGTTTGCTCCTTTACTTCATTTTCTTTCTCTACATCTTTCTTCTTTTTTCCTTCTTCTTTTATCTCACATTCAATCACCATCTCTCCTACATCTCCTCCTTCCATTTCATTCTCATTTGCCTTTGTTTCTACTTTGCTTTGATTCTCTTCCACCAATTCATCTACCTTCACTTCAACCTCTTTTTTAATCGTTTCATTTTCATTTTCATTCTCTTCTTTTACCTCACATTCAATCTCAATCTCTTTATTCTCTTCATTCACCTCTATTTCAATCTCATTTCTAGTTTCATTCTCATTCAAATCGATTTCAACTTCAATCACTTTGATTTCATTCTCATTTTGCTCTTCGTCTGCTTTTGTTTCTGTTTCTGTTTCTGTTTCTGTTTCTGTCTCCTCAACTATCAAATCGTTTTGATTTGCTTTCATCTCTATCGAATTATCAATCACTTCTTCCTTCTCTCCAATTCTCCATTCTCCAGTTTCTCCTTTTTCTTTCAGCGTCTCTTCTACTTCTCGTCTCATCGCAGCCTCCATATTCCTCGCTCTTTTCATTTTCTCGTTCAGATCATCGAGTTGATTTGTGATGAATTGTTTTGTTTTCAACGCTCCCCTCTTCATTCCAACAACAAACGGACTATTCGAATAATCCATTTGAAGAGATGTGAATTGGTCACGGTAATTCAGAATCACAAAAATCGATCCAACACTACACAAAACAAACACCAACAAAATCATCCAAAAACTTATCGATGAAGTTGATTCCATTTCCTTTCTTTCTTCAGCGTCATTCTCATTCTCATTCTCATTCTCACTTTCGTTTTCGCTTTCACTTTCACTTTCATTTTCATTTTCATTTTCATTTTCACCTTCTCTTTCATTTTCATTCTCTTCTCTTTCTTGTTTCTTTATCGGAACATGACGCTTATCCATTCGATTCTCCAAGTCTTTCACTGCGTCGTATTGAACATGCAGTCGCTGCGAGAGCTGCTGGGGAAACTGCCCTGCGATTTCCAGAGAAAGCATCGCGTTCAACAGAGAAAGCAAGCGATAATAAATGCAGAAAATGTGGTTCAAGTCCCACTTCAGAAACACATCGATGCAGTCCATGATGAACGAAAGAACATCCTCGCTGCTTCTTTTACTTTCTAGCAGAGTAAACAGAAGCGTAAACGATTCGCTATCTCCCGGACACTTTTCAAATACTAACTTCAGCAATTCTTTAGCAGCTTCAAAAAGAGCCTATTGTTCATGCATCTCTTCATTCATACAGGATTCTCACAAGTAAGACATTGACTTAATCCAAAACGGATTCTTATGAATTCGCTACTAAACTGATTTCCACAATCTCGAACAATAGCTGTAAATATTTGTATGTAAAGACACGTGCGACTATAGTCATGTTCATTTAGACTATCGTAGAACAATTTCTGATTGTAAAATATATTTTACAAAGCATACTTCGGAAAGGGTGCATAAAGAAACGATGTCTTCGCTACTACCTTTTTTTGAAATTTGCGAAATGATCGTATGTAGCTCTTCCATTAACGGATCTATCGATGCAGCATCCCTTAGTCCTTGAATTCTGTTGAGAATGTCGCTGAACTACGTGAATAGGCAATTGAATCAATACCCTTTTTAATAGGCTGTCACTACTGACGTTTTCCTGCATAGAATGAAAGAAGAAACAAAGTAAACCTGCAAAAAACAGATTTCTTTGTCTGACAAAAATCCCTGCTATTTTTCTATCAATACTTACCTTCATTTTGAGTCCCTGCTATATCATGGGTGCAAGCCAATCTTCCTACGAAGACGAGAATATAGATAATGTGGAATCTGAAGAAAAGAACGAGGAATGGTCAATCACGGTATCTTTTCTGTACATTCTAATGAATTCAAGGTCAGTGAAGCATTATCAAACAGAATTCACGATTATGTGCAGGAACAATTGAACAATTCTGAAACGGAAGAGGAGGAAGGGGAAGAAGACGAGGAAGAGGAAGAGGAAAATGAAGACGAGGAAAATGAAGATGAGACGGTCGAAGGGGATTCTACAGCAACTCCAGGCTTAATGTCATTTATGTATTGCATATTTTGAGTTGGCTTATCAATAGGAATAATCTGGATGATATGCTGTCGGGTGGTATTGTATTTGTTTTCTTTCCATGTTAATTGTAGCCTGAACGTACCGAAGAGGAGAAAACCCAGGATAATCTGTATCTCCTACTAATTGTACTAACGAAATAGAAATGATATCATGAAGAAAAACGAGGAGGGCGAGTCAGAGGAATCGGAGTTGATGCATGAAGCTGAAGAAAGCATGAAGAGTGCCGAGAAGTTGCTTGTGGCTGAGTTTGTTCATTCAATTCATATGATTTGATAGTCACTTGAAGGAGAGACCCTGTGAAGTGGAAATGAATCTTTTCTCAGAGTGTTTGACCAAGGGAGAGGCTTGCTCTGAACTAGAGGAAAAGTATTTCGAGTGTGTCCAGTCTTCTAAGTAATTTATTTGTTTATAAAGTATTTTTGTTTGCCATGCCAATCACTTCTCCTTTGTTACAAATTTTTTGTTGGGTGAAATGACTGAGGAACAGCAGAAAGTTGATAATCCGTCAAAAGACGATCTGTAGCTTAGAGTGGAAGTTTGCTATGTGTTAGATTGGTATCCTTGCGGTCGGAGTATTCTCTCTTGCTTTCTGAAGTCCAGGAAGTACTGTTGGAAAAATGAAATAATGGATTAGTTGGAGAAAGTAAATTACCTGTGTATGTTAGAGATTTGTTCTCTCAACTGTGAAAAGGATTTTCTACTGTCTTCACTCGATGAAATTGATGCTCTGATCCTAAAGAAGCAGGAGGAAGCCATCTCAAAGAGCACAGCTGCTCCTTCCAAGCGACCCAGTACCCCAACCAAGCCAGAAAACCATAAACGACAAAATACTCGATATGAAAATCCCACCCCAGAAACAGCAGATCACCCACAGCCAATTTCCATTATAGATGTTTCTATCTGATTTGGTTTTCAAATTATAGAAACAAGTCTCCATAAAAGATGAAGTTGTTAACCCACCCAGTGTGGAAATCCCTGTACCCCTTGCTTTCTCTCTCTTATAGCAGCGTCCTAATCTCTACGCGCAGCAATATCCATATCAAATCCATCCTTCCATGCCCTATCCATTCATCCCGTTTTTATCATCATTCTCTTCCATGTAGGGTCTACACCAACCAAAACACGCAGTTTATGCAGGTGGTTCCCCACTACCCTTCCGACACGAACACCTCGCGCTTTTCCCAGCTGCCTCCTCAAGCCACTTACCCACTTCTCCCACAGACCTCGCCGTTCTTCGTTATGAACTCGCCGCGGGGAATCCCAGGGCAGGTGGTCGACCGAACGAGAGAGCTGCAGAATCCATATATGGCGCTGAATCTCCCAGGAGGGAATTCGCAGCCGAACACTCCATACATGACGTGATTGTTTGATGAAGGATGTTTGTTGCAACAAACAAGCAATTGTTTGGCCTTAGCGGCTTCTTGCTGCTGTCGGCGGATTTCGATCATCTAGAGGTCACAAATCACAAAAGCACGAACTCTTTGAAGAGGGACGAGCTGGTCCTCGATGGACATCGCTTGGGAACGAATCGTTTTTATACTGCCGCTCAACATATTTGCTTGGTTTGTGAAGAACGTCGTGGCATCTTCAACGGTCTTTTCCACAACATATCCAGTTCCGACTGACACATAAACGTGATCTACATTATCTAATTTTCCGGGAATTAAGATGTTTGAAGACACTGGAATCAAAATATCGTTTTCTACAATATAATGGCATTTTGAGCACAAAATCATACCCTGGTTCTGGGGCTTCATGCAGCCAAGCGCTTCAATCGCCTTTTCTGCCTTTTCGTTCGTATCTTGCATAGTAGTAAGCATTGAGACTAGCTGTTCTCTCCTCTACTTGTCAGCAACAACTCCAATAACAGTACAGAGAGCAACATCTGATTCATGCTCTCTAGTTGGGGAAGACTATAATCAGCCGGATTGATGACTTTCGCAACAGGCTGTGGTTCTACGCCTCACCCACTCTCCGCAGTGCAAACCAGACATAAGAATAAAACCGGATGTGGCAAACAAACAATCCACAAAGCCTCCTCCTCACTATCCTCACTTTCACTCTCCGATTTTGGCGTCGCCGCTGCAGCTCCTCTCCTTCCGAACAGCGACAGCTTCTTCGGTTTTTCCTTTGCGGGCGCGGCTGCAGGCGCTGCGCCTGCTGCAGCTTTCATTTTTTCGTTCTTCGCCTTCAGCAATTTGCACTTCGCCGTCAAGTCTTTAATCTTCTCCAAATGCTGCTTGCTCTCCTCCTTGCGCTCCGCCTTCTCCTTCTCCAGCTCCGTCGACAGCTCCTCGATCTTCTCCTCCATCTGCTGCGTCGTTTCCTGCATCGACGCGATCTGCTCCAGTTTGAACGTCACGATCTGCATGTTCTGCTCGTTCTCTTCCTTCATCTGCGCCAGCTCCGCCTTCAGCGACGCGTTTTCCTACATTTCGCTTCCTTTTCTCCACTCCTACAGCGCGCAGCGCTTCCTCCTCCGCCGACGGACCCGCCGTAGAAACCGTGGAAACCGTGGAAACAGCGGTGGGAGCCGGAGCCACCGCGGGGACTTCGATGGCGGTGAAGTCGCCGAGGTCGCCAAAGTCGTCGAAGTCGTCCTTCTTCGCCTCCTCGGCGCCCGCCGCTTCTTCGCCTGCCGCTTCTTCGCCGGTGGGAATTCCCGCGAAGGGGTCGATCATCATGGCCGAGGAGAATCCGAGGTCCGGCATGGCCTTCGCCTTCTCCTCCATTTCCTTCTTCTGCGCCTCCAGGCGGCGTTTGCACTCCTCTTTCAGCTTCGTCAGCTGCGTCTGCGCCGCCGTCTGCAGCTGCGCCAGCCGCGTCGCGTTCTCCGCCTGCGTCTGCGCCAGCGCGGCCTGGTGCTGCGCCTCGAGCTCCTTCCGCTGCGCCTCCAGTCGCTGCGCGAACTCGGCTTCGGCCTCCTGCTGCGCCTTTTTGAGGTCGTTTTTCATGTCCTTGCTGGCGGAGGAAAGCGCGTCTTCCTTCTCCGCGAGCATCGACTTCTTCTCTTTCTCGAAGTCGGAGGTCATCTGCGCGCGCTCCTTCTCGTACTGATCGATGATCCGCTTCTTCTCCTTGTCGTTCTCGTTCTCCATTTCTTCGCGTTGCTTCACGAAGGAATTCTGCAGAGCGATCGCCTCCGCCTCCATCTTCTCCTTCTCCTTCTCGAACCGCTCGATCTCCGCCTGCTTCTCCGCCTGCACCGCTTCGATCTGGTCCAAGCAGTTCTGCTGGATGTTCCGCATCTCGTCGCGCACCTCCGCCACCGTCGACGCTCCTTTCTTCGTCAGCGTCTAAATCGAATCGAACCGAACTCGCTGCCCCACCTTCAATTCTAACTGCAGATCCTTCTCCTTTTCTTCCAGCATTTCCACTTTCTTCTTCAGCTCCGCGATCTCGGCGTCCTTCGACTCCATGCCGCCTTCCCAATCTTTGCGCTGCTGCAACAACTCGATCGATCGCTGCTCCGCCTGCGAACGCATCGATTTCTCCTGCATCAGCTCCTATCCCTCACGCACCGAATCCATTGCCACTTTCTCCTTCTCCATTTGCTGCTCCTGAACGACGCGCGAAGCCGCCAACGCCGATTCCACGCGTCGATTCAATTCCTCGATGGCTTCCTCCTTCTCTTCCTTCTCTTTCTGCACGGCGCGCGTTCGCTCATTCGCATCATTCAACTCGCGACTCAGCGACTCCACACGATTCGCCAATCGCTCTTCCTTCTCGCGATTCAGCTTCACTTCCACCTCCATTTCCTCCTTCACCTTCGTCGTTTTCTCCTCTTCTTTTGCTAGTTCTTGCTGCATGATCGCGATCTGCTCGTTCAGAGCGGAGATTTGGCCCTCGTAGTTCTGCCGAACCTCCGCGATGTGTCGCTCTTCGTTCTCCGCGGCCGAGCTGCTTCCCGTCAGTCTCGCCTCCTCCACTTCCTTCTTCAGCTCTTCGGTCTGCGATTCCAGCGCTTCTTTCTACGCCTCATTTGCTCCTTTTTGCGGTGTACCGCTTGCTTGGTGGTTTCTAACTCGGCTCGAACCATATCCAGCTCGATTTTCAACGCTTCGCCCTGCGTTTTCACGCGGGCTTCGATGCTTTGCTGCAAGTCCTTGTAATCCTGGTGCGATCGGAACAAGTTCTGCTCCAGCTTCGTCTTCTCTTGCAGGATTTGGTTCAGTCGCCCTTCGGTTTGCTTCAGCTCGGCCTGTGTGGCGTCCAGATTGCGCTGCAGAACTTTCATTTCCACGCTGTCCAGCACGTCGTTCGAGCTCGCAGCTGGCTGGTTTCGAACCATTTCTTGCAGAGCGCGCACTTGTTGCATGGCTTGCTCTTCGGCTGCACGAGCTTCTTCGTGACCGTTAAGAAACGAACACAAAAAAGAGGCTAAAAAAAGAGGATATGAGTTCTTCAACCAATTGCTGCGCCTCCTTCTTTGATTTGCTCTTGGAGATGGCCTTGTTCAGCTTCGCAATCTCCTTATCTTTATCTTTATTATCTCTCTCGAGTTCGTCGACCTCTAGATCGGTGAGAATCTCCGTGGATCGCAACTTTCTTGAAGCAGATTTACATTCTCGCGCTCCTCCTTAAGTTCCTTTTCCAGCTATTGTTCACTAAAACCATAATGCAAGCTACTTCCTTGACTCGGCTGTCATTTCCAGCAGCAGGAGCGGAACGCGCTGCAGCGGGCGCTTTTGGCTTTGGTTTTGGTTCCTCCTCCTCTTCTTCCTCCTCCTCCACTTCCTCGTCATCTGAAACTTCCACCTCCTCCTCCACATACTCAATTTCCTCTCCATTTGAATCTACTTCTACCTCTTCTTCAACGTACTCCACTTCCTCCTCCTCTTCTTCTTCCTCTTTCTTTTGCTTATTTCCAAATTTCCATGGAGCCATGGTCGGTTCTGCAAACGAATCTACATATCCATGAGAACAATGGCAGACAAAACGAATCCCTACAAAAAACAAATTAAACGACTGGGAAATCTGTAGAAAAACAAGGATCATTTCATCTACGATATCTCCCGACTTTCTGGAATTCCCAAAACACCTCCCAAAACACCTGTTTCAAACAAAACAACAAGTACAAGCTTAATATCCATAGCCATAGCTCTGATCGTATCCGTAGCCCTGATCATAGCCCTGATCATAACCACCCTGATCATATCCATAGCCCTGATCATATCCACTCTGATCGTATCCATAGCCTTGATCATAGCCATATCCCTGATCATATCCATATCCTTGGTCATATCCACTCTGGTCATATCCGTAGCCCTGATCATATCCATAGCCCTGATCGTATCCCTGATCATATCCATAGCTCTCATCGTACTGCTCAACGGGCGCGGCGGGAGCTTTCTTCGCAGGCTTGGCGGGCGCCTTCTTGGCGGGCTTGCGAGGCGCGAAGTCCTCCTCCTCCTCCTCTTCCTCGGTCAACTCCACAGGCTTGCGGGCAGGTTTGCCAGGCTTCACGAGACCCTTCTTGGCGGGCTTGCGAGGAGCGAAGTCCTCCTCCTCCTCGTCCTCATCATCGAAGCGGCTCGCCTTCTTGGCAGGCTTGGCAGGAGCCTTCTTGGCAGGCTTACGAGGCGCGAAGTCGTCCTCATCTTCCGAGCCGGAGAGATCCATCATAGGCTTCTTTCCAGGCTTCATTGGAGCCTTCTTAGCGGGCTTGCGAGGCGCGAAATCGTCCTCCTCCTCGGACACTTCCAGTCCACGGCGGCCAGGCTTCATTGGAGGCTTCTTGGCAGGCTTGCGAGGAGCGAAGTCCTCATCCTCCGAGCCGGACAGATCCATCGCGGGCTTCTTCATGTTCTTAGCGGGCTTGCGAGGCGCGAAATCATCATCGTCATCCTCAAAGCGGCTCGCCTTCTTAGCAGGCTTGCGAGGAGCGAAGTCATCATCATCGTCCTCAAAGCGGCTCGGCTTCTTAGCGGGCTTACGAGGAGCAAAGTCGTCGTCGTCGTCCTCAAAGCGGCTCGGCTTCTTAGCAGGCTTGCGAGGAGCAAAGTCGTCGTCGTCGTCTTCGAAGCGGCCACCCTTCTTAGCAGGCTTGCGAGGGGCGAAGTCGTCGTCGTCGTCATCGTCGTATTTGCTGGACTTCTTTCCCTTCTTAGGAACATAGTCGTCCTCGTAGTCATCGTCATAGTCGCTCTTCTTGGACTTTCCACCCTTTCCAGCCCAGATCTGGTCGACGAAACAGTCCTGAATGAACTGCTTCACACCTTCCTTATCACTAGGCTGAGGACGAGGGTTCTTATTCTCATCCCAGCTCTTCAGGTACTTCTTAGCAGCTTTCTATGTATCAATGCTGAGAAATTACACGAACCTTGTTTCCTCCGGTAACTACCAGGTCAACCTCCTCCTTGGTCCAAGTAGCGAGGGTCAGGTGCTTAATGGTGTGGCTGAAAGAACGGCTACAACATGAAACGATACAAACACAGCTCACTGGACTCCACTGCATCCAGTGCACACCAGAGTGAGGAAATCCATCACAAAATACTGAGGACCCTAAAGATAACTCATCGTTGGCAAGGATGACCTTCTGGTTACAAACAAAACAGTTGCGGTTTCCAGCCTTCTTCTGGAACTCCTTCAAACGCTTTTCGAGGGCAGACATACTTCCAAATCTGAGCTTTTATGAACATGAAATTCATCTCCTCCCTTCCATGATAACCGCGGTTTCATGTCATTCCTAAAAATTCGCTTTTTCAACAAACAATAATAATAAACAATTGAAAGATATTACCTCTCAAAAAACCTATATTCGAATTAGATACATATGCTCTTGTCTCAACATCACCATTCTCACACACAACACATCAGTTTGAAGAAAAGATTTCTTTCGTCAGGATTTCAGTTGTCCCTATCTTTTCTATCATCATTCAAAAAGCACTCAATGGAATTCCATTCGCTTCACTGTTCTCCGCATGCTTCGTATACATATACAAAAAAGACCACTGCTAGACAAGCACCGACCAACTCCCTTCATCCACAGTAGTTCTTCCTCATCTTTACCACAAAACTTCGCATAACGAACAGAAGCAGTCAAGGCTGAATGGGACCAAGTGCTTTCTTAGAACTTGCTTATGGCAGACCTCAGAGATCTTGGTTTATGCTCATCACTCAAAAGTCAAGAGTAGCAAATATAGGTAATCATCGGCCGCCTCGATAATATGCAGAGAAATCCATGCTGGAATCAAACTTACCTTTCCTTCTCTCTTTTAAACAAAATTGTGAATAAATATTCATCTCGGTGTCCCCGATTTCGTGATGTCCTAGTATTTTGAGCTATATAAATTGTCTATCCACATTCCGCCGTGTACCATTCTCTCTCGTTTTCTCCACAGAGTCTTTATTCCACACATAGAATAATATGCAGAACGATAAGGGACAGAACGTTGAACTTTACATTCCCCGCAGATGGTAAGGTTATGTACTCTGCGCCTGATTCGTAGTGACTGGACCAACCGTGTCATTGATGCTAAGGACCACGCTTCCGTTATGGTGAAAGGTTTGTGACTTGCTTTATCGTTAGATTAACGTCGCTCGCATTGACCCTGAGACTGGAGTTGCCACTGGACAGGTCGACACCATCTCTCTCGGTGGATACATCCGCTCTAAGGTAATTTGTGTTGGGTCGGAGTAATGTGTAGGGTGAGTCTGATGAGGCTTTCAGAATTCTTGCCAAGGATCTTTAAACGATTCGATCGTCTTGAGCATGTGGAGTGTATTGTTTGTTCGAAACATGGCATTGAATGATATGTTTTAATCATTTAATTGGGTTGTATATGTTGAAGAGGAAACGAAGTGTTAATTCCCATCTACTTTCACAATCAAAATGTTTGGATTAAGAACCGCTGTTAGAGTTACCAATCGAGGACTAGGCTCGGTCTTTCGGTTGTTCAAAGTGCCGATGCGGTCTATTGTTTCCATCCAAAGACCGGAGTATCCTTATGACGATACGGATGACTTGGTGGATGACGAATACTATGAAGTGATGGAAGAAGAAGCGGTTGAAGAGTTAGAGGAAGCAGCGCTGGAAAGTTCGCCTGTGCGCTCTTTTCGTCTCGATTTATGTCTAGTATCGCTACCAACCGATGAACTGGCTGCCCAAGCAGATCCAAGACGATCCATCGATCGCTACAAAGCTTCAAGACTATTACGTAGTTCTTTTTCGGCAAAAGTAATTTCTAGAGACGCTGCGTGAAGAAGCTTCCTCCCACCAAGCGAATGGAGTTCGTAAGAGCGCGTCGTTCGCCTAATCGCTAGTTGTTCTCCAAAAAGATGAATCTACCGGAGATCTGGGATACAGACCTCTTCCCGTTAGCCCCTGTAACGCGTCCTCGCGACATCCCAGCCGACCATTCCGTGGACGTCTGGGTCTCTCCATTCGCTTTCCTTCACCCACAGAGCTACAACGACTGGAAGAACTACGCGCTCTCCGGCTCCACGTACGACCCCAGCGAGGACGAGGAAGCATCGCCCGATGCCATCGCCAACTTCTCCAGCGAGCTGGGTCCGGACCCTCGTCTCGTCCAGAACCTCGATCCCCGCATCCTCCACCGCGCCACCGAGCTCCTCCAGCCGCTCCTCCTCTCCTCCTCCTCCCCCGCGGAACCTTCAGAACCTGAAAAAACCGCGGAACCCGCCTCCGCGCGCTCGGTTCTGTCCAGTACCCTCGAGAAATTCCGTCCGGTGGTGGAGATGGGCATTTCCGAGGCGGCGGACGCGGCGCACGACGTGTTCCGCGTGGAATTCCAGCCGCGCGCGGTCGATTCGATGACCGTCGACGACGCGAAGCGCATCGTGCGCGGGCTTCTTCGCGCCACGGACCGCGCCGCCGCCCAGCTGGCGAAGCAGCTTGCCGCCAACCCGCCGTCCCTCGCCGAGCGACTGGAGAAACGGGCGAAACGCGCGGCGGAGCGCGTGGACTACGAAGCACTTTTGCCGCGCAAAGAAGCCGCGCTGCAAGCCGCCAAAATCGCCGTCGAGGACGCGCAGCGAAAAATCGTCGAGGCTCGCAGCGTCGTCGAGGACGCGCAGCGCAGAGCGGGTCAAGTCAAACGCGAAGCAGACGAAGCAGAGCGCGCCAAGGCCGAAGAGGCGCTGAAAACCGCGGAAACGGCGCTGCGTAGTGCGACGAAACGCCTGGAGCATGCGGTTTTGATGCACAGACAGACGGAACGGTCGCTGGAGCGGCTGAAAAAGGAGGTTTCCGGGGACAAAATCGCGTTTTCGCGGGTTCTTTCGGCGGCGATTCAGGCCTCCGACGTCTCCGATTGGGCCGTGAAAACCGCGGAAAGCGTCGCGCAGAACGGATCGGCCACGCGGGCAGAAATAACCGCGGCCAATCGCGAAGCGGCGCGTGCGACGGAGCGAACCGCGTCGCTGAGTCTTCGCGCGGCCAAATTGGCGGCAAAACTGGTGGAGAGCGAGTCGAGCGCGATCCAGGCGGTTTCGGAGCGAAACGCCCAGGAAGTTTCGAAGCGGATGGAGCGGGAAGGGGAGTTACATCGGCTGCGGCAGCGGCGAAGCGAAGCGAAACGCCTGTCGGACGATCTGGCGAAATGGGCGGCGGTGAAGAAGGCGAGCGCGGACGCGTTTGCCGCCAAATGCAAAGGTGGAAACGAGGAAACCGAGAAGGAGTCGTCGGAGGCGGTGGAAACGGTGGAAATCGAGGATTTGGCGGGTAGCTTCGACGTTGACAATCTTCGTTTGGTTTGACCGATGGGTTGACCGGCAGGGCAGCTGATCCAGAACTACCGCGCGGGCGAAGAAGAGGAGGAAACCCCCGCGACGGTAGGCGAGGGAGGGCGGCGTGAAGCGTAGCGCGCGTTCGACATGGGGTTCACGATCAAAGTGCGGAACGTGGACAAGAAGATGGCGAACATGACGCGGCGCCTCGCCTCCGCGCTGGTCTGCAATGGCACGGAGACGGGCGGGCTGGCCGTGGGCTACGCGAGGGAGGAGAAAGGACCCGACGCGGTGGTGGCGGCGGACGCGCAGTCGGCGCGAAACCGAATCTTTGTGGAGCTGTTCGAAGATAGAACACTGTTCTCGCCGCTGGTCGGGAAGTTCAACCAGACGACGGTGAAGATTCTGCCGGGTAGGGCTGCTGGGCGGGGAGTGTGAGGTAGCGAAGAAAGGGCACGGAATCACGGGGAGCGATTTGATGTATGGACTGCTCACCAGTCTCGGAGTGCAGGATGCGATCTGTAAAGTGTATGGAAATACGAATCCGTTCTCGGTGACGCAGGCGGCGATGAAGGCGCTGTCGCATTGCACGAGCTTGGAGGAGAACGCGATGATTACCGGGCGGAGGTACTTCGATCTGGATTTGATCTACAAGCGATATAAGGGGATGAAATGATGGTTTTAGTTTAGAAATTGTTTGTTGGAAAGGCGATGGACGGGTGAAAATGGTTATTAGGGTCCGTCTCGGTTGTTTGAACAAGGAAAAGAAAAGGCCCTCTTTTTGCATTCCACAACCTATACACATTCTGAATCTATGCCGTCAATACATGGCTAAAATTGGAAATGAAAAAGTGCGGGCGTTTCACTGAGGACACTCATTGGTATAAAACAAATTATTTGTTTGGATTTTCTCTGATTTAAGAACCCTCAGAGAATTAGCAATTATGAGCAAGCTCAACCCTGGAGATATGTCTACGTTTAACATGCAACACGGATATTCGGAAGCTCTAGTGCGTGGTTATAAATCTGGATTTTTGAAAGATCAAGACTATCATCATTTATGTCAGTGCGAGACTCTGGATGGTTTTCGTTTTTACCGGCTCTCTATTGTAGATGTGAAGTTGAACCTTCAGGAGACCGACTATGGCAATTTCCTTGCCGACGAGGTTCGTTGTGTGCACCGTATTATTATTTTGTAGAGTTCACCTCTCCTCCCGAACGCAGTGCAAAAGCATGCTATGCAGAAACTAGCCGACCAGTGGAATTTTATGAGAGCGCAAGCCACTCAGCCCCTCGCTCAGTTCATGGACTTTACCACGTAACCTTCCAGTTTCAATTTCATCTAGATACGAATTCATGATCGACAATATCATTCTCATCATCAAGTACTCTCTGAACGGCCAGACAATCACCGCCGCGGAGTTGGAGAAGGAATGCAACCCTCTCGGCAAGATCCCGACGCATATCGTCAACGCGATCTCTTCGTTCGACAACTCCCCCAAGGGCTACAGCGATCTGTTCCACATCATCCTCGTGGAGCTTCCTGTGGGCAAGTATTTCTGCGCCTACCTCAACGAGCAGTCGCGAAAAGGCGTTCTCTACGTACGTCCTTCGCTCTCTTTCCATGCAGGGCGCTCCGCAAGTGAAGCATCTTCTGGAAGAAGGCTCGCTAACGCTTCTCCAGCAAGGCGTGATGCGGCTGTACCTCGAGGATTTCTATCGATGGACGCAGACGCTGGGCGGGTACACGGCGGAGATGATGGGCGAGATTCTGAAGACGAAGGCGGACACGCTGGCGATCCACTTGATTCTGAGCAGTTTCAACACGGCGTATAACGAGGTAGGGGTGATGGAGAGGACTGAAACCAGCCGCAAATGCGACCGATTCGGAAGGCGTTGCTGCCAGCGTTCGGGTTTTTATATCCGGAAGGATTGGAGGCGTTGAGCGAGGCGACGGATGTGGAGTCGCTGGGACGCGTACTGGACAAATACTGGGTGTATCGACGGATCTTCGATGTGGCGATCCAGAACGAGCAGATGTCGGTGGATGACGCGTTCTACCTGAACGAAGTGCGATTGCTGGAGAGTGCGTTCGATAGCCAGTTCCATTTTGGTAGGAAAGAAGAAGAGAGAGATGAGGAGTAGCGTGCTTCTACAGCTATTGCCATTTGAAGTTGCAGGAGATTCGAAATCTGGTGTGGATCTGCGAGTGTATTGTACAGAAGCAGAGAGCGAAGATCGACAAGTATATTCCTATTTTCAATCCCAATGCACCTTGGAGACAGGGAAAGCTAGGAATTTGATGTGTTTGTTGCAAACAAGACGAAAGGAAAATCGATTTACATAGTAGGTGGTTGTGAAGTTTGAAGGGAGTTTGGAAAGGATTGATCCCATCTAAAGAGACGAACTTTTCGGCCGCTTGACGGAAGCGAAGGAAGGAGCTTTTTTCGCGGATGCTGCGGAGGCGAATTTGGGCTACAAGTGAGTGGAAGAAGCGAGAAATGGACTTTGGGAATGGAGGAAGGTGTGGTGAAGAGCGCTAGAATAGGTAAAAGAAATGCATCCCTACAGGACGAAGGGTTTCCTGAGCCCCAAAGACACTCTGAATCGGTTTGAGCGGGAACTTGTGAAGATCCTGATAATCCCGAGGACCCAGAGGACCCAGAGGACCCAGAGGACCCAGAGGACCCAGATTGATCAAAGTCCGTCCTCAATTGATTCGATCGGCGTAGAGTTTCCAGCTCCAGCAATTTCAGATTGGAATGGTGAACGTGGACAACACTACTCTCTCTAACATGAAAAATAGCTGAAATCACAAACAGATCAACTCTACTGCGCATTTCACCAAAGAGAGGAGAGGGAGAAAACGGAAGAGAAGGAACATCTACACTACAACAACGTTCGATGTGCTACTTGCAAATAACATACGATCTTTTTTACAATTTTCTAACAGCCGGGTGTGAATACGCAACTCCCAGCCAGTCCTCCAATTCTACACATAAGCTACAACGGCTTTGTATTTCACATCCGGAATTAACAATCTGAGTAGCACAGAATCAGGTATCTTTACAGTGCCACAAACATCACATCTTTCAACTAGATCTCTCCCAGTTTGCCGAATATCTATATGCATAATCATCACAAAATCGACTGTATACACGTAAACAGCAACTTCACTAAAAAATCCAAACTGCTTTCTTCAATCGAGTTGACACCACACTTTTTACATATTATTCCGATACAGTACTTTAGCACGGAATTCACATAGGTGTCGCTCATAATTTGTCAGCAACAAACAATTCGCTATGATACACGGCTACTATTTTCTTTATTGATGGTTGTATTCAAATATTCCACGAAGCTGCCCTAGCTCCCAGTCATGTCGAAGCACATCTTGCTTTTTTGGGACCCTCCACTTTAGTTGTTTGTTTACTCCAGTCAGAACCGGTATTGGTTGGATGCTAATCTTCTTCTTTTTCTCTTGTGTTTCTTTGTTTGGTACAGAGGGCACAACAGGTCGCACAGAAGGACTCGTTGCCCGAATTGGCTGCGAAGAAGTCCTTTCTATCGGCTGAATGCTGGTTGGATTTACGTTATATCGCGTGATCTTGGATCCAGAGCTATGGCTGGAGGACGCTCGCTTTTGTACCGACGGCTCGGTGTGTTCGTTCACCGCTTCCACTGCTGGCGTTTGCCGAGAGTACGCTGAGATCCCCGAACTCCGCGTTCTGTGATGAATCGATTTGACTTCGATGGGTTTGGCGGGCATGGACGCTCTGCGCACTGTGGAAACCGCAGAAACCGAGCTTCCATCGGTGCTGAGGTCGAACTCCGATCCATTGCTCATCGATCGCTTGACTCTGTGTAAAATGACGGCGGGCGAAGACCGAGCCGCGCTCTTTCGCTCGTTTTTTGATGAATTTGAGAGTGTAGAGGACACGTGCGTGATTTTAGTAGGTGATGTACTGGAAGAAACGCGAGTGAGTCTGGAGGCCGAAGAGGTCTTTCCGGAGGAAACGGAAGGAACCTGGGACGGCGTATCGACTGACGGAGTTGTGTATGGAAAGAGTGTCGGGACATATTGCGGGTAATATTTGTGTAGTCGAGAGAGAAGGCAAGGCTGCATTAGAATATCTTCGATGGTGGGTCGTTTTCTGCATGATTAAAAACGAACAACTAGAATCTACCGTGGATCGACTTCCAGCATCGAGTGAATGATCGTTCGCAGGTCATAACTAGAAAGTGGAAAAACAATCCAAAGATCAAACTCGAAATGGTTGTCGATCCGCTGAAACACGCCCGCTTTCACACGACACATCAGATCTGACATGCTGAGACCCGTAAATGGGGGCGTCAGCGTGAGAATTTCGTAGAACGTGCATCCCATTGACCACACATCGGCTCGGGAATCATAGGGCATGCCTTTCACGACTTCGGGTGCGACATAGAGAGGCGTCCCAACAGCAGTTTGAGCCATATCCTGTGTGAATTGAAGCACGCGCGAAATCCCAAAATCTCCAACTTTGATGTTGCTATTCTACGATCGAGCGCTCCCAAGCACAGCAATACTTCGTCAAGAAACAAATTCTGAGGTTTGATATCACGGTGGATCACTTTTTTCTGGTGAAGATAGTGTAAAACTAGCGCAGTCTGTAAAAACCACTTGAATACTTGCTCGATAGGGAAAGGATTACGTCCCTGCAATTTAATTCTCTCGTGCATATCGCCTAAGTGAAAACGAGTTGTGCATTCCTACCCCCAGGACAATACCTCATGATAATATAAATATTTCCATCATGCTTGCAGTAGTCATGATAGCGTACAATAAATTCGTGGTTCATACTCGACAATACCTTAATCTCAAGTGCAATCTTCTTAACTTCAGCGCGTGACAGTTGCTTTGCATCAATCTCCTTGAATACATACAAATCCTACAAGATTATTCAAATCTGCAACAGAACAGTACACCTGACGCTTTTTCTTTACCGAGATAAGCAGTTCCATAGCTACCACTGCCGATCCGCTTGATCAAGGTGTATTTTTCCATTAGAAATAACTTCCTACACCTTGCTTTTTCAACTTTTGAATTCTTGACTCGTCACGAAAATGGGGATTCCACAAGTTCGGGGTATTTTGACAATTGGCTAAAAACATTATTTACCACTTATTCCATTGCTAAATGAGTAAAGCCACTCAAAACCAGCCGATAGAGGCTGAGATGGACGAAATCGACCCAAGCGAAATGTGGACTGCTGAGGAAAGAGACGAGTATTTCGCCGAAATGGAGGATAGTCCTCTCTTGATGGACAAAGTCACGGACGTATGTTGCTTTCCCGTATTACGAGTTTTAGGAAGATCGTAAACATAACACGAATATTCAGGCACTGGAGAGTATCATTCAGGACAACCGTTCGAATGGTAATCGTGCTTTTCGTGGGTGAGCGGTAGAGGAGATGGTTGAAGATTTCCAGCACGAGGCGAAGCTTAGTTTTGCAAAGGGAAGATGCATGTATACAAAGGCGTACACACAATTCAAGAAGGCTGCCTATTACGCGGAGCTTCTCGAGAAAACTCCCGAAAACCTCCATTTGCTGGCGACTCTGTACGCCAACTGCTCCCTGATCCAGCTAAAGAAGGAAAACTTCCGCACCTGTCTGAACGACTGCAAGAAAGCGCTCGACATCGAAGTACGCATTATTTCACCCTTTTTCCCCCAGCCTCGCTACAAGAAAGTGCTCTACCGCAAGGCCAAGGCTCTCGCGGGTCTCAACGATCTCCCCGGCGCCTTGGCGTGCTGCGCTCTGATTTTGGAAGACGAGCCGGACAATGTGTACACGCTCAAGCTGAAAACCGAGTGCGAATCGCGTCTGCACAAGGAGCAGAAGCGGAACGAGGAGATCGCTCGGAGTGTACTGCGTTGTTTGGAGTGTCTCACGCGCAGGAACAGCGCAAAGAAGCGGAGCAGCAGTTGGTTCGCAAGACGATGGATGCTCGTGGGTACAAGGTTGGCTTCTTCGCGGGGATGCTGACGCGTAGCTGGGTCCCACCATGTATCAATACCCCGACGGGTACAAAACGCCGTTCGCTGTGAAGGAGGACGAGCTGATCTTCCCGATGCTGATCCTCTTCCCTGAGCACACGCAGTCCAACATCGTGCAGGGCGTCGCGGAGTCCGACACGTTCGCCGATATCCTCTACGTTCGGCTCTCTCCCTCGCGTTCCCTCTAGACCATCCTTCCCTCCGCGCAGGGACACCAGGAATACATGCCTTGGGACGAGGAGAAGCAGTACACCGTCAGCAACGTGGAGGTCTGGTTCCAGGAATTCCTCGTTCTGCCGTATCCCAAAGAAGGCGCCGTGAGCGACGATTCGCTGCGACAGCACTTCCAGAAGCAGGTTGGAGTGCGGAGAAGGCGTCATCTAGAGGTACGTCCGAGCCAACCGGAATTTCCCAGTTTCGGAAGTGTTGCGGTATGCGAATTATGTAATTCCAGGAATTCCCGTGTTTTCTGTCTATGCGAAGAACGCGTAGGGACGCCGCCAGGCGGTGAGCGATAGGTGCTTGCGCGATTTGTATCAGGCGAATAATAACGAGATGTATCAGCTGACGGGAAAGAGCGAAGCCAGACGAATTCATCGCTGTCACAGTAGGGAGTGGGATTGGATTGCCAATTAGATTGCGGACGCTATGAAGACGATACCGAGGAGTTTAAGAAGTGCAGTCGCTGCAAGAAGACATTCTATTGCTCTCGGCAGTGCCAGATTGCGGATTGGAAGGTTCACAAGCAGTCGTGCAAACCGGCGAAGGAATAAGTTCTTTTAGTTTGATATTGTTTGTGAAATGAAACGAAATGAAATGGTGTAGAAGGGATTGATTACTATGACCACTGTACAGTTGGGAGACGAAGGGCTATCTCTTCGAACACAAGTGATAATGATCTTTGCATGGTCAATTTGTATTTTATTTAGTCTTTGTAGTTGATGAATAAGGGTAATTCGATTTTGGTCAGTCGGCTTCCTTTATGGGCAACGCAGAAGGAGGTTTCTGTTGTTGGAATCGATTGCCTGTAGGTCGAAAAAGCTTTTGAATCTTATGGAACAATAAAAAACGTGACGTTTGTGGATCCGCGATCCTATTTGTATACCAATAGTGAGTTTGAATTAACAAGTACATGGAATTGAGATGCGAATAGTTATAGAATCAAAGGCAGCAGTTCTTGAGTTTGCTGCTGATGTAAATCGAATGAGCATCGTGGAAAAAACGAATCGTAAGCCGTTCCCAAACGACAAAAAGTCCGCTCCTACCCTTCGCGTGAGTCTGCTAGAGGACATACAGCAAGGTACACTATTCGTTGGGCACCTGTGATGCATAATAGAAAACAAATTATTCATTGGAATGATTCCTGAGGGGACGACTCTCGATGAGTTGACCCCGATGTTCAAACAGTTTGGAAAGCTGGACGAAATTGTAATCATAAAAAACGGAGATGCCACTGCAAAGGGATATGGCTTTTGCCGCTATGACTCCCGAGATAATGCTTTTCAGGCCATAAAAGCCCTGAATGGAAAGACCTATCTTCATGTAGTCTCTGTGTAGCCTTGCACATTTATAGGGATCGACCACATCCTTAGTGGTGAAGTTTGCCGATACACCAAACCAAAAGCAAAACAGATTGTTGCGCCAGAAACAAACCAAGGGACAGGACGAATCTCCAATCGCAAATCCAAAACATGTGAATCTTCCTCTTTTGGGAAATGATCCTCTCTCGTACGAAATGGAGTATCTGTGTGATTACCCAACATTTTCCTTTGGCTGGGAGGGATCTTCCTATCCACCTCTTCCTTTCCCCCACTGTGATAGTGCGCCTTGTTGGGTTGATTTTTCTTTTTGCATAAACGGAATGGACCCTTTGGGACTCTGCGATTATCCATGCAGCAAAGAAGAAATAGTGTCATCTGATTGCTATACTTCAAACTGCGCTTCCGCGAGCGTATGGATGGAAGTGGTGTGTAATATAGGACTCCCTCATCCACATCATGAATTTTCCACAGAAGTTGACCGCTGATGTGCTTCTTCGGAAGTGTAAACTGCTTGGAAATGTGAACGACGTTGTGATCTTGTCTCGTTTCCCCTTTTCTTATGGTTGTTATTGTACAGTATGATAATGTAAAGGGCGTATTGAATGTCAAAATCGAGAGAGCGCAGTAAGCTTATACAAGCAACTAGACAATATGGCGACTGTAGGATGGATCCTATCCTAGTCTCGTACTCTTATTGTTACGTATTTGTTGATACAATAAATACTGTATGAATACAAATTAGTTACTTTCCTATTATTTTTTCCAAACACTAATCTTATTACTAGCATTCCATCATTATCAAAGAAAAGGAACAACCACTGTACATTTGTCTTTTCATTTCTTATTTTACTGGGCTGGTAATGTCTTCTAAATACAATAAAGGCAGATAGCTGGATCGTTTAGTAATGGATAGGTGAGTGGAGCGAAGAGGAACAATCCCGCTTCTTAGAGGCCATCAAGCTATACCAAAAAGACTGGAATCTCGTGACTCAGCACGTACCTTGTCATTTTCGTGGTGTCATTATCTAGATCGGAACTCGTAGTAAGCAACAAGTACAAAGCCATGCCCAGAAGTATCAGAAGCACTTAGATGATATTGTATTTGATGGGAAGTGTATCTCATGCCCTAGAAGCGCCGAAATGACCTTCTTAACTATTGGGCAGATGCGTAGCTAAATTGGATTATCTGTGAGCTATAGTAGCCAGGACCGCTCGAAAAGGATAAAGCGAGCGCGCAAAGCCATCGACTACTCAATTTACTCCGGTGTGCAGAAACGTATTAAATCGAAAGCCTTGCAAAAGCCTGAGACTCAAGTAATTTCTCAGGTGATACCTAGTGTGAATATTACTACTCATCGAACTTCCACTGTTAATAAGTTGCCACTGTCACCCTACTTCTCTAAATCTTCGGAAATCCGGAGTGTTCCCTCGGCCGCATGCACAATTTCAGGAGCTGACTCGTTTCCCATTGTAAATCAGTACGCTGTTTCAGTGAATCAACCGACTGTGTTGGCCAAGAATACTCCGCAGACATTCCCGGGAACGTTTTTAACGAATGCGTCTTGTAATACACCTATATTATGTACGTCTATTCCCATTTACTCTGTCTATCACTATGGATCCATGACTGCGCCTCCAGTGTTTTACTCTGGATCGGCTGTATATTAAACTCTTTTTGCATTTGTTGTTCATCCTTCTCTTTTCAGCTGCTTTGTTTGTTGAATAACCGAGTGGGAGATGGATTGATTGAGGGGGTCAAATGGGAGATGGATTGGTTGAAGGGGTCAAGAGGGAGGCAGGTTGGTTGAGTAGCTCCAGTATGAAGTGTGTGATGGTTTGAATACATGCCATTGGATCGATGGCAGCATGTGAATCCATCCTACAATCGTTCGATTGCGCAATTAATATATCGGCTCACGATCACAGCCTCCCCCAAACTCATCTCTTGTGTGTTCAACAAACCCTTCAAACAGCAAAAAAGCAACAAGGAAGCGCAGCCGGCGCTCCGCAGAACTTCAGAAAGCGTCCGCCCTTCGGGTTTGAGAAGCCTTCGTCATATGCTCTGCCTCGCAACCTTCGCCCTTCCACCTCATCATTCATTCGCCTTCGTTTCTGGTCTTTCTCTACCAGCAACGAAGGCTTAACCTCAGCATCCTCCCTTCTTCGCGGAGGCTCCCGACCGCTTCGTGACGCTCAGCGTGGTGAACTCCTCCGCGATGGTCGGGTGGATGCCCACCAGATCCATCAGATTCTGGTACGTCGCCTTGGTCTGGAACGCCAGTCCGAAGCCCTGCGTGATTTCGCCCGCGTTCGGCGACAGGATGTGGAACCCCAGGATCAGTCCGTCGTCGCGCTTCGTGATCAGCTTCGCGAAGCACACCTCCTTTCTCCGGTGCGGCGAGATCTGCCACTCCAGCGGAGTGAACTGGCTCACGTACACCTCCACGTTGTCCTCTCCGAACCGCTCCAGCGCCGCCTCCTCCGTCAGGCCGCAGTTTCCGTACTCCAGCGGCGTGAACACCGTCATCGGCACGTTCTCGTAGTCCATCTGCACGCTGCTGCCGCCGTACAGCCGCCGCGCCAGCAGCTTGCCCGTCTGGATGGCCACCGGCGTGAGCTCCTGCTTGCCGTAGAGCACGTCGCCGATGCCGTAGATGTTCGGCACGCTCGTCTGCTCCTGCACCGACAGGATCTTCCCGCGCCGCGTCTTCACGCCCAGCTGGTCGAGGCCCAGGCGCTCCGTGTCCGCGTAGCGGCCGATGCAGCTCACCACGGTGTCGAACTCCTCCTCGCCGCGCAGCTCCGAGTTCGCGAAGCCGCTGCCCTGGTACTTCACCAGGATGCGTCCGTTCGGGAGACGCTGCAGCTCGGTGGGGACCGTGTTGTGGAGGAAGTGGATGCCCTCCTCCTTCATGAAGTCGCCGATCTTGTTCGCGCATTCCTGGTCGAATCCGCGGAGCAGGATCGAGCGCACCATCACCGTCACGTCGAAGCCAAGGTGGTGCAGGAACCCGGCACACTCCAGAGCGATGAACGAGGCGCCCACCAGAAGGGTCTTCTTGGGGGGATGGTCCAGCATGAACAGATCATCGCTCGTGACCGCCAGCTCCTCTCCCGGGCAGCCCAGCTTGTTCGGACGACCGCCCACAGCCACGATGATGCGGCGACACGTGTAGATGTGCTTCTAGAAATGAGAGAAAGACACAAAAAACAAACATCACCGAAAACGTCCGTGCCTTCCACGGTGTGCGCGTCCTTTACGTAGGCCAGCTGGTTGTAGTAGGTGACGTGCTTCGACATCAGAGACACGCGGTAGTTGTAATTCAAGCCGCGGATGTAGTCCTGCACGTTGTCCACCAGCGTGTTCCAGTGGTGGTGAACCTCGGGAACGTCCCAGCCGAAAGAGGAAGCGTCGCGAACAAACTCGCCGATGATGGCGGCTTGGTGCATCAGCTTCTTGGGAATGCAACCGACATTCACGCACGTACCTCCGAGACCCCAAGTGGATCCCTGAGGAGAGGGCTTTACATAATCAAATAGAGCGACAGTGGCTCCGAGATCCGCGGCCTCCTTTGAGGCAGCCAGACCTAAAATGTGAGAAATCCGCCCCGAGCCGCTTACCTCCAGAACCACCACCAATTACAATCAAATCATAATCGTATGTGGTCTTTCCGTCGTCAATATCCTCCTGATACGTCAGAGACATTATCAACAACAATAAATCTGCGAAGAAAAGGTGTAGAACTGCAGGACGTTCAGTGGTTCTTGATTATCAAGGTCACATGTTGACAATTGTAATTACTGAACAAACAGAGTTATTCTTCGTTACTATATTCATCACTACTGCTTTCTGAATCGAACTGCTCCTCTACGGGGAATCGCAGGATCGCAGCGATGCCGGTAAGCTACTCTCCACACTCCACCCCAAACCTACATTATTAAGTTGCTGTCCGCTCGGATGAAGCGAGCTAAACAAAAACGACTTTCCTCCAGACTCTTTCACGGCATCCATGAGCTGAATAATCTTCTTTCTCATGTCCGCGGTCTTTCCTCGGATCAGCTTGTCGCTAACCAGCAGAACGTCGATTGCTCCCTGCTCCAAACAATACGCGACGCTCTTCTCTCCATACGCCACGCGATTCGGAGCGGTTCGGAACATCTCGCTAAATCGATTCAGAACGGCCACTTCCTCAGCAAACTTGGTGTCATTCAGACGCTCTCTCACCTTCTCGTCCTTCAACACATCCTACGACTCACTTTGCAACCCATCCCTAACATTCAATGCATGCACATGTCCCGAGTTGCTATGAACGCACACAAACTTCGCCAAATTTGCGTGCAGCACGTGGTCTGTCGCAAGACTCTGCGTATCCATGAATTTGAGCAGGTTGGCGTTAATGAACCCGTTGGAGCAAACAAGAATCGCTTTGACGGTATCGAAGTGAACCAGCTTCATTAAATTCTGATAGATCGTTGAGAAGAACGATTCCATCGCCTATACATCGATGCATAACGAATGAACGCACTTTGTCGATCTGCGATTGATTCCCTCGACCTTTCCCTGGAATCAACTTCTCGATTCGGCTTTTAACGAAGCACATGCTGTTGCGAATGATGCAGATATTGGCGAGACCCTCTTGGAGGACGATTGCGTAGAGATCGCTGGTTTCGCTGTTTTTGACGATATCACGCAGCTTATCGATGTAGATCGCGTCCCAACAGTCCTTCTCAAGCGTGAAACTATAGTATTTGCGGATGTCGATAGTATGGCGAGCTCCCAACTAGCTATCATACAGGATTCATGCGATTACCGCAACAAACTCGTTTTCAGTCATGTTTACTCCAGAAATACGGAGGGAAGAGCCTTCTCCGTCATAGTCTAGTTTTGTTACCTGAATTATGAGTAAATCGAATGAACACGTACTCGTAAGGATAGAACAAGAACCTTCTTTGCTACCGTCACCAAATCGGCTGCAGAAACAGACTTCACTTTTCTTGTGGTTTTTGATCGCACAATATCACCCACAGCAATCAGATTGTACCTAACCAATCAGTGAAACAAAGAAAACGCAACAGTTCCCAAATATCATCTTCACTCTCAGGAGTCAATCTCACGGAGCCTCCCTCTGATTCACCCTCAATTTTGTTGTTTTCTATCTTCATTTTTAGCAAGTCTTGAACAATCTACCCTTGAGCTACTCTATTCTCTTTCCCTACATAAAAGAATGAATTACGATAGTGAGTTTAGCAAAATGAAGAGACCAGAAAACACTTCGAAATAGTAATTTGCTCTTTCATTCAAACAAACAAACACGTCTTCCAAATTGTTAGAGTTATCGCCTTTTTGTAAGCTCTGAAACAGATCGCTTTTCACTAATCGCGCAAACAGCATCTGCCAGCAACGCTGCGATCGACAACTGCTCTATTTTTTCATTTTCCCTGGATTGTTTCGACAGGGGAACCGTGTTCAACACGACGACCTTCTCTAGTTCTGAATTTCTAATCAGCGTGTTGGCATCTTTGGAAAAGAGTCCATGGGAAGCAAACGCGTAAACACGACGTGCGCCATGCTCCTTTAGAACCTTTGCAGCAGCACACAAAGCTTCGGACGTGTCAATTAAGTCATCCACAAGAATACAATCCGAGCCATCCACATTTCCCACCAGGTTCAAAAAGCTGTTTTCATGTTGGAAACTTTCCTGTTTTATCACCATTGCAACGCCTGCATCAACATCGTGCTTGGACATTAACCCATCTCGAAATTGCTTGGCGCGAAAAACATGTCCAGCGTTGTATGACACGATTACTGGTTTCTCCAATTCCATTTTGGCAAAATAGTCCACTCCTACACAACTTCCTGGAAGATCATCCACAGGAATGAAAGGACCGAAGAATCCTTGGATCTGGCCGCAGCGGAGATCAACGGATACAATCCGATCGACTCCCATCGCCTCCAGAAGTCGAGCCACATCTGCAGCTGAGATGGCGACACGCTTGGATTGTCTGCGGTTCTGCCGCGCATATCCGAAGTAGGGAACAATGCTCGTGACTTCTCGCGCACTCGCTCTGCGACAAGTGCTAATCATCAGCATCAACTCCATGAGTTTGTCATTAATATCCGGCGGACACGTCGATTGAATGATGAAAACATCTTTCCCGCGGATGTCTTCATCGATTTCGATGAAGACTTTCCCATCAGCAGCATGTCCGGTCTACCATCGAATTTACTACCAACACCAACTCTGCACGCTCCCAATTTCGTTCCGATCCTCGCCGCCACTTCTTCCGAGAGCTCAGGATTCGAACTGCCTGAGAGAATCATCAGGGAACGCGATGGAACATTCTTCCCTTTGATTGTTTTTCTATCGTTTTGATCGTGCTCTTTGGATTGTTTGGAAGTATTCGAAGCATTCGGATCTTTCTTTGCATTGTTCGCCTCACTGTTTGTTCTCTAACAAATTTATAAAACAGATTCGCTTCCATACACTCTCCGCATACAATGGTCGAAATGCGCGATAACCAACGTACGATGTAATCACCAGTCCCAAGGTTGCCTAGTGAGCTGAAAGATTGGACACACACAAATACAGAAAAGAGAGGGAGAGAAGAAGGAGAGATACGTGAGCCACAAGTAATGCTGCGCTGTAAGGGCAGAGCGCTGTGTGAAACGCGCAACATTGTGCGTAGTAGATTACCACGCAGAGAAAACATGGATCTAAGGAATAGAAAAGGGTTTCTACAGTATTATGAAGTGTTTTACGCAATGATCCCTGCTTTTCTCCCAGTTTTCCTGCTATTATATTATGCTATTCTTATTCAAGACTACCAATTAAAAGTTCTAGAAATCAAATCTAATATAAACATCCTCACACACACATAATCACAACGATGGCCAACAACAAAAACACGCACACAACACTCATCGTCTCAAACAAACACCAACATAATCCAGTTTCCGCTATTAAACTTCGCCATTATTCCTCATCCTCCTGCTCATCGGCGACGCAAAGTTCCTTCTCGGACACGTAGATACCGTCCAGGAACTTACGGATATCCTTGTTGCGCACCAACACGCACAGGTGAATCTGAGAAGCTATCCATCACAACCCAATTGAATGCCTACCAGAAATCGACACGGCCTCGATGTCGTTTCCCTCAAGGATGATCTCATCCTTCTGAGCCTCGGACTTGGTCACGGTCACACCCTCCTGCATGTGGATGTGGCGCACACGCTTCTCACCGAGGAAGTTACGGATCTCCACCTTGGTACCGTCCTTGTTAATGGCGACATTGATGGGGAAGTGAGCGTACACAAAACGCATCTTGTAGCGGTAACCATGGGTCACACCCGTGATCATGTTGCGGATGTGCGAGCAGATGGTTCTCACGACAGAGATGTTCTTGTGCAGTCCGAACCACAGATCTACGTACACTCTGTTTCCATCCTTGCGAATGTCAACGAATTGGTGAGAGAAGTCACGATGAAGAGTGCCACGAGGTCCCTTCACCACAACGCGGCGGTTCTTGACTTCGACCTTCACTAAATGCATAAAATCAGTGATTCAACCGGAATACCTCCTTCGGGAATTTCAACGTGATTGGTAGAAAGAGTTATCTTCATTCCTCAACAATAATATCCAGGAAACTAGGAATTCTGAGAATGGAAAACACCACATAAAAGCGACATGTACAGTAATCACCTCTCTTGATTATCAAGAACCATTTCTGGTTGACAATAGTACCTTCAACGGTCTAATTCCAGAGTGAAAGAACAAGCGAGGCGTTATGGCGGAGATACAGGAGCGCAGAAATAGCATAGACGCTAAATCTCTGATTGTGTACCTTGCTTTCGCTCGTTTATGCTCCATTTTTAAACAAACAGGGATAGGAATTATAATGGAAGTAGAATAAGGACACAAAAGTAGGCTCAAAAAACAAGTGTATTCCTACTGTCATTTACAAGTTTTACAATTGTGATTATTCTCCATCCTTCTTTTGCGACACCTCTGTCCCCTGAGACTTCCTTCCTTCATACAACGCAGGCACCAAGCTATTAATCGTCATGACTCCCTCCTTGATCGTCGTTTTCAGCACGCCCATCAGTCCCACCTCCTTGCCAAACCTCCAATGATGCGAGTTAATGCTCTGAATCAGAGAGACTTGCGATTCACTGTTAATGGACTGCGGATCATACGACGGCCCATGCAGCTTCTCGCAAATCGTAAGTGCACGCAGCCCCGCAATCGACCGAATCGACCTCTGCGCATTCCCGATGTTCTCCAGCGAGTCTCGCAGCGGCAGCTCGGCGAGATCTTCGACCGAATCGACTTCTTCGTCCGAGCGACTCAGCCATTTCTCCATGTCGCGGATCCCATCCTCATCGACCTGCATCAACGGCGGCATCTGTGGGTCTTCCGGAAGCGTCTTCAGCGTTTTGAGCTCGACCTGCGGGGATTTGGAGCGCTCCAAGTCTTCTAAAGCGGATTTCAAAACGTCGGGATCGGCTTTGCGGATCTGCACGTCTTGAATCAGATTGGAGAGCGTGGGGCAGAATTCGTTCCGCACGGCGACGTAGAGGAAGGTGGGGAGACAGGCGAGAATGGTGACGAGGAGAACGATTAGATAGGTGGAAGGCGTGGAGACGAGCAAGAAAAAATCGCCGTAATAGAATGGGAAGAACGCGGGGAACGAGGAGGCGAGCAAAACTCCCAACACCCAAATCAAAAACACGATCCAGTATCCGAGGATGCTGATCATCGTGGAGGTGCACTGCAAGAGCGCACAGGTGGTATTCGCGATGAGGATTCCGGAAGTGATCGTGAGCATTCCGAATAAATACACTTCGACCATAGAAACGCCGAAATCGCAGAGATACGTCGCGAATGTAGAGAACAGAGTGACCACGCCGGACTCATACAAAGCTTTCAAGCTGATTAGGAGGAAGAGCTTCTGGTTGAAGTGGTTGTGGTGAATGCCGTCGCGGTGGATTTGAGGGAAGCGGATGCAGTTGGAGTCGCTGATGTCCTTGTCGAAAACGGCGAAATAGAAGGGACCGAAGGCCGTGAAGATTGTGTTGTAGAACATAATCGCCAGGAAGGACTGGTTTCGCGTGCCTGGGATGAGAGAATTCGATCGAACGTACCGGAGAGGCCGCAGAGGAAGGTGTAGAGGTACTGAATGAACGTGAAGAGGATGTTTTTGTAGAAGATGAGGAGCGAGGCGAACGTGATTCCGCGGTAATTCCGATGTCCATACACCAAAATCAATCGTGACAAAAATCGGAATTGCCCAATCGCGTAGTCGGAATTGTTCACCGCCTGCGTTCCTTCCTTCCCGATCACGCCGACCCCCACATGCGCAGCACGCAGCATTTCGACGTCGTTGGCTCCATCGCCGATTGCGAGAGTCACGACTTCGTTGTTTCCTTTGCGAACCAGACGCGTCAGCTTCGCTTTCTGGTCCTTGCGAGCGCGACACGCGATGACGGTCTTGCAGGATTGCGCCACCACGAGGAACTAACACATCAGCGATCCAGTGAAGATAAAAAATACGGCTTGACGACAGGAGAGAGCGAGGAAGTCGATGAAGAGCTCATCGATCACGAGAGCCATCGGCTGGGATGAAACGTCCGAATCGGAATTGTACAGTTTGGAAGCGAGCGCCTATCCATCACGCCTTCGATCTGCAAACCAAACCTCGCAGTACATTCGAGCGGCCAGCAATCCGGGATGCTTCGCTTCGAACTCGCCTAAGATTCGATTGGCCTTCTCCACGCTGCCCTCCTTCTCCGCCTCCAGCATTTTCCACTCCACTTCCTGAATCGACGAGCTACCCGTCAAACCCCGATCACTCCCCTACGGAGAGATCTTCTCCGTCATCTCGTCCGCCCTCGCGCCTTTGGCCTGCAAGTTGCTATCCACCGCCTCCTTCGTGATCTCGATCAGCTTCATGTCCGGGAGCTTCAGCAGATTGCACGCGACGGCGATGTTCTTTGCGGTCCCTACCTTGTCTCCCGTGATCATCCAGATGTGGATCCCCGCGTTCGACAGTTCCTCCAACGCCTCCGGCACGCCGTCCTGCAGACTGTCCTCGATCGCCGTGGCGCCCTGCAGAATCAGCCCCGTCTCCAGCTCCTCCTCCATCCGATCGATTTTGTTCCGTTTATTGTTCCGGCGGAGCTCTTTCTGCGTGGGATCCTCGCAGACCTGCTCGTACGCTTCGATCCACGCGATGTACGCCTCCTGCGTGAGCGGTTTGTACCCGAACACCATGGTGCGGAACGCTTCTTCCGCCCAGTCGCTGACTTGACAGGCGAGATTCTCGATAAAGCGCGAGCTGTTGATCGCAGGGTCCTGCAGATCGAAGAGAACGCTGTCGGCGCCTTTGCAGTACAGAACGATCGAGCCGTCCGGCATCTGCACCACCATCGACATGCGTTTCCGCGAGGATTCGTAGGGAATCACGTGCAGAACGCGGAGTTCCACGATTTCTCCGAGGACGCTGAGCTTGATGATGTTGGTCTCGTAGTCCATGCCGAGGAACTGCACGCCGAGGCAGTAGGAGCCAGCGACGAAGGCCTGCTCATCGGGAGACGAGGCGTTGAGTTCGATGGTTCCGTCTTCTTTTGTCTCGACGATCACCGTGTGATTGATCGCCATGTGAATCAAGAAGTTCATCAGTTTCTATGCATTAGCTTGGCTGACTGAAGGAGTGTACGCTTGCGTGGTCGTCGTTCTTTCGGAGATCGTCTTGCAGTCGATGGCCCGGATGGCTCTCACTTCCGTCCTGGAAATTGCTGTATCGGAAGATTCCCTTGCGAAGCGGTGGCTTCTCCACCACTACCTCCACGCCTTTGCTTTGTTGTTTGTTCTTCACAGAGCGGCCGATCGCGCTGTCGCCCACTCCGTACGACACGCCATCGACTAAACACTTTCGGAACTGCATTAAATTCGCCGTCAGCGTTCCGGTTTTGTCGCTGAAAATATATCCGACTTGGCCCAAATCGTCGTTGAGCGTCGACGATCGCACACGCATCGGCTCGTCCTTCTCTTCGTCATACCTAGAGAGAATCTCCCGGATTCAACGATTCAAACATTTGGAGATCGTTCTGCATGAAAAAACTCTGCATGGCGTAGACCAACGTCATGGTCACGTAGAGCGACACGGGCACGAACTGATAGCAGAGCAGAAAATAGCGGAAGAAGGACAGCCAGATATTGATAAAGAAGGTTCTGTGCAGTCGGATGTACCAGGATTTCTGCACGATCACCATCGAGACCAAGTTCTCGCTCAACGCTCCCTACAGAGAGAAGCTTTCGTTCGTCGCTTACCACCATGCAGAGAATCACCAGGACGATCACCATCAGAAAGATCGATTGGTTCAGCCGCTGCGTCAGAACGGTCTGCTTCGCACGCTCCTATCCGTCAGAGAGAGCAACAAGCGATACGCTGAACTGATACCATTTCAGAGGGTTGAGTTTGAACTCCACTTTCGTGTCGGTTCCCGTCGAAATCACAGCGCCGTACACGAATTTGGTGTTCTTCAGAATGCATCCGCGCAGCAGAACGTTCTTGATCGACACAGACTCCTTCTCTTCGCTCGATTCTCCGTTCTCTGATCGCACCGTCGTCGTTAACTAGCCATCACACGACTGTCTCGTCCATACCGAGCCATTGAAGTCGTTCGTCATATTGTTCGGAAGCTCGCAGTTCAGAACCGCGTGCAATCCGCACAGCTCTTTGGCCGTCTCGTTGATTGGCTGGCCGTTGTGTTCACTAGTCGTCTGCTTTGGTTCATTCTTTAAGAGCTTCCTACTTTCATGGCTTGGCGGTATTTGTTGTCCGTTTCGCCGTCCAAACTTTTTGTGTTGACCCAGCACGACTTGTAGGCTTTGGGATCTCCTGAGCGGAGAAAGAGCATATCCGCGGGGAAGATGTCTCCTTCATAGACTTTCACGATGTCTCCCACACGCACTTGGCATTGAGGAATGCTCTCGAACTGCTGGGTTTCTTTGTTTAGAACCTCGATGGGTCTGCTGTTGACTTCATCATCTGCGTGGTGGCGTTTAATATCATCACGGACTAGAGGGAAGGTGCTTTCACAAATGCAAACTCGAAGTGAATGCCTCCAGTATTAATACAAAAGATAGAGCAACTAAAGACTGTGGGCGCCCCTGCGTGAGCGAAATTAGAGGAATACACTAATTGTCACCAATCTTGTGGGTGATTACCTCAAGTACTGCAACACAGACAAAATAAAAGTTTGCAAATTTATTGAATGGATTTAAGTTTTCGTAAAGAAAAAGAATCAAAAAGTTCCACCAAGTATACTTCGATGTGATAATAGTATTTGATGCGAACCCCTTATCGAGATTTCCATCAGCATTATTGAGAATACTACACATCAGGAATCAACGTCCAAACCCTACACCGTCTTTGAGAAACCTTGCGTCTGGCGAGCGAAATTATCATGAAGGTCCTCAACCTGCTGACTACAGGTTACCTCGATCCATTTCACTGTACCGATCGTCTTCATCGAATCTATAACCCTCACCCTTTGAATTTCTTCTTTGAGAACTCATATGGGTACAAAAAATCAAATTCTGAATGAAATATTGTTTAAAGAACAATACAAACGAATAATACATTAACAAAGTTCAGTACGAAACAATATTGATTACAAACAGTTCATTACGCACAAAAATACTATATCATAGTAAGACACTTCGTTTCCTCATGACACGTCTTGCATTCATAGGAACAATAGAGAGATCCGCACAATAAGCACTTGTATAATGCCACATTCCTAACGTGAAGGTGCAAAATAGGCTATATCAAGGATATCCACAAATAGAGCAGAATTTACGAGCAGGATATCGACTGGGTTTGCTTGCAGCAGTAACATACGACGGTTTACCCTCGATTTCCTTGCTGATCTTCTTATAATTACAGAGAAAACAACAAAAACGTACATCTTGGAAAACTACCTTTGCAAACTTGAACACAGGAAGCACTGTACTATAAATGAATCGAAACTAGCAAAATTACAGAGATTTCGCTCGAGAGGATTCTTTCCGCCTTTTTGGTTGAACCACAAGATCCTAAAGGATGAGTGTATAATTTTGCATCAACGTCTTCATCCTCATCGTAAAGGTCAGACTCATTGAAGGCTTCTTCGTCTTCTATGTTATCTCGTTCTAGTGCATCCAAGCGTTCATTTAAAATCTTCAAATATCACGAATTTGAAACCCTTTACTTGCTCACGAGTGATACTATCAATTGTATTTTTGTTCTTTGTACTCGTACGCAAACGAGAGGCCCATTTCTTATTCCTGCTTTCGGTTTGTCGATGACCCGATTCTAACATCGCTTGATCCCAATCCAATTTCCCTCTCTTGCCCATTGGTTCGACAGTGATACAAAATACTCAATTCTAAGCAAGGAAATCGATCTTTGAGTTCAAATGAAACTGCCTTTCAAATCGAAAATAGTGGCTACTTTTGTCAAACAACTATTGGGACATGGGTTCACACAAGGCTTGTACCTACTTGAGTCTTTTAGCAAGTATAATCGCGGCTTTTTGTAATACTGAGTTCCAATCTCATAGGTTGCTGATTTCGGATCTTTCCTTTCAATGAATCCTGTAAAGCATGAAACTACGAAGAATGGGAGTGATCAGAACATTGAAATAGGAATAGACGATGCTGCCAGTTGGGTAGACAAGGTGGATCCACAACAGGTAATTTGACTGCTTTTTGTTGCTTGTCTGATTCTCATATTTTCTAGCTTACCAGTCGGTATGAATCTCTGAAGTGTCTGCTACGTGAAATCCAGAGTGAAATTGTGAAGCGCCAGTCGTATTCGGACTCAATTTCGGGTTCTTCCTTTTTGTCTGTAATTCAGTCCTTGGTCAATCCTTCACGAGATCAACGTAAAAGCTCTCGTTCAAGGTCCGAGACAAGACAGAAGAGTGTTCGTGTGGCATCTTCGCCTCTTATGTCGGATCTGAGTGTAAATGATACAGCACCCAATATGTCTATCTATTCTCCCTCCGTGGCCAGGATCACCCCATTGTCTTCTGCCTCTGCAACGCCGCTTGCCATCAAATCGGAGTCTCTAACTCCACGTTCCCAAAGTGATTGTGGTGAGGTAAGTTCAATGGTTCTAATTCGACGCAGAACGCCTTGCCTTCGCTGCAAACCCAGTCTATTTCCATGGAATCTTACGTAGAGGAGTGTGTTTGCGTGAACCCTAGAAGCCTGTTGCTACCCCTTTGCTGTATCGGCGCGTAGTGGAAGCCATGATCACCGTAGCGCGAATGGGTAGGGCAGACAGCAGCGATTCGATGCAGGCGTTCACACCGAATCAGAGTTGATCCACTGCACTGAAATGTATTTATCGAAGGAATGTCCGCAGCTGAGTTTGCCGCGGGTTTTGGCTCGGTTTCTCTTGCCGACCGTCTGCAGAGTTCTGCTTTTCCTCGGCATTCTCACGCCTTTTTCGGCCAATTCCGCATCCAATTCCCCTTTCTCTCTTCCAGTTTCTCCAGTTTCTCCAGTTTCTCCAGTTTCCCTTCCCTCTTTTGTCTTCCTTCCTTGTTCGCAGACCGACTTTTCTTCGCGAAATCCCTCCGTCAACCCTTCGAATTTCGCTCTCCACGACCCGCTTCTTCGCATCAAAGAAGAAAATCCAGCGACTTCTCAAGCAGGAATCGATCTGCGGTCGCTTCCCGAAGGGACAAAGAAGCTTCTGAATGCGTGGATTGGAAAGAAGAGCGCGGAGTGGACGTCGACTTCCGCGTCGATCGTTCAATTCACCGCGAATCTCCTCGAATCCATTCCACTAATGGGCGTTTCATCGGTGAATCGATCGAAAGTAGTTCCCTGTTTCTCCTTTTCATGCAAGACGCGCTTTGTCTTCCCTGCGTTTCTCTCGACTCTTCTCGTTTCGCCTTCCTTAACAATGCAGCAGCTCGATGAACTCGATTCCTCATCGCAAAGTCTTCTGTTTGTTCTCTTCGTTTTCATTGAGTCTCGTAGAATCGCAGCGATTTGCTCCGCTTCTTCTTCTTCTTCTTCTTCTCTTGGAATCGGATCGGTTGTCTCTATTTCACCATTCGATTCATCGCGAAAATCCTCCGTTTCGCGCGTCGGTCTGAGCGAAAACACGCCGCAGCTCGAATTTGTGGCTTCTGGAGAGTTTTGGAAGTGGCAAGCGGAGGCAGTTCGAGCTCGCAGAGAAGCGGAGAAGCTGTGCGGAAAAGAACGAAAGCTGTGGGCGGAGTTTTTAAAGCGATTCGGCGTGATTCTGCGTGGGTTGATTGGCTTCCAATTCCTGGATAGAAGGCGCTTTCAGCTCCAAAGAAGTTCAAAAGCGCGAGAATTCGATTCGACGCGTGCCTCGACAGCGCGAAAAAGACACGAGCGAGCTATCGCGTAGACGTTTGGGTTTGTTGGAACGCGTAGAATTGCTAGTGAGCAAGCCGCTGAGCAGCTTCGACAACGATCTGTACGTGTATTCTCGGCCGTAATCGATTCGAATTTGCTTGATTGCAGCATTCCTTGGTCGGAAGTGATCGAAAACTTCGCGCCCCCCGAGCGAGCTTCGAAGCTCCCGATGACTTCGATGGGTTCAATGAATGCGATGAATGCAATGAATGCAATGAACTCGATGAATGCAATGAATGGATTGAATGGATTGAATGGGGGTGCGCCGGGTTTGGAGGAGGGAAAGCGGATTTCGACGCCGAAAGCGCGGATTGTGAATCGAAAGCGGAGCGTTGTGGGGAGAGAGGAGAAGATTGCGAGAGAGGGGAATGGGAAACGAAGTCGTGTGGTGGAGGAAGATGCGTATTACTTGAAAATGAATACGGAGAACTTGCAAGCACTGAAAGCGCATTTGGAAAGTGTGAAGCTAAAGGAGAAGGAGCTGAAACAGAAGAAGTATAAACGGAAGGTTTGACTTCTTCGGATGCGTTTGTCTTTTTATTGTACTAGTAGGGGTATGAACCTTTGTGTGTTTGTTGAAAACCTGATTGTCATTATTATTATTCCTGTCTACTAGAATCCAATGTCTGAATTAGAGGTATATTGTTGAAGATCGGAGTCAGCTCGTAGAAGAAATTTAACGAAACCGCTGAGTTTGTTCGTTCGTGGCATCCTGCCAAAACTGTATCAAATGAGGACAAGCTCGCTGGATACTCTCTATTCAAGCAAGCGACTATTGGAGATTGCAACATTCCTGCCCCTGGAATCTTCTCGTTGACTGTATGTTGGATTTTCTTGTAGTGATGGATAGGAGAGAGCGAAGTGGAATGCTTGGAATGCCTTGAAGGGTAGAATTGTTGTTTTGATTCGGTGAGTTTGTAGGCATGTCGAAGGAGGAAGCTATGCAAAAGTATATCGATTGTATCGAGACTCAGAAGGTTAAATATGCATAATTAGTGTGTTTGTTTGCTAGTTGTTGTCAAGAGTCAGATTTGCTTGAGGAAGCTACTCTCACGAAGCATACACCATTGGTGCTTTGTCAAATGTTGATACTGCTGTGTATCGCATGAAAGTTGAAGGAAATGATGACTTTGTGAAAAAGGAGTAATGAGTTCAGGAACTGCAAAATGGAATCACTATGAACCAAAAAAAGAGGAATAAGCCAATAGTAGAAAGTAACAGCAAAAGATGAGTTCCAATGAATAGCTAGGTGAAATGATATTATGGTGATGATTGCTTGTGCTTTTCATAGCACAAAAAAGTGTTTAATACAGAACTTACTGACTTATGCTAAAACCAACATATAAAGACCATTCTTTAAGAATGAAATACTATTTTGCATTTTAAGTTCCGAAGGTTAGTATGAATAAGACAATAAATGCTTAAACAACATCAAGATACCATAAGTAGTCCTTTGAGTTGGTTTTCTGGGTTGAGAGAATCAAAGCAGAGTATTTGAAGGTTTGCTGATAGTCTTGGACCAATTTGGGTTATAACGATATTAACATTATGTTAACTTACACATATTTGAAACATAACAAATATATAGAGTATTGAAATGGGATGATGAAACTATTATCGTTGTGATAATTTAGTATTCACATTGCAGATAATTGGATAGAGTGTGTTGTGGTGAATATGGAAAACTAACAGAATCATGCATAGAAGCACGATTAGCCTTTGTTGGCCAGGAATAGTTAGTTTAATAGTAATATGTTTGGCCAAGTCCATCCTGCGATCAAAAGTGGTTATTACAAGTATTTGGGAAAATCACAAAACTACCTTTGAATGAGCTTTTAATCGAAGAAAGAAATAAAAACATATAAGTATAGATTTATGTGTCGCTAATAATGCTAATTCATCTATTTGAATATAACCAATTAGATAAGAAGAAATGCGTCATTTTTGGTAATTATAGCTTGACTTTTTAGTTACTAGTTTCGTTATATTTAACCACAAATTATTATTAATTACTAATAATGAGTGTTATCTCCCTGATTCTGTTCCTCTTGCAACTGATCTACGCTGCTCCGAGTTACTCATGCGACGATTCTGGCTATGACGAGTATCTGAAATATTATCAATCGAAGTGCGGAACTGACTGTGATGAATACAAGACGTACCACACTGATTATTTATCCTAAATCATAGGAAGCATTTTGCATCTTTCGAAAAATCCTGTATTGAGATCAAGACCAAGGCTACTTACAGAGATTATCCCATGGATTTCTCTATTCTATCCGACTTCAGTGATGACGACTTGGTAGTTATGATGGATATTGGAGAGAAGTATTCGCATATGGGATCTTATTATTTGCCTGATACAATTACTAACTCTACTTGGAGAGGTGATTATGTTGCTTCTGACTTGTGTCCTGGATTTGAGAGCTATTCTACCTCCACCTCCACTTCCACTTCGTGGGCAAGTGCCATTGTTCATGCTGCAGAATATGCTTTCTCGAAAGCAGGATATGAAGAAAGGTTTTCTCTGAAGTATGTTCTGAAGTGCCTTCCAGAGTTCAGTGATGATCAAGCTCATCCTAACGAGATCAAGACTTCGGATATCATATCATTCATTGCTGAGAACGGTTTAATGACAGAGCGCGTGGCTTCTTCTTTGGGTGAGGATGAACTCTGTTCTGCTACTACCAACAATTACAAGTTCGAGGTAATCCGAAATGATGCTCCGAATGAGAGTGGACTGAAGAACTTTGCCAATGAAGGAAACCCTGTGATTGTGCTGATAGCTCTCGATCTGCTCCGTCTTCAAACTGTGAACAATGTGATCGGCGATGCTATCTACAGAGGATCGACGGACGAGCCTTCTGTGTATGGCATCTTGGAAGGATATGACGCGGACAAGTGGACGGTGGGTTTGAATGTGGTTCCTTGTGAGCACATCGTACTGAATCTTCCTGTGACAAACAATGACACGAATGCAAACTATGCTGGAATTGCTGGATATGCGATCTCGCTTGTTCCTGAATCTATTTCTACAGAATACATCGTAGACAATATTCAGGTGAAACTGGATATGATTCCATCTTGGGCAACGAAAATAACATTCAGTGAAGGATCCCTGAACGGTGTCAATAGTTTGGTGATCGATCGATTCCCCAAATTGAAGTCGCTGATTTTCGAAGATTATGCAGTATTGAGTATTGAGTATTTGGAGATCACTGCTCCATTATTAGAAGAGTTAGTGTTTGGCGCAGGAAGTGGATCAGGTTCTGGATCGACTCGAAGATTAGCGGATGCTCTTGGAAAATTGGTACTCAATTGCCCCAACTTGAAGACTTTTATAGTAGGAGAAGGATGTCTGGAAAGTATTGAAGTGATTCAAATCGATGCTATTGGAGAGAATGTTCGATTTGAAGTTGGCCCAAATGGATTGAAGAATGTGAATAAGATTGAATACAGTAGTGAAGTTTCTGAGGAAGTGGTAACTATGATGAAAGCGACAATCGAGAATACTGAAGGACATGTGGGAGAAGTTGTTATTGAAAGAAATGATTTGACTACACTTCCTCCAACAACTGAAGCTCCAACTACTGTGACTCCCACTACTGAAGATCCCACGACAATTCCTCCAACAACCGAGGCTCCCACTACTGAAGTTCCTACTACTGAAGCTCCGACCACTGAAGTTCCCACTACTGAAGTTCCCTTGCCATCTTGCCCTGAAGGACTCGTTGCTTACAGAATTGTCAGAGAATATGGAGCAAATCCTTCATCTTCCGAAACCTTGACATTCTATTCATAGGTAATCCGGAAGTGTTGAATTCTTAAACGTTACTTACATCGGAAATACTACTGACATCCTGACTGATTGTATGAAACCCCAATTACTAAGCATCGAATTGAGAGGAGCTACAGGTGGCTGGAACGACGATTCCTATTTTACGATTCAAAGTGCATTTGGAGTGAGCGAAAAAGTCACGCTGCAAGGATCGTCATCCAATAGCCTGTACTTCCACCATTCTTATGGATTCATTTCATTCACTGAGGTAACGAGCTGTGAGGAATTCAACGCATTGCCAGATACTGTGAACATGATTCATGTAATGGATAACGCTTGTAATGATCCAGCTATTGTGGAATTTTCAACATCCCGATTCTCTGATTTAATATATCTATGGATAGGAGATGAAGACTTTATGTATGTTAAAACATTCGGTGCTCAAAACAATTCAAATCTGCAATATCTCCACATTCAAATGAATAGTTTTACTCAGGAAAAGAATGATTATGGAAATGATAAATCGAAATCATTCCACATATTGAATTGTGAATCATTGGAATCCATTCAAATTGGTGAATTCAGTTTCAGTGATTTTGCTGGAGACTTTGAATTGAAGAATCTACCACAATTACAATCCATTCAAATTGGGACAATTGGAAGTAGGTCATGGAATTTCGTTTCTAGTTCATTTGTGATTCGAGGTATTGATATGATATTGAATATTTGAATGATGTATAGATCTTCCAAATCTACAATCCATTACATTAGGTGACGATACATTCGAATTTTCCTCTCTGGCAATAATTGAAAGTATTGAATGAATTCGAATGAAATGATTGATATAGATCTTCCATCATTACAATCTATTCAACTCGGTTATGAGGCACTTCGTGGCACATGGTATGACGAATCATATTCATTGACACTTCGAAGTAATAATGAAATGATTCTAAATGATTTGCTTTGTAGATCTTCCAAATCTAACATCAATAACTTCTGTAGGATATAGTTTGGAATATCCTCGTGTAGTGACATTGGAAAGTATTTCTGAATATTGAATATTGATAGTATTTAGATATTCCAAATCTTCAAAATGTCAAACTACCTGACGCATTTGAATATGCTAATTCACCCATTGTTAGCAGTAATTATAATTGTAATTAAATGAGTTTCAGATGTTTCGGAATTACTTTTCCGAAAAGGATACAGTTGTGATGATGTTCAATCAATCAATTCTTCTGTATCTTCAATCCTTCTTCCCAAATGGACATGTAATCTTATTAATTACACTATATTTGATTTTTCGCGATTCACATTGATAGAATCAATCGATATAAGCGATCATAGTTTTGGATCAGTACAAACATTCCAAATCGACGAATTGAATCTATTAAATAGTTTGAAAATAGGCAAGAATTCATTTACGCAGAAAAAGAATGATTATGGAAATGATAAATCGAAATCATTCCACATATTGAATTGTGAATCATTGGAATCCATTCAAATTGGTCGATACAGTTTCAGTGATTTTGCTGGAGACTTTGAATTGAAGAATCTACCACAATTACAATCCATTCAAATTGGTACAATTGAAAGTGGTTCAAACAATTTCTATTGGAGTTCATTTGTGATTCGAGGTATTGATATGATATTGAATATTTGAATGATGTATAGATCTTCCAAATCTACAATCCATTACATTAGGTGATCGTGCATTCTTTGAATCCTTAACAACAATAATTGAAAGTATTGAATGAATTCGAATGAAATGATTGATGTAGATCTTCCATCATTACAATCTATTCAACTCGGTTGGTATGCACTTGCTGGAGAAATTGATTCATCATGTTCATTGACAATGCGAAGTAATAATAAATTGATTGGTTATGATTTGTTTTGTAGATCTTCCAAATCTAACATCTATAACTTCTGCACTATTTAGTTTTCGTTGGCCTCGTGTAGTGACATTGGAAAGTATTTCTGAATATTGAATATTGATAGTATTTAGATATTCCAAATCTTCAAAATGTCATTCTGCCTGGTTCATTCATTGAAGTTCGATCGAAATCAATTTCGAGTATAGTTTGATTGATTTGATTTGATTCATAGATGTTTCTTCCATTCTCGCTGATCTGGTCAAAATCAAGCAGTGATTCCAGCATTGAATCTACACACTTCATTCCATTCAATGATCATTGTATGTTCAATGCTTACCTTGTTTGTTCCAAATCCCTTACCATCATTCTTTGGTCATTGATTTAGGATCCAATCATCGATTGACTCTTTTCCATCATCACAACCCAGATTGGTTTAGCTAGCATGTTCCAATCCTTCGTGTAACGACGTTAGGAATGAAAGTAAAGAATTTATGAAAATGGGAGAGCTAATTAAGAAGATCGAGTTTGTTTCAATGTTCTAAATAGAAATGTGTTTTACTTGCATAATCACTAGTTTATGAACGATACAGTAATAACGATCAAGTGAATCGACTAGATTGTACTGGATAGTTTAATCCTCATTATTTTTTTAAATAGATATAAAGTGCGTATTTAGAAGTGTCATGTAGTCATTTGTGTACAAACCATTCTATATATTATTCCTAAATGTTGTACAGTTTTTCGATTATTTCACATTAAGCTTTACATAATATATATTGGGCTCAGAGTTTTCTCCAATATCTTTTAATTTGGTTATAGATAAAGTCACTTTATTTGTTTCACACTTTACTAATTCTTCGAAATATACTTCTGTCGATAATATTGAAATATAAGGAAAATAGTCGTGATTATAAAAGTAAAGGATTAATGCATGCAAGTATTGAACCGATCTATTGTACACAAAGTTTACAAAAGATATCATTATTAATCAACGTATCAGTCTACGCATATTTAATGTTGATTTTAGTGAGAAATAATATTTCAAAACAATCAAACATAGGATTATTATAATAATTGTCGTTCGCAAGACGGTAAACACATCAAGAATGAGTTTTATTCATATTGGATATGTTGGTTTTGTATGGCTGGCTCGAATTTTACTACCGAGACTCATAAATTCTCACAATATCTAGACATCATATATATATGAGACTACCATTATTTAAATAGGGAGTGGATCATAAAATCTCAGAATCATGATTTACATATGATTTAACCCGATTGACAACAAATATCAACGATCAATAATGGCTAATATACTTTTACATATCATTAATCATGTATTAATGTTTTATAATCGATATTATTATATCGGAATATACAATAGTACATGTTCAAAAGAACGATCAAAATGGGTATTTTAAGATTAATATGTAATATTTATGCTTTATTGCTAATCAAATACACAGCGAGGATATATTTTATCATTTATGAATCAGTAGTACAATTCACCAGTCGTACTTTTGATAATAACGTCATAAATACACATATATCCATTGTGCAATTACTTCATTTACAGCGGGAATGTAGTACAGACAAATGAGAATAGTTATTATGTGAGACAGTATGCAAATGGAGATGGTAATTATAGTCATTGTTATAATGGTAACAATGTTCAGCACTACAAGGAAAAACAGAGTACTTGTACTTGTTGTATAACTCTCGGATCTTGAGTGATAACTCGACAATGAAAACAAGAGGTTCCTTTACTGTTTCTATTACTATATGTGAGAATGTACTCCCATCCCATAAAATTGCGATCGCCGATGCAACTTAATCAATACTTCACTCTGTTCTACTTGTTTGTTTTCTTTTTCCCCTCTTTTTTCCAAATGTGCTCTCTTATTATTTCACCTCAACGCCATGCTCTTTATTTTGATGTAACTACGTCTTTTCCTCTTAACTATCATAATAATTCCTGGTCATGCACTGAAGAAGCACACTGTTGTTGGAATTTCTATTAATCCCGCAGCATTTTTGTGACAAACAATATCGATCTTCTTTACTTCACGCTATGCCCATCATTCAAGATGCAATTCAGTTTGTTGAGTGCTGATGTTTCGTTTATAAAATTTTAGATATGTAGTCATTTATAAATATTCATGTGAGTAGGATATATTGTTTCGTTTTGTTTGTTTTATATAGTTTCTAGCAGACTGTAGTAGAATTTGAAATACTGGAGTCAACTCATTCAGTCCTTTCTATTCCATCCCACAAACAATTCATCTTAAGACATACCACAATCAAGTCTTCCTTATCCATGGAGCTATTAGAAATGCCGCTACTATAAACTTTTAATCTTCAATATGATCCATTGGTACAGAATTGAGTCATCAATGCTATGATCGGGTTTTATAACAATGGAAAATGCAGAATCTTTGCTTTATTTGCATAAAAGAGGAGAGTATTTTTTATACCCGCATCATTATTTGCAATCTAGCTTATATTTATAGCTGTAGTTGTATTTACTGATATGTTCATGTGTGTAGTGTGTGATTCCTGTGTTTTTGCTTGTCTGATTCGCTTTTTATTTTGTGTAGTTGGTAAGAATTGGAAGTTTTATATGCAGTTTCGTTTGTTTTTAATTATTTGTCAAAATGGGACAAGGGCGTAAAAAGCGAGAACGAACAAGTTCCGGTAGCAATCGTCGCAGACGGTTCTCAATACCTGCTGATTCTTGTAATCGAGATTCTCAAGATTTACTGACTTTGTTGGGTGTTTGCCAAGATGATCGTTTGAGCAGTGCTCATAATCACAGTTCATCTCGGAAGCATTACAACCCTTCCTTATTCAAATCAACTCGTCATGATTCGCTAGTTGACTATATTTCTCCTCAGCTGTCGAACTCGTTGCCTACTAAGCCAGCATCGAACATGCAGTGCTCTTTTGTAGGTGATATTCCACTGGTGTCGACGAGTTCGGGTACGCAATCTGGTTTAGCTCAAGGTATTTATTTGTCATCACGTTGAATATCAGACTTTTATCAGTCAAAGAACGCTCTTCTGCTTGCAGAGTCTCTGTTCCCCACGAATAGTGTATTTTCTGGAGGAAAAACCAAAATCTTATCCACTGATCATCTTTCGAACATCCGCTCTGTGTTACAGAATCTTTTATCCGAGAACGAAATCGAGGTGGACTTGACAACCTACGCGACCTGCAGTACCCTCCAACCCTCCCTTCTAACCAGCAGGCCGAAAGGAATTCGTGCAACGCACGTTCGAGCCCAAACTATCGCGCATTTTTTCGACCTTAACTCACGGCTGTCGTTTTGAAAACACCTACGACATCTCCGCTCGCTCCGCCGTTCTCTTCGTACGCCTCCCTTCTCCTTTTTACCCCAGGCGCTCTGCTCGTGCATCCCGAACTCGCTTCCGAAGGCGTGTCACGCTCTCTTGGAAACGCTCATCGACTTCAACGAATCCGAGCGCGAAAGCGGCCTCTGTTTGGAAGACGAGCTCTTCCTGCAAACCACCAACTACGGCCAGATCCACCATCTCATCGAGCTCTGGAAGCTCTTCGTCAGCGTAGGCGCCTTCCTCGCTCTCGAATTCAGTGGATCGACGAGCAGAGCGACTCGCACTCCGCCGATTCTGACGCTTCGCCGCTCGCCGACTGCGAATCCGACCTTCTCGGCAGCGTTCGCGTGCTCTTCCGCGCCGCCGTCGTGCTTCTCCAGCTCAGCGGCGTGGTGAAGAAGTACCGGGCCACGCTCTGCAGCGGGCTGGCGAAGCTCTTCGCGCTGGACCCGGCGTGTGTGCCGCGGTTTTTCCACGAAATCACGGGGAAATGGCCGGTCTGCACGTCGCGGAAAGTGCGATTGGGAGGAGGAATGGACGGTAGGGAGTGGCGATGCTGGAGCTACTGCAGGATCTGCTGGAGGAGAGCGAGGTGCTGGAGGAGAGCGCGTTCGAGGGTGAGATCACGGCGCTGCTGGAGTGGATTTGCAAGCTGGTGAACGGAAACCAGGCGGAGATTTGCATGCAGGGCATTCAGATTCTGGACTCGGATCGCGTGCTGCTGAAGTACATTGTGTGCAAGCCGTATCGGGTGCGGATGGTGGAGCAGTGCTTGAATCGGAATCGTAGGGGCGCGGGAGGCGTGGGAGAGTAGATGGACATTGGAATGAGACGATTCGAGGGGTGACGGAGACGCTCTTTGACCACTTGTTGGATTATATGTAAATTAGGGGGTTTTACGTGTTTCTTTATTGGTGTATATTGATTTGTTTGTTGGAGATAGTTGGATGGTCGTATTTTTGTGGGGTTTGGGAGAGTGATGAAGGGAATAATGGATTGGAAAGGGAGTTTATGATAGAAGTGATATAGGAGAGAGAATTGCACATTGCTACTTGCAAGGGATGTATGAAAAATGAAATAGGATATGACATAATGTAAAATAGTGTGGGTTTTCCCATCAAACATAGGATTATTCGATTCACCCTGTTATTAGAGTGCAGACATCTATCTATTGATATTTCCTCATATATTCGAATCTTAACCATAACAAAAACATCGTTTCTCTCAAACAAGCTCTAATTAACATTATAAAGCCTCTTCACTCGCTCAATCTCCTGCAAATACTTCCGATCATTCGCCTTGCTAAGTACCTTCAGATAAATATTCACCGCCGTCTTGTCCTGTTTCACCCCATTCCTCGTCATTTCCTCCCAAATCATCATCGCCTGGTCCGGCTTCGCCTTCTCCAATTCTGTTCCATACTTCCACATCACCGCATCGGGGTCCGTCTCCCAGAACCTCTGCACACGCGACATCTCTCCATCGTGCAGCTACATCACACTATTCGCCTATTTCTACCGGCATTGCGCTCGGATCCGACGAAAAAACGCCCTCACACAGACAGCGGTTCAGATTCTCCCACACCCGGGGATCGGCTGTTTCGCGTAGCAATCCCTGTCGGACGAACGAGTTCCACGCCTGGAAGACGATGGCGCCCGTTCCGCTGTACGGACGAACGTTCTCCATGAAAACGACCGATTTCGCGTGGGCGAGGAATCGACTGCTGGAGAGATCGTCTTCTGCGAGTCGAATGAATAGTGAAGTGAATACCGGCGGTGGTAGGGTAGGAGCCGCTGTCGATGTAAATCATGTCGAATCGCTTGTCACCGAAATAGCCGGCAAAGACTCCGATTGCGCTTTTCATTTTGCCCCCGATGAGGATAAAGCGGTCTTCGTATTTTTCGGAGAGCGTGCGCGCGCAGTAACTGACATAGGGATAATGGAGTGGGTCGAATGCGACGACGTGGATGTCTTTGCGAGCAGTGAGGAAGGTTTCGGTTGTGTGGCCTGTTTCGTAAGATGAAAGGAACAAAACTACCAGCATTGAAGCCAATCACAGCAACACGCTTGATGTTTGTATTCTTCTCCAAATACTCGTGGAAAAACTCAACCATCATTCGAGTGATCACGGGACCCTTGACACGGTAATTCCGTGACTTCACAAATTCACCAATGGAAAGGACTGTAGAAATATCTCTATTATCTACATCTCGTCGTTGTAACGTTTCTGGCATTGCTAGATTCAGATCGGGGCGGTTTTCAGCAACATGAGGGCGCTTTCGTTTCTCCGCATTATTTTGACTGTTAATTAATTGCTCTTGTTCCGATGTGATGTACTGCATGGCTGGCTTCGAAGGTGCCTATGGTAATAGTCCATCCACAAAGATACTGAGTTCAGCTTACTCAGCATCATCTTGGTGCGGAACTCTGTATTGTTACCTCCAGTTCCATTCATTTGCTGAAAACTATTCTGAAAATATCCACAAACTTTGGAATTCCGAGTATTGGACGATATCATCCTCATTTTCACATTCGCAGTTTGATTTATTCTTAATAGTATGGATGTCGCTTCTGTTTGATCGATAGAAAGCGTGAGAAATGTCGTTCCTCAAAAAGACCAAGAGCATCTTTGGAAGAAAGAAGAAGGAGGAAGAGGAGGAAGAGGAAGTGAACGAGGAGAACGAGGAGGTGTTCGACGAGGAGAACGAGGAGGAAGCCCAAGAGGAGGAGGAGGAAGCCCAAGAGGAGGAGGAAGAGGAAGGTGGAGAGGAAGAGGAAGAAGAGGAGGAGGAAAAGCCCCGAGCAAAGGCGTCTTCCGCTGCTCTGGATGCAGTTGGCCATAGTTTTGCCCTTTTTATATAGGCGAAAAAGCAGCTAGAGGAAGAGAGAGAGAAATTCGCAAAGTTGGAGCAGAGTAAGGTTCATTTTTGGTAGATTGAAAGAGCAGAGTTCACGAAGCTGCGAGATTTTTCTAAAGAGAAGTTGGAGGGAGCACAGAAGCAAATGAAAGAGCTCCGTGCTGAGGTTTGCTGTCCGGTAGTGGAATGTGATGTCTAGAAGGATCAAGCCGAGAAAGAGTTGGCTGCTGCTCGTGCGCAAATAAAGGAGCTGGAATCGACTGCTTCTTCTGCGAACACCGATGAAATCGATGCCTTGAATGGTCAGATCGCGGTGATGCAGGAAGTGATCGACGGAAAGGAGAAGGAAGTGAACGATCTGAAGGAGGAGATGGAGGGAATGAAAGCGACGATTGCGGAGTTGGAGGCGAAGACATCGCAATTGGAGTCTGCAGAGCGTGAAAACGCAGCGAAGCTGAAAGAATTGGAAGCTTCGATGGTTGCTGTAGAGCAAGCAAAGGGAGAATTGGAGAAGGAGAAGGAGACGATGAGTGTGGAGCTGGAAGAAGTCAAGAAATCGAAGGAGACGATGAGTGTGGAGCTGGAAGAAGTCAAGAAATCGAAGGAGACGATGAGTGTGGAGCTGGAGGAAGCTAAGAAATCGAAGGAAGCGGCCGAGAAGGAGAAGGAAGAAGCGTTGAAGCGAAGCGAAGAATTGGAGAAGGAGAAGGAGGAGTTGGAGAAGGAGAAGGCTGAGGAGAATGAAGAGAAGGAGAAGAATGCGGAGCGCGTGAAGTTGGAATTGGAGGAAATGAAGAAGAGCAAGGAGGAAGAATTGAAGAGCGCGAAGGAGGAAGCGGAGAAGGAGAAAGAGAAGGAAGTAAAGGAAGTGAAAGAGAAACTGGAGGAGATGAAAGAAGCGAAGGAGAAGGCGGAGAAGGAGAAGGAAGAATTAGTGAAAGCGAAGGAAGAATTGGAGAAAGAGAAAGTGGAGACAGAGAAGGATGTGGAGAATGTGAAATCGGAATTGGAAGCGATGAAGAAGAGCAAAGAAGAAGCGGAAAAGGCCAAAGAGGAAATGGAAAAGGCCAAAGAAGAAGCAGAAAAGGAAAAGGAAAAGCTGCAGAAGGCGAAGGAGGAAGCGGAAAAGGCGAAGGAGGAAGTGGAGAAAGAGAAGGACGCGAGCGAGAAAGCGCTGAAGAAGGAACTCGAGGATCTGCGAAACGAAAAGGAAGCGATGGAGAAAGAAAAGACGGCGATGTCGGAGCAGGCGAAAGAAGATCAGGAGAAGCGAAAGAAGGAATTGGAGGAGAAGGAATCGTCGCTGCAGGCTTCTCTCAAGCAACTCAGCGAAGCCAACGAAGCCAACGAAGCCAGCATCGCTGCCCTCAAGGAAGAATTGAAAGCTTCGCAGAACGAGAAAGAGTCCGCCGTCCAGTCGCTGAAAGAAGCCACCGAAGCGAAGGAGGCGAAAGAAGCCGAGCTGGAATCGGTGAAGTCCGAAATGGAGCAGAAAGTGAAGGAATTGGAGGCTTCCGTGCAGTCGGTCAAAGAGGAAAAAGCGAACGCGGAGGCCGAAGCGGACGCGAAGATTGCGAAGCTGGAGAACGCGCTGAAGGAAGCGGAGTTGGCATCTGCTGCGAAGTCGGGAGATGAGCAGCTGGCCGCTGCGATCGAGGAGAAGGCGAACGCGGAGAAGGCGGCTGCAGAAGCGGAGAAGGAAAAGAAGGCGAAGGAAAGCGAGCTGAAAGAGGAGAAGGAGAAGAATGTGGAGTTGGAGAAGCGAGTGAAGGAAGCGGAGGAAGCGAAGGCGGCGAAGGAAAGCGAGCTGGAAGCGGAGAGAAGCAAAACGAAGACGCAGGAGAGCCGTATTGCGGAGTTGGAAAGCCAGATCGCGGAGCAGAGCAACGCAAAGAGCGAAGTCGATGAGAGTCAGATTGCCGAGCTGAAGAACGCGGTGGCCGAAGCGGAGAAGGAGAAGGAAAATGCAAAGAAGGAGAAGGAGGAAGCGGAGAAACAGAAAGAAGAAGCCGAAAAGCAGAAGGAGGTTGCGGAGAAGGAGAAGCAGGAAGCCGAAAAGCAGAAGGAGAAGGCTGAGAAAGAGAAGGAAGAAGCCGAGAAGCAGAAGGAAGAAGCCGAAAAGCAGAAGGAGGTTGCGGAGAAGGAGAAGGAAAAGGCTGAGAAAGAAAAAGAGAAGGCCGAAAAAGAAAAGGAGAAGGCCGAGAAGCAGATTGAAAAGGCTGAGAAAGAAAAAGAGAAGAAGGAGGCGGAACTGGAGAGTGCGAATCATCAGCTGAAAGAAGCCACGAAGGAAGTGAAAGAGAAGGAATCTGCGTTGGAGAAGAAGGAAAAGCAAATCGCGGAGTTGGAGAAGAGAATTGAAGAATTGGAGAAGGCGGCGAAGCAGGAACCCAAATCCGAACCCAAAAAGGAAACAAAGAAAGAGGAATCATCGTCCTCGTCTTCTTCTTCGTCTGAGGAAGAAGAGGAAGAAGAAGAAAAGGAAAAAGAAGAAAAGCCAAAGAAGAAGACGATCAAGAAGTCCAAGAAAGAATCGTCCGATTCCGATTCCGATTCTGATTCTGATTCTGATTCCGATTCCGATTCGGATAGTAAGAAGAAGAAGAAATCAAAGAAGTTGTCAAAGAAGCCTGCAAAACGATCGTTGCTTTCCAAGAAGTCGAAGAAGGCCGCTTCTTCGTCGTCCTCGTCGTCGTCTGATTCGGATTCTAGCGATTAAGGATGTGCTTATTGCTTCGATTTGTTTGTTCGGAACAAACAGAACAAAGGGACTGCGACTGGGAGAACTCAATACACTCCAGCCAATGGATGTATTCTTCGTTTGGATCCTTTGGGAGATACAGAGAAGAAGCCGTCAGCTCACTAGAATAACCAAATAATAAAACACGCTACTAGCCGCATAATTCACCTTGACCATCAATTGTCTGATTCAAAATAGAAAAGGAAGGAGATGATAATTTACCCTGCACCTTGACAAGTTTCCACAATAAAGGAACCTAGAATTCAACACACAAACAATAATGACTTGATTCCACATTGAAAAGAGTGATTCAGAAGAACCGTAGCCATTAATACAACAGTCCATCAGCCCACTTCCATCGTCAATCGTGAATAACTCTTATTGAATAGTATTACAGTATTCTACTTTTGTTCAATACAGTCTTCTCACAAACCACGATGCCAACGACCTCAATTTCGTGAATTTGCCGGTTATTGTAAATATACTTTCCAGAATTGGCACACACTTTCATGACTTGACATATCATCATAGGAACAATAGTCTAGTTGGTTTCATAATCATGCCGAATTCTTACTAAATAATCACATGATTCGGTTTCTTTTACTTGCTTTCTCATGATAGCACATAGGAACAGATCCAAACACAAGAAACAGAATTTGAATAAGGGATGGAATGATACTAACTAGATCTGGATATTGACCATTGATAACAGCATATTAATACTTTAGGTATCCGTAAAATGCGTATTGCAGTTGATTCATAATTTTTATTGTAGAAACCATGATCATCATGGTACTACTGGTCGTGTGGAATTTGTCCTTTCTACTTCATTATATTATTCTTACGCGATGGAGAGTTGTCACCTCCAAACGGAGACTGTGTTCAATTTAGGGGAATTGAATGATGGAGTTCACGAAGACGGCTTGTGTCTCACCGTTATTCCGTCGATACCCTCATTCGGAATGCTAAATGAAAAGATTGATTCTTTTATTCCTCAGGTTCAAAGTTTTGTTTCAATTGCGCTGCCTGAAATGTACAATGACATCATGGTTTCAGACTCTCTGTGTCAAAAGAGTAACCAGGATTGTCTATGTACCGAGCCGAGTTGTTTGAATTCCGTCGAATCCATCTCATCTTCCTGGTACTTGTGTTCAATGGCTCTGATGATAGCGATAAGTCCGTTTCAACGAGTAGAAGTGAAAGTTCGGTACAACAGCAAAGATCTCAACGCAGTAGTAAGGATCTGGGCAGTTGTTCCACTGTAGTTCGCCACAGTATTTCTGAGAAAAAACGTGTTGTTCGATTCAATACATGCGTTGACGCCTTTGTTTCCATGCTATCAGTAATCTTGTTGCCTTTCTTTCTCATCATAGGATAATGGAGTTTCAGTTCGAAGGAACAAGTTGTCCGTTCTCCTGGAAACTGTGAAGCTTCTTCGAAAGATCCAGTCTGAAGTCAATTTTTTGCGCTCTCTAGAAAAGAAAGAAAAGGAGAAACGGAGAACTTTTGCTCCGCGACCATCTCTTTCGTTTCGCTCGTTACCAGAACACCAACAATTTCAGTCTTTTTACCATTCGCTACCCGGGAGTGTAGTCATCATTTCCGCGGGTGGAGAAATACTCGATGCAAACGAGCACTTCTGTCACTGTCTTCGCCTGAGACGTAATCAAGTTGTTAACAATTCTCTGTTCGCTTTTGTGCATTCGTCGACCCTCCTTTTCCTCTACACTTCCATCAGCCATCTCATGACCTCAACCTCTTCCATTTTCCGCGCTATTCACTTATTTGTTCACAAGGGGGAAATGGTCCCTCATGTTGTGTCCATTTCCTCCATCAAGAGTGAGAGATCGATCGTGTTTTCTGTGGCATTTACCCCACTGATACACTTAGGAAGTCCCATTTGCATGTGTCCAACAGCAGAGTAAAACATGAAAGCGGGAGTGAAACCTAGATCTGAAAGTGTGTTTGAACTGCCGAATGGGCGAAAGTATTGCCTGCTAGACCAGACAAGTATGATGTATCCACTAGTTCTTTGCGCTACTCGCTGTGAAAGCGGGGAATTATCTTCGAGATGTACTCATAAAGTTGAGTATGACCTTCATTCTCCTACGAATGCTTTTTCTACATTATCAGGAGTTTTGAACGATCGTAATTAGAGCGTGTTTGTAACAAACATGACACTGCAAGTCAGGAAAAGGAAAAGGAACGTCGATAGTTGCTCTATCGCTCACACCCCACAACCACACGTACCTGAACTTACCACAGTTGTTCAGCTGTTCGTTTTCCATTCGAAAGATATTCCACACACCGCGTCGGACCACTTCGATCGTCCCAAAAGTGAGAAATAGGACATTGTCACCCACAATCCCCTTCTACAGCTCACGCCTCACTCTCCAATTCCCACTAAGGACAATCGAAGAAGCCAGATCCACCGCAAAATCACATCAAACACGATTGCCATGTGATAATAATACCGCTCAGGGAGCAAATGCTTCGATCTCCCCTCGACCTCCTTCCGCAGAAGGAAGTACTTCCCTCGCTGAAAGTTCCACAGCAGTCCCCAATCTTCTCGCAGATCCCAGTACAACGCGTAGCACGTGTAGATGGATTGGAACACATAATAGCACGGTGTGCTCCACGAAAAGCTCATTGCGATCAGGGAGAGGAAGTACTTGAGTCCGTTCCAAAGGTGAGGATACACATCACTAGGAGTCGATTCCATTCGATTCGAATTCGCTACTGAGTGTCGTAAAAACGCCGAAGACATTGAATGAAACGAACGAGTGTGGGGAGAAATGAAGGCCAAAAGAGGAAAAACTGCTGGAGAGACGAAGAGAACGATAAGTAGACATCCGTAAAAGACAGAAACGAAGCTGCAATGAACAAGCATCCCAAAACCAACAGGAAACCAAAATGGAGATGACGTGAACAAGGTCCACCATGGTTTGATTGTGACTTGTCAGCTGATCTCCCAGGAAGAAGTCGGTAAACTGAACCACGTAAAAGGGAACTCCGAAGATGGAAACGCAGTGTTTCAACATGAACCATCGAGCTCGCGAATACTGAAAAGAAGTAGAAGAAGAAAAAGGGGTACGCCGGGTAACGGAAGTACAAAGAGAAAGAGCAAACAAGTGAGGATTGGAAGAACAGCACAAACGTAGTTCAGCGGCAAGATTTCCTGGATGAAACAATGAAAAGGCAGGAAAGTACAGAAACGAAGGAGATCCAATACCACACGAAGAGAATGAGCATTAAACAGAAGGTGAAGAGCGATGCAAAATAGAATTGTTGTTGGAAGTGAAGAAGATTTGGAGAATACTCCCGAAATATATACTCGAAATTGATGCGGCAGATGTGATACACGTACAGATCCAAAGCCCACATCCTATGAATCAACAAATATACAATCAAAAATGAACCATAACTGAGTGGCAAAAAAGACCTGGATTCGAATAAAGATCCAGAGAGCGTTGATTTGATCGGAGTTTAACGATCGAATTGGATATTGAAAGACGATTAGAAGCAGGCCAAGAAAGAGCACGATCGCAAAGCCGGTCTACAAACAACCCGACTTGGCTTTCTTACAAATAAACCGACTCGAAATGCCAATTTTGCGGAGAGACGCGAACGAGTTCGTTTCAGATCGTTCAGCGAAATCGATTTCTCTCCTTGCGTCAACTACAATTCAACGCACATCGAGCACGCACTTCTTTCCATAATCGCTCCGTAAACTGCCGGATCCAATACACATCCGACTCTTCGCAGAACTGAAGCTTCGAGACCGCGTCGTTGATCGTATTCCGACTGGTGCAGCGGCTTGTTTTGTCATGCTTCTTGAGGATTTTATCGATCGCCGTGCGGTTAAGAGTACAGTAGTTATGGAGGTAATCCAGGGTTCGATAGAGTTCTTTCAGACCGAATTCCAGCTGGTTGAACTGAGGAGAACTGCGGGTGATCGACTTCTTGTCTCGTAGAGCGCAGAAGTGGGATACCTTGATAGAGAGAGAGTTAATCCAAAAAGTACTTGAGCCTCATAGTCCTTTACTCGTTGTTTGCACTCCGTAATCTTCTCCAAGTACCATTTGTTCACCATTTCTATTTCGCTATGCAGCTTACGAAAAAAGACAAGCTCCTTTTCATCCAAATACTACACCTTAGGCATGTTCACTCTCCCCTACTCTGGGCATCACTAAATTATACGGAATCGATCCATCACTTATGTCCCACTGACTCTACAATCAAACCATACAATAAAAGCAACCAGCGAGCGATCCGCATGAATTACGAGAGAATCCTCAGGCTTTGTACTTGTAGACGCGGTATATGTATAGTTTGTGCTATTATCCACATTTGAAATAGCTCTCCCGCGTAAATCAATCATTCCTACCATTGTGGAGTTCTCCACCTTGCGTAATTGCTTTTTTCCGTATTCATCAATGATATCATTCACTGGTTCGGACTGAATCTCTTTCAGCTCCACTTCCTGGGGTTCTACATGATATAGACAAATTAATTGTACTCTTCTCATTGATTTGCTTGATAATCTTCTTCAATTCCTTGTAATTGATAAACTGAGCGTTTCATTCGAATCCAGCCACCTACCTTGTCTCTCCATTCCGGTACAATGTTGTGCTTCAAATATTGGCCAAATTTCACCATTTGTTTTGAGCCCAGAGTGTTTGCTATGGTATTACAGATACCTAAATTTGAAATTCGCTGTTAACCGGGGTGTAGCAGTGATTCTACTCCATGAATAGGAATCGAAAAGTGAAAAAAGGTGTAATGAATAGATGGCTGTTGCTTGTGAATTTTCTGTTTTGTTGCTCGAATATAATTTGTTGGAGTGGCAGGCTGCGATAGACAATTACTCTAACATACTCTTTAGTCATTTTTTATGTCGGATATATTCATTTAATGCGTATTTCATTATTTTCAATATGCATTTTTATAATATGTCCGGTTCTCATATTCATGCTGAAGGGGAGAAAACTTGTGGTAGAAAACGTTGTGGAATGGAAAGTTACGGACGCGTGCGATGCCGAGAGTAACGATAATGTGTTCTTATGGAATAATTCAAGTTTATGGATGTTCTCTGTACCTGCGTTTCTGTTCAAGCTGGATCATCTCTTAAATAAACGTGGAGTGGAATTATATACCGGATCAGCAATGTCACAGAATTGTAGTCGCCATGTACCCAATGTAGTCGTAAAGGGAAATGATGATATGGTAAGTCTTCCACATGGTAGACCAATGAAATATGGAAGAACTAATTTGTTTTCTAGTTTTTCGGAGCTAAAAAGCACGCAAAATAGTACTTTCTTTGATTCTGCTTCTGTTTCTGCTCCTGTTTCTACTTCTACTTCTACTTCTACTTCTACTCCTTATCATCCCCTATTCGATTCACCAGGAAACGGATCGATTCTCTCGAATATCCCTACGAATATTTCACTGAAAAAGATGCCTAGTACTTATAGAGTAATCATGATCAACATATAGAGATGCAAATTCTAAGATACAGCGATAGTTTCAATAAGTACAGGTATCGAAGGATCGACTCTAGGCTCAGTGATTTCAGTCCCATTGTTCAAGCACTCACAAGACCACACAGAGATATAACCGTCCGTTTTATCCCTATGGAGGGTACAGGCTTTGGAAACATGATGCGAGCTTTTCGTTCGCTCCTCATTCTGTCCATTTACGACAACTTTACGATTTGTTTTGATTACGGTGCCTACTTTCATACAATGAATTCATCACTGGATATTCTCCGATGTAGCGAATATAAGAAGCGGCCTCTGGTTTGGTGGGGAACGCGCGTCGATGAATGGGTGAAGGAACACAAATGCAATCTTCATATTAAATACAACCGCATCGTCAAATCTTCAAACGACCTGCTCTTTGATATAGTGAAGTGTTCCAATATTCGAAATGCTTTGAGAGCCGAACACATTCCTTGTAAGTTTAATAGAGCTCATCTGTCTCAGTACTTTGGGCGATTTTTGTTCCAGCCCAAGCAGAGCATCATCGATATTGGCAACAAACTGCTCGATAAAATGACGGGAGTGCGCGTGGGACTGCAGTTGCGGTTTGGTGGGAAGATCGCGGAATTCCAGGAGGGCTTCAAGTTCATAAAGGAAGAGAACATAGGAAGGGTTGTGGACTTTATCAACAAGAAACTGCAGTCGGTGAACAATTACACATTTTACTTGTCTTCGGACTCGAAGAAAGCTCCGAAACTGCTCGCACCGCTGAATGCAAGTTTTGTGATGGCGGACGCGTTTGAAATTGGTCATACGCGAGGGAAGAATCTGAAATTTATGGAGAGAGCGATCCTGGATTTGTATGTATTATCAAAATGCGACATCTTGTTTACAACGTGGTTCAGTACGTACGGTAATTTTGCGAGGGATTTGTCTGATAGCAGAAGAATTTATATGATAAAGTATTGCATTGTTTGTACCAAAATTGAACTCTGTTGTAATGGTCCATAAAACTTCATAGATTGTATTTCAACCTTGTGAACACGGATATAAACATAGGATTGTAGCGAAAGATGGAGCGTAATCCAGGAATGAAGGAAATTGTTATTCTTTACACAGAAACAACAAATTTAAGGTAGATACTAATAGTATTTAGTCTGTTTATAAGATGGTAACTGAAAAGTGGAATGTGTAACAGAACAGCAAAAAAGGTCACTCCAACATGTAAAGAATAAATAATGAATATAATAAAAAAGTAGAAAGCAAAGTGGAGATAAGAAGTAGTAATAGAAACCTTCTATGTTAATCGATTGCCACATGATTTGCACTTTCTATGATATATACATATATCATAGAAAAAACAGAGAAATCGATCACTGTTAATATAAACTGACATTGTTATTTTTCTTAAGAATGAATATCCGCGTTACGGATGGAAAGCAACTTAAAGAATACAAGATTGACGAACAAACAACACTGTTTCATCTTAGAGAGACAATTACTGTTTGTGTCTAAAGGATGGAATAATTCATAGAATGACTATAATATTAGTATAGATAAGCTATTCTTTTTCAATGGCATGGAGTTACTTGACAAGATGAAACCTCTAAAAACTCAATGTTCTAGCAAAAGTATTATTAGAATAATGCAGATATGTGTATTCAAAATAGTATGGGAAGATAAAAAGGAAGACTTTCGATACTATTCCAATATCGAACTAAAACACTTATTGACTGGGTTTCTGAGCAGTCACAATATTCCTGCACCTGATTTTTCTAAATATGGTGTAAAAATAGGGAATCAGGTCATTTCGCAAGAATATAATATTCCATTCGAAGGTATAAATGATATAATAGAGATAATTGAATACAAGAGTATTTGCATAGGAAAAAGTAAGACAATAGACAGAAATGAGTTTCAAGGTACACAGAGCAACTTACAAAGTAATGATTATATATATAAAGTAATATTTGCAGGTAGTCGAAGAGAACAATGCACAATTGATTTACCTGGAAAACGTTCAAGAATAACATTTCGACTAAATGGGAATAACTACACATGCAGCAGTGTAACAAATCATAATATAAGAGTATTGAAGAAAGAAGTTTTAACAAAAGTATTTGGACGGTCTTTATCTGCTGGTGAACTATCTAAATATGCCTTATATTGCAATGGAAATCGATTGGACGAATCAAAGACTGTTGAAGACTTGCATTTGTATGGTAAAATAGTTGAATGCACAGCTGAGGGTTTGTAAGAAAAATATGACTGAGTTATAGAGTTTCCTAAAACTATTACAGGTAATAAGGAACAAGAAAATACCTGTGGAGGTCTTCAAAAGAAGTTTACGAATGTAACTATTAGTGCAACACAGAAACAAGTTTTTCCGAACTCAGTAGAACTCAGAATTATACAATGCTTTAATCTAGCTGGCAAATTATCAGTTCATAGATTAAAACCCTCTACCATACAAGAGAGAATAAAGAAAATTGAAAATTACGTGAACGTTGATTATTCTTAAAAATCTAAATCACAGAGAGGTTCGGAACATACTGACAAGGGAAAGTGGATATTGCTGAATAAGGATGGTCAGATGAAAACGGTTCCAGAATTGGCAAAATGTGAAGATGCAAAAATAACTGTTTTTGTAATTCCCGTATTATACCTAAGTATCGATGTAATAGATAGAAAAGCAAAATGGAAGTGAAAAATCTGGAATTCATTTGTATTGTATCACAACAGGTTTTGACTGAAGAGATGTTTACTGCCAGCAAATCAACAACGAGCATTACATTTTTTGGATCTTGTAATCCATGATTCGTAACCTAAAGTGAAGGGAAAATGTCGCCTACGAATGCACTAAAATTAAGAGAAATGCTTTCTGACAAGAAATGCCTTTTGATTCACACTATATGCGTATCTGGTTAGATTGTTGTGAGTTGACCATGATAATTAGATAATACTAAAAATGTAAAAATAGATATGGCATATTATCCAAAAAGAGGCATAATATCGTTTTCCAGTATGACAATTCCCTGTAGTGTTAGTTTTGGTTTACAAAAAATAGATTGTATGCTCCAAAGAAATGGCATTAACGAACTCATAGTTATTCTAAAGAATATTAAGAGTTTAAAAATCAAGGAATTCAAAATTATATTAAGTATGGCCAATAAAGCAATAATCAATAGACTCGTTCGCTAATCGCAGTACGATTCACACTATTTCTTTTTATAGTAAAATGTTAAAAAGGAAGGAAGATATTTCCTATGACATATTTTTGAATGATAAGAATGTGATGGAAATAATGGATGAACCAACAGGACCAAATTGGAATGATAATAACAGGAAATATACAATGGGTAAGAAGCATATTTATTATTATTATACTTATAGAGCCGAATGATTTTGAAGAAAAAAACTTTGAAATAGTGGAGAATAATCAGCGAAGTTATGGAAATGATGAATCGATTTTGATTTATGAACATGGAACAAATCAATTTGTATCTGAGATTTTCGATTCCTTAAAAGTGAATTATGACCAACCTAATGCTAGGAGTTTTCATTCTCTTCAATCTGCTTTGACTGATGGATGTGATTATGCTCATATGGGAGATACGATTAGTTTCAGCGGAAGACCTCACTTGCAGAAAAAAGAAAAGGCATTCATTCTTCCACTTATCAATTCTAATGAAGCTCAAACTCGTAATATCATTCCTGAAACAATCTATTTCCACTGCATTTCTGGAGTGAAGAATGCTACGATTGGCATTTTGTCTCCTCTTGATGAGAATAAGGTTATCACTGTATTATGCAGATCCGATGTGCTCATTTTCCATTCTACAAAGGAGCGTGTTCGACTGATAAAGGCAATACGCTCTGACAGAGAGGATTGGGAGTATATCGAATCGAAAGCCTATCGATATGTGGAAACAATGAAAGAAGATCCTCCCTTCATCAGAGAAACAAATCAAACCCGCATTCGAAATCAAATCGTGGAAGATGTGATTCAATACAACATTCCAGTGGTGATTGAGGGAGTGATGTCGTCAGGCAAAACATTCACGGTGGAGCAATACTGTCGACGTTCTCTCGTTCCCTTTGTGAGATACAACTTCAGTCCTTCGTCCACAACTGAGGAATTGCTTGGAGATATGGTGATTACGAACGATGATACAGAGA